GCCCCCCCCCCCCCCCCCCCCCCCCCCCCCCCCCCCCCCCCCCCCCCCGCCCCCCCGCCCCATACGGGTAAGGCTTTGATGGTTTAGAGATCTGCTCGGCAACATTGTGGCTTCTGACGATGACCATTGGAGGGCCAAAGGGCCGAAGGTCAGTAAACATAAGGGGTGGCTCGCCAAGAGCTTCATTCATAGCGGTAAATGCAAGGTCTATCCGTAAACAAATTAGATATATCGATCATACGAACAAAGAATCACTATAGAACCTACCAGGATGCCCGTTTGGTTTTCCAGCACGGATGAAGCCATCCATGGCCTCAAGGTGTCCTAAGATAAGAGACGTGGGCATCTGAGGAAAGGAAGCATATCGCTGGAGTCTTTCATAGCGGAGCCTCCTGTAAAGGTATGGCACCAGGAGCGCTATAGCAGCGATAATTAATGGCAAAAGCATTCTATAGGTGAATACAATTGCAATGAATAAACTCAAGATAGATGAGGCTGAACGCGATCATTTGCTTTACCAGTACTAGCACTTGTTCATATCCTACAAGCAATGCGTTTTTAAATTTCCACGTATTTTTCTAACGAAACCAGTTTTACTATGTAAAACGTCATATATAATTGGTTAAAATTAATTTGTTAGTCTTGCTAATTAAGGTGCAGTATCTGTAAGGGCGCGACGATGAGCTTTGTATGGCCGTTATTAGTATGGTGTTGAATTGGAGAGAGAAGGGGAAGGGATGGGAATGAAGTTGGCCGTGAGCCCTTAACTTGAGCTTAAGGTACATGGCTAATAGCATATACATGGCCCTAGAAGCTTCATCCTTAGCTGTCTTGATTAGAGGTGCTGCCCGCTAAAAGTACCTATAGTAACACCTAGAGAGGCTACCTAAGAGGTACATTGATCCACTAATCCACCATCACCAGAACAGGTATCCCGCTGCTGTTTATTATTAGACCAAAAATAGCTACAAATACAAATACTTTTGTACCCAGTTACGTACAAATGGAACAGACCTGAAAGAAAAGCTGGTATTGGACACAAACTCCGAGCCGCCCCCAACCCACTACAAGGCTTGCAGGATCCTGCCCGAGGAAAGCGACCTGTCACGCAGCACCATTTTCCGATGGCAGAAAAACAAGAAATTGGATTCGTCTCGATTCTGGTACTATCCCCGCGGACTGGTCCGATACATCCCCCACGGGCCGACAAGCTTGCATGAAATCTGACATATATGGGTTGCTCTGCTTGAATCAAGAGTGCTTTTTATAAAAAAGCACTAAGATGCGCCTGACTGAGAGTCTGTGTGTTTTTCTTGCTGCAGTAGTAGGTGGCACTTCCGTTGCCGTAAGTTCCCGTTCCGTTCTCCCACATTGCCGTACGTACGTGCACATTGCAAAACGTCCTAGATCTACTTGCCGAATTGGGTTTGGGTTTGATGAGAATGCGTGCCGCATGTGATAAGGGATGTTGAACCTTTGATGCTGCATTAGTGAGATACATGTATTTCACCCACTTTTAGTTCTACTAGTGCTGGATCCACTCTTCAACGAATGACCATTAACCGGCACAACCGGCGATGGCGCCGTGATACTACATACATGTACTTGCGAAGACACACAGACCCTTCCTCGCACCTAGCGCCAACATGCATACCTGCCCGGGGCGATCCATGGTTAGGGGATATCTGACGCTGTCGATCATCCACTATCGTTCTGAAAAGACGATCCTATACTAACGAGGATTTCTATGTAATTTCAATCGCAAAGGATTAAATGACGATTAATATAGTTTATCATCGATAAACTATAGAACATAGATCACCTGGTCATAGTTAAGATAAGCAAGGCATTCGGGTAGATTTCTTAAGTATTGCGACAAGGGCCGCGGCTCTGGTCTTAGTCGAGCCACGTATTATTGCAACATAGCCAAGCTACTTGTGTGTGGTAACAGCCTCATACGTCAGGCCTGCATATCTATAGATCTAGACGATATATCGTCTCGCGCTGAATTCTCAAACCAAGCCTCCCAAGGCTCGAAGACCTCGTATATTATATATATTCCTCTTCATCACTTATAGCCGCGACCACGTCTCCTGCGTCTTCGTATAGTAGCTCCCCGACTTCAATGCTATCTTGCATGATCTCCCGCGCATCTTCTTCTGCGACATCCATGTCCTCCATAATAAGGCGCACCGCTAGTTCGGGCACTAAAACCACTTGAACATACGCGGTATGACCCCTAGCGGAAACGAGCCTGTCCTCAATTGCGCGTTTGCGAACAACCGAAGACAACGTCCGCATAATATACTCAGTCATGGCGCGGAGCCCTCGCGGTCCGTAGTAACCTGGCGTGAGGCTATCATCCGTCTTGAGCAATGTCCGATTCTTTCCAGATTCGACGTTCTCCTTCAAGACTTCGCGGAAATACGATTCTCGAGTGCCCTCTAGTATTTCTTTCAAGAATCCTTGGTGAGCTTTTAATCGCGTGTCAAGCGTATCCCAATTGATTTTAGGATATCCTTTCTGGGACCTTGAGTTTAGTGCTGTCTGCCGCTTGTGCTTTCGGCAAAATTCTGTCTGTTTCCTAATGTTCATCCTGCCGCGATCTGAATATTTGGCAAGGAGTTCAGCGTCTACTGCCTCATGGCACATGGGACATCTTGCTGTGGTAGCTACTGGGCTTTCTATACTGATATCACCTATCTCATCACCTGATACTGTGCTCTCAAATGTGGTGGCGAGATTATCGTCATTATCGTCATCGAGATAGTCTATGTCATCTAAAGCGTGCAACTTAAATGTTGGCTTCGGGGATAATTCTTTCACTGGTTCGGGCGATGTCTGTCGTGTTTTGCGCCCAGATCTCCTCGGGTTCGTCGTTTTGCCGGTCTGCGGGCCCGGCTTTACTTCCACTTCTACATCTGACGAACCATCTGGATTGTACTTGTTGAATTTCGGTCTTCCTGGTGACTCATTTGATAACAAGCTGACGGTTCGAAGTATGGGTTTTCGTGCACCCCGAACCGGACTTGAACTGTCTGGCGGTGGTTTCTTAAAAACGTCTGAACGTGCTTTCTCTGGAGTCATGCTTGCGGGCTTTTTAAACCCATTTGTTGGAAGAGATGGGGCATTCTCAGGGGTTGGACTTCTAGCAGTACGCCTCAACTTCCCATTAGCTCCGTACTTAGCTGGCGGTTCAATTATATGTCAGTGATGCCCATAATAAGTGAGGGGTGGAAATCAATTACCCGGCTGTGGAGCTGAAGACCTAGGGGCGGATTTTTGTGATAATCTTGTCTGAGAGGACCTGGGCTGAGATGACTTGGTGCCATAAGTTGCACCGCTAGTCGTCCTTTTCGTCTTTTTGACCGCCATAAAGCCAAACGAATCCGTTAGGTGACTATCGGCCCCGGGAGTAGGATCTTCGGCCGACCTCTTTGAGCCAGCTGAACTTGAGGGCTCATCATCTTGAGAACATTTTATAACATTACCCGCTTTGGATGTCTCTCGTGTACTTCTCCGCGTACTACTTCTTTGTGAGGTGGATGGTTGAGTGGATTTGAAAATGGTAGGCTTAATGTCACCACGTCGACTTTCATTTTCGCTATCGTCAGAATCCTTGAAGCTATCGTTCGCATTTAGGCGCGGATAATCCTCGTCCTCATCACTGCTCTCAGGTAGGGCGTCGATGGACTTGGATTTTCGGGCATGTATATCATTATCTTTTTCCGAAACTGAATTTTCACCATTTTTATTGGTCGGCCGAGAACGGCTAGCGTTATGATTCCCAACCATCTTTAGAAGAGGCGGCGGTTGTTGATTCTTGTTCATTCCTACCACCCTGCTCCCACGCCCTGGTTGGATAATCGGCATTGAAGCTTCTAGCTATGGTTTATCATAGAAATGAAGTGGGACCTCAAAACACTAGTTCTAATTAAGCCCCCGAGTTGTCCTCAATGAAGAGGTGCGTAGGCATACGTTGGTAATTAATTGAAAAGCTGGGTGTTAATCTGGGCCAGGAGTTTCAGTTGAGATTCTCACAATGAGAAGCGGTAATGCGCGGGTGAGCATGCACAAAAGAGGATAAAATAAAGAAGACTTAGCGGGGGAGAAAATAGAAATAATGATGAGAAACTCATATAATATGCGGTTGCGCAACGAATCAATTGAAATTGGCAATGCGTTGGAAACTAAAGAAAGCTAAAGTTGAACGACAAATAATTGATTGAGGATTAACTGTTTCACATTATGAGTCTTAAGAACTGTATGAGTAAGAGCGACGCGTTTGAGACGCGTTACCTAGGTACAAAAAAGGATGATGGCAGAAGCCACATTTGCTTCAGCCACACACAGACAGCTCAGCTGGTGGAGTGGGTCTAGGACCTTTGACCCTGAACTTGCATCACGGCCCTTTCAGCTTGTACCAACCCATATTCTATAACTCTCCTTAAACTACAATCTTTATAAGATTTGATGTCCTTCTCAAATATTGCAGCTTAAGCGCCTCCAATAACATACGGTTGAAACACTTCCGGTTTTCAACATGGCGTTGAATCGAAAATACGCTGCTTTGCCAGATTTGGTGTGTATACGTTGTTGAAGTTGCTGAAGCTCCGTTTGTTGTGCTAATCGATCTTAAGGACTCAGCCCCCGATATCTACGAAACCCCAGAGCTGACGGATGATAATTCTACTATTCCGGTAAGGATTTCCTTAAAATGTCGTGTTTAGACGCGTGTTATTCTAAACAGCTTGAAGACTACAGCGGGCCGATCACAATCAGACAATGAATTCGATGAAGACGACGACGATGACACTTTAGCGATTTCTCGTTCGCGACTCCGTATAGATGAAGCAAGATCTCGATTCTCCCCCGCCCAAGTCGACGCCCGCGATGCAGATTTCTCCGGCCGACTAGACAGAAAGCGCAAATCGTACAAAACATCTAGTAGAAGGCGGCGAATTCTCGAAGACGGCACTGAGCAAATTGGTGACCTAAGCGACGATGAAAGTGAATGGCTAGATAGGAAGATTGCACGTCTTAAGCGAGAGATTGAAGAAGCTAAGGAAGAATATGGCAAACGGAAAGCGGAATCCAAAGAAGCCGTGCCAGACCAAGAGGCGGAACTTGTGTCACTCAGCCAAGCATTGGAAGAGATGACAACACTTCCGGACAGGGGAATAGATAAAGCCTACCCATCGGCACCAACGCACAAGCAGGCCAAAGCCGACGGCCAGACGTTGGCCCAACAAGCAATAGATGAGGCGACGTACACTGTTACCTATGCGCCGAGTTACGAACAAAGCCACGCTCTTGCGAAAGCCGCCGATTTCGATCGACGACTTGCACTACTAGAAAATGCGATTGGAGTTACCTCAGCAGCTATGCCTGAGCTAGAGGGAAATGGTCTCCCTCGGGCCATCATACCTACACTAGACGTACTCCAGAATCAGATCTTGACGTTGTCAGAAGCATCTACCTCATCTCTCGACAGCATTAGTCGCAGAGTAAGGACGTTGACCCAAGAGGCTGAGCAATTGGAAAAGTCGAGAAAGGCAGCCAAAGCTGCACAAGAATCGCTAGCCTCGGGTGGCTCGCCGGTTGATACAGATGATTCAGAGCAGACGGCCAAGGTCAACGCACTCTACGGAACTCTGCCAACTATCGAAAGTCTAGCACCCCTTTTACCTCCCTTGCTAGATCGTCTCCGCTCACTCAGAGCTATACACGCCGACGCAGCAACCGCTAGCGATACTCTAGAACGTATTGAGATTGCACAAAGTGAGATGGCTTCTGATATTAAACAATGGAGGGAAGGCCTCGATAAGATTGAAGCGGTTATGGGCGAGGGAGGAACAGCCATGACAACCAACATGGAAGTGGTGAAGGGATGGGTAAAGGACCTTGAAGCCAAGGTAGCTTCATTGTTATGATGTTGGAGATACTTGCCAACGTATTGTGATTTACATTAACTGATACCCCATTGCGCAGAAATATGCGATATTTTGAGCTTCTGCAGGGAAAATAGGACGATAGAAATGTATTGGTTTACAATTTAAGCCGTCGAATATTAGATTTGATCATGAATTCTGTCTTGTCTCGTAGTATTGCCTAATTTTATGCAAACCGATTATACTATTTTATGAAAACGATGCTGAACCTTTCTTATCGATAAACCCCCACATGACTTAAAATGCCAAAGTGGTCCATGCACTGCGAAAAAAAGCCCTACCCACAACTACCACAGCTTTAGCGAGACTGGACCTTCTCGACTTGATCAAAAATTCAACCAAATTCTTGACAATCTTCCGTATTCGCGACCAAGCAGCAACACCCTTGCAAAATCTTCATCACCAGTACGATTTACGCTCCCTCGGGATTTTTTAACATCAAGGTCTAATAAAATTCTTCAGATCGTAAATATGGAAGCCTCCAAGCAACCCGTCAAGCTCGTCAAGGTCACCCGCGTCCTGGGCCGAACCGGTACGATTTCTCCTCACCACATTTTCGCAATACGAACCACGCCGATGCGATATGCTTAAAAAATCGAATGCTAATGATGTCAGGTTCCCGTGGTGGTGTCACCCAGGTTCGCGTCGAATTCATGGATGACCAGACCCGAAGCATCATCCGAAACGTCAAGGGACCAGGTGCGAATTTACCATACTACGAGGAACGACACAGCAGTAACTAACATGGATATTTTTACAGTTCGTGAGGACGACATTCTCTGCCTACTCGAATCCGAACGTGAGGCCCGAAGACTGCGATAAAAGGGGAATTTCGTCGGGATGGGGATTGGGAGCATTGGAGTCGGATTTTTACTTGCTAGCATTTGACTACGGTCGAATAGCAAAAGCCTCATAAGGCATTCGCACTCAAGATTCCTTTTGTTACAGGAGTCACTGGACTATGATGGGCACTCTGCATTGCGAATAAAGAACAAATTCATACCCTCGATTCTCACCTACTCGTTGTGATACGACTATTCGCGAATCTCAAGACTCTGAATATTCCTACTTCTAAATCTCTCCCTTTAGACCGACCCGAAGAGAGATATCGCAACAGTACTAACTCCATCATGATATGATAAATCGTATTGCAATTTCCGATATGATCTAACCAATATTTTCATAGGGCAATGGAGCATTGATTACTAATCACATAGGTACTAGCGCGGTGCGTTTTTTTTTTTTTTTCGGAGCTATATAATTGGTAGCTTTTTTCTTGAACTCTTCATTCTCACAACCTTTACTTCAAACACAAGAACATCATTTCATACTGGTAAGTGATAATTCCTCTCTTAAAACAATATATGTGTTACATGATGCATACAAATAGCATGTATTACCTGATCATCATTGATGTTCTCAATTATCACCAAGATCTCTGAAAAAAACACCCATCCACACTTTTCTTGTTGCCCTTTCATCAAGCCTGAAATAGCTAACAAGTAATTATTAGATTGAATCCATCCACACGGATACTGTCTCGTCCAAGCAATGGGGGTTATCCCCAAGCCACCAAAAGGTCACTTCAACCTTCTCTACTTCGCAAGTGCAAGCTCCTTCACCACGAAAGAATTCGAGGTCCTACCTGCGCCGCTTCCTTTGCGGAAATTGTTCGATGTTTTAGAAGAGAAACATAATGGCATCAAAGACAAGGTCCTTAATTCGTGCTTGGTGACGATCAACCTAGATTATGTGGATGTTCCGGCGCCTGATGACGAATCTTCAGAAGTGGTGATCAAGGAGGGCGACGAGGTTGCCATCATTCCTCCGGTCAGCTCTGGCTGAGCAATTCTACAAACTGAATTATAAGAAATGATAAATAATTATACTATGTTATGAACCAATACCCTCAAAGATATTAGGATGGAAGCAGTGGCTCCTGTTCGCCTGATTCCCGAGCATTCCCATTACTATCGCCATTAAACCTAATGCCTAATCTTCTATCCAAACTCTGCTTCCAACCTAGAATCAACTGCCTCCAGTTATACTTCCATACCTTCCACCATCCCGGGTTCTTTATACTATACGCCTTTAACTTCCGGATACCAAAGACCGTCGCTGTGATAAGCAGCACGAGGACAAGCGTAGATGCGATAGTTACAAGCGAAGTCAACGTCGTGATAGTCGAAACCTGACATCCCAACGGTCGCGTGCGGATTTCCCATCGTTCCGCCCAATGCGGACATACATTTTCGTCCCATGCTGGTGCCAACAGTGGAATGCGATTCGAGTTAGGAACGCATGTCCATGACTACGGGTACAATTAGATCAAACTGCTTAACTAATAACATACAAAATTCACGACGGGTGGAAGTGAACGTAACACGCACAAACGGGCACCAGCTGCAATCCGACTCTTTCGTGAGACAGTCTTTACAGTTCTGAATTTTCCAACACCGGAGAAGATGTGCGTCGTCCGCGGGGTTGGGAGTGGTATTTGTGGATGTGAAATTCATTACAGATAGTCCAACAATCCAAGATAAAGCCGCAAATATATAATTATAAGCGATTCGAAATAATCATTTTTATATTCAAGCTATTCGAAGTTAATTTTTGGGAACAAAAGGTCAATCTGGAGGATGACGAGGCTTTCTCACTGCGCCTGAATCCCTAACGCTTTGACTATGGGTGTGATGCTGCGGGGCAATTCAGCTCATCAGCCCACTGTATCCCCTACAGTATGTAAGCTTTATCGCTGTAAAAATCACCTAGAAGAATCACGTCCGAAGCACAGAAAATCCTCCAGGGCTGTCTAGTATCTTCTTTCCATTCTAAGAAGTAAGTAGTAGGTCTACCATGCTATGGGACTCTCCCCTCAAATCGCAGAAAGTCGGACGTCGTTTGATACGAACGTGACTGCAAAATACCGCCATAACAACAAAACACACCGGACTGTCTCTTTCCCGGTCGAAATCAACGTACGTCAAGTAAAACGCCGATTATGCCTGCTCTCCGTTCTCAGAATGTGTGCGTTTGCTTCTGAAAAGATTCCATGCTGCCGGATTTCTCATTTTCTTTCCTGTCTTATTTCTTTAGCCAAATCTCGCTCGTAAAGAACGACTTAGATACAATCCACGACGTATCCTCCCAAACTACCGCGATTCTGGGCGCTAGCATGAAGACTATCGCCGAACAGCAACATTGCGAGGCGCTTTCTATGCGACGTTCGCAAGTTGCATAAGTCGTTCGCCGGCCTTGTGGTTGGCATAATCGTACGCCTTGGAACCGGGCGGGAAGGTGCCATTGCTAGCCCAGAGGTCGATTAGTGGCTGCATTGGCTCTAGTTCCTGCGGTTTGAGCATATCCAAGGCACACGCTGTCAGCACAAAGTGACTGAAGCAACTGTTCAATTGCTTCTCGAGATTCAGGTGGTAGAAGGGGTCAATGAAGTGAGCCCAGTATAGATGAGCGTAAACTCGGAACATCTGTCTGAAGATAGTCTGGCAGACCTCCACGAAATTCTCGGGGAACCCACTAGGCTTTCCGATCCAATCCTTGTCTTCGGGGCTAGTCAACTGCGAAAGAGGAGCGGTGGTAATGGATGAGTTGTGGGCGTAGGAAACACCGTTAGTATCGGTAGGGAAAATGTTGGTGTCGTCGATCTTGCCGGAAATCCACCGCTGCATAAGCGTGATATACTCATAGGCTGGTAACTCAACAGGCTCCCGTTTGTAATTTAGCCATGTGAACGAATGGTTCCTGTTTCTCAAGTTAGACGTATGTGCCCATCACCCACGTGAGTAAAGTTTCACTTACGCGCCAGCCGACATCCGAGGGCAAGTCTGAGGATTGCAAATCGTACTTCCATCGTCTTCTTTCTCGTGAATGACTCGAACGAAATTCCATAGGTTCCGGTAGTGTTCGACCACTTCCAAGCGCGTCAGAGGTTTATAGGGCCAAATATTCAGGGAATTGATATTCAAAATTACCTTGGTGGGCAATCCACTCTCCTTGTTCTACCGTCTTGGGTCGCGCGCTCAGGGTCATAAAATTACCCTTCACGATGTGCTTCGCGTACTGGGCGTTGAGCCATAAGGGTAGAGGCCGGGGAAGGTGGTAGGAATTGAGAACGTCATCCCCGTTGGCTCCCGCGTTGCCGGCGTCATCCATGCCGATATTCTGAGCTAAGGATGGTGAGCTTGGGAGCGGAGGGATCTTTGGTGCTAGGCTTATGGATGACTGGCTGCCTTGAGAGAGGTTGGTGGGAGAGGTGGGTTGACCGCTGCTTGTTGAAACGGGGCTTCTGTTCTGACCTGGGGCTTTGGCCGAAGTCCCCCTCAATCGAGCGTTTCTAGAGCGAAGAAGTTAATAACCGTTTCCTTTGTTCCACGTAAGAGCTGTGCCGAGCTGGCAAGTGGAGTGGGGAAGAACCAATAGGCTGGTCGCGTGAGACTATCTTCTCAAAGTCGACAAGTAGGAAAAAATCGTTCAAGCTTTCATATACCATAGCCAACTAGCTGAGCAACAAAATTGGTTGAAATTGAGGGAATAGCAAATTTAAATTGAATGTGCCTGCACAAATGTTCGGATAATGAGAATTCAGGGCTATTGCTTGCTCCGTTATAAAATCGCCCTTCCTCCAGAAAGTAGTATGTTGGAGTGAGATGATTCTCAAGTGCTTCAATCCAAGAAGGTAGAAGTCCCCGGACCAAACTCCGCGAGGGAGGTGCTAAACGCGCTCACAAGGGTTCCAGATTCCCCTAGATGTGAGATATGTCTCACAAAGAACGGAAGGGGGTACTATAGATAGCTGCTCATAACTATGTGAGGGTCTTGAGAGGGGATCGTGACTTCACACGTGCCTTCATGCCTAATGAGATCTGATATAGGGGACTATGTGATACGTAGATTTCTGTAAGCAAAAAGGTATGGAAATCCAAAATTGGCCCAAATATTTGCCATTAAAAATGACCAAGTGTGGTGTGTTGTTCATTAAGCTGAATTGGACATGAGCATGTACAATCAAGTTTCGGTAAGTGACAACCGAACACAGCTAACCAAAGTACATCCATAAAAAATGAATAAATACCCTAGCAACTTGATATCCCAATATAAAAATGACTGGTTTTTAAATACTTGATTTCAAGTTTTGTAACTCATTGAGCCCCATTATGGATGAATTCCGGGAATAAGATGAACTCCAGGACTTGATTATGCAGATGACCCCGACAAACGGGAAGTGTATAGAGGACGAGACGAAAACAAGGAAATCAGATAAAATAAAAAGTAAAAATAATGATTAAAAAAACAATACACATACATCCCAGAAAATAAGTTAGACATTATCGCTTAAGGACCGCCACTTCGGGGGAGCGGTGGACCGATAAATCGTAAGAAATGATGGTATATGGCGGCGTTCGAAGATATACACGAGCGAAAGCTAAACGGACAAGTCGTGAGAATATGTGTCGGCCAGGGTCCCGGCAGAGGAATGGTCGTCGAAAAGTGTTTTGTTAAAGAAAAAGGGGCAAAAGGGAGGTGTCAATGGTAATGTTCTTGCGATGTGTGGAAGTTGCCCACCTCCAGTTGGCCCAATGATATTTTGAATGCTGTTTCAGGAGATGCTCGTCTAAACGCCTAACGCTAGTCCCTTTTGGTTGCGTTTGTCTTATCGATATCATTTTCATTATCGATACTGTACGTACCCATACTAAGCCCAGGACCCCTGCATTCCTTTTTGCAGCTAGCTACCTAAAACGTACCTACGTATTTTACTTTCCCTACATCTTTCTATCCACCTAAATAATTCTTGCCAAGCACCAACTCATTTCAGCGCAACATTTATCATCTACATCATTCGCGCAACTTTGCGTATCACATCCGTTTTAATCTTACATCACCAGTCTCTTCAATTTATTCTTAAAAATTGTCATATCTTTTAAGATACCTTAATCATCACAATGTCCGACTCGGAAGGTGGTGACGCCCTCTTTGGCGACGAAGAAAACCAAGATCAATCGCTAGATAATGCGCTTGGTTTTGATGAACTATCTGATCAAGATGATGATGGAGACCGCGACCGCGACCATAGTCGACGCCAAGACTATGACGATGCCGACGAAGACCAAGAAGGCCAGGAGGTCAAATTGAAGCACGTTATGGGTGTTATGCTTCACCGTCATAGAATCCCTAGAGCTTCTAAGGATGGCAATGGCTTTGTATGTTTGTGCTGATTGAATTGCGCATACTTCCAACCTAAATCTAACCAATTCCAGCTACAAACCATGAAGGTACCGAAATTCCTTAAGCTACAGGCAGAGGAATACAAACCAGATACGTACGAGCCCACCGAATGGGACATCCAGAACGCGCGATCCGAGCAACGCAAGAACGTGGTCCGCTTCAAACGCGACCCCGACACCGGCGAGCTACAAAGCAATGCGAATATCTATCGATGGAGCGACGGGTCCCTTACCTTGTCAGTCGGAACCGATCATTACGAGATACAAAAGAAAACCATGGCTCCAAGCACTGATAAGCAACACTACGAGGAGCGTGATGATGCTCACTACTACGTCGCGGCAGCCCACTTTACGAGCGAATTGTTTATGACTGTCGGCCACGTATCTGAGCAATACTCCGTGAACCTGCCTTCGAATTTGAAGGACGAGGCTATTATGAAGTTCAACCGCGAAATGGAAGCTGCGGCACGCGCTAAACGACAAGGAGCAGATATGATCTTCACCACCACCAAGGACCCCGAGCTTCAGAAGAGAGAAGCTGAATTGGCAGAGAAGGAACGCATGAAGGCACAGCGACGCCAGGAGAGTGCCGCTGCCCGACTTGACGGACGATCCGGAGGATATAAGAGTGGTGGTTTGTCGATCAGAGACCTTGAGGGCGGACGAAGAGCTAGCGGCCCCCGCAAGAGAGGCGCGCCCGGTGCTTCGAAAGGCAAGCGACGCAGACCGGAATATGATTCCGACGACGACTTTGCTGGAGGTGGTGGTCGCCAGAACGAGTATGACCGAGAGGACGACTTCATCGCTCCTAGTGATGACGAAGAGGGAGGAAGTGAAGAAGATGAGGAAGAGGACGATCTTCTAGACGACGACGAAGAAGAGGAGGTCCCCCGAAAGAAGCGACAGAAGACTGCTGAGGCTGAGGACGCTGATGCAGATGCTGACGCTGATCTCGATGATGTGGATGTAACGGCTGCAAATGCAGAGTCTTCTCATAGACGAAGACGTCACATCATCGACGAGGATGAGGATGAGGATGAGGAATAAGGGGAATTGAGTTGGACATCGACGGCGCGACGTAGAGCCCCATCTGTAATATATTCATAATTGGCATTACGGGCATCCCAGAAAAGGCGTTCGCTCTTAGTACTTGGCATCTAGCAAAGTCGATTTTATGGAACAAGTTGAGATACTCAATTAATCCGAAAACTAACAACACGCTATTGGAAATATGCAGGCTGATTTCTAAATATTACCTAGCTCGTTGTTGAACTCAACTCCGCCAGCCGTATAACATTAACATCACTAAATAAGACACCTGTGGGTAGTACCTAGGTGATAGATCGGACCTATTTTATACAGATCGCCGACATGGAGAATCCCTGTAATAGCTGGATAGCTGCTTATAATCAGGGAATTGTTAGTGGGTAACAGTTGGAGCTTCTTCACATGCTAGCACCCGAATCCCCGATCTAGAGCTTAGAATAGGTACCTACTAAGCTCTAGCTCGGCACTCGTGAACACAACCCAAATCAACTACGCAATGCTCATTCCCAATAAAAACATCAACCTTGGAACAACCGACCACTGTTCCTCCCTCACTTCCTCTTTTCCTTCTCCTTCCTTTACTTACTCGTAGTGTCGCGAGAAACGGCGACATATAACAATGGAATCCGTTTTTCTGTAGTCGCTAGCTTACCCAACCTCCTTACATATGCCTTGCTGACGGTTCGGCACGTTTCCCCCAACTGGTGGTCCCGACCGAGCCATCCGCCGTGAGAGAATGCAGTACATTCTGCGAGTACCCGTGGCTGTGTTTTCCTTACTGCTGGAGGTCTTTCTTTTCTGGCACAGAGTGAGACCCCTTCATATTATTAAGACTACCATCCGTGGTTAGTAGCATGCGACTTACATAACTTCGCCGTTGTAGAAACTCTGGGGACGATGGACTTCGAAAAGTGCGGCAGACGAGTGGCTCGACGCGTTGCGCAATGCCGAGGTATACGAAGAGTGGGAACATGCGGCGTTACAGTTGGATAACCTCAAAGAACTGAACTTATGGTATGCGATTCTTTAACGAACAAATAAGGACGGACGGACTGGGCACCTTTATCGGATGAAGATTAACAAGTAGAACGAATTGTCGTTTATAGGCGCAACAATCCCTCATCTCGTCATTATGATTGGATGCTCATCAACAACCGTCTCGATTCCATTATTGAGGCACGCGAGAATAATGATATGCAATCTTTACTCGACCTTGTGCGATCCGGTCTAGTTCGTAATCTCGGTAACATTACGTCTCCGAGACTGTATAACCGAGCGTTTGCCGGAACGAAATATCTCGTCGACGAGTACATTACCCAGGTGGCTGGCGCAATCGAAGATATCAATCACCGCGTCGCCACACCGCTTCACGACAAGTACACTCATACGTATGCGCTCTCGACCCAGCGAAAACTCGATTTCCTACATGATTCCAGGCAGGCTTTCGGTCGAAGTACACTAGTGCTGCAAGGCGGTGCGATGTTCGGACTCTGTCATCTCGGCGTTGTGAAGGCATTATTTCTACGAGGTCTACTTCCGCGGATCATTACGGGCACAGCCACCGGTGCGCTCATCGCAAGTTTAGTAGCCATACATACCGAGGATGAGCTACCCCACGTGTTGAGAGGAGATGGAATTAACCTATCGGCTTTCACAGCGCATGGGCAGCAGGTACACAGTGGTCACAGCGATTGGACGCCTTTTATTGGATCCAGCTGGGATACATTACTCCGGAGGATCTTTAGATTCTGGCGCGAAGGGTATTTCCTCGACGTAAAAGTTTTAGAGGAATGCGTAAAAGCAAATGTCGGTGACTTGACCTTCGAGGAAGCGTATAACAGGAGCAAGCGTGTATTGAACATCACCGTGGCCACCGAGGAACAAGAGGGAATTCCCGCATTGCTGAATTACATCACTGCCCCCAACGTGGTACGTCTCTAGAACTTGACCCCCACGTATAAGCTTCTCGGCGCAGGCAATGCAACAACGAGTGGGTATGCTGACAAGTCATTTTCAAGTTGATCTGGACCGCGGCTGTCGCATCCAATGCAACGACTCCGTCGCTTTATGGGAGCAAGCGGACGACGGTACTATGCAAGGACGTAAGTGGAAATATCGTGCCTTGGGCGCCAGCTAACACATTCCCCCCACGGACGCACCCGTCGAATAAGGAGCGCAAGTCGCCGTTGTCGCGTGTCGCCCAACTTTTCAACGTCAACCATTTCATCGTGAGTCAGGCGCGACCGTATCTAATCCCTTTTCTTGAATCGGATATGCATGGGCCTTCGTTGTTCACGGCCCGACACAAGAGGGCGCAGATGACCGGTCACTTGTTCCGGATGGTGGGATTGGAGGCGCGGCACAGACTACGGCAGCTGGATGCGCTTGGCTTGTTACCAGCTGGGATAAGACGACTCCTTGTAGATGAAGAGGTTCCATCGGGGTCAAGCACGACATTAGTGCCTGAGGTTGCGACGCGCGATTTTGTGCGACTCTTACTCGAAACGCCCACGCGCGAAGCCCTTGACTATTGGATCTTGCGCGGTGAACGCAGTGTTTGGCCCGCTGTATGCGCGCTCACTGTCCGATGCGCCGTTGAATACGAGATCGAAAGCGCATACCAGCGCGCACGTAGTTTGAAGGCAGGAGGACTCAGGCGCAAGTCGAGTACTGGAGGAGGAATGGCGATAACAGTACCCGTAGATGTATCTGGCGGGAAAAACAGTACTTCCCCAGCTACAGCTCCCACCAGCCCTAGCAGTCTATGGCAAAAGGAATTTCCTCAACAACCACAACATCAAGGCGCAGGAACTACCGCAGCAACAGCAACGGTGAATTAGGAATTGAACGAGTTGCGATCTGCAAAAGGAGCCGCGGAAGAGGAAGACATTACCGAGATTGAGGTGCGCGGTAATATGGGTTACCAAGGAAGGGAAAGGAGCTGTGGATGCGAAACAAGAAGCGAGAGAAGCAGAAGCAAGTCAGCCTTGGGACAAATGCATGGTCATCCGGACGATGCTGCCCGGGTCCGACCTGCGTGGCCGCGGCACAGGTCTTGTGTACCAGAGACAAAGGAGATACGAGGAAGTGACTTTGTCGATGGTCACAGCAGCAGGTCTCAGCAAATCTCCGCTTGCCGATGGAATGAGATAAGGGATGTTGGATGACGGGCAATGGAGAAGAATGAATATTGACCGAGCTCCTTTGGGCGCAAGAGTCCAAGTGCCTACATCCTTACCTCTTTTTACCTCATCTACGAATCTTTTTTTCGCTTGCATATGCACGCGTCGGTACGTAGACGTAGGCATAGACTGGGCGCGGGCGCAATACTAATCATGAGCTAGCTATCGTCAGCAACCACGAGAGGATGAGACATACAGATACATTGTTTTCTGGGCATGCAGGAGTACGATACGGCTGTGGTATGCACGTATACACACACATACATATATGTACATCCATATCCAAAATATGTAACATAATGAGAGGGATTGGGGTTGCAGTAGTAGGGGAAGTGAGATTTAGAGACGGGTTAGCGCCATGCATGGAATCAGGCCCGATGACCTTCTGGAAGCCTGCCGTTTTCTGACGTGGCCCCTTGGATGGATGGATTGATCCTAGGAGAGGGAGGCTTAGGCCCCCTGTGTTAATTGTATTGCTTATACTGTACTGTGGGCGGGTGAGAGAAAAACAGGATTTGCATTGTATTGGTAACGATTGAATGTGTATTAGCACAGGAAACGAATAGGCAAGCATCTTAATCGGGAAACGGAGATTGGGGAATGGAGACATGGGAATTTTACGCGGTCAGCTACCTAGGTAGTCACCCTGGGTAAGCAAGTGTATAACATATCATATCATATCATTGGGTATCATAGCCATGGAATTTGGTTTTATGGTTCGCAGATGCGATTTCTTACTTTTTTTTTCTTATTTCTTACGTTTGTTTCTTGCTTTCTTGGTTTCGTTTTGTTCGCATTTCTGGTATGCTAGGGTCTGTCCAGATGTTGCGAATTTGTGGTTTTTTGGGCGACGGCGGTTAGTGATTGGTTAAGGATTGTCGATTGGTAACCATTGGCGGCCATTGGTGACCATTGGTAATCATCGGCTTTTCTACTTTCGTTCGGGGTCCCCCGATTCCTGGTCATAGGCTTCCCAAGGTTCGCTTTTCTACATGCATTGATAGACGGAGGCGTGACACGATTCGGAGCCATACGTTGAGCTCCGTTGTTGTACGTGCTATTTCGTTCATACTCTGCGATAGGCGCGATTTGCGCAATCTGTGTTATTGGTCTTGTGAGGCCCACGTAGAGCCTCATTCGTTATGGCGGTGTGGCGATCGCTGTGAGAGGAGGAAACGTGTGATGGGACGGGTGAATGAATGAATGGTTGAGATTGAGATGGGTGTGGGTGGGAATGGTGTTTAGGCGCATTGCGAAATTAGGGTCGTGCTGTGATCATACGTACATTACCTACAGTAGGAAGTGCTAGGGACTTAGGTAGGCTTCGGGATCTTTCTAAGACGTAGCTGGTTAGGGAGATTAACTAGGTATTTCGGCGGCAGCGATATGTGGTACAACACATCGCAACTGTCACGGTAGGTACCGCTATAAGCAAAAGGCATGTGTTGCATCATCATATCCGGGTACAAGGATTAGTCAATCAGTTTACAGGGCCTCCTTGAGGCTTGATAGGTTGTTGGCAACTTTTGAAGGGTTGCAATGTACAGTAATCGATACCTAGCATTTAGCTAAAACAGCGACAGTAGCTTTGGTCTCTTGCCTGTCCGGCATCCTTGTTTCCAGCCCCAGCTGAGCGAACTCTTGAAAGATTTCGAGAAGGATTCCATTTCGGGAATGGGGGTAGTATATGCACGATAGACAGGCCAGGGGGGTGAAGCAAGGGAGAACAAATGAGAATTGTCACCCACTCACTTACCCGTCGTCTCACACTTCATTATCTTGCTTATTCAAATACTCTGTCATACACTTGCGGAATGAATCCGTTTCGACAAGACCGGCAAAGGTGTGCTGATGATTCGGGTATGTAGTGCCTGTACAGAGTAGGAGGGCGAGATCAAGGGGAAAGGTGAGAGAGGAGGGTGTGAGAATGAGACCGTCAGGGCAAGTAAGAATCTTAGCTAAAGAACTCGGTCCGGGCGTGATGATGACTAGTAGGTATTGCGTCGCGACTTTTTACGATTTTGAGATGTTAGGGTGTTGTTGGTTAGTTCAAGACTTTTTTTCTCGGCTCTCGCATGTAACCGCACCCGCAGAAGTCATTTAACTGGAATCTAGTAAGGTTCCGTGCAGGTTCTTTGCAGATTCTAGGTGAGCTTGGGATGGTCAGTTTCCTAGGTATCCATGATAATGTTTTAGAGTACCGTACATATTCGAAGCTACCCACCCTATACGTACTATGGGATACCTCTTGCTTGTATCTTTGTAGGTACGTACCTAGGTAGATATAATACGCAAGTACATACGTGTATGTCGACAAACAGATGGGCACCAGCTAGCATCCCAAGATCCTTGAAACTTAGTCAGGAATTTCTGGTTGCCGTTGCAATGGACGGTATCACGTAGGTACCCATGTGCGTATTGATTGGAATAGGATAGTCTAATCTTTGGAATAGTGTAAGTGCAAGAAGTGGAAAAAGGGGGGGAGCAAGAAAAAGGCTGCAGGTTGCCTGCCTCGGTGGTTGCGATGGTTATCATTTTTCCCCATGCTTGTTCGCATCCCACTTGCATACCCGGGTACGCCCGCGGCATCCATACAGAAAGTAGAGTATGGGTATCTCTGCAGAATTGGGCCAACTAGCATTTCTTTTTATGCTATTTTTGCGTATCACTGTACTGTGAGACGCCCTATCGGGGAGCTTGAGAGTCAATATTTACTTACTTTTTTTTCCCTCCTACGTTGCAATCGTGTCCCACGAGATTCGGTTGAACGGCAGAGGCTACGCAATGTGCTAGGGCATGGCCGTTGTATCTGCCTGTCTCCTAATCCCCAGAATGCCGTGTCTGGGTAGTGACGTGCGACACACCGGTAATAAGCCCGAAATATTCGTCAGGTTGGCGGTAGACCCCCAAGTTAGTTAGGCAAATGTTGATGACCCAAGGGGGCCGCGGCAGGGAAGGGTATGCAAAGAAGAAATCTCAATCAAACCCACCCTGCTTGCCGTCATTCAATCCCTGCAATCAATCGTAGAATTGTTCTAGAAAGGCGCGAAGGAAATTCCTACGTAACCAGTTAGGAAGGGGGCGTGCTGTTAAACGCTACAGAGGATAGCACACCCTTACAGTACCTAATATAAATTCTTTTAGGGCTGGTAGACAAGGGGGACACAACTCATGTTGCATTCCAGTGGCCTACGAGGGCCCCTTGTCAACTTACAAGCCTGCTCCATGTCAAAATTATATTAATTGCTTCTCGTCTCGTCTTTGCGAACGGTAATCACAAAATATTGGTCTATGGAGCTTACGTACCAGTATATATAGGAACAAGATAGGCATGAACAGGAATTAGTAGTCCTAAACGTCAACTTGCATATTCCCTAGGTTGACAGTCATGTTTCTGTGTTGGTATCAACCCCCTGTTCTTCGGATGAGTAAAAAAAAGTCCTAGATCGTAGGACTTTCGTAGTTAATTTGATCCTTGCTTTGATTTGATTTTACGGTAGTTAAACAGATATTTATGTAACTTAACGATATTTAGGCGCCACAATACCTACTATGTCTTGTTTCAAAACGTTAGAGAGGTATTAAAGGTAGAAAGGTAGAAAAGTAGAAATATGTTCCGAGGTTTGCTCACCTAATTGCAAGTCTTAATAACAAGGATCGCTTACTGCTTCTAGCCACCTGCATCCCTACCTAGGTACTCGTTTTGTGCCCTACTCCTACGGCATTACGCATGTACATAGAGCCTCTTCATACCTAGGTACCTACCTAGGTATATATTCTAGTATCTGGAGAGCTTAATGGTACATATTATTGCGAACGTTTGGCCCCTCCACGAACTTTTTCCCATTCAGTCACGTCGTAAACCCCTGATCCCCGTCTTCGATTACGCGGTAAGAAGCCGACAGTTGTTACTGGGCACGAATCAAGTGTCTACCTATGTACTTATTATTTCTACGGCCGTACGCCCCCCTTTTTTTTCTCGAGGCGCTCTAAATTCCTGCGTAAAGCAACGTAATCGCTCGATTCAGCAATTAAGCGACTAACGTAACGTCGTGAAAAAAAAAGCCAAAATCTACTTTACGGCAAGATCAACAACGCCCAGCGATCCGAAGTGTAGAAATAAATGGAGGGAGGTAAAGGAGGATTTTGATGCTTGCCGTATCGGCAGAGCGGGAAAGGGTGCACGCGCTTGTCGTGTTACACATACGCAAGTAATTCATCCGCACAGTAAGACAGTACGCGCTGAACAAGAAGAGTGATAGTGACAGTGGGATGAGAAGGGTGGGATGTGTACCTAGGTAGATAGGTGGGTAGGTTAAAAAAAAAGTGCACAACGTGCGAGATCTCATAAGATGTACAGTATGATACCGTGTCTTTTGACCAATAACATCCATTTCAACTCCGTATCAATACCAGACGGGAGTTATTTGGACGTCCTTCTGGTAGGGTAACTCAAGGTAGGGCAATATAAGCAGCGTATCGAGTAAGTGTTCTGGGGTATGTGGAGATCGACCTCGCCGCTCGAAAGAAATTCTGATATCAAAAAGGTCGTATACGTGTATGTGCTCCTGTGTCTACATTTCGTGCTAGTATTGGTGAGAGGCGGTGTAAGTCAGGAATAGTTGCCTTATTTTCTCTTTACCATAGGTCCTCTTTCTCTCTATACTACATTACCATCGGAGCTCGGATTAGTCACCTTCGGTATTTCAAGTAGATTAAAAAAATGGGCCAAGCAAGCCTCGGCCGCTGTTGCAATAGAAGGATTGACGGGATCATTACGATATATGTCTCAGTAGCTCGGGTCGTATCGTTTCTTTCGCTACTAGTACTATTATTATCACCGTTATTCTGCAAGCTCATCACGAGCTCACAACATCCTGGCAACCTAGCTAAAGTAGCTAACGATAGGAAGAAACGTGTTCGAAAATTGTACGCGTAGCATCGTCGGTGAAAATTTTTGAGGACTGTCTGTCTTCTTCCTTGTTCACTGTGTTCGATAGAGGCTTTGGGTGGCCTTATGCCGGCAGGACACTACCTTAGTATATTCGACATATTACAAGGAATAGTTATAAGACTTGACCGAATTTAGATGTTATGCATACTGGCATTGTAAGGTCTAGTTACGGATTAGGGGCTACATCGAGATCACCAGACGTGCTAAGGTATATGAGATGATATAAATATTGACAAGAAAAAGAAATAAAAAAAAAATCGCGAAACACAAGAGGAAGAGGAAAATCGCCCAAGTACCTAAATAGGTACCACAGCATTGGGTCGTTTGGGGAGGGTCTGGGGTTAAAAACCCAGCTAGGTAGGATTCTAATCTATATACCTTGAAAAGAAAAACAAAACCCATGCAACCGCCCGGATGGGATTGATACTTGGTTCCGAATAGCAAGGTGGGCTGGTACATTCTTTATTTTCATGCCAATTCAATTAATAAGCTCTCAGCGGAAAACATCGTCAGTTTAAAAACAATACCTATAGTACACAATGGATTTTTTTCGTCCCACTAAGCAGGGCAACTGGAATAATCTTGGGAGGTTTCATCTATGCCACCAGGTCTCATTATGCTGGCAGTGAGACATGCATGACCTAGGTATTTTTCCTCACCTTTCCTCTGTGAGATTGATTTCTTTCTTGCAGTCTTTAGCCCACATGTGCCTGGTGGCAAGATCCGTTAGGAAAATAGGACACCATGTAGTGGCACACTACTACAGCAGTTCCATCCTCATTGGAAGCGTTTCCAATCTTTCCGGACAACATACAACTCTAGCTTCCTAGCTAATCCCTAAAGTGTCTAAGATAGGACATTGCATTCAGCTATCTAGGGATCTATGTCATCGTCCGCGTCCCACTAAATAAGGCTACCCGTAAAGACGATGGCATCCCAATGGGGCATCATACATTCGGTACCTATAGCCAAGGTATCCTTCTTTTCGCAACAATACAACACCCTCTTTTATTTCACCGTATGATTCAACTTAAATCAAAATGTCGTGCCTACCTCATCTGTGCTTATACCTACACCATATCTCATCTCACCGTATGTTAGGAAATCTACTTTACCTATCTTAGCCGATGCATAAATTACGATGGTCATAACACAACCGGTCTCTTGCAGCCGAAGATATGCAATGAAAAGAAAGTACGCTGTCGCAGGTGATTCAATTTTTAAGGGTTCTCAACCACTATGTCTATCCCTGCTATTCCCCCCCACGCCCCGTAATCGTCTAATACACCGATGGCATCCCATTGTCATATATGATAGCTTCCCCGGTCTATGTCATCGGACCCCAATGTACGGCAGGGTTCCGCGGCAACACTCCGGAGTCCCTCGCTCGCTACCTACACTAGGTGATCTGCGGACTGGGGTGCACTTATAGGCGCCCCCCCTGAAGGTACTGGCTACGGCTAGGGCCGCAGGTCTACTAAGTACATGCATGTACCTACATATATAGGTACCTAGGTAGGTAAGCTTGGCGTTTAGGATACAGGGAAATACAAACGAAGAAAAAAACCACTCACTCATCTGATCAAAGATGAATGAAGCTGCAGGAAGAGAAAATAGAATCAAGGGTCTTTCCTCATTACATACAGACTAGGACACAGCCGAGGGGAAAAGAAAAAAAAAGTGAGGCGCTCTAATGTCACAAGAATTTCCAGCCATTAGTCCCCTCTAGTTCTTCCTCTACAAATGCTCCTCCGTTTATGTACATATGTATATACAAATCTGTACATGCGTACAGAAAAAAAACCAAGCTATCCGCCAAAGGGGTAACATAGCATGGCACTTGAACCGTCTTATAAAGTAGGTACGTATGTTACTTGCTGGTATTCCAAAAGTAGAGTAACGACAGACCGGGAAATTTGAGGCACCTGCAGCAACCGACAAGTACTCAGGAGGTATGTATGTGGTACCCACACAGCCCGTTGAAGACACACCGTGGCACAGAAATCATTGATATATACCCAACGTAGAACATGGGGACTAGTGGGATTCCCCTCGTGTTTCTATATACCTAACTACTCCAGAAGACATATAATTCAAGGCATTCCCAAGAATTTGGTTCCCAGCAACTACCCCGTCCCTTCCAACTCTAACCTCACCCTTTGGAAACGGTTACTTTCTTTGAGGACCGTCTCGAATACTTAAAGGAGCCCGGATCTGATTCGGATACCCGTCCGTCGTGTTGCTCAACCACCTTTTATCTACCCACATACACCCCGAAGTACTACTGCGTTACGTCTATTCATACCTAGGTCTACCAGAGTGGTGTCTCGTGTAGATGTGTGTAGGCTCCAAGTACATGCTAGTAGCCGAGACGACTTGTTGCACCACGTATGTTTGTTCCAGGTCGAGATACTAATAAGTCCGGCGAGACGATACTAATGTTGGCGTTAGGCAGGAATACTTCACCTTATAAGATCTTCCCTATTTATCTTCATCTTTTGCCTACCTCCACTATTCAATATCACACAATTAAATATTACCTAAACATTCAACATGCCTCGCAATTCAGAGTCAGAACATAGCGCCACTGCTGATCTAGTCTTCGAGCCGGACCGGGACTGTGATGGAGGGGAGACTCAAGATCAACAGTACACAGACAACTTTACGGCCTACCAACAGCCAGTCCTGAACGATGGGAACTTCTACTCTACCCAAACGAGCGGCTCTGGCGCTCAGCCAAGGACATTTACGACCTTACCGACCGAATCTGAGCACGACCTTAGGCCAGGGGTGAATGATGTGGACATCAACTACACATTCCAACGACATGCACCCTCATCTATAAATACGGACAGCACGTTCAGAGCCGGCAGATCATATACGCGAAAGTACGTTGAGTACATGCTTCATCACGACTACGACGACGAACCAGACGAACCGAGCCAGCCTTTGACAACATACGCCATGGCGGCCCACGACTACTCGCATAATACGACGTCGTACGACGGCAAGATATCAAGCTGGCTTCCTCAGCAGGGACTTAGCTTCCAGGCTGACCAAACAAACGATTGGAGTACCGGTAACCTGGTGCCCCCAAGCCCTAAAAGTCAGACGTCGACAACAACTGGCTCGTGGTGCCTAGTCCCGCTAGTCCAAGATCAGCATACTGCCGACCCCTTCTGCGCTATTGGGGTTTGGTCTGATTCCATGTCGGCGGACCCTTACACCACCCTAGCAAGGAACATTCGAGACGAGGACGTATCCGACAATCGACAATAATGATGATGAGAGTTAATAGACCTTAGGTGGGAGTTCTTGGATATACTTCGATGGAAAATCTGCCCTTTTGATCCTAAAATTTTGTAACTATAGGGCATTGTATTCGTTCCCTCCCTTGTTTCTTTTGCTCATATACCTATCCACTAGCGACCACGAAAAGTATACACAGGCAGGTGGTCTGACGGAGGTTCAAGCCTTCTTCCTAATGAGCTATATGGCGTTGTGGGAGTCGTTTCTTCAGGAGTCGGATGTAATGGCCAATGGGTAGTCATGAGGGCTTGGGCATAATGCGAAGTCTTTCTTAATTCGCAATATTTCTCCGTCCTTCGTGATCGCTATTCGTCTTCCAATCGAGCCACCACTTTTCAGCTCAACTGTGAATGGACTGTCAATCCAAGCCTGCCGCCGTAGAACCATCCAGCCTCCAGCACTACCTCATCGTACATTGCATGGCGCAACCACCATCACCATCGCTGTGCTCTATCACACTAGTGATAGGAACAGTGAAAGATATGCCACTCATCCCCCTATACCCCTACCCATCATCCAAGATTTTTTTGCTTCGGAGCAAGCTCCTCTGCCTAGGTAGCTCTTCTCTTCTCTCTTCGTCCCTCATTCACTCCCCTCCGCACCGCCACATTTATTCCCCCCACCCCCCTTCCGACTCAGATCAACGCAACCCAACTTGGGTATGTGGGGGTGATGTCTTGATTTCTTGCCTTTTCTGCATTTTTACTTTAATTCTTCCCTAACCCGGCCGCATCGCATCGCAATGCCCCCAACATGCATCGTCCCTAAGTACCGGGTAGGTACATATATGTCTTTGGGCCACGTGCTACTGTTCGAATAGCCGGGCTTTCGGAATTGCTCGTACAGCTATGTACATGCGGCCTGCTGGAGAGAAAAAAGGACCTTTTAACCCACTAGAGGAAGGCTTAGTAGAATAAGGCATAATAATGAAGCTACCACAGCAAAACTCTTGCTCAAATGGTCCCGGACTGCGCTCCGTGCCGCTTTTGCAGGGCTTAGAGAATCAATCGGCGCGATTTCAAAAATGAAGTAAAATAATAATAATCATAAAAAAAAACGAAAAATTCAAGAATAAAAAAAAAAGCAACAATATCTCACTGAAGAAAGCACCTAGTTCAGGTATACAGCCTCCTTCACCACATCCTACCCAAACTAAAACCAGTGAAGCAAAACTGAGCACGCGGGAATGCGACACACTCTCTCACCTTGCCCACACCACGCACCACACCACCCCTCTTTCTCGTGGTGCCCCGCGCGGGTAGCTCCCAAGTAGGTATGGTAGACAGGATCTACCACCCACCCACACCCTCAAACCCACGTTGACGTGTCTGCGCATCTACCTAATGCCTGCTAGTCCCAGGGCGGGCGGTGTCAGTCATCTAACAAACACATTTTCCCCCTTCCAGCCCAAGTAACACATAAAAGCACTTAAGAAAATGCAAAAAAAATAAATGAGAATGAGGTTTTAGCCTTGCTTATTCAACTTCATGGGTTTCTTACCTGCCTAGGTAGCTATACCCTTAACCTACCCCAAGACTATTGATTAGGTAGGTTAGGTCCGGGAGGTAAAAGCGGTCAGCCAAATAATGATCGATCGACCACCGATCGCCCCCAGGATCTCATGGGAGCCCAGTAGATTCTGAAACCGCAAACGCTGAGCCTTGCAGATTTGCTCGCCTCGTGGGAATTATTGGCGGGGGATGTTTTCGCTGCAATTTTTTTTTTAATATAGAGTTCTCCGTCACTTCCGGGTGCATTAGGTAACTGATGGACGGACGGACGGATGGAAGGAAATCGTTTTTCGGACGCGCTGGTTGGTTGGTTGGTGGCTGGCGAGTTGGGTTGAAAAGTCGAAAAAGTCCTACGGTATCGGCTGAGGTGAGTCAGAGTGTAGATCGATTGGGCACCTATCTAGGTAGGTAGATAGATAGACAGACTGGCGTTTCGAGGCGTCGATACGGTGTGCGACTCTACTGGCTAGGAAGCCTTCATCCGATTAGAGATGTGAGAGGTGATGTGAGGTAGGAGGTGCGAGAGAGGCGAGCTGACGGCCAGCCGTGATGGTGAGGCGGATGATGATGATGATGATGATGATGATAGCTCGGAGGTACCTCGATGGCTTGGTTTCTCTCGGCTAGGCTCATGGCGCCTGTTCGCACACTAAAATGGCTAGTGGACTTGGACTGAGGTTTGGAGTTTGTGGAGGCTCGGTCGGTTTGTGTTCGGCTGAATGTTCCTCACCGGTCTCTCTACCGATCCTGCGATGATCGGTTCAGCGAGGATAGGACTTTCTGAGATAGCCTATGTTCTTCCGGTAGCAGTAGCAGTTAAACCGGACGAGCGGCCCTAGAGTGGCGTTTAAGCGATGTCGTAATCCGACCGAGTGTGACCGATTCTTGCCCTTTACCCGTCTTGCAGCTCCGTATGCTTGTCGGCCTTGCCGTGTGCATTTCGGTCGTACATAGCCGCGTAAGATTTCTTCCTTCGATAGTCTAGATGGATAGTGTATGAAAATCTATTTCCCTATATCCTCGTGGGTGGTCTTTGTTTTTAAAATGTGATCGGACAGCCCGTCAGCCCGTTCAAGTGCTCAAAAAGGGCCGAATGTCTTTCATTTTTAAACGCCACGTCGATCGTTACGGATTGAGTACCCCCGAATCAGCCACTGTAAAGTGTACGAAGGGCAACGAGAATTCGACGGATTGATTTTCGCAAGATACTTATATTCGAAAAAATTAGGTATTTAGGCAAGTAAGCCGGTCACCGTCTAGCAGCTTGAGGGATATGTTTGAATTCTTGTGGAAAGTGTTATCGCTAGTTCTCCTAGTAGGCAAGTTTGAGCGGATGTGATGTAGTTTCGGGCTAATTGGGATTGTCATTTTATTGTCCAGAGCTTTCGACCGACCGGAGTTCGTCGCCTCGATCGTGGCAAGCCTGGGGTGCTTTTCATGGCCCACTTCGACAGTCGTCAGAGACTGGGGCGGACGATATCATCGATAACAGTTAAAGATTGATCAGAGTTCGACATGGTCTCCTGTCTCTAATAGCTGATGGTTTGGGCGGGTTCACAGGTTCCGAAGTTATTATAAAGGCTGGATTACTCCCTACCCCCCTAATCAACCATAATGACTACCAAAGTAAGAATCTCTTAAAGTTGCTAGATCAATGTAGGTCTTCATGGTTACGATGAAACACGCTTGCGGCTTTTCGATGGTGTTTCCTTCACGATGCTATGCCACGAAAGGGATGATAAATAGATGTCAAAGGAGGCAGTTTCTAAGATGACAATAGGGGCAAAATGCACTAGTATTGCAGGGAGAGGGATATATAAAGGGGTAGCTGGTTGTTGGGCACTAACGAAGATGATGCCCTGCTATTGATTGATCCTTGATTTCTGTACACCTACGCCAGCATGTGGGCCATTCACGGAGCTGCTGAATGTCTTGCATAAAACTACCGTAAATAACTGGGCGATAGATTAAGTGAACGTACTGTTGATTGGACACCCACGCAGCGAATGCTAGTGGAGTTCGGGCTTAGGATCGATTGGATATAACCCAGGTAGCATCCCTGATAGGACCCGAAGGCTGCTGAACAAGAGGTATATTTTTTTCTCTGAAACGCCTTCGCTGCACTGTATTGTATGACTCTTTTACACTAGAAGCCCAGTGAACCCTGCTCGGATCTTACTAGGCATCCACCACTCGTTGCTCTCTATAAAAGCCCAGCTTATGTCCACAATCTACAAGTACCGTCTGCCCCTGCACTTACGCACCATGGGTGCTGGGGATGCCAGTCGACATCCGTAACACCAAGTTTGTTAACCACCTTATGTCCTTTAAGCATCTTGACGGGGACAATAGTTGGGCCTTCCATCAAGTCGCTCACAACTTTGCTGTGGAATATTTGTAGGGTACCGTCGTCGCTGCAATCCGCGAATAATGGATAACTTCGGTGAAATCTTACCGCCCTAATCGCCTGAGGATGGAATCTCATCGTTTTGTATGGTCGGCTCGACATCTCCAGATCATGCCAGAGCAAACGACGGTCATACGATCCAACAACCAAGTTATCACCACCGGGATGTATATCGAATGAAGAGATCCACCTGGCTCCAGGCTGGATAGTTTTGACGAGTTCCTGCTTTTGAAGATCGTAACATCGTATTGATCGTTGTGTAGCGACAAAAAATAATGGGCGCGAAGGGTGGAAAGATGCTGTTTGTGCCAATCCGGGCAATTTGCGGAAGGGAATTTGAGTAAGGTGCTTAGATAGCGTGTGGATTGCTACCGAGCTCCTTTGCCCACTAGGGGAAACGGTACAGAAGAAATCTCCTCGTCGGTGCCAGTTGATTGTTTTCACAGGCGCTCGAACCGTAACTTTTAGCAAGACTCCTTCGTCCTCTAGACGTGCTCCTGGCCGCGACCATTTTGCAGGTGGGTCTTTTCGTGCTGCTCCATTTGCTGTCGTAAGTTGCTTGCCATTGGTAGCATAACCAAATCCTGCATCTAGAATATCGCGACTGGCTTGCTCTAACTCTGGATTTCCGTAAGATGGGATCATGAGAAAAATATCCTCAGCAACGGCCGCCGAAAGAATTGTTGCGTCATGGCCTGGTCGCCATCGTACCACGTCTACGGGGTCCTCGCTACTTAGTTTGACTTTCCATTGCTGCTTACCATCTGCGAGACCCCACACCCTAACAGTGCCATCGTCGCCGCCACTAGCTAGCCATTGCCCTGATGGATCAATAGCCACTGATCGCACCCTGCCCTCATGACCCGCATATTCTATTGACGCAATGGTTGGGAAAGGTCTGAGCTCCTCCGGTCGCGGAAGTTTGGGAAGTAATGACGCTGGATCGATATTTAATTTGTTCTTCCGTATTCGAGGAGCAAGATAGAGATCAAGACATCTCTCAAAACGTTCTTTAACAAATTGGTCGTATGCAGGAGTTCTCCGTAATGAGTCGTATTTCTGTGGCAAGTATTCTTTCTCCCGTTCTTCCGGTTCCAACTCCTCCCAGGCCTTCTTTTCATCTTCTGTGGGGAGATATTCTGGAGGTGGATTATAGCTAAGGTCGTAGCCGGGAGGTGCGAGTTTAGGTGCGGGAATGTGCATGACGTTGGGTGGTCGAGGTGTTTCATCAGCCCACAAATCATAGTGAACTTCTTCCTCTTCCTCTTCTTCTCGCTGCCTTTCCTCAGGGGGCTTGTATGGTAATATTCGGCCTTCCCGAATCGCTTTAACTAGTTTCATTATTCGCTTAGCCTCGTGCTTTGAGGGTAGGAACCTTCGCTTCGGCTCTGGTGCGGCGCTCAATGGCATTGTCTCTTCAAAACTCGTAAACCATTCCACAGTATCCTGTATTAATGTTAGCTATGAGCAATTACAGTTTAATCAAAGAACTCACCGGATATGGGTCGTATCCTTCTTCGGGGATCTCATTCATCTGGACTCGTCGCAACAATTCTAGCTCGTCTTGACTTAAATTTAGAGGCTTGCCGGTAGCAGGGTCCGTAAGGCCCGTCCATCCCTTGGGTACCTCAATACTGTCTAGCAGGGCGTCCAAAGCCTCGCCAGTGGCAGGCCGCATAATTTTCTTTCCATTTATATCATAACCTATGTGGGGGTACGAGTCGTAGAAGGAGAGGGGTATGTTGCCAATCGTGTTTGCGGGTTCTTGCGCATCTGTATCATCGGAGTCGTATACCGGCTCAACGTCGTCGTAAACGTATCTGGTGCCCCCATTGGCGTCGGTCTCGATTCTGTAGTGAGGTCCGACATCCTCTTGATCGGATTCGGCCCCATTTTGTATTTGTTTCTTGTTAGACGTTTCATCGTCTGTGGGCATATCGTCGCTCTCTAATGTGTCGTCGTCGGCTGGGGACGTATCTCGGTTAATATCGTCTTCGTCGCCATCTTCTTCGATTTCAGATTCTTCATCCGAATCGTCTTCTAGTACACCCTCAAGAAGACCATCTCCGAACTCATCGTCTGATTGAGGTTGGTTTGATGCATCCGCTTCCACTATGGAAGCCTTGCGCTTCAAATTGGATTTTGTTGGAGCCATCTGCGAGATTTTAGTTGCAAGGCGCAACTTTTTGCATGTTTTGAAGGAAAAGTACTAAGAAAAGTACTAATTAAGAATTGAATTGAGGAAGCTCCAAATTATTTTTTTGCGCCGGTGGGGCTTGGCTTTCTGCCGTTTTCAAAATATTCACCGCCTTCCCTTTTTGTAGTGCAAGTATACATTACATATGAGGATTTGTACTGTGATATTATGTAATCAATAGTGACGATATTAACCTTATTGCCCAGTATTAGAACTCAATGACTAGATTTAACTAGATTTAACTAGTTTCGAAATTATTAAGACGATGGTATACTGGCTACATGGGTATTTATGCAGGTGCATAGATCAATGATAATATTAGTATAACATCGCCAACCCAATCAATATACTGTGTACTAGCGTTCTACTTTCCTTTCCGACTACTAAATATCCTCACTGACTATTCGAGGCCAATCGGGCCAACTTCTTAACGAGGCATTGTGAGTCGGTCCTATATTATTCTGATCTTGCATGTTCTAATCAAGCTAGGTAATCTCATTGGCGTATCCATGTCAAGCCCATAAGATATTGGCTCCATCGAGCGAGACAATGCCCTCCCATTTCGCTGAGGAGTGTAACACAGCAGGTCCCGTAGTGGAGGGGAGGGGATGATAACCCCATCGGAGTTCGTATCGCGTACGTTATAGCGGTATATATACCCGCGTATTCACCTTCCCACCACTATATATAGAAAATGATACATTTTGTCCCAACTCGTCCCGTTCGTGCTACAAGAGCCGTGGGCTGCAGCACGATCGCCGGCAGTGATCAAAATTTTCAGCCAGATACACCCCCAAGGTAAGGAAAGCCCCCAAGGACAAACCATTGCGATTTAGAAATGAGTACAATCTTTAAATATAAATGGCCTTGGCCTTATACGTCTAGCAATGTTGCTACACGCCGAAATTTTCACTTTACTTATAGGTGAACATCACAGCCTAAATTTGATTAATAGTGGGATTCAAAATGCCTACCAATACTTCCGAAAAACTCTTTGTGAGAATTCAAGAGAGACTCATGACCAGCTATTTCTCGAAGAAGACGTTCCTACCGGATGGTGAATTGGTGGGGCCCAATGGGCTCTTGACTGAGTCTATCATCGAGCAGGAGCTGCTGAAAGAGGCGTCACATCCTCTACACTCAGACTACGCCAGTGACTTTGTCAAAGACTACATTGGGGAGATTGTTAACCATATAGCGAAACATGCAACACGTATTTTCGCTATCCTCGTCTGCATAGATCTTGTCGAGAAGGCATTTACGCTGATTGAGAGCGGGTTTATGGACAAGTATCTTCCCGTCCAAATAGATGGCGAACAAGTCACAACTTTTCACCTTCTCGCCGACGATGTAGCGCTAAATTTGGTTCTCGGATTGGCATGGGGGACCCCTTAGGCTTTTCAGCAATTACCAGTGGCGTTTTATTGCTCCGGTCTTCACTAGATATTCATTTCTAGAGCAGCTTCACGACATGTGCCCGTTGCCTTTCATTGGCTATAATGATACCCAAGACGGCGAAAGTTCCGCTCATGCCCGCAAAGCGTGCATTCACCGCAACCATATCAAAGATTTTCAACTGAACGAAGTAAGTAGATATTTTACTCAAATGAAATACGATATTGAATAATTTTCCTACAGGACTTTACCGTGGCCGTTAAAGAAATCGACGTTAGAGACGTATCGGATAAGACTTATAGAGCCGCAATAGGGGCTCTAGAGCTGGCGAGATGGGTAGAGGAAGACCACCTAGTCAAGTTTATTGTGGGATTTAAGACTCCTGAGAGGCATTATCTAATATTCCAATGGGCTGATGGAGGAAACCTGTTTCAGATCTGGAAAAGCTCTCAGCGCTGCAGCAATCAATTGATTCATTGGGCTATCGAACAAATGGAGAGCATTGCAAGAGGCCTAGAAAAGCTACATAATTTCGACCCCTCGGGGATCTTCTACCACGGAGATTTAAAGCCTGAAAATGTGTTTGTCTCAACGAGACCGGGTCATTTAGGAGACCTACAGATTGCTGATATGGGGTCTGCTCGAGCCTACCTGACTCGGATGGGCCTCGGAGAGGCCGAGACAATGCCGTTTGCCGGCACGATTCGGTATCGGCCCCCTGAGATGAAGAACAGCCACGCTGATGGGAATCCACGAGGGCACGACATTTGGTCTATGGGTTGTATGATACTAGAGTTTATTATCTGGATTCTCTATGGGCCGGACGGGCTGGAAATATTTAACGGATCCTTCGATAACGCCGCTCGACCGTTCTTTGGTGTTGACCGAGGGCATGGTCCCTTGCAACACAACGTCAGCAATTGGATTAGGCATCTGCGGGAAACTTGTTTTGGCGACGACTGCGCTAGTCGAGCGTTGAGGGATCTTCTTGATTTCGTCCACACCAAGATCCTAGTCGAAGACGACGGGATAGAAAACAATAAGCAATTGGCTAATACCAGAAGGCAAAACAGTTTGAGTCCCCCACGTCTTCTAAGCACACCAACAACAACGCGGAAAAACTTACGATTGCGCCAACGGAGAGCCGATATTTCAGACTTGAATGAGGCATTTGAACAAATCCTCTCAAACAAGGAAGCCGACTACTTTTATTGCGAGGGGCCGGCAATTAAAGATAGTTGGGAACTAGTATTGAAGAGTAGAATACTCCATGGTCGGATGGAAAAGCGAACTACTGGTCCAGAGGTATGCACAACACCTGATATTCTAAGATCTGTAAATACTGACTTGAAAACCCCTTCTAGCATGTAGGTCCCGACTCATTCATCTTCTCCATCTACTATCCTTCCCATCCTTGCGCAGCGGAAACAATAGTATGGGTCCTTATTAGACCTAGACTTGTTCGTTGGCCACTGGATGTTTCTTCTAGTATTGACGCTATTGGAGTACCTAACGCTCTCATAGATTGCGAGTCTCTTAGAAATTTCCGGGGTTTGATTTACTAGCGCTAATGTGAATGAATCCTTTTTTCTCTGTAGCTGGTAAGTTTTTTTAATCCTTAAATGTTTTTCTCATCGACGCTAACTTCCACTCAAGCCAGTATGTTTTCGCTGTCCTTTCGAGCACCAAAACTAAACTGATGATGGCAGCTTTCGGATACGTGGGAAATCTGCGATGACAATCCGTTTGCCCGAGACTTTTTTAGGTTCCTTACTTCGACATTCATGAAAGACTTTCCAGACATACCGAAGGCTCAGACATCGCGGCTATGTAATAACTGCAGAAATGTCTTCCTTGATAAGTTTTCGTTTACTTCCGCCAATTATAACTATACTTGCGATCTCTGCAAGCTTCTACATTCGTATTTAGAAAGTAACGCTCAAACCAAATTTGTGCAGATAGGTTCATCATTGGTGACGATTCCGGCGTTAACGTCGATGCTTTCTATCCTAGTTGGTCCAGGCAAGTATGACTACTGACCTACTCGAGTATGCACTAATATCGCCCCCCTCAAGGCTACACGAGTGCGCCTTCGCATATCTAGAGAGGCTCACCTAGGTTGGCAAAACCTGGAAGCTTAACACAGGCCCGACTGTTCAATCACTGGCTCAATGACTGCGATAAGAACCACGGAGAAACTTGTAGGGTACCAAACACTCGAAGACACCCTCCGAAAAGACTAATCGATGTCTCGTCGAACACCCTGAGACTCGTTTGCCACCCGGATATACGCCATGACTCCTATGTCATTTTGTCACATCCATGGGGTAACAAAGTCCCATTCTGCACGACCAAGTCTAATATCGAACAATTCAAATTATCGATTTGCTACGACATACTGCCGAAGAACTTTCAAGATGCAGTGACGGTGACACGGAGTCTCCATATTAAGTACTTATGGATTGATTGTCTCTGCATCATACAGGCAGAAAAGGGAGACGGAGGAGACTTTAGAATTGAGTCTCAGTTCATGGAGGATTACTTTAGCGGCGCTTACTGTACAATTGCTGCAGATACTGCTGACGGACCAGACAGCGGATTTCTAAGAGAACGACCGGTAACTGGAGATAAGGCTAGGAAGTGCCATTTGTTCCAAAGCAATCCCGGTAGCCCCGAATCGGCTCTTTACATATGCAATAACATCGACGACTTCGCCCGTGATGTCGAGAGAAGTTACCTTAACACGCGCGGCTGGGTGTTTCAGGAGCGGGCGCTCTCGAGACGTACCATCCACTTCACCGACACCCAAGCCTACTGGGAGTGTGGTCGTGGAGTACGTTGCGAGACCTTGAATAGGATTTTCAAGTACGTTCTGAATTTTTCGTCTTTCTCTGAATCTATAATTTAACGTACTGCCCAGCCGGAAATCATCGTTCCTATCTGATCCTAAGTTTCCCTATTCTGCCATTCAATTCTACGAAGGCATGCGGATCAAATTCTTCCAGTGTCTCTACTCGAGATATTCGACTCTTGATTTCTCGCATGAAGTCGACCGATCGGTAGCCATGTTCGGCATCGAGAGACGACTAGCGAAGACCTATGGTGTACCGGGGTACGGCATCTTGGGCGGAAATTACCTTTATCAAAGTCTACTTTGGCAGGCAATGGATGCAAATAAACCACTTCGAAAAATTAATTATAAAGATGGTAACAAACCTCCTTCTTGGTCTTGGATGGCGGTCACGGGCCCAATCAAGTATATGGACGCTCCGAAAGATACGATGGTATGGGACTATACTATCAAATCGCCATTGAAGGACCAGTCAGTAAGAGCTGATATTGCGAATTTGCCCTTGAAGGATCCATTAATCTCAGACTTTATGGTTCAGGCGAGAGATATTAAGCTGTCGAAGGAAATAGACACTCAATGCTTCATTTACGACAGACCTGAGTATAAAGACAACAAGTTAGTTGAAGAAAAGTTGAAATGTGTTATTATTGGGTGTGAAAAAAAAGAAAGTGGGGATTTGCCCTCTAATTGGTATACTCTTCTTATAATCCCGACAGGCACGACTGGAGATTACGAGAGGATAGGGGTCGCGCACATGACGGCAAAGGCGATTGACCTAGCGAACGGGATTGACGTACGGATTGTTTAGTATGGATGTGAACTCCGTCCTCATACGTACCTACCTAGTAGGTAAGCAAGTCCTTACGGGTCGAGCTAGATGTTCTTTTCTATGTCTGTACTATAGTGTTAGGTTATAATTATATCGGTGTCTAGACTTAACAAGTAAAACGACGAGGTTGATTGGGAGGTGTAAGATAAACTGTTAGATCCAGGCCTCTAAATAGATCGCTTAAGATGATTAAATACACATAACCATTCTATTTTTCCTTGCTTTTAACCATATAATGCCTATTTTAGGATATCTAACAGGATAGTATGCGCCCTCCATTCCATGGAACGGTAGCAACTTACAGGAGAAGCTGAAGGAGACGTGAACTTGCAGGTTCGTATAGCGGCCGGCCGAAACGCCACTTAGAATTAGAATAGTCACTCCGTGAGAAATTGCAAAGGAAGCTCAAACCCCTCTATCATAATCCCGTTTTGAATGTATACCAACACATGCCACACACGAGCCTTGCAGCTCGACCCAACGTATTTTTTAAACGCCGTGGGACCTAACTGAGAAGAACTGTAGAATTGGAGGAAATTAAAGTTCGCCTTTATCTCTTCGAACGATAGTTTCGCTTGTGACCACGATCCTGTGTACTGAGCTATCGTCATCTTCGTCGCGGGTCAGGGGTCGTTTTCCTGCTGTAATATGTGTATTCCGCCGAGCGCGGTGTGCTCCCATGTTGCCCAGCTCAAGATCTTCGTGCGACACATTCTTCATTTGGGTAAACCCGCTCGACTTTGTACTCTTGCGCTTGCGGGATATAGTGACCATGGCTTCGCCGCTCTTCTCCCTCCAGACTGAAGTATCCGATAGATGAGATGGGAATAGTCGATCGAAGACGGGCCGTAGTAGGGGGCAATTGGATACTATAATCGCGATTCCGGCTTCGCTGGTGCCGTACAGGGCGGTTTGTACGCTGGTGTAGGATATTTCGGTGAAATCGGTGTGCATAATCATATAAACGTGGATAGTGCCGAACGAAATGGTACTGAAATCGTAGAGTAGGTTAGTTTGCTGATTGCAAATTCTCGAGGGCAGATTGCTTCTTACAGGAGACCGATGCAGAATATACAAACGGTAACAACCTTGTACCGAATTTCCATTCCAAGTTTCCATATCATAGGTAGGGGCAACATCAAGATCGCAATGTGGTTCACAATGTCAATAATGCCCTCCGCTGCAAAAGCCGCCCTTAGGTCCCCGCAGCTACGTTCACCCGCCGGAAATGTCCAATTCACATCAATAGGGTGGCAGATCAGTAAGTTGATCAACACGGCTAAGAGCATCCAGATAACGGTAAAGATAATAACGGTTAAGGAGGCGATTTTGAATCGGCGGGTGAAGAAGATGCGCATAAACATGAGGATGATGCTGATCTTAATCAAGCTAAGAGAAGCCGCGTAGAGAAACTTGCGAACATAGATAGCCTGTCGTCAATTGTAGACTAATTAGTGCTTGTTCTTTCGCCTCCTTTCGTGCTAAGGAACTAGGGATCTTGTGCATCGGATTAGACTGGCAAACACACCTTCAACAGTCGGACTACGTGCCAGTCCTGAAGCTCGCTGAGACGGTGGCCTAAACCACCAGAAAGCACCATGACAAAATCCGCAGCTACCAGGCCGTAAAAGAACACCAAAGCTCCTAAGTTAAATCCATCCTCTAAAAGAAACGCCCGACCGTTTTGCCGAATACTCCAGAATCGTAGGTAGGTCCATAGTGCCGTAAGAAGGGTGAGCACTACGCCCGTAATGATGACTTTCGAGCCATCGGTGTTGGGAGGTACTAAGTTAGTCTCGATCCGAGCATCGCTACGTGGTAAGTTCGAGAACCCAACGTAGACGTCCGACATATCGCGGGTCGGATCGCGAGTCTTCACCACGCCCGAGCAGTGGCAATCGACTCCTTGGAGTGAAGCCCTCCTCGCTTACGGACGAATCGTAGCATGTATTAGCTTGAAAACAGTCTGTCCGTACCGGTTTGACGTTTACAATTGCATTGAGGCGAACAATCACCAATTGATGACGGAAACGAGGAGTAGTTAGGTTCGCAATGAAACTTTTGTTCGAAGGCACCAAGCCTAGACCAGCTAGGGAAACACGAGGATAGTAAGGGTTCAAGAATTATTTCGTTTGCTATGTGGCAGGGATCTTTCACTGTACATATCCGGTATTTGGGGCCACGAACATCCCTGACCCTTAATTATCCGTGCAGATGAAATATAGATGATACGTCAGGTATAAGAATAAGGCGATTTCGAAAGAGAAGGGAAAATTCTGTCAACATTATCTAAATCTTTGGTTGTTGTCCTACATACATATTTAAGGCAAGAGAAGCGTGTTGCTTTCTCTTTCGGAATTTTAGGAGATTAGCTTATTAGCAAACATATCATAGATCCTTATATGTATCGTAGCAGTAGCTGACCGCTAGAGAGAATAGTAGAGAATATTAAAGTCGCATTTTACTGCCTGTACCCCATATGTAAGCTTTCAGGGGAATGGTATCCATCACCAAGGATCAAGGGGAGCCGATGTCACATATCAGCCCAGACTCCACGTGCGGAAGTCAGCTTCGTCCCGCGGGACAGCCAGGGTTCCATATTCTAAATGCGGTTATGATCGACGCTGCAAATTTTGGGATTTACCGGAATATGTAGAGGGCCTTTGCGCGGGCTTGTCTAAACATAGTAATGATTGAACACTACGGCTCGGCCTATCTTCCCCGTGCATAAGGATGGGTTGTACAAATCTAAAACAAGTCCATGAAATATTTTCCCTTGTTTTCTCTTCTCTAGTTTTTCCCTTGCATTCCAGTGTTGGATATAAGGTGGTTGTGACATCTACAGTGGTTCATATACGCCTCATAATTTCGCCAGGGCGACATCAGATTCTTTAACCAAAACAAACGTGATGGGGTAGTATAAAATGGCATGTCTTTATTGATGATAGTGACCTGGTGGTAAGCGTTATATCCAATCAATTTTCTGTGCAACCACATAAATTTCTCACCGAAGCCATTACGACATTATTAAACAATCTAAAATGAATCCGGCGAATATCATCGATCGGTACAGTTACCAAGCTAAGATCGAAATATTGGAAGATACGATACTTGAGGGGAACTAACCCTTTACCTTGGTAGCAAAAGTCAATGATTGCAATGATTCTCGAATTATACACCAATGTGAGCCCAGTGGTCTCGTTTATATCCTTAGAAGCTCGTTGGTGTATGAATAGTATTACTTTGCAATGAGGCGTTCTCGTGGTCAATTCAGAAAATAACCCTTGGTCGCATTACCTCGACGCTGCGCCATTCTAAGTGTTACTCTGAGTAACAAGTTGGCAACTAACCGGTCGCCTGTGTGACTCCTTCATTACTACGTGGGTAGGAAGAATTGGCCCTTGTGGTCTTGATATAGAACGCTGAATGTGACAGCTCTAGAGGCGAGAATCGTGTTCTGTCGGCTGCATACTACCCCCATTGAAATGCATGGTCTTTTGTTGGTATCACGGGAAAGAGCATGGAATCCCACGATGTGACAAACATTGATGAACGTAACATTTAGAAGGCTTCAGAGCCTTACGGCCGAAAAATGGATATTTATTGTTGAAAGCTGAGTACCCAACAAGTTGTTAAGAATCATTTGGTTTAATTAATTGCAATTGCGAGGGTCATCTAAACGAAGCGAAATTTCAGCGCCTCTCGTACGACATCATCTTGAGTGAATGAACCGACACAACAATTGAGCATTCGTGTTGAACGCGCCCAGATCTTTATATTGATAATAGCAAAGGCAAGTAGGTATAGTTATAACAGACTCATGTAATAATCCATGTATGCATTCTATCGCTTCCGTAACCAGCAGACTCGCTTACTACAACTTAGCGGAATCCTCCTTGCCTAGGAACTCAACCTTGTTGGTGACAATACCAACACCCTCAAGCTCGACCTCGACGATGTCACCATCCTTCAACCATAGCTGTGGTTTGCGGCCCATTCCGACACCCGAGGGTGTTCCCGTCCAGATCAGGTCACCCGGGAGCAACGTGTGGCCCTTGCTCAAGAATGCGATGGTCTGTTTGACATTAAAGATTTGGTCCGCCGTGTTACTCTCCTTAAAAAGCAATTAGTTGTTTTTTCTTATTCTCTTATGGGGGGTATTTCTGCTTACCTGTACGGTCTGGCCGTTCACTCTGGTGCTAATCTTCAGGGTTTGTGGGTCCTTGATGACATTTCCGGTCACAATACCCGGTCCGTACGGCGCCCAGCCGTCGAATCCCTTACCTAGCGACCATTGGCCGCCACCTCGGACAACTTGCCAGTCGCGGTGCGATACATCGTTGCCGATGGCGTAGCCGAGTACGTAGTCTAGAGCCTCGTCCTCCGAAACGTCCTTAGCCTCCTTGCCGATAATAAAGACAAGCTCGCATTCGTAGTCCAGTCCTAATTCCTCTTGTGCTACAGGGTGTATCGGGATCGGGTCTACGGGTCCCGATAGAGATGTGACTGGCTTATACTGTTCGGTAGTTCAGTATGAGGTTCCCCGTAGGTTTCATAGGGTGGGGGTTTAGGACTTACGAATAGGACGGGGAATTTCGGCAGTGGGAGGCCAGCCTAAGGGGAATTGTTAACACAACGATGCCGATTAGGAATGCCGAGATAAGACCGACCTCTTGCGCGTGTAAGGCGTAGTTAAGGCCCAAGCACCGGACAGTCTTTACATCGTCTAATGCGAGGGGTGCTAGAAGTAATCGGACGTCCGCGATTTGGTCTGTGACTTCATGCTTTCCATAGATATCACCCGTAATAACGCGAGCCTTCTTCGTCTTTGCGATGTCTGTTACTCCCTCAGGTAGAATGGCATCTCCATAGTATGTTTTGCCATTCTTGGCGAGAAAGCGGATAAGTCGCTATAAGATAGGAGATAGCACCGGTTAATATATATGGATTAGTCAGATAGGGTATTGAGGGGTTGACACTTACAGAAAAGGCCGGCATGATTTCCGTATGTGTAGTATTTATGGGAAAAGGGAATAAGACTCTTAAGACTCCAATTATTGAAACTTTTTATATGAAAATAGGATAATCTAGATTTAAATCTGAGGGAGAGATCTAGATCTATTAAATATCCTAAATATTGATAAAGTAAGGTATGGTGAGTCTGTTATAAGGTCTTATAATCTACAGTGGAGTAAGAGTTACAAACCACGGAGACACCAAGAGAACCTATCTTGGCCTAGATCTGAAGAGAGTCGGGGTTTCGGATAACCTCGGGCGGTACTATTCTCCTTGGGATTTTAGCCTATCGTAGTCGCTACAGAACAACCCCGAGGCCGGAGGGTCGGGGTTCCCCACTACCGGCAGTTCGCTGCCCCCTATCCCCCTTTCCCCTTTTATTTATTCCTTGCTCTCCTTATTTTCTCCTATTCCTATCTTCGTCCCCACCGTTAACTCCGACTCGTTAGTTGATTTATTTGAATTATTAAGAAATCACAAACCAAAAATCCATCATTTATCACCCGTTGCTCTCATCCGTTACCTGTATGGCGTACATCACGATGCACGATGCAGCCCAAACCAACACTTTACCTGCGACGCGCGGCAAGTTTTGGGCTACGCCTCTCAGCCACTTACGCATTATGTGTTTCCCACTTTTACAGTGTTTTATAATATTTTACACATGGTATGGTAACACGGCTTCTGAAATGAGGGGTTTCCTAAAGCTGAGGCAATAAAGAAGACTTGTAATTGTAAGTTGCAAATTGCAACGAAAGAAGATTAACGTGGGAGAAGTTAGTTGTTATTATCTTGTAAGGCGCAGCAAGTCTCTCCATAAACGAGCGATTTATTAATTCCAAAATATTAATACAATAAATAGAAAAGCAACGCATATTATCCTCCTACCACAGTCTATTCATCCCATTAACCATATATCTCATCTAAACCAATTCCAGGCATCGACTCTTTAGTATATCACACAGGTGGGTTCCTTCTTGGGGCAGTTAAAAGCGTTCAAGAAGCCCTTGGAGTTTTCCGTGACGGCCTTGACGCGGATCCATGGCGGCGAGTGCACATCACCCATATACTCCAAGATACCCGGGTCGTTCGACTTGTCGCAGAACCACTGGCTAGCCGCCACGTAGAAGAGCTGTTCGTGTGTGAAGACGTCGTTAAGGGCGGGTAGATCGAAGTCGGACGCGGGGTCGTCGCGGCGCTTGTCCTGCCACGCGTCCCAGGCCACGTTAACACCGCCCGTGTCCGCGATGTTTTCACCGAGTGTGTTCGTGCCGTTTACGGCCATCAAGCTACCGTCAGGCATTTTTACTTTGTTGGTTTCGTACTGGTTGATGAGACACTGCGTTCGGTTGTTGAATCCGGCCTCGCTCTCGGCATCCCACCAGTTTGTTAACTTGCCGTGCTCGTCGAAGAGCCTTCCGGAACTGTCGAGAGAGTGCGTGTACTCGTGTCCGACGATGAAGCCTAGGGCACCGTAGTTCATGTATGAGGGGAGAGCGGCATCCAGAACGACTTCCTGTAGCGTGCCTGCGATAATGGTAATGGAGTTCTCGAGTGGTGAGTAGAAGGCGTTCATGGTCAAGGCCGATGGGGCTGAGTCTACGGCCCATTCTCCCTTCCCCATACCGTCCTTGATACGGGCGGCATTCTTCTGAACCTGCCACTTGGACCAGTTGATGTTGTTGTTAAAGTACGAGTCAGTCATCTCAAGTCCGTTGTAAAAGTCCTTGACGGAGTTGGCGTCGGCAAGGTTAGGCTTCTGAAATGGATTTTGTTAGCATCCTGACGATTTCTTTGAGGTTGGGTAGCTTACTTCAGTGGGGACACCGAGCTTCTGGGTGATTGATTCCACCTTATGCTTCGCTATCGCCTTCACCTTGTCGGACATCCACTCGATTTTGTCGATGTTACTAGCGAGGCGGTTCTGGATTTTCGTTGCCATGTCTTTGACGGTTTGGTGAGTTTCCTCCGTGTACTTGCGATCAGTCCAAAGCTTGCTCAGACTCCACGCTTGCGTCTGGTCGGCCTCTGTGATGCAGGTTCGCCATCGCTCATCGGTCCAACCGGCTGGCTAGGGGGGTGGTTAGAGAATAGATGCAGAATGTAATCAGAAATCCCGACCTTACCTTTTCGCGGAGAGAGTTCACAAGAGCTCTTAACGGTTGTAGTTCGGGCCCATCGACTGCAGCTTGGTAGCCCAAAATCGCTTGCCACAAGAAAAACGCCTGAATAGTCGGCTTGGTGGTGTTGGCTAGAGTCTGGGAGAGCCAAGTAGAATATTCCGGGTAAGGGAATATGATTCTGTCCACGGGCGCGGGGCTAATTTTTGACAGCACCGACGATAAATCGAATGCAGGGGCTAGCTGCGTAGCAGTCTTCACCGTCGAGTTTACAATATGATCCTATTCATTTGTAAGAAAGGCATATACCAAATTTAAGGTCATATATTCAATTGATCACTTACCAAAGGTACGACAGTCGGTGTATTTGTGGCAAGTTTCTCCTGAAAGTCAACTAAGCTACGAGCTAGCTCACCGGCTGCGGATTTCGATTCGTCTGTGGGCAGGAGTTTGGCAAATGTTTGCGCAACAACGTTTTCAAATTCCGATCGAGTTTTCTCATCACCGAAGACACCAGCGGTTGCAAGGGCCGAAGGGTATAAGCTCGGAATCATGGTATCCTATTACGTTAGTAGAGCCCGCTGAGATAGGGGTGTAGTTAACATACTGGAAATTCGGGGTCTACATCAACCATAAACTCAAAGAAAGCTTTCTGACCATGTTCAAGGAAAAAGAGAAAAGTGTCGCTGAACGCCTTGTAGTCGGCCGATCCAAAAGGTTTAGGGTTTTTGTACTCTTCTTCCGTCACTGGGAAACTCTCAGTAACGTTCCCGAGGAATGTCACCAGCGGCTGAACACCTAGTGCGGCAATTGCGGTTTCGTTCATGCAAGCGCTGTACCCAGTGAGTAGCCTCTCGAAGTTCTCCTGATCGGCAGGCTTGGAGGTATTCTAAGATGGTTAGTTCACTGTTGGCTTATCCTGACACGAAGCGAATCTCACCAATTTTTCATATGGAGCCTCAAGGATACCCTTCAATATGATATAGGTATCGTCTTGCATATCGAACTCCTCCCTGACATGGTTTATCCATTGAGGAACCACTCTGCGCTCTCGGACGCCACCGCAAACCACTGCATATCAACATTAGAAATTATCGAGAGCAAATAATTATGAGGGTTGGCAGCTACGTACACTCCTCGAAGTTTGTGCAGGGATCGATATTCTGGAAGTTAGAACTCAGACGCGAGTATATGATCGAGGATGCCTGAACACATTGTTCGGACAGGCAGACCGACGAATTTGCGTACGGCGCCATAGTGAAAAGACGACTAGGAAATAAAAGAAAAAAGAGGAAAAGAGAAGAGTGAGTGTTGGAGAGAGACCAAGCGGTGCTGGATAGAACATCTGGAGGAAATATCCATTGTGGACTTGTATGTTTTATATTATTTTGAATTACTTGAACCACACAATATAATTACATACATACTATAACGTTGCTTAGAAGAAAGGCCGACTTTTTTCCCTGAGGCTGTATTCAAAGGTGGATGATGCGATAAGTCCTGAGAACCTAATATGTCGATCAGCAAGCTGAATACCAGGGCCATGTGTTTGCGACCACAGCAAATGCGAGGCGGTGCAGCTGCGGCTCCTCTATAGCTACCTAACCCAGATAGGACGTATTGCGATGTTTCTATAACCAAGTCACGTTCATTCGAGTAAAGGCATTTCCAAAAACGGTAGCCAAGACGCGATGTCATTAGCTATAGCCCATAAGAATGCAAGGTCGCGGCGTGAACGAGAACGAGCATTGTAACACACCGCGAAGCGAGCATGAAGCTTTAGGAATTATTTCGCAGCTTGTCCGGCCCTATTTGTTCTTGGAGATTATCATTGCTAATGACATGGCTCGACTTGTGATAGTAAATTCTAGAGTCGCACAAGGAATATTACACCTTTACGTCACCCTCAAATCTTATTGCTCCTAATAATGTGCTATGTCATAATATACTGGCTATTCATATTGTACGCATCCGATAAGTTTCATCCGGATCGACGGGATTCTCCTCGTCATAGGTGCATTGATACTTCGCAAATTAGCCTTGTGGACGTTGCCATCGACAAGTTTAAGGACTACCCTCACCGACGAATCCTTAATGCAACGATATTTGAAGCTATTGCCGTCATAAATGCTCTGAGCCTTGCAATCATTCGTCATTTGTGGTTATTTTTATAGTGGCATATCAGTCCAAGCCTGACCATAACCTTACCAAGCCAAGTTTTCTTACATTATGCATGATAGTTTGGGATCTGAAGCTATATCTCATCTACCTGGCGCAGGATACTACTTGCTTTAGGAGTTGGAGTAGATCTCATTGGTCCTAGACTCAACAACGTTAACGGGCGTTCTACTCCTAGGCCGATAAGAATTATCATTTTTGTCTATCTGCCTAAGTGTCTAGGTAAAGCAATAGGTAGGTTCGACGATGCTTAGTGTCCCTATTCTATGACGAGCAATTATCGAAATCATGTCCTATGCTAAGTCCCAGACACTCACATAGGAAAGTAACCTTCTAGGGGATATATAACCTAGGACAGCTGGAATTACACAAGGGTGTTAATCTTATTTGAATGATAGGAGTAAGTTCTAGAGAATGGATTCGATCTATCAAACCCGATATGAAATGCTTCTCAAGGCATAATCAGGTAAGTATCGGAACTTGACTGCGTTGGTATAAAGTTGCTGTTGGGGTATAAATCACGAATAATCCCAACTTATAAAAGGCGGTCTCTACACCAGGACGGCCAAGCGGGTGCAGCATGATCCTAGTGTAGCCTTGGGCCGTTAGGCAAATTGTACCTAATTCCACTTCAGCTTCATTCGTTGGTAGGGCTTGGTAAAATCGAAATTCTAACAAATAACTGGATTATTATCCCATTTACTTGTGTGTCGATTCCAATAAAAGGAGCGTACCATAGTACAGTACTTGTTTCCTTCATAAATAAATGTCTAACACGCTGAGGAGCTTTGGCATCGTACGATTTCACTATCGCTGTATATGTACTCTGCTTCAGGACGCGAGCTAGTGTATATCTACCTAGGTGATTAAGGAGGCATCCGCTGCTAGTATCGGCTCCACGAAGTGTTAACCCTTATAGGATTTACGTTTTAAATAGCTAACTAGAATAATTATACCGGGCATACAGTCAAATACACCCCCAAATTCCTATAAGGGATATATTTGGTAATGGACTATACATGATTTTGTATGAGACTTACTATTTTGTGATATTTTATTATCGTTTCTCGTCGAGCCAAGCAATTGTAGTATCTATAAGAGTACTAGTACGGCTAAAAAGGGCATCACGCAGCATGTTAGTAAGGCGACTAGCTTTATTAAACAATGTTGTTGACCCCCACTCGTGAGATTACTATCTGATATTTCCCTCATACTCCAAGCTTATAGCTGAATGAAGGTAATGGTCTTTAAATTTCTGCATTCTGTTACCTCCGCCGTCCACTAGGTTCTCTCCAATCAAGAAGAGTTTGCTGCTAACCAGCCTTTACACTACTGCTTCAGACTCTGGATAATGAGACTAACGTATGCCATGGGGCTAGTCGAAAATGCCGTTCAAGGCGGTCAACGTCGGTCCAACTTACGAATCGTCGAAGCTAAGACAAGCTATATAAATACTGAAGAAAAGAGCACGCGACATGGAATTGTTTCCATCCGAGTAATAGATAAACCGACAATATAAAAATGGCAACTTCAACAACATACACCACGAAGCAATGGATTCTCGCCTCGAAACCATCAGGTGCTCCAGTGCTCTCCGGACCCGATGCGACTTTCAAGCTGCAGAACGTGGTAATACCACCATTAAAAGAAGGCCAGATATTGTGTAAAGTGCTATACTTCTCCAACGATACCGGTCTCCGCAACTTTATCCAGAGTAGAGTCGCCCCCGAACGCTTCTACGTACCTACCGTTCCCGTAGGCTCGCCAATGCGCTCTGGCATCATTGCTGAAGTCCTCGAATCCGCGTCTCCGACTTATAAACCCGGTGATCTAGTCATGGATTTCCACCTGGGCACGTGGAGCGAGCTTGTAACATTAGATGCGGCAAATTCTCAGCCCTTAAGTCCGCTACCTAATAACCTACCGCTTACACATTACCTCGGCGCCTTCGGGGCGTCTGGACTAGCAGCTTATTCTGGGTTAGTCTACGCCGGAGGCGCGAAGGCCGGCGACACGATCGTCATCTCCGCGGCAGCAGGCGCCACGGGGTCCATGGCGGTACAAATCGCAGTCCAACTCCTGGGCGCGAAGAAAGTAATTGGGATTGCGGGGTCCGATGAAAAGTGCGCGTGGGTGCGGGACCATCTCGGCGCGCATGAATGTATCAACTATAAGAGCTCGACTTTCCTTGAGGATCTAAAAGCTGTGACTCCGGACGAAGTCGATGTATACTTCGATAACGTGGGAGGCGATGTGTTGGATGCGATGCTAACGCGTGTCAAACGCCACGGGACGATCGCTGTGTGCGGTCATGTTAGTGGATATAACTCCGATGAGGCGATGGGGTTGAAGAATTGGTTCGAGATTGTGTCGTCGCGGATCACGATTCGGGGGTTTATTATGCTGGATTATCTGGATAAGGCGCCGGCTATTCTGCAGGAGCTTATTGGTGCTGCGGCAGATGGTAGGATTAAGTTGCAAGATGGCGAGACGGTTGTTGAAGCGAGGATCGAGGAACAGCCAGAGATTTGGATGAGGTTGTTTAGTGGTGGGAACCAAGGGAAATTACTTACTAAACTAATAGTATAGAAAATCTTATAAAACTTGCATTTAATAATTGGCTTTCATACAGCTCTTAACATACTAAGACGTAATGTCCTAACTCCGATATATCTGGTACCTTTGTTTTCACCTATTCCGTATTTCCTATGGTATTGTATAGAATTACTTGTTATTTCGAGTTAAAAACCAACAGTGTCTTGTTGAATTTTACGTGGTATAGGTTGTTAGGCTAAATTGCGATTGAGTTAATTTTTGCTTTCAATACTCGGATTGACGTTAAAATGAAGAAATATTCAGCTTGGTATGAAGAGAAAGTTGAGTTTGATAACTCGCAATAGTCATATGTCTAAAGTTGAGAAGGTCAATCACATGTAAAATAAAGAGAGATTGATGTAAGATGTCAGGATGTCCACTGCTTGCAGCTGGGGTTATATGTACGGCATTCAATTGGCTGGGGAAGCCACTGCGTCATAGCTGTAGGGATATTTCACTAGCGTAATCTTCATCTGTGTAACCGTAATCCCGGCTCCAAGCGTTGCTTTTTTTGAGCCGAGATAATGAACATGTGCCTACTGCCGAGGCCGAGACGGGACACTCAGCTTTCTCTTGCTCCATTTCATCTTTTCTATCCTTCAACACCAACAAAAGATGCAACCCTTCCGTTTCTCGACAACAACACTGATAGGTCATCTGTGTATTAAAACATAACAATACGAATCAATGCTGCGATAGTCTCGATCCGATCACTTTAATCTACCACGCCGCTGTTTCTCACTCCTTCGCAGCGACGCAATCCGACTTAACCTCCTCGCCCGCCTCTTTATTCCCACACCCACAACACCACCGCCAAAATGTCTTCACTATCCTCCTTCCCGGCCCTCGAGGCCCTAAAATCCACCCTCGAACAAATAATCCTCGACCCATCCTACCACGACCTCCTAGCCGTAGTCAAAGGAGCCCGCAATGGCGCAGTCTACGGAGCAAAAGTGCGCTTCCCCCACGCCCTCGTAATGGTCTTCCTCTTCCGGCCAGGCACCCTCCAACAAAAAGTCTCCCTCGTATTCCGCGCGACGCGCACACATGCCGCGAACCTAGCGCGCTTCGCGGTGGTCTACAAATTAACGTGCTTCCTACTCAAGCAATACGGTGCGACCCCGGGTAAATCTGGACACTATGATTCTATGCTCGCGGGGCTGCTAGGGGGATACGTGGTTTTCGGCGGACGCTCGAAGAGGTCGGGGAAGATACCTAGTGTTAACCAACAAATCGTGATATACGTCTTCGCGCGCGTGGTACTAGCTCTCGCGCGGCTGGCTGTGAAGCCTGAAGGAGGTACTGGACTACCGTTTGTATCGCGCGAGGGTATATCTGGCGCGATTACGAAATACGCGTGGCCGGTATTCGCTGCGACGTCGTGGGCGCTCGTCATGCATATATTTAAGCACCATCCGGATGAATTGCAGCCGTCGCTTAGGAGTAGTATGACTTATATCTACCAGCAGTCGGAACATTGGGACAGCTTGAGGAATTTTGTCTGGCATAATAAATAGGTGCATCGCTATATGGCTATTGGGAAAAAGGGAGTGGATTGCTAATTGGTAATTGATGGAGGTGTATACGAGGAAGAGGAGTTATGATATCACTTGGCTAGAGGCGTTTTATGTGTTTACTTCTTTGGTTTTACCTCTATATATCTTCGGGTGTATATTACGCATTTAGCATGGGTACTAGCTGGGCTCACATCTATTGAGCAAGTGGTACGGTGGTTGGGTAGAGCATATCATATTCTTAGATAGATGGAAGGGCTACTAACAACGATTATTATGCGCCCTTAAAAATCCCGCGATGATCAATAGGAATGCACTACTACTTCCACTCAAACCCGCGACAAAAAACGTTAGTACAATATCATGAATTTAAAGTTTTAAGTGTTTTTCATTATTTAAATCAATTACTTTTATTTATACCTTACAAATGCTTCCACCCGTTGGACCACATTATTTGCATTTCATTAATAAGACAAGCTTCTCCGGGCTCATACCGCGGTAGATCCCCATCCGGAGTTTCAAGCTTCCATTGCTCGATTCGACTGTGGACTACCCGATTCTCTAACCGACTCTGGAGGGCCACATGCCAGCTGTTAGCCCGGTTTACCCACGCCCCTACTACTGTCCAGAAGGGGTTGGGGAAGCGGTTCGTTCGTATTTGATAGTATGCCTTGACGTTGTAACCAACGCGCACGTTCGGATTCAACCATACACCCTTCTCGGCCGAGAGGTAGTTATCGGCGTGGATTAAACAACATTCGGAGCCTTCGAGGTGCAAATCTGCTAGAGTATCGTCGATGCCGCGGAATTGTAGTGGTGGGTTGGCGTAGAAAGGCGTTGAATCGAACGCTACGATACCATTCCAGCACGACGTTACACGAATTGGGGCATTGCGCTCGGCGGAAGCCCTGGCAATGGGCGATTGAAACCACGGCCAGTATAGGGAAATGGTTTTTAGGCCCATATCGTCTCGTAGAGCAAATGTATCGTAGTACAACGGCGAGACCTTATAATCCATGGAGCATGCAGCCGCATACTTATTATCGCGAGTATTGAATAGTGTAACAATGTCCTCGGTCTAAGTAATTCAGAATTAGCTCCCGTCATCTGAACAGAAAGTTCGAAAACACATACGTCAAACACAACATCGTTCAGCCAGAGGACCTTGTCAAACTTTCTCCCCTCACTCTCCAGCTGCTTAAGCGGTTCCATAGCCTGGTTTCGAACCTTAGCAAGGTAGGGTATGCGGCGCAGCTCGAATTGACCTTCGGCAACATTCCAAATCCATCCAGGTTCCCGCGCACCTGGCGGCGGTCTCGTATCAATTTCTTCCAATTGCTCCCATACCGTCATTCCCAGACTAATGGTATTTGAAGTGGATCTCTGGTCTAGAGCTGCTTTCAAATCCATCAGCGCCTCTTTCGTCTCATCTTGTGACCCGGATTCGATCGCCGATATGTGGACGTTTTCTGCGCCGAAGTAATCGACTAGATCGAGCACTGCTTGGTTCCATGCTGACTTCTGAATCAGTTCTGTGTTACGATGGACCGACGCGATGAAGACGCTGGTATTCCCCGAGGGAGAAAAGGAGGATCGTCGGTCGACACTCGGGTGTGTGCGGTAGGTATCGGGTCGGCGGCGGATAAGGAGAATGGCGTCGATAGCGAAGACGAAGAGTAAGACGAAAAGGATCGGGCGTAGATAGTTACGCCTAAAGCGGCGCTTGCTGATGAGCATCTAGAAACGACAGGTCCCCTTCCAAGTAGGGAAGAGTATTTATACAGGACAAAAGGAATTGAGCGAGGGAGCGACTGGTTGGTTTTCTTTTCCAAAGAGGTTATGACATTCTCGATCAACGACAGCCGTCTCCTTCAGCCCCGTTCTCGGTGGAGTGAACAAAGCGGATAGATCATGAGGTTTCTCGACGACTACCAACCATGCAAGTCTTGTTTTAAAAGAATTAAAATGTAGGTGGAATGTTTAAGTATGTAGGAATGCGACGGGACTGTCAGCTAAGGGATTGCGTATTGAGATACGTATGTGTTCTAGGGATATGGCCTATTAATTATTGACTAGAGATGTGTTAGAGGCGCATAGGAGAGCTAGGAGAAGCGCCAAATAAAGATGCGTCGAGACCTTCAAGGGTCATTGGCTTATCCCTGGACCTAGCTAACCGTTTTTAAATCCCATGGTGGAATAGCGGCCCCTTTTTATGTAAAGTTCAGGGGGGGCTTACCTACCTATTCTCATTAGAGCGATCGCGGTGCTGTCGAATGGGGCTTTGAGTGACCCAAATAACACGATTTCTGCATCACGTACGTAAGCATTTTCTTGGTAGGAATTGCTGAATTGCTGAAATTGTAGTGGAAGGAATCAGGAAGGAAGCACACAATATGGGACGATCGATCTTAGATTTTGCTACTAGCCGAATTGTGCACACACGGCACCTGCAGATGTGTTACAATGACCCGATGGCTTGGGTACGGTAACGGCTTAAATACGGATTATGTAGATCTACGCTGATTTTAGGAGAGATGATACATCGCCATTGATAAGGATTGATTGATACCCTACATGCTGATATTTTTTACTCGTTTAAACTTTAAGTAGCTGCATGTATCGAAGTATTTAGATGCCTAACCGGATAATATACAAAACTATATCTTTGTCGCAGTTGCTGTCCTGCCATTCAAGATAGTTAGTGTAAGGCTACATCATATCCACTTGCCGTACTATCGAAAGTGACGCCATCGAGATAGTTCATGTTACACCACCCTAATTTGTGGGGGGTTGTTACAACATTGGTGCCTCCATTCCTCTCCAATCATCGACTATATAAACAAACCATCTCCAACATTGAACAGGCAGAAATATAAGAATTGTAGGATATAACGAGAAGCCTCAACGACTTTACCCTCGACCTGTTTTGGGTCAACTTCGCATCTTTATTCTCAAAAATGGCTTCGCAGACCAACATTCCGGCTGCCGCAGTAGAGGGGTTCAAAGATGCTGCTTCATATGATGCGCATCGTCCCTCCTATCCGCCAGAGGCAGTTGAGACCTTCCTTACTAAATTGAAGGTCGCGCAGCAGCCTGGATCTAGAATCGTGGAGATCGCGTCCGGAACTGGGAAGTTTACGGAGCTCCTGGCTCAGCGGCCTGAGAGGTTTACTGTCAAGGCGATCGAGCCCCACCATGGCATGAGGGAGAAGCTCGTGCAGAAGGACTTGCAGAGCGTTGAGGTGGTTGATGGCAAGGCGGATAAAGTGCCTATTGGGGATGAGTGGGGCGATGCTTGCATTGCGGCTCAAGTGAGTTGATAGATGTCTATGGGGATCCTGAGTTAGGACTGACATATCTTATTTAGGCGTTCCATTGGTGAGTTTTTGATTATGACTATACGAGCGCTTGCTCATATTGTATACAAGGTTTGCTACTCCAGAGGCTCTGAAGGAGATTCAACGTGTTCTGAGGCCAGGTGCTGTGTTCGGCGCTATTTGGAACGCCGAAGATTGTAAGTGTTGTTTGGGCATATAAGCTAGATGTATCATCAACCCTATAAGGACTTACTCATCGATCATTAGACAACAAGCCTCAGGATTGGCCAGCAACTACGAAATGGGAGCAAAAGTTGAACGACTTCGTCTGCTCGCTGGACGATGGTCTTCCTCGATTTAGACATCAGGTTGGTGACCCTTACCTCGAAGAGTACCCTGACCACAGCTGATTTCCCCATTCAGAAATGGAGAGAAGTCTTCGATCAGCAGCTGCCAGGCAATCCCATCCAGGTCATCAAGGACACTTTCAACGATGACCTACCCAGATTCAGCCTTCCACTTGGAGAGGACAGTACTAAGTGGACAGTCTGGCTAAGCGAGGAAACACTTGCGTCGCGACTAAACACTTTAAGCCAGGTCGCTGTCCTTAAAGGAGAGGAACGAGAAGCTTGGCTGAAGCTCTTCAAAGAGACCCTTCAAAGTAATGATGTTGAAAGAAATGAGAAGGGTGAGATTGCAGTTCACGGCATCACTTATTTTGTGTGGACGGATAGAATATAAGCGAGCGAATAAGAAGAACGCGGGCAACGAAGATATCATTGCTGTCAGCCACGTTTCGGGGTTTAGCTTTCATAGTAACTAAGCTGCTCAAATTCCTCCATATGTAATGGGAGTAAGCTTGCTGCAAATTGCACATATCCCTCGCCAGGTCTTCGTGATACTATATATGAAGTATGCAGCCCGGTCCAAATGAAAGCGACACTTCATGCCTCGAAAACCCCAACGTCCGGAGGGAAATGATCCCAAAAATACCTCTTATCGGAAATGGCTTAATGAGGGGTTAAGCTATGAGTCGGCCGAGATGTACATGACTTGGATGACCTATTAGCATGCCTATATGAAAGCCACATTTTCATTAAGTCCGGGTTCACTCACCATTATTGCCTCTGACGAAGGCATCTCCGTACGTTCTCCGCTTCACTCCGTTCACATACTCCTCGGTCTTTTCTAGGGCGATGTTCATGTATCCATCAACAGATTGTAGTTCGCCTAAATTATCATTTTAGTAGGACTGGAGGTTCATCGTAATCGGATTGAGATTATGACTACTGACCCTTGTAGACAACACCAGAATTTAGTTTGACGGTGACAGGATTGCCGATGATGTCGGAAAGGAAACCAGAGGGATCCTTGCCTTCTCCCTGGGAAGTTGTCGGTAATGTGCCGTTTTCCATGATGATGAGTCTTAGAAAAGGTGGTTTGAGGGAAAGGATGGATTTGATGTTTGTGTTGCGATTATGATTTGCCTTAGAGCTTGCAGTCAGATACAAATCTAAAGTGGGATAATTATACCATGCACAATTGTATAATTATGTACTAGTGCTAGTGTAAATGTACTTATATGTCCCGCATTTATGAAATCTGAGATAGGCGACCTACATACCTCCAATTATGTATCTGCCCGTTAAGGCTGACCGGACCAGGAACAAAGCGGGGCCTGTCAATTGAATCGACGCGGTATCAAAGAGAACAAACATTAAACCTTTGCAGATGCACGCGCTGTAAATACAGCAAATGCAGCAAATACAGCGCCAATTTTCGTTAACAACGCTGCGCTAGTGGTCGGGTGCTTTCCTTTCTCCCTCGCCGCTGAGACTCGTCTTCGAATTTTCTACCGATCTTTTCCAGAACACCCTTTTTTCTTAGCAAATAACATTGATCATTTAACTTAATCTCCGAGACACATTTTCTATTATCATTATTCTAGGTTGCATCGGTTCAACCTTGAATTATATGCAATGACAGGTCTACAGGAAGAGAAAAAGCTGCCGTTCAAACGCACGGTAAAGCGCAAATCGAACGAAGTCACCGACGACGATGGCCTTTCTCTCTTCAGTCGTTCTGGTGAATTCTTCGAGGAACAACAAAGATTAGCGAAAGAAAAATTGGAGAAAGAAAAGGCCGAGAAGGCTAAGAAGGATGCTAAGAAGGAACAGGAGCGCAAGGAACGATTGGCTCGAGAACGTCAAGCCGAGGAGGATGCATTGAACGAACAACTCGAGAGTGAATCCGCAAATAAACGCCGACGCATCTCCCTATCCGACGACGACGACGACGACGTTTTCGGATTTCAATCCTCAAGACATTTAAAGTCACCTTCGCTACCAAAGACACCAACTTCTAAGCGCGAGAGTTCTAATGCGACGAGTACGAGAAACTCCGGAGGCCGCCCCACGCGTTCCCGACCACGTCGCATCGCAACACCAATCAATTTAGACGATGAAGATGATGATGAACCTATTGCATTCGACTCCCCATCCAACCGATTAAGTCCCCAAAAGTCTCCCACACTCAAAAGATCTCGTACTAAGCGTTCGAGCGAGTCCATCGGCAAGGATGTAATCGCGCTTGATGATAGTGGCACTCAGCCGGATACAGGTGAAGATTCAAAAACAGACAAAGAAGATGATGTTTCCGAATACTACGTCAGACAAGCGATCGAACGAAGGCGAAAAGCCGAGGAGGAACGCAAGACTAGAGAGGGCAGTGGCGGCAAGATCGATGACGATCCTGTTGTGCAAATATTGATTTATTCACATGTGCAGGGCACTCATACACTACTTTTCCGCCGCAAGATTTCCCAAGGGCTCAATGTGGTGTATCGGACATGGGTTGAGCAGCAGATAGCTAAGCATAGTGGCCAAACTCGCTCTGTTCTAGAGACCATGTTCTTCACCTGGAAGGGGAATAAAGTGTATCCGCACACTACTCTCCAAACCCTTGGTATTCGAGCGGAGCGCGATGGTGGTCTATATCCAGATTGGAAGGGGGAACAGGAGGGGTACAAAGGACGGGACAAGGTGTTCTTCGAGGCATGGACGCAGGAGTTGTATGACGAGTACCTAAAGGAGAAAGAGAAAGAACGTCTACGCCAAAATGGCGAGCTATCGGATGAGGAAGAACCCGATCTAAAGAAGGAGCCAGAACAGCCGCAGGATTCGCAGGAAGGCAAGAAGGTTCGCATTTCATTCAAGGCCAAGGATGGTCAAAATTCGATAAAGGCAACAGTGCGCTCGAATACTACAGCCTTCTCGTTAATCAAATTGTACCAAAAACTAGCAAAGATCCCCGAGGACAAGATTATCGAACTTAGGTGGGACGGTGAGGTCCTCGAGCCGGATACGACAATCGAACAGGCGGAAATTGAGGACTTGGATTCAGTCGAAGTCTACATCAAATGAGCCAGAGGGTAAAATAGCAATTTTTGGGTGTCTGGGGTTAGGGAGGGAAAGCGTGTCGGGTTTTCAGGGCTCAAAAAGGCCAGGCGAAACATGCTGAATGATTTACGAATGCACCACACGAGACATATAGTACATATTCATGATACCCCTAATATTCACGTTAGAGTTAAACACATTTCCCAAGACTGCTTCTCATGTCTCGTAATCTACCTATGAAATGCAAGGCGACCTAAGTAAGCAAATTTCCCGTTAACTCCTGAGCCAGACTCCGTTTTTGTGAGATGCGAAATTGATGTAAATTAAAATCTCTCCTTCATCCTTGCGGATACGGTTCGGAGGTTGTTGTACACCTTGCCAGGAGGTTTACCCAATATTAGACTGACGATGGATTCGCGGGCGATGTGGATGTTCTTGAAGCCTGTAGTTGACCTATTAGCGATTTTTGACCAATAAATCGTATAAAATAGCTTTACTCACCTCCTAGAATATGAATCTTAGAATCCGCCAGCACAACTCTCGTACGCGACGCATTCTCAATCGCAAACTTCGTCTTTCCATCCTTACCCGCGATTCGTCCGATGGCACGCGCGAGATGATCTCCATTCAGCGTCTTCACATCCTTGACCTCGAACGTCTCAATGTATAGATCGTCTAGACGCAGCAAGGCAACCGCATCGTCCATATCGAAGCCTAGCGCAAAGGCGCGCACGAAGTCCTCGCCTTTTTGTAGAGCACCGGTATCCGTGGTATGCTTCGAGGTGCGGAGTTCTACTCGCTTGTGCTTGACGTTCATGCGTACTTGTAGCTTCAGGTGCTCGACGAGCGGCGGGTAGATCTTAGGCCATGCGGTTTTGAGCGGTGTGAAGCGGTGCGGTGGGATGGTTACTTTGCGGGTTTGAATGTGTGTTGACGGGTCCTATGCAAATATTATTATTAGAATATTACTAGATATCTAGTTGGGTGACAGGTGTCACATACGGTATTTTGTACGGGCGCAAAATGTGGCTTGTCCTCCTCATCAATCTCCATCTCTTCCTCTCCTGTTCTTTTCACCGGTACTAGAATCGCATTGGCATCCTCGGGCAGCTCATTCATGCCTTCCAGCGCAAACTCTTCATCTTCATCTTGATCGGCTTCGGGAAGCGGGAAGTCGGATAGAGGGGTATCGTCTACCTGCTTGAGCAGGGCTGTCGGTGCAGGCATATTGTCGTTCTTTAATTTAACTCCCCTATCGGTGGTTGAATTGATTGTAGGTCGATGGGAGAGAGTTATGAGTCGTGTGGGTGGTATAATCGCCGAATTAATATCTCGGGTATCTTTTCAGAAAATGGTGATAGTTTTCTGGTGGAGTACCAAAAAATTGGTGGTCGCTCATGTTTGGTGGGATGTATTTCCTTATCGATAACAAATCCCTTAAACTTCAGCATTGGGTGGAGACTTCTGTGGGACATTTGCAGCACTTAGTGGTGTTATTTAGGCGGTCAAGACGGTGATTGCGGCGATAATGACAGCGGGTTATAGTTATCTTAGCGCACAATTCAATTAACCTAATTTTATCGGTTGCAACCGTTAGCGCATTATGTACAGCGCAATAGGTACTTGCTTAGGTATGTATTGATGTGCTAATGACGACTTTTTTTCAAGCTTGAAGCCAAGCAAAATTCTTGATTGGGATTCATGCCCTCTTCATATTCCCTGCTACTTCTTTTTCTGTTGCATGCATTGTGCCCCTCGTGTTGTTTGTCACGTTAAAACGGAAATCATGGATCTCACCTGGTTCTCTTCTCCTTCTATTTATTAGACACATAGATTTCAACCTCATTGCGTTGACGTTGTCATTATTTTTGACTTAGTTGTGTGTGGTTGTAAAACTGCATCGAAACCACCCACCACCACCATGAGCTGGTACAATGTCTTCAGCAGCTAGGCCTACAATATTAGGCCAAGGGCGACAAGCCTGGCGATCCGTCTACGAGTTAGTCGACACTTTTACCTCGAGAGTATCGCCAAAGCGGAACCCAATCAATCGGGTTGAGCCACATCAAACAGCGTCCTATTCTTCAATACCCAGATCACAATCGTCGAAACCACCTTGGTCCTTCCCACGAGTGCCAAAAGTCCATTACAATAATGTTCGACGTAGCTTCACTTCAAGTGGGCTTCTCCTCCTCGGGCTCGCTTCTCCAGCATCGACAACTTTTGCGGTTACTGCTACATGTTCGGCTGCTGCGGATTCTGCTATCCTCGGAGGCGCGGGTCAAACAGGAAAATTAACTAAATTGGCGAGGCAAGCATGGGTTAGAGATATTCATACTACGCCTCGGGGCAGGTCGATAAGAGTTCAGCGAAGAAGAAAGACTACTAAATCTGCTGCCAACAATGGGAAACCAACTAGCGCCCAACATGTCAATGATCCTAAACAGCAGCCCATTTCAAATTCGAAGCCTGATGCGAAGCCCAATACGAACCCCTCTGAAGTGGAGTCTACGCATGCGTCCATGTCCAAGTATTTCCATCTACCTGCGATGCCACACATACCCCACCTGCCACATCGACCGACGAAAGAGGAATTCTTAGCCGCTGCGAATGGCTTCTGGCAACGGTTGAAGGTTCGGTTCAAATGGTTCTCTATCCGGAGCATGAGGCCGTGGAATATAGATGAGTGGGGTGCTTTTGTATCTTGGGTTTTCTTCGGTCATCTCGTCTGGATTTTGGTCGGAACAACAACCTTCTTCTCCCTCGCTATTCTCTTTATCAACACCGTTGTTGCGCAAGGTAAGAATTCATGCCACTTCCCAGATAATGTCTTCCCTGAACTGATCTGTTATAGAAACTTTGGCGAAATGGGTTGGTGATTATCTGACTGAATCTGCTGGGTTGACCGTAGTCTTCGAGTCCGCTATCGTTCCTAGGTGGAAAGACGGCGTCATTTCCTTCAGAAATGTTTTTGTATCCCGAAGGCCAGGACAGATTAAGTCCTCCGTCAGCAAGGGATCATCATCTGGCGCTGCAGCGGTGGCTGCTGCTGAGAAGAAAACTGATCAAGATACCTATCCTGCCGGGGTCGACGACGGAAACTATACGCAGTTCGACGTTACACTAAATACTGTGAATGTTACACTCTCATTCGTTAAGTGGTGGAACGGTAAAGGCCTTTTAAAAGATGTTGAGATCAAAGGGGTCCGAGGGGTTGTGGATAGGACATCCATAAAATGGTCCAAAACGCCTGTGGACCCCTTATCATACCGCCGCGAACATAATCCAGGTGACTTCGAGATCGACGCCTTCAAATTAGAGGATTTGCTTGTCACGATCCACCAACCGGGTGGATTCCGACCTTTCTCCGTGAGCATATACTCCTGCGAGTTACCCCAGTTGAGGAAGCAATTTCTATTTTACGACATTTTGTCCGCCAACCATATGTCTGGGTCATACGATGGGTCACTGTTTACGATACATCCCCGTCAGATTCATGGAGTTCCTGCCGGTCGCGAGCATACCGCTTCCGATCCACTAGGGGAGCCTGATGCTTGGAAGAAATTTAGTCGTATACGGATAGATGGGCTCAAGATAGATCACCTCAACCGAGGAGTCGAAGGTCCTTTTGGTTGGATTTATGAAGGCAACGTTGATATTGTGGCTGATATCCGGTTCCCTGCCGACGATGACGACAGCATCACAAAGGTGATGTCGGAATTTTATGATAAACTCGAAGAAGCAGTTACATCTAACCGCTATCTTCATATTCTCGATAAACCTCGTCGGGAAGAGGAAGTCATATTCAACGCTCCGAATCATTTTGAATCCTCCGAAAATCCAAACGAGAATAGTGCTACTGCCACACCAGCGGAGGACACCCCGCTTCCGGCAGAAGTGGGCGAAGATGAGGAACGACCACGCTATTTGGTTATGGACCTACGAATCCACCTCAACGACGTAAAGGCTACCGTACCGGTATTCACATCCAACTTATCATACGTGAATCAAGCGCTCGTGCGACCCATCGTGGCATACATCAATGCGAAGCGCACTTATATCCCTATCGGATGCCGCATCGTCAAACGCGCCTCTGACTTCGATGGTTCCTGGACTATCTACGATTGTGGCCTTATGGACGATGCATCGGCTGAGGTCTATACCGCGTTCGCGCGTGACGTTGAGGACCAACAGAGCCGTGTTCGCCGTCTAAAGAAAGTTGGCTTTTGGACCCTTAGTCTTGCCGTACATGCTCTTTTCATGGGTATGGCCGGGAATGTCATTTAATTTAAGAAAACATACTATCCCTCCTACCTCATCTTCCCCTCTACGAATAAAATACGACAAACGAGACACGCACATAGAAGAAAGGCCCAATATAGGGCACGGATAATTATCCGATGAATGGCATATATATAAAGGTACTCATGTATACGTACCTACGATTGTACGTATGGAGTTCTCATGGCGTAATGGAGTCACGGTGGGCTTCACCCTTTGTTTCTCAGAGAACTGGGCACGACTACAGTATCATTGGACCGTCGTCCCTTTTGAGTCGGAAATACCCCCCTTAGGTAAAAAATAGAAATATAAGAAACTGAAAACATCCACGATTATTTGAAGTTTACAAAGTGTCCAAATTGCATGTCGCTGAAAATTGAGCGGGAATCATAGTTCCTGTAGCGATTCACGTTTAAATAAAAAGAGAAGGCATGGTAAATGCCAAATTTTCGCATTCTATTTATTAGGCAAGCCTCATTCTTTCTACATTCTCAAGGCTCTACTTCTAGCCAGCCAATCAACCAACCAGAATCAGCGGCGTCGTCACTATAGCATCTAGCATAGTGGTGTAGCACGGCTCGGCTCGACCCAACTCAATATTAGCGCGATGCAAAAGCAGGCAAAATCTCCCCTCAAGTCTTGTAGGGGCCTATGTAGCCTGAATGATTCTAATGCAACACTAGTTCCATTGTCGCCTGTTCGTCGTCTGCTTCCTTTAGCTAGGTCATTCCGTCATCATCGTCAATTTAGTATTAGGCTTCAGCACTAGCTCATGTGGAAGATTAAGGGGTGTGGTGGGGGTATATCGTAAGGGATGGAGGCATCGGTACCCGTGGATCGAGGTCGAAGCGCATAATGTCGAACTGTGCGAGTTGGGATATAACTTCCAGGCAATCCACCATGGAAGTTGCCCTTCTGGGCGGGGATATTCGATGCGGAGGTATCGTGGCGGGGGCCACAAAGAGAATTTAATTCCCTTTGCGCTTTTCACATAAAGTCATCACTGCGTAGACGGTTAGCTTTGGGAAATCTCCGGTTCCGACCCATCGAAATCACGTACTCATTGAACGAATCCTCATAGGCGCCAACATCCGTAGTGTTAGCACGGTTTGTTACCAGCGTGGTCTTCGTCTTCTGAGCCTTAGTCTTCTTGCCACCTTTCTCGGATGCCTTCTCTTCCTTCATCTTCTCGTTGCTAAGAGCAGTGAGGGTGCTGGCAACCTTCTTGATCTGATCGCTAGGCAAGTCCTTGGCAAGCTGCTTAGCAAACTCCTGGAGGAACAAGGAGTAGTGCGCCTTCTTGCTGTTGTTACCAATGATGGGGACAATGGTGTTGCGTAGGTTCTCGAACTGGGTCTTTGTTTGTGGGTTGAAAAGAGGCAGGGAACTCAAATCAACGGTCTTGGTAGGGTCTTGAGGGTCGATGGGGACGGCAGAACCAACGGTGGTAGCCTTGCGTCCGGTGCTAAGACTGATTCCGGCTTCACCGAAAAGATCTTCGGCGTGCTTCAGGTCGGATTCTTTCTCTGTGCGACGTGTTCGCTCGCGGCGCTGAGACTCGGTCTCATCCTCGGAATCCTCATCAGACTCAGCTAGGCGGCGGGCTCGCTCGGCCTTGTGTTCGGCAATACGTTGAGCCTTGGACTTCTTGTTAGCAGCGGCTTCGGCATCAGCCTTGGCCTTAGCCTCGGCTGCCTTCTTAGCCTTCTCGCGTTCTGCTTCGGAATCTTCGGCGGCATCCCAGGATTCAAGGACCTGATAAACGATAAGTCAGCATTAGCAATTAACTGAAAATGGAGGGGTAATGGATAACCTACGTCACTGTCTTCAGCCTCTTCATCGTCGAACTTGCCGCGGCGGGTAGTGCCAAGTGGTGGGGAAGATGGAGGGGTGCTGCCGGACTCCTCCTCTTCGTCGTCTGTATCACAAATAGCGGTCAGTATGGTTCGTTTTAAGCGATTGACGCATCAGCGCAAGCATGTCGCATCAATAGAAAGCGAAATGATCCAATAGACCAGGAAGAATAGACGCGAGTAGGATCCACCGAGTCCTATCAGATATCCATTATTTATGGTCTTGAATGATTGATGGTGCGCCTCACTACGAGGCCCCATGTGGTGATGCAAACTGTTGATGTGGCCACTCCGAAAGCGCGCGCTTTTTCGCAAGGAGGAATAGAAATATAGAAATACAAAGTGACTTACCCCACTGTTTCCGGGCAGGCATCGTGAATTGATTGACGTTAAACGATGGTTACAAGTTTTGCTTTAATGGCACAAAGAAGATAAATCGATCGATTTCTGTCGCCGATTGCGAGGAAGCGATGTCGAAGGAATCGTCGAGATGAGCGAAAGGGGATGATGGGAGAAATAAAGGGAAGAAAGTTTAAGGGAGTAAATAAAGATTGGGCATAAAAATCGGCGGGAGAGATATTTCTGGGTTTGCCTAAAATTTTGTGCGCTATTGTGCGTAGTGGGACACCTAAAAGAATGCAGTCGCAGTGAAGTATTTGTGCCTGACGCTGCTAGTCAGTTCGAGTCCACAGGTACTTGCCAACTGAACAATAGACTTTCAAAGGCTGAACGTGGGGTGTGCGGGGCACTGATTGAATTCAATGTTCCTGTCGAGTTCACAAAAGCCTATAAAAATATCTTATCGGCGTTATCGGTAGAAAATCCCAATTACCTAAATATGCCTAGTGACGTTTACATCAGAACCCTTGCGGCATCTCATATATATACCTCTAATTGCCCACCTAAACTCATATAAACATCTCCTTTGATATGAACCTTCTTAACTATTTTTACACAAATACTTTTCTTCTATTGAATCCTAAACCGTAGCTTGTCTTGTACCTAACGATAACTTTCAATATTCAAACCAACCCTGAAAGACTAATCTAAATACATATCGACTAGTACGTCGCATTACATAATCATCAAACAACTTCTGTACCCGCACTTATGCTCGCTACTGATAAAGAGTTCTCCCAAATACTAAATAGAGAATACAAATAGCTATATGGTTAGGCTCGGTCTAATGGTTCTTAAGGAAATAGAAAAAAAGGCTTAAGATTCAAACCAAAGCAAGTTCGAACTCATAATTAATAGACTACACATACCTAAGCGTCTTGATAACTCAGTACAACCAGTTTCAACACGTTCAGATATGTCCACTTCCAATTCAAAATATATATATATATAACTAACCAAATACAACGGATCAACCAGATGAAATTTAACAAACTTTCAAAAAAAAATTGTCTACGGGTCTTGCAATACACAGTCACTCTGATGTAGGTCGTGTCACAATCTGGTTTTGAGTCTTGCTCCGTTATTACACAGGCTCCTCTATCCTTGTGTAACATGTGTTCGTTCCTCCCTGTGGCCTTTGCTTTTACACTCATTGGTGTTTTAGCTTATGCTCGGGTAGGTTAACAGTAGCCCACGTCGGGGTCTTTGTAATTTGGGAAGCTTCCCTTGAACCGTTGCGCCAACTTTCTTATCGAGGCTGTTATTGCAAGACAAGATGTAGACGGTTGCGTACGCTTACAACACGATGGTTTTCTATCACTTATAAGTAGAGTCTCAAGGTACTTAGGTACTTACATACTTTCCAGCATTAATAATTACATATGTGTATGTAGGACACAAAAATGCCTCTGCAGTTATCCAGAATAAATTTTGTAGAGGACAAAGAAAGTTGATATCAAATAGAAGAATCTCGATTGGAATAAAATAAAATTTCGCGGTCAAGTTGATGCTACTAAAATTGGAAATCATTCTCTTCATGTAAGCTGTCTGCATGCTACACTACACTAGCGGTACCCAGTCCTACGGTTCCCACTGCGCGCATTACTGGGTAGACTAAAACCTAAATATTAGCACCCATACCGTTCGTATTTTTATGGAGTTGATTCGAGTCATCTGAATCTTAAGCGTCCTGATGGATGACTAATTGAATTAGTTCATTCCGCCAAAACGGATATACAATTGTAAGTACTCGTTAACGAATAATGGTATTAATTTATTTTCTCTTCATAGTTTTTTACCATATAAAATTTCCGAACCAATTCCAAACTTTAGCATCGAAATAATGGAACTTGGTGACTACAATATTCACAATTTTATCTGCATGTTTGCAATCTCCAACGGGCTTTGAAGCTATCCCCAATGGTAAGAATTAGGGTACATGCTCACTGAATTTCGCCGATAACCGACGAGTTGGGGCCGCTTCCCGCCCGAAAATGTACCGGAGTGACCCCCAACCCCTACACTTCCTGTAATTCCCGATTTTTTAGGCCAGCTGATTCTTTAGCTACCAAAACGGCGACGAAATTTCCATGCTACAATACTGTCATATTTGCCATACCCCGCCAAGCATGAGGCTGTAAGGGCATGAGTAAGAATTGCTACATTAATTTGCGCAAGCTAATGAAAAAAAAAGAAAGGACAAAAAACGGACCGTGTACATACGTACCCGCTTCTTTTACATACCGTCTAGGTTCGGCGTCTGGCTTGTGGTTTCCCATTCGCCTAACTTATACGATGAACGCCGGGGAGTTCTTTCCTCGCCGTCTTAGACCTTCCCATTATTATTTTTTTGTTCTTTCCATTTTCTAGCTCCGTATGGTAGTCGATATGGGTCAGTGGTACCTGAGTTAGTTGTCTCAGGATCTATCCTTCCGTTGTAAACAAGTACATACATTGTAAGTCAGAAAGGTATAAGTATTTCTGATTCCTTAGGCAATCTTCTACTCTTTTCTTGTGTTACACCCAAGTTACATTCAATAAGAACATCGACATCTTTTCTATTCACTAGTATTCACTAGTATCCCTTTCTCTTCAAGTATATCTAAATTAGAAACTGCTTGACTCTTACCAATCCACGCATTCCTATTGGTCCTAGTAGTCATAGTAGACCCATCACTATCTACATCGCCACAACTACTACTCCCAATGCTATCAACCAAAGTTCAGACCAACCTTTGCACGCCGAAACAGGCTGCTCGGCTGTCCAAAGCTGCCACAACCCTTCTTCGTACCTCGACTGTTGGTTATCCTGCAGGAATTCGCATCGGTTTTGTTGCGTCTATCCAGCACAATGGAGGCTCACGAGCATTTTCCACAACACATATAGCCAGCTTTAAGGATTTTTTCCCAGTTAAGGAAACTGAGAACATCCGCCAAACACCGCCCGCATGGCCTCACCATGGCTATACTGAAGAGGTTAGTTGCAAGACCCTTTTGTTACCATGCTATATAGGTCATAATGGCTAACCGATCCATTTCAATGTAGGAGATGCTCGCTGTTGTCCCGTCCCACCGTCCCCCTCAGACGTGGGGAGATTGGTCCGCCTGGAAGTTTATGCGTATGTGCAGATGGGGAATGGATTTCTTCACCGGTATGAAGAAGGAACAAAAAGTGGATAAAGCGAACCCGACTACCGCTGTCAATACCATCAAGCCCTTAACCGAAGGCCAATGGCTGCTGAGATTCTTATTCCTCGAGTCCATCGCCGGTGTCCCGGGAATGGTTGCTGGAATGTTGAGGCATCTGCACAGCATTCGGAAACTGAAGCGGGATAATGGCTACATCGAGACCCTCTTGGAGGAGTCGTACAATGAGGTATATTGACTCCACTTTTCCTACAGTTCGCAATGTACTAATCTGTATCAATAGCGAATGCATCTCTTGACATTCATGAAGATGTGTGAACCCGGTAAGCCATTGATTTCAAAAAAAACAACCACAGGATTTGTTCTAACTAATATTTCCTAGGCTGGTTCATGAAGCTACTGCTTATTGGAGCCCAAGGCGTCTACTTCAACGGCCTATTCATTACTTATTTGATATCACCTAAGCTCACGCATCGATTCGGTAAGCTTCGCCGGAGATTATTCTTTCGCCCCTGTTCAATACACTAACTGTCTATAGTGGGTTACTTGGAGGAAGAAGCTGTGCACACGTACACGCTTGCCATCAAACAAATCGAAGACGGTCACTTGCCGAAGTGGTCGGATCCGAACTTCGTCGTCCCCGACATTGCCGTTCAGTATTGGCATATGCCTGAAGGAAAACGGACAATGAAAGACCTTATCCTATACATCCGAGCCGATGAAGCCTGCCACAGAGGTGTCAATCACACTTTGAGTAACCTGAACCTAAACGAAGACCCGAATCCCTTCGTCAGCGTGTACAAGGACGGCCGAGCCCCTCCTAGACCCGCCTTAAAAGCACAGGGTTACGAGCGCAATGAAGTCCTCTAAGCTTCTATCTAAACTTGTTTTCATCAAGTTTAGAAAAGGCATCGATAAAAAATTTCATGTAATATCATTTAAGAAAAAAGGGGACATAGATATGATTTCGATTACACCATGCCTAGCCGGTCGCAGGCAGGAATGCGGTGCATTGAGACGGCGTTACGTTTGCCACGGAGCAAATATTCGGGAACCAGTCCCTGGTCGATGTTTTGCGATGATTTGATATTAAAAAAATACCCATAGAATGGACCGGAGTTAGGGGGCGCAATTGGCAATCTCTCCAGGTCCAGATCTCGACTCCTTTAGACTAAGATGATCTCTACTTTCTATTCAATGGAAAAGCTCTTCATTGCGACTTCGTGTCGGCACAGCTTATTAATGACCACTTGCAGATTATGATATATCGCGTGCTTGGTGTAACAGTATTTATGGGTCTGTGACGCAGTGCATACTCGGGTTTAGCAATGGAAATATACTTACTGCAGCAAAAGCAAATACCGTTGCTGGCGGCTGGTGCGGTTCCTGGATTATCTACCGACCCTCAAATTTCTGCCAACAGTAATAGTTTGGTGTAACATTGAAATCCCTATTCATACGAGAGCTTACGTTGGAATAACTCCATTAACGAATGTTTCCTACCCAATGAATTCTAATATACGGACACCCCATCCCGGAGCCGAATAAGCTCACAACTTCTCCCACAAACTATCCTCCTTCAACACATCCAAGTCCTGCCTCTGCAGCATAATCACAGCTTCAATCACCTGCGACGAAACAGGGCCATCTACATTTCTCTTCCGAGGCAAGATAATTACATTCCCATCAGCCTGCGCATACGGAATTCTCACGAACTCCGGTTTTCCTAGACCGGAGCCAAACTCGAATTCATAGAAATTGAGATCGGCCCAACTGGTGATGAATAAATCACGGGACCCGAATAACTCCCATCCAGGGAAAATAGTCCGGTGGTCGTTGATCTCATGGGCTAGATGGTGTACTTCGCGGATGTGAGTCCCGTTGATACGTTCTGGTGATTGGGCCTGTGCGACGGCGCGACAGATGTCGGCGAGGAGTACTGCGGAATTAGCGGTGCTGCAGTCGCACACGGAGCGTGCTGGTTGCTCGGCGGTGGAGAAGAGAACCATGTTCCCTAGATACGGGTTTTGATGGTCGGCGAGAGAGGGGTCGAGACGTTTGCGCCCGTTGACGGCCATGGGCAGACGGCTGGTTTTGTGCTCTAGGTCTGGTGTGCGGCGCATGCGGGCGCGGGTTATGGCGGACCAGAGGAGGGCGCATGCTACCGTGTTGGTTGATGGGGTCGTCTCCAGGTGGGGTTTTAGGCTTTCTTTATAAGTTTCAATTTTCTTCATGGAGATTGTCAAGATTTCAGAGGTGCAGGATGCGAACTCGGTGGGTAGAACTGGAGGGATTCTGGAGTATTCTGGGTGCTTTTCGAAGAGTTCGTCAAGGGAAGCGGTGTTGGGGTTTTGGCCGATTGCTTTTGCGAGACGAGTGTTTCTTTCCGATGCAAAGCTGAAGCTCGGGACCTGGGATTCGGGTTCGCTCATAAATTGCGCCCATAGATTGATGATCTCCGCAAACCCAAAGCCGTCCATAGAATTATGGTGTGTCTGGACGCACAATCCGACTGCCTTGCCGTTGGTGAAACGGAAGAAGTTGGCTCCAAAAACAGGCGCTCCAGATCCAGATCCAAGCTCCGCCTGCACTTGCCCAGGGGTAGGCCACATATCCGAAGGAATACTTTCCAGGGGAACTTTGACCTGAGATAGTTCTTCGTATGTAGCTGAAAGGGTACCCTTATCGACGATACGCGGCGCCGCATCTGTTGCAGTCCAGCGGATTTCGAGCGAGGGTTTTTGTCCTTCCGCCGTGGATGTTTGAAATACCTGTCCCATAAGCCATGGAATTCGCTTGCACACAAGATCCAACCCATTTTGAAATTTCGTCAAAAGATCCGAAGGCGGTTCCGTTGTTGGGAATACCAAGACGGCTCCGATATATCCCCCGGGCATGAGCAAATCGAGCGGCGTCATGCCCTCGGCAAATTGCGTTTCGGCCATGGTGATGCGATTGATTGTTTTTCTTTTAGACGAAGTTCAATTTAGTAAGTCTCGATGTTGATTGATTCTAAACTAATATTTTTTTTTTCCTCTATTCTTTATATCCTTTTCTTGCCGTAAGAATGCATGAATTTGTTTTTATTTCGTTGCCTGGTTTAGTCGACAATTTTGATGCCTGAAGCTTGCGGATATGAAGTAGAACAAATTTCGGGGGCTCGGGGGCATCATCGGGGCCGTAGTTTCAGCTAAGATGCCGCCGACGCGACACGCTTTGCGTATTGTATCCTTGGCGCGTAAGGGGAAATATTTCCAGTGTTGATTCAATTTGATATTCAATTGGCTTGAAATGCGCTGCGTTTGATGTTCTGACGTGGGATTGGGAGAGCTCCGCCAGCTTCGATGACGTACTTGGCCTGAAGACGGCTACGATCTCAATTGCCCCTGTACTTAGTAAAAAGATCGCTTCAACCACGGTCTGGCCGAACGGAAGGCAGGGGCTTGAAAGAGGCCCGTATACTATTAGCGGGATTTTGGCGTTAAAAATGAACGTTATTGAAGTGCAAGACAGCAATATGTGCGAGTAGACAATCTTGACCATAGCCCGTTGTGAATCTCCAGAAAAACAGATGCATTAAATCATGAGTGTATACGTAGGTATGGGCTTACGTTAACGTAAAAGTAGCCCGAATCCCAACCAACATTTTCTACCGCGGCCGTCTATACCCGTCTATTCATCGTGTCTAATTAGCTCTAACCTTCTGATCGAACTCCCAAAACCAAAATAAACCCCCACCCAGGCAAATATCGTAAATGTCGTAAGTTTACCTCTTGAACCCTTTCCACTTAGCCACACGGAAGAGATAATAAGTCGTAACGGTGACCATAAGGTTAAATACAATGAAAACCCAGACTAGGCCAAAGTTCCGCCATCTGTCGGAATACTCAACACCGCTCGGCGCTAGGTACTGGTCTGCGTTCTTATAGCTGCAGTACCGGCATTGGGTCGTATCATCCTGATTGAGCAAGTACCCCGGCGCCGTTTTCAAGAATCCATACATGTACTCCCCGCATGTCTCGTTGGCTGGAGGGTTGAATACGGCGGTCTCGGTTGCGGAGCAGTCTACGGCGCGGTCGTGTAGAAGTGTACCTACGATGCCGCCGATCCAGTATGTGAACGGCGACACCCGGTACATAAAGATCCAGAATCCTGGGAGTGCGGCAGGTTGTTGGAATACACCGCAGAAGATGAGACTTAGCAGCGTGAGTAAGGTGACTAGGGCTGCGGCTGTGTGCGGGTTTGGAAGCGCGGCGACGGTCATGTGCGCGAATGTTGTCGTATACAGGAAGAACTGAATGATAAAGAGGAGGACTGTGCCTTGTCGGATGGACGCTTGTACCCCGACCATTGGGTAGTATACGCAGGCGAAGACGAGGATGCCGGCGATTGCTTGATATGGTAACTCGACTACGGTGCTGGCGACGAGGAAGGATTGCCAAGAGTAGACTTTAGATGGACGCTCGCGGACTTCGTAGAGCGCGCGTTGGGTTGTGAAGATAGGGTGGATCTAGCACTCAAATTAGCACATGCTGATTTAATTCGAGAGGTCGCGAGCTCCAACGTACCTGTTGAACAAAAGGAGAGAACAAGGTCGTGATCATGAACACGCCGAAGAGCACTTTGGACATCCCCGCTTGGGTACTACCTGATTTCCAGAATGAGAAGCCGATAAAGATACCCGAAGCTATGGAGAGTGCCCATTTCGACATAACGTAACTAGGCATTCTCCAGTATTGCTGGAAAGTCCTATATGTAATGAGACGCAATTGTGTCATAAAAGACGCCGCGAACTCTCCATGATCATCGTTGTCGTGAGATGAGGATTGATTACCCGCCGAGGCATGAATGCGATCGAGTTCAACATTCGTAGCTTGTCGTTCCTCACTCGCATTCCATATCGCGTGCCAATCCTGGGCCCCTTCGTTCACGATCTCCAACATATACTCGGCAGGGTTCTCTTGGTCATCACACCGACGCGCACCTTTGGCTTCGAAATAATCAAGCAATATGCGGGAATCCCGTCCTACATCGCCAAAGTATATCGTCCTTCCTCCTCTGGCTAGGAACAACAATCGATCGAACTGCTGGAATAGCAGCGCACTCGGCTGGTGGATGGTACACAGCACAGCCTGTCCCGAATCCGCCAACTTGCGCAGAAGCGCGCAAATCGCCCACGAACTCTGCGAGTCGAGACCACTAGTTGGCTCATCCAAAAAGAGCAGAAGCTTGGGCTTGGCCGCGAGTTCCACCCCGATACTAAGGAGTTTGCGCTGTTCCACGTTGAGGCCCTCGCCAGGTTGCCCGACTACAGCATCGGCGAATTCTTCCATACTGAGCATGTGTATGACTTCTTCAACGAAAGCGTGTTTTTCTTCTCGGCTAACAGTTCGGGATTGTCGGAGTTCGGCGCTGAAACGTAGGCTTTCGCGGACGGTCGCGGTTTCGAGGTGGAGATCTGGATAATCCATACGTTAGCGAGGGAAAACTTGACGGGGTCTGATAATGGCGAACTTACCTTGTTGTTGAACATATCCGGTGTTACGTTGGAAGCTGGCGGCCAAGGGCTTGCCGCTGACGAGCATGTCGCCGGTGATTACACCTGTGCTAGTTCGCTGCGCGAGAACATCAAGAAGTGTGGTTTTTCCCGCTCCGGATACACCCATCAGAGCTGTGAGTGTACCGGGCTTTGCCCACCCGCAGACATGATCGAGGAGTCTGCGTGACTCGCCTTTGATCTCGATGTCGTATACAACATCTCTCCATGTGAAAATATCTCTCTGCGGCTGGATTCCTGGAGTTTTATCTCGTGGGGCAGTGGGAGGAGCGGCCATATCTGTTATCAGAGTATCCGATGAAGCCTTAATATCTAGCATGCTCTGCTCATTCTTCGTTAGAGATGCGGGTAACCGTCCTCGTTGGAAAATGAGAACTTGGGCGGAGCTACCGGTCGACGAGTTGAGCTCGGTCGCAATAACGTATGACGCCAGGAAAGCTATGAGAAATGCTAGTAGGATACCAAAATTACGCCAAACATGCGAGTAGTGGTATCCGTAGTTAGCGCTCATAAAGTCATCACCATTGACAGTCATACTACCGGCGACGGCCCCGACAGCAGCGCAGATCCAAGAGTCGCCTTGCACGGGCATATAATTAGGAACCAGACTTGCGCAAGTGAACTCCCGACGGTGAAGCTCGTTGGCAATTAAAATTTCGAGCCCATAGTAAACAGGATTAAGCCAGCGAAGCCACGCGAACCAAGGTTTCATTTGAGGTACCGCGATCACAAAGCCTCCGTAAATGACCAGTATTAATATCATAACACCTGCTAACGACATTGCTTGCGAGATACTCGACGTAACGGCAGCTAGTGTTCGGAAGATGGCGCTCATGACGAAGGTGGCTATAAATATGATGAGAAAGTATAAGAAGAATGGTCCCGCTTCCCGGCGTAACCCGCCTAAAAAGTATAAGACGATATTGAATCCGACTGCTAGTATGAACTTGATTGGTATGTCTGCTACTATGCCAGCGATGGCCTCGGCTGCTGGATGATAGAATGCATATGAAGCATGCTTTTCCACGATTGGCCTTTGAGCGTATAGAGTATTGATTTCAGCAAGAGCTGTTAGAGCATTGATTAGAATGGCGAGAAACAGAACAGCTGCTTTGGCCTGAAAACTGTCGGTACTGTTTGGTGTCCCATAGTAGATTGATCCTACGACGAGAGCGATTACCACGTAGAGCATAGTTGTTGCAATTGTCGCGGACTTATCGTTCCATAGACGTTGGTACGCTCGCTTGGTAGTAAGGTCAACTTGCATCGGTAGACTAATAGTGTATGGTGACTTAGGGCGAACGTATTTGGCTTGCATGAAATTCTTGGCGCTCCTCAGATCCGTTATGACTTCATGGCTTCTAGCAATGCGCGATTGTCGATGATACTGGGAAATTTCACGTTGGAGTTCTTTGAACTCTGGCGAGTTGCGCCAATACTGCTGGAACTCATAGGCAGTTCGGGGCACTCGGTCCTCCATTCCGCGACGGGGTGTGCGCTCACTGGGATTAGTTAAAGCAGTAAGGAAATCTCCCGTCGTCTGTCGGGGGGGACAGTTCCATCCTTGATCCTCAAAGAAGGTCTTCGCCTCATTAGCAGGGCCGAAGTAGATTTGTCTCCCTTCATAGAGAACGGTCACTTTGTCAAACTCGTCATAGATGGCCTGACTGGCCTGGTAGATGGCCACAGCGTTCACACTCCCACTTAGATCGGATGCCAGTCTAAGACTCTGCACGAACTTAAGCGCTGTAGCCGAGTCAAGTCCTCGAGTACTATTAATCCGGTTAGCAAATATGTTTAAGGGAGGAAAGGAAGGTGCAGATAGTTACCTGTTATCCCACGCCGATATTGATGATCCGGATAACATCATTTCTGCTATACTAACACGTTTCCTTTCTCCACCAGAAACACCACGGATGAAGTCATTACCAACTCTAGTGTTATACGTATGAGATAGGCCACAGACCTAGATTCAAATGATTAACACTGAAAACTGGATGGTATCAGAGTAGAGCAAATGGAAACTTACAGCCATGACTATCCTAACCACGTGTTCACTGAACTCCTTGCGAGACATACCATGGATCTCGGGAGACGGAGTGCGACATGCAGCCGCGAACTCCAACGTTTCCCCAACAGTAAGCTGAGGGAAATGTTTATCAACCTAATCATGATCAGCACCGAGCAAAAGGGATTGAACACAGGCTACGTACCTCCTGATTGTATGTTACCTCTCCTCGGAACTCATTCACCATCTTATCCTGCGGGATACCATTGTAGTGGATGATAGACTTCTCGTGGACGTGCAGGTCAGAGAGCTCTCCGCAAAGCGACTTCAGTAGGGTACTACATCCCGAGCCCGGTCTACCAAGGACTAAAAGCAACTCCCCGCTCTTGACGAGACCGTTGAAACTGTGCAGTATCTTTCTCTCCCTTGTCCTTTGTCGCGAAAATAAACTCATGATTTTAAGGGGTGCTCGTAGGATATCCGCAACCGTTTGTTGAAATTGTACCGGCTCGCCAGATCCTGATATGCTTAGAGTCTTAAAGACTATACCAGTACGTAGTCCCTTGTGTCCCTGGTCCTCGAGTCCCTTAGTGAAAAGCTGCAGCCACTTTCGAATATCGAAGTCTTCATGTTGTGGGTTGAGTACGTCCTCTTCTTCATCGATGTCGCTGATGTCGGGATTGATAACATTTTGGTTTGGGGTAGCGTTCAGTCTCCGCGAGAGGTCCGCCACCATCTGTCGGAGCTCTTGCACCTCCTCGAGCAACGCTTGGGACGTCGGTCTGTCACGTCTTCGGGATTCTTGTCGGGATACATGATGATCGGACTTGGAATGCCATGAATCGTCGCCCGCATAGTCGGAGGCGGGGCTTACTGGAGTTGAATAAGGTAGCTCTCTGCTATACTCTGATCCCTCCCGGTGGTTCTGCATCTCGACACCTTAGTTGAACGTATCAGGGTAGGCATCCAAGATGCCACCTGTGATGCGCTATTAAAATGATAGATATTATGACGATCTTATTGCTATCCGTATGGAAGAAAATGCGGCAGGACTAGTGTGCTGGGACGGAAAAGAGACCTGGGGGGACACGCTCTGTTCAAGCCCCAACACCATCCGCGTCTTTTAATCATGATTATTTTATGTCCGTCAGTATCAGCTACATATTATATCTTGTAAGATTTCGCGCTCTCGCTCAAGTAAGTAACAAGGAAGATGTTAGAAGCCCTAGGGATTATATCGGGCTTGATCGTTTCCCGTCTATCCGGTTACACGAAGCTCGACCAATCTTCGTCATGATAGTACGCCCCGGAATCCTACGATGGTTACACGGCTTATCTTAGATTCGAAGATCCCCAACGGAGTTTGGCCACACAAGCCTCCGGTGAGTCTTTTCGCCTCTTGAACATACCTGTGATGACTGCTGAAACTTTCTGTTCTCACCGTAGATAAGAACATATTACGTGGCTCGAGAAAGTCGCCGAGGCTTCCGACTCAAGAGTTATTTCTTTCGTATACTTACAAATCAATATGAACGGAGTAACCAACACATCCGAGAAGTATAAGCTAGATAAATCCGAGCTTGAAGATACACGAGCAACGGCTGGTCGGATGTCTTTCTGTACTATGGCTGGGTTAATCCATGTGGGCGTCATGAGTCTTGGGCAAGTTTGTGTTCGTTCAATTATGTGTAACTGATAATGAACTTAGTAAATGTGTTCTGAATAGCATCGTTTCAATCTACTTAGGTATGAATTAATTAAAGAAATAACCTTGGAAATAGGGTGATTGGGGGTGGGGGTGAAGAACGATAGTTCCAGGGGTAATAAATTGAATTTGGTTATTAGAATGATTAGCCAATGAGAGCTCAGGTGTGACTCTACCTAGGTATATTAGGAAAACAGTAGCTAACTTCAAACTTTATATAGTTGTCTATAATCACGTATAATAGCGTGGTATACTTGTTATAGAATAAGATTGTCCTCGTTGAAATATCCTACAACCTCACATCGTAATTCGGGATCACCGTCTGTGATCTCGGTTTTGCTTTGTTCAATTAGGTGGCTTGACACCGATGCGCGCTAAGAGTCGAATAAATGCAGACATGTCGGATATCTACCATATGTAGTGATAACCCGGTGAGCGGGCGTTCTCGACTGGCAGATTTCTATCATGCCATGCAAAAAGAAATTTCCAGGCTAAATCTTCAACCACCTAGTCTAGTTCTTAATTTTGTGTGCCTAACGGGATACCGCACAATACACTAAGATATGTCAATAATTGACCTGGCTAACCAGTAATTTTTATGGTGCTCGGTTGATATCTTCGTGAATAGCCACTGGGTTCCACTTCGTGGGTGTATATAGATGAATAAGCCAAGAGTTCGTTGATTCTCATGGTATCCGTCAAGATCCCCTTGCATCAGGCCGATCTTATGAGATAACGTTTTAATATCGTGGGAAATAGCGTCATCTAATACATCCACGTGGAGATAAATATCTACATATTCCAAAACATTGGCTTACGGAATTATTATCTCTTCGTTTTATTGGCGGAATGTACGATGTACTCTCACTGGTGTTAGGACCGACATATGAGTTGCTGACAGGATGCAGTTTTAATGGATTCGGTTTCAACCAACGGCGGGCTCGCTTTTTATTTAGGATTCGATGGGGCGTTTTTCGCGTTCTAATATGGCGCCGATCTACCTCCACTCGTGGATATTGTTAAGGACAGTCTAGTATAATGATATGACTAAGAGTAAGTAAGAGTTGGCGTGGTACGACAGTGCTAGGTGAGACCTTTTGTATCAACAATAAATGCCAATTAGACGGGCGACCGTAAGCAGAAATGACGTTTTTTGACCCGCGCAGTCCGTAGGCAGACCCCAAATAGATGTTTTCCAGAAATGTTCCGGGACAGGGGCGTCGCAAGGGGCTGGCGAAGCAAAGCTTACAATCTCACAGCCACGATCTTCTACAAGACCGGAATTAAAACAATGGTGGCTCAGGGCTTTGGTATCTGTATATAAATGATATATGATGAGGCTGATAGGTGATGATGAGCAAGACTGTTCTGTTTGTACTGCACGTGCATGTCACATTTTTGATTAAGTCAATCAGGCTTTTTCTCATCGGGACTCGACATGAGACAATGCACTCGAAATCCAGAGAAAGCATCAGATCAATAGGCCAGGGCCGAAAGGGCGTCTATGCCAAGACGGCAATATATCTAAAGCATATGAAAGGATTTCGTCAAGGGGTGACGTCTCTGCGAGTATCTGCGAGTGAGATGGTTAGGACAGGCTGGACAGCTTGGTACCCAACGTATGTTTCCTGCTCTATCAAGACGAGACAATAGAACGTGAGAGAGAGCGAAAGATCCTCGCTCACCGCCTCGAAAAGGGGAGGTCCCTTTGTGAAGAAATATGGTTGCCTGATATTAAATTGACAACGTTGCAGGGCGATTGGCGGGAATGTCCTTGCTCGCGGGTGCACATCTGGAGAGATCCGCGGTATTTTCCCCTTTTTATCTGTTTTCTGATTGATTGCTTTGCTCCAAGGTTGTTTCGTGGTGGGTCGAGTATAAATGGTAGAAAATGCGGGATTGGGTTGCAGTAGAAATAATAGAAATAGGCCTGGACATACATAGCCCGTAGCCCTACGACTATGAGACCCTTTGCATTACCTCCTGGGTACCTGGCTTTTAGCTCCCTAGGTACATCTGTATGTGCCAAGTTGGTGCCAACTCTAATTGGAAATAATCGCTATTTCGCCCTGATAGAGTTAGAGTTGGGAAATTATGGAGTAATCTATTTCATAGAGACCTATGGATGGCCTAATGCATAAAGAAAGACTATCGGAAACGTGGAAGATTATACCTTACATACCTAGGTAAACCTAACATTGAACCATCATTCATTCATGGATGCTCGCTTTCGTCTGATGTTGCTTGATTATCAGGGGTCTTTAGGGCTGTCTTTCCGCCTGCCTAACGAGTTTAATCCCTCCCTCCCCCTCCCCTCCTTGGCGCCTATTGTCGCAATAAGTGCTACTATTTAAGTATAGTGGGTTTTTAGTGAGTACCTACGCAATGTACCCCATTATAGATTTCCCTTAAGCATGTGCTTAATAGTAATGCTATCCCCCCAATGTCTTCTACAAATACATTTGTCTTGAATCATTCCTTAAGTGCCCACCTAATTTTCATGCTAGTATTTCACAAGAATATTTGAATCTTTGTGAATACAACAAACCTGGAATGCATGTGATGTGTTACATATTACATACTATATACTACTTAAGATACCTACAGCTACCTAATCAGATAATAAACGAAATTGCTAGCTTAGAACCTGGGAAGTAGCCCTGGAGGTAGAACCTTATTAGTGGTAAAGGTAGGTAGGTGATAGGTAGTAGGTGGGGCGACAGGGCGGGGTGATAGGATGATAGAGTGATAGGGTGATTAAAGGTGCTACGGCTACCCGAAGCGGTGGTGGGCTCTAGGTCAGTACCTAGATAGGCTCGCCAACTCTTGCGACCGGAGCGAAATTTCAATTGTGACTGCTTCAACATTCTTTCGTTCCTTTAACCCACTACCAAGACCTAAGACCCAAGACCACAAGACTTTCAAAAACCACCCACTCTAGATTCTAACGTCTAACGTGCTCATTTTTCAGCGCTGGTCGTCATCTCAAAGTGCGAAAGTGCGAATTCTCTGACCGATTCCCATCTCGCCCCAAATCCTAGCAGATCTCTAAACACTTCCGAACCTGTCGCATTGGAGCAACCCCTCAGCCCGTCGCAGTCAACCACTGAAAGTTCGTCGCAGCATCAAGAAAAAGGTCCTTTCTTGTTGCCTATCGCATTCTTTCCCACGATCAAAGAACCGACCAACATTCAAATAAGACCCCCCGGTAGTCGGATCTATCTCAAGAGCCGCGCTGCAGAATTATTTTAAGATACGAACGAAACAAGGGCGATTTGGAAGTAGACTACAATAGGCGACATAACTGAATCAATCGCTGCTCAACATTAAAAAGACCACTCTACTGCTGTTATTATTATTATCGGCCATTTACACCGCCTCACACGCCGTATAACCACTGCGTATTCTTTCCCCGCGACACGTCACGAATCCCCGAGCCCCCAAAGACGGCGACCCTTATGTGTTCTTGGCTTGCTTGGTGATCCGGAAAGAAAAAAAAGTGTCAAGCAAGGGTCTTACAGTCGCAGATCTCACCGCGAAACGTAGCGTTTTACAGCCAGTAAAGCAATTCAATACAGTAGCAAAGATCTACCCCCATACTCCAAGTACCGGCCCCGGATTTGTTCCCCATCTAATCCCATCATCCTCTCGCCGACCTTGGACGCCAAAGCATACCTAAGGAAGCGGACTTATCATTGAGGTGAACAAAGACTCGACAACGTCGGATTTCAATACATTCCCTGGCAGTCTAAACTAAAAGCGTCTCGCATCTGGCCCACATTCGTGTTGTATACGGTAAAAACGGCACTTGAAAGGGTCAGACTCGTCTAAGCACAGCCCCCTTCAAACAACACCCGCGCTGCGCCACGCTGTCAGGCAGATTTCGCGGTCAAGTGCATTCAGCCTTGCCAGACTTGGTGTTTCTAAAGACAGAAACAACTTACGCGCCATGGATCAACAAGCTGCCCAACCTGCAGGGCCGGCTCGTGGACGCTCTCCGTCTGCCGGGAATCAACAGCCTCATATAAGAAATAGTCATTCTCCTTCGCCTCATCCATATCAATCCCCGGACAATTCGATCGGTCTCGGCATTGGTATAGACCCCTCGTCAGCTAGCCCCCAATTCACCACCTCCGACTTCAACACCTACGATAGTAATAACGGCAGTAATCAGTTCCTAAATACGTCACAGCCGCCTCCACCCTTCGACCAGCAGGGTATTGTTGACCCTGCGTCATTCGACCTAAACCAAGATTATTCGCAATCCCTGACATCGCAGTCACAAGCAGCATTTTCTCAGAACCTCCTGGCGTCCGACTTTAACAATAGCGGCGACTTTTCACTATTTCCGTCTAACCAGGGTGATCAGTTTAATACCCCTCTATTTGGTGACCTTTCTCAAACTAATGCGCAATCCCTCGATCCTAACGATCTCACCAATATGACTTCGCCCCAGACACATCACTCACCAACCCCTCCTCATCTTTTAAAGCCAGAACCTGGCTCGACACACCAATCACCATCCTTCAACCAACATCAATTCTCCTCGCCAGGCCACTCAAGACATGCATCGCTTGGCCCGGAGGCAGCTCTTATGCCTGGGCAGTTAGACTGGAATCAACCACAATTTCAGGGACACCGAAGATCGCCTTCAGAGTACTCCGATGCATCTTCAGCTGCCCCGTCCCCACATTTGACAGGCCATGATACCTTCGAGCATCCGGAGCACGGTCATTCACCCATGCAAAGGGCCCAGGACGGTTTCTATGACGGCGTCGTTGGACTGAATAATTTTAGCATAACAAGCGCCAACCCGAATAGTCGCAGTCCATCGCACAGCCCAGCTATCTCTCCTCGAATTCTTCCACAACAGATGACCGATGCTGGCCAGCAAAATCCAAACATGATGTTGACTGCAGGAGGATACCCGAACCCAGCCACCATGGGCTACTCTGTTCAAGGTTCCGAAGAATTCCCCCCTCTATCTCAAGAAGGAATAATAGACCCTACGATATCTCAGCCCATGGCTCCGCCATCGATCAACATTGACTTCGCGCCTAACTCAAGGCAGAACAGCTTCGAACCTCCAAAACCGCCCATGGACGCACAGTCTTTAACGCCGCCCGATAGAGGTAAGATACCATTCGATTACTTGAATATCCCGTCATTAACAAGGCTTTAGGTCGTCCACGATCCCGCCCGCGAGCAGTTACGGACCCCTATAACAGCGGAGGAGCCGTCATCTCGCGACCTAATACCCCTGGGAGTTTATCGCCGCATCTTGGCGCTGATCTGGCCAATCGCAATCGCTCCGGCTCCGAGTCTTCTTCTCGATCACTTTCGCCTGGTGATAGGTCTGGCAGCGCCAATGCCGTTTCCAGAAGACGTCAATCCATGTCAGCGGTTCCTAATAATGTCATAGCCCTGCGTCTGGCAGACCCTGAATACCAAGCCGCCCAAGACAACGGGAGCACAAAACGTGTTCAGAAGCACCCCGCTACATTTCAATGCACGCTATGCCCCAAACGTTTTACGCGGGCATACAACCTGCGCTCCCACTTGCGCACTCACACAGATGAGAGGCCCTTTGTATGTACGGTCTGCGGAAAGGCATTCGCTAGGCAACACGATAGAAAACGTCATGAAGGTCTTCATTCAGGCGAAAAGAAATTTGTCTGCAAGGGAGACCTCAAGGCCGGAGGGCAGTGGGGCTGCGGTAGACGGTTTGCACGAGCAGATGCACTCGGACGTCATTTCCGGTCCGAAGCGGGCCGAATATGCATAAAACCCCTACTGGACGAAGAAATGCTCGAGAGACAGAGAGTGTGGCAAGAACAACGGATGCAGAGCATGGCACAAAATATGGCCCAACCTCAAGCAGTGATGGACCCCAACGTCTATCCTGGAATGGAGGCCGGTGGCTACAGTTTGCCTGCCGCTTTATTAGCACAGTACCCAGCTCTGGCGCAAATGAACTGGGGCCAGAATGATATGAGTAATGTAGAAGACGAGCTTAGCGGGCGTTCGAGCTTCGACGCCTCTGATTACGATGATGGTGATGATACTGGCTACGTCAGTGGCCCCGGAACCGGATTCGGCGAAGGCGGCATGCAACAAAACTTCGGTGAATCTATCGGCTATGCTAGCGATTATGGTGGTCGTTAAAATCATTAGGGTTGGCTCGTGCAACCGGCATGGCTTCATTAATATTCACGATTTGGTGGCATCAGTACTTATTTGAACGGAACTTTACCCGACTATAAACGAGTACACGGACCTTGGGCGCTCAGCGGAATGACATTTTATGACGATTTTTTTTATTTTTAAAAACACTTTGTGTTTTCAGGTTATTACCCCCTTTAGATGGCATGATAGATACCAATATCGAATTTCACGTTTTTGATTATGTGGCCCTAATTGTTAAAATCCGGACGTGAGCCTATGGTGTATAATAGGTATATCTTAGCTCGATGTCAAATTTCCCGAATACACTTCTAGATATTTCTCAGAGCTACAGGACGTCGAAGTTTTATATCCTAGCTAGTCTAGAGATCTACCTAGGTATGCTTGATAATCAATGCTTTGCCCCCTAGCGTATGTGGGGGAGCCCCGCCCGATCGATTGAATCGGTATAATACAGGTACCGTCCGCGGAGGCTCCGTGTATCCAAATTCCACCATGGTATACTTTATCATATTAAAATCCTATCGCCTAGTTTCGGTGAACCGAGGCTTACAAATTGGGTTCTTGTCGCATCCCACATAGGCAGATAAATTTACATGGTTTTCAGTTGGGGCATTACTGATCCTCCCACAATACGTTGGGAGGAGGTACCATTATCCCGGGCGTGGAGCAATATGAGATCATATGGGATGTGGTTTAGCTTCCATTGATTGATGCCGTCTGTTTCTTTGTCCAATAATTGAAGCTTCCTCGGACCCGGCCACTTGCGCCGGGGCACCTTGCCTAGGCAAGGCGGATAGGTTTGTAATCAAAAACCGACTCATGTATTAGTCGTGGGTAAAAGTATAAATACGTTTGTCCGACGGTCGCTGTTTAGATCCTAATTTAGACGGGTAAGCAAACGAGAAAGTGAAACAATTGCATCATCCATCCATCGAAGCTCCCCCTCCTCCTTCGCATCCCCGCCCCCACTATACCGAATCGAAGAATCGCGACAAAGAAAGTAATAAGTCACGATGAAGGCTCTTGCGATTGTCGAAAAGGGCAGGGCCGAGATTAGGGAGGTCCCGATTCCAAAAGTAATCGACGGGTTTGTGCTTGTCAAAGTCAAGGCTGTTGGCATCAACCCGACCGATTGGAAGGGCATCGAAACCCGTACTGTGCCTAGCGGCGTCCAAATAGGGCTAGACTATGCCGGAGTTGTCGAAGAGGTCGGCAATGGAGTGACGAATTTTAAGAAGGGCGATCGCATAGCTGGTGCTATCTTCGGCTTGTAAGTAAAAATGCCATCGCTGTGTTGAAATTCTGACAAATCCTTGACCAGAAATGAGCTCCATCCCGATTGGGGTGCCTATGCTGAGTACTTGATCGCTAAAGCCGACGTGCAAACCAAAATCCCCGACAACGTCACCGACGCGCAGGCAGCTACTCTCGGTGTTTCTCTGTTGACAGTGGTAGGTGCCTAATTCTGTCAAGTTTTACAACTATCCACCCATAATATGATTAGCGAGAGTGGGAAAGAAAATGCTGACTAATACACGATGACAGGCTCAAGGTCTCTACAAAGTTCTTAAGCTCCCATGGCCCACCACGCCTGCCAAGGAGCCCTTTCCCATTTTCATCTACGCAGGTAGCGCCGCAACAGGTGTCTACGGGATCCAGTACGCAAAGTTATCGGGTCTGACTGTAATTACGACCTCGTCGCCGCACAACTTTGACTACTTAAAGTCGCTCGGCGCAGATGCCGTCTTCGACTACAAGTCGCCGACAGTCGCAGCCGATATCAAGGCACTTACCGGCAACAAATTGAAGTACGCATGGGACTGCACGGGTGATGGTGGGGCTATCGTCGCTAATGCTCTAACGGATGCTGAGGAGAGCCATTACGCGACTATTATGCCGGTGGATAAGGATCTTGTCCATGGTATTAACCCCAAGGTCGACGGCCCCCACGCGCATCTAGGATATAACACATTTGGCGAGGCGTACAAGTGGTTCGGTAATGATGGAAAGTGGGGGAGTAGTCTTGTTACTCCTGACCCTGAGGAGCATGATAACCTTGCGCGCTTCCATCAATTGACCTACGATTTGTTGAAGAGCGGGGCGATTAAGCCCATTCGCACAGTCGAGAACCGTGGTGGCCCAGGTCTTGAGGGCGTGTTGACGGGGTTGAAGGAGTTGAAAGCTGGGAAGGTTAGTGGTGAGAAGCTTGTGTATACCTTGTGAGGGAAAGAAATGTATTACTTCTCTAGGTACGGAGAACCGTATCCGATCTGGTGAAGTTCGTTTTAAAGTAATATAATACTCATCTCATACTTGATTTTTTTTTCTGAGTTCTAGCGACACTTATGCTGATCGCTCCTTCCTGCCGAGCAACCCCTTACATCCGGCCGCCGTCGTCGGATAGGCCGTCGACCCGCTTTCCTCTTATGGTATATGTGGTTGAATTTAGAATACAGGGTTCGGGATTCGGATGCCCAGCGGCGCAGCACCTTCCTCGCTCTTGCTCCGGATCGCCGTACTTATATTAGGTGCGTGGTGGGGTTTCGTTATTGTGGAGGTGGCAGCGACAGCGTCATCAATAATATCAAAAACTACGCACGTTTCATGCGGTGAATGAAATTATAAAAAATCAATTGGTTATATTCAATGGAATAGAATAGGGTATATAGTAACTAAATTTTCAAAATAACCAAAATTCTTCCTCGTGCGATTTTATCACACCATCAACCATATTATCCCAGGAGGGTAGGCTAGCATCTTCGTTTTCGACTTTCAACATACCGAAGCGCTCATAGCAATTAGGCTCCCCGCCGACACCAACAGGTGCAACTTTCTTAAGAATCAGTAGTAAGTCTGCAGTTTTGTCGCTGCCATCAACCCGCCTTGCATGCAGGAGGTAGATCTGTAAATACTTGCAACGGCATTCAGACGCCGCTTCATGGCAATTAACAAAGCCATGCTCTTCCGTTTCTTTTCTAATATTCATCTTCCCATCAAGACGAAGGTCAAAGTCTACGCCGTTTACTGGGAGCGGTTTCACATCCATTGGACAGCTTATTAGTTTACCTCCCCGGTTAATGTGCAAGTCCCATCGAAATGTATATCCTCTTGAACTGGCACCTGGGCATGATAATCGAAGGTACCACTGATACAACTTCGAATGCAGTTTCAGATATGCATACTTCAGCTTGCCGAACGGGTTAGATGGTGATTCCGCTTCCCAATATACATCTTTGATTGCTTTGGTGAGGGGATAGTCGTAATGATTGTATTTCAATTTATGGATCTTGGAATAGGTAATCCGCTGTTCCATGGCCACGGACGCCCAAGACCACGTTGGAGCTGTCGTGTCTTGCGGTCGTGGTTTAAGATACTTATTAGGAGTATCAACATGCCACAACAATTCGGTATGTAGCTTATCCTTCCATAAACCGGCGACGTATTCGGATTTAACGCTAGGCACTAGGACTTGCGCATAGCCTGCAATAGCGGGTAATACGTCGAACGACTTCGTCAGCCTCAAGCTCATATAGGTGCGAATAACATTCACCCAACCGAAAGGTAGATCGGTGAATTGCTGCAGGTTCCCTATTCCGCCTGTCAAGTCGCCACCCCCAAGCCATTTGAACGGTCTAGCTGGATGCGGTGCGAAACGTGAGTTACATTCACAACATGAAGTTTCGAAACATTTGAAAGTGAATTCTCCATAATTGCATTGGAGGAGGCGTGGTGATAGATAATATTCTTGGAATACCCAGCCGCGAGTTAATAATGGGTAGCGATTGTTGATATCCTCGATGCCCTCAAGTCTTCCTTTCCTGTCGAGAACACGAGCGCCAATCTGATAAACTTCTTTGGCAGCATTGGAAACTGAAAAGCATTTATCAGACCACCTGTCTTTTATAAAGCAACCTTCGGATGAGTTCGGCGATAGTGAGCCATGCATTTCGATATATAGATCCCATTTGCCCTAGTTCCTGGTCCAAGTCTACACCACCATCACCTCTCTGAATGATGCAAAGCGAATCTATCCATAAATACTGTATGTTTAATTTACAGCAGATGAATATTGCGTCGCGGAAGTTTGTAGGGAGCCGTTCAATACATAGAAAATCTAGGTAGTTGGAGAGGTTATCTTTCGTTGTCCAGTGGTACTGGAGTGTGTCATCCCAGCGATGGCTAAGGCAAGCATATCGATATGAATTGCACGGATTTGTCCCTATTAATCGAATCCCGGTTTCATTTCCCCGTTGAATAGGGCTGAGGTCGAGTAGTCGAGTAGGTCGAATTATATTATCCTTGATAGCCATATACTTTGAACAACTTCGGTGGTTCTTAGAGCATTCTCGTATCCATAGACGCAGTCGCGCAATGGACAGGTATTTATCAGATAAAACATTCGACCGATATAATTGATCGAATTGTACACTTGAATCTACTAGATCTCAGCCCCAGGCATCTATCCTTTAGTGTAGACAAATTTTAAGACCTACCAGGGAATTGGAATAACTGGACAATTTCTATTGAATCTTCCCTGCCCTGGATGCGCCGTTTTAACCCTAGACGTTCTGATACGTAGTATTCATATTGGCCTAGACAAAAGATGCGCATGTGTTGAGAACAAAATTTCAATGAGCTGTCGCAAAACCGCGCAAGATCCGCATCCATGCACAGCAGATGCTGTAATCTCGTTTATATCGAACCACTGAGTTGGTGTCCGTATAGCTTCAGATTCGTCATCCTTCGTCATCCTTCTATCCCTTCTAGATGATCTCTTGCTCCTGAATTCGATTTGAGGAGACTTCTCTTTTGGGTACTTCTTATCCTCGCAACCTAGGAGGCAACCTGCTGTGCCGAAAACGTCGAAGAAATTCTTTTTGAAGTCTGAGTCTGCCGGCTGGCCCCTTCCGATGATACACGCTTCATCGCGACTTAAAAGTGTCACTGACATGGTTGAGGGGGGGGGCTAAAATGCTTAGTTGGAAAGGGGTAGTGCAATAGGCACCTAGGAGGTACGTGCCCAGCAGTGATCCTAGATAAAGAGGGGGATCATACAGAGGTCTCCATAGGTACTGTGCGCCTAATTGGTAGTTCTCCAAGCCACTGTCGCAGGTAGGCGGCCAGTAAGCAGACGCAACTACGCCCACCACGCCCATGTTCGCGAAGTCTTGCGAGAAAACACTCGTTTTCTACTTAACAACTTTCGAAGGCATTCATAGAACATCAAAAGTCACAGAGCGCAACCGCCCAAAACTAGAAACAAAGCGAGCCATACCAACAACTACCTTGAAGCTTACGTTTGAATATGTTAAGCCCGACGATCCCACTCGTGAATTTCCTGCCGTTCCGCCCGAGAGTAAATTGTAAAAATGCCAATCGGGACCATTATTAGCAGGCTACGCATGGTAGAGATTGGATGATGGGTTGAAGAAAATTTAAAAAGCAAAGCGAGAAAAACCAAAAGATAAAAATCGACGAGTTGAAACGATACCTACCCACAAGCACTAGAAGCTTAATTGGCAATTGGATTAGGTATTTCGTACGCGTCGAAAATTGTCGGGTTAGTCGAGATCGCGAAAAAGTTGGTATGGCGATCCATCAACACCTACGTATCTCCGAGTCAAGTCAACTCCATAAACTTCGATCATTTTGCGGTTGGGCTTTCGTTTCGTCGTTAACTACGAAGTTTTCGAGATTTGATGATTCCGAGGACATAGTTCGCTTCCCTTGGTGGTAAGAGTTAGCGATCAACTGCATGTATCCACTATCCGAGCGAAATCCGAAGAGCGCCGAACGTAGATACTGGTCAACACAATCAGTAAGCTGATGATGATTCGGGCTTCGGCGAAGCACAGTTTCGATCATTAAAATTTACTGGGCGTGAATACCTTCAGCAACACCGAGACTAGGTCTATTACCAATCTACATCATCATAGGACGTACCCGTTTATATCCTTAAAGTGGATTGAAGACTTCAGGGGTGAAGTATAAGATAGAATGGCTATTCTGATTATGTTCGTACTTGAGAGGATCGGTACAACATCTTCAATTTGTTACCACGGAGTTCCGATATCATAGTCTCTGGAGTCAAGAGTCGCTTATTAAGCACCAAGATTCGAGTTAACTTTAATATCTGAATAGACATAATCGTGGTTAAACCTGTGTTCTATATCTCTATACTCAGAAAATCATCGAACATGTCGCTAGAGGCAGCACAGACGCCTTACTATACGCTAGCCGAGGGCCAAGCTCTCCCGAGAAATGACACTTCAGCCCAAATACGCACTGCCAGCGGCGGGGGCGGGTTCGTCCTACTTACCTCGACACAGTTGATCGAAAACCTAGCACACTTTGCGAGAGAGAGAATTCCGGAAAGAAGCGTACATGCGAAAGCCGCTGGTGCCAGAGGGTACTTCGAGGTCACAGACGATATATCCGACTTAACCGATGCGGATTTCTTAACGGGTATCGGAAAGAAAACAGAAGCTCTTGTTCGTATCTCAACAGTTGGCCCTGAGCGAGGATCCGCCGATACCGTCCGGGATTTTCGAGGGTTTGCCATGAAGTTTAAGACGGCTCAAGGGAATCAAGACTTTGTATTCAACAATCAGGTATGTTGCTGCCAATTTATATAGCTTCGCTTGGGGAGAAAGAACACTAATACTTATATAGCCCGTATTCTTCGTTCGCGATCCTACTAAATTTCCATCATTAAACCGAAGCCATAAACGGGACCCTAGAACCAATAGTACGTTGATCTTAATACAGAAAATCAGTTATGATCACAAAATAATAATTACTCATACTTGGGGAAGAAGACCTGCTAACTCCTAATATAGTCGCCAGTTCAGACATGTTCTGGGACTTCCATGTCAATAACCAAGAGAGTATCCACGCTCTGATGTTCCTATTCGGAGACCGCGGTCTTCCTTCATCGCCGCGACACGTAAACGCCTACAGCGGAAATACCTACAAGTTCACCAAATCCGACGGTTCGTATCGTTACGTTCGTCTTCACTTTATAACGAACCAAGGTATTCACTACTATACCAACGCGGAAGGGGCCGAAATAGCAGGCACAGAACCTGATAAGCATCTTGGTGATCTCCAGGAAGCCATTCAATCGGGCAACTTCCCTTCATGGGATATGTACGTACAAGTCATACTCCCGGAAGATATCGCCAACGCACCGGTAGATATATTTGACATGACGAAAACCTGGCCATTGAAAAAATACCCCCGACGAAGAGTTGGTCGCATGGTACTCAATAAGAACCCATCCAATTGGTTCGCGGAGGTCGAACAAGCCGCCTTCAGTCCAAGTAATATGGTGTCTGGCATCGAAGCGAGCCCGGATCCAATGCTCCAGGCCCGCATGTTTGCTTATCCAGACGCCGCTCGATACCGTCTTGGTGTGAATTACCAATTTCTGCCCACCAATGCCCCAAAGAGCGAGGTTTATTGCCCGATTGAGCGAGACGGCTTCATGAATTTTACGGGCAACTACGGTGGCGATCCGAATTATGTTGGTACGAAGATCAAGCCAGTTCGGTTTCTGAAGACTGGACAGGATGGTGTGACTCAACCAACTGCCCGCGGAGAAACGAATGGTAGCATTCAAAACGAAAAAGCAAGCACACTAGACCAGCCTGCATTTGGAAATGGATTTCCTGTATCTTTCTCCTCGGAAGTGACTGATCAGGACTTCGAGCAATCTACCGCGCTATGGCATGTCATGGAGAAGCAGGAGGGCGCGCAAGAGCGATTCGTCGACAATGTGTCTGCTCACATCAGCGCCACACAGACTCAATGGATTAGAGATGAAACATATGGTACGTCAGAAGTCCGATCTTTTTACCTAATGTCTCCGCGGAGAAGAGTATTATGTGACTGACTAATTCCCTTGCAGCTATGTTCAGACGTGTCGATGAGAAGTTAGGTCAAATGATAGAGGACAAGACGGAAGCTGCAATTAGGGGTAGGCTCGATAACTTGCATAAGACTGCCTGGCATTAATCAGTACCGGGCTATGGTCCCTGTTCCCGAGCTTCTGCGGGAGGATGTTAGGGTAAGGGCCGAATGACTTGGCTTTTCTTAGAATTCTTCCATATTCTCCACTCCACTACCACAATAAGTACTAAGGACTCTGTTATATATCTCCTGGCGGTTAATATAAATGATATTTATTGGTTCCCTTCTTGTTGTGTGCTCCGGCGGTGCTGTCTCTAAATTCCAAGATATCCCCGAGCGGATTAGTAATAAAGGGGTTAGTAAAACCCCAACCCTGAGGTAACCCCAAGTTACCCTCCTTTTCGAGTTTCACAAACACATATATGGCCTGTTACAATTCGATTTGATATATCCATCATCCAACCCATGCTTATGAACCTATTATTCATGTTCTATAAATCTCCCGTGGACAGCATTCGCCGGGTCACATCGGGATGACGCGGGACAAATCTCACCATCCTTGCCTTTGGGCCTGCAATAGGGTTCTCTCGAGTGACCAGGCCTTCTATCGGATCTGCGACAAGAATATCCATTGTTTCCTCTGCTGGAAGTATTCGGAAGTGTGCGATAAGATGGAAGAATGCAGCATAAAGCGCCTTGGTCGCGACATGGCTCGCTACACACATTCGGCCTCCTATACCGAAGGCGTATTGGTGACGATTTGCAGTCTGGTCCCCACCCATCCAGCGTTCTGGCTCAAATTCTTCAGGGTCTGAGAATACCGAGGGATCTAAATCATGACGAAATATCAGTCAGAGATCTATCAATGTGTTCTATATAACAGACAAGGTTTCTTTACCTCTTGTGCAAGCCCACGAATTCAGGAATAGTAGCGTATTAGGCGGGATAGTTGCTCCTTTCCAGTGTACCTGGGAATAAGTGGCTTTTGGCAGTGCTAGACGTTGCACTACGTAAAAGCGACCGACTTCTTTCGTGAAAGCCTCCACATACTCTACACGAGATGATGCGACGTGAGGCGATTCGAGAAGATTAGCATCCCTGATCGCTCGATACGCCTTCTCCTGAATGTCTTGGCGATGCGCTAGAAATAAGATCCCCCACATCAATGAGCGCTTAGTGGTATCAGCGCCGGCAAGCATGCTAAGCCCAATACTTAGGAGTTCTCCCTCGGTGAGACCTTTACTCTCCGGGTCTTTAAGTACGTTGCCCTGAATGCACGGACGATCGACACCGTCGGCGATGTCTCTCCTTAGCTTATCCTGCAAAACCCGATGGTATGCATATCGGCGTTTCCCAACATCGGCCATATGCGAACCTTTTTGGAGTCCGATCCACCCCGCGATCGTGTTTAGGGGTCGCAATAGCGGAATGTAATTAGAGAAGTTACTTGTAGGGTTTCTAAACTTCGAAATCTCTTCTTCAATGTAGATGATCTCAGAGATAACCAGATCCCGATGTAGGTCCTTAACATCTTCAACACTTCGGAATGAAGATCAGCCAGGTTTCGTGGATACTAAAAATGACATTGCTTACCGGGTTCCGTAAGCTAGTGTCAAGCTGAGGTTCAGCGCAAACTTGCGGGTAAGGTCAAGTATATCGACGGATATCTCCCCACCCTTGCAGCTAGATAAGACGTCCAGGATGAATGCTCGTGATTCGAGGTCCAGAATCTGTTACCGGTGGGTTAGGTTAGATAATTATAAGGAAGCAAAGAATACGCATACTGGGTAATAACTCTCCGTGCTGGTCTTATTCAATGCTGTGGCCGAGACCTTACGCCGTCGCTTGCAGCTTTCATCCCAGGGGCTGGTGCCGATGCTCGTGACAGGTCCACCTTGCTGTACTTTCTTATGGAGAACATAAAACACAGGTCGTGAATTTGTAGCTTCTCGCTGCGTAATGAATAGTGCGCGAGCTGCCGCTGTGCTATTCACAATTACGGCTGGGACATTTCCTAGCTGTACTTGAAATACATCCCCATATCGTTTAGCCCACTGTATACGGCAAAATCAGTGATTAATTTCTTAAGGCAAGCACCTGGCTTTACATATGATTATATTGATCCAGATCAAATGATTGGAGTACGTACTTTTCTGTACTCATCTGATGTCGCGGTACCGCGCAAAGACGGCAGACTTCCTACTAAGGGATAGCCCCACGGGCCCGGCAATCCAGGAATCCGGGCTCGTAACCGCACTATCTCATTGAGCGCAATATATAGAATTAAGGAGGCGGTAGGAATGAATAAGAATAGCTCTATTAAGAACGCGAAAGTAATGTCAAACGTCGCGAGCTCATTTATTGAGGTAGGCAGGGCCGCCATTTTCGCCCGGTCGAAGGTTAAAGATATCGCAATCGTCCAAGATTGAATCTTGAATATTGCCTAGTCTAGGCTTCGTCATCTTTATACCCGGCTTAGTACTCGAAGGATCCCCGCAATGAATACCTTCGATGTGGTGATGTCGAACTAGCCAATGAACAACCAGAAATTGTAATGGGGTGATTCTACAAGGATGGGGTACTTAACATGCCGAGATGAACTTGGCCGTGGACTATCTCTGCTAGCGATGTACACTGTATGATTGGTAATGCTATGCAACCTCATGAATGCTGATATTCGGAGGGCTATCGGCCTCTAAGGTCTTAAGCGCTTTCTATGCTATACCAAGGAATTCGGACGGTTGGTATCGGGTAGCACCATACCGAAGTTTCGGGTCCTAGCGGCCAGAGCCTAGTGCACCCCCCTGGAATTGCGTGATATGGTGGATAGTTGGCGACTTGCATAGTATACATACTTGCCCTGACTAGTATAATAGGTTCAGTCTAGATCGAAAGTAGGAGCTTTTTTACACATATTTCGAAGGATGTTTTTTTTTTTTCCGCTTCGGAATTATCCAGGTATTTTTCCAATTAGTATACTAGGCAGTACTCCTGATCAGAGATCGTTTTCGGCTTTAACGGCGGCACCATGACTCGCAGGCTGGCCGACGTTGAATTGATCGGGCTGGCCCCAATCTTCTCTCGCTGCTCTTTCTCGAGTTTCACGGTACATGTATGGCGAATTTTTATAACCCTTATGCCATTTACGCCCTTCCCACTCTTCTTCTACGGGCTTTCCCCCTAGAGCCTGGATTTCCTGAGCTCTACGTTGGATTGATTCCCATACTCGTAGTATGTTGTCTCCTACTAAAAGCTTAATCTGGTCGTCGGTAGCCCCGCGAGCCATTAGTAGCTCAATTAGATCCGGATACTTCGAAACATCCTATGTAATAGTAAGTAAATGATGGTTATAGTAACCTCGCTATGCGCGACGAGACTCACCTCCAAGCCGTTGGGTGTAAAGGGGGTACCGCTAAAGTCGGACCCAATGCCAACATGCTCCCAACCCGCTACTTCCGCGAGATGCCATATATGATCCACAACATCGTGAATCGTGACAGCGCCTGGGTCTTTCATATTCAAAAAGCGGTTCACAAACACAGCCATTACGATGCCTCCATTTTTGCGAATATTGCGCAGTACATCGTCGGGTACGTTCCGCAGGTGAGGGGTAACGGAGTACGCTCCCGAGTGGGAAAAAATCACAGGCGTTTGTGTGATAGATAGCACATCGCGCATAGTCTGATGGGACACGTGCGAAAGGTCAATCATCATTCCAAGTCGGTTCATCTCGCGAACATAGGCAGCGCCAAGTTGTGAGAGGCCTTTATCGGGGTTTCCCCGCGCAACAGTTGAAGCAGATGTCGCCCAAGCGTTATCGCAATTATGCGTCGTCGTGATATACCGAACTCCGAGGTCGTACGCTTGTCGGACAGCAGCGATCGAGCCTCCGAGTTGGTGTCCGCCTTCAATTCCTAGCATACTGGCAATGCGCCCATTTTTAAATGCGGCGCGGGCGCAGGAGGGCGTTTCGCAATAAGTGAAGACTTCCGGAGATTCCGCGATGAATCTTTTGGCTACATCGATTTGTTCGAGAGTATCGCGTACTATCCACTGGTAGTCGCGAAAGACTGTTAGCATTTACAAATAGCGATAAGTGAAAAAAGACTGGAAACTTACGGAAGGGTCCTCGAAATGTTTTTGAGTCACATCGCATTTAACATGTACACTCCAGAATTGCCCTCCCATCATTCCCTGCCTCATTCGGCCGATATCCGTGTGACCCAAGAGTCGCTGGTTTGGATCAAAATTTCCGTCGTAAATTCGATTATGTAGTTCAACTCGAAGAAGCCAGGGGAAGTCATTATGACCATCGATTAGAGGTGTTGTCGAGAGTACGCGCTTGGTCCGTAGGGCATAGTTGGTTGGGTCAATTGGAGATTCTGCGGGCGATAACCAACTTCCCAGGGAGGTAAAGGGCGTAATCAACACTGCGAAACCGGCCACAATGATTGTATTTCGCCAGCGCCTTAACCATCTATCCTGGGAAGTTTGGGGATGAATTATGAGCGCATTATCATTTGAATTGGTAACATCTGGTGAGGTAGTCGTCGCTTGAACAGGCGTGTCTTGACTTCGGTCAAGCTCGGCATTTGGTGCCATCTTGAACGTTACGCAATGCCACCAAAGTCCTCGAAAATCCTTGAACATAGAGAGGAATTAGATTTCGCAACAATCCCCATCATTCCCCCCCAAGTTCACTTCTCCAATCCATCTCTGCGATGTCGGGGTTTCTTCAATTCGAGTTCGGATATCCAAGGGTCTAGTCCTCCCGTATCCGACACTAAGAACCAAATCCGGCTTGCCCGTCCGCCGGTCGTTCGAGACACGTAAGTACATCGCTATCGTAAGGACAAATCCGCTATGCATCAATAGTCTATAACATGTGAATGCTCGTTTTATCGTCGACCTCTCATATCCCCCGAATTTCATATCGCAATGCTACCCCAGTATCACATCATTGTCTAGACATGGTGTCCATGTGGGGGATAAGCTTGGCTTCGAGCTAGAGGAGAAACCGTCCATGGGAAGAAGCGGGGCCTTATCGACGAAGAAGCTGTTGATTCTGCGATTTCCTAGTATTTTGAAAACCCGTGCCTGAGGGATGAGGCACGGGTTTTATATACTTCACGCCTTCGGCATAAGGACCCCGAACCGGTCAGTGGGTAGGCCCGATTACAGGTGCGCTACGGGCGCTGTGATTACCGACATGCATATTGGGCTGCTGCAGCTCGGACATTTCCGACTCTACCCCCGTACCCAGGTACAGCTAATAGGTACCTTTGAAGCACCCATCGTCCATTATCTTGTACTGTACATCGTAGCACAGGGGTGAGTACTCACCCAAGGTAGGGTCTTTGAATATCACGCAATCGCGACTATCCAAACCTCGGGCATGGGTTATTGCTATAGTAAAGATCTGCTAGTTTTCTAGTTGGGAATATTAGAATGAGATGATATAAAGCTTTTAGACTTACAGCAATGATGTGTAAGATTGTATTTAGGTTGTGTAGCATTTGTCTCAATTATCATATATGATAAGGCTAACGTCAGTGTCTCAATCATGGCTGATAGTGATAGGGAAGAAAAACAGCGCGAGACCGTGGGCGTGGCTAGGAGTGATAGCACGTCACTCGAAAGCGACTCTGCGGCGGAAAAGCGACTTGTGAGGAAAACAGATTTGTTGATGATGCCAGGTTTAGGTGAGACCTTCAATCTTATGTTTTACTTGTGATATTATAATGGCTAACACATATCGTAGCTTTGGCATACTTCACTCATACTCTCGACCGTGCCAACTTGGGAAATGCGAAGACAGATGGCTTTGAAAAAGACTTGGGTCTAGTAGGAGATCAATTCTCCCTCCTGCTCGTCTTATTCTATGTGCCTTACGCGATCTTCAATATTCCGTGGTCGATACTGGCGAAGAAGTACAATTCCGCTCGTGTGATTCCTTTTGCAATTCTGAGCTGGGGTGCTTGTACGATGGGCGCTGCTGCTGCCAAGAATTTTGGCGGTATCATGGCAACGAGAATTATAATGGGTGCTATTGAAGCAGCTTGGTGAGTGTGTTGAAATCTTGCGACGAAGTTTACCAAATGCTAATAAAAGATTTAGTACGTTCAAAACCCAATTCTTGTCCTAGGAATAGCTTTGGGGCTATGGTTTATAGGAGAGTATCATTGACTCGAAACAGATAAGCCATGCGAAGTTTACTACTTATCATTATTCTATACTCGAAAGGAGATGGCATTTAGAGTTTCTTGGATTGGCCAAATGGGATTCATCGCAGTAAGTCGTCAAAAGTCCGACCCTTATCCAAGTCAATCCGACTAACGATATCTCCCAGGGAGCTGTATCGGGATTAATTTCATGGAGTGTCTTCCAATGGAAGGGGACCCTGAAGGTGAGTGTTTCGCGCCACGAGCGCATCTTAGGATCCAAGCAAGGTTGCCAATACTGACCATGGGAATAAGGGGTGGCAATACCTCTTCATAATTGAAGGCTCAATAACTGTTGCCGTCGCGGCTTATTTATATGTCTTCGCTCCCAAAAGCCCCGAAACATCGCGATGGTACACGAAGGAAGAGGTCCGACTCGCCAAGTGCCGCCTAGAGCAAGACTCCCAGGATCAAGATACAGAGTTCCGTTGGGAAGACGCGAAGAAGCAGCTCAAGCATTGGCCGACTTGGGCATTCGCATTCATGGCCTTGATGTATGGCGTCGGCGTAGCTAGCAGCTCGAACTTCCTCCCCGTAAGTACTGTTGACCCCACAATTCGATATTCATCTAACAAGTGCTAGACGATGATAAAAAGACTCACAACCGAAGCCACAACCGCGAATCTCTACACCGTCGGCCCCAACCTGACCGCCTCCGTATTCCAGGTGAGCATATGCTGGCTCTCAGACCGGTACCAACAGCGTGCGAACTTCGCCTGCGGAACGACAATTATATCCCTGGTCGCCTGGATCCTCCTTGGGACACTGGATCTCGTGCACCAGCCGCGCGTCGGGTACTTCCTAACGTATCTAATAACTTTCGCGACATTCATCCCGAGCAACTTGGTCCCGGCGTGGTTGGCGTCTAATACTCCTGGTACGACCGGTCGCGCCGTGTCGCTTGGCCTGAATTACATGGCTATGAACTTGGCGGGTGTCATCTCGTCGCTCATCTACCGCGCCGAGGACGCGCCCGTTTACCGGCCTGCGCTTATTACCGTTGGCTGTACACAAGGTGTCTTCGTCGTGGTAGCTTTAGCGATGCGATGGTATTATGCTCGTTTGAATAAGAAGCTAGACTCTGGTGAACTACCCTGTGCGCCGGGCATGGAGAATCGCCCCGAATATCGATACGCTGTTTAGAGCACACGGTCTATCACATTGTCGGCTCGTAAGAATGTTTGAGTGGTGTTTCCTCCAACCTCCGATGTCTTAATGGTAAATATAAATACAACTAATAGATGAATACAAATAAGAAATGAGTCTAATAATGTCCTAACATGGGTGAGTGGTTGGTGCATCATACCCCATCCTTATATACATGCGCGAACCATGGCGCCATTAAATACGAGTATTTTTAGTCTTTAAGACTCCCACTCGTAGTCCGGGAGCTTGTACTGGTCGGAATTTGCGAACGATCCGGCGATGAATTTCTGAACAAAATTTATAATCCTAGTCCATAAGACAAAGCCGAGAATAGTGTTTCGCAGCCATAGACCCCAAGCTGTCTGGGGTGCTAGAATGGGACGAATGAATGGCGGAATTTTCTGCAAATCATCGAGAATTGGTCGCATTTGCTGGTTGTAGCTCCTAAGTGCCGCCGCCAAGTCGCCCTTATGCTTGCCCGCTTCACCAGCCAATATGTACGCGCCAGCGATAGCAAGGCTGGTACCAGATCCAGTAGGTCCTGATGCGTACCCCGCGTCGCCGACCAAGACAAATCGGCCTTTATATAAACTCGGAAGTTTAACCTGAACAGCTTCGCTGGCATAAAAGTCTTGCGCGTCGCTTAAGCATTCGATGGCTTCGTCACATTTCCAACCAGCCCCCTGATAATGTCGAGCTACGAATTGCTTGAGCGCATCATCTCCTTGTTCCATAGCCTCGCGAAACGGCAGTATGGAGCTATGATCACCAGGTGGGTAGATAGCCATGGCGGCGACTCGGTTCGTGCCTGGTGAATCGGGCCCGATTCCGAAGAAACGCCCCCCAGGCGCGCTGTATGACTGTCCCAATTTACTCCCATTGATGAGGTCCTGGTGTATCGAATAGTAAGCCACCCACCAGTTCACCGGTTCAACATAATCTCGAACACCACAACCAAGACCCATGGCTCGAGTTCTTGAATTTGCACCATCACAAGCAACGACTAGATCGAACTCCGAAGTTGGATAACCATTCGCAAATTCGATGGTGATAGGGCCATCATCTTGTTTATGTTGTTGCATCGAGGCAATTTGCTCTCCAAAGACGTAGGTAATACTTTTGTTATCTTTCGTTAAGTCGAAGAGAATCTGCGCTAAATCGCCGCGATGAATCTCATACTCAGAAATGAGTGCTTGTTGGTCTGGGTTTCCAGTTGGTCTCATAACTCCAAATGTTCGACCTTTAGAATTGACAAAGCTGATTCCCTCCATTGGAACGGCTTTGGCTCGCACGGCGGCTTCCATCCCCGGCATCTTCCGCATTACCGTAACACCAGCGGTGCGGATGTCGACATTCTGCCCATTAGTGCGTAGATGAGGAAATCGTTCAATGATTGTAACTTTCGCACCGGCTTTAGCAAACCAGTAGGCGGCGGTGGGACCTGCGATGGATGCGCCCACAATAAGAATCTTTGGCTTAGACATCTATGAAATTGTTCGTACGATGAAAGGTATCAAGAATGGTAGATTTGTGGCGCAAATAATAAGGAAGCGGGTTGGTTATATAAAGGCGCGCCTAACGAGAGTATGCTCACTCAGGTATGTGAACGGCATCGTGAGGCCCGAGACGGCCAACAAATGATTGGCTCATAGATATAAGCCTATATTCCAGGTCCCGACGGTGCGTATAACTTCGGACCCGATGCTAATTTGATGCTCGGTTGGCCAAGACCCGAGTTTTTGGCCAATCACAGCCAGCCTCTGACTAAATCTAGAAGGCATTCACACTTAGTCATCAGCAATCAGCGCCGTAGTAATGATGTCTTGGTTTCAGAAGCATACATGCAACTAGTAACTAATATCTTCAAGTTGGCCTGAAAAATTGGCCTTGTCGAACTTATAAATCTGTCGTATTTACTTTTGGAGCGAGAACGGAGCGCGTCCCGTTGTACATCTCGTTTTCTAATGGAATATTCCACTTTGCCCTACTGAATGCACCGCAGTGCAACATCGCCAGCAATTCCAATAGAGATTCCTCGGGTTGCGCCGCTCAATACGCCACCGGATTAAGAATGTAATCGGGAACGGAATACTGGATAGGCTGTTCGTTCACTGACCCTTCAAGAAGACGCGGGCTTGACCTCTGCTAGCTGTTCTGGGTTTGGTGATCTTGAATCAATTGATCCCAAAATACCCAATCTGTGGCGTTCATATCAAAATCGTTACCGATGTTGATGTCGATGTTTTCAGGAAGTTTATTCAAGAATTCACCCACGTCATCTATAGGGAACGAATCAGGTGGTGATATTGTGTTCATTTTCGCATTGAAAATATCGATGTTGTTCCTGTGGGTTTCTGTTTCACCTTGGGTTTTTATTTGCCGTTGGGAGCACAGTGTCTTGATGAAGGCTGGTTCTGATGCGCTGGTACTTGGCGGTCGGGCATCCCAAGCATTGAGCGTAAGGCGCCTAAACGCCGCATGCAATGCTCGTTTCGATTCAAGGAGCTCACCGTGGTTATGGTAAAGTTGCTGCACTATAGACCAAGCGGCGTCGGTATCCTCAATTGAAAGCCAGCCACTTCTGGTCCATAGGCTGGTTAAAATGAAAATCAACGAATCCCACGTACCCCATAAGAAGAATGATCTCACGTGCCACCGATATTTTCTTATGCCTGCATGGGCATAAACTGCTATATCGGTTTCTAATATCTTTCGCGCAAGTTGAAATAGTTCAATCATCTCTGCGCCGGTAGCAGTCTTGTTTCTAGCCTTAGGGAGCCGAGTTCGAAGTCGCAAGGCCGCAATCCCCGCTCTGACCATACCGATTGTCAGTGTATGTAGCGGGTTGACAATGTCGCAGTAGCGAACATATTTCTCTTCGACTTCACTTTCGGCCTGTCTAATAACCTCGTCGGCTTCGCTGAGATCCTTGAATTGGGAGGGGCCTGTGCTGTTTGCCGGTTTCCCCGCTTTGGCGAAGAATCTCCCAATAGATGAACGCGACAGGCAAAATAGCATTTCAGTTGCGCCTTTCTGCTCCTTTGGCGCCTCGGTCATCCCTGGCCAAATTTGGTCATCGTTGATATTAAGGGGCTGTTGCGTGTTCCAAGTGTCTGGTGGAGGCGATATCTGAACGCCTACCATTTGGCTTGCAATACCCTCAAGCGGCAAGAGTTGATAAAACAGCCGTCGCCTCATTTGCACATCAAATGGTGACATTCCAAGCTTCTCCCCGTCCCGGTGGAGTCCCATACGTTGTGCTAAGCGGACAGCAACCCCCGTCAAGATCCAGTACGTGTTCGAATCATAAGAGTGCCGGCAGGGTATTAGAAAGAGAACAAGAGCTTGCAGAATCGACATATCTGTGGCCTTGAGGAATGATGCATTCACAAGGGCCTGACGCGCCACGAAATGATATCGTTGAAGTAAAGTGGCACGAGGCTGCCCTATTTTCTCGGCACATTCCTCTTCTGTCATGGAGAAGATCGCAAAGTGATATATCGCAAATAGGAGACATTCGTCAATTTTCGTCGCCGTCTCAGGTTGTTGCGAAACCATTTCAATCATCTTCCTAGTTGATGGTATGTGTAGGATTTTACAGAGGGGCTCCACATTTTCGATATGCGTCTCCCATAGTATCATGGCTTTCGCGTGGGTTGGATGATATCGAAGGAGGTTCTGCCGAAAGCCTATAAACGCACCTGTCAAAGGGTCTCCTGGGTTCTCCACCGAAGTTGCGATAACGTCTTGATCATCCTCTCCTTCCTCTTCCTCTTCGTCATTGGGTAAATGATACATCTCATCACTTTCAAGATTTCGCCAGAGGCTCGTGTCTGTATATCTTGACTTACCCTGATCAGAAAAGAGCTTACCATTTCCAGGTTCATTCCAGAGAAGATAGATTGGCCCTTGTCGCGGTTTATCTGGTTTAGAAGGTGCTGTGCTGGCATCTAGCAAGCCATGGTCGCGTAGAATGCACTCGTATCGAGCAAGTCTTTCGAGGACGTCACCGCTCAACTTTCTTTTTCGCTGTCGCGGGGGTGGTTCTTCATAAGAACATTGAAGCTTACTCCTGCGACAGCTAGAGCATGTTGGCACGATTTTATCGCATTTCACTTTACGCTTTGCACAGCTTTGGCAAGCATGCGACATGGTAGTAGCGCCATGGCTAGTTGAACTGCTTTCGCCAGTGGGCGCTGGAGCAATGGCTATCGGTCTGCTGAATGATGGTAACTGTACATGTTCGGCGGCCATCTGTGCCCTGCAACTATGAAGCAGAAACTTATAAATACCCCTCTCGGCCGAGGAAAGAAACTGATGGATATGTTGTTGGCCTGCTGGCCATCGGCTTTTTATTACTTTCGTGGCATGTTGTGGATTAGATGATTATGTAAAAGTCCAAGTCTGTGAATTTTGAAAGTTCCCCTCCACAGATTTATAATCTTGCTTAAGTAAGGCATCTTACATCATCATTCTTTCGAGCAAGATTACTTAATGAATGCTGAGTCATGAAGCTATATATTACTAATAAGTGTGTCATCAATTTTTATGAAAATTAGCATAACCGCCAATCATTCCAAGGTTCTCAACAAGACTCCGATTGTTCATTGTTATTATGGTTGATAAAACGCGAGTAACAGAAAATAAGATATAATACAATCAGTAAATACTTGGGTAATCTGTTACTGAGAAGAATTGAGTACTGGTATGTACCATCTGGCATTAAACCGCTATGAAGGGAGTAAGTACAGAATCGCTCGTCAATTTTCAACCTTGCCCCGTAACTCCCCAATGATATGTGCCCAAATTCCGATGATTCCCTATGCATTTGCTCGCAGCCATAGCCACTAAAGGCCACGCAATCATCTACGCATTTACACGACGATCGCAGGATAAGCAAAGCCGTTTATGCTTATCCCCAAAGAAATCCGAACCATGGTTCGGGTGAGTTAAAAGCCTATTCGATCTCACCTCACGACAGGCGTTACCTTGATGTTTAGACCAGGCTTGTCCCACAAGTTATACACCTTTTGGTTTTCAAGCCATCCACGACTACTCTCGTCGAGTTCCAGGTCGAAGTTATATATGATCCTAGCTAGGATAAGACGCATCTCAGCGTACGCGAGACTAAACTTAGGGTTAGTATGTTTTCATGGGGCTTAATAGTAACAGGTTAGACAAAGAACGTACTTGCGACCAATGCAGTTTCGCGGCCCAACGCCGAAGGGCTGCATCGCATCGAGCTTGTCGTCCTTGTACTTGGCGTCACCAAGGAATCGCTCCGGCGCAAAAGTGTAGGGCTCAGTCCAGAAGTTCGGGTCGTGGTTAACAGCATATTGCCAGACTGCTACCACGGTCTGCAAATCATGGTATTAGTTTCGTACTATTCATAAGTACCAAGAGAAGTGCACTTACGCCTTCGGGAACGAATTTTCCCAAGATAAAGGCGCCACCCTTAGGTGACTGTCGTGGCATACCGGTCGGAACAGGGGGATAGCGACGGAATGACTCGTTAAGGCAGGCGAGCATATACGAAAGTTTGCCGACGGAAGTAAGGGTAATCTCGTCGTCATTCTTGAAAGATGAGCGGACTTCCTCGGCGAGCTTTTGGAGCTTATCCGGATGAGACGTAAGTAAGTACATAGCACCGCTCAGAAGTGTAGCAGTCGTTTCGCTTCCGGCAACAATGAGGGTGCTAGCGTTTGTGGCGATCTGCATGAAACTCAACTGGCCTGCCTCCTTCTGTTTAATCAGACCCTCAATGAAATCCGGCCTTTCGACACCAGATTCTATCCTCTGCTGTAGCTTAGCCCGGACCCTCCGTTGCTGGTCTGTGACCGCCATCTTGAGAACTCGTAAGGAAATTCGCACAAGAGGTTTGAGGCCTATTGTAGACAAGGCATTGAGGAAAGATGTCTGCTGCACTGAGTTGGTGACAGTTTTAACCCATGGATGGTATTCGGTGTCTTCGAGGCAGCCGAACGACGAACCGAAGCCTAAGTCCCCGATGATGTCGAAGGTCGTCCAATTCAACCATTCGCGCATGTTGAGAGCAGTCGCTGCATCCTTGCATTGCTCTTGCATACGACGAACCAACAAATCCACGTACGACCCAATAATCGGTTCCTGAAGCTGCATCGATCTGTCGGAGAATCCATGCGATAGCTGACGCCTTAGAAAACCATGCTCTTCTCGGAAAGCATTGATGATACCTCTGGGTATGTTATCGACGGCACGGTAGAAGCCATCGTACTTCGGTAGCTCCTGTTCACCGTTATGGCGATGCCCGTAGATATCCTTCCATGCCTGGGGGTCGCTAAACGCTAGTTCGTTCGGTCCTATCCGTACAACTGGTCCGTATTTATCGTGTAGCTTTCTCATGTACAGAGGTAAATCCCCGCGTACTAATCGAAGAGGTCTTGCGAAACGAGACATCTTCCAGAGCAACGGCCCTGGGTATGATCTGAGAGGGTGTAGGAAAACATTGTAAAATGACGCTCCTATAATATAAAAGACGAGCTTAATCGCAATCAGTTAGCGATCCCATCCATTTGTATGATCTAAGGTAATTTTGCACAGGTCGAAGTGTTACTTACTAATACGCCACTTATGTAGATCAAATTTATCGTATTGCTTGCCTGTAATGGCGCCATGGTGAGAAGTACTACAGACGTTAAAAGCCTGAGATTTACCAACAGTTTCATGCTCCAAACAACAGGATTGTATTTCAACTTATACTACTCCACGACGACCCCCTTGCTTGCAGTGGGTTAGTGGGCCACCCCCAGGAGACAAGTTAAACTGTTTAACCGTGGTGGGTTCAACCAACAGCGGATGATCGGTTTTGCTAAAGATTTCGACGAAACATTGCGCCTGTTACATTGAGATTGCTAAAACCCGTTAACCCGTTCGGATGGTCCTGCACCCTGCGCCACCCCTGCCCACATCATCAATTCATACAATACGATGGTCGTGAGGTCATGAACATGCAGACATGCTGCGAAAATGCCCTTACATTGCACATATTTATTTCAACACAATTCGGAGGTTTGCGTGCCCGTGCACAAGATAGTAACATCGCAAGGCGCCTGTTACGTATGTACGGGATTGGGAAGCTCTTGACGATACCCGTTTCTGCGTGACGCGAGGATACGCCGCAATGCTCCAATCAACGCACAGGAAATCCGAGATCATATGCGGGTGATAGTTTTGTTTATCGTGAAATCCTTGAGAGATCGGCACAATATGTCTCGTTTTGGATAATGATCTAGATCGCTACGCCAAACTTGTGAATCCCGATGCTGCAATGCCGAAATCCACCCCAAAAGTCCCAGGATACCGACATAATTCATAATTGCCTGCCTAAATCCAGGGATTAAGTCTCAAAATGTTGCGGGGTACCCCTTACTTTCACTGGGGATATATCTCCTGTGACAACTAACGAAGGAGTTTCTCGATAATTCGGCTCGACTACAGTCCGCATAAAGACTCCGAACCAACCGGGAGTTATAGAACTGACCGAGTGTCAACCTTGAATACTCCCTCCAATCCTATACCAAAGGTTAATAATCAGTTTTTATAGCCACTTGCGGCACAGCGATTTGGAATCAATAGGAGCATATACACGAGCAGGCTTCTACTTAAGCAAGAAGATGTCCAGCTTAATAGAATAATTTACTAAAAACAACACATCAATACTTACTTACCTTAGGTACTTATTACAACTCCTAACTTTGAATCGCAGAATGATTTGCCCAAGTTCAAATACTCGAGGCTTTCGCATTTAATGCTTGCCTCTTAAGAAACACTAGTTGCCCCAGAACCAAGAACCAATCCCTTACATACCCTGTATTCATAACAATTCGACTTTTAGCAAAAGTATTAATATTACCATTCAATGGCTATGAACCACAACATTTAAATATATATATCCCAGCGTTGCATTTCTCGATTAAATTTAACTTAGCTCTAACTTGCGGCTCTACCTAAGTGCAGCATACCTCGTAGGGCTTCTTCCTTCGCGCCGTCCCTTCGGGTCGTAGGATTTCGTACCTGGGAAGGAATGCCGTGCCGCACAAATGCCATAGAGCACTAGCCAGCCCCACGATAGTTATATCTATTTTTCATTTCACACTAACAAGTCAGTTAGGTATGGTATCGCCAACTCGTCATCGCTGTTCGATTTCTCTTCGATAGAAAACCACAAGTCCATAAACACAGTTTAAGCTTTCGATCGCCATCAGTTAGCTGCACGTAATACGGATCCTCCCGTACCTGCGTCTGCGTGGTGGTGAGCCCATGGTAGTTTGCCTAAGGTAGGGTTGGTTGCTGACGCTTGCATCATTTCAGCTGCTTGCCAAGCACATGGACGAAGACATTGGCCTATACTGAGGTGGTATACTTCCCGGTTTTTTTTTTGGTTTTTTTTAAAAAAAAAAAAACAAAAAACAAAAATAAATGTCAATATGTGGACGTTATAAACCGAAGTTGTGGTGAAGTTAAGAAAATATATACTCGACGGCGCCCGTGGAGCATATACACATTGTGTACAGGAGATCGTGAGTATATCCCTTAACATGTGGAAGTGAATAGGCCAAAGAGCCATTACTCCAAATAAATGGATCCATCATATGTCGCTTGCCAGTTTCAATTCATCTACCACACCAGAACGTGGCTTCAACATCACATTAGGCCCATCATGATCCGCTGTAAAAATATCATAAGGCTGATATTCATCCACACGACCCCTCCTATCCGTCCTTCCAGGTGCCCCACCCACTTTCCCAGCGCTCGAAGGAGCTGCATCGAAATCGAAGTACCATAGTGTCTTCGCAATCGTCAAGCTCGTCTCCAAGTACGCCATAGCCTTGTCGGCACACGCGCGATCACCCAATGCGAAGGGCGCGAAGGCTCGACGCATAATAGTCTATGTGAGGTCGTCGTCGGCATCGAGCCACTGCTCGGGGCGGAAGGCGAATGGCTCGGGGAAGTAGGCCTCGTTGTGCAATACACTATATAGACTCACGCCGACAGCAGTTCTGTGGGGAATTACATGTCCGTCTACGACTAACGGCCCATCCGACTTGGGTGATGTTGCCGAATAAACATCATCCTCCCGCCAGGGCGTGGCTGTAGTCGGGGGCGCGACGCGCATAGTCTCATCGATGACGGCGCGGAGGTACTTACAAGAGCTGAGTTGTGGACCGCTGGTGATAGCCTCGCCCAAATTAAAAGTAGTGCGAATCTCAGTAGCCAGGCGTTTGTACACATCTGGGTGACGAGTAAGGTAGAAGAAAACGGCGCTCATAAGCGTGGAGACCGTCATACCGCCAGCCATGACGAAGAAAGACGCTTCGGACCATAGATCCGTATCCTGGAGACCTTTATCGCCACTAGGTGTCACATCCCCAGATGCCACCGCATAAATATCATGCGCTGCGTCCTTGGGCATGTTCATGCGCGTGCCGATCATCTTCCTCAACGCCTGGTAGAACTTGGGGATCCGCTTCCAGCCAAACCAGCAGATCACAGAGTCAATAATTGAGATATTCAGCCACGCCATATACAAGCTGATACAGTAGTCAGTTGACTTCGTAGCAGCTAAGATTATTGCGTTGGTATCTTCGGTCTGTATGTTCAGCTCATAGCCGAAGGCGAGAAGTCCAACAACATCGGCGGCTAGACGCTGGCACCTACCTCGAAATGCATCCAACTACCCATAACTTGTTTTCTTCTGGCTTAAGCCAATCATACCATCTAGACTAATCGTTCCTCAGTAAGGATAATCACGACGCCTCTTTTCACGCCGTACGGCGCAGCATGCTTTCGTACCAACAGCCCAATAAGACTGGTCAATAGGCGCAATCAACCGACTCATACTTCGCGTTCTAACCGTCGTTCTATATCACCAAAGACGAAGACGGAAGTCAGTTAGGGCTCAGCGAGCTGCGTGGGTTGTATAATCCCATATCTTCAATCGAAAAACTGGCAATTTGGTGAGGCGATATTCATTCAACCCGACCACCAGAGACGTGAAGCCGTCATATCCTTAGGTGGGTACTTCGGCGTTCTTGGCACAGCCGTTCGTAGCCGAAACCAAACAGTTCGCATATTCTAGCGACAAGCATGCCACCATGGTCGTGACGGCATCATCCGGGGCTCTCGTCGTGGTCACTGCCTTCCTTGGTTGTATAGGCTTGTATGTCTCAAGAATGGATTTTGGTTGTCAATGAACTAAATCGGAAATGAACTCGTGCGTTGTGGTGGATATCGCAATAGATAGCCGTGACGGCCAGTGGTTGGACACTTGTTGAGCTACACCACCGGGCTAGAACGGAGTTCTGTTTGAGACAATTGCTGCGGATATGGAGGGATTCGATAGTTCCTCTCCAGGAAATATCTCAGTTTTGAACTCCGATGCACAGCACAGACAGGACGGCTGAACCCGCCCGCATACCCTACTGCCCGAAGCCGAGTATAAGCTTATGCAGAAGCCACCTGGGTAACCATCAACTCCGTTAGCGGACGAGTCTTCCTTCCCGCATCGCTTACAACTTATTACATAGGTACCTATGCTACGCCGAAATAAAAGAAAAATAAACTTGTAAACTCCATGACAAATAAGATAGGAGCCGTATGATTTATAACGTTTAAAAAGGTTATGACTAGCCACTAATATTTCATTGACTACAATGAATTGTCCCACTCACGGAGCTTAGGGTGCACACCAACGGCTGTCGTATTTGATCAATGAGATCGATTGAATCTAGATATGAGATCAGCCTACCAACGAAAAAGAAAACCCTCTTGGTGATCATAGATCTCGACTTTATGCATGGGATAAATTACGTGTATTATACTTATGTAGGCTGCCGTTTCGGTCCAACATTCTTCATGCAAGCCATGTAGCCTCTCGTATGACAGTGAATAAAAAACAAGGATTTCTAAGAACCCATCGTGGAAACGCCATTAGACAAGCAGCTAATCAGAATAGAGGAAGTAAGCGTCTTGATTTGAAAGTCAGCAGAGGTTTTTAGAGATCGGTTTCATAAGTATAAAGACCATTTTTTATGAAAACTCAACAAGTATCCAACAGACCTTTCAGGTTTGCCTTGTCTTTATCAAAGGCATATATAGTACGGCCGAATCTAAAATTTCCTACCCATCTCGCCCGAATCTCTACTGAAAATGGTTAAGCTCAATAACCACGTTCCTCAAAGAGGATAATAGTAGTTTCAGCCTCTTAATATAATAGGCTCTTTATTCTAGAACTGACAAATGGCGCATCTTTATTTGATCTTGCCGTTCTATTGGATAATATTCGGCCTTAACAAGTTCAGGATCCAGGTTCTCGGGTTCCATTATAAAAAACAAAGGGGAAGATCTTTTAGGCCCCACAGGCATATTATCTTTATATTCTTGTGCCATAAAGACAGCCTAGCCGAACCTTCTCTCGAAAGTCCCCAACTACAAATACCAGCTACCGGGTCCACGGAGAATCCGATATCAAACCCTTGTCTTGCTTCCCTTGAGTTATGTTATTCTGAAAGACAACGTGGCTTCGATCATGGAGTTTCTTTCGTGCCGGCGGATCTAGTACGCGGGATGGATTTCTAGATTCGGAAAGCCGCTCTTTCTCATGGAACCAGCGCATCTCTCGAGAAAGGGGACGTCCCACACAGTATGATTGCTTATACGGTTAAGCATATGTCCCAAAGGTTATACAGTTATCAATTACCCGCTTAGGTAGGTAGGTCCCTTCTTTACAAAGAATGAGCCTCATGCTAGGAGCTGAAACTCCAAGCTACCTTGTTGTATCTACCTTGTCTCAAGGGAAGTACCCAGGCAACTATCTCATCTTTCTACAGGCCATTTAGGGCCCCGTTGAAATTATAATTTGTGCTTGTAAGTAAGTACTCTACGTATCTCCGTTAGACATACTGTAGTGTAACTGTAATCTCATCTCAACTGTTCTGATGTGAGTAATTGTTAGTCATGGGAAGACGGGGAACTCGGTGGGGGGTTATGCAGCCGCCACCAAGCTACAGCATATCCTATCGCTTAATTAAACCGTTCAGGTTATGGGTGGACACCCAAACCTTGGTGACTAGATTACCATACATTCTTTCCTACTGTCGTACATAAGCCATCCGTAGGTTCCCCGAGAGGAAATGTAAGCGGATATACCTAGGCTTATGCACCTAGAAAGCTAGCAGAAATGAGATATTGACTAATATACCATACGGCAGTGACTAGTGACATGCCTTTCAGCATGATTGGAAGGAGAATGTGAGTCAATATTGACTTCACTGGTTCCCAGCTTCCTCGTAGATGAAAGGTTTAGCACATGCAATTCATCATGGGCTGCCGCCACCCGTTGCAGTGCAATCATAGCTGCCCTTTCAAGGAATAGCCGATAAACCCAACAGTAGAGAAGCCACTGGTCAAAGGCCACACAGCATGCTCTAATCTGTGGTGAGCAGTCCTTTGTCACCAAGCTTATCCTTTTTCTCGATACGCTATATATTCTCAGCTTTGCCCCTACGACTATTCCTAGATCTTCATCGCCAGCATCCCGGATAGCTTTTTATTTGGTCTCACTTGTAATATCTCGCTGCATTCAGAATGGGGAACCCAAGTACTCATCTCGCCACCGTCTGCGAGCAATGGAATCACTTACAAGAGCGTATCAAGGCGGGTAGCTACACCGTAGATGGCCGACATCTCCACATTTCGGATGTCGTAGCTACAGCGAAGTATGTTGCAAGATCGCCTCTACGTGTTGCCGTATTGACATGTTAATAGCCACGGGTGCACCCCATTCATCACCGATGATCCAGAGGTCGCCAAGACACTTCAGGACAGCGTAGACGTCTTATACCACTACCTTTCGAAGGGGTGGTATGTCTACGGTATGTTGGCCTAAGGCTTCTTGATGATAGCTACTAACCACCTGATAGGTGTCAACACTGGCTTCGGAGGGAGCGCGGACACCCGTACCGACCAAGTCGTAGCCTTGCAATCATCATTGATGCAGCTTACCCAATCCGGTATCCTCTCAAGGTCTAAGGATGGCTCGGTCCCGGCACAAGCTATGCCCTCATCATGGGTAAGGGGAGCTATAGTAGTGAGATGCAACAGCACCTTACGAGGTCACTCAGCTGTTTCACTGCCAATCCTCAAGGCATTTACAGCGCTGCTTGAGCATAACTTGAACCCCATGGTACCCCTACGTGGCTCTGTCTCAAGTTCTGGAGATCTTATGCCCCTCTCATATGTCGCTGGCAGTATAGAGGGCAACCCGGACATCCTTATTGAGAAGAACGGGAAAGTCCTTTCAGCACCGGAGGCATTGAAAGAAGCGGGACTTGAGCCAGTGAAGCTTGGCCCGAAAGAAGGCCTTGGGTTGATCAACGGAACATCGTCTTCGGCGGCGCTTGGCGCTCTTGTCATTACTGAGGCTCATCGCCTAGCCCTGCTCACGCAGGCTCTTACAGGCATGGCTGTTGAGGTAAACTATCTTGACATACTCATATTTCGGTGGCTCTCATATCTAACACAGAAGTAAATAGGCGCTGCACGGAAGTCGGGAAAGCTTTAACCCCTTCATCGCTCAAATCCGACCCCACCCAGGTCAAATCGAAGTCGCTCGAAATATTTACTATTTCATGCGCGGCTCAGCTCTTGCTCGGGACGTACTCGAGCCAAAGAACCGCCGATCGGAGGATTTAGTCCAAGACCGTTACTCCGTACGTAGCGCACCACAATGGGTCGGGCCGCAGATCGAGGACCTACTTCTCGCGGACCAGCAGATTAGCATCGAATTGAACTCTTCGTGTGACAACCCACTCGTCGACACATCGACTAGTGACATCCACTACGGATGCAACTTCCAAGCAGCTAGTGTAACAACAGCCATGGAAAAGACACGACTATCGCTGCAGATGTTTGGAAGGATGCTATTCTCGCAATTGACCGAAATGGTCGACCCGACTCTCAGCGGAGGCTTGCCCGCCAACCTTGCCGCGGATGATCCTAGTCTGTGCTTCACTTTCAAGGGAGTCGAAATCAACATGGCTTCCTACATGGCTGAGCTCTCCTACTATGCTGGTCCTATGAGTCCGTTCGTCCAGGCCGCTGAAATGCACAACCAATCCGTCAACTCCATGGCCTTGGCATCGGCGCGCATGAGTGCGCACGCAACGGAAATTCTAACCTTGATGACAGCAGCCCACCTATATGCGAGCTGCCAAGGAGTAGACCTCAGGGCGTTGCACATGCTTTTCGTACAGAAGGCAATTGAGACAATTACCACCGAAACCAATCAAGTTTTCTCCGATGTCTTGGCCCCCGGCGAGTTGGAGGCTCTACAAAAAGCCCTAGCGGCCCACGTATATCCCTCGTGGTCATCTTCGAGCAAGAAGGACCTTCCTGAGCGATGCGAATCTCTCATCAGCACGGCCGTGCCCATCGTTGTCAACTATACCCAGATTAACGCTTCGGACGTACGTCAATGGAAAGAGCAGACTGTTACAGCCGTCTATGCTTTATGGAAGAAGACATTTAGCGCCTTTTGCGCTGAGCCTCACACACCGACGGTTCTTGGCAAGGGTTCGAAGGTTCTGTATCAATACGTGCGCGAGGAACTTCGCGTTCCATTCCACCAAGGCTTCGTTGAGCACCCGACAAACAAGGTCGATACTTTGAATGGTCGACCGAAGAAGACCGTCGGTGGTTGGATTTCAATCGTACATGACGCAATCAAACACGGTTCCCTGTATGGACCCTTGATAGCACTCGCCGCGGAGGGCTTAGTGAATGAGACAAACGCCGAGACGAACGGCTATACTAACGGTTATGCTAATGGCACAAACGGGAAGGTCTAAAGCGAAATCTAGTAAATAATCACTCGTCACTCGACTGCTGCGGAAATACTCGGTCGCGTGTGGTTCCCTCTGCTAAACAGTAACGGCGTCAAAGGTACAGATAAGAGAAAATGCTTAATGAGAAAAGAGATGCGAGGCCTTGGGCGGCAACGCGACTGGGGATTCTTGTTCTTTAAGTTGTATTAATGTCTATATAGCTCTTTTCCTTGCTGGCACCTTGTCAACTTTGACAAGTACCACTTTCACTTAGCTTTTAGACAATCATTACCTAGGTACATTTCCGGAATTCATTCGTATGTTTTCTTCGCCTCAATTTGGACATATTCGTCGAGAAACATTGTGATAAGTTGGTACGTATGAACGTTGAATAGGCCACAAGTAGTGTTCAAATTGTCGGTTTAGGTAAGGCTCGTCACCTACTTAGGTACCTTGGTGGGTGGCTCCGAATACCCGCCGTTCAACGAATTCATACCACGGCCCCAACGGTCTTGAATTTCACTGTCATAGCGAGTCTTGGGTATATAATCTTCTGGTTTCCTTGAAGGTGACGTGGGAAAAAGCATTTATAATTAAGTATTATATTAGGTGTTTCCCGAGGATGATTGGCAGGGTCGGTCGGTGTATCTCTTTACCATCTATTAGGTAGATGATCGTATTGTTTTTTTTTTTTTTATTGTTTAAGTGAGACTTAGAGCGGATCCCTCTGCGTCTCGTAGAAGAGCTAGGCAAGGTTCTTATCTTTGCTTATTAATATTTCATTACGAACCTTATCGCACAGCGCGGGTAGGTGCAAATCATCCCTTGAATACCCCTGACCCTTGCAGTGCCTAGAACAACAGGGAACCCTTGATCCCCAGAACAAAGCACGGGCCGATGGTAAGGTCTCTTACTTTTTGAGCCCCGGTGGTCCGTCTTCATTCCCTTTTGATGAAACCAATACGAAACCACGGGAATTCTGCCAAAAAGACCGCAGAGCCTTGTACACCTGCGTCCTACCTAGATACCTAGGTAGATTTCTAATTATGATCTATGGGGCGTACGGATCTGTCGCGAAGAGAGTGCTCCATGGTGAGGTTGGCGTCATAATCGAACGATTTTGTTTACAAAGTAGCGATGCTACTGTTGTGCGTTCCGAAGGTGTCAGGACTTGGGTCTCGTGCTCTGCTTCCATGTAAATTCATGATGTTGGCCGATGAACACTCTGGCGGCTCCCTTAGTATGTAAAGGATGATGTGAGGAAGAAATGCCGTCGGTGAACCGATATGGGACCCGGTAAACCTCTATGAGCGGGCGTAAGTGTGTAGACGTAATGGTCAGTCCCTAGGTATTCACGGCTACTAACACTAAAGACATGCCCGCTTAGGTAGTCAGCCGGGAGATCTACCATTTGACAGTTGGCTTCGGTCTACTCTCTGACAGGCACGAGGCAATTGAAGCTGTGAATGATGGGGATACAGACATCTCCGTTCGTACGCAATGATTGGATAAGTTTAACTAGCTGGGGTATGCCATGTCTCGTATTGGGCCAATCGTGTCATTTCAGCGCTTATATGCGTCCTGCTTTTGTCAGCGTGAGGGTTCCCGGGTGTCTGGATCTACACCACCTCGACTCCTTGCGGGAGGAAGTGAATCTCCCGAAGTTCTTGAGCCGATATCCGTGAGGCTGTGGCTTCTTTCTTTTTATTGTCTCCAAGTCATACCGCAGAATGAGGGATATTATTATTATTTTGCACATCAAGCATATATCTGGTGGAGATGGGCGTTCGCCGATGTAGGTATCATGTAACGATGGTGCTCGATCATAGGGTGAGATTTGGGTAGTACATTCCAAGCCATAACATGGAAGAAGAAAAAAAGAGGATCAAGGAAAAGAAAAAAAACAAAAGTTGACAAGCTGCCAGCAGCCGAGAGGATTGCTGCAAGAACCGAGAATAGGAAATGTGGCTGTTGATGTGCTGGCTGATAGGTTACCCAACTCAACCCTGCTTCGGTACATGTCTAGATGCTATGTAAGGAGCACGTACGTACGCCTAATCGAGATGCGATTTCGCAAATGGGGTAATCTTGGTAACTGGATCACATTGCTATATGTGCGTCAGACGCTGGCTGACGGCACCCAATTCTATGTCGCCACATCATGCTATGAAAAATGACATATGTATACAAAAATGCATTATGACTGTATGGCTGCTTTGATGCTTGTCCCATCACACCGCCAACTCACGCTTAAGAAATGTCGTTAAGCGATTCTTTGATATGATTGGGTCATTTAATGGCCGAGATGGTGAGATGGTGTAGAGGCAAAAGAAGAGAGAGAAATTGATAGGATGCATTTTTCTATATTTTGATCGGTTTTATTAACAGGAGGCAAAGAAGCACTATAAGCGCGGCTAGTGAAATTTGTCGACCCGAGACTAGTTAATGTTAGTGGGGCTACTAATAGGAAAACTTGACCTTCCTGCCTTCCTGGGCCAATGTTGTTTTTAACGACTTGTTCCTGCAGAAATCCACTCCCGTAGCTTTATTTTTCAACCTCCTGCATAGCACATTCTCAAACATCCACCGCGGGTGTTACGGTACAAACCATTTAAAGTAAAAAAACAAGCTACCTTTTATCCACGGATCTGGGGAAAACTTGGAATATGAAGTACTAAGTAACTGCGTACTAAGATAGGAGGTAAGATGTAATTACAATTCATATCGAAGGTCATATTGAGCCTTTTCTTTTTTTCTTCCCCTTTTTTCTTTGTCTCCTTGATCTACAACATTTACATGCGCTTGAGCGGCAACGCTAATTGTTCAACCCATACATTATGAGGTATAGATATATCTAAAAGATAGGTATATATATATATGCATCTTGGCCAAGGCAAACTTTCAAGAGTATTGAAACATCTGCCCGATTTAGCATCTGCACTCACCCTTCGAAGAAAACCTGGGGTAGTCAGAACAGGATCAAAGATGTGAGCTTTGATTCCTCGGTGCTCTGAGAGTTTACGAGACAACCGACCGTTCGGTCCTGATTGGGAATGTACAGAGGAGATTCCCAGGGTTTAAACAGGGATCCTAGCGTGAGACTTTAATTAAAGTCTAATCCGGGGTCTTAAGGATGGATCTCTGTCTCTTGTCCCACGATCAATGTATACCTAGGTACCTAGGTATCTATTGTAGATATACATGTGTAATTCTCACCTTTGATACAATTAGGTCATACATACATGAATCTATCATTTAGTGACAATTGATGGTTGCTATATGAGTGATGGGGTTTACAATTAATATCGATTTTTATCAAAGTTATGAGAAATTTGTTGACTCAATCTCGAATAATGATTCTTCAGCAAGGTACTTACTCCTGTACCCAGTAAACCCAGTACAGATACATTATGTATGTATTGGATGTATGCTTGACGTTACTGTACGTGGTAGGTGCTGTGGACTCCCTTGAGTATTGATCCGTTTTGGGTATGTGGGGAGCATATTCTAAGAAGTTTCGCCTGTTAACCGTTGGTTGCTGGAAACATCCTTGTCGCGCAAGGTACTACCAAATAACTTGCAGGTACCCCAAGACGTTAGAAGTTTATTCATGAGAAGGAAGTACCGCCGGCACATTATCTGTATTTTGATAGGTACCTGACTGGCCCTCGACATCTTCAATGTTGCGACCAAGTCTTTTCTGGGAAATGCAACCATCTCATCTCTCGGCCAATCTATGATTTTTTTATTTTTTTTTGCTAGACTGCATTTTGGCACTTGACCCCTATTGATCCTTTGATGCTTCTCCTTCCTCGAGACTCTTTTTCTTTTCAGATTTAGTAGTCTTTAATTATTTGTACAATTTATTGTTATTTTTCGTATCGGGATATCCCAAGATTTTCCACGCGATACGGCGCTGTTTATCGAAAAGCTGACAGAGCTTGTAGCAAACCGGTCTCCGCTTGCACGCGCTTAGTTGTCTCAATCGTCTCTTATTTTCTGCCCCCGAACCCTGTCAGGTTATATGCGGCGTCAATCAGGGTCATCCAGGCGTCTCGAATGAGAAAGCTCCGACCTCATCCAAGGAGTTCGTGACGCCGATTGGCTTTCGGCTGCCCCTTGAGCGACGACATACAGCCGACTTTGTGTGCTTTGCGCATTAAGGACCATGTCGCATCTATCGCTCCGGTGCAGCGAAGGCCCATCGGGTTCTCAACTTTTAGATGACAGTCCAACGATTGGCAGGGCCGTCGTGAATTATCCTTCTGCTGACAGTAACCCACCACCACCGCTGTCGATATCACTTACCAGCCCGAAGTGAGTAGTTTATACCCGACTCTTTTTTTTTTTTTCTTTTGTTCTTGTTTTCTTTTCCTTCCCCCATTCTGTGTCACAATCTTATCACTGCCTACCATTGCAGTGACTAATTAATAGCGTCCAATCTTTGGATACCTAGGTATGCTATGGAATGCTGAAGGTTGGGTGGAGCAACTATTTTTCTCCCCTTTTTTCCCAGCTGGTCTTCTATTATGAAACTTCTAGACCTCCTAATGTCTAAAAATTCCCTGTGACCTGTCGTGCACGTCTTGACACCAAGCGCTGACTTGAATCCCCACTTATCGTTAGACAACGAAAGCCTCCAGCTCCCAGCCCTCTGCAAACAAGCACGGCCGTGTCTCCGCCTTCCAGTGCGAGCCCATCTCGATCGAAATTCCCCGACAAATTATTTTCAGCCGCTTCAGTTACCCAAAGCTCATCGCGAGAAGGGTCGCGACATACCGCGGACACTCGATTCAAGGACTCTTTCCTTTCAGGAAACACCGATCATAGGGACGAAGTTTCTCCAGTTTCGCCTTTATCTGGGTTCGTACTCTTACCATTTCGCTGATTTGCATACCCCCCCTTATCGTCTTCCCTACGCCTTTTCGTGCTGGAGCTAAACATCTAACCATACTCGTTCGCATTTAGAGTGAGCCCATTATCATTTCCTTCGAATGACAACCGCGGCGTTTCCGACCCGATCGCACCTATAAAGAGGCCTCTAGGCTCCACCGATGCGAGTCTGCCTATCATGGCCGGCAACTCGACGTCATCCAGGCCTGATATATCTCCAGGAGGTGCTCCTCGGACGTCCTCTATCGATTCCGCCATATCCGCCATTTCCTCGCGAACCCACTCCCACCAGGGTTCACAGGATACTCAGTCTGGAACTGCAGATATTTCTAATTTGGTCCGGGCAGCAGGCAGTCCCGAGGCTGTAATACAATATTTATTGAAGGAGAAGCATTCTCAATCTCAGCAAAATACACAGTTATGGAGACTTGTCGACAAGCAGAGGGCGATGATCCTTGGCCTTAATAAGGATCTCGAGCGGGCTCTGAAAGACAAAGAGAAATATCGGAAGAAGCTTAAGGAAGTAATGACTGCGCATGATGAGCGATTAAAACTCGAACTCGTACAATCTAATGGACCGAGTATTCCTCGCGTCAATGTTAATGTGCCTAGAGAACAGGAAGTTGACGTACCGGCGTCACCATCTAATCTTGATTCAGCAGACAGTGTTAAACACTCTCCTATTGACGTAGCTCTAGCGCCCTATCCTATCACGCCTCCGGCCGATCATATTCCCAACGGACTACCGTCAGCAGTTGGCGAACTTTTAGATCCATCACATGCGATGCCGAAGGCATCCGAACATGCCTTGGACCATTTTGATCGTGAAGAAGAGGACCGTGCCGCTGACGCAGCTAAGAAAGCGTCGGATGCATCAAAAGACCTTCCCATCAGCCTTACGCTCCCTCCATCCCGAAGCCTCCCGAGCGATCCACCTCGAATGCCCCCTCCTAAACGTCCCACGGGCGAACCTCCGGCAGTATCGGTTATTGAAGCAACTCCATTGATTGATCAGGGCACTTCCCAATTTCCGCCGCCATCTGCTCCGCCGCCACGTAAACCTCCACCCGCCCCACTACAGTTGAAGAAAGACTCGAAGGTGCCTGCTTCAATTTCCCCAGAGGACGGAGACGATTCGGATTCGGACTACGATTCGTTGCTAGAAGTGGACGAACTGCCAATCCCCGAAAAGCGCGGTCGGAGAAGAACAAGGGAGGAAGATGACCGGGAGAGAGAAATCCTTGCTCAGCAGGAGGCCGAGGCTCGTAGTCTGTCAAAGAAAAGCAAAAAGGGTAGCCAAAAGGGTACACCTATTGCTAAAGAGCCGGAACCTTCGTATCAGGGAGTCTCTGCAAGTCCTCGGATGCCTGGGACTCAGCCTATGCTAGCACCCGAGAATATACCCGCGTCGCTAGCTGGTATGTTGAGTGGCAACGACATCCGACAAACCACTGTTCCTGGTTTGATGATGAGTCCCGGTCTTCCCGCCAGCCCAAGACCGATGGGGATGAAGTCGCCTATGCATTCCCCCCCAGTGTCACCTCGCGGCATGGGGATGGGCATACCTCTTTCGCCACGAGCTCCTAGACAGCCTATCCCTATGCCTCCCAACGCAATGATGCCAAATTCTTCCTCAGCGGATTCGAGCCAGACATCCGCTAGACATCCTAATGTGGCTAAGCAGGCGTCGGAAGCCGCACAGTCAAGTCCTACAAGTCGGGAAAGCCCGGTCGAAAGAACGAAGATTTACAAAGGATTTGTAACCGACGAATATCCCGATTTATTATTACCACCGAACGCTTTACCCTCAATTGAGGTCAAGGTTGCTTCGTCTCGCATGAAGCCATCCCGAGCTAGTCTCCTTTCACTAACACAGCTAGAGGAAGACCCCGTCTTCACTCTAGCTATTTTCTCGCGGTCTGAAGGCGTTGAATTGTGGAGAGTGGAGAAGGACACATCGTCCCTCGCCAAGTTGGACCAGAAGATGAAACAATGCGCGTCTTTCAATGCTAAGACGCCAGATAGGTCTCTTTTTAGTGGTCACTCACCTGCTAAGCTCGATGCTCGCCGTACTATTCTAGACCAATACCTCGATGAACTTCTAAACGCCCCGCTTGACACTCCTACAGCCCTCGAACTTTGTAAATACTTATCAACTCATACACTCCGACCTAACGTCGATGATTCCTCGTCTACCAACGAGTCAACCAATGAAGGAAATGCGCAGAAAAAGGGTCCTGGAGGCAGACCGTTCAAGAATGGATACCTAACGAAGAGAGGAAAGAATTTTGGGGGGTGGAAAGCCCGATTCTTTGTCCTCGATGGGCCTCATCTGAAATACTACGAGGCACCTGGTGGTGCGCACTTGGGAACCATTAAGCTTCAAAATGCGCAAATTGGGAAACAATCTCAGCAATCCAATGATGGGTCTCCCGCAAGTGGCCCGAACGGCGATGAATTGGACAATCAATACCGACACGCATTCTTGGTCTTAGAACCAAAGAAAAAGGATTCTAGCAGTCACGTGAAACATGTTCTCTGCGCTGAAAGTGATTCGGAGCGTGATGAGTGGGTAGATGCCCTACTTCGCTGGATCGATTATCGGGACGGTAACGATGAGGAAACGCATACCTCGACCGGACAGGATCGAAGCCAAGCTAGTGGCAACGGCGCTCACGCCAACAGTGCAAATGCGAAGAGAAAAGGACATGGTCACGGAAAACATCAGGGTCAGAGAGGCGGTAGCCAGGATGGGCTAATCGGGATGAGCTACGATTCAGCCAAACAGGGTGACATCCCAGACGGTGCACCTTCGCGGCGTCATAAAACGGCAACGCCTGAACCCCAAGATAGGGCTAATGGGCCAACCTATACCATTTCCGCGCCGAAAGATCCGCAATTGATACCCGACTCTGCGACGTGGGGTGGTAAGATGGGCCTGGCTCCGCCTGGCCCTACGACTGAGGAAAAGAAGCAACGGAAACGTAGTTTCTTCGGATTTGGCCCGAAAACTCGGTCTTCTTCGGACGATCAAGATCCATTATATGGTTCTAACACCGGCAATCCTCTCCAGGCTCCACCTGAGCAACGCGGTCCGATCCGGCAAGTATTTGGAGCATCTCTCGCAGATGCCGTAAGATTTAACGGACCATTTGATGTTAGCGTTCCTCTTCCGGCGGTGGTCTACCGTTGTATTCAGTATCTCGATGCCAAGAATGCAGTTCTAGAAGAAGGTATCTTCCGGTTGAGCGGTTCTAACCTAGTAATCAAACAACTGCGCGAGCGCTTTAATACTGAAGGCGATGTTAACATTGTTACTGACAATACGTACTACGACATTCACGCCGTTGCTTCCCTACTAAAACTTTACCTTCGCGAGCTTCCGACCACCATTCTCACCAGGGATCTCCACATGAAATTTGTTGAGGTGACGGACATGCCTAACCATCGAGAGAAAATTATGTCTCTAGCAGGTCTCGTGCAACAACTCCCCCTGGCCAACGAGACGTTATTGAAATATCTCATCGCCTTCTTGATAAAGATTATCAACCATTCAGATAAAAATAAGATGACCGTACGTAACGTGGGTATTGTCTTCTCACCAACACTTAACATCCCAGCGCCGATATTTGCCCTGCTATTACAGAACTATGAGGGAATATTCGGGTTGGATCCAGAGGAGTACGAGCTTCCTTCTCCAGTTCTTGGTACGGATTCACGTGGGCCACCAGAAATGCAGCCGCCCGCCCAACCGCCTCGGCCGTCCACATCAACAGGTTCTCCTCAAAGGCAACGCCTTGTAGAACAGACGCAACAACGGTCAACACCCACCCCACCACCCATGGTTACAGGAGGACTCCGCCCAACCCCAACGCCTCCACCTCGCCAAACATCGTCTTATGAGCCGCAGTATTTGGCTCAACCAGGATTGCAATCTTCACTTCGTCCCGCCTACGAAGGCGGCTTCGCCATGCCACCGGGCTATGATCCAAACTTAAAACAACCCGGTTACGATCGCCCACATTACTCTTCATATGAACAGAACTACAACGAAAATTCCCTGTCTGCATATGACCCATCTCATAATAAGAACAAGAGAGAAAGTACAATGTTTATGGGTAATATGATGCTTAACCAGCAAGGCTCCAAAAGTCGCCTAAGAGAGGAAAATAGATTTTGATTGCATCCGAGAATTACATACGGTCTCAAATAGAAGGGGCGTTTCGAGGGATCCATCTATATATCTCTCGATGTATTATTGTTTCACCGTCGATGCAGACGCTACCGTTTCTTAAAATTTTCCATTCGATCTTCTGGTATACGGACGATATTCTGTTTGCTACACGCTCGGCGTGGTCCTAGCTAATGTCTATTCAACTGAGCGTCTTCTAACGACCTAAACCGAGCAACGCCCCATTAATACAGTCGCTGCGGGCCGGGGCCCTAGCGAGCAATAATAGTCTAATGATTGATCACCAACTTAAGTAGTTCTGAACGAGACTTCAGGATGCGAGCATACATCAGATATTTGAAAGCGACACTTACAATTCAATTACTCCAAACCATACAGCCGATTTTCGGGAGGGCAGGCGTTTCGACCGCGGCCGTTGGAGGCCTCTTGTTTTATTTGTATTCATCAGGTGGATTCCTGAACGACGCGACGGTGGGGAGGGAATGTTGCGGCGTTAGTGGTCGTAGGGAATGATCTCCGACTTCAGATTTTAGCGATGAATAAAAAAATCCGCAGTTTCTTGGGCGCCGCTGTGTTGATTGCGTACGATACAACCCATTCCTCCCAGAACATCACGATCATAAATGAAAAGACGGCTTCCGGAATTATTGAGTGGACGACATAGTTTTTGGTGTGTGTGACAAAATTGACTGCAGATGTTACTGCATATGTGACCATTGGCCCGGGGGGATTCCGATTTCTTTTGCCTGCAATCTTTGAGTGGTGGTATTAAAGTACGCAGCCATTATCTTACCCAGAGCCTCACCATCTAGATAGACGATGGATACATCGTAGTAATAATACATCCAAGGGGTTGTGTTTACTTACTTTGAGTACCTAAGTTCACAATGTTCCTAAGTAGGATGTATTTTCCCTATCTCCCGGCATACTCCGCGGTCCCACGCGTTCATGGAAGATTAATTATAGTTTAGTTAGATGCTATCGCGAGGACTTTCTTTTCGATGTTTCATCTTGGAATGGCGCTCTATCGCGGTCAAAGCAGAGCAGATGAAGTTAACTCGCAGAAAAGAATCAAGTTGTCTCGAAGCCTAGATGTGTTGCGACTATAGCAAACCTCGTATTGACTCTCACTCTTAATAGGATCATACTATCATGGCATGACACCTAGCCGAGGAAGCATGCTTACCCAACATAGCTCCGAACACCCCAGACCTATCTACTTGCCCACCTAGCTATGTAAGCAAACAAGGGGGATCTTTTCTCTTTTTGGCCTGTTAGAAATACTTATCAACTTGTCTACACAAGTAAATTCACCAATAAGCACCCATGTCATTGTACTGAGCCGCATGTGATAGCTCTCTCCACTGCATCGATGCCGATTCCTGGTCAGTATTCTGTTTTGAGAAAAGTGCAGATCAGTGCGTGCTCCTCGAATGGGTCTAGACTATCGTCCAATACGCAGTCTTTGCTTCTTCAGTAAGAGGTGCGATATTAATAAAACCATAGATTCCATTTCTCCCCGCCGGAGTTATAATTTAGATACTCGGACCCGAAACTCGACTAATTTACACCATCTGGAATTACTGATCGCCGGAAATTATTATGTATGACCATGTGCTTGATCTACGCGTCCTCGTCAACGCAAACCGCATATAACGGGTATTGGCAGTCATTTGTGTCAGTTGATATGAGAAACGAACCAGTTTGATGGCAATATAGCCCACATCGTGCCTGGAACTGAGCTTTTATGACGTCGACTGCATTCTATAATGAACCTGGCTATCATGTGACGCCAGTTAACGTGTCGGATGAACCGCAAAGGAGGGGATGGGAACATGAAGGGTACAAAAGGAGTATTAGAAGAAGAAAAAAATCAGATCAGCAACAGGAACATGACAATGAAACAACGGCTTCTGCCGTGACCTAACAAGACAGGCCAGCGCATCATCTATCACTGGCTGCTCATAGATTAGCATATAAGAATATGTTAGCAACATACCTCCATAATTTTTTATATTAGTGTGTTCTGGTTATTGTTTCCTCCTAATGTTAAGAGGTTACTTCCATATAGTACTTACCACGTAGGGACATCTACCTCCCTTACGCCATCTTCGTCTCAGTTGAGAAAACGCAGGGGTGTGAAAAGAATCGCGCTACACGAACCTACATCTACCGAGAATTGAACCTCGTAGGCTAGTCAGCACGAGATCTTCGATCCCCCGCGCCTGAACCCCGTTTCCCGAAGCGAAAGCAGGAGCCCACCAGCGGAGCTTCATATATTCTAATCGTGTAATATGATCCTGTCAAATCAGTAGCGTCCATCCGGAAGATCGAACTATCGGTGAAGTATCGAACCTTGCTAGCCAATATTACCCTAGGTAGCTCGTGCCCACAAATGAAGCCAGAACAGTCCAGGGTGTCGTGGTAGAAAGAGATAATTCGAGTCCCATTGGGATTTAACCCCTTCTGTCTTTAACGCGCATAATGACATAGGAACTCTGAATCGAAGCTAGAAGGCCAGACCCTGAACCCGGAGATCTACACATAGATCTTGCACCATCTTATATCTTCACATGTTGGGTTGAATCAAATAAAAAATGTGATAATACATTCCATTGTGATGGGAGGCCTCACAAAGTCGGCAGCCTTACGCAACTGGGCTGCGAGGGGGCGGCGAGAATTTTCTTTCTTTTTTGTTGGGGTGGCTTTTTTCCCTCAAAGATTCGTACCATTAACGGTATAGTCGTTGTACTTTGACTTTGGTCGGTAGGACGATTATCAATGCCCAGGAAAAGAAACAAATATACTGGGACGGCGTAATGCCAATTGTCGAGAGGCGCCCGTTTATCCACGGTATTCGAAAGTACTAGTGCTGATTGTGCCTATTATCTGGCCCGGAGCTCCTCCGTCGTGGCCTCAACCCCGTGGAAGTATTTCCTTTTTGTGTAGCCCGTTCTGCAGGGCACATGTTTGATGCCATGTGCAGGATGGGGTCCGAACCAATCAGATCATCCGGGGTCGATACCGGACCATATTGTAGGGAAGAACCCTACCAACCGTTGAAGCTAGAGACGGACCGTAAAGGATATATGGGGTAAAATTTGTCATGTTCGGGAGCAATCCAAGTAGATATAGACGTCTTTAAGAAAGTCTAACAGCGGAACAATGACCATTTGTATAAGCTACAAAGAGCTAAATATCAAGTCTAGGGTGGCGACTCAGCCTATGTAGATCGCTTGAATACCTACGTTTCCTATTACGGTGAGCTACTCGGAGACTAAAATAAGCACATTAGCATGCCTCAGGCCGCCACTCAGGCCGCTAGCACATGTACCTTGATGTTAGACTTGGGTAATAAAGCCCAGGCATGTTGAACAACAAGATGTGGGGTGATTAGCTCCAGGAGCTACAATTCCCATTGCTAGAACCCGGATTCCCATCTATTCAACATCGAGATAACTAGAATCTTAAGATACATTACATTGGGCACATTGCTCAAAAGCCACGGAGAAATAGCACTTCAGTACCATTTCCAGTCTTTTTCTGGAAATTATGATGGTATAAGGATAATGGAGTTTTCAGAAAGCTCGGATGGCATAGTGGGATTGCCCTACACTGAAGCTCCTCTACATCTATACATTACCCCCTTTTTCCGTCTCTTGCCTCCCCCACACACCCCTGTGCCTCAATTTGCCACATGTGCCTCTACTTTCAGTGATAAAATAGCGTCGGTACAATGGAGATACTTAGATTGGAATAAAATACCCACGTTGTAAGCTCCTGCACAAGCCACCGCCCGCGGTGTGCAAGCTCGCTTGATAACGACTCTTGGAAGTATCTTTGCATAAGTATAACCACTCGTATCGCGCCCGGACACGAGTCCGGACGACTGATTGTCCCGTGCAGTACATGCATACGGATCACGGGCGATTTGGAGCTGCACTTACATCCTACACTACATGTAGAATAGTCCACGACAAAGTACTGTACCCCAACCCCCCGGCATCTTAATGGTAACAACTTGCTCCGACGTCCTCATCTATCAGAATAGGCCTTTTCATCCCAACTCTACTTTACTTTTTGGCAGCTTAGGTAGAACGTTAGTATATTCCCATAGTGCAAACATATTTAATACCGCGCAAAACCCATCTTAACTAGGTAACCCTCTTCACTCGTGGACATGAACATCCCGTTCATATGACGTACCAAAAACCCAGGATTGAGGAACGAGGTCCGGCTTGATACAAGCTGTCCCATTGAAGCTTGCAAGGAGGGCCAGATATAATTCGCCGCAACTTACAAACTTTGGCGGGCTAACGAGGACTGAGTCGCTTGCACACTCTCGCTATTAGAGTATTCTCTACCATCGATTCGACCAGCCCGCCATTTGCAATTTCCAGGACAAACTGGATGCTTTAAGACAACAAAATAGTTTGAGGTTTATTTACCTCATTGTCTAAATTATCATTCCCCCTAGCGAGTTGGCTTAACAACCAATCACTCTCTACATTGTGCCAATACGGTTACACATCAACTAAAGGCCAGCAAAGACATTTCGCAAACATGAATGTAGCTGTTGACGCAGGACGAAAGTTCGATGACTGGCCAGACGAAAGCCAATGGACACCGGCACCAATGTTTACTTCACCTTTTGCCCAAAGTGTACCTATAGCAGATACGCAATTCTGGACCTCCCCCGGTCATAATACAGAGGAATACTATGAGCCGGATCACAATCCAGCGCAACAAGAATTAGGCCGTAGTATCGACGCCAGCGACAATGTGAGCATTTCATCTTTCTAACTCTTGCAGCTGTGGTTTCAGGTCGCCATTCTTTATACAGACCTGCCTTCAACTACAACCGCAGCTACCGGCAATCCATCAAGACACTAATACTAAATGTAGTTCGACTCTGGGTTCACCATCGACAATGCGGCTGCAGGGGCAGGCGGTTTTATGTACAACCATCCTCCGGGTACACAACCAGTGAATCCCCAGCATTTCGGTGGCTCATTCGGTGCGCATAGGCGGCATGATCGCGAAAGCGATGCGCTATACGACGGTAGCGTTGCATCATCATCCGTAGGAGCGCCGACGATACATAACAAGTTTTCCTCGAAAAGTCCTGAGGCAGCGAAATTCTCGCCGCAATCTGCTACAGGAGTCTCGCCAGCATCAGGGACGTCATCGATCAATTGGATGCACGATGACAACGGAGCGATAGATCATCTTTCGCCAGGATCCCCGGCATCCAACATCAACGTCAACGTTGGTTTCGATCCTCTGATTCCTCTTTCCACCGCACCTACTCCTGCTATCGCCACCTCGGCGCATCCGATTAAATCCAGGCGCAATCGGGAGCGCAATCGTGTTGCCGCGCATAAATGCCGCCAGAAGGCGAAGCAAAGCATGTCGGACTTACAATCGCGTGAGCGCGAACTAAGCCAGCAGAACCGAGTACTGCAGGAACACGCCGGTAGTCTCCGAGACGAGATCCTAGACCTCAAAGATGAGATTCTCCGACATAGCGAGTGCAACAGCGACATCATCCAGAACTACATCGCGAAGGCCGCCCGAGATGTGAACTGAATTGTGATCTTGCGCAACAGCGAACGGCGATAGAGCCGGGGTAATAATGGGTACCTAGAACACACGACAACGATAACAATAACGACGGTGGCGTGGCGCGGTACAGGGGAAAAGGGGTAAATGGGAAGTCAGGGTTCGGTAGTAGGGTAACGGGGCGTCGTTATAACGATGATTTAATGTGTCATGATGATAAACATGTTATCAAGGAAGAGAAAAATATAAAGTATCGGCGATGCGCCGGTGGCAGGTCCCTTTTGATCATTGAGTGGAACTCTCCCGAGTGTGTCTTACCTAGCTAGATCTGACTCTTGTTGGGTTTGTTTGCTATGCTCCTTCATAGCAAAGATGCCTTTCCATTTGCACCTCGGACTTTTATCACGAGGTTTCTTGGTGCTCCTTGGTCCGCAAGGAAGGAGGTAAGTCAAAATAAATTTGTCCACCAATTTCGAGGAGCTCGTACAGAAGACATAAATTTAGACTAATCGGACTCCTCCACTTCGGACATGTCGTCGCATTATACCAAAATGCGCAATCGCCATTCCATGCAATATACATTGGTGGGTGAGAGTATATAGATATGGCGTGGTCCTGGACTCCTCATTATAGCGATGGCGCGGTCTTAATAGACGTAGCCAATTTCAACCGAGCTGATATTGCGAGACCTGGAAGGTCTTTTTTTCCGGCTTACCTGCCGTCTCGAGATGTTTATATATGAATTTGGGAGTGGAGAGAGGCGCTGCAAGGAGCGTGATCATGCGTAATAAAACGGCGACGTACATAAAAAATACTGTCAATACATCGTCAGTGTATCCACTCGGCCTCTTCCCTGGTCGCGGCTGTATGTATCAGACCCATGAAAGCGTCTGGCGAAATAGGCGCGCTCAATCTCCCATAGAGTCGTGACTTATGGATCGACCTCGCATGTAAGTAAGCAACACGTGTTTGCTTCATTTCATCGTCAACAACTACACAGTCGCCCCCACGAACCCCCCTTTTCTTCATGCAGCCGACAGGAAAAATGACAAGGCTCGCGCGACATGATTATGGAAAAAGAAGGGGGTTGGGATAATTGCCCGAGAAGTAAATTTCGTACTTAATCATTTTGACTGGATAACCACCTGTTAGAACATCATAAGCGAGGGAAATCAGCTTACTCACTTACACAACCAACATATGAATCGCCATGATAGGAAGGACAGTATATACCTAAGTACATCACAATTTCCCTTCCTCCTTCCAAAGACGTGTCAAGGATTGCCCGATTCACGAAAACTTGAGATAAGTTCTTTGCTTTCATGAATATGTTGGAAGGCTCATCTATACCCACCGTTTGGTAAAAATTATCTCCATAGCCCCAGCTCCTTAGTCACGCATAGGAAGCCCATACCCATATAAAATGAAGGATATATTCCGAAGGCACACATTGCCAATACAACCTCACGGCGCACCATTCGACGCCGGCGCATTCGATATCTCTGGGAAGCAAATATCCGTACCAGTAGCCCCGGTTTTGCGAGGACGACTGTCTGTATCTGCGAAATGGTATACGGATACATTTCTATGTTCGTCACCGGCTACATGATTATCTCGATCCCGGAAGTCCTTCTCAACCGATCTGCGACACTCTGTAGTAGTCGCTGGAATCTTACTTCCTAGCCTCAACCTCCTCTTTCGAACAAACAAACAGCATCGCATGTTCAGCGTACCGTTCCAAATCACGCATTGGCATTGCAGAAATGAGACCGGCGTAGATGCAAAAAATTCTTGGTGCCAAAATGTGACAGTCACTTTTCGGCAAAGAAAAATGACGTATGCCATCACTGCGCAGTGACGATAGACCGCGGTATTTTTTGGAGTATTACCATTGCGTTCCATCGAGATTGCATGAATGTTTTTGCTAAATTCACATATTTAAGACGTCAGATCCAGACAGTGGAGAGTATGGTAGTCATCCCCCCATACTTCCCAGCCCCTCTACTCATTATCGTCGTGTTTCTTTCCCAAGGCCCTTAGCTTTTCTCCCCATATCCACAATATGATCGGCACCGGAATACCAAGAGCCAAGAATATAAAGGCTAGAAGGCTATTTCCCCAGCCATAATCCAAACGGTCATATAATTGAGGGGCAAAGATCGGGAAAACGAATCCTAGGACGTTGGACAGTAGTCGAGTGGCGGCACCGGCTGAGGCGCCAAGCTCACCGAACATGTCTAAGGTGTATGCTAATAGGGCCTGTGAAAGGATTGTGCTTCCCAGCGTGAAAATAATTGCGCCGATATCGACCATGACCCATATGATACGGTACTGTGCGGACCATGCATACCAGAAGAGGCCGATAATAACGAAAACAACACCAGGCACCATGTACGGGACTCGAAATTCAGGTTTACCGACACCTTTATTACCTGGCCGGTCCCTTAAGCGTTTATAAATGTAATCCACTAGAGCGGCTGAGGTTAGCACTTATTCGACGTTTATCATTTCGACGATCTGGGTCCACATAATATACCACCTTACGCAATAAAGCGATATCGGGCTATTCAACAAGGAATATACATACTGAAGCGGCTTCCTATTTGTGCAGCCATAACAAATCCAATCGAGAACGAGATATAATGCAGACTTCCAATGAGGGGGGATTGGCCGTACCGGTCAATCCACAATGTCGCGAATGTCGAAAGCAGCAGCGTATAAATGCCAAAATCCAAAGCGAAAATTAGGGATACAAACTGGATTATAGGTCGTCTTATAAGGAGTCGAATGGGTCGTTTGAGATATACTGATAGTCGGGAAAAGAAGTCATGCCAGTAAGCCCACTTAGTAGGCGATAAAACCGGAGTGGCTGGCTGTCCGGATTTTGCAGCCGCCTTTCGGCGCAATAGGACTGGTGTATAGGACTCTTTTATAATAAGAGCACCTAGCAGGGTTATAAATGCGTCGAAAATACTCACGATCCAGAACAACCACGGCCACTGTATCAGCTGGACTACGACACCACCAACGATAGGTCCAAGCGCCGGCCCAAGGTAGGGGAGGAAAGATGCTATGGCTAATGACCTCCCTCGGTCCTTGGCTCGGTACATGTCCGCCATGGTAGGCCCAGTAAGCTATAGCAAAGAGGAAGGTTTTAGTATATGGCAATCTGGGCTTGAAGTCAAACGTGATGGGCACATACTATGATACCAGCCGAAGCTCCTGTAGCGGCAAGAAATCTGCCAATGATCATCAAGGCTTCTGATTTACCAACCGGACATAACGCGTTCCAAAGGATATACCAAATATTGCTGGCCACCCAGGTAGTCTTCCTGCCATTCATCTCACCTAAAGCAGCGACGAAGAATGGACCGAACGCTAAGCCAAGGAAATAAATAGAAAGTGTGATTTGGGCAGTCGACGCGTCAATGCCTAAATCATGCGATATATTCCCGAGAGCGGCAGCTATGATTGACGCCGACATCAATGTGACAAGCTGGCCGACAGAAAAGATGATGCCAATTATGACCTTCCGCCATTCGGGCCAATTGTATGGGTCTTCTGGATCATCGGGTCCGTCCCACGTCGCACCGTATTGCTCATAGAGTCGCGCGAGTCGTTTTTCGGTTTCGCTGTCTTGATTCTCGGCTTGAACTTCCGGCGCCTCTGGATTTTCGGCGAATGGCAATGGATCTGTTCCTCCAACAGGTCCCGCCACTACACCCCCTACTTTCTTCTCATCGAGAGACATACTATCGATGATTCCGGGCTGTGTCCGACTAATACAGCAGACAAAAATTAACCTGAAATGTTCATAAACAGTTACTAGGGCGGAAATATCCCGTTATATAGAACGGGTTGTTGTCAATTCCGCGATGAAGCGCGCGGTTCAACGATGACTCCTCAGGACCCTAGGAGCACGTCTTGCATGGTTTCGCTCTAGTAACACCCCAAAATCCGGGGCCCTTGATCTTACGAGGGAAAGTAATAGGTCGCTTTGCGAAAAATGGTCCACTTCGAAGTAACGGTTGCTTTTAAAGGCAAAAATACAGATATCCGAGGTCGCCGCCTAACTCCGAGCCGGTTCATATTATGGAGACAAAGGTTCGGAATCCCTTCCCGAAAGCGGACCAAGACGCCAACTATCCAATGAGACATCGTGAGATGATCTGATAAGACCACTTGGCGTCGAGCACCATGACAAGCGGTCTACAAACCTGCGTACTAGCGCCATCTGATAAGCACAGTGGCCGGGGTACGTTGCAATGGTGCCTCTCATGGTCCTTAGCCTAATGGGAATAGCGAGCTGAAGTAGGCAGGCGGCAGGCAGCAGGCAGCACAGCGAATATAATATTACGCCTATGGAAGCCGAATAAGAGACCAGTATATCAATCCTCCGGTACGAAGTGCTCCGGGTATGCAGAAATCGTCTGAAAATCAGATCATTCACTTCTTGCTGACACAGTCCGGGACCGAGGCCGACCCCGATCCCGCAATGCAAGGCTTCCTTCTAGTCTGTAAGCGATGGGTTATGAGATCGCGAGAATTGGCATTATCCACAATGAAAGCTTGTTTTTATCCCCACAAACGCACCGTGCCTCTAGGTGTAAATGTGGACAGGAATAGTTCCTTGCTGCAGAAGCTTAACTTGGAGGTTGTGCGGGCAATTGGGAGGACTGAGCTTGCTAGTAGCTCTATAAAAATTTTCCAACGGTCGTAACACGAGCTCCATTTTCTCTAGAAATTATCCCGTTATAGGAAGGTCAGTCATTCACGCTAGGCCTATAGGTTGATATCTTTAGTCCTTGCATCGTCGGATTGACTCACATGATGCGAAGTACCTGAAATGAGTATATATAGGCTCTGATTTTATATGTACAGCCGGTAAGAGATAAGGAGTTTCTGTTTCTTTGCTACAAAGAATTGCGCTGACGTTGTCGAAGTGGTGATCGATGTTGTATTTTCTAGATTTATTTTTACGATCGAGGGCCCTAAGAAATTCACTTTATCAAGCTTAGTCATGCTATTAGGACGTACTAGATCGGGCAAGAAGCGCTGAGATAGATGCCTAGAAATTGATGGAATTTCTTTTAATAGTGGCTTATAAGTACCTGTAAAACCCTCTGTGATTGCTCGCTACATTTTGATATTTATAGTGAAATTTAGCGCCTGGAGCTTCCTTTCCATCTTTTTCTTTTCTTTTTATCGCTCCGCCTGATTCAAATGACGAGAAAAACATGACAGTTTGCTCATTCTGCGAAACGATCAATGTATCGACCTTGCCCACTTTCGCTGGGTTTTCAAAGACTATCTGGCCCAAAGACTTGCATAAAGTAGAAGCACAAGAGCATCATTCATCACTCGGGGCTCTCAGAGACTCGGCTCAGACATGCCCAGGCTGTCTGTTGCTCCTGACTGGGCTAACAAGTCAGGAGCGCAAAGGCCCGATTCCTCAAGGGCTTTCAATAAAACACATAGGAGCCAGTGAATACGCGACTGATTGGTGGGACGAGTCAGTAAATGATGAACCTGTCGCCCTACGAGGCTTGGGCCGCGATGGGTTCACTGCGGAGAGGAAGCTGATGTACGGTCTCTTGGCTCAGTGCGGGGCTGCTTTGCACAAGTTCAGCGTTTTCGCCAACGGAGGTTGGTCTTGCTCGTTTGTTAGAAAAACGTAATCAAACATACCAACGCATTCATTAAACGGTGGATAGATTCATTAGCTGCGCACTCTAGGATGGTGGTTGGTAGGAAACCGGCTCCGGTGGGCTGTTCAAAGAGAATTCTTGAATGGGCCAGAACTTGCAATGAGAAACATGTCAAGTGTTCTGCGTATCAACAAATCATCTCGAATACGCGAACATTTCCGACACGAGTACTTGATGTTGACGTCGGTAGCTTGGAACAAGTACGAGTAGTTCCTGGTGCTGGTCTCGTAGGTAAGTACATTGCCTTAAGCCACTGCTGGGGTAAGACACCGATGGTAAGAACTACAAAGGAAACATACTCGCAATTCACAAAAGAAATCCATATCAGTTGTCTTAACAAGACCTTTCAAGACGCTATTATGGTCACTCGGAATTTAGACATTCGATATATATGGATTGACTCTCTTTGTATTATACAAGATGACCTTTCGGATTGGGAGAGAGAAGCTGCTAGCATGGCCCAGGTTTATTCCCAAGCCTATCTGACTATCGCGGCCTCAGCAGCCTCCGACGGAACACAAGGATTGATGCGCCAAAAACCAAAAGAAGCCTACTTCGAACTCCCCTATGATCCCCAAGAAAACCCATTTAATCAAGGAGTATCGATTGCGCCATATCTACTCAGATTTCGGCGTCTTATTGCCGCACCCTTGAATACCAGGGCCTGGACCCTCCAAGAACGCGTCTTATCTGCACGGACTCTTCATTATGCTCGTGACCAAGTGCATTGGGAATGCCGAGAAGCAATCGCGAGCGAGGCTGGAGGACCACCATTTGGTGAACTTCTTGACAGTTCAGGAGACGAATCTTTTCATTCGGGCTGGCTAGGACGGATATCGGAAGACTTATTATCAAAAAGCGATACGGAGAATTTGGAACTTGCTGTTCAGCAGCGCGAGTCTGGGCGAAGTGGATTTGAGACCTGGTATGGCTTAATACAAACATACACTCAACGTAATTTGACCAACATCACGGACAAGCTACCTGCACTGTCGGGTATTGCTCGCGCCTACGCCCAACATCATGATAGCGACTACATGGCCGGTCTCTGGCTTAGAGACATAGGTACTGGCTTACTGTGGTATCGTAGGACATCAGAGCCCCTTCAGCGCCCGACAACGTATATAGCCCCATCATGGTCATGGGCATCGGTCGAAGGCTCCATGGATTTCTTTAGCATTAGCGCGGGGACTATCTTCGAGAGATCTATTGAGATATACGACGTCGCTTACCGTATAGAACCCGACGGTCTCAATCCTTTTGGAAAAATCAGATATGGGGAGTTAACAATGTGGGCCGCGGTAAAACCAGCCATTTTAAAGACCATTTGGGAAGATGGTGAACCCATTGACGGGAAATCATCAACACAGATGGTCTTTGATGACATTTCAGCAATCGGGTCTGCCACGCTAGACTGTCCAACTCCAGATAGTGAGGTAACTTGCCTCTTAGTGGCTACAGGTTACAATTCTTTCGGCATGCGTCTTCAGAACAATTTAGTGCTTCGGTTATCACCACAAAAGTCTAGTGGTGAGAACGGAGACATATTTAGAAGAATAGGAATGTCAGTGTTCCACGAAAAGCGGGATTACGCGCCCGACAGATCCCTGAACCCAACTATGGCGTCTTCAAACTATAGTGGGAAAATGCCCGGGGAAGTTGACGAGGATTTCTTGGAAAATTGGTTTTACGATGTTGAAATGACGAAACTCACCCTCATCTAGATAATACCGTTACTTACTGTACTTACTGTACCTACGGCCAATATTTTATAATCTATTATTCGGTGTTAATGAACAAATCCATTGTCACTCCAGGATTAGGGTTGTTGCTGGAAGCTCACTGTACATGTAAGTTCCAAAGCGCTAAGTTGCGGGGAGGCCATATGCTAATGCCCCTACATTATAGTGGTCAAGCTAACCCAAATAACATGAAGCGATGCGCTATAAGTTCGATCCTGGTTTTATACACAAAGAAATTACAGCACGCTACCCCCGCAATACGTGGGGAGCCACAAGGCCCGAAGCGCTATAATCACTATGACTTGTACATCTAAGAACGTGTTACCGTTTTAGCATTAATACTCTAAGGAACCGTTTGAAAAAAAGTCGATCGCCTTTTTGGATTGCTAACTGTATATTAAGCACTTATAACTATTATAACTATGTATGTATGAAAAAAAGGTGTTAGAACTACCTACTTAGGTACGTGGGTAGGTATTTGATTCATTGAGTATCACCAATTTTCAACATTGATACGTTGATCAGGTAGTGGTGAAGGTTTTCTTTGTTTTCTCACACACGTCTTATTCATGATTATGGAAAGCGAAGTAAGTAAATCAAGACCTCACCAAGGAAATGTTTCCATGCACCGAAGCATAAATATCAAGGCTTCATTCCGAAGGCCTTCGAGTTAAGTTACATAAACAAGTAAACTCTCAACCAAATTACTAGATTGTGCGCACCTCCGAAATTCGTAAAACGAAAATGGAAATGGACAAACAGGGCTTCGATCAAGCTTCCTCCTATAAGGAGAAATTGAAGCATGTTCAAGGCTTGATACCTATTGACAAACCACTCATCACATGGGACGGCCGCCGTGGAAGATCACCACGTGAGTACTTAAAGCCACCTACTATACCATATGGCCAAAAAGTCGCAGAATGGCAAAATGCCCTTTCTGGCCAACAAGATGTACCCGGTTTCCGTGACTGTTCAGAAGTCCGATCTCTTCGCAAGGACGCACCCACTATGGTCCTGATTTTCTATCCCCGCCCAGACGAAGATAATGCAAGGCCTATACATCAGAGCCCTTCTTACCTAAAGAGAATCGAACGCATAGCTCAAATGGGGGAGCAGACAATTATCTACGTCCCACCCGAACTGACGGAAACAATCCGTGCCATGCGATCCGATCCACATTGGCACATAGTGGATGCGTATCCTACGATTTGGGATGTACCGACTAACAACTACCAGCGCGATAACTTCACAAATAAGCAGCCGAAACTTTTTAGGGAGCTCGACGGCTATAGCGATGCGGATGGTGAGCTGAGACCAATAGAAAGATACAACCGTGGCCATCATAGCGCCGTGTGTAACGCGAAGGCATTCATCATGTACGACGCTATCATGCGCAACCCCTTCGGCTCCGACCGTTGGATGTACGTGGATGCGGGCTTCCTCTTTGACGACGGCCCCAAAGATGCCGATGGAGTAATTTGGGGCGACCTCATCAAAAGCGGTCTCGACTCTGCAAAATTCGATCGTGCTATTAGTGTCTCGCGCGACACAGGTGTGGTTATGGGGGAGTACTGTCACCGAGATAGCTGTCCAGATATCAACGACGAATGCTGGAGCAATCCTAAACGAACCTGGCGCACCCGTCAATTCATCAAGAATGTGTACGTAGGTAATTCACTTGGGATGCTAAACTACAGCGTGCGCTTCATGCAGACGGTAGACGATATGGATGCTAACGGGTTCTACACCGGACGGGAGGAATACGTCGTAGCTTTTGTCGTTCTTCGATACCCTAATTCGGTCTTCTCTATTCCGTGGTTTCCCCTACCGCGACAGCTTGATTATCGTTGGCAGTTTCCAGGAAAGCTAGTGTTTTCTCGCATTGGTGGCCCCGAGTCAGTACCCCCTATTGTGGACCCGATCGCTGCTTTGTACGTTCGCGATTACGTACCGAGTCGACCGAGTCTGGATGCTGGAGGAATCTATACTACGACTCCAGAAGATCATTATGAATGGGAAATCCGCCACGGGGTGATTAAGCCTACCTAAGAGGAATAATAAGCAATAGTAAGAATTTTGCTTATAGAATAGTCACTTTATAAAAGGATTTTGCTGAAGTTATCCACCTAAATTAAAATTATTCACCCCAAAATTGAACCATCATCTTTTACGGCGAAAGCATTTTCTGTGGAATATTTCAATCTATTAAGACTACGATTGTCAACTAGATAGATTCTGATGTTTTTATGCTACACGTAGTTTGCTACCGAAGTACCTGGGTACTGCTCCGTACGCGACCGAGTGAGCGTGTGGCGTCGGACATACCAATTTCACTCCTAAACTTCCGGCTCTAAGGTAGGTATCTCTTGTATGCCACGACTCTAGTTACTTTCATAGCAACATATAGATTATCATACACCTCTGCCCATTTAGTCATAAAATATTTGTCATGCGAAACATTCAGGAACGGGCATATGCAGATGCCCAGCTCGCCGCATTCGGCCGGTAGAACTGAGCTAGTGAAGCTGATCGACCTAAGACAAAGAGCTGTCAATTTGCACGTTAATGTGTATATCTGACATCACGGGCACCGATATTCTATTTTCATTGAAGCGGTAGAGAATCAGGCTAGGAAATGCAAAGAGAGGGACGTAAATGGACATCATAAACCCTCGGAGTCGCGATACTCCGAACTAATTTCGGAGATCGCGAGCGGGAAGCACTCAGATGTACAAACTCGGTTCCATATCAAGACGTCGTTGAATTCGAGGCGGCTGAAAAATCTCGTAGATCGTCTCACCGCATGAAGCACTCTCAATGCTGCGCCAATGTAGAACTAAAGGACGGAAATATAACGCATAAGAGGAAACTTGAAGATCCTTATGGTAAGACCCACTGGAGCCGTAATTCAGATCCGAGGAGATCCTCCAGATTCTTTGGTAGTACAAAATGATATCAGATCCGATATCGATCTCGTTTCCCAATCACGAGGCCATACTTAAATCGAGATTCTCAGAAGCACTTTGGTCGAGGTGATTGGTGAATGTACGATCAGGAGTAGTTAGGAATATAGATATTTGCCTGCTTTTGTCATGTTATTGGTGTGTTCCATTGAGTGCTCGGGAAATGTGGAAGCCGAGGTGCCTTACCGGTCTAAATATGATGTTTGTTATGTGATGTGGCGTTTTGTGGCTGCCATATCTTACCTAAGTGGTAATTCGGGAGGCAAAATATTTGCGCCTATCGGTGTTAAGGTAATTTATGATAGCCAGGTATGGTACAATACGAGATTGGTAGTTATTTCCGGCTAACATAGTGAGTAGACTACAACACGGCAGGCGAATGTTGTAGGTGTTTCTGTCTCTGATGTTTATGTGGCATTGTGTAACTGATAAGCTGATGTGTGAGGTTACTCAACGAAGACCGCAACTTCAAAATTGAAGCTGTTATGAGTTCGTGAAACGGCTTACTATATGCTATTTGAGACAGCGAGTAATTTGGATATTATGGTAGGATTCAAGTGCTTACAATGATGGCCAATTCATACTCATTGTAACCGCAAAACTCGGTGAATAAATGTGCAAAGTTGCAAGTGCCTGGCGTAACTGTCTCATCTTACATTCTTCAAAACCACCGAGGAATAATCGTATTCTGAGTATACGCCGGGCGTCGGCGACGATATTGGGCCTTCCTAGCGCTTATTAGTGGAGTTCTGGTATCGTATGCCGTAAATCGACCGACCCTTTTTCTGCAGAAATGGATTTGACAAACATTCTTGCGAGGCGTCCAAGAGACTTTGTTTTGTGAACAAGTTAGACAATCCTAATGTATGTGGCAGGTGGACTGGCTTTCCGTCATTTCTAAATCATAGCTGCATGAAGGGTAGGATTGCGACCTCCTATGTAGGAGAATATAAATTTTGAGGGGCGCCAGCAGCTTTGTGGGCGGACCATTAAGACCCAGAGTCCGAACTTGCCGCCTTAATTTGAGTTATCCCTTTTCCGTCGCCAAAAAGCCTCAACTTCGAATATAATGGCGACTTTTGTTGATGCCCATGTTAGGGTATTGGGGCCTTTCCTAGGCTTTACCCGTACGGTTTTAGTCCTAGCGATTGTGGCAACTATGTTATTGCTGTTAGTCCGTTTCATTGTCCAATTGGTGAAGGGGAAAAAGCACCATTTCATACCCTCTCCACGCATCACCAAACTTCCAGATCTCTCAAAAGAAGAGGTCGCAAATCTACCCTATCCACCTGATGCTCTACCCGGAGCTCGCGATGTTGAAACTCCGTATGGATCGATCCGTGTTTATGAGTGGGGCCCCGAAGACGGAGAGAGGGCGCTTTTTTTACACGGCATCAGCACGCCGGTGATATCCCAGGGAGATCTTGGTCACGAGTTAGCAGGTCGAGGATATCGAGTCATGCTCTTTGGTAAATTATAACCCACAATTCTCAAGCGCCGTGTTGACTTAGATAAACTGACTCAATTCTCAGATCTCTTTGGTCGCGGGTACTCGGATGCGCCCATGGACCTCGACTACGATATGCGGCTCTACACAACCCAGATCCTACTAGTCCTAGCATCGTCGAAGGTGCCATGGACGACATTCAATCTTGTGGGATACTCTCTCGGCGGTGGCCTTTCTGTCGCGTTCACGAGGTACTTCCCTCATATGGTCGACTCCCTCACTTTGGTAGCTCCCGGTGGGATAATTCGGCCGTACCACGTTGGTTGGAGGAGCCACATGTTATATAATTGGGGAATTCTACCCGAATTTATAGTGAGAATGTTGGTAAAAAGGAGAGTCCGGCCGAGGGACAATCATGCGCCCGGGTCTGCGGGGGCTCCTACTCTCGCGGCTGCCGAGGCGAAGAAGCATGTTCCAAATGGAGATGGTGATTCTAATGGAGGAGATGCATGGGATAACGCGGGAATTTCGAAGTATCGACCCGGAGTTACTGTCTCATCAATCATACGATGGCAAGTCGATCATCATGAAGGGTTCGTAACGGCGTTTCTGAGTTCGATACGTAATGCTCCCATTTATGCACCCCAAGAAGATTGGGTAGCCCTAGCGATGCTTCTTGGAAGGAGAAGACGGCATGAAAACAATAGCATAGTCGGATCCACCCCGGGACTTCGTGCTGGAAAAATTCACATTGTGTTGGGAGAAGAGGACCCCGTTATCGTCAAAGATGAGCTGATAGAGGATACAAGACGGGTTCTAGGGCCTGATGGAGTTGAGATAATGGTTTTGCCTGGAGGTCACGAAATCCCCATCGCTGCGAGCTTTGACGTTGCGAATGCCATAGAGGGGTTCTGGCATAGATATTGATTTGGGGTAGGTTTCACAGTCTTAGAGGGAATAATCACCTATAGATAGAGATAATCCCAACCGGTGAGGCCAGCAACGTCATCGACGGCAATTTATTTATTCAGACTAGGTACCTAATCCTACTCGCTTAGGTGGTGGAAATTACAGATACCTCGAAGCTAAATTCGAGGACAGAAAATTGTTACATGCTCGAATAATCGATATATCACCTTTTGTTTTCAAGTCACCTCGCTTTATCTTACCTTGCGGAAGGAAACATTAACACAGATCTAGTCAGAAATGTAATAGACATATGTATACCTACATAGGTAGCCATCATTAACTAGGTACTTAGGTACCACACCATCTATATGGAGCGAAGCCTTCGTGAGGGGTAAACCTGCGAATTAACTGCATCCCCAAGACCCTTCTGCAGGTATTGTCCAATTATAACATTGGTACCGTTCTATTGTAAGACAATACAATATGTAGTGTTCAATAATTTTTTAGGAGACTATTACTTCGTGCATAACTCCGAATGCATTTCGGACCATTATACTCCCTCTATGAAGAGTAATTTGCTCCTAAAGATTCATACCTAGGTATACTCCGCGGCTGACTCGTGGAACGGGACTATGTCGGGCAATGTACTAACAGAAGATATCTTCTACACATAATGTGAGGCGTCCCACTCCCTCTGCAGAATTGCCAAGTTTGTACAACTCATTAAGAATGATGGTTAAATCCAAGCATATGTATGCTATAGTACGATGTTCTGCACATGGGAGCAAACCTCACGGTGGTTTGGCCAGGATGATTTGATCACGGCGAAGCGGATTCGCTGGTCGTTTGCTTGGGCAGCATGCCAAGGTCGCTGGCGCCGGCTCTCAATATGTTAGACCCAATCGTAATGTATCCCAGATGGGTAGTGTGGGTATCGTAACTTGCATACTGCTACGACGCTACGCCGTAGTACGCAGCCGTTCAATCCGCGACAAAATCTGGGGATTGCTTACTGATGCTTGCCAACCACATGGCCCTATCATACCTACCTAGGTACCTAGGAAGATATACGTTGTATGCATTAGAATGCGTCTACTCCAAGATAGCGCCACCTTGGGAGCCGACATGGTCACAACGATGTGCTTTGACGGACAGAAGAGCTGCGCGATGTCGGGATGAATACTATTAGATCGACAGTATGAATCATACCTCAAAAATATCTACCTTTTACCTACCCAATATATCAATACGAGATAAATGATGAAAGCGGAGTTCTCTCCAACGGCCAAGCAGAAGATGCGTGACACGTTACCACATAAACTATGTATGTCTATCTCCTGCCTATCTCCTGTCTATCATCAACCGATAGAGGGGCATCAGCGCCAGGGTTGAATTAAGAGGGGTTCGAGTGGCCATTCATGGATCGAATGTTTGCAGATCGAATGATGGATGTAAGCCAAAGAATAGCTGCAGATACGATTGGTAGAGAAGTAGAACTTAGAACTGCAATGAAACACAAAAGAATAATAATATAGTTGGAGTTGACGAGAATATGTTATGCTGTGTATCCAATGAGCGAGTCCGGAGAGGATTCAAATGTCTGAGCGCGAAACTCGACACAACTTTATTCAAAGGAATATGTCTTGTCAGCTGGAACTACATGCGGGGAGATTACATATGTGTAGGAATGACGAAAGTTCGCTCTGATACACGAGCAAAGTATAAGTGGTTTGCTCGTGGACCATGTGATGTAAGTTTCATTCTTTGGTGCAAGGGAATTACATCAAGGCATGTATCAGATAAAGTGTGTTGTAAGTACGTACCTAGGTAAGTTAGTAGGTTCTAGGCGAGAGAGAGAGTCGATAAAAGGGGTCGTGCTAAGGGCTGAGGAACCGGTAGGGATAGACCCTATTACCCCGCAATTCTTAGGAGGCCTGGATTGCACATGACGTAAAGGATGAATTTGGGGGGTGTGACACCTTGTCTGCCTGTTAGCGTTATCGACGATTCAGCTTATCGTGCTCTAACAGTTGGTTCTTCTGGAAAGCTCGGAGCTACCTTCTAGTGGGTGCATGGCTATCCCCTGCGCCGCTTTTCCGGGTATGCACTAGCGTAAGGTGGGCTAAGCAATCTAACCAATAACCTACTCCAGTTTCTTCCCCTCTTTGGTTAGTGTTGACTAGTGGCGATGATCCCTGGTTCCAGTCGCAGGCACGTTCCAAGAATCTACTCTACCCTCTGTGAGCAATCCCCATACTGCAATAAACCACCCTTGTATATCCTTCAAATCCTTGTTCATCCTCTCTCCATCCATTATCCACCAAAACCATCCCGTCTCCATATTAATCCTACTCTATCTAAGATTCTCCCAAACAGCTTTCGTTCAATTCGCCTTCTCCATATTACTTCTTATTTCTCCTCGTACTTCAAGAGAGACACTTATCTAACTTATCTATTCGCCAAGTCGGCGTTCCTGATCCAGTCAACTCTTTTATTCCAACGTCTTTGTTACCGTCCTTTCTAATTCCGGATACAAGAACCAGACAATCTCTACCAGTTCAACCCTTCATCTCAATCAAATATAACATCATTTTACCTACGTAAAATTGAACCTGTATTATTACTATTACCCCGCCTGAAACAATCAACCTCTCAAAGTGATCGAGTCATTTGTTACTCCACAAACCGACATCGTCATATTCAATCAACACGATAATTCGATTAGGCTCGTGTACCGGTCTGTTTATCGCGTCAAAGAGAAGAAACGGCTGATCGCATTGTTATTGTACCGCCTATTTACTACACGCCAAGGTCCTTGCCCGTGTCATTCCCTTGTCACTTTATCTACTACTACTACTACCTATATCGGTGTCAATCGTCCTATTCTCACAAAGAGGCACCTCACCTTGTCTCATAATTTATTATTTGACTTTTCTCGTACTCTTCCGTTTGCTTCAAGCCTCGATCCTGTGACCGTTTAACTCGATCATTCCACTTAGCAAGCTTGAGGTTTCACCTTTGCAACTCCCACAACGCCACATCGTACCACTACTCCGATTGAAACACGCATTATCAAGTCCCTCCCCCATCGTGCGATTAAGCCGACTACATAAAGACGAACTTTTCCCTGTCGTTTCTTCGATCGGATCTCTTGCGTTTTCCCCATAATAAACTGCTAGTCTTGTACCACCACCATCAAAAATGTCGAACGATAACACCAACGGCGGACCGCCCAACGATCGCCGTGGTTCTGTCACCACTGCTGCTTTCTCCAATCTGTTCCAACGAAGCAACTCGATTTCCACTGGAAATGGAAATGCGCGCGAATCAGTCTCGTCGGTTGCGGCTAGGGACCAACGTCGACGATTATCTGTAACTACACTAGGGCTGTCTGGCACTTCGCCCAACTCCGCAAGCACACCATTTGGAATACGAAGGGGTAGTATTTCCACCAATAACTCGGATTCTATTGACGAGAGCGCTGTCGATGACGAGGAATCAGCTAAGATGGGTCCTACGTCTCCCTATGCCCGTCGCATGAGCTTTGGCGCCCAGGCTATGCGTAACTTACGTACTGGACCTTCTAGTCCTGGATCAACCGGTAGGCTTCCCCAACAGTCACGACGTATCTCTAATGGAAATTCACGTGCTCCACCTACCGGTACTTCGTCCGCCTCGAATGCTGCGAGACGGGCAAGTACCTCTCAGGCAAGCAACACGCAACCTTACAGAACCCCTTCTGACATGTTTTCTGCTCGGGCAGACAATACATACAACTGGTCCGAGCAGCTTAGATCCCGAGCCGAGAGTAGTGTCCAAGGTCATCGACCGAACTTCGGAGCCGGCAGGCACGGTTCTCCGCCCCGAGGCAGCAATGGCGGGCCACACGATCGCTCTAAGTCTGTTTCTGAATTACCAAATCCTCCCCAACAGGCTGCTACAGTGCAACCCAGGCAGCCAGAAAGGCCCAAGCCAGACCATATGCAAGAACGCATCCTCAAGGGTGACTTCTATATGGATTGATTGAACTTGGCGCTAGTGCAGGGGAATCAGAATATCAACACGCTCAAGTAATTTGAGACGGGGCTAGCCCCTCCGAGACACCTCTAAATATCCTCTTATAAGTTTACGATTGCTTACAGGGCCACGTGCCACTTGCTCTTTTCCTGTCTTTCCTTTGCACCACGTCTCTTCAACTGACGTCATTCGCTTGGACGAAATACTTCTTTCATGGCGTTGAGACTGGGGCGGGACGTGGAGGATGAACGGGTAAATTGTTTTCTGAGAAAAATAACATACCTAGGCTTAAAGAAGAGATGATAACCAGCGTCGCTGCTGGGGATGACGTGATATTCGGAGAATGGAGGGGATATCTAACTGGGGTGAGATCAGCTTTGCTAAATGATTTGGGTGAATCTCTGCATCCAAAAACGGATAAGGGTTGGCATCATGGGAACGAAGTCTAAATGAACTTCCAAGGCAAGGGATCGGTTATCAAAAAAGTGCTACAGCTATGCTGCTTCTGTACGATATGGTGGCAGATCGGGGGGGTGGGGTTGAGTGTCTTTTGAGAAGCATTCATAAGGCTTACAGTACTATTGCTCGTTACGAATGTGTACCAGGAGTTGACACATGTGGAGTTATTTGATATGGGCGTTTTAGGGAAGCCGGTACTCGAGGTACACGCGCGAAATCTACATTAGCCTTCGTTTGATCATATCAATAATTAAATAAACCAAAAAAATAACCTATCACAAACATGTCACCAAAGCATTGATCAGTGGTTATGGGTATGCAGCGCAAAGTTCTATTGTCGTCTTTCTCATACTAGCGATGATGATAAAAACGCGGTAAAAGGCATGCATCATCGGATCATTTCATAAACTCCACCGCACCACAACCCCTGATAATATGAGGAGTAGAAAAGTAATAGGTACCTAGGTACCTTGTAGCAAAGTTGTTGCGCCTGTTCGCCGTTCGATCCTGTTGTCTTGTTGTTGTTGTTGTTGCGCATGTACCCTTGTGTAGCTACAATAAGTAATTCCCAATTCCGGCGCCTTTATCGGGTATGTAGCAAAGTGAGTGGTATATGAATGGATTGGGGTAAATCATACATGGATAAGAGCCGATTTAATGTCGTGATAAAGTATGAGTGGTGGCGGGTTGGTGAAAAGGGAGATGATAAGTGAACCCTCTTGAAAATACCGACATATAATTCCCAACTACTCTTTCTCTTGTGTAATTTATCTTCCTGCCCTTTTATTCTTATGTCTTCTCTCTTTTCTTCTTCACGCTGGTATTTTCGCGTAATAATACAGTTTCCCCACATCTACGTGTATGCGTGAGGGAAGTACGATAAGAACGGCGTCAAGCATTGAAGTGACGTACAACATTTATTGAACATGGAAATTATGCACGCTTAGAACTGGTAGTAACTCCCATTCGGTGACCCTTGGTGTTGTGGTGGGCCGGGAGCAAACCCATCTGCTGTTCCAGGAGGCATAGGTCCAAGCATATCGTTCTGCATCATATAGCGCATGGTGTCCTCGTATGAGGCCGGGTCGCCGGGACTACCACCGCCGAAGCCTGTCAGTGTGAGACCCATAGCTTGTTCAAAACCATCGCTCAAGCTAGCATAATCGAATTCGGTCGTGCCGAACGATCCAGTCATCCAAGGCATTAGCGCCTGCTCAGGTCCTATACCTAAACCAGGAATTCCCTGAGACACAACGGCAGCCGTTCCTGTCGGGTCGTACATGAAGGGCTGCGGTGGCTGTGGTACAGCCCGCAACCATCCTCTAAAAGCTTGCGGGTTGTTTGGTTCCGGACCTGGACCCGCTTGGTTAGGGCCATTTCCGGTCGCTATTTCCGATAGGAGCTGGAGCGGCGTGTTAGTCGGCCCAGGATTGCTTGTCGGGGCCTGAAGCGGTTGCTGATGCTGCTGTTGCTGCGCATGGGGATGTGATTGACCCGCGCCGTTCTGTGGTTGTTGTTGTTCGTTTGGATTTGTCGGATCTTTGGGCCCTTGCGTAGGTTCTGATTCCTCCTCACCCTGTGCTTTGTTCGTTGCTTGTCCCTGTTTAAAAAACCACGTTCGAAGCATCGCTAGGACAAGGAGGAACTTGCTAGCCGGGCGAGACTTATCTGATGCGGCAACGTCGCGGAATTTCTCAAGGAGTTTCTCAAGATATTCCGCAACTTTCATATTATCCTTATTGATGACTTTGCCGAGTTCAGAATTTGAATTACTGGCGCTGAAATACATCTTAATGAGGACGACCACTGCATAAGCGACTCTAACGAAGGTGAAGATGGGTATGCAGCGAATACTGTGCACGTCCATTGATAAAAATGTCTCAAAAATACCGTCGATAGCGGTAAGACATGAGGATAGGGCACTGATATGAGATGGCGTAAGAGAATCGTCCAATCCCGGAATCGGGTCTCGGAGTGAGTCCGCGCCACAAGGAGGTCGGTAATCTTCCGGGTTTTTATCGACGTGTAGAGCGATTTCATGCATATATAAATTCAACACATGGAAGCCAAGGAGAAGGGATGCTAATTACAAGTTAATCGTTATTAAAAACGAAAGAGAACAGACCAACAAACCTACCTCGCTTCTCCGCCTTAGGGATAGATTCGCTATACTTGGCAAGATCACGTTCGAAGCCTCGTAGAGCATACTGCACCTTCTGCTCAGAGATGTTAACAAACACAGTTGGATCATCCATAGAGAACTGTATGCCAACATCCTCGGCTAATCGATGAGTCCAGACAAGATGACACAAGTACCTGTCAGTGGGCGCAGCTTCAGGGGACGATTCTAAGATGTCCATGCATTCAGTCATAAAAGGTTGCCATCGAATTAGGTTAGGACGATGTAAAGCCATGGATACGTTAGATGCCAGGAAATACACCGTCAGCCATGTTCGTCGTGCTTCCAGTGACATTGGGTCTGGTAGAGGTTGTTTTCGGAATGGGTGATCCCGCCAAGTATATGGTACGAGACGTGTTTTAGGGTTGTGTGTTTTTCGGCCCAGACCGATATCAATTGACATAACAGCGGCCAGATGTATGAATTGATAAAATTTTAGTTCCTCGAAGTGTTCCGGCGGATAATACCATATGACACTGACTAAAAGGGACTGGATTAATTCTAAAGACTTCCTTCCAGTGATTATGATGGCGTCGGCAAATATCTGTAATATTTCCTTTACGAGTTGACGTTGAAGCTTCGGTATTTCAGACGAAGCAGCCGCCATAATGGCAAGGAACAGTATAGGTTTCGTCTTACGGACATCGGCGGCAGTAGTACCTTCAGGGAAGACGACTGCTGGTAAGTGAGGTACCATATCGTCCGTGTAGCGGGCGAAAAACTCAGCAGCTTCGCTCATAGTTATTACCCCGCGATCGATTATATCGGGTTGCTGCTCGACCCCTGCGCTGGCTTTCGGTACCGCTGACGATATACCGGGCGAACCATCGGCGGGTTCGGTGAATTTTCGTTTCTGACCAGCCATAACGGTCGGTGGCGCAAACGGGCGCTTCTCTGGTGACGGCGCATGTTGAGATTGGGGGTGTGATTGAGGCTGGTGTTGGTTTTCCCTAGACGGCGGAGCACCCCAATCTCTTGCCGCATCATATCCATACTTTTGGTCCTCCGATGGGGTTGAATGCGCGGCAGCAGCAGCAGTGTGGCCAGGTGCGCCTCTGCTAGCTTGCAAACTTGCAGTTAATGCATCGATCTTTTTCTCTAGCTCAGCAACCCGGCTATCTGTCTTCTTTTGCCTCTTACGCGTTGGTTGTGTTACCACGCAATTCCTACCCGCTTTCGCACATCTTTTACAAGGCCCTTCTAAATTCGAAAGGTCGGGTTCACATTTCACCTTCAACCCACGGCAGGCCTCGCAGGCTCTTGGTCGCTTGGGATCGTTGGGGTCGTGGGGAGTACCCCCGAGTGCATTGGGGGTATCGCTATTCGCCGAATGTGGATGGCCATTGGGGGTTTGAGGAGCATAATGAGTTGCGGAATCGGGCGACGGGTGACCAGTTGCTTGAGATTGGAGATGTTGTTGAAGTGGTGAATCGGGAAGATCTTCTTGTGCGGATGAAGCGGGGATCCCTGCGACGGCGGCTTGGTGTTGATGTTGTTGAAGATGTGAATGTGGATGCGGGTGCGGATGCGGATGCTGGGGATTCGGATTTGTCGGATCATTGACGACAATTGAATCTTCGCCGACTTCACCACGAAGACGTGGGTCAAGGGAGGATGGATCCATTCTCGGATTCTTTCTTTTTTTTTTATCCGCCTCCCCTAAAAAAAAAAAAAGATCGATCGAGATAGCCGCTTACAGCGTTAGAGGCTTACACGTACTATGTCGCGGTAGAACGAGGCCGACTTTGCGGTTGTCGCGGTCAACATAATAGCCGGCGCCCGATGGCAATAAGATGTACATGGAAAAAATAGGCACTGGCGGGATTTTCTTGAATGGTGGCTGGCTTAAGAGACCCCCAAGCTTTGTAGGTCGTACGAGCTAAGAGACTTTGGGGTAGCCCGCCGTTTCTCCTGCTTCTCCACCCTTCTTTCCTTTCTTCTCTCCAATAGAAAGCGTATCGGACTTCACTAAGTTCCGAACGAACCGATGTTTTTCCGATTCCGAGGCTCTCCCCCTTTTGGTTCCTTCCCGTATTACGTGATATATCTGCCATATACCTACCTAGGTAGGTAGATACATCAAATAGATACAACAAATATAACAGGGTTAAGTCAAAGAAGTATTAAATGTAGGAAGTCATCTAGCATCAAGTTGAGATTGAACTGTGTATACTGCTAATACAGATATGTATCGCATTTATTATATCTTTATGTTAGATGCTTACCGCTTATTAATGCCTCCTTGCCTCGAGACCTAGCTATTAGTGGATACCGAGTCTATTTGATTGTGTTGTGTTTGATATGGTCTCTAGACTACCTGGGTAATTATACTAGCTTAGTTCACAGAGTACAGAGCTATCATCCCAGCATCATCGTTAGAAGGATCGTCCGGGAGGGTAAAATTCGCGATCTATTTCAGTACGAGTCGGGTACACCAAGTTGCCCGACACGCGGCCGAGCGGGAACCAACACCAAATCATTAATAAGCTTCATATATCTCCGTCAGCAGTGTCGTAATATGGAGGAATACAGCATAAAAATGTGGGATTTTGTGTTCCCACCTGTAACAACCCCGAATCTTTCTATGTCATTACGGGTTAACTCATCGACATATATAATGATGGTCCCCTAAAAATGCTACTGCTAAGGAGTTAATACCTACTGTTCTACTAAAAAGAACATCTTTGTGTAACCATGTAAATCGACTGTGTAATTGTATACTTTATGATAGTAGGATAATGCTTAAGTCTATGCCTTATGGAATAACATATAGCATAGCAATTTTTATTTGCGATTTCTTTACTCCATCTCAGCCCCTTTTTGAATCTGCATCCGTGTAAATGAAAATAAAAGAGAAATAAAAGGAGTAATTTCTTTATTTTACGGTCGCGAGTTCCGTTAAGATCTAGTAGGTCACCTCGAAAGCGGCTTCCCGCTCCTATTCAGTATAAATTCGTTTGGCGATTGGAAACCACGAATGCTTTGATTGAAATAGGGGTAAAGACCTCCCCTATTGAAGCAAGGACCCACCTCGGCTGTAGCTTCCTCATCCTAACGATCGGGTGTCCTCTTATCAGATTGATTATTTGACTTAAATAAGAAAGTCTATTCATCCGACAATACTATCTTAAGTGAAACTGATATTTGAAAGGTTTTCGCGTGGATGGTCGACATAAATACAATAATAGCCATAAAAACATGGATTATCAGGATATTTCAATAGATGCCACAAACTCGAGGCCCGACGAGTATGCGCGCGAGAATTCTCTATCAGTAGACTCTCAGGTCGATGTCTTCCTCTTATTCGCCCATTTCCAGGAGGAAAGCATTAGAGAATCACCTGAAGAATTGACTGACGACACGTCTCTTACTCAACTAAGAATCCCTAGCCTTCTCCCTCGAATTGAGCAACTTGACGTATCTAAGGAGTCTCTTGAGCTGCTAGGACATGCTGTTTCACTAGGACGAGAAAATATTCAAGCGTTTAAATTACCATCCTTTTTAGACCTCGCGAAGTTGAAATTGGAGCTCCCGCTCCTTCAAAGCGATCCTGACCATGACCGTCGAGAGTTAGCTCGACGCATTCAAAAACAACGAAGTACTGATATAGATCTAAGAAGCGTCCCATCAGAGCCTCTGAGTATCTCGAATGATGAAAGTCTCGAATATCCAGAGACGACGTCCCAATACAAACAGAATTTTCTGACAGCGATTAAGAACGAGAGAATTGACATCCCGAAAGATACTTTGCGATACCTTTCATATGCCTTAAAAGATGAATGGACACGGGACAAGCAACGGGGGCTACTTAATGAAGCATTGCGTCGGAAGGTTAGTAAATATCAGCCGACAATGGCTTACGTAGAGAGCTAACTTTCCAATACTTCTAGCCAATTCGAGAGCTGGCTATCACACCTCCACTAAGCCCCTGTGCTCACAACGATGAGGATGGCGGTTATTTTATTCCCGACGAGGAAACTTGCCAAATACCCATCTCCTCAGACCCCAGTACTCTATTGGATGCTGACTTAACCAGAGCGGAAGCGGGTCTATTAGAAGAGGATGGTCTTGACCCTGAAGGCTTCTCATACTTGGCCGTTGAAAACTCATCTATATCTTTGAGAGATTTGCCGATGTTCGAGCCAGGGCATCCAAGCATTAGTTCTCTGAAAATTGAAGGTCCTTTGACTCCATTAAATGCCTCGTCACCAAATTCAGATTTGGCAATGGATTTTCTAGGTTTTGTTGAAGACATGGATGCGGACCAGATATTAGACAAGGATTTAAGCCTCTCCGACGCCAGGGGCGAAAAGGATCCTAATGGGATATTTAGCGATGATGCACTGACTGTATTGCAGGATCAAGCAACATTGGCGGGGAGAAATATTGAACAGGAGCAATTGCAGACTGCTGATGCATTAGCTCGAGTAGAAATCCCCGCGATGGATTTCTCAATTCCCGATCCCGAATGGCGAAATACACCACTAGATGCTGCATCGCAACTAGCTTGGCTGGGAAGGAAGTATGAGGCCTTCAAGGTCCCTCCTTGGCCTAAAAATCTCCAAGCGGATAGAAAGCTGCATTGGTCGCCCTTCCCATCGAAACAGGGTCAGATCTCCACGAACGAGTCGATTGATGAAAACGATGACGTTATACAACTGCTTAGCTTTTCGGGTTCCCTTGGGGTACTAACAAGCGCGGACTATGTCTGGAAGCAGCCTGGTATTGCAATCCTTCAAGACCCCGAAGAGGAAGAAGAGCCTTTGGAATGGTCTATGCGTGATGGTGCGAACCACGATCTCGAGTCCTTAGTCAGGAAAAGACGGCTTGAACTCGAAGATGCCGATCCAAAACCAGGCAACTCGTTGGAATTGAGTTCACCAGTTGATCTTATCCAAATCCCCCCCGATATGGTGTCAAGGCCTCGCCAGGCTCAACTCGGCAGCCAAGGACATATTCCTAGCTTATTAGTTGGCTGCAACGACTCTTCCGCTACCTCAACACTGCTCTCTAATTATGTCGACTTCCACGCCTCGAAGCGACAAAAGCACACCAGGAGTTCCTTTTTTCCAAAATCCAATAAACCGACGGCGCAAATTGAAATGGAGGCGGCTGCACAGACTGCTACTCCCGTGCAGTCGGACGAACCCTTGGTAGAACCAAAACCTAGTATGGAGCAGCCGACAACTCCCGCACCCTACCCGAAAATTGAACCGACGCCCATGCAAACGAAGATAATCAAGGCGCTAACACTCAGCCGGGGAGTATTCTCACGACTTGAAAAACTCTACCCAAACGCTGAAATAATTGAACGAGACTTCGATCGCTGGAATACGCTGGCATGGGGCCGTAATTCGGTGGCTCATTCCCCGGTTGTGTCGCCGCTTGCTGCCGAGGCGGACGTTGCTGTTTCCCCCGCGACTGGAATTATACTAACTACGTTGCTCAAGGCGATACAGAAACCACTACCGGGTCAAAAGGGGCTTTCGGCGGCCCGTGAACGCATTCGCAACGTTGCGATTCGATATGAGCGTATTATTATTCTCGTATCAGAGGCGAACCGCGTGGACGAGACAATACGCGACCTTACACCCTCTGAATGTGCTGCTTACGCCGAATTCTCCGGTTTCATAACTGGACTGAATTCAAATGCGGAAGTCTACTATGTTGGAGGCGGTGATGAGACGCTCGCTAAATGGCTAGTGTCATTCTTGATTCGTTATGCACCCGAAGCAGCTTCGGTGCAGGATATTCTTATCCAGGAAGAATCACTATGGGAGTTGTTCTTGCGACGAGCTGGCTTGAATGCATATGCTGCACAAGCCATACTTGGACAATTGAAGTCTCCCGATGATATGCCCGAGGAGGAAAGCGGTAAATATGGCTTACCAGCATTTATCAGAATGACCCCGAAGGAGAGAGTTGAGGTATTCCGGGGAATAATGGGCGGAGAGAGAGTGCTGCGCCGACTCAATGCAGTCCTCGAGGCACGATGGGAGTGATCGGGAAATCGCCGAATTGAAGACTATTTAGTCGAATTAGTCTTCGCGACGGGAAGAATATCTAGCTGATGATGAGATGCTATTAGCTATCCAAATCTAGCTTGTTCTGTATTGCTTTACATAGCTGATGATGATCGAGTCGCTATATGAAGAGATATGGTGATGCAATCGACTGGTCTTAAGCAAATATCACAAATTCCAACAGCATAACCACAAAATGAGTAGCGGTATAAACCTATATACTTTAGCAAGGGTATCGATTTTTAGGTAAGCTTACCTTCGCTCTCTTACGACTCTTCCTCTCCATTGCCTATCATACTCCATATCTTTAAGCTACTTTCTTTATTGCGCCTTCGCATCCAAGTGAATTCTTCAGCGCTCGAGACGTCGCTTTCGCTGTCGCTATCACTGTTCGTAACGCCATTGCTGCTTCGAGATGGGGAACTGCTACTATCATCATCGCTGTCGTCGTCGGGGAATTCCCAAGACCCAGAACAAGTAACAGCCACGCTACCGCTCTGGTGAACGCATGTGCTCCCTATTGTCGACTCATGCGAAGCATTCCACCCCCACGCTGAATTATGTGTTCCTTCACGACTCCCGACACCTTCCCACACCTTAACAACACCATCTGTTGTGCCGGACCATACCTCAAAACCCCCTTCGTCGTCGCTACTGGGGAAAACATCGCACCCAATGCGCTGATTCCCACGCGCTTCGCGACCAGCTAACCACCCTAGCAATTTTCCGGTGACGCGCACATCGTATACAAGTACACCTCTTGATTTCCGCTCTCCTACGAGTAGATATCGCCCACACGGACTCCAAATCGTCTGCATAACACCATCCCCACCAATCGCCGCCTCTTCCTCACCCGCCGCTCGCGCAACACTCCAAGTAGCAACCGCGCATGAAGACCCTGCTTGCGCAAAATCATACAATCCAACCCAGCACGTCCAAGTACCAGCCGCGAGTAGACTGGCATAGGAAGCATCAGGTGGCTGCGCGCTAAGCGCAGATACATCGCCACGCATACCCACACCACCACCCTTGGATAAATGGCGTTCGGAAGGAATAGTCTTGATGCGGACGAGGGGTTCCTCGCCGGTGCGGCTTACATCGAATTTCGCTAACAGATTGCGAGATCCGGCGATGAAGTGCGTGCCTGGAGCTGGCCAGACGAGGGATGTGGCGGTGAGGAAGGTTTCCGAGCGGGCTTTGGTTAGGGGATAACTAGATGCTGGTTTTGGAGGCGGGGAGGAGGGGGATGTAGGGGAGAGGTAAAAGAGTTGGATCGGGTGGTCTCGGGCTGAGACTAGAAGTTGTTGTGTCCAGGGCTCCGCGAGGTGGAAATACGGCGCGCCGGATAGGACGTTGCTGGGCTCAGGCAGTTGGATGGTGGATTGAGGGTTCAGTGCGAGGGGACGGATGGCGGTTGGGGAGAGTAGGTCTTGGGGTACTATGTACCCTGATATGAGGTTTGATGAGGAGGATGTTAGGATCGTGGTCCCGTCTGCTGTCCATTGGGCGGTTTCGAAGTAGCCTCGGAGTCCATCGTTTCTTTCGTCGATGGATGTTGATGATGATGAAGAAATTGATCCATTTTGTTGTGTTATGTCGCCTGTTGAAGCTGCGAGTTCCACCCTGCTTCCTTGAGCAAGCACCTCTTCGGAATCCATCCCGAATTATTCATTAACTCTTGTTTTATCATTTCGATCTTATTATCATCAAACCATTTTGATCATCTTAAGGATTCTTAGGAATGTGAAATATTCTGGAAACAAGCTAAGTTTCTTAGAACTAACTGACTTTGGTAATAAATTAAGATCCATGGATCGCATTGGAAATGGAGAACTCTAATCGGCTCGCTGAAACATTAGAGGGTGGGTCTCCCCGGGAATACAGGCAATAAAGCCAAGGTTCGGTGCATGATGTTAGCGGAATAGTCGTAATATTGGTATTAAATGGGCTAATTTGTAGCGCGCTCTACTTGTCGCGCTATCACTGGACTCTCTTAGTACAGGGGTTAAACACTGGCACGCAGCAGCTACCGCGTGCACCTGTAAGGTCCCTGAAAAATTCCCCATCACATGCCCCCGGACCTACTGATAGGGCCGCCTATCATGACTTGTTCCTGATTTTGGAGCTCTAAAAATCCAATCATCCAATCTACAACTATCACCTTTCTTTTTAACTTGTACACCTCAGTCCAACCGACATTATCGCAACTGCGTCGAACATCGAACGGGGTGTTTCTGATTCCATCCCGCCATGATTCGGTAGCAAGCAAGGCCATCTACTTTTGGCGTTACGAACGCATCGTTCTCAGCTTCATTTCCATTTCTATTCTGATCGCCTTCGGGATCATCCGTCTGCCTGGTCAGCTCCGGTTGACCCGCTCTCAACAATCCCGCACTGGCATCGATCTCTAAGCAATACTTTGAACGGGCGGCCTCATTCTAGCTGCTTTTAACATCGCTTCAACCTAGCTATCCATTCTCGAAGGTGTCGGTGTCGATACGGGAATCATGGATAGTGTCTTCGTCGCCGACCGTTGCGACTCGCTTCGCGAGGGCGGGTTCACCAACTTCTTTGTTTCAATGTAAGTCAACGTCTATCCCTCGACTACATCTGCGCCAAAATTATGGGATCGTACTGATGTTTCTTACATTTAGCTTAATCGTCATCGGTATCATGCTATCTTATGTCACACAACACTACCGCATCATCTCGCGTGGCTCATCCGAAGGCATCTCCCCTTATTTCGTCCTACTCGGTGTCACCTCAGCGAATTCGCAGTTCGGGAACATCCTCACCCTACCTCAATCACGAGCCGATGTCGCTTGCTGTAAAGAAGTTAGCCCCTTCGAATGTACTGCTGGACTTCTCGGAATCGCACAAATTGGGACACAATGGATTTGCTTTGCTATCATGTTCGTCTACTCATGTGGAATTGCTTTCTGGGGATTGTGCTGACATGGTATAGCTTGGTTCTGTTCTTGGTCTTCTTCCGTAGAGAGGATGCTGACCTTGCCGATGACTACGTACGTGATCCCGACCAACCAACCTGGAGGACTGCTATTATCGTCGCCGCGCTGTGTTTGATCCACGGTCTCCTCGTCGTCATTATATCCGCTGCATTTGCTCTCGGTGCCCCTCGATACTTGGGCGCATGGGCAAATTTCCTAGGTATCATGTCCGCAGTACTTGCTGCTACTCAATACATACCTCAAATCTGGACTACATATAAACTTAAGCATGCTGGTAGTTTAAGTATCCTGATGATGTGCATACAAACTCCCGGTGGCCTTCTTTTCGCTGGTAGCCTGGCAGCACGCCTTGGCTGGGCGGGTTGGAGCTCTTGGGGAGTATATGTGTTGACTGCCATCATGCAAGGTATCTTATTGGTCATGGCCGTCTCGTATGAGTGGCCTTCCCAAGAGGAACGGAATCAAACCGCTCCGCATCCACAGCGACCGCCGTACAATCGACGAACTACACCTAGGGTATTGCCCTCCCCGGGCCCGTATTCCGCCCATTTACAAGCGTACGGCGAAACACAAGAAGAAATTGAACGTGCTCTCGACCGGGAAAGTGTCCAGGGCGTGGGAGAAAACCAGCCTCTTTTGGCACCGGGAGGACTTGGTAGTTCCGGTGTTCGCTAACGGACCAGATATAAAGTAGTCTCCGCCCTACTCTCGTTCTCCTTCAAATTCCGATCTGCCAACCACAACGTTGATTATATCCCGTTTGCTACAACTTGTCGAAGTCTCATGTCAGGTACTATACAAAAGCGTGAAATTGGTTTCTAGACAAGCAAGGCGCGATATCTTCAGTTGTAAAAAAGTTGATAGAATTAGTTATTTACAGCGAACCAAATTGATTCATTGGGAGAAATTGTCGACTCTACCGAAAATGCTTCTACCTCGTGATACGGACTCATATCCAGGTCCAATCATGATTCATACAATTAATTGACGGCCTCCACTCAGCTTCAAGTCCTACAGGAGCTACTACAGAAGCTAGCTACCCCCTACCGGGCGGTATTACCCTCGGAATAGCAGTCACCTGCACCCTGTACCTTAGCCCTGGAGCTGTACCCACTTAAGGCTTACAGTGGGACCAACCAAGGATGCTCGTGTTTGCGCTAGGATTTTGATTGGCTGGAGCTTATAATGTCTCACTGATTCGGGTTTTGAGTCAGGATGATCTTGTGTCATGAATCGCTTTCACCTCTTCTTATCTTCCCAGGAGATATTAATAACCACAATTACCTAGCATTGCTTCTTCCCCTGCCTCATTCTAAGCTCGTCTTCTTCAATAGATCCTTATTCCAGCTTCATTCATTAAAATTATTAAGGAATTGACGCCTTCACTTTCTAGTATTTATACCTCTAGCTTCCGTCGTATATCTCCGAGTCCGTTATCTCAATCATGGCAATCTACAGCGCTGTCCCGCCCCCTCCGGAATTAGGGGCCACGACGACAACTTCGAATCAGCAACTAGCCCAACACCAACACCAAGCATCGTATCAACATTCCCACACGAATCAGTCATCGACAACTGGAAATACGGCATCTGGTGGAGTAGATATAGAAGCATGGACGATATCTGCTCTCGAATCCCTCAGCGTATCTCCGGTTGCTCGCGGAACCGGAGCCCCGCTATCAATTCCACTCGATGAGCACACCAAGAAGCCATCTGTCACCATCCAAGATCCTCGTTCTAATGCCGATGCGATTACGCCTCCACGGCGACCGCCATCTCGTCGTGACAGCTTGCGCCGACGAGAGGCATTATTGAAGGGCAAGGAAGGTAGCAGACAGCGGCGACGCTGGGAGAACGGTACTTGCACCTTTCAACAGCCTATTCCAATTGATTGCATCTAATTGGGATGAATGAAATCATTGCAATGGCAAAACTAATCTGGTATCCTACCATCTTCACCAGACCGTTTAATGAACGTACCAAACGCACAGCCTCCCGAGCCGTTCGATTGGGAGCCACGTCCACTATATCCCGTGAACCACGTTCCTTACCAGATCGCGGTTTTCTGGGACAAACGCGTTCGCGCCGAAGTCGAGACGAAGAAAGCCATCGCGGCTCAACGTAAGCAGATGCAGACTAGGACGCTAGGCGATGCCCACGTTTCTGGGAGAGTGCCCCGCGAATTGTTCCAGCGTGCCAAGAAAACCCCCGCCGTTAAAACTTGGGTCCGTTCGCTTGAGGAACCCGTTCGGCGATACTTGGTTGAGCAGGATCTCGCAAAAGAGCCTACAGATTCGGAGGATACTGAAGATGAAGAAATTGTGTTTGTCGGTCGCGACGGCACTACAAGAGATGGCTGGAAGAAGGCTAAGCGAGAAAGTAAGGGTAAAACTGAAGGAGAGGGTATGATCCTCGACGCCCTAGGCGATGATGCCGATAGTGCATTCAGGTATGGCCTTCAATCTATGATAAACGTGATTTGTATATGCGGTGATGCTAAGAGCTCTAGACGATGGATTACGCATTCCATCTCGGATTACTACGGCCTCAATTCTCGTTCAGTGTTGGTGGGTAACCCAAAACGTAAGGTAGTATATGTACAGATGAAGACTGGGCACACGCCACAAATTCGATCCGATCTTCCACGACCTCTATGGGAGTTATGCTAATCGGACGCTACGGTTTCGAAAGACTTCTTGTCTTGCATCATCGTATCCTTGTTGGATTACAGTACAACATTCGCATATCATATATAAAGTATAGACTTCACGTCGCATAGGTCGAAGCGTTTTAATACATTGACACACTTCAATCGCAACTGTTCTTGCTCAGACTCCCTTCATTGAATTTTATGTCCTATTCCGAGTTGCATAGCCCAAGCCAAGCAACCAACCCATGAGCTCATCCTTCGTAACGAATAGAGGCAATGATGCCCCTGCACCTAGCTTCTAGCCAATCATATAGCTTGTAGTTTATCTTGTCCTTGACATTAGGCAGACTCGCTTATGAGTCACTTAGCTCCCCTCCCCCCTTTCCCCCCAGCTCTCTCCACTCTCCACTCTCCATACCCCTATTTCTATCTCCTTGCCCCCTTTTCTTAGCTCCCTCAAAACTTATCCTCTTCACCATCAGCCCCACCCCGGTACCTAACCCACTTTACCATTGGTTACTATCAACATGTCTTCCCTATCAAACCTCCCCTCGGAAACCCTCGCCCTCATCCTAGAATACCTCGCAGAATCAGACCTAGCCACCTTGATCCTAGCGCAGCGGGTATGCAAACGTTTCCACGGGGCTATAGACCGTATACTCTTTCATAAGCCCCCCTTCTTATCACATCCCATACCGGCACCTGTTGTCGAAACCCCAAAGAAAGTAGATACTAGAGGTAGTGACAGCGAGAGCGAGAGCGAAAGTGAGAGTGATGGTGATACTGGCAGTGACGGTGAAAGTGAGAGTGAGAATGAGAGCGAGGATTGTTTCATCGAGGAATATAAAGACGACTTCGCCGACATTGTAACAGCCCTCCCACCCCTCCTACAGCGTAATTTCGGACCGCTGTTTGATAGTACGGCGATCCTGGGATTACCTCCCGGAGCGGGCTCGAGTAGCCGCAAACCCCCCACGGAAGTCTTCCGCCGGCTGCCGTGGGTCGCTAAACGCTGCGATACGGGAGATGGCGTGCCCCGCGTACGGCATATGCGGGAGTGTCCATTCTTAAGGCCTGAGGCGAGTTGGAGGCGCTTGAGCGCTACTTGGGGGTTAGGAGAAGAGAATGCGATTAAGAACTTGGATGTTATTAAGGTGGTTACCGTGTATGGAGGGACGGGTATGTCGTTTGACCAGTTGGAGATTCCGAAAACGAGCGGAAGTGAAGGGGGTGAGGAGACGGGGGAGGAAGAAGGTGGCTTAACGCTTGGCTTGCTTTACGATCTTCTTGCTTCGGGCAAGGGACACTCTGGACAGGCAACGATGCACTGGCGCGTGTTGCCCAATCGCCGGCTTAGCAGTTACGACGGTTGGTTACGTGTGCGCGACCGGGAGCGATATCCACGCACAGAGTCCATCGAGCACTTGTTTGTGCCGGAGATGGGGTCAGCGGTGTTGTATGTCAAAGCCCATAGATCGTGCACGATGGGCATGTCTATGGGGAAACGTATCGAGAATCCTGATGATGTCCCCTGGTACCCGCGAGTTCTTGGTAAAGAAGATGAGGTTGTGTTGCATATGTGGAAGGGTTGTAAGCCGGAGTGGAAGGATTTATTTTGAGTGCTTATATCTTAGGTGCTGATGCCGCAAATACAATCAGGATAACAAGATATAGTTTTTCCCATATTACTTCAGAGATAATCAGAGACTATTATGAATAGCTCCTATGAAATTCTACCGAAGTTTTATGCTACCGGCAATGTTCGTTCTTGTTCTTGAATAGTGGGGATTCTTTCCGTAAAGGGTAATTAGGAGCGTCATCCGACCAATGAGACCTCTCAATCGCCAATCTAGCAAACTTCAACTATATAGTACCCAGGTATTTCTTATGATTCTATCCACCGGTGCTCGTGGAGCGATATAGTAGGCTATATGTAGGCGTTAAGAGGTGCGACTAGATTCAAAATTTGTTCTAAAAGCCGCAGCAGCACATCTGGCTTGCCTTAGGTACTTAGGTAGGTAGACAACTTGCTCCCTCGTCTCAATTCGGACCCGATGTCAGCTTGGGGTCCTACTCCCGAGGATCCTATCGTTGTATTCATTGAGCCAACGAGTCTGGTGGTTGAGGGAGTAATCGTCATCTTCTAAATTCCTGACGGGAATGTCGCAACAACGTACCTATGCCACATTACCCAATAGCCAGTAACATTCTTCCTATGACCGTGCCGTACGCAAATCGAGAAACGCCCCACATGAGCCACGTCCACTCTCGGGACCGAATAGTTTGATTCAAATACTTGACAATCTATTCTACATAGAAGTCCTGGTAAATAAGTTGCTAGAAATACTTTTTTCGGGGCTCGCGCCTTTGAGATACACCCGAATTTTGACGTATGGTCGTTGGCTGACAAAGCGACTCGGTATCTTTGTGCGTGGCCAATGGAGCATCGTCAACTTCGGTGTTCCGATATGACCAAAACCAACTGCAAATTTGAACCATGTACCATCCCATTGTATGCTGGGTCCAAGTACCTACCTAGGTAGGTAATTTTAACCACGATTTTCAAGAGTTCAGTTTAATAACTAGGTAAGTGATGGCATCTCTTCAGCATTGGGGGCTTACCCAAGTATCTACCTAGGTAGGTCTGCAGGTTATAATGATGTTCAGCATATAATAAGTCCGGTATAGCTTTTAACAATCTTCGTTGATGTCGACAACTCAGATGATATGTAAACTAATGATGAGGTGAGTTGCAGAAATTCGGAACCAAGAAAAAAGCCAGCCCTCGTTAAACACGCTTTACATCCCGTCCATTGCAACGTTATGACTTGCGTCCCGTTTTATAATCCGTGAGCTTATGCCAAGGTGGATTTTCCGCACCCGATGATAACAATAAGGTAACTTATGCTTATTTGTTGTACGACGACGGCCGTTTGCCGCAATTGTGGGGTTATACTTAGTTGGAGGGCCGAGTATACCACCCCTTTATATTTAAACCTGCTTCTACTCTAGTAAAAATGTGAAGAGTAGCCACAAAACGTAAGTCTTCCGGGAACCCTAGAAAAATCGCAAATTCCAATAGCCAAAGCAGACAGTCGTCAATAACCAAGCCCATAAAAAGATGTACCTATGTTAAAAAGTGATAGATCCGACCTAGGCGAGGGATTTGGGGTGTCACAGCATTGCGCATGTACTGTGATTGGTACCATTAAGGGGGCCCCCAAATATAGTACATACATCTAGGTAGGATGGGGGTCGACGCCGCATCTGTATGCTGCCGAGGATACTACTGTTTATTACACTTCAGTTCGGAAAATTAGTCGTGTGATCTCAAAGGATTTCTCCTCAAGGATTTGCGACTCCTTTGAATTCAGCTTTCGCATTTAATCGACGTTCTGCAACATATTTCTCGAGAGTGCCCAAGAAATGCTGTTACCTTAAGCCCCTGCGGCTGGAATGCAAAAATACTAGATCCGAAGCCACAGATCTACCCTTTACCACCACTAGCTTCGACTAATGAAGCTGTTGCGATACAACTGAAACATGGCGCACCAACATTACACAGTGTGAGAATACTTGGTGGGCCATTATAGTCCGAAGGCGTTGTATTTTAGGGTATGTAAAAATTTACACTTCGAATCCCTCAGCCCGATATAAATACGTTGATGGTAAGTAAGGTACCTAATCGCAGTATGTTATGATATGGATGATTGATTTCCGGCAGAGGATTCCGGGTAGTAGTAGGAACGCCTATAATTCCAGGTATTATGTAATGCTAGTACACACTGTTTGATTTGACTAAGAAAAGGGGGTTTGCCATTAATCCACCCCGCCAAATCGGTCTCCCGTATTCGGTTTATCTATGGCACTTGTGCGGTATTAAATTATGATTATAGTCAGTTGTTCTATTCATTTACTGTACCTACACAAAATAAAATGGGGAGGTTTTATACATTGCATATTGTTGAATTGAGAATATGGAATGAATACCTAAAGCTGGGATAGGTCTTTCCTCTCACCTCCGCGACTTCCCTACTGTGCGCCGGACTCCCGGACAAAGGAGGCCGACATAATAGCGAGAAGTTAGAAATGGCCGTCCATATATTGTCATTTTTGGTAGGACAGTGTCCGATACCTTTCGGTATCTCTCCAACAAGGGGTCCGTAACCAACCCTTCGGGTAGTGCTCTGCGTATGCGCAGGATACCCCCAGAATATACACTTATATAACAAAGAATTTCTCCTGAAAGCCATCATGCTTGCTCTTCGTGCACATTCCCATACACCCACCAGGTCCCATTCTATTATACTTTCTCTACATCCCCTCCAACGCTTATATATCGTCTTTCGGCTCCAATTCCAAATCTCAACAAGATCATCGCTGCATTCAAGATGCCTAGCACTAATGGTCAAGCAAGCAAGTACGATGCCACCCCAGGTCCTCTGGGTTTGGCATCTGCTTCGCTGGAGGGAAAGGTAGCTCTCGTTACTGGTGCTGGTATGTAGCTGAAAATATTCGGATTTTACCATTTTCCTTCCTGTTTTCGTAATTGCAACCCTACCCTCAGCTAGCCTCCGGCGCAGCGAAAAGTTGTGGACGGCTACCTGCATTCCGAGACCATGTCTGGGACATGCGATAGGCGGGCACCCCCAAGCGGAGTCCGATAGTTCGAGAGACATGCAGGCGCCCTCACTTCGAAATGGCGATTATTTCCATATTAGCTGAGACATGATTCGCTTTACTAACTTATGCATGCAGGTCGGGGTATTGGCCGCGAGATGGCCCTTGAGCTCGGGCGTCGCGGCGCTAAAGTCATCGTGAACTACGCTAACAGCTCGGAATCGGCCGAAGAAGTAGTGCGACAGATCAAGAAGAACGGCTCTGACGCTGCGGCAATCAAGGCAAATGTATCAGATGTTGACCAGATTGTACGGTTATTCGACCAAGCCATCAAGACCTTTGGCAAGCTGAACATCGTCTGCTCTAATAGCGGTGTCGTATCTTTTGGGCACGTCAAGGATGTTACACCTGAAGAATTTGACCGTGTATTCCATGTTAACACACGTGGTCAATTCTTCGTCGCCCGTGAGGCCCACAAGCACCTAGAAGTCGGCGGTCGCCTTATCCTTATGGGAAGCATTACAGGCCAGGCTAAGGGTGTACCTAAGCACGCCGTCTACTCTGGTAGCAAAGGTGCTATTGAGACTTTCGTCCGCTGCATGGCTGTTGACTTTGGTGACAAGAAGATCACTGTCAATGCTGTCGCACCCGGTGGTATTAAGACTGATATGTACCACGCTGTGTGCCGAGAGTACATCCCCGGTGGTGACAAGCTTAGCGACCCAGAAGTTGACGAAGTGAGTTTGCTGCTCCAATTCCCACCCCCCCCCTTCAATTCTATTTAATAGATGACTAATATGAATCTATGTAGTACGCCGCGACATGGTCTCCTCTTGGCAGAGTCGGTCTCCCTATCGATATCGCTCGTGTCGTTTGCTTCTTGGCTTCCCAAGATGGTGAATGGGTCAATGGTAAGGTTATCGGTATTGATGGCCACGCCATGATGTAAAACGGGAGGGTGTTCCAACCCAAATTGGCGGGGGACATTCAACTGCAGCCCTGTATAGTACTAGCATAGCTGATGGAAACTGCCGTGTGTAATTTCTTAGTCCGGATCGTCGAATACTACTTGAGTAAAATCCAGATTTGTCTCGTTTTTCGTGGTTCGATTATCTTCATTCGGAGGATTGCGCAACGAGAACCGCTATAGGTATCATCATATACTTGGAGAACTGGCAGATCGACAAATGAAGCTCCGGCAAGTTCTTGGAGGAGGTAGCCCCTGTTCATTCACGCCAATTGAATGATGATTCTTTGAAAAACGTTTCGTTCCGAGCTTATTGAGAATATGATTTTCGCCGGTCTGCTGCTGAATGCCAGTGGGGAATGCCCAAATGTATCACGGATATACTACCTTTGGTGTAGTCCAGATTTGCAAATCCATTGCTCAACAACCATATAATCGTTCCATACCTACCTAGGTAGGTACCCGAGTAAGCTGAGTTCACTCCGCTACAAAGATAATGATTCCAGCTACTAAGTATATTGTAATAGTGAGCATAATACACTTTATCAGACATATGTGAGAAAGAAGTATTTACCAAGTTATGACATCACAATTCCAAATAGTGTCCCGTGGCTGCATATTTGGGTCGAATAGGAGACCCCGAAGATGTTGCGGCCCACGCGGGTGTATAAAAGGGTGATCAACTTCCTCATATTATCGGGCGACTTCGTTTCTTTTCTTCTCCCAAAAGCCTCTTAATTTCTTTGTATACTACACCGTCATCGGGCTCCATTGGGCGTCGTACTTTACACTACGTTTACATTGGAATCGACAATTTCAGCCCGAAAGAAGCTATGCGGTACTTAATACCAGCATGCAATTGCTTGCATGGGGGCGGGAGGCCCAGTTTTCACTAATTTACAGCCTCAACAGGGGTAACACCCAGACACTAACGACCCCCCCCACTTATAATATGGTCTCCGCGGTAGCCAACATCTCAGTCTACATACCTATCCTATCTTTTATATACATATGCCCAATGGAAGAGGCTCCAGAACTCCGATTCGGCCCTTGTCAGCTGTTACAATACATCACTAAGGTAGGCTATCGGCACGACATACTCACATGAGACTTAAAGGAGCGTCTAAGTAGGCAGGCTGTGCTTTTGTGTTATATCACAGCCTACAGCATCTGCAGACTTGCCCTGATGTGGAAAAAAAACCATTTATATGTACAACCTCGGGTACTGCACATGTGTTTTGCTACGTGGCCTGTCCCACCCGTTTAAAATATTCTTTAGACCACGTTTGCTGATATCGTGAATTGTGTGTGTGGGTGGGTTATGCTAAGAAAACTACACTTTTATGATCTATTTTTTCGTTCTTATATTTCACATACGAGATTTTTATTCAGTTATTCTACTCGATTGAGTCTTGATAGTAGATGCTACTTCTCCCTTCATCCTGAGAATGTCATTCTACCGGGACGGCCCAGAGAAGCCCAAGATAAATGGCATTCACCCGGTCCGGAGCCAGGGTGAAATATGTGAATTTAAAACTTACCACGAAACTATCAAAAATGGCCAAAGTTCGACTGAGTCTACATCGGATGCTTTTGGTTTAAACAATTCTCGCGGCGAGGATGGCACTTATGCCTTGGTTATCAGAAGGAAGTTCGAAGAACATAAACCAATCAAGACAACATTGCAAGTCAATTCCCCTCATATCCAGAAAGCGTTTCGTGATGTGGTTAAATCATACATTGCTGTTCCGTCGGACTTCACCTCTTCTTTGGAACTGCATGGTCCATTTGAAATGTTAGTTCACCATTGGGATGATCTCAATAAATATCGATGCTCGACGGATGAGGCCGTCGCACGGGAACATCTAGATCTTCTTTTCGGGTTCATGGAGCATGAAATCAAGCCTACTCGCGAGAGGGCTCTTAAGATGATAGAAAAGCAACAGATTGCTTACGAGAATGCATGGGTTATATATCGTCCTGGCGACGTCATGTATACTGAAGTTAATGGTCATCCATGGCTTTTGGTATGCACGAAGACGGCATACGAGGAGAATATGGATATTGGACCATATCTTGAGGTCCACTGCTCTTACACGGATGACAATGGCATGGTAGTTGGCCAGGCTACACATGTTGTCAGTATGAATCAGAGGACTAAATTCCCCGCCGGAAATCCTGTTTCTATCACGGACTTAGATATCTATCCTCGTGAATTTGTTGAGGAGGAGGAGGATAGCCTCGAATACCGCCTTAAGGTGCGTGGCGAGAAATTTCTGTCCCTAAAGGATCTTTCAGCTGTGGCTTACGGTACGTACATGATGACAATTTCTACATTGCTTTGACAAATTGATTTTGATATTTATATTGCGTTAAAATGCCGTTATATGACCCGAACAGGGAAAGGGGTCACCGAATCCGAACCCGAAACCACCTTGCCCAGTGCTGACATAGGAACAGATGGTCCCGCGGAATGGCTTAAAGAGCCACCATTTGATTTTTACGATCCGTCAAGGTGTAAATTCCGCGGCGTGTGGCTCCCTTACACCGAAACAGGAAGGATAGTCCTGGATCGAAAGACCTTCGGCCAGGAGCAGCCATTAGGTAAAGCTCGGGTAAAAGTGGCGTCCCCAGAGCCTGTATATTGCCCTCCGTATACACTTGGTTACTCTCTAGGCCGCAAACAATGGTGTCGATTTTTGGTTGATCACATCCGTGAAGTCAATTGGAACCCTAAAGCATGGGACTCTCTAGTGCTCCCAGATAAGGAAAAACGTCTTCTCCGGGCTCTGATCTCGTCACATGCGTTCACAAAGAATCCTCGTGATTTTATGCAACAAAAAGGCAAAGGCCTCGTGGTCTTGCTCCATGGCACCCCTGGTTCTGGAAAGACACTCACGGCAGAGACCGCTGCGGAAGGGACAAGGAAAGCTCTTGTTTCGACTTCGGTCGGTGAACTCAGTAAGGGCGGAAAGTAAGGCCCCTCGCTTTCCAATGAAATAACTTTCGTCACTAATATGATGTACATAGTTTCATTTCTGGTTCTGCGTCATTTGAAAGAGAACTGAAAAAAGTCCTCCAGTATGCTACAATCTGGCAGGCAGTAGTACTCCTCGACGAAGCGGATGTATTTCTTGAAGCTCGAAAGGATGTAGGAAGTTCTGAACGAAATGCTCTAGTTGCTGGTAAGTCTTTCTGTAGGTATATAAGAAATGCTCAGGAGTACTCTAATGCGGCTTTTGTTAGTGTTTTTGAAGGAACTTGAATATTTCGGCGGCATAGTCTTCCTTACAACTAATCGGGTAAATTCCTTCGATATTGCTATGAAATCCAGAATCCATCTTTCCCTTAGCTACACGCCACCTGAAATGGAAGTCCGTCGGAGTATCTGGCTGCACTGTCTTAGGTCTGTACCTGCGCATGCTAGGGAGATGGATATACAAAACGCTCTCGGTTTCTTGGCGGATACTAAGTTGAATGGAAGAGAGATAGCGAACGCGGTGAATACCGCTAGAACGCTAGCTAGGTTTGATGACGCACCTCTTACGCTTGGTCATATAGAAACTGTCTTGGAAGTTAGAAAAGCTTTTGACGAGAGTCTGAAAACTGGCGGGTTGCCTTGAATGGTCTGAACATGGTAATCGGTGAGCACACTGATGATAGGTAGGTTGGAGGATGATCTTCATATGTCAACGCATTTGTTTCTATTGCTTACGAACGTTAATGGTTCAAAGGGGAGGCAAGACTTAATAGCTACGTTAACCATGGCATCGAAGACAAAAACGGAATGTATTGGGAAAACATACTTGGTTTGACCTTGAACCAACCCTTAGATAGAGAGCAGATAAGTGAGCCTTGTACCACGCATTACATGTCTCTTTTTTATTCCGGTAGCACTTAATGATCACTCATTTCGAACTAAGATCGTACTGATTAAGGTGAAGGTGTGGTGTTGAACGGATAACAGAATGCAGACCTACTTCCTAGATACCCACTCCCTATAAGACGGAGTCCCATTTTGCTTAAATGGGATGTTTTGGAGGCTCTATTTAGGAAGCTTTTGATGTAGTATCATATCTCTATTGAAGCCGTATATTTTTTTCTATATCACTGGGGATATCGAAAATGAGAAAGTGCGATGGCAGACTAGGGTGTTGACATGTCATAAAATTGAGGAATACCCTAAAGTATACGAATAAATCAGACAACCTGTGTAATTCAGTAATTTTTTTGATCACGTGAGCGCCTTATGGGATACCTAGGTAGATATTCTCTAATTCCAAAGAATATTGAATAGCCTAAGGGGTAGCTTCAAACTCGCCGTCTTGAATATTTAGCGAGTTCTGGAACTTCGTTATAATCAAATAAGTCCGTCAGCTAAATGCGGTACAATGCGAGCTCCCGTGAGTGATGGATCAATCCGCGAATCATACTTGTCAATGCCATCTATCGGGGCGTATTTCTCACAGAGATAGCACATGTTATTGTATGCCCTACTTCATGTTTTAGCGCCGGGGTGATGTGGTGGAGGAAATTGGAACTCACGTTTTTCTCAGAATGCTACCTGGGTGACCGGCAGAGTAGTTGATGGCTCCCTTGAGACTATAGAGTCGATTTCTGTCGTCGAACTCATCTGCTGGCTCTGCTGCGGGGTAGTGGCGTAGATAGTGCTTCTTATACGATGCGGATCGGAAGACGGAACTGAATTCGCATCTCCAATGGCCTAGTTCCATTTCATTATGCGCATAGTAACTACCGGCATCGAAGAGAAGGGTGTCACCCGTCTCAAGATTGATCCCCATATTCCCTTCCCAGAGGTCTCCGTGAATTATACAAGGTTCGAGTTGACGACCTTCAGCTTGCAGGGGTTCGAGGAGGCGTGGTATTACTTTCCACGCTACCTGCTCAATAGCGCGTTCGTATTCCGGCCAAGGGCCATTTCTTTTAACATCGAGTTCGCAGACGCCGAGAAATAGGTTCCTAAAAAAGACTGCCCAGCTTTCCTGCCAGTCGACAACATGTGCTCGGTCACCGTCACATGTCTGAACATGAAACCCAAATTTACCAGTTGGGGATTGGCTGATTTTGTGTAGATGCGCGAGCCTGCTTGTGAATTCAGCTGGATCTGGGGCAGTGGTGACATCCATGTCGACGAATTCTGATAGGTAGAAATATGTGGCGGGATTTGGAACCTTGTACTTCCCAAACCCAAACGGCTCAGGGATAAAATCTGGCATAACGTTGTAAATTATCTTAGACGATTCGAATTCCCCTCCGAGCATGGTCCGACCAACTTCTCCATATGCGATCTAAGTAGAAGCATTTAGTGCTAGACTCATATTGCGGTCCGGACTATTCGAAGCAGTATTTACTTACTTTGAGGAAGTAATGCTTCTCTGAACCATCCGGATCGAGAGCTATGAGTCTGCCAGTGATCGTCCACGCGCTAGTCCCAAAATGCTCGACAGAGAGAAAAGTGCTTCCCACGGGTAGCGCTGCGGAGAAATAAGCATGGTATTCAAAAATGCTTGTAGGAATCATTACCATCAACAACAGCTTCATCTATTGGGAAAACCCCATCAAGCTGTGCTAAAATCTGTTTGATTGTCATTGACTCCGTCCTATCTTGTAAGGTTGCCGTTGAAGCAAGAGAGCCCGGCGAAACGTCGATTTCCCCCGCCATGGTGGGATTTCTGTTTTCTGGGATATCTAGACGCCTAATAGTATCAGTATATGAGGTTCAAATGACCTTTTGCATTTGAATAGAGGCAGAGAAAAGAAGAGCTCACCATGACTGCGATACTCGGGATTAAATAACACCAGTGTATCTCATATTCTGGGGGAGGGTTGCATACAAGGCGGTTAGGGTATGCAACGTTATGTCTTAACCAGGGTCGTGGAGTTGGGGGCCATTTGAAAGTATTGAGAGCCGCATTTTGGGGGGGGGGGGGGGCGGTTGAGAGGATTCCCCCGTCGGATTCATTCTCGAACATTTCACTGCTTCTTTTCCCGCGATACGCGATAATGATACTATCGCAGTCTGTAGGCATACGCCTATGGAATCTCGTGCTCTGTTAGCATCATGGTTCGTCTGCAAGTCTCTTATGAGCTATACAACGTCAGCTTAACTAATTTATGGACTATAACTAACTTTTCCTTCTACTTAGTTCAAGAAACCATTTTCCTTCCGGAAAAAGAAGGATGGCAGTCAAGATGACCCTCCGGATTACGTCGAAATCCAAGATGCGGAGGACCCCACCTCGACACGAGAGATGCGCTCGGCGAGCACGCCCACCATTCCCGACACCAAATTTCGAGATCGATCGTCAGTTGCTAGCTCTAGTATTAGCCATGCGAAATCTACAGAAAGCCAGTTCTCCACCCCTTCGGAGAACTCGGCAACATATCGCGGGATTGAAGCTTCTAGCAAAGATCCGCTTGGTTTGAAGGTGGTGCATCGACCTGTAGGTCAACGACGGGTGGATATAGTTTTTGTTCATGGGCTGGGTGGTAGTAGCCGCATGACGTGGTCTCACGACCGCAATCCGGACTTCTTTTGGCCGTTGAAATTTTTGCCGCTCGAACCGGATATCAGTGAAGCCCGGATCCTGACTTTTGGCTATAACGCGAACTTTCGCCCGGGAAGCGGCAAGAATAAAATGTCTGTTCTTGATTTTGCGAAAGATCTCTTGTTTGATCTGAAGCATGCTCAAGATGAGTCTGTGCCGGAGTTAGAAGACTTAGGCATGGGAGAGGTATGGTTGACCACATAACGAGCTTCTTATCATTGGACTTAAATATTAATAGTGAACTCAGAAACCCATCATATTCATGGTACACTCCATGGGTGGGCTCATTGTGAAAGAGGTATAGTACTTAGTGGTCATGATGTCACCCTGTGTGACTGTTTGGGCTGACAATGTTTGGTGTTACTATAGGCCTATATGCAAGGGCAAAATGACCCAACCTACGAGTCTATCATCAAAGCCATATCGTCCATCATTTTCCTCTCGACGCCACATCGCGGTACTAACTTGGCCGATACACTCAATCGCATTTTACAGGTGTCCTTTGTTACTAGTCCAATGAATTTTATTGCCGAGCTCGCTGCTGGTTCGCAAACCCTCCAAAAGCTTAATGAACAGTTTAGACATGCAGCCCCAAAGTTGCAGATTGTATCGTTTTACGAGACCCGTCCTACGACCATGTTCAAGAAAGCTCAAATAGTATGTACGCCAACCGACTAGATAATTGTGAGGCTCATCTAACCCTTTATCCTTAGATGGTTCTGGAGAAGGACTCGTCAGTGTTAGGCTATCCCGGAGAGATATCCAAGCCCCTCGATGCAGATCATCACGGTGTCTGCAAATATGAGAGCCCAGACGATCCACGTTATATCACTGTACGAAACGTCCTCAAGACTTTGATCACGAAAGCTAAGCCAAAGCGTACGTTGGCCGACTCGAACTGATGCCTTCAAGTACCTAGGACACTGACATTTTCCATATAACCCAGATCAACCCTCCGAAGTAGATAGTCAATCCGTCGCCAGTTTTGAGGAGTACCTTTCCGTTTTCGAATCTCCCGATGCAGATTACAATTTCTTCCGCGACCGCTGGACTCCCGGAACTTGTACTTGGATTGAACAAAATGATGCATTTAGTGCATGGCTGGAGGATAAGAGCTTCAGACCCCGAGTCCTATGGGTCAACGGCAACCCCGCAAGCGGGAAATCGATCTTATCTTCGTTTATCATAAACCACCTTGCCCAACTTGGCTTGCCTTGCCAATACTTTTTTATACGATTTATGTCCCAGGAGAAGCGGGGGCTGAGTATGTTGTTGCGGTCATTAGCTTGCCAGCTTGCCAACTCAACGCCAGCCTACGGGGAAAGACTTCGCCAACTTCAAGCGGCTGCTGCGGATCTAAAAACTGTAGACTATCGGACAATCTGGCAATGGCTATTCAGACAGACTTTATTCCGTTTAGACCACAACTACCCCATCTACTGGGTTATTGACGGTGTGGATGAGGCGGATCGACCGGCGGCGTTGATTCGACTCTTATCGGAACTAGATCAGACTACCCTTCCTCTTCGCGTCTTGGTCGTGAGCCGGAAAACCCACGAAATCACATCGGCATTCCAAAAACTTGCTAGACAGGTGCAAATGGATACGGTGCGATCTGAAGGAAACATTGTTGATTTTCAGTCTTACATTGGTCACGAAATGGACCTAGCTGGCGATACAGAGTACAGAAAGGAAGTTACTGCAAAGTTGTTAACCCGCGCAAAGGGCAACTTCCTTTGGTTACACTTAGCTGTGCAGAGAGTCAATGCCTGTCACACAAGGCCGGACGTCGAAAAGGCGTTAGAGGAACTTCCGTCGGGGATGGAGGCGTTATATAATCGAATGGCTACGTCCGTTCAGTCTCAGCCGAATGTTAATGACCGGAACCTTGGGCTCAATATACTGGGCTGGACCACTTGTGCTCGGCGGCTGCTGAGCGTTGAAGAACTTCGCGATGCCTTAGAGAATGATGGCGTTCTTGAGATCCATAGGACAATAGGAGATCTTTGTGGTGGCTTCGTCACTATTGACCATGAGGGCAAGGTTGCTATGACACATGAGACGGCTCGAGAGTATTTGGTGCGCAAAGGCGAAGGTTACGGGCCACTGGCAATCAATCGCCATGTTACCAACGATAAGCTTTTTAAGAGGTGTATCGCGCGATTGACAGATACGAATCTACGAAGCCAGATCAATCGCAACCGACCCCCAGCCCTGCTCGGATACGCCATGACCTCGTGGTCCCACCATCTAGTCCTTGGTTCAGTCACTAATCCGAATATCCTGGAAATCGTCATGAATTTTCTTGGAGGACCCCACGTACTCACCTGGATCCATGTCGCTGCTAGGGCAGGGGAGCTCAGAGCTCTAATAACTGCTTCTCGTCACTTAGTAGAAGTTGTCTTCAAGTTGCGACGAATGGACGATGATGAATCCGCAATACACCGACAAGCAGCTGCGGTCATTGAAGGCTGGGCGACCGACTTCGTCAAAATTGTTGGAAAGTTCGGTAACAACTTGAGACGACATCCTGATTCGATTTATAAACTTATACCCCCGTTCTGCCCGGAAGACTCTATGATTTATCAGCAATTTGGTCGCAAAGAGTCCCGGTTACTTCAGGTCTCTGGGTCCACAAGAACTAGTTGGGATGATTGTCTTGCCCGATTCTCCCTAGCTCAAGGGGTCGTCGCGTCGTCAGTGATTGCCGCTGGTAGCAGAATCGCACTCCTCACCGTTATCCGAAAGTTAAGCCAAGTTATCATTTATAATGCGGCGACTTTCGAAGAACAGCGCCGCATAACACATCCTGAACGCGTTTTGAGCATTCAAAGTAATAAGCTCGGCGATCTTCTCGTCAGTTACGGTTATGTGACTACAAGGTTATGGAATGTAGTAACAGGAGAGCGCCTTAAGACGATAAAGAACCCCCCAAGACGTCCACGACCGCATAGCATTCACTTTGATGAGAAACGTCGGTTAGTTTTAGTATGCTTTGAAGACAGATGCACCAGAAGTTTTTCCCTCGAAGACGATGGTGCGGAGCAATGGGATACGCAGGTGCAAATCGACGAACAGAGCTTGGACGATACTACTGTAAATTTCCCTACGGTCGCTTCAATCAGTCCAGATGGCAATATGGTGGCATTCGGCTATCGAAATCACCCAGTCACAGCCTGGGAGTTGGAACCATCCATGTTAATCGGACAATGCAGCATCCCCCTCGATGAAAATGACATGACGACTGAAGTTAATACGTGGGGTGAAGTATTCCGTCTCGCATGGCACCCGCACTCTGGCGAGGTTATTGGCTTGAATCTAGTTGGATTATTGTTTATATGGGATCCCTATGAGGAGGAAGCCAGTGCGACCGTCCATACCGGCGCAGATAACTTCACTATTAGTTCTGACGGTTCACTTATAGCGACGGGGGATGCAGTTGGAGCAGTCAAGGTTTATTCCACTGCTGATTTTTCAATGCTATATCAGCTGGCTTCCCAAGACCCTGTTCTGTACATCAGCTTTAGCGCCGATTCTAGAAGACTTTATGACATCCGGGGGTCGTACTGTAATATCTGGGAACCTAGCGCTTTGATTCGCCTTGCGGATTGTTCGGATCACAATAGCAACAGCGACTCCCACAGCGAGACTGAAAGTCTCACTAAGATGTCGCTTTACGCCGAACACCACTTCGCGAGGGTTGACAATGTCATTGCCTTATCCGGCCAGCCTGTTGGGCCATTGTACTGTTACGGAACAGAAGACGGCGTCGCTCTCTTGTGTGAAGCGGGGCGAGGAAAGATTGGTGAAGTAGAGAGATTAGCGAATTATGTGTCTATTGAACACGTAGCTTGGAGTGAAGATGGACGCTTAATTGCGCTTGTTGATCTAAGTGGGCGCCTCGCAGTGAAAAGGGTTACTCGCTCCCCTGAGAGCCCAAGTTCTTGGCAGGTGTCTGCCCATTTTGATCTTGTCATTTCACAAGAACAGGGACATATCAATCAGATTATGTTCCATCCTACTGGGCAAAAATTGCTGGTATGCACACCAGCTATTTTGTTCTCGATAGATCTTGGATCCCAATCCTTGACAGAGTCCAAATTCGAGTCGACAATGCCCAAAGTTAAGTGGGTTAACCACCCAACAGTAACGGATACTCTCTTGGGATTCGGAAACACCAAAGTGTATGTCTTTGGATGGGGCGATCTACGAAAGCGCGAGGTTTATAGTTACTTTCCGCCCAGGATGGGCAGGTCGACAACGATTTCGGCACCGTCACTAGCTCATGGGCACGCAGGTAGTTTCCAAAAGGATACCGAAACTCTCGGGAGACTCATTTCATCCACCGACTCTCCATATGTTCTCCTAGAAATATCATCGTCGACTAGCTCAGGCCATTTTGAGAGTCAATACTTGCTGATTGACGTGGACAATATGCAAGGTTCCTCCGAGGAAGAATCAAGTCAAGACCCCTTATTCCTTTCATACACACTTTTGCCACAGGAGGTTGCTACTCGAATACGTGAGCCTCTTGCGTTTCTATCCCGGAGAAGACTCGCATTTCTCGATATTGACAAGTGGATATGCACTTGGCGTCTACCAGTTTCCGCTCCAGCAAGACCTCAAGGCAGGAAAGGCTCCGAATTAGGGGTCGCTGGTATCGAGCAATATTACTTCCTCCCGGGGGATTGGGTCACGAGCAACGAGACACGGTTATGTACAATTACCCCGGATGGGACATTACTATGTCCTAGAAACGGCGATATAGCCACCGTCCAAGCCGCGAAATTAAGAAAATAAAAGACGCAATGTAAATACAGGATAGGATTGAATCTGGCAATATCGGCTACGTTAAATGTGTTTTTAAGAGTATAGCATTATACCCGCCCCTTAGCGAACGCTTGTAGATAGAATTCCCCAGAGATTAGGGGCTCTAGATTAGAATCATTAACGTACCCGCCCAATCAATTGAATTATCAATTGATCATGAAGATATCATGTATACCACCGCGTTATAAAAGTCCCAATATTCAGAATCCCGTCTACGGACATGACTTCAAGGGTCAACACTCATTTCGGTGTCACGTGCATAAGATTCTGCAGCAAGGTTGTATGGAGGCAACCCCGATACCGCTTTTTGTTGGAAAAGATCCAGTCATGTTAAGAAGTTAAGTGGCCCTCGGATAGCGAGAATGGGTTAACGCCATCCAAGACCAACCTAATGCCATACTACAAGGGGCCAAACAAGTTTACTTGGAATGTGAAGGTATAAGTTGGGCCGCAGCCTATCAGGGTCATAAAATTTGGATGCCAGAAGACAGGAGCTTTTTGTGGCGGGCTTTACCCAATGGCTGCTCTCGAGAAACCAGCCGAAACCGTCGTTGACGATGCTAATCCCCCTACCGCGAACCGTCAGCGCCGAGAAGCATATACGGTGTTTTCGGGTGCAACTAAGATCTATCTTACCTATTTTCTTGGCTTTACCATGATCCTATCAACCCTGACGGCAACGATCTACTTCCCTCTCATTCCTATGCTTGGCGATCAATTCAATGTTTCTATTCAAGCCATAAACCTTACCATTACCGTTTACGCGATTGTCCAGGCCGTATCACCGGGGATATTCGCCTCCGTTGCTGATTCGTTCGGACGGAGGCCTGTTCTCTTACTCCTCGTCGCTTTGTACGCCCTAGGGAGCCTGGGCCTTGCGCTCAACAAGAACAATTACGCTGCCCTAATTGCACTACGTGCATTGCAGAGTATCGGCGGTTCCGCGATACCAACTCTCGCGTACGGAATTGCCGCTGATGTGGCGCCTACAGCTGAGCGGGGACGTATGCTCGGACCCATGTTATCAACTTGCAATGGAATCTCCGCTGTAGGTCCTGTAATTGGAGGCGCCATAACATTAGGTACTAGTGGTATACAATGGGTTTTCTGGGCGCTTCTCATTATCTCTGCCCTTTGCTTTTTGGTGGCTGGCTTTACGCTGCCTGAGACAGCCCGCTGCGTTGTCGGCAATGGCAGTAAGCCTGCTGTGGGTATTTGGAAGACATGGTGGTCCTTGACTCGACGCAAGTCCGAAAAGACAGAACCTGCCTCGGAAAACTCCTGTGCCGGAGTTATTGAGAGGGAGAAGTGGCGGCCACTAACGGCCCTCGCATCGCTTCGCATCATATTCTACAAAGATGCCTCTGCTGTGTTATGGATGGTGGCTTTGACGTATTCAATCTACTATACATTCCAAGTTGCAATCCCCGTCATCTTCGCGGATATCTACTCATATAATGAGCTTGAAATAGGTCTTGCTTTTCTCCCGGGATTGGCTGGGATGACGATCGGTGGCATCATTGCTGGGAAGCTTGTAGATTTAAATTACGCCGTTGTGGCAAAAAAGCACAACTTCTGTACGGACAGCGATCGGCGTTCTTTAGGAGACTTCCCAATTGAAGCGGCAAGGTACCGCAACTGTCTAGTGTTTGTTATTGGTGAGACCATTCTGGTCATTGGCTACGGGTGGGCGGTACACTATCAGGTGCATCCGGCAGCCCCTATTGTACTACAATTCTTCATCTGCGCAGCGTCTACACTATTGAGTCATACAGCGAGCGCCCTATTGGTCGATATATTCCCAGAGAAATCGAGCACTGCATATGCATCTGGCCAGATCATGAGGTGTGGGGTCAGTGCGGCTTCAGCTGCTGTTCTTCAGCCATTAGTTAATGTGCTAGGATACGGGTGGTATTTCACATTGTTCGCTCTCTTTGTGGGGGTCTTCGGAGTGATATCCGTATTCATTAGCCGATTGAAGGGTATGCATTGGCGCCAGAAGAGATGCTCCTGGTAACACGGGAGCAAGGTGCAGCACCTACCTAAACACATAGCGCAGTATCATCGGCTTTCGGTGGCATAGACCGAGAGGGAGTATACCTATCCGACAGGCACATATACGCACATACCAGGGACGCCTAAGCAGCTAGCCATCCCGGCTGTCCGAAAGCAAGTCCGAGACGGTAGATGACCAGTCATATATCGATTCAATCGTACATCTTAAGGCAGAAATCGCAACGAGGCATGATTCTTTATGAGCGCATTGCCTGGCGATACTCCTCAAGTACTTTTCACGATCAAATTGGGATAGCCAACCATTTTCCTTGTAGATCTTATATATTTCCTAGGTGTATTAGTTCAGTAATCGGAAGAGAAGTGTTGTTCCTAGCATAACCTACCTTAGCTTGCTGCTCGCAGCGTTTCTCACGTTCTTGACGCATATCTGGTGGCGGTGGGCGAGGGGTTAGTTCAGCTGGGCAAGGGCCTTGTTGTGCTGTAAATCTTGCTCGCATATCCTCCGCTTCCTTGCCAAAAACGTCTTTGAGTATATCATCGACTTCCGCATCCAAAAGAGCGACCTCATCTTCGCCATCTTCACTTTCTACCTCACTACTTGAGTTAGTTTCCACGTCAAATGGGCATCTGAATCTGGCTCGAAGTCATCGTTGGAAGCTAAACTAGCATCCTCTTCAGGCACTTCCCGGTACACATGGTCGTGCGCCTACCACCACTAGAACTGGGGATCGGCAGCCACAGTAATTTTTCCCACTTAGCTCGCCAGAGTCGGAAGAGATCCGGAGTAGGATACGTTCGAAACGCCATCCACTTATTAGCTACTGGGAGCTGCTCGTACTTCTCGTAGCCAATCATGCACCCTTGACCTAGCATAGCCCACTCGGTGATGTGATGGTACCTGATAAGCAATTGGTCAATCAAAACATTTCATTTAGGACGAAAAAGACAAATACCGATGTGAGTATCTAGCAGCAAATCGATGCCATCGCATGTGTAAGCCATATACAATGAGGCGGCGTGGGCTGTATCTCATCGATCCAATAATCGTACAGCTCACCATCGCAGTACGCAATCGAACAGGTATCGGGCGACAACATCCATGCGTCTCTAGCTCCCCGGTTACCAAATAGGGTAAGTGGCGTAACAGGTCAATTACTTCGTCAGTCTTGCCCCTTTTCCGCAATTCGTCTTCATTCACCCCCAACCATCCTCCTGCGGGTGGTAGAATGAGAGCGTTCGGATCGATATATGGAGGCTTGATGATTGCAGCGTAAAATTCGTGCACTGCCGCAATCATTTCGTTGCGAGGGTACGCCGAACCCAAAATGGAGCTCATTTTTTAAAACGAACGCGGCTTGGCAACAAGGCTTTTTAATAAAATGAAGATTTTAAATAATAGGGGCGAACCCATCTCCAGGATGAACCCCGCTATTTATCTATACACTACCCGCTAACTTCATAGCCTTAATCCTTCTTGTTGTTAACAATGGAAAAGTGGTGTGTTTTCATTCAACTTATACATACAAGACCCAATCCCTTAAATCGACATCAAACTAATTCATTGCAAAGATCGTCTCGCGGATGGAACACGAGGTTCGGCCCATCATGGCTTGCAGAAAATGTATCATACACCTGGAATTCGCCTTGCCTACCTCTTGCTCCGGCGATTCCCGGCTTCCCAGCTCCAAGCTCTCCTATCTTTCCAGGCGCTACTTCGAAATCGAAATACCAGAGGGTCTTGGCTAGGACCAAACTAACCTCATGGTACGCCATCGCCTTCCCGGCGCAGCCACGGGACCCAATCGAGAATGCCGCAAAAGCTTTGTGTACCATATCCTTATTGTCTCCCAACCATCTCTCAGGTTGGAATTCGAAAGAATTGGGAAAGTACTTTTCATTGTGGTGGAGACTGTATATGTTCACGCCAACCTGGGTCCCGGGAGGTACGACATGTCCATCCACGACGAAGGGCTGGTTCTTGTACTCCGCTACTGGCTCGCGCCATAATGTCCCGGGAGCCGGGGGACACATTCGGAGAGACTCGTCAATACACGCGCGCAGATACCGACAGCCCGCAAGGCGTGGCCCGTTGTGGATCTTAGCACCTGAATTGAACGTCGTTCGAATTTCCTCGACAAGGGTCTGGTAACACTCTGGATTTCGCGATAGATAAAAGAAGCAAGCTGCCATCGCAGTCGCGGTAGTTTCGCCACCTACGCGCCTTAGTACTTTGGATTTTGATTAAAAGGGCAATACGGACCTGCTGGGAAGAAGAAAAGCGCCTCAGTCCAGAGCTCTTCTTGTTTGATATTTTCAATATCAATATTTGCCTTGTCCTTGAAAACAGACAGTAAGTCTTGTTTGGCGTCTGAAGGCTGGGCGAGCCGAGATGATATCATCGTCTTTACCACCCCCATGAATTTCTGTCGCGGTTGGCTAGGAAATAGTCCCATCAACAATTCAGGTCGAACTTTCGCCATTAGCGGAAACTGCATGTAAAGGTTGATCCGGAAACTTCCCAGAGAGAGTATATCCGTCAGGAACCTATTCGTATCCTCCGTCTGAAGCTTTAAGTCATAACCAAAGCCAAGCTGCCCAGCAATATCGAGGCCTAGGTATCGACAAGTATGTGTCATATTCACCGGTCCCCTGTTCGAGAGTAACAACTGTTTGAGGAACCTATCGATTAGCTCCTTCATAGTAGGCTCAAATACCCTCATCGATTGCTCCGAGAGGACTCGGCCGATGAGTCTCCGTTTTGGTCGGTGCTTGGCTTTATCCGTCGTGATGAATACATTATGTTGACCCTGTTGCGCTTCGGTATAGACGTGGGACTTGGTGATTTTCTCATTCTGGTAAATATCTGTTCCTGATTAACATAAATTGATTTTGCTATAACTTTAGTGACTTACCTCGTAAAGCCTCAATGGTGTTAAATACTAGGCGGTCTGGAGCTAGCCTCACTACGGGACCTATCCAACCTGTCAATAGACTAATTGATAGGAATAACCATTAAACAGACCTAATTCTGAATGAGTTTCGTGAATCTTTAGGTGAAGATTCCTTTTCAGAGCGAAATAGCCGCTGTATGCATACGAAACCCTTGCGGCAAGTGGACCACGATACTTTCGAAGTGGGTGAAACAGAAGGCAGAGACCGAAGACATATGTATACTATATTGTTCGAAGTGAGTATGGCAGTCATGAATCAAATGTCAAGTACACCTACATAGAGGACGAGCACTGTGCTAACATATGTGATAATAAAGTTGATCATGGTTATCATTTCCCAAAGGACTATTATAAATCAACTGGAACTAAAAATGAAGGTCAGTGACAAACGCGTTGTGGTATAGCAACGGCTTAAATAACAAATTGTAACATTCATCATGACCTTAAAATGAACTGGCTCGTATAGTCTACACCAATAGAAACGAGAGGCGCCTTTTACCGACACACCATTACCCAATTAGATCTAGACATTTACGTCAGCAAGTTAAGAACAGTCAGAATATTCTGCTTTATGAATATACCCAAATACTAGGCTCAGTACTTACCTCTTACCTACCCGCTGCTTAGGTGCCTAGGTACCTGATACGTCTGCTATTAGATCACAAGGCTGTCTGCTTAGAATAACCTTTTGGTGTAATACGAACGCGAAGGCCTAGGCGTATACCGCATAGGTTTCTCAGCCTATCGATGTCTGATAGAACCATGTGTGCTACGTTAAAATGGCTTAGCCACGAGTCCGCCTTGCGTGGCGAAAAGAAGGAGTCGCAGGCCTCCCTTCGTTAGATGCTTAGGAGGTTGCATATTCTTGACGTACCTTCTTTCTATCCCAATCTTAGGATATTAGATTTTCATCAAAACTGCCGCTTCAACGTATTTATTTATCGCAGCTTGTTAGCGTCTACTGAGTCTCTTCGGGGTTATAGATCCCGGGCGGGCGTATACATGTCTTTAGGTAGACAGCCTTTTACATTCAATCTTGGTAGTTAGCTGCAGTGAGCGTGAAAGTAAGCCCAAACGTTCATTGTTGGCTTTTTGTGTCAAGGTTAACCATATTTGTATAGGAACCCCTTCAGATTGACCATGTCGGATCCTAACAACTATACTGTTGGTTGGATATGCGCTGTGAAACCGGAAATTGTTTCAGCATCGCTATTTCTCGATGAAGAGCACGACCCGCTCGATGATACCTCTGAAGATGACCATAACACTTATACGTTAGGTCGGATTGGGAGGCATAATATCGTCATCGCTGCAATGCCACATTGGCAATGTGGGCCCGTGAATGCGACGGCCGTCGCCAAAGACATGGCTCGTACCTTCCCGAATTTAAGATTCAATCTGATGGTGGGAATTGCTGGAGGTATTCCAAGCGAGATCAATGATATACGTCTCGGCGATGTTGTTGTTGGCTGTCCTGGTTATGGGACTGGAGGAACCTTACAGTACGATTATGGGAAGAAGACACAAGACGAGGACATAAAACTAACTGGCCATTTAAATCAACCACCACAGTTCATATTAACGGCTATAGCTCAACTGGAAGCTGATTATGAAAGGAAACCCCACAAGTTAGAGGAGACTATTGAAGGTATCCTAAAAGATAATCCTAGATTGTGGAGCAAATACAAACGGCCAGACAACGATACTGACAGGCTATATCAATCGACTTTCAAGCACATTGGGGACGACGAGGAAAGCTGCGCAGGGACCTGTGGAAACAGCATACTGAATCTAATCTCAAGAGGCAAGAGGCCTGAAGAGCAGGATAATCTTGTAATTCATTACGGCTTAATCGCGTCAGCAAGTTCATTGCTTAAGGATGCATTGGCTCGAGACAGGCTTGCAGGAGAAGGAGCTTTGTGTGTTGAGATGGAAGCTGCAGGATTGATGAACCACATTCCCTGTGCTGTGATTCGTGGCATATGTGACTATGCAGATACACATAAGAACGTCAAGTGGCAAGGTTTTGCAGCAATGACGGCAGCCGCGTACACGAAGGATCTTCTTAAGAGGATTCCGCCGAGCAGGGTGATCGTGCAGAGGAAGATGAGCGAACTCCTTAATGATGGTTAGTAAATCCGAATCCATTACTATAATGTAGCTGGAGGTATTTCAATCTAGTATTAATATCAATGGTATAATAGTAAGCGAAGGCTTGAACTTTGTTAAATTTGGGATGATAGACCTCCGGAAGGATGATCATTTTCAGAAACTCAAAAGTTGGCTCTCGCCAGCCGATGTATCAACAAACTTCAATCGTACACTACAGCACCGCCAATAGGGCACAGGCGTATGGTTCCTAAAGAGTCCCAAATACTTGGAATGGAAAACTACAAATAATTCATTCCTGTGGCTCAATGGTATTCCTGGTTGTGGCAAAACAATTCTCAGCTCAACAATCATTGAGGATCTCACGAAAGTCAAGGGCATGCCAACGAATGTTGTTTACTTCTATTTTGATTTTAGTGACTCCAACAAACAGTCATTGGAGGACATGCTCCGATGCCTCGCTATTCAGTTGTATCCAATAGGAACAACTACTCAAGGCTACTTAGACTCACTTTATGATAAAGGCACTCGACAACCTTACATCGCATCACTCCGTGAAACTGTCCGAAAAATGGTCCAGCGAGCCAGTGAGCTATGGATTGTAATCGACGCACTTGATGAATGCGTGACCCGACGCGAGTATCCAAGTGAAGGGGTTCTTGAGTGGATTGAAGATATCAGGGGATGTGAGGCGAGTGTTCATCTCTTAGTTACAAGCCGTCCAGAGCAAGATATCATGTCATCCATTAAAGGATGGACACGCGAACAAGACATCATCCCACTCCAAAGTCATCTGGTGGATGGGGACATTCGTGCTTATACTCAACACAGAGTAAGGGAGGATAAAGGATTGAAACGGTGGCATGGGAAGCCGGAGGTAGAACAAGAGATTGAAGGCGCGTTAGTAGAGAAAGCAGATGGAATGTAAGTATTGATTCACTCAATTCATGTCTTAATGACTAACTCGGCGCGATAGGTTTCGCTGGGTTGCGTGCCAACTCGATGTACTTGGGGAGTGTCTCGACCTCCCATCAGTCCGGAAGGCCCTCAAATTGTTGCCACGAACGTTGGATGAAACCTACGCTAGGATAATAGCTGGATTGCATGGCGAGTATCGAGACCATACAAAGCGAATACTGCAGTTCTTGACGTATTGTGAACGACCATTAAGGCTCGCAGAACTCGTTGATGCTATTGCAGTAGACATAATCAACACGGGCTCGTTTGATCCGAGAGATAGAATGCCCGACCCTGAAGAAATTGTCAAATGTTGTTCAAGCTTAGTAGTCATGACTACGGTCAAACTTACTTCATATTATCCCCTCTTGGATGGCCGGATAGTTAATGAAAAGTATGGCTACGTGGGCAAAGACAAATATTTTACAGTACTACAGCTGGCTCATTATTCGGTCAAAGAATACCTCACATCAGATCGACTCGATGAAGATATGGCCAAAGACTACTCGGAGAGAAATGCTAAAGCCTCTATCGGAGAAGTGTGCGTCGCATACTTCCTACAGTTGGAGATGGAAATGGGGCGCGGTTACAGAATAGATGAAATCGCGGAAATGTATCCGATGACGACCTACGCCGCGCGGTGTTGGCGTACCTACGCTGAAATAATTGATACTAAAACAGAATCTTCTATCGAACTAATTTCTAGGTTCTTGATGAGCGGTAATGCGCTGTGGGTTGCTATTAGTATGGAATTATCAGATATGGATGGCGATTATTATCCGAAAAGCAACGTACCGACGGGCTTACCTTTCGCAATTTTACATGGATTAGTCCGTACATCTAAGCGCATAATCGACGAAGGATTTAACGTGAATGAATGTGACTTTCGGATTTTTTTTGAAGCTCCATGGGACTTGGATTTCCACAAAGAATGTTATCTCGAAATGCTGTTATATTCCGCAATTGGCCTCCCCGCTCTCCATTTTGCTGTGTATTTGGGTCACGAGGGAATGGTTAGCATGCTCCTGGAGAGTGGTGCCTATGTGATTATTGAAATGCATAGTGCGTTGGCAATAGCAGCACGTCGGGGTAATCAACATATATTTAACACACTTCTTGAGAGGTGCCCCAATGTTGATGTCATGTTTGAGGGCGTTGGAACACCTCTCGAAGCAGCTGCGACTGGGGGCCACGAAGAAATTGTTCGAATGCTTCTCGATAAGGCAAATTTAGATGGAGGAGAATATACTGCTCTCCAAGTTGCAGCAGAAGAGGGCCATGAAAATATAATTCGGATGCTCATCCGCGAGGGTGCTGATGTAAATAAGAGGAGAAGAGGGGGTAGTACAATCCAAATGGCTGTTATTGGGGGCCACGAAAACATAGTTCGAATCCTACTGAATGAAGGGGCGAATTTAGAAGATGAAGATGGCTGCAGTTGGACCATTCTTCGAAGGGCTGCAGAAAGGGGTTACGAAGGTATCGTTGGGATGCTCATCCGTGCGGGTGCCGATGTGAATGCCGTAAAGCACGAAACGCATTGGACTAGTCCTCTTCAGACCGCCATATATAGGAGCCACGAAGGTATCGCCTCGATGCTTATCCGTGCGGGTGCTGATGTCAACGATATCGGGGGCCATTCCTCCGGGTATTTCCCTCTCCATAACGCCGCAGTAGGAGGCCAGGACAATATTGTACGCATGCTTCTCCTTGCAGGTGCTGACATAAATGCAGCATTGAGATCGTCGCGCCGTGATACTGCTCTCCGATTAGCTGTCAAAGAAGGCCACGAGAAAGTGATCAGGACGCTTTTATCTGCTAGTTCCGATACGAACGCCGAAGAGGAATGCTATGGTGCTCTCATAGCTGCGGCAGGGCGTGGCCGTAAATGGCCAGTTGAAATGCTTTCAAGTGTATGCATTGATGCGGCTCTTACGAATATTCCGTATCATGAGGCTTTTGAGGCTGCTCTTAGTTGGGGCCATACGATCACAGCATCGTTCTTATTTAATAAGATAACGAGTGTGGATATCTCTGGCTGCGTTTGCGTTAATCTTGCGGCAGGATTAGGCTGTGATAGACTGATTGATGCGTTGCTCCGTAAAGGAGCCAGTATGGAAATTCAAGATAAAAATGGGTATACTGCCCTTGGCTATGCCGTATACTACCAAAATGAAACTATTGTCGGGATGCTTATTGAAAGAGGTGCGAATATCAACGCAGTGGATGCAAATGGAGGAACCATCCTTGATATCGCAGCTCAGTACACCCAGGTGAAGAACCCGGGTATAATTCGACTTTTACGAGAGAAAGGTGCAGAACATGGGGACCCCCGCGGGTTGAAACGAAGAAGAATAGAATAGCTGTCTCTGAATAGGAAGAGGTTTTAGGCAAAAGGTTCACGTAGAAACCGATAGCACCGTGCCCTAGGGGTGAGAGATGCGTAATTACGTTGGTATTTGACGTTTATTAGCATTCTCGGACAACACTAGCAGCACCTGTAGTTTCAATCGAAACACAACATCTTGTCAATCGTCGCTCCATACCTGAGAGGACAAACACGAGTGGATATTTGCCTCCTACCTAGGTACCTAATTGTACTCAAGCCCCGGTGTCCTGCGGCCACTCGTCTAGTGCCACGGGTTCGCCATCCAGCGTGAAGTCCCAAGTATCCTGCGTCGGTACATCCACCAATAGACTATACTCACCCGGATACAGCACCAAATTGCCATCCTCATCACGACGTCCCAAGCTCCCAAGCGTTAGTGTCAAATTTGCTGTCTGCGACTGTTCGGGCGCGATATCATGTAATCGCTTATATGCGACGAGTCTTTTGATAGGATACGGCTGTGGTCCGTGCTGGCCAGCTAAGAAGCCCAGAACCACGAAATCGGACGTTGTGCCGCCGGTATTGGATACAGTTACGGGAACGGTTTTGAATGGGATCTGGTCGATGCGGACGGATGTGGAGGAAGAGCGGAGAGTTAGGTCAGAAATGTCGTAGGAGTCCTTGTCTTCGGCCCAGACCTTGGTTTTGGCATCAGCTTGTTCGTCTTCATCACCATCTGGTGCTACAACGGTAGCTGTGAAGTTGGTGTAATGCAAACCAAAGCCAAATGGCACGGTCGCATTATTGTACCATTGGTAAGTGCGGCCCGGATTACCTGTCTCAGGGTTCGGGCGCAAACTCATATCCGTCATAGGAACATCGACGTAGTCCGCGGGATACTGCGTCACGGGAAGGCGACCCGCAGGTGCGACCTTGCCGGTAAGCACATTGAGAATAGCGTCACCGCCGGATTGACCAGGGTAACCTGCCCATAGGATCGCAGAGATGTTGGGGTGGTTAAGGAATGGCGCATCGTCGCGCTGGCCGCCCAATTGCACGAGCACGAACGGTTTGCCAAGGCCGGCGATCTGTGTTATGATATCGATTTTCTCGCCTGACCATCGGATGAGTGTGCGGTCTTTGCTTTCGGCCTCACTTGCTACAGTGGGGCCATCGGCCCAGATGATGATGTCTGCGGCAGAGGCGGCCTCAATGGCGCGTGGATATCCGTCGGTTGTTGGGTCGCCAGGGATACCGGCGTACACGGCATTGATGTTGGCGGTGTGGCTGGCGGCATAATACGGCGAGTGGAGGTACGGCGCAATACCTTGATAATTGCCTTGCATGTCCGTGGTGGCGTTGGCCCAATCTCCGATGAAAACCGCGGTAAGATTGCTTTCTGTGGTGATTTGGAGGGGAAGGACGCCATCGTTTTTAATTAGGACGATGCCCTCTTCGGCAGCTTTGCGGGCGAGGTTCTCAGCGTCAGGAGTAAATACGTCAGAGAAGCCTAGGGACCGGTAGGGGTTGGAGTCGGCGGGGTCGAAGTAACCCAGTTTAATGAGCGAGGCGTAGAGTCGAGTAACGGCAAGGTCGAGCGCGGTATCATTGATGAGGCCTTTTTCATAAGCGGTAGGAAGATGAACTTGGTAGTATGTGCCGCAATTGAGATCCGTCCCCGCAAGAAGTGAACTGGCCGCGGAAGCCTCGCGAGTGTCGCGCCAATCGTGAGGCTTGTAGACATTTTGAAGAGCGTCGCAGTCCGAAACGACATATTGGTAGTCACGTGTCCAATTCCAGTGATCTCTAAGAATATCTTGTAAGATATACGAACTTGAGCATGTTGGAACGCCGTTTAAGGCATTGTATGAACACATGAAAGAACCGACATTCGCTCGGGCACAAGCTTCGAATGCCGGCATGTAGTATTCAGCCAATTCTTGCGGGCTGACCTTCGCATCAAATTCGTAGCGTTCGTTTCCAAGCCAATCCTCAATATCATATGCAGTGAAATGCTACGAATAAATATTTATTAGCAGATTATTAAAAGGCTCGGGCGAAGGAATTATCGGTACGATAGAGAACTTACCTTACATGTCGCAATCACTTTGAGGATATCAGGATCTTCTCCACCTTGAAGACCTTTTATTAAAGCAGTCACATATGAACTTAGATGAAAAGGGTCTTCTCCTGGTGTTTCTTGGCCTCGACCCCACCGAGGATCACGATAGGGATTGATATTTGGTGTCTAAAGCACTGGTTAATAATGGGTGTTGGTAAGAGAGTTCGTATGTCATTTCAAAGGGGTCTTGAATAGGTATGATCGCTGTCTTCCCTAAAAATGGAGCGACGGCAAGCCCCTAAGCAAAACGGAGACATTGGACTAATGAAACATCTGTGAATAGGTACAGTACATACCCAGTAGTCTAATCCCGACCGATTGAAGTTATTGAATGCGCGAGCTTCGGTACTGACGACTGTTGCGACAGCCTCGATAAGTTCGTCATCGAATGCAGCACCCATGAGAATTGGCTGGGGAAAGGATGTCGCATATGAGAAGTTGCCGGTTTCAGCGAACTTGACGCCTGGCGAGGAGGCGACGCCGCTATTTGACCACGATTAATCGAGAGCTCTAAATCTTATTTTGACTTGAGTCGAGTCGTTCAGGGATACCACTCACTGAAGAGCCTCCTCTGCGTATATTCTTAGTATGGTTATATCCTCATAGTGATAGAAGGGAATACATACGCCACCATTCATAGCTCGGCAGTCCTAATCTTTCAACTCCAGGTGATGTGCTGACTAATAATCCATATTTCTCTTCCGTTTTGAGGGCTGAAACGAGTGCTCTTGCTCTTTGTCCGACGGAAAGTGCCTTGTTACAGACGCCATTGGTAGCTAAGGGTCCATTCCCGCAATCTGGAAAGATATGTCCAACAGCTGCGACCCCCGAACTCATCAGCAACACAGCTGATCCCAAAGAAAGTGCCATATCGATTCGCATAAGACCTCAAGTTACCTTAATCAACCGTATTTAGGTACTGTCGGCTACCGAACAGCTCGGGCTTTTATAGCTTCAAGCTCACCACGACGGTGGAGTAGCGTAGCAGCAGCTCGTCTTCACCCGCTCCAGCTTTTCCCCGCATCGATGATGTATCGATGCAGCAGGATAACCCGAGCATCTCCAAAATGTCATTCCTCCAATTGCGCAAGGATTCTAGGGTTATTCACTGCAGAGGCGCAATCGGATCAGCGGTAGACGACTGTCGTGCGCCGGTTGAGTCCCGGTTGAGTCGGGTGAGATATTGCCGGGCTGGATCCCCAGATTAAAACGCTCCTCCGATCGACAGGGTCAATCGGTCGTCGTACTTTTGAGCTATTAGCTACCCCAAAATGCATACCTGGGTACCCTCACGTCATGCTTGATAATTAATTAAAAAAATTCACTTGAAATTTGACACTTATTAAAACAGGAAACACGAATTAAAAGAGAGGGGCGGGCAGTAATTGGGAGAATTTCCTTACATATCGAGCTCAAGACTATCTACTTAATGCGATTCGGATGTGATTTTTACCTTATGTACAGTTCCAAGCGGGAAAAGCAATCCTTGTATGTCGTAGCAAAAGGTGGTGGCTCATGCTACACTAGGTAGCTACCGAACCAGAAGATCCCGAGCAACCGACAGGGCCAAGCTGAGATATCCCAAGCACCGTGTTGCCAACCGAGATCAAGTCTTCATATACATCCTTTTTTTCAAGACAATTCGTGGCATAAGGAAAACCTTATATGCCTCGAAAATGTCGCCACTGTTCGTTTAGACATCATAGTGTCGTAACGTTACTTCGATGACCTTAAGAGTTTGTCTATTCCGGAGGTACATGTTTCAATGTAGTCTTCGACATGCTTCTGGGGCTGCTCGCGCATACTCTTGGGGACACCGACGAACGGACGGGATGTAGGGAACGCCCAGATAGACGGCCAAGGTACATCTAAAGTCGGAAGGCTCTCGAGATCCCTTTCAAGTTGTTTAATGACGAGCGAGTTGCAAGTCATTGTAGTCAGTCCCTTCGCCCAACCATAGGAAAAGACAGACTGTCCAGGGTTCACAACATTCCCCAGTTTTTCCTTGATTAAATCCGACAAGCGATCTTGGCAATTATCTTCGTTCATATCGACGATGGTGATCGGTAACTGTAAGGAGGATGGGACATCGTGGATTGAGAGCGGTCGCAGTTCTTCAATCCGCTGCTCCTGAGATTTTTCGGAATTCTTAGTGATGGAGTCAACTATCAGATAGGCACGGGCCTTTTCGGAGTCAGTTGACAGAGTGTCGACGATGTGGAAGAATGTCTCGGCTGCTTCTTTAGTACACACGAGCTCATGGTTACCTATGAGGGGATACACCATTGAAAGCATCGGCTGCGCGATTTCTAGATCAACATGATCGTTGTGTGATTGACTAAACCACGGTTGCTTAACGACCACGCCGTGGGAAAAGTCGGACGCAAGAGCAACTAAGAGAGAGGTATCGATGTTTAGGATTTGAGTAAAGTTTGCTTTCGGATCAGGGGCCATCGTATGGAGGAGGGTATCCGAGAGAAGCGGGGCGGGCGGCACAGAATCGCCACAAAGTAGTGTAACACCAAGCTGACGGCAAACATTGAGGACTTTATCTACCTCGGGATATTCGCCTTCTTTGATACGTGGTAGTACAATGAATGTACTAGGGTTCTTGGTTTGGATATGATGTCCCTTAGCTGTGTTAGCTAGGTTTCTTGCCAGCTTCACAAGGGGGATGTCCTCATAATGTTGAAGAATTGCCCCGACGTCTTCATCGTCGTCACTATCTCCACCGTAGATTGCTTCTTTCGCCAAGTCGAATAATACCCTCTTGTTAGTCATGGAAGAGACCTTGTACCACGAATGCCCACCGTCAGTGACTACATCGACGATGAAACTGCCCAATTTGTTAGGTCGCGATTCACCCTGACTTCGAACAATACGTGTTCCTGGTGCTAGGACCTGTTTCTTATACGGTCCGGTAGATAGAGCACATCGGATTCTAACAACATCTTTTGAATTCTTTGCAATACCCCATATGGGCTCAAGGAAGGGCAAGTTGCTGGAGTGTGGGTGATGCACGCCTAAAGGGTCAGATGGCTTTGGCTCTCGAATATCTTTCTCTAAACTCTCTGCCTCAGCCTTCACTTCGTTGGTAAAGGATGTATGGACGTATGCCGGCGAATGTTGGGAGTAACCGTGGTAGACTTCTTCGAGATGATCGGCAAAACGTTGAACTTCGGACTGTAATAATTGGGCGCGCCTAAGAAATGCCTCAGTCTCAGCCAGCCTAACTGATGCATCCTCTTGTGTGACGTCATCCGAAGGATTATCGGGTGAAGCCATGATGATGCCAATCTCGATCAGAAGACTGAACGAAAAAGGGGTGGTTTCGGAGTGAGACACAAATCGATTTTTTTCGATTTGGATGTTCGTGGGGTTACCTGAATACGAGTAACTGTATCACATTATGTTTTTATTTATTTATTGTTATTATTTTGTTTCCCCAGGCGCAGTTAGCCATACAGCGTACGAACTAGGTACCCAAGTAGGCCCCATAGCGCTATGCCCTTATACGTGGAATTAAGTATCGAACTAACGAGCTATTAAACTGTCTCGGGGTCTTACATACCCGGATACATGAATATTCCAATCACTTGTGACACCGGTTTCTCTCCCATTCGCACAGCGTATTATTACCCCTTTCCATGTTATCTCCCAAAGTCATTGCCTCTGTCCATAGATATAAACTAGCACGGTTCTTTTATATATTGGTTGGCCTGCCCGGTAAAGTCAATCTTATCTGCATCCTCTGTACGCCAAAATCAAATAGGAGAAGCGATAAACGCCACAAAGCCCTCGCAATTGCAGCCCCGTGAAACGTCGCAAAAAGAAAAAGAAAAAGAAAAATGCCGCTGAAGATCATTATCTGTGGTGGCGGTATTGGCGGGCTCTCAGCGGCAGGATATCTTCGAGCCAATCATGATGTCACAGTCCTCGAACGTAGCAAACTCGACTTCACGATAAACGATTACGGGCTTTCTGTCGTTGCCAATGCTTTCAACCTCCTCCAGAAAGCTGGGATAAAACAAGAGAATCTAGACATGGTCGTTATGACACATCTATGGTTAAGAACCCATAACAACGAGGAAATGAGGACTGAGCATTTCGATACGAGAGCGAGATTTGGTGGTGCCCCCTCTGTCTTACTTAAGCGGGCCAAGCTGCAGGAGGAATTGATGCGGTTCGCAACCAGCAACGAGTTTGCTGGGGGACCCGCTAAAGTTATTGAGAACGCTAAGGTTACTCGAGTTGATGCTGGCGCAGGAAAGGTTTGGTCCGAGGATGGTCAAGTTTTTGAAGGCGACTTGATCATTGGGGCAGACGGTATTCACTCAATAGTCCGAAGCGCCGTGCTTGGAGGCGAAACGCCATCGCGCATAAGAAACACCGACACGATAACTTTTATGGCCAAGCTATCGGTAGAGGATCTTCGATCTGACGCCAGCTTCGCATACCTAGCCGATCCCGCGAAGCAGGCTGGGCTTTGCAGCGCATACGCGAAGTCTGGTCCTGAAGTAAAGAAGCGTATTCTCACATACCACACTTCACTCCATGGCCTTCAAGTTGTCGGCTATACTGTAGAGAACGAGTTCGCCGAGAAATTCGCATCGGCCAAATCGGCCATAATTAAAGATATTCCTATTTCAAGAGTGGTCGAGGATTTTGCCCCGGAGTTCTCGGATGACCTAGTTAACCTCTTTCGACATAGCAAAGTCGATGCGTGGAAGATCCGCGACTTGGCGTCTATGGATACTTGGTACTCCGGCAAGGCTCTACTGATCGGGGACGCTGTCCATGCAGTAACCCCGCATGCCGGCCAGGGAGCGAATATCACAATTGAAGACGCTGAAGCTTTGGGGTATCTCCTACGTGACGTTGAGTCGTCCGATGCTATTCCAGATGTCCTAGAGAAATTCGTGTCCCTACGCAAGGATCGCGTCAATTTCGTCACACGCCGTTCACGCGAGTTAGGTAACATACAAACCGACGAAGACAGAACGAAGGTGCCGATTACCTCCGCGGAGTTCGCGAAGGAGATCTACACTTACCTAGGTGCTGAACACGCATTGAAGGTACCGAAACCTCCAATTGGAGCGGAGGCCACGAAGGGTGCGAATTAATGCTTTGATCTGTGGGAAGTAGAAAGGCGTCATTGGACTGCTATGCAGAATCCTATTTTAAAATGTAGACCGTTTTAGTTCGGGGGAGATTTACTCCCCAATATAGTTACTCGTGGGCTTAGTAAAATGTAGAGAAGTGAGTCCATTATCACCCTTACACTATCTAACAGCATCCCTCCCCGGAAGTTGTCGCTTCTTTTCACTTACGAATTCCGATAGTCACTCGAAATTCTCGTCCAGCTTTTCTCTTTTTATTTCTCGCTGGGCAATCCAGACGCCCGTGACAGGCGTCGTTTCAAGCTGTCGATCCCGCCCCGAGCCGATTTCCGGCCCTTCGTCTTTCAATTGCAGCGAATGCCTACCATTCAATCTTTTATTCCTTTAATTCGTCCTTCTCTATCCGTGTTGGCGTACGATGGTGCTACGTCTCCAGCACGGACTTGTAGCCCATGCTATGACCACAATATTGATCATAGGACGACCAAACTGGTCTGAAACTTCTTCCTGCCCAGACGCCCTAGCCGTACTAGCTGAGCTTGGACTTGTTCGATCGCCACATTCGTGATGATTTTCGTCAGAAACATTATGCAACAATGCTCCTAATCAAGCCCGAATAATCAAGAATGATAAACTCCAGAACCTCCAGAATGGCCATTTCTCTCCAAATCATTCCTACGTTATGGACCAACCAAAATGAGACTAAACACAATAATATTAAGTGCCGTCGCCACGGCCTCGTCAATTAACACCCGCCAACAGAACTGTCCGGAGATTCACATCTTCGGCGCCCGCGAGACGACCGCGCTCCCAGGCTTCGGATCAGCCTCGACGGTCGTTAACCTCGTTCAACAAGCCAACAAGGGCGCAACATCGGAATCCATAATCTACCCCGCTGCTGGCGGAAATGTGTATTCCGCAAGTGTAACGGCTGGCGTAACCGCGGTCGCAAATCAGACCAATACATTCAACAAAATGTGCCCCGGATCTAAGATTATCATGGTCGGGTATTCGCAAGCAAGTCTAATCAGAAATGGATTCGCGATTAAGATATTAACGTCTTAAATAGGGCGCACAGATTGTAGACGACGCTTTCTGTGGTGGGCCAGATAGAGTTAGCTTGAATACGACAAAAGCGAGTATCTCTTCGGGGGTCAGCAAGATGGTGGCTGCAATCATCCTAATGGGAAACCCGCGCCACGTTGATGGTCTCCCTTTCAACGTAGGCAATGCGACGGCAGGCGGAGTCAGTCCCGATTCATTTACTCTGCCTAGTATGGCTTGCTAATCAATGCAATAGTTCGCAGCCCGTCCCGCCGGATTCAAATGTCCCGCTTTCGAAAATATCATTCAAGCTTACTGCGATGCCGAAGACCCCTTCTGTGCGAAAGGGAATAAAACAGCTACACATCAAGGATACGGACGAGAATATGGACAAGCTGCGCTACAGTTTGTGCAAAGCAAGTTAGAGGGGTCCAATGAAAATGTGTCTAATGGAACAAATGTTATTACCACAAGCACGGCACCATCACCAGGATTTCATGGAGGGTATATCTGGACGGTGTTGGCTCTTGTCGCAATATTCCATCTATGAAGTCTAGGATAACAAGGCGGCGTGCCATTCCCGTTCCCCCCTCGGCGACAGTAATCTACTAGCAAAAATCAAATCTATCAAATGAATGTGTCTATCCTCAAACAACAACAAATTTCCTAGCTAACGCCCCAAAAAACCAACTCGAAGTAAACCCAAAGCAGAATCCTTGGTATGAAGTGATACGAACGACTGAATTACAAATTCAACCCCTTGATAGCCTGCACGTGTGTCTGAGCAAGCATGTACAAACGTTCCAAAGGTGTAATGTCATCATCATCGCTTCCGAGCACTAGCATATGTGCGCTCTTGATGAGGTTCTTGATCTCGCGACCGTTGAGCTTGATTTCGGCTAATTTATCAAGCATTTCGTCGACGACTGGAAACCCATTGTTTCCGGTGCGCTCGAGGAAGTTCGCCCAGATCTTACGGCGAACGTCCTTGCCGAGATCCTGGTAAGGTAAGAAAAGGTCAATGCGCGATTGGAAGGCATGATCAATTTGCGTAGCGCGGTTGGTGGTCAGGAACAGCGTGCCTTCGTAGTACTCAAGTAAGCGAAGGAAGATGCACACAAGCTCGTTTCGGGAGAGGGAGTCGTCTCCTCTGGCGCTGAGATAAACATCCGCCTCGTCTAGGAGGAACATGGCGTCCCATAAGTGGCACAACTTGAGCGCCCGCTCCAATGCCTTCTCCATCTCTCTAGGCTTGATCCCAAGATCACTTGCGCTCATGGCATAGAGGGGCACTTTAGACTTCTCAGCGACTGCTTCTGCGGTAAACGTCTTTCCTACACCAGGCGGTCCGAACAAGAGAATAATAAGACCGCGACCCTTCTTCTGGATGAAGTCGTCGAACTTGGTTTCATTCGCACGATGTTTTCCCTTGACAAATGACCAGGTCAGCTCCTTTTCGCGGTTAGGTAAAACTAGCTTGTCGTAAGCCTCATCGTTCCACGTCACTTCCTTCACGTTGTCGATGTGGAATTTGCCGAAGTCCTTCGCTTTTAAGTCGAAGCCTATTAGCCAGGGGTTTGTGATGAGTAGTTCCTCCTCTGTGAGTGGACACAGAATCTCGTTATCCTTGTGTTTATGGTTCGGCGAGTGTTTGGCCTCGTGGAGCGGTCCGGAGTACGCCTCCCATTGAAGTGCTTTGCGTGACTTGTGAGGTAAATTCCAGGCCTTGCCATATTCCGTGTTAGGTAGGCGCTCCTCTCCACCAGGCGATGGCCGTAGTGTACGTTTGCTGATCGATAGGACGTTGTAGTACGCATAAGCATCGAGACAAACTCGGCCGGTAATCTTTATCAAGTAAATTATCTACTTAGGTACTCCTTGAACACTGAAGCGTAGCATGAACACTTACTTGTTTATGATGAGGCTTATCGGTTTCAATCATCACCTTGGTCCCATTGTACTCTACGTATCGATACCCACGAAGTTGCTCGAATTTTCGGCCTTTCTCAGTGGCAGTCTTTCTGACTCCGGCCTCATTATCGAGATACGAAATTGGGAATACCTCTAGCTTTGTGACTAGCTGGTAGCCTTCAAATATTTTGATTTTTTGGGTGGCCGTCTCGTAACCACTTATGTCGCCGTTCCAATCGATATACTCTAGACGAACGAGCCAGAAACCAGACATTCGATCACAGCGATTTGCTCGGGAAATGGTATCGACTCCGTATAACTTAGCAATTACCAAGGTGCCTGGAGCAAAGAGATGCCATATGTTCTGATAGTCGATTTTTCCAGACTCCCGAAGTTTCCCAAGAGATAGCATCGTGGGGTTAACAATGGGTGTTAGGAATATTAGCATAGAGGTCAACGCCTTTCTCACGTCCAGGTCCTCAGTATCGTATTGCTGAAGATTGTCCCAACGATGAACCAAGGGCTGGTAAGGAGGCTCAAAGGTCCAGTTTTCGACTTTCGGGTCAAACTCTGGATAGTCCTTCAGCACGTCGTTTAGAACTGCGATCATGATTGTTAACAAATATTTTCTTGCATGATATAAGGGGCACCATTGACGGCAGCACAAAAGTATCCAGGCCTCGGGAGTCTATTATGGAGGATTTCTTCGGCAACTTACTTTCTCTCATATCCGGGTCTTGAATAGAGATGGAGAGGGTTACCCAAACTCCATCTCGTTGAACATGACGATGGATTATCGGAGAATCTGAAGTACGAGCCATCAAATCTTCCTGTTCGACAATAAAGTCCTTAAATGCGGACCATCGCATCGGACAGTGACCCTCACAGATGTGTTGGTACCAGTTACCAACCAACCCAGGCGGGTTGCTCTTCAGTGAGGCTTCCGGTGAGTCTAGGCCTCCACCAACAGAGGGTCGTGAATAGTAAGAATCATAATAATAATCAGTCCCCGCATATGCCATCTTCATAGACGTCGTGTTGTTTCCAGGCTTTGAGAATTGGATGAGTTGATGCTAATTCCCCCACCAATGTAATGAGAAGAGCCTGGGTTATATATTACTCCCATACGCTCTGGAGAGTAGGGTAAGAAAGAAATACCTAAGACTCAATTGAACAACTTGTTAGCTTTAAAGGCGACAGATTAGGCACCCAACATGCGAAAGGGTTGGATATGGGACGGAGCAAAGGCTCTCGCCGGGAAGAAGGTGGGGGAAAAAGCACCTATGTCTTCCATGCATGATAACAATACGTCTTACAGATATGTTTAAATTCTGCCTGTGCTCCTGATTTTCATTGCAGTGGCTGGAGCTCATGTACATCTTGTCTCATTGAGACAGAGGAAGGCCTAATCTAAAGATCAACAGAAAACCTTGCGTCAGTCCATAATGATCAAACCCCGTTATCCAACCGGCTACAAAACGATACTACCCTTTATGCTTATACATAACGCACCGTGATTTTCACCGTAAAGACCAATATAGGCATTGGGTTTTCAATCGGGCTGGTGAGTAGTAGTGCCATACAGCTTAGGTGTGGTCTTAAAAGAGCATAGTAAGACAGCTAGTCAAAATTATGTGGCTCAGAAACACTCCCTTCCAACTGCATTTACAACTCCTCCTTACCCTCCGCAGGATCATCCAGGCCCGCGAAGAGGTTCACTCCCCAGCTTTTCTCGGGGTTATTCATCCTAGCCTTCTTATCTTCAAAGGCAATGGACTCCATTTCGGGGCCTGTGAAGCTGACATCCATCATATGCAAGTTTTCGCTGATATGGCCCTCATCTACGCTCTTAGGGATCACGATAGTACCCCTTTGAAGACCCCAGGCGAGTACCGCCTGCGCCACTGTGGCATCCTTCCGAAAAGCCATGTCTTTCCAGAATTAGTTCTCCATGATAAGTGTTATTTTTCTGTGGTAAGTAGGATTGGTGTTCGCGAACGGTGAATACGCGATGATCCTAAGCCCGAGATGCTTGTGGAAGTCGACAAAGTCTTGTTGCTGCACATAGGGATGCGTCTCGAATTCATGGGCGTACGGACAAATTTCGCATATATCGAAGATAGCCTTGATATCTCTTTTGGCAAAGTTGGATATGCCAATATACCGAGTCAAGTTGGCTCGGACGAGTTCTTCCATGGTCCGCCACGTATCGACGATAGATGTCCTCGTCTAACCTGGGACTTTCACCAGGAACAAAAGCTACTGGTCAGTGCATGAGATAAAGGTCCAAGTATCCGACACCGAGGTTGGATATTGACTGTTTGATAGCGACCATAGCTTCATCGGGGCGGTGGTGGTCATTCCACAGCTTACTCGTTACCCAAATGTCTTCTCGGGCGACATTTGCGGCGGTAATACCCTTGCCAATTTCATCCTCATTTTCTGTACATCGAGTTTAGTTCTTGATATTTTTAAGATTAAATATTGTTACCCAGGATAAACGATTCTTACGATATATCTACGCGGCATTGATATGTCTATACCCCGAATCTAGAGCATATTGAACGGCATGAGCAACTTGTAGGAGTCATATTAGGGGTCGCACTTTTTCTAGGTACTTAGTAGCCATTGGTAGTTTTCCTTGTCTCGATCAGAGAGCCAGGTTCCTAAGCCAAGTTGAGGTATATGCTTGATATTTGAGGTGGTAATTTCCGCAAGTACGGAAGACGCCGACAATAGTAAGGAGACGTAAAGAGGGGCAGTGACCGTAACCGCGGTTGATAGGAACACCATTTTGGATCGTTTTATTTTAATGTAAACTGCGATTCTAACAGAAGAAGCATCAAGCGTAAGGCTCTGAATCGTCAGAGCTTCCCTACGGGCCAGTGTTAGAATTGAAACAATATACAGTACATCTCTGGTCTTGTCCCGCATATGATATATAGGACTTGGTAGGCAGTGTTGAATGCACTGATCATAATGGTGATGTATGACATCATCCAAGCGTAACATGTTAGATCATAGAGATGAGATTCAAATAGATTGGGATCGGATGGCAACTTTGATGCGCTTCGAACTCTCTCATCGATTGACGACCAACGTGGCCCGGAAGGTATGCGTCGCAATAATGACGTTGAACTGTGAGGGATAAAGAGTAACGTAACCGTGCGCTGAGATACCTATATAATATATAGGCGCATGCTAGAAGCCCTCTCATGAACCGTTGATCAAACACTGTTACCGATATCCAGTGCACGTCTAAAAACTTTGTCAACGCTCGCTATATTAATCCAATTAGTACTCGAGAAACACAAACATGGCAGGAAACCATGGGTTCTCAGGTGTTTATGAGCAGGGAGATCAGATTAACTATGGCCGATCGAGCGTTGCAAATGAAGACAAGCATCACACAATGAATGTCGAGGGGTATAGGCCCAGTGAGTGTAACTCATGTGGTATCTGGCGCATTGATACTGATGCATTGCTATTAAGAGGACCAGAACAAGACAATGAATAAAATGCTTGACGAAGACGTATGTCCTAGGTTCCTGGCCTAACCTCAAATATACTTTAGCAAGTCCTAACTTCAGGTGTACATAGATCCAAGATGAAGTCGCCGAGCGATATAAACACGATCCTACCTATCGAGTATGTCGCGCGTAAAAGGGCCAATTGATTGGCAGACTGGTTGTGTCGCTCACCCATGATATAGGCAACCATGCACGGAAATGAGCCTTCGCGGGGCGCTAAAGCCGACGCAGAGATTCAACGCGAGGAGGAAGAGTTGCTGAGAAGGAAGAAAGAAAAGACTGAGAGTATGCCAGGGAAGAAAATGTGAATCGGATTCGGAGGCTTAGAGGCTCGATAAATCCGCTCGAGCGTAGGAGCGTAGCATTAATACATACCTGGTGAAGATATTCGTGGCACTTACGGGTCTTTCGTGCGTCGTGAGCGGTAACCAGCCGCAAGAAGTCCCCGAATGTAACAGAAACGCCCACTTGAAACCTCTGGGGAAGTCCTTCGCGGGTGGTGATGATGATACTGGAGGGGCATTGCATAGTATTACATGCCCCGCCCGACGAGTCACCATGGATATCCAAGGGTGAACATTGTAGGAGCGTGTTAAGTTAGCTTACATTCAAGATCGTGTCGCATTTTCAACTCGCTCACCGGCAAGAGACTCATGGATTTGTAATGAAGTAATGTCGGGGAAGATACTCGCCGAGATGTCGGAGGTTCGCGGTTTAAAACTGAGTGTGGAAATTATGATTCCTCACCATGCTACAGCGGGCTAGCGCTATATTCATCAATCCCATAGCACACTTTATGAACCAATAGCGTTAGTTATCGGGGAGTTAATATACCACAAGGGGATATCAAGGTTGACTGTCTGTAAAGTGATGAAATAATAGTGTTGTAAATCAAGTATCTCCTGGGAGGCTCCGTTTGATTCTTCGAATTAAAAAGATATATAAGGTGGGTTTCCATCAGAATTGAATTAACTTACTGGAACTCAGCATCGTCTCATTGAATCCTACCATGGCATCCAAAGATCTTTCAACACCCTTTACTCTCTACTCTTCCACGTACTCAATCTGCGCCATCATGGTACAGATGACTTACGAGTTGCGCGGATCGCCACCTGAAGGACGACCGGACATGAAAATAGACAGGAAGATCATCGACATCAGCCATAAAGGCCGCGAGCAATTGAGCGAGTTTTACTTACTCAACGTCAACCCAGAAGGTGTCGTTCCCGTCTTAGTCAACGACAAAGTCCTCGGCAAGCCTATGCCCGAGAGCGTCGATATTTCCTTGTATATTGCTGATTGGTACCCGAGCCTACTTCCATCTCGGCATAAGCAAGTCATTGAGGAACTGCTCGATGAGCTGCATCAGATTAGCTACAAGCTATTGACGTTCGGAACCCAGACGACATTCCCTACCACTAGCGTAGCGTGGCTTCGCGAGCAGAGTCAACGACCGGATATATCCGACGCCTACAGGAAGGCTTTGAAGTATAAGGAGTCGAAGTGAGTATTGCCCTGTCTTATGTTGTGCTATGTGCTAGACATTTGTTGATAGCTCTTGATAGGATATCAGTTTGGGCAGACAACCATTCCGAGGAAGATCTCGCGGAAGCTGAGAACCGCACGCGAGCTTTCTGCGCCAAGATTGTTGCACTTATGGAGAAACGCCCGGACGAAAAGGATAAGCTTACCTACATCTTCGGACCCGAACCGACGGTGCTTGACGCACATGTGTTACCGTTCCTAGGGCGGGTATACGAGAAGGAAAGATTGTATCTTCTTCCTCCGACTTTAGTCGAGTGGCATAAACAATTCAGGGAAACGGATTTGTGGAAGCGGGCAGTTCCAGCGGGGACGACTCTGCCGCCGTTTGCGTGAAACCGAGAAATAACTCCGATAGCTGAGACATACCTATATTAAGTATTCCTGGAGGGATATCATTTTGGGTGGATTATTCAGCGTAAACTTGCAGCTTTACGCTGGGTAAAGAGGACGACACAAGTGAGCGTTAGTGGATAGCTCCCTATATTTATAGCGAGTACTCACTGCGACGACCGGGGTAAATGCGCTAGAGCTAAATACTATTTAGGAAACTCCCTGGTATGTTACATGCCGAGGTTATACTGATTTGCCTAGTATTCGTGTATCGTGTAACTCAGATTGAGAAATCGTTCGTTTCCACATTCTGTATTTCTTCACATTTGCATATTAAACCCCGATTCAACCTTCACTCGCCTAACACTCCGTCCATGATTGATAGGTGACACTCTTGTTGATTTTCACATCAACATGGCTTCAAATCCGCCACGTCTTTCGCCCCAAGAGCTTATGAGCTTGGCCCCACTCCCTGACAAGATCGAGAACGGGAAGATTGTCAAGCGATACATGAGCCAGCGCAAAGCCTGGTCCCCCAATGGTGATGTCCTAATTGCAAGCGAAACAATAACTCCAAAAGATGCACCACCACCCGGTCAATTTAGCAAACAGGTGGCATACGGTGGACACGTTTATGGTCAGGCGGGTGTAGCTGCTTCAAAAGCCCTTGCGGAGATACAGGCATCGCAAACGGGTGCTTCCCGAAGGAAATCCGGCATTCATGTAAGCACCGTTTTATCCTCCCTTGTACCTAGGTGAAGATCCCGGGAGAATCTAGAGTGAGATGTGACGGGGTGAGGTATAGTGTAGAATCGAGCGTATCCCACCACAGTCTGAATTATGACTTGCTGACAACTATAGACTATCCATGGATACTTCTCGGAAGCGGGCTTCACAGATAGGCCATTTATATACAACGTGACAAACATCTCAGCAAATCCAGCTTTTCCCAATTTCTTCGTCACAGCGCAACAGCCTTCATCATCAAGCGTGAATACTCTAGGAGATCACTTCCCATTAATGGACGCCGACCAGCCCCTCGGCCCCATCTGTTTTAATGCCTTGGTGTCTTTTAGGCCGTCCGTGCCTTCACAGCACATAGCTCAGGAACTGCCACCACAAACACGCTTTACAGATATTTTGAATTCGCGCCCGCCCTCAGCATGGCCCCCAGCACCACATGTCGATATCGCTAAAGTAGTAGAGCAATTTCCAGTGCGGAATCCTGGTACCTTTCCGGCACTAGACATGAAGAAGGTCGATTTAACCCCATTTAACGAGGGAAAGCCCCTTTACGAACGCCGAGAACTCTTATTATATCGACTTCTCGCTCCTCTACCAGCTGACGAGCCAGATGTTCATATTGGCCTCCATGCTTATGAATCGGATCGGAATGGGTTACTCATGATAGGACATCATGTGGGTTTTGGGTACGATTTTGGTCGCGCAGCCAGCCTCAGCTGTACTTTGGTCGTTCATGTCAATTCCGAGGATGCGGTTATGTCTTATGGTGAGGATGAATGGTGGATTCAAGAGGCTTGCTTTCCTAGGGTTGAGGCTGGGAGGGGAATCATTGAAAGTAAAATTTGGAGCCCTAAAGGCATTCATGTGGCTACGGGATATCAAGATGGCATAATACAGCGCCAACGGAAACCCAATGAGAAGGAGAGGTTATAAGCCGGATACCCTCGATTAAAGACTACTAGATCTTAATGGATTTCTGGTGCAAATTAAGGAGGTGATGTTTTTAACGATGTTTTCAGCATCACCATCGTCCACCGGGTCGCGTACTACGGTGCGCTGACTTAATATAAAACTGCCAATGCGCCATAATACAGTGTATATTCATGGTGTGGTGGCGTTTCGTAGGTAAATATGACCACTAATTCTTTAGCGGAGTATGCGCTAAAGCTCCCTATATATACAGAGGCCTTCAGCGCCTACCCTTCTATAATTCCAGTAGTACAGTACAATACGCCACCACACTGTATTTTCGCACGGCGTTTTGGCGCATTGGTAGTTTATACCTTCATCTGATATGTTCAATTCTTGCTTTTGACCTTTGTACTACCCCGATTATCGATCCGATTAATCTAGACTGGGCTAGACGTGCTTAGGTTGAGATCCTACTGGCTTTGTAAAGCAATGCCACTGTCGTCATGACTCAAATCTGCATTTTCATCCTTCTCGGTAACGAAAGGATCCTCACCAACAGCCTTATCGACTTCCGCGCAAGCATCATAACCGAATAACCATGGTTGAACCTGAGGACAACACCAGCGGATTGGGAAAGGAGCCTCCTTGGTCGATTTATCTGTTTGGGATATGAGTAATTCGTCTCTCGCATGTTGCTGAGGGCCATCAGCCATGTGGAATACTTCACGCTAATTTCATTCACGGATATCAGCGGTGCTTCTACGAGAATGAGTGGCTGTGTGGCGGGATACCTGTCTAAAAGTCTCCTTCACGATTGCGTCACCTCGCGGCTTTCGAAGTTGCTCATACATTCCCAATGCTTTTCCTATTTGATATTTTGTCTGGATATGCAGGAGCAAACGGCCAATCACCGCGCCATCTTCTATCGCCGAATTGGCCCCTTGGGCCATATAGGGTAGCATGGGGTGGCAGGAATCGCCACTTACAGTGTTAGTTGGTTAGTTGGAATTGAATACGATCAAGAGCCGCTTGGATTGAGTATTGAAGACTTACACGAAAACGAAGTTGCTATTCTCAGAAGTGTGAATCCATCTTCGCATTTCCTTTCCTATAACCCCTCATTAGACACTAGCTTACGCTACAGGCATGGGAAGAAACTTACGATGTATTAATTTCCACTTTTTTACTGAATGAACGCATGCTAGGAACCTATTCAAGATCGGGTCCCAGTTCTTAAAAAGCGCCCTCATCTCATCAGCGGAGCCTGCTTGTCGGCTGACGTCTGCTGGAAGGTCATCCGGAGTTACCAAGACAAGGTTTAACTCAGTCCCCTTTCGCAGCGAATATCCAACAACATGTGATTTCGGACCAATCCACATGGACATTCTCGGATTGGCAATCCATTCCCTCAATTCCGGGTCCTCTATTCGATCTAAAGTCAGGACTACCCGATATGCTAAGTCGCCTGTTGGTCTCGGGACACCCTCGAAGTCCCTAGGAAGGAAGTGTGCTCGACAAAGCGACCACAAGCCATCGGCAGCAATGACTAGGTCTCCTCGTGTCTTTACGCCCGATTGACTTATAATTTCTCCTGTCTCAAAGTTCACGTTGCTAATCCTCGTCCCGAATTGAAAACCCACACCGAGTTCTTTAGCCCGCGCGTAAAGTGCTGTTTGTAGGTCGATACGGTGTAAAAAGGCGAAAGGCGCATTGTATCTCTCCTTCAATGTCTTACAAAAGTCTCCATCCGAGACCAATAGCCTACCAGTGTAGCTGCGGATTGCGAGGGGCGCAGACTCAGTTGTCGACGCCCATAAGCTGTCCGAGAGACCCCATCGCTTCAGTATGCGTGATGAATTTGGAGTTATTATTATACCCGCTCCTATCTGCAGTGACGTGCATGCGCATTAGAAAATTCTAAGAAATAGTATGTGGACCTTACCTCGTGGAGTCCGCCCGCCGCCTCAAACACGACCACATGGTGACCGGACAACGCGGTTTCTATGGCGGCCGCTAGACCACTTATACCAGCACCTATCACAATAACATCTAAGTGAATATCTGACTGAGGAGGCTAATATGTTTCTTTCTGTCAGTTACGCCCGTGGCCACTGGGATCCGCAATGCGACGCACCATATTTGGCGGCTTCTCCGGTGTTGCTGACAATTCAATCCCCCCAATCTAAATAGGTTCGTATCATCGGTTTCTAAGTATCTTAATCACATAGTCAATCGATAAAAAGACTCAATTCGTGTTCTAGGCATGCACGAGGCGAGAGGAAACTGGAGTTAATCCTCTGCAAGTGCTCCCCCGCTTCCCGGATAATTCACCTTCGGGACTTGGGTAGCATCAAGACTGAATAAGCCAGCTGGACCGTATGGCGTACCACCAAGTAAGCAATTCCATGAATGACCCTCGTTATACCTACTTGGGTATCCGAGATACCTGGGTTGGCGACCCGTAGCTCCATGTCTTAATAATATTGGACGCCAAGAAGAGGATTCTCGTTAGGTATAAGAACAATATTTCGGTTATGCAGTGCCGTGTCTGCGATTGTTGGAGTAGGTTGTACGGGAGGGTGAACCTTGTACTTTACCAAACGGCCAAAGCAACCTCCGGTTTGTTGTAATTACAGGGCGGTAAGTACCTAGGTACTGAAGAATGCTGAATTACAGCGCATGTTTTGGGGATCGTGGCGGTTGACTCAAGGGTTAGGGTGCGTGTGATTAGGGTTGATAATAAACTTATAACCCTAACCCTGAATGGACGGACGCTGACCTAAGCTCAACCCTAGATAGAAGATTACGCAAGCATCTGTTATGTAATCAATTAGGTAATAATTCTAATACTTCCTCCTACCCCAGAATCATTATTACCCCTCCATGTCTTTCGTTCATCTCTTTGTCTCTAAGCTCTAAGCCCTGAGCCCTTACGAACACTGCCAACTAGACGCGTCGTTTTGAGACCCTTCACCATCCCATTTCGCCGTCTGAGGATATACACAAAGAGGTCGCTGTCTATATGTGACAATTGTCTGAAGCGATGCGTCCGTGAAATTGAACTCCGTCGCAATGATTTGAGAAACTGCATTTCCATTCTCAACCCAATCCATCAACGCTTTCAGAGCATCATGGCGGGTATCGTTATTACCCAGCGGGACTGAAGCGCCAGAATTATAAGGAGGTCTCTGCGCTGCTTGGCCAGCACCACCAATCATCCATGGGGCTTTGACGTTGTTCGGTGTACCCCAACAGTGGGCCATACCCGGAATCTGGAAATATCGAAAGAAGTCGTCAATGTTCCCCATAGCATCGACCGTTCTATTATAGTACAGGTCCGTATGTTGCACAGGCACCACGGCATCTGCGAGACCTGCATACATGACTGCAGTACAAGATGTTAGCCATTGCAGGTTGTGAGCGACCACAATGTCGAGAACTGTATCATGGTTTAAGAGAAAGGCTATTTTAATTGTACGTACTTATTTTCCCCTTGTTCCTGAAACTACCAAGGTCATACTTATCCGCGGTAGCCTGCACCGAGTTTTGATCGCGTGTCCTGGCATCGTAGACCACCGAGTCGTTGTATGAAGTTATCTGCCAATCGGCGCCGTAGCCCATAAATGTTCGTTCGTATTCCGCATCGAATACCCGCCTTACATTACTCGTACTGGTTGGGCTGTCGGCAGGAAAGAGGAAAGTCGACCACGTGTCTTCAGAACCGTACTCCGCTCCCTTATACACGAAGTTCCCAGTCGAGGTGACATAATCGCTATATATCTTCTGCGCCGTATCGATTTGCGCCTGAGTCCAGCAATACGTCTTATTCGTCGTCACGTCGCAGTTAATCTGATTAATGTCGAAATTGGCTCTGCAAGCTGCCGGCGAGCTAATTATGTTGTCTTGCACCCCATCAAGAGAGTCACACTGTTTCAATACTTCCTGCTGGAGGCGCGAGAACAGGTTGACGTCGCTGATGCTACCCGGAGCATCCTCTGGAAGGTTCCATGTCGCTTGGGCCGAAATCCAAGGCATCAAGCCCATCGTGTCCCACGCAGGAGCTCCAATGAGAGCCCCATCAAAAAAATATGGGTTTCTCTCTACGAAACCAATGTTATTATTAGCATCATCCTTTGGACGAAAGAAAAGGCAACGGGATGATAGGAGCGATGAGTTCTCGTGCAATTGAAAGGAGTATCGAATATCACTTACGGATTTGCTTAAGTCCCTGACGACCACCAGTCGAACAACCGCTGAAGTACGAATAGGCGATAGACTTGTCGTTGTAGAAGCTTTGGATGAGCGACTTGCCAAGGATGATAGAGCCCTCCAAGGCCTGCCAGGCCCAGTTAACCCTAAGCTGATCGGTAGTTGGCCATGTCAAGTCCCCTTGGCCAGAGCTATGTCCCGTATCAGTTGACAGGCTAGCCATACCAAATTGTGCTCCTGGCCCCATGTCGAGCCAGTTTATTCCACCGAGGAATGAATAACTCCCTACGACAAGAAGCTTCGAGTTCCAATTATCTGGGAGAAATAATCCGAAGCGGAAATTTTCCGTCTCATTCTTAACGATAACCGCACAAAGAGGTGGAAGCCCGGAGGCGATCGACGGATAACCTATGTCCCCGCTCTCCGAGAAAGACCCCGAGGTGATATGCTGCACCGATTCGATCGAGGCGCCAGTAGGAATGATGCTGTTAAAGTAATCTGCAGTACACCCCGCAGATTGGCGAGGTTGCTTTGCAGACGGAACACTATAAACTGAGCATGTAAAAAGGCTTATCAGGGCCCAGAAGACTGGGACTGTTAAGATGGCCATTTGGATAATTCGGCTAAAAGTAATTTAATAACACGGCCCTACCAATAACCGACATAACTCCAACCTGAAGGAGCTGTCATACTTATAAGTTAACTGGTAGGCTATAAGAGCTTGAACATTGGGGTCCTGAAAGCGAGCTTCCTGTCCACCTACATTCCTCCGTCAGCTGACGACTAGGTACGCTTTTCGTATAGGTTATTTCTAGCACGGCTTGTGTTAGGATCCGGCGCTAAGAAGACGTTAAGGTCCTTCGGTAACATCCCCCGCTACCTTGGTAGATTCGCCGAAGTGAGGGCGTGCGAGGTATCTGTTAGCTCTAACACGTCGCGCTGATATGCAGAGTGGCATCAGCTTCGATTGGGCTTACATTCTCGTCTTCGGGGCCAGCTTCGGAGCTTTCTTTGTCACATGAAGCTCGACCTTCAAAGCCTCTTTGTATTCTTCAGGACCTACCTCCAGCACCTTCCCCCTTGCATTACCCCAGATGTCTTTGATCACACCTCGCAGAGTCCAGCTCCATAGGCGGCTATGACGTTAGGCGACTCACAATTTCATATTCCTTCCTGAGCCCCCTGATTGCAGGCATGCGCCGGAATAGGTGGATACTGTTGCGGGTAGTGCCGTACTACCTAGGTAGTTTGGACTCCTTCTCCTCCCTTGCCGCCCCGATGCCGAATTACCTTGGTAATCTCTGTTACACACCCACTAAAACCAAGATATTCAACTTTGTGGTTCTTCCCGCGTTCCAACAGTCACGATTACCTGGTCATTTACCAAGCCTCTTTTGAACTACATCCAGTAAGAAGACTGCCGAATGTGGAATATTACTCCAACAGAACGGAGAAGAGTTCTTTGTTCGTTTAGAGCAAACACATAGCAGCTTCTTATTTGCGAGCATGCTAGCAACATGAACTAGGCAACGTGAACAAATCCATCGGGCTATGTAACCCTACCTATTACCAAAGATCCAATCCGGGGTATTGGAGATTTTATTATGCAGCCCTTCTCCGCATTATCCAAAACATCCATGTCCTCGTGGGCTTACCGGGAACCTACCTTTCGGATTTCATACGACCAAAATGGCTCAAAAAAATTACTAAAAGCTATGACGCACTCTTTCAGCTTCTGTTACTCGAAAGGGCCCGATTACCTTAGGTAATTCGCGAAACACCGAATTCAAATTCCGTCTCCGGATGCGGGGCTCTCGGAACCGGAGCTTTGCCAACAAACACCGATCGATCGAGTAATTCGTACAATCGTCAATTGTATGTGTCTGACTCGTATAGTAATCCTTTGTTTTAGCAGCTGAAATACCACGTAACATTTAAGCTTTTGTGTTAGTGTACCCCCGTATGAAACACAGAATACTATATCTGGTGCATGGCAGGTAAGTACCTAAGTACTCCTCCAAGACACGAAGGTATTTAAATGATGTAAAGATGGTTATGACCTCATCGGCCATATAGAGAATTTGTCCCACAATTGGGCTATATACTTAAACTTAATAAGCACGGCTATAAGCGATATCTGAGAACATATTTTGTTGGGGCCTATTTCGCAAAGCTGATGACAATAGTAGATGGCGTTGTGTTGTATCGGATGCGATGGTAGCTATGCTAAACTTACATAAGCAATTACGAGATATCGTGTGAATTGTAGAAGATAATGGTAGCTGAGAGGTCCCATTTACCATCGTAAACATCAACAGCATTAACATGCCTATTCTAAGTAATTGAAAAAAAAAAAAAACTGGTCATCGTTAAAGAAAGAGTTCTCAGGTACCTTAGGTAGGTATTTATGAAACCCCGAAAATACTGAATACCTGTATTAACGCGGAGTTATTCGCCGTTATTTTTGGATACCACGCTTTTTCGGATATGGCCCCGTTTACACACAGTACCACCGATATCGTCGCTGGTCTAGAACGAGTCGGACCACGTGCCACTGCATCTAAAAAGACACGTTGACTGCCGGCAATGTTTTTCTTGTCATCCGATGGTGTCCGTGGTTACGTTGTTTGTTTTTTTGTGTATCATCATCACAAAATATTCTAACTTAAGCCGGTTGTGAATAGCCCTTGGTAGCATAAGCGGTGGTTTCGCAATTATCATCCAAACATCATCTTCTCGGGATCAAATAACTCACTCATGCCATGTGTCATATTCCGAGTTGTAATTATCATCACCAGGCTTCATCATCGAATATCTTATAAAATTAAGTAGAAAGTTGGGATGGACATACGACGTATTGCGATACCTGTTAGATTTATAAATAAATGACTGTACCTGGCGCTAGCATTACCCCTGTTGCTTACATACAAAGGTTGAAGATGTTGAATTCCTAAAAGGGGAAGGCGATGTATCTAGAACCTCACTTCCGGTAATTGATATGCAGCTAGACGTTGATCATCATGGAGATCTTATCATTAGCGAAGAAGGTGGCAGCCAGAAAACCTCTTTTTCCCCGGTCTCCTGGGATGCTCTTTCATCGCAATTACCCGGTCTGTCCGAGTCTAGAAGGTTGATGAAGAGAAACTGCAGGCGTAGGGGATAAATGGAAGGGAAAGATGCAACTGCGATCGATCCCGGCGGGAACTAATTTTAGGGAAGGGACAAACAAAGATTCCCTGACTCGTTCCATTTAATCTATTTAGGTATTTATTTAGGTTAACTTATACATACGACTTTAAATCTATTTACTATTTAATAGCTGTCACCTTTCGCTACCATCTACGTGGTTTATCACCCGTTGATACCTTCCGATCTTCAACACCCAACTTTAAACATTCGTTATCGGTTGCCGGTTCCGAGACAACGCCAATATGAAGATAGCAAGCCTTATCGCGGGTCTTTCCCTTGCGTTGTCCGCTGTCGCGGCAGATCCGCCGCCTCCGCAATTCCCGGTTGTCTTGGGTATTGTATCCGACACTCCGGTTCAATGCGCTCCTGGTCAGAATATCAACCTCACCTTCCTGCCGAACACCCTCCGACTCGAACTTTCCAACATGCAGTTCGGTACCGAAGGCCACGGAAGGACCGACGAGATAGCTTCATGTCAATTCACAGTCGAGTTTACTTCCTGGTGGTATAAGTACCGTTTCGCTATTGGTGATGTAACTTACAGCGGCCACTTGAATGCGACCGACGGTGTCCAGCTCTACCAATTGACAGCCAATTCGGTTTTCAGATATGAGAATCGCAAGCTAAACCCCGGAAGAGCGCCACCCGATATCTGGAACGTATCCATGTCCACTATGGTAAGTAGCCTGCTTTGTACCTATGCCCTTGGTGGGGATGATAGACATTGGCGTTTACAAATACACAGATCGACAATACGGCTGCGACAACAATTGGAGGCGATGGAAACTTCGACGATGATTTCAAGGCAAGCGGCAATAGCTCTCACTTGGAGTGGTCAACCTGTATGGATGGTGGTGAGGGAACTGGTGATGTTAAGACGAAGCTCGCATTTACGCTCACCGCGACAACAAGCGATAAGACGGGCAAAGGCACTGGAAAATTGACCCACGGTTTGACGTACGACTTTGGTATCGTCTGGGAAGAGTGTATTCCTGATCGCGCAATTAAGAATGCCTGGGGTGAGACTCGGATTGATGACTGGTCGACATGCACGTACAACACGTCGACGAATGGGACATCACTAGCAGCTGCACGAGCGTTGCGCCGTGGACCAGCTCTACTCGACTAATCTCGATGATTTAAACTCGGTCAGGATGAAGTCACACAGGTGACCGATCAGTTATCCAGATAGATAAGAAAGCTTGCGCTTGCTTTTTCAGTTTCGCGAAAATAAATGATATATGACAAGCTAACCCAATTCCCTCGTATATATACGTCAAATGGTGGGGGAGCTGAATATTTAGTGTAGGAAGCGACGATATTCTGACGCCCAGTAATCTCATAATCATACCCTTCTATAACCTATTGGGGAAGGCGCTATAATACGGGCAGTGTGGAAGCATACGCCCGGTTGTGGCCGGCCTAGATACAGGCTGCCATGTAACCGAATGATGACTGAGGCTTCAAAACCAAACCACCATTGGCCAACAATGTGTGATAAAGCTCGGTCCTTTCGTACAGTACCAATCCTCCTCAAAGTCGGGAAAATCCCCCATATGCAAGATGAAGATGAGCGATTGCAACACAGATGGATGAACGGCACTGGCCGTGAAGTCATATTATTGAAGCTGGTGATAGATCACGTACAGATAGCCAACGACAGCTAATATTTGAAGAGGCGAAATTCCGGACGAACCGGATTCTTGGACAGTTCAGAAGACAGTGTATTCTCTGAAATCCCCCCATTCCAAGATGTACCTCGCATCCGCACTCCAAGGCCTAGACCTTGAAATAACCGCGACGAAGGCTTTCGTAGCATGCTTTGCTCTTGTACGGTCTTCCCCCTATCGAATAACATTCTAGCTTTGGGGGGAAAGGAACTTACAAGGTGGTAGATAATTACGACAACGATATACAAGTTGGTATACAACGCTTACTTCCACCCCCTTGCTTCTCTTCCTGGTCCATTTCTGTATCGAACAACCGAGTTTCCCTACCGTTGGCAGCAAGTTCGGGGCCGAGAGACCTACATACTAGCCAAGCTTCACCAAAAGTACGGACATGTTGTGAGAATCGCGCCAAATGATGTATCCTATACGGGCCCGGAAGCCTGGAAGGCTATCTACGGGCATCACGTTACACCAGGTGGATCTTACTGTGAGCCATTTCTCGGCTTCATTCCAATCCGACCCATTGAATAGAACCATGCTAATAACATGTGCCTCAATAGTGTCACGTAACCTGCCTGCAGGCCCGGACATGGACGCATATGGAGCCCTCGGAGTTTTCAACGCTGAGGGCGAAGAGCATGCTCGGAAGCGCCATCACTTCAACCCCGCATTCTCTGACAGAGCGCTCCGCGAGCAAGAACCCATAGTTATGCAATACATCAATGGCCTAATGAATAGCTTCACTAAAAAGGCAAAGACCGGAGAGCCCGTCGATTTATCCCAATGGTTCGACTTCGTCACCTTCGACGTCATCGGAGACATAATGTTCGGAAGCGACGTGTTCGGATGCGTTGAGAGCTCGCGCTACCACCCACTTGTATCCGATCTCTTCTCGCGGTTCGAGGCAATAGTGCTCAACATGGCTTTTGAGAGGATCGCGCCACCGCTCGCTTCCTTACTTAGGATCCTGACGCCCAATCACATTAAACAGCGACAAAAAGCCCATGCCGACACGATCAAATCCTTGGTTGATTGCAGATTGAATACAATTACGAATCGACCCGATTTCATATCATTCCTCCTCAGTCAGGATAGGAAGGCCCCATTTACTGCGGCCGATAGGAACGAAATCTATCCCACAGCCTCCCAGACGATGCTAGCCGGGAGTGAAACGATTGCCACGACGTTATCGGGTTGTATTCTCTTTCTACTCCAACATCCAGATGCGATGGCCAAAGCGAAGCAGGAAATCCGCACGACGTATAAATCGGTGGATGAGATTAACCCATCTGCTCTAGCTACTAATAAGTATTTCCTCGCCGTCCTTGATGAGTCGATGAGACTGTATACCGCGGTTCCTGGGCACATAAGACGTTACGTGCCGGCCGGAGGGTGTAACATACTCGGTACCTTCATTCCCGAAGGGACATTTGTCGGTTTCACGGCGTATTCGGCGTATCGCGATGAGTCCCATTTCAAGGAGGCCGAAAAGTTTATTCCGGAGCGATGGTTGGGGACCGATCCTCAATATGAAAATGACAATCGGGAGATGGTGCGCCCGTTTGGTTATGGACCTATGGATTGTATCGGGATGAATCTGGCACGTTTCGAACTGCGCATGGTTCTAGCTCGGCTTATTTGGCAGTTTGACCTAGAGCTTATGTCCGAGAGTAGGGATTGGTTTGATCAGAAGGTGTTCATTATCTGGTATCGAAGGCCGTTGCTTGTTAAATTGGTGGCGAGGGATTTGTCTTCGAAATCAACTTAAGATGGATGGCTGTGCGACACAACCGAAATCGTGGTCATCGTTCATCGCTCGTCTCTTCTTCTTCACTAATGCGATTAGCCGTCGCCTGCTCCGTTTGACCCATCACATCACTCAATTCTCCTACTTTCTCGATCTTCCCATCTTTCATCCAAATCACGATATCTAACCCTTTTCTTAAATGCGATACCGCTGCACCAACTCTATGGGCAACCATGACCACCGTGTGTCCTTTTCCGGTGAGTTCTTTATGGACAATATCGAGAATCAACTCCTCGGTTCGCGAATCGAGGGAAGAGGTTGCCTCGTCAAGTAGGATGATCGGCTTTGATCCCAAGTTGCTGAGGGCATACACCTGAAGCAACGCTCGTGCGAGTGCTAAAAGTTGACCTTGCCCCACCGAGAGAGGGGGAAGCGACACTAGAGTTCGATCGAGAATTGGATGGGTGCCAATATCAACATCATGCAACTCCTTTTGATCTATAATGTGGATAAAATGGTGCCATAGATGAACCTTGGAAAGAATTTCAATAATAGTATCGTTTGAGAGAGTTTCCGTCGGGTCCACATTAAATCGAAGAGTCTCTTGATTGAAAAGTAGAGGTTCCTGAGGCACAGTGACGAAGCAATGTTCGCGCACTATTGAACGAGGCACCAGACCAATATTTATGTCGTCTACTATGATTGAACCCGATTTTATATCTAGTAGCCTAAGAAGTGTGAGTAGTAATGAGCTCTTGCCACTATAGGAAGCGAAGTCAGTGTTATGCCATCCAATTCCGAAAACGCAGATAAAGCACTCACCTTCCAGTTCGACCGCAAATGACAACTTTCTGTCCCGGTTCAATTCGCAAAGATATATTTTCAAGGGCTGTATTTTCGATGTTATACGATGCCGTAACATCCCAAAATTCGATCGAGCCAGAAGAAGGCCAAGCCTCGGGAGTGGCATTGACTTCGGACGGTAAATCTTCACCATGTACCTCTTCTTCGAGGCTCTTAATCCTGGAGACAGCCCCAAGAGATATTTCCAAGTCGGTCCACGATTCAACTAACCGGAGTAATGTGGTGTTGGCGATCAACACAATATTCAGTGCGACACCGACTTGTCCACCCGTGGTCGTGTTCCTAAGAGCGACGGCAAGAGCAATTACACCAACAGCTATTCCTACTACAAGTAAGTCTAGAACGATCCTAAGCCAACATTGAAGGCATAGAAGGAGATAGAAAGGCTTCTGCGATTCATCGAGGGAGCGAAGATGTTCTGCTTCTGCTTTAAGTTGTCCCGCGAACGCACGGATTGTAGTCAATCCATCCACCGTTTCCAAAAAGTCAATCAAAACTGCGGACTTCGATTCCAATTCTAGGAGTCGCAGTTGTCGCGATGTTCGAAGGTATATTTTCTGGACGATATATACGATCGCAAAACATATGGGTAAGGTGACGGTGAGAAATTTCTGGGCCACGAATAGCAAAATAAGCTGGGTTAGAAGCTTGAAGACTTCTACGGAATTGTTAGCGCATTTTTTAGAATGAAATGTAGATTCAACCCACGGGTCCCCATTGACGCCACTGCAGACGGGAGTTTTCTGTCTACAAGCACGAGGTCTTGGCTGAATCTAAGAAATATGAGCCCTGCCACCATCAATAAGTAAGGCCCATACATACCGGTTGAGGATAGACCCGTTATCGGTTCGAGAGAAATACAGTAAGGGTGCACTTTATTCATTAGCTTATTTATCTCTTCCAGTGTCAATATGGTGTATACCAAGTAATGGTTTTTAGCAGCTTAGAGTGTAATGCAAACCCCGAATGGGGGGCAACTCGAATCACGGTTGACCTGTTATGGACATCAGCTTCATTTCATCGCGAGTTAGATCGTTCTGTCAACTCACCACATTATTCCGTTCGTAGAAAACCACGAGATAAGAGCCAAGGCGATATACCCGCCAATATATATCCATTCATCGTTTGATTTTGAATCGGTCCACATTTTCAGCCAGTACTGAGGAAAAGTGACGAAAAAGGAGCAGGACGCATTGCAAATAAGCAAGAACGCAAAATTCACAACCCCAGCTGCATTTATATAATAATCTAGGCGCCGTTAGACTCTCATCTTCAGTTCTGTGATCTTTGACCTTACTGTAAAGGGCGGAATCCCCCGTCTTCCGCTTCGAGTCGGCAAGTATATCGCCATTTCTACCCTGCCCGAATAACGGGTTAGCGGTATCAGGCACAGCGGCTTTGCTCTCGCGGGCACCATCCTCGCTGAGTATTATTTTCGACACTTCAGGATCTCGAGAGGTTAACTCGTCCCATCTTCCCCGCTCTTTAATATGCCCATGTTCCAGAACAATTATTTCGTCTGATAGGTGAAAGTATTCGGCTTGGCCGAATTGTTAACTCCGAAAACCAAGGTTGATCGCAGTATACTTACTAGAGTTGCTAATAAGAAATACGGTAGTTCCAAGTCTCTTAAGAAGACCTTCGGCCCCAAATAGGTTCTTAACGATATGCTTCTCTGTTCTGCCGTCAAGGGCGCTGAACGGGTCGTCCAAAATAAGTATATCTGTTCGAGCGAACACCGCACGCGCAAGAGCCTAAATTCGTTAAAGTCAATCCATATGGGATGGTGTTTTTACTTACTAGTCTCTGTCGCTGGCCTCCAGAAAGGTTAATCCCTTTACTTCCAACGAGTGTCTCATCCCCGCTTGGAAGCGCGTCGATGTCCTGGGTAAGACAGCAGGCGTTGACAACAGTCGCATACCACTCTTGGCCGGTAACGTCGGAATCATTATTAAAACCCACAATAACCTGTTTAATGCTATCATTTGGTAACCAAGGTATTTGAGAACAATATCCAATACGCTTGGAGGATACCGCCACCATTCCGACCGAAGAAATTTCACTTAAGATAGAACGCGCAAAAATCGTCTTGCCAGTCGCTGTCGCGCCTGAACAAATGACAAATGAGCCTTGCCGGACATTCAAATTCATCTCGTCCAGGGAATGACGTGTTTCGCCGACAGAGAGGTTTTCTATATGGATAGCTCGATGCGAATTATCAACGTCGCCGTTACCAGTTTCGGATTCGGAAGTCGCTTTCGATCTAGCAAGCTCGGCTCTATAATCTCGGCGTGATGGTTGAAGAAGAAAGCTTTGGATTCTCTCAAAACTAGAGAATGAAGCGATAACCCGAGGGATGATGGTCATCACCATGTTTGCCGGATGCGTGACCATACTCAGAATCGCGATCGTCGTGAAAGCCGTCTCGGTGTCCAATCCACCGTCCTTCAGCTTCGCCAGTATGGCATAGAGCACAAGTGTGATGACTGGAGCGAACATCCCATTCGCATTCGCCGAGGCGTTATAAGCTACCATCATCCAACGGACTCCACTAGCCGTGTGAAGTTCATTCTGGCGAAGCTGCTCAATACGAGCGGAGATGGCGTCCTGTAAGCCGAGCATTTTGATGTTTTTAATAGCTCCGACTGTAGCGCTCGTCATGGATATCCGAGCTTGGGTCGCATCATTCCAGCTACCCATTCTCGATCGTAGATTTTTCGCAACGTATTGGCTCATGCGAGAACATACTAAGAATATTAATTGATTATGCAACAATCGAGCAAATGTACTTTCACTTACGGAAAATGATGAAAAGAGGCACAGGAGCCAGCCAACCGACTTCCCAAGTCAACATTACGATACCAATGACGACCTCGAGAACCTGCCCCCAAGTTTCGTGGAACATCTCGCCGATCGTGTCGAGAGCGTCTACGTCGGTGCTAGCCAGCGTCAAGACCTTCCCTTCGCTTAATGTGTCTGCATACGAATTCATCGTCTTATCATGGATCAATGCTATGAGAGAAGCTCGGATCATTGTTCTTAATCTGTTAAGAGAGTGTCGGTAAATCGTAGTCGAGATCTATACGCGCGTTTAGTATCTATGCTGTCGCTTGGCAACTATGCCTGACTTACAGCTAACCCGACATAGATAACAATAGCCGTTATAACAAGGCCATGTCCAGTCCATGTCTGATCTCTCAATGCAGTACCAGTGACATATACGATAGCCTGACGTATAATTATTGGTTGCGAATACCGGAAGAATGTAAGAAAGAGCCGTGCAGGTATCGCAAGCGAAAATGGTTTCTTGAGACAGGCTAGTAAAACTTTTGGAAGCGTCATGCTGGTCTCGGGCCTTGCTATATGTCATTTGACCATCAATTTTCATTCGTTTTACAAAGATGCAAGTTCAATTGCCTACCTCTTTGATCCCAAGCACGTAAGGCTGCAACTCGGACAGGTTTCGACAAGAGTTTCGAATCAATTGAAGGCAGATCACTGTTTAAAAGGACATTACGGTATCCTTCGAGCAGGACCGGATTGATCCACCAGAAAAACACTCTGTCTAGAACACTAGACCTCTCCTCGAGCGATACACCTTCATAGAGTGACCCCTCGATATACGTCTTTTGAAGGCTCTCGGTAGCAAGTAAAGCCACTTCAAGGACTACTCGTGCCAAGACCGGGTCATCCACGAGCCGATCGTGTGACCCCAAAAATGACCACGGTATCTCAGCACCATCTCGAATGAGGGATGCAATGAGATATAGGATAATCAGGTGTGACGGGTAGAAACTTCGATGATGCTCAATCCATGATAAGGCGCAAAGGTTTAGAGCGGCGACAAATTCTAGAGCCTGAGAAGCGACATGCAAATCGCCCCCATTAATCGTAGAATTCTCTACAGTAGCAAGACGCCCCAAACTCGACAGGGCAAGAAGAATTGAAAACACCTAGCATATTGTTAATTTCAACTCGCTATATCGCGGTGTTAAACGCAGCTTACCGTCTTGGCCCACCCTTGGAACCCGGAGATGACGGCCGGTGGTGCTCTACGTAAAAACCAAATTCGCAATGAGGATAAACATATAAACAAACTTGAAAGTACAATTGAAAAATTGGCGATCGTATCCACAGAGCTCGCAATGCGAGCCATTTTAGAAAAGGCGCGCTCTAGGGCCGAGGATTATAATACAATCAGGCTTCTATAGCAATAGTTGTAAAGTAGAAAAAGATTCGGTCAGCATGATAGGCGCTGTAATAGGCGTTATCAGGACTGTGCGCACCTCCCGATCGCCCGCCCCCAATTGGATATCACGCAATTTGTCCGAGTCGAGCAATAGAGAAACATATCTCGTATTGGATTACTTAACTATTCCGAAAATATTATGTTCTTTCCTAAATTGGGTGAATCCTCGTCTTGCGTACCGCAATGATTGGTTCAGTTTAAGGGGCACTAATCCCACAAGTGGTCTAGGGATTCCTTGGAAGGATTGACAATAACGACTTCATCCAGCGGCGTTTACACTGTATACGTACACATACCCGACTTACCTTAAGATTTAATCGGGTTGGAAAACCCTTCTAGCTGCGCTTTGATCTGAACAGCGACAAGTTGAGAATAATACCGACACATAGCCAAGTTGCCCCCGAAAATCCAAAGTCCAGGTTGACCCGTAGGCCTCCACATTACTCTCGTCTCACCCTCTTCATCGTAGCCCCATACAGTGGAGATATTATTCGCAACATCCTCCCCAAATATCGCTTCCGTGGCGGTTTTCATATTCTGGTATCCTGTCGCGCAGACAATCTCATCCGCTTCCAACTCCGTTCCGTCTTCGAGTTTTACGCCGTGCGGCAAGATCTCAGAAACGCCGACGCCGTGCTTGACCTTGATTGCGCCTTCAATAATCGGCTGCGAGGCACCTACGTCAATATAGTATCCGCCTCCACATTGGAAATACTTGACGAAGAGACCGCCGTTTGATGGTCCACGATTGGTTTTAAAGCCGGCTTTGTTTAAGCCTTGAATAATATCCTTGTCAATGTTTTCCTGGAGCTCGTTGAAATCGGCATGAATTGCCTTATTCACTTCACCTGGGTTCGCCCACGCGAGTACGTCGGATATCTCAAGCGGAGGGCTATCCTCACTGTATAAAGCACCAAGCATCGACGCCGCCGCTTTGCTACTCATGAGCGTGGTCGATGACCTCTGAATGACGGTCACATCATATCCGTTTTCGTAGAAGTCTTGAGCGATGTCGAGGGCGGAATTGCATGCACCGATCACAACTGCTTTTCTTCCCTCACTATTCTTCTTAGCGCCTCGAAATTCAGAGGAATGGCAGAGAGTGTCGCCCTTGAAATTTTCCATCCCCTTGAAATGCGGGTAGTTCTTTTTACCAGAATGACCCGTAGCTTGGACGATGTGTTTCGGGTGCATCACGCGAACTTCAGTATTCCCATCCTTCTTTTGTTTAAGGACTACATCCCATTGCTTCTTTTTCTCGTCCCAAGTACTATACGCGATGGTCGTGTTATTCCACACATTGAGCTCGAGCATTTCAGCATACGACTTCAAAAAGTTGGCCAACTTAGCCGCCGGCGTAAAAACGGGCCAGGCTTTTGGAAATTCAATGTACGGCATATGATCATACCATACCGGGTCATGGAGCACGAGCTGGGGATAGCGTCTCCTCCAGTTATCGCCGATGCTCTCACTCGAGTCAATTGCGAGTGTGGGAACACCAAGCATCTTCAATCGGGCATGTAACGCAAGCCCAGCTTGTCCACCACCTTATGACAGGTAAGTTACGGCCGACTTTTGATACCCAGGAAGTCAGGACTTACCGATGATAAGTACATCCGGATCGCCAGTTTCGAAACTGAACTCCGATTGCCTTCTGTCGTACCAATTTCTCCGATTGGGGTTCACTCCATGGGTAACACCATTGGCTCTAAGACGGCCAACTGGTTCTGGGTAGTTGCGAAGTTCATTCATTGTGGTGTAAATAGTCCATATTTTCCATTCGCCGGCATCGTCTTGAATAAGACGGATGAAACCGGGACCAGAACCATACTCGGTACTGATGCGTAAAAAGGACTGTATCCCTTGAACGGATCCATCCATCCGGAATGGAGCTAACTCCGGCCCGGCGTTCTTTGCTGGGTAGTCGCGGTCGGACCGAATACTTTTCAAGTGATGGCCCTCGTCAAGGAATGAAGCAATCTTATCCCTTCCCTTCATAGTACGGAAATCCCAAGTCAGGGCGAGATGGTCCCGCCAATAGCCATTATCAAGGAAGAGATTTGCAATTGTTTTGTGATCATGTTTTGGAAGGGAATCGTTTATAGACTCCAATATTTTGGAAGTTACTGCGGGGGCATCTACGCCCTCATACTTGGTAGCAGTTACTGGCCAAGGTGCGACGGGGATGTCCACGGAGCCGGGGACGGCTCCTTGACTAGGAGAAACTGCGGCTTGTGCTGACATATTTAAATATGTTTAGAAGAGTAAATAGAGTACTAGACAGAAGAGAACAGAGTAGAGTACAATAAGGCCAAAGTTAGAACAGAGATAGATCGAAATCCTCGAGTTTTAAGACAGCTTCTTGGTGATTAGCACGGTAACTTAGACGGCTATTAGATCCCCGCACGTTGTGGTGTATGTCGTATACGTAGTGCAGGTAGGACGTGTTCGCGAGATCACACCACTTGAAGCAATGGGGAGATCGACAAAATGAGTATAAATCGTCACCGAAGTTGCATTTAGACTATACCTCAACAACTTGAAAGGCAATGGACACCGATCAAGGAAGTGGGCGTATTCGTAATTCCTTTTTGTGAGTTACTGATACGAATATATTCCAAAACCAATCAGCGGTTTGTAGAAGGGTCCTTTTGCTGAGGCGTTCTCCCTTGCAGTTTAATCCTGTAACCAACGCCCACGGCGATGCTCGTCACTGTCCATGGCGGCTTTTCAGAGGGTCCACAGCAATTCGTTAGTGTATACCCCGAGGTATAGTACGCCACCAGAGAGGGGCTTCATGTCGAGTTGTATTCGATGTCACCTAAACGCATCCTTATCTTGATATATCATATTCTTATTTCTGATATTTGACCTACATGTCTCGGCACCTGGGTATGTAAGCACCATACATACATGTATGGAGTCGATAGACGGGCATGTATGAGATATTTCAACGTTGATCGTGGATGAAATGTACCTATAGTTGGTAACGCGAACATTGCTTTTTGGGAAGGCACATAAATTTATAAGGTCAATAAATTTAATCTCGTTCACAGTATAAATTGAAAATTTGAGACCAATCCGAACAACTCGGTAGGTAGTACACATGTGCAACTTCGAAAAGCAAAAGCCAAACGCAATATTCAGGGAAGCTGCATATATGTATGGTGATAATATACTGGCGTGGGGCTCCGTATAGAGCTCCATGGAGTAAACTTGCATCAGCGTACACGGGTAGCTACCTAGGTACCCGCAAGGAATAAGCGCTAATTATATTGCACATGGGCGCCGTAACCCCTAGATTTTATTGGATGAAATCATCAATCTACATTCATAAGATCATAGCTGGATCATACATATATGTAGACCCACCAATTGAATCTTATGTAAAGCTGCATTAGCTGGGAGGGAAGACAGGGATCGGATCTCTCAGCCCTTCAACCCTTGAAAAAAAAGGAAAAGGAAGAGGAACTTTCGCAAAACGCTTTCTAAAAAGTAAGGCTTCGGTTACCGCCTTTCTCTCCCTTGACAGCCAATACCATACACAGCTCAGCCAGACGGCCAGTCCAGATTTGCACATACCTGGCTGCTGTTGCATTTGTAAATATACCCTCTTTCGTCTTAATTATACTCGATAAACAACCGCCACCAATGACGAAGCATTCTGGTTCTTCCATGCACAGAGTCCCTTCAACGGGCGCTGTCGAGCATGGCTATCCGAGCGGGCACCTTGGCCACCTAACCGAGCATGAAGAGCAAGCTTTAGTAGAGTTCAAAACACTTCTAGAAGAGAAGGACCTATATAAGCCGGGTAATCCGCCGTCTCACGACGATCCCACACTTCTGTGCGTAGACAACTAAAACCGCTTTTATCGTGACAAGTTGAAAGTCAAACGTAGTACTGATCGTCAAAATCGTAGCCGATACCTCCGAGCGAGAAAATGGGTTCCAGCGGACGCTTTCGTGCAGTTCAGCGACACCGAGAAATTCCGTAGCGCAAACCAGATCGATGTCCTCTATGATACGATCGATATCGATTCGTTTGAAGCGACAAGAAAGCTTGTATGTTATATCCGAACGATCCGTAATATCTAGGTGCAGAGCACTTACTATAGACATTTTTTTACCGACGTAGTATCCTCGATTTACCGGGCGACGTGATAAGCGGTACGTAATACATATTCGTAGTGAACACAACGACACCAAATAAGCTGACGGGTTTGAATCCAGAGGTATCCCTATTTACGTGTTCCAAATCCGACATCTCGATTCCCACGCGGTATCCAAGTATGAAAAGTCGACCGAAACGACCTATAGCAGGGCGAAGACGGATGGCAAGACGCAACCCAAGCTACTACAGTTGTTTGCGCTGTACGAGAACTTGACGAGATTTGTCCAACCGTTAGCCTCCGAGTGTATCGACCGCCCACACCCTGCTACCCCGATCACCCTCAGTACCAATATCGTGGATATTTCCCACGTTAGTTTGCGCATGTTCTGGAACTTGAAGAGCCATATGCAGGCGGCAAGCCAGTTAGCAACCGCACACTATCCCGAAACTCTTGACCGTATGTCCCCGAATTTTAAAACCGTAAGCTAGCCATAGGTGTATGCTAACATAACAAAGGTATTTTCATCATTGGCGCTCCAATGTTCTTCTCGACAGTATGGGGTTGGATCAAACGCTGGTTTGACCCTGTAACAGTATCTAAGATATTTATCCTTCAAGAACACGACATCCTGCCCGTTTTAACGAGTTTCATGCATATGAAAGATATCCCAAAGAATTATGGCGGCGAATTAGAGTGGGACTTCTTCGACGAGCCAGCTTGGGACGACGAGATTAAGCGAGTATGCGAATGGGAAAACGGTTATACTAGTTTCCCTACGGGACCCTTGTACTGGCGACCAATTGATGACGGTAAACGACTTGAGTGCGTTGCTGTAGGCAGCAAGGGAGAGACCGATCGAAGAGAACGTGTTTGCACTATCACGAGAGCTTACCCGCCTAAGCTTTCCGAAGACACTTTAGTTTCTACTACCGTATCTCAGACCGACGACGTAACCGAAGGTGGGGAAAGCTTCGTGACGCCTACTGAGAAACCCATTCTGACCGGCGAAGTTCCAACCGCGAACATAGCAGCGCTATCCATCGCCGAGGGCGATAAGTAAAGAATGACTCAACTCCGTTGTTTATAAGGCAGTGTTGCCGCTCACTGCAACGGCAATTTGATATTCTTGTCGCGATTTTTGGACATAGAGGCTGTTAAATGTACATAAGACCACGCTATACACATACCATCGCATCGATTAATGGGATGTCTGGCTATGATTTGGTGTAGTATCCTATTAGGATAGCACATTGGCGCATAATTATGGGACATGGTATACTCTTCATCTAGGGGATTTGGCATAAATAGGATAGGTGCTTCGAAGTACGGGTTGAATATAATCATTTTAACACCAAACTCCTGCTAGCCGGATTCTTGATCTATACTCTATGCTACCGTGAAAGTCCCCTTAAAACTCTAGTTGCACTTTTCAGGTGATATATACTTAAAACCATCCAGTCCCATAATCGCATTGGACACCGATCAAACCCCTTTCCGCCTCCTCCACTCCTTAATTCCATCCACAACCTCATTCCACGAAACACCATCCCTAACCAACCACATCGTAACGCCCAAGGACTCCGTATCTCGATTCCGACTCTCATCATCAAAGAACAGCATCTCATTATGCGGTATACTTGTCTTCTTCCCCAACGCCTTGAAATGTTGTATTTTACTGCTAGGATAGATCTCTAATCCGGCATCGAAGAACTCGATCGCTCGTTTTGGCTTGTCTTTTTTATTCGCGCTTACACTTGTACTTCCCCCACCCTCAGTACCACCGGCGTTACTACCATCGTCTAATACACTGCTTGCAGGCGGAACGAGTAGTAACTTAAGCAGCTCCCGTGCTAGATCTGGTGCATGTGTCCTAGACGCAACACCGATCTTCACACCTGCGCGTGCGAGTCCGTGTAGTACGGAAGGTATTTCCGTGTAGAATGTAAAGGTCTCACCGATTCGGTCGACGGCAGCTGAACGCTCGGCGTTGGCTGCGCGGAGGGGCGCGCACACGTGGGTGTCGACCCAGAAGGGCCAGAGCGTGTAGTCGAGGTCGAAGATCACGGCGCGAGGGAGTGGAAGGCCGTCGGATAGAATGGGAGGGGCGGGGCAGAGAGTTGATGTTGGTATACTGCCTGGGAAGGTTGGTTGTTTGGAGAGCTTTTTGGGCATCATCTTGCTCGTGGTTTTTGGTGTATTATTGATAGAATGGAGGGGCGGTGGGATGTACTCAGATATACAGGGGCCGAGAAGAGGCGTTTCTGTGGCTTGTGATGATCGTGCGATTTCGGGGCCAAGACTTAGAACTATAGTAGAAGATAGGCGTGTAAAACAAGTGTAACTATAGCGAAACCGGCGTGATGAACAGAGTATGGTCGCACGTGTGAGAATTGATTCAATTGGCGACGATTCGATCAGATTAGATTAACAAGGATTTCCTCATGCGGTCATATTATTATGGCCGATTTTCAATTTAAAATATTTCTTAGTATTGCTTAACGTTGTGTCGCACAGAGATCCAGCATCTTCGAACCTTACGTCCCGAATCGTATAAGCTCGGCATATACGTCATTTATTTCTTACCAGCTGTGTAGATTTCCCCAATTATAGAGTGCTCTCCTATTTTTTCACCTATTGTTACATCTCCAATACCCCAACTTTTAGTATATTAAAGAAGGAAGGGGGAAAAGAAAAACAAATACGTAAATGTCTCATCATCGATTTCGGTCCTAACAAACCAACGAGCCGAATGGATTTATTACATGAGCATTATGCGTTGCTCCGAGGCGTAGCTCCGATGAATTTCTAAGCTCTAATAAGCAGAATTCAACTACCAACATCCAAACGTCGTGGACATTACCAAATCACATATCACTCACGCTAGGACCTTGGCATCGAGACCCACGGAGGAAACCATGTGGTTCTCCGGTCTCAGCCCAGGGGGGTGTTAGCTCGGATAGCTTGTCCCCAGACGTTCGTGGTTCGGGTTCTTCAGAGCGACGAACCCCACAGCTATCAGCGAAATATGAACTGCCGATTTTGTCCCAAGGCAGCACCACCCATCGCCTATGCGGGGCCGCGGCTGGGGGGTGTGATCCCAGTGGATAGCTTGTTACGCATCCTGGCCTTGTGGGATGCTTGCTTTTGGAACTTTCGAACAATAGCAGACCCAACTACCTCACATCCACGAGGTTAGCTTCTAGAGCAAGGCCTCTTTGTACGTGTGGCTACACTACGTAAGCGCTATTCGATAGGCGGTATGTGACAGTAGGAGGGGGGACATTGATTCGCCGCTATGCCAAAGGACGGACTCCTCCACCTATATTCCCCGACTTTAGCCGTTTCATAAGTCCATTTCCTATATAACATAGGACTAGTCCTCTTGTGAATTTCATTTATATCTCAGCCCCAAAGCAACCTTCTAGCTATCATAGACTAAGTAAGAAATCAGATAACGACTAGTCAACATGGCGTCCCCACCGAGGAAGATCCAACTCGTACGCATCACCCATGTGTACTACAAATACCCGGACATGGACAAGGCAGTGACCTTCCTTAACGACTTCGGCTTTACGGAAGAAAAGAGAATCTCAGACGAGAAGATTTACTTTAGAGGATACGGGAAAGACCCGTGGGTACTGTGCGCCACTAAAGGGGATAAGCCCGATTTTGGAGGTGCCGGCTTTATCGTGGAATCTGAGGAGGACTTGCAAATCGCATCTGAGACACTTCCAAAGGCGACCAAAGTCTACGAGCTATCGGATGCGCCTGGTGGTGGCAAGGGTGTGACCTTCTACGACCCCGTCGATGGCTTCCCATTCCACCTAGTGTACGGCCAACAGCCCGCTGAGATGTTGGATATCCCTCTGCCACATGAACCCGTGAACTACGTGAGAGGTCCCGGATTTCCATTGCAACGTACAGAACTAACAGCGGTGTAGCCCACCGAGAAGAACCGGCCCGTAAACAAGTTCCAGCGATTCCAGAAGCGACCAGCCCCAGTGCACAAGCTAGGCCACTTCGGTGTAAGGACGACGAACTTCGCAAAGGCGCACGAATTCTACAGCACTCACTTCAACTTCTTGGCAAGCGATGTATGAATGATCTCTCACAATCTCGTGTTATCGGGATACTTACGCTATTACAGCTCATCCATGATGCCCAAAAGATCGACCGAACAGTGTTCTACCGTCTGAACAGAGGAGACGAGGAAGTCGATCACCACGTCTTCTTTTTCGCCGAAGGAGGACACTACAGAGTTCACCACTCCTCATTCGAAACTCACGATTTCGACACTCAGGTCCTGGGCCATGATTGGCTGCGAGAGAAGGGTTACAAGAACTGCTGGGGCGTTGGAAGACACGTCCTTGGCAGCCAGATCTTTGATTATTGGTACGCATAAATCGCATTTATGAGTTTAAATACTTCGAACTAATTATGACCAAGGTACGACCCGTTCGGTCTCATCATGGAGCACTACGTCGATGGCGATATGGTGAATGGATCGGAGCCGACACACCACTCACAGGCTGGTCCTGGTAGTCTACACGTCTGGGGTGAGTATCTACTACTATCATCTGAAACTATACGAAAATAGCAGCGCTAACTAAGTATATTGTAGGCCCCGCGGTCCCTGGAGAGTTCCTGCCAGCGAAATAAATAAGCAAATCGTAATGCCTAAGATTATGGAGGATTGGGTGACTGTTTCACCAAGTTTAATGTAATTATATCAATGAATGATGAGCGTTGAATTTCTACTGAGCTTCATTCCACCTTTTTACGTGTTCGGAGATTCTATAACTCCCGAACTCCCTGAGTATTTTATGATGTATTTGCCGACATTATCGTAATTCGTCGCGTAAGCCATTGCTTGATGAACCACTTAGAGTGGCCGTATTATCTTCCTTAGGATATGTAGAATATGATTGCCAATCTAATTTGAAGCTGAAATTAGAAGTTAAGAGTTTCGGATATTAGTGCGTTGGAAGCAGTTCTGCCATATCAAGCCCGCAGTCCTCCATAAGGAATTAGTCTACGCATTTCGTATCACCTCAATATCTTATTGTATGTTAGATGCTAGTAAATTGCCGATTCCAACCTTCGCGTAGACCGGTGAAATCATTGTGGCTTGCCTTCGGTGTATCATAAATGACGCGGTTATGCGGCCTCCCGGCTGAGGTCCTTCGACGATTGGTAGTTTCCACTTATAAGTAATGCTTTATTTTTTGTGTCACATTGTCATAACTCGATTTTCATTATTATGATAGCATATATGTGTGGTGTGCCCTGCTGCGAGCAGCTAAACTCCGGACCGCGAAACCGGCGGCCCACTGAGACATTCATCTCAAACCTGGCTGTCCTACCCACCTCAAGCGTCATATATCACATCCAATCAACTGTGAACTAGCTTGAAGTCAGTTCGTGCGACCGATAGACCAATCCCACTCGGCTATTACGAATAGAATATCATGAGCTTCCGAGGAACTCGGAGTGAAATGGCCCTGACATATGTAACTCCTAGAAGATCGCCACAAAAAGGGTATCGCGATTTGAATTCTAGGCCGATTAGTATATAGACCGATAGTCATATCTTGGTTGGAGGGAATAATACCACCATCACGCCTAGATTAATTTCCGAGTAGCCGCCCGATATACATGGAGTAAATCGAAGTTTGCGTGGCTGCCTTACATCTCCCTTGCAGCTGAAAGTGGAGGCCACCACCGGCGTCATATAAATCTACCCCGCATAACAAGGCGTCGCCAGACAGCCTCTTCATCCTCATCTTGGTCAGCCGAGGCGGCAGGAGTGTGGTCGACCGGATCGGGATTCTCGCATAACTCGATGAAATCTTTTGTCATGCGTTCCCCGGGGGCGAAGCCGAGGTTTTCGAGGGTATCGAATGGTGTGGAATCAAGCCTACGCGGGGTCAGACCAAAACTACAATGTAAAGGAATTATTTTCGACTCTTACCATCGAGAAGTTTCATCCAAATGGAGCTGGTCGATTCCATGTGCCATCGTGGATTTATTATTCGATTCGGGTTGTTGTGAATGTTCGGAGGTGTTAACTGACGGATTGACGCTCATGCGTCTTTCAGGTACTATACGTTCGCTCATACGCTGCGAACTATTCGTGTAACCGTTGGCGGAGCCGTTCGATCCAAAGGAAGTTGTGCCCTGGAGAGCGGTCAAGATGGATTGTGCACGGCCCATGCTGAAATCCCGGATTCCATCATCTGTAAAATCCGAATTATAAGTCTGCGTCTGGTTTTGAACAGGGTTGAAAACGCTTTTTCGGATATCCTCGCTTTGGATATATATATCACTAGGATCCTGTGGTGCGCCGTGCGGGTTTGCTGGGGAGGGCTGGGGTACTGAAGCAGATGATGAACCCGATCGATTGGATCTACCAGACATACCCGCAGCCATATCAAGCTGACGGTGAGCATTCGAAGGTTGGGTAAAGCCCAGCTCGCTGCGTACTTGGGCGATCACTGGCGAAAAACGCTGGTCCATAGAGGGTAAAAACAGGTCAGGGGTTTCGCCATTTTGCAAGAATCTGCCGAGTCGACTCTCATTGAAAGAATTAACAAGTTCAGCTTGATTATCGTTGTTTTTGAAGTAATCCAAATTAGAAACGCCGGTATTTCCGAAAGTGCCGGCACGCAGAACTTGCAGGACAACATCTTCAAGCTCGGGCCTAGCCTGGAGAACTATGGCCCATAAGCGTTCGCCATTCTGGCCGGTGTAACCACTACGAGGACCTCTCTTTCGAATGGGTCTATTGTAAGTACATTCTGTGCCAGCTCGTACGCACACACTGCACTTGGGGGCGGCGTTATCGCATGGTTGATGCTGTGAGTTGCATCGGTCGCAAGCACGGCTAGCCTTGCGCTTTTTCGACGCTCGCTTGCCGTCATCACTCTCACCATCACTCATAGCCTCCACCATGTGCTTCTGAGTAGTATTCGTTAGTGTCATGATTTATGATTTAGCATAAAACCACACTTCCTTCGATGAAGTAGTAACAGACGTACACGGGTCTCCTTATCAGATTGACAAGTACGCCAGTCAATTCCTGGCGCCTCTTTATCTGCCCCTTTTTAAGGCGACGGCATGGGAGCAATAATTGCGATTGAGATGGAATGAGAGCGCATCGAGGATAAAAGTTGAGCGCAATATCGAACAATTAAAAATGGCATGAAATTGTTTAAAGTTAAGAGCTTGGATTTCAATTGTGAAAGTGTGGAATTGGAATAATCAACGCCGCGTATTAAGACACGAAATCGGGTTATTCCATGTCGGCGCGGGGTTATCCCCGGTGCAACCTTGCACTTTCCTCGAACCAACACCCGCATTTGCACCTAGACAATTCCACTGTATTTTAGCCTCACGTGGCTGGCCCGTATCTAAGATTAAGATACCTGGGTATGTACATATGTACCTTGGTACTTAATCTAACGGTACATGCATGTGGCTGACATATCGGGACTATCTTTCCTCGTTTTATTGCCGATCGCCTTGCCGTGCCACCTTTACTCTCTTCCTTCATAGGCTCAGTAATCTACCTAGAGACGTGTAAATCGCTTCATCTCATTCGGTCTTTTATTCTAGCACTTGCAAAGATAGCTCGTACGATATGTTTCGCCAAGCTATCAAAAATATACTAGAGTCCTCAGGGACTTAGAAAGTATTTCATTATCGATGCTGCCAGGCAATCATCTTATTTCACCTTATCACGTCTATTCAAATCGAGAGTCAAGCAGCACTAATATTTCTATATGCTACCTTGTACCACTCTGAGCCTTCATTGGCGCTCATCAACACGGCACATATCTTATTAGATAATCCGAGACGAATATTTTAATCAGGGCGAGGGGCGGAATTGTTTTGGGAGTATTTACCTCAATTCAAGCACCACACCCCTCCTCACTTCTAACGTTGTGATGAAGATGATGGGGTCCAATTCAATCTCTGATGGGCCAATTACCCCTGCATCCAAAAGTAAAAGGAGGGTATTTCCTCCCGATGCGTCAGTTATTCTCGTGGGATGTCGTGGCGCTGGGAAACGGACGTTGGGGTTTATCGCCGCGAAACACCTTGGTCGCCGGCTCGTCACTGAAGATCATTTCTTCGAGCAGTCAACAGGATGCACAAGAGCTATCTTCCTACAAAAATATGGCCGCGAGACTTTTAATCAGCAGATGGCGATTGTACTTACTCGAATGCTGGAAATGAACCATGCCAATTGTGTTATAGAATGTGGGACAGGCACATTGTCCCCAGATTTCGAGGAAATACTCAAGGAGTACATCGAAACCAACCCCATCATTTATATCCATCGCGATAAGGAAGATCTATATAAGTTACTGAAGCTGCCTGTGGCGGATGTGGAGCGTGTTCTTGTCACCGATCAGAAGCATCGAGATTTCTCGAACTTGGAGTATTTTAACCTTTACGATCCTAGCGGCGATGGTCTTGTAACGGAAGACTCCGCACTTCGCTCCGCGTGCACAAGTTCCGCCAAGCTTGTGGAAGCGAAACAAGACTTCAAAAACTTTCTTGACTGCATTTTCGGCCATGGTCTAACGCGCTCTTGGGTAGCAAATCCCTTTTCAATGAGGGCAATTCCTCCCGAGTACCGGACGTACACCTTCGTTTTCTGCTTGAGACTCTCAGTGTTGTTAAGGCCGGAGGTTGATATAGCCACTTTGGAAGCGCCTGGTGAAGCTGTGGAATTCATCATCGATACGTGGCCAGACAATCTACTCGATGTTGTTGCAACGCAGGTGGCTTTGATCCGTCGCAAATTGGACATTCCGATCATTTACAACGTTGAAGAAAACCCACGAGAGGAACGAAAAAGACCATTAGAAGAGAGAGATGCTTCGGACCTGGAATTGATGCTACATGGCCTTCGACTCGGAATTGAATATCTGAGTCTCGACCTCGAAAGAAGCCCAGAATTGATATCCCGCGTTCTTGACATGCGAGGCAGGACTAAAATAATTGGAAATTTCACCGTGAGGGGGATAGGCACCCGACAATGGACTGACGATAGTTACCTTGAACGTTATTTCTTTGCCCAGCAACTCGGGTGCCAAATTGTCCGTATCGCCCGATTCTGTGCCGGCGACAGAGATGACGACCTTCGACGGATCTTTCTCGGTCGAATTATCTCGTTACCTGATCCGAAGCCGACTATCATCGCATATGATTTCTCGGTATTCGGCGTTGTCTTACCTTTTCAGGGTAAGATCATGAACCCTGTTTCCAGTGACGTCCTCGAGAATACCGCTCGTGAGCATATGGCTGGCGTAAGCACTACGCGAGGCACGTTGCGAGACTTGTTTCGAAAAGGACGGTTACAGCCACTCAATTTTTACACGTTGGGATCAAACGTGTACTACTCGGCTTCGCCGTCAATGCACCGAGCAGCGTATGAGCATTACATGATGCCACATACTTTTAACGCTAGACGGTGTACCACGCTGGAAGAGGTTGACCAAATTCGCAGCGAGCCCAATTTCGGCGGTGCTTCATTGACGGCACCTTTTAAGGTTGCTGTCATGTCGCATGTTGATCACCTCAGCACACACGCAATTGCAATTGGTGCCGTCAATACGCTCTTACCACTTCGGGGGGATACCGACTCTATCTTGGATCATGCCAACGCCCGAAATAGAGGTGGTCCTGCTAGCAGGTTTTATGGCGACAATACGGATTGGAGCTCCATCTTGACTTGTTTACGCCGAGCCATCAGTCCTAGAAATTCGGTTCAGCCATCGAGGACGACTGGTCTAGTGATTGGGGCGGGAGGAATGGCACGCGCAGCCGTATACGCCTTAATTAAACTTGGTTGCCGAATGATCTTCATACATAATAGGACGATAGAAAAAGCAGAGGAAGTAGCGACACATTTTAATATTTATGCTATAGAGCAAGGGCTCCTTGGACGACAAAGTGAAGGGCCGCCCGTTTGTCAAATCATCGAGTCACCCCGCGATCAATGGCCGGACGGATATCAATTACCAACCATGATTGTGTCTTGCATTCCTGCGTCGGGCACAGATGACAACCCACCCGTAGACTTCAGAATGCCTGCACAATGGCTGAAGAGTCCTACTGGTGGTGTCGTTGTCGAGGTATGAACCCGCTATATTTATTATCTAATCGTTTGCTAACCTGGACTATTTTCATAGCTGGCTTATGAGCCCCTCATAACACCCCTGGTAATTCAAATTCGCACAATTCGCGAAGAAGGCAATACCTCGTGGGTGATTGTTGACGGTTTAGAAGTCGTCAGTGAGATGGCTATGGAAGCCTTCGAATTGATGACTGGTCGTCACGCGCCCAAAAGGTTGATGAGACGAATCTGTAATGAGACGTGGAAGAAAACTAGCGCACCTTTCCAACCACAGAGGTAGTCGCACATACCTAAGCATCTACTCCAATTAAAGCTATACCGATAGAGTCAGGGCTACGCCAACCGCTCGATTGGGAGCGACGTAAGGGCGGCAGACGACGATCTCTAAGCTTGGTTAGTCTTCAACGGCCAAAAATTTCACCGGTTTTCGCTCATGACCTTACGCCAAATACATAGTAGCCGATATCTAGAGCGTAAGATACGGTGACCGCTTTTACGTTTTTAATCTTCAGACGAGCCATGAGGCCCTGCATCAGGGCACGAATGGCACTCCAATTGATCCCATATGAACCATGCGGACTCGCACCTATCGCTTCGAGACCTCACTGGCCAACCTAAGCAGTTCATCTGATAATGGTCATGGAAAGCATTCCCCAAGCCGAAAAAATAAATAAGAAGGGGTGCTTTCGCCCTACTGTTCAGTTATAAGCCACTACCTAGCCTAGAGGACGATTCGATTCAATAATGCTTAAAAAAAATAAAATATCCATCACATCAACAGTATCGTCGCATTTACGATTTGTGAATGGTTTGAATCTAAATAAGGCAGATGATAAATCTAAAATGTATTGTATAGGCCATGTAAAGTATCATATTCGTCTTAGCCCATATATTTTCTAGGTATGTGAATGCATAACATCTCGAAAGTTCGTTCACTGTCATTCTAATAGTGTCCCAGAACTGAAATCTGAGGAGTCTTATAGATATCCCAGTCTTCCGAAACGGTCGGATCTCCGAACGGTCTCAGCGTAGCATAACGCCACCTATTCACCATAAGCAATTAGCAAGCCAACGCTTTCCATTTGAAAACAAAGTAACTTACGTGTAGTTGCCATTCGCAATCTGGCTACCATTACCCAGTCTCCCGAACCACCAATCCTCTCCACCTCCGCGGAGGCTGTCGGTGCGAGGATAGGTGAAAGCGTCATTCGGGTTATATATCGATGGGTTGAAGTAATTGGCGGTACCATTCCAAGAGGCAGCTGGTCCGATATAACCATTCTCGCCTTCAACGGGTGGATATTTCCATTGGCTCTCGTTCCAACCGGCCTCGTATATCTGAATTCTGTTAGCGTCGCTAGAGATTCATTGCGCGGAAAGTGCTGCTACTTACATCCCAGCGGGTCTCCTTGATACCCCAGATAAGCTGATAATAAATCTTTGGGAAGTCTTGAGAAGATGTACTGAGATTGAACGTGTAGCTATAGCGAGTTAACGACGTGAAATCGATCAAGCGAGAGGGGAACATACGATGATTTGTTCTTGATGTCGTTACCATAGACAGAGGACTTCGAAAAGGGGTAACCGGGATAATAGACGGATTGTAATTCCCCCTTCAAGTCAGCGCCGAGACCCAAATAGGGGAAGGAGAGTTGTTCTCCGGTGCTGGAAGAGAGAATAACCTTCCCGCTATATACAGGGAAGGCGGATGCATTCCAGCCAAGACCTTGAGGGTTAACGAAGTCGACGCTAAATGGTACCGTTAGTTTGAACGTTTCAAGGTTCGGGGGCAGCAGGGACTCACGACACAATTCTGCTCTCGCCAGCTTTCAAAGTGAAGTCTTCAGGTAGATTGATATCGACATTTAACTCTAAAGGCTCCAATTCATCAAACTTCTTCACTCGTCTCGAGTATCCACCCTCGGCACTGAGATAGCCAACGACCTCGACGCCGCCAGCGCTCTGGGTGGAAAAGCTGTAACTGACATCACTCGCACCATTATTCGTGATGGTAACAGGGTGTGACTCCTTAAAGTTGGCAGTGTCGTTCAGGTTGAACTTCTCATATTCAATCATGGTGCTATAATTCACGACTTTGAATCCGTTGACTAGCCCGTTGCCGACTTGCGCCACGCTGGCGGTGAAGTTGTACTCCGTATCTGTACCGTCGAACCAAGGTAGCGCAGCTCCACTGGCGATAATTCTTTTGCGCAATGTCTGCGCGAAACCCTTACCGTGAACGCTACGACCACCGAAGGTCCCGATATACAGCGCTGCTACGCCAGCAACATATGGTGCCGCCATAGATGTCCCGCTCATGATGGCGTAGTCGCCGTTAAGATAGGTACTGAAGATGTTACCACCGGGCGCAGCAATATCCGGCTTGAAGTCCAAGTCATAAGACGGTCCCCATTGCGTAAAGGTGTCCGGTTTATTAGCGAATGGGTTCGAGTAGGCAATTGGGTTCTCGGGGTTGACAGAGAAGTCAGCAGTCACAGTGCCGTTCTTTTTCACGAAGTCAATAATGGCTTCTCCAATCTCCGCCACGACGAGCGCGATTAGGGTGTCGTCATCCGTTGTTCCGGGTTGGATTAGTGGGCTCTCGTTGTTGTAGAATAACATGTACTCTGCTCCTAGTGCCTCTAGATTGCTCTGCTTGGTGGCAAATGGGCAGGTACCGCGTCGAACAAGGGGGATCTTGCCCGTTAGGTTTTGCGTGCCTTCGGGGTATGGCTCACATGCCTCGGCGGAGTCGGAGGTGTTAAAAGCCAAAGGTACAATGGGCCACCCCACGACTTTCAAAGGAAAGTAGTTCGTCGATGGAAGGTAACCGAGAGTGGTTGTGTTAGTGACTCCATCAAGTGTGAAGTTCGCTCCGAACGGGAATTCAGGGAACGCTTCCGTCTCGACCGATGCAACCGCAAGGACGTTCGTGCCAGACGATCCATCGCTACCATAAACAGGACCCTGGTCACCTGAGTTTCCGGCGGAGATAGTGACGAGGATGCCTTCGTCGACGAGACGAGATGCGACTGTAGCCCAAGCGCCGGTCGACCACCCACCAGGTTGGCCAATACTAGCAGTTACGATGTCAACCTGTAAGTGTTAATAACCTCCCAAGAGAAATATCATATCTAACACACCTCGTCATCATAGGCTCGTAGAAATGCGTCGATAAGCGTTGCGGTATCAGTGTAATCCTGCTATCATCCGTTAACTACTATCTGTCAACAGCATTACCCCTCAAACTCACATATGAAGGGAAAACCTTATATGAGTATAAGGTGGCTTCAGGAGCGACACCAGTCCATCTAAGTCCGTTAACCCAACTCTGGCGCGACTCATATATACCTGGTCCTGAAAGGGGATCGCCTACGTGTCTGCTTTCGCCGCAATGATACCAGCGACGTGGGTTCCGTGGCCAATGTGATCAAGAGGGTCAGCATCGGGCTTTTTATCTTCGCTAGGCCAGTCTATCACGACGCATTAATTCTATCCCCAAGTTTATTACCCAGGTAGAATTCAGGCCTTACATCCGTCACCGATGAAGTCCCATCCACCCGCCACCTTGAAGCCAGGACCAAAACCACCACCAAGCTACATATTTGTTAGCATGTAGCTTATTCGGGGCGTGAGAATATCGAAGAGGGATCATACGGCGGTGTGGTTATACCTTATCCGATATCAGTACATACTTTCGTGCCCGGGGGAAGCGGAGGATAATACTAACCAGGTACCCGTATCAACAACGCCGACTTTCGCACCCTTACCAAAAATACCAGCCTCGTGCAGCTTGCTCACCCCCGTGACATTGTGAGTGGTGTAGTTGAGATTAGCCGGCAGATCACTGATGATCTGTGGTTCAACGGGGCCTAGGTAAACTTTCTCGTTAGGCCAGACATGGAGGATATCGGGTAAAGCTTGAAGTGCATTGATGCTGTAGGAGTTAGTCTCGATGGTGGCACCAGTAAAGACAGGACTTTCGAAAGACTTGACGATCCGAACGCCCTCGGCGGCCGCAAGGCCATCACGTCGATGCGCTTGACCCTTGATGCGAATAACTCGTTAGTCTCGACGAAGTCACTGAACAGCCCAATTTATTGTCGCAACTTACAGGTGCATATTCAATGATATAGCTTCCTACTATAGGAGCCGCATTAGCATTATTGTCAGCCCTGCGACTCAAAGCCGCGACTCCCCTAGTGAAGGGAAGGACCACAGCAAGAGTTGAGAAACGCATCTTCACTTTACACCTTAATCGCAGCAAATGAGGCTATCTCCCAAATCCATGGTCCTAAGACACGCGACCATTCAATGTTTATATGCGTTCAATTGCAACTCCATCACGATCTGCTATACCAATTCTCTAACCCATGTCTTTTACGACCGGGCGCGATTTACAACACGAGGTTTGCCCCACAGAGTTGGTCTGATAGGGCTGTCGGGTATCTATAGTCTTTTGGCATAATGATACGATGTTACTGTATGTTCTACGGCTTAAGCACAATCATGGGCTGGAAATTGAGATTTACCTACCGAGTTAAGCAACATCGACCGTCACTATCCGTGCCAAGACGTTGCGTTAATGCAGGGGTCGATCTCGTCAAAGCTCGTGTAGTAGTTATAACGCTATAGTCAGAGGAAAACGATTATTTATTACTTATAATTGGTGGAATATAAGTTATTTTCGAAGAAATGTTGAGGATTATACCAAATGGTGATAACTGAAGGTACCACGCACTTTTACGAAGACCTAGACGCCTGTCATAGAAGAGAGACTATGCCTTGCTAGGTAGGACGATAGAAAACAGCAGACCGAATTTCAGAGTACGGACGAGGTTATAATGAGGAGATGGAATATTACAATATTGAGAGCACGATGGATGATAAAGCTCCAAGCTATAGAGACCAACAAGATCGCCTCATCACCCAGATCCCCATTCAACAGAATATAAAAGCGTAAACAAAGGATTAGGTATATGAAATTTACTATACTCAGTATAATAGATATGATGTGACAAACTGTAAGAATTAATCCACTCTAGCGTTTTTTTCTTAGGCCAAGATATTTTTCGGCGCCTCCTTTACCTCCTCCTATGCATTTTCGGGGAGGAACGCATCATTTATTCAAACTAGCTTATATTATAATTATATGGAACGGCTGATCGTGGCACGGGCAAACACCTCGTACTTCTTCCCGCAACCAGGTAGCAGAAACATCATACCAAGAATGAATTGGGACGCAAACCACACCATTGACCGGGTTAACGGGTGCATATAGTCGTCCTCTTGACCCCAGATGTATATCCAGGTGTAGACGGCTCGACAAAGGATGTAATTATAGGAAAAGAAGTTCAGGATCCAGAGGTCAACTCCCTCCAAGTTAGCAGCCAATACAGCGATAGCGAACAACGGGAGATTCTCAAATGCGTTGTTTAGCGCGCACTCGGAACGGATAAGACGTCCTCGTACCTATAACAAAGTTAGCATAATGGTTTTTACGCCTTCAGTGGGGGTGAAACATACCTTGTCGTTCAAGTCCCTGCAATTCCGAAGAGCCGTGGGAAAATCGCGAGGACTCTTGGGGTCGTAGATCTTATTTCCGGCTCCCAGGAGGACAGCCCATATTCGCGGGAATAGAGCTAAAAAGAACGCGACGACAACCTATGAGTAGTCAGATTATATTTCCAAAATAAAACCAGGCGAGGTATACATACGAGAGCCCATGAGTGGTTAGTTTTGTGGAGATCCAATACACTGGGTAGTTCAAAAGACATCGTTAAGAGGTAATTATCAGTAGTAATTAAATAAGTAGCTAGTGGTGTTGGATGAGATCAATATGCCCTATATCCGTAAGTAGTTATTTTTATACAGCTAGCCAACTAAAAGAGTATGAATAGAGCAGGCTTAAATACTTCATCAAGCTAAACAACAACCATCCGATAAATATTCAACCCCTTAATCCATCGAATCCTCCTTTTTTTCATAGATCCTAAATCACTAACACAGTCCTATATCATCAAGACGAACATAAATACGAGGCGTAAGTACCTAGACAAAGACGAACCTCGACCTGTATAATCAAAAGATATAGTTGGGTATCTATTCTTTTCATATTTCCCATCACTAGCCTCCATACGAAGGCGCGCTGTCCCAACGCCAAGAAACATAGGATTGCCAGTTCGGACTGACGGTATATAGCGATTAGTTTCTTGTGTTACTTCCTAGAACCTCATTAAAAATGATTCTAATTATTAGCAAGTTCTATGATGACGTACTTGATAGTGCGATCCAAGTTGAACAATGAGATTTATCCCCTTTAAGGGGTAAATACCCTGATCTAAGCCAAGCTTCGTCATCGCAACTATGAGACCCCTATTACCTACTAAGGTACATGATAATAGCCTACCTAAGCCACAAATGACCTCTAGCACCACCAGGCTAGCATAGTACATAGAAATGTATAGGCTCGTAACTTCAGTCTAGTGATCCTGTCAACACGATATAATCAGATGACCATGAATTAGCTAGACAGAATCTGAGATGATGAAGTCAACATAACTTGTTCACAGGACAGACAAGGACAGAATACATATTTCAGATTATGTCATCTTTTCGATTCAACGAATCATTTGATAGGTATCTGATTCCCACGTGATACTAGTAATATAACCAAAATGGAATGGAGGAGGACCGGAGAATTTCGCACGTTTCGAGTTGTACGCGTGTAGGACTAGTTGAAATAGAAACTCCTTAGGAGTAACTCCCTTGGAACCGGATCGTCGATCGGTATGTACATAGGTACTTCATCAATTTCCGGGCTTATCGTTAAGCGCTATCAATGCCAACTAGCCGGGTACATCCTTGATGTATATTGTGGTGGAAGCACAGCCCCGCTTTCCCCCACCTTGCCTGCTGCTGTCTCCCTACTGTGTTGCGCAGCCGGCCGCGGCCGTAACAAGATACATCCCACTTTCATCATTTTCCTAGAAAGCTTTATTACGCCAGCCTCAAACGTCTCGGTCTTACAATTGCTTTTGCTTGTTTGCGATCCAAACCACTTAATTGGATGCCATTAGAAGCGCATATTCAAGACCGAGATGCCAAGCGGGATAAGGCAGGCAGGCTGTAGGTTTTAGCTGTGATGTGATGGATTAGGATAGTCCAGGTCTGTAGAGAAGAATGGAATGTCGGCTTCCAAGGTTATTGGTTACGCAACGGCCCGGAGGTTGGTAACCTAATCTAACATTCAAAATTGATACATGACATGTACTAGAGCTGTTGTGATAGTTAATTCAGGACGCATTACAGGTGCTGCGGCCTCGTCTGGAAACGGACATCCCGAGAATACCTACGTATCTTTTATGTTAGATATGTGCAACAGGTCCTCTCACTTCTCACACACCCCCTATCACCCAGCAAAACAGACACATGGGCTTTCTGATTTGTCCATGTTTGTCTTATCGCAAATGGGCCATGCAGGTTCGGTTCGGGCATGTGGAGGAGGGTACAATACCTGCCTACATATGTACCTAGGTATGTAGGTATGCAGTTAGCATTTTACATCGTATTGGTCCGAAAGGGTAGCATGCCTCGATTTGCCGATCGACCTAAGGTACAACAACCTAGGCACAACAAGTAAGACATCCTGCATTTCTGCACGATAGCTGCCTCACAACTAGGTTCAGAGAGGTACCTAGACACTTACCTTTCCGGTCGGGGAGTGTGGGATGACAATTTAAGCGTACAGTCATCGTTACATATATCCTTGGGAGCTGTCTATTTCATTAGTAATGAAAGTACCTAGGTAGCTATGTCCAGGATCGTGATGTATTCCACGGGTTTGTCGACTGGACGAGAGCGCTGCATCAAACATAGTTGTACGAAAGGCAGGCTGAGTTAACAAATGACATCGTAGAGCTGGTAGCACGAGCTGAGGACGAAGCAAGGACGAGCTTTTAAACGTGGATGTATGAATGGATCGTACGTATGAGGTACGTATGGCATGTAGGTACGGATACGGGCACAGTTCCAGCAAGGTATAAGCGAACAGGAATTGAAAGAAACCCCTGGAATACCTAGGTACATGTCAACTTCGAAATAGTGGCTTAGTTTCGTCATCCGATGAAGGGAATGATGGATAACTTTCATCAATCAGATCCCGACTTTCCCAGGAAACGCCCGAAGGTCATCGGCTTCTCGTTCTCTCTAATAATAGGTGCCTTGGTAAATCACTGATACGCAATCGGAGGGAGGGAATGGATAGGCCAGGCGGGTTAGAATCGTAATAGGTCCCGTCCTAGCCTAGTCAAACCCCCCGGCTCATGCCTGTCATCGTCACACGCACACCCAACCCCATGAAGGAAAGGGCCAAGCATAATGATTAAGGACCCTCTCAGCTTTATCTTCCCAACGACCAACAGACGAACGGGAATGGCGCATATGGGTACCTGGGTAGTAGAGTAGTAGAACAGATAGTCAGGTAGTAGTAACTTAAGTGTAATTGCGCACCACGCGCTAGATATTAGATCGTGGAAGTAGTCAAGGTACAGTACCTAGTCTACCCTTAGTAGTCCGAGGCAAGATCATGATAAGGAAGAGGCAAGATGGCGAAAGAGACAATTCCCATCTCCTTATTAAACGCGACCATTCGCATCTCCCCTCCCTGCGCCGACTTAGAACCTTCTCTTCCCTTGTTGCTCTTCATATAACAAACAACAATCGATTAACCAACTGTTACTGACTCAAACGTTAAAGATAAGAAAGATAAATTCGCATTCGTGGTGTTCTCTTGTTCTTGTTCTGTTCTGTATTTGCATAAGTTGTACTTTGTACTTTGTTTAGGTTTCCGTAATACTGCGTCATCGGCCCCATCAAGCTGAAGCACTGAAGCATTGAGCCAGCTGGAATTCGCATCCGCCGGACTACTTTCGTTATCGATATCGATAACCTAACCTTACCGAACGCTGCGTACCAAAACCGCAATCGCAACTGCGCATCGCATCATTTACCGTTGTGTACCTACCCCCGTTTTGGCCGTGCACTCTTTATTATCGATTCTGAGTCACCCGGCCTTTCACCTTGCAGGTGCCCAAGTTGCTCACTCACCCACGTTCTTTCCTGTCTCTGACACAACGGAAGAAGACGAAACAAAGCCACACTTTCCCATCACTTGACGGTCTTTCCTTTTCCCGCCTGTTTGCTTATCTTCAGTGTCCCTCTCTTCTTCTTTAACCGCAACACCCTATCGCTTCGCTCAACGAGAAACAAAGCAATTTCCTAAACTCACAAACAGCCAACCTAAGGAATAACACAAGACCTACCCATTATCTTACCTAATCGTCATTTACCTGCCCTGTGACTCGACCACCCTCCGAATCGGTTGCCCTTCTAGAAAGCACCAACCCATTCATCATACATCATCCATACATTACTTTCATCCTCTTCAACCTACGATTAGCCGCTCTTTCAATTCCAAAGCCCTTAACAATTTGCCCAATAGACACTATCCTTTCATCGTTCTTATTGCCTTATACTTTATAATCCGTTTCTTTCGATCGTCGTCATCGTCCTTCTATACAGAGAGTTTCGCCACACCCAAGAGTATATCAGTACCATAGACCGCATCCTACACCTCTATCAAGATCGGCCAATAATCCATCGACCAATACTTGTAACCACTGCAATATTACCAATAGACTATCATCAATCATGGCTTTTGAGCAGACTCGAGACTTCCGAAGCACCGCCCAGGATTCGAAGCGATTCAAGGAACACACCGAGAAATGGTCCCGAGGTACCCGACCGTCAGGCGGTTGCACATACAGTTGGGTGCAGGATAAGATAATCGGAGGAAGCGAAAGTCAGATCGAGAAGGTTCGACCTGAAGGACCTGGGCAGTGAGTATACTCGATCGTTGTGATTAGTATGTTCCCAAAAGGAAATGCTAACAAATTAGCCACTCTCACCGTTACGAAACTGGAAACGTCGTGAAGCCACGAGAGACTAGCTCAACACTTCGAACAAGACATTCGCGCAACAAGATAGACGTAATAACAGAGTTACATGATCCGACCAACATCTCTCGATCCCTCCACGACCTCCTGCCATCACCTTCAGCCCGACGAAGTCTTAGCGTATCGGATAACATCCTGTACAGCTTCGATAGAACCGAGAGCCCAGGCAAGGCGTTAACACTAGACGTCTTCGTCAAGTCCAAACCGAAGGAGACGGAGAAGTTTGTCGAGAAGGAGTACGAGATCCTCGACAACAATGGGGATGCCCTCAAGGGACGAAAGGCTCGACAGAATCTCCGTCGCAAGAACCACGCACCGGCGAACGAACCTGACGTCATCGAGGATGAAGGTTTCGAGCTGGTATAATGCGAAGATTGCCCTTGAGGATCGTGCGGTCGGCTTCGTTGCGTCTTGACTGCATCCATCCCTTTGATATTACGGCTCCTTGACTCTTGCATTCCTTTCTTCGCATTCCCTCATCCTACAGGTTATGGGACAAACCGTGCGACATAGCAACTTTGTGCTATTTGACCGTTATTTTTATAAACACCTGAAACGACCGAAACGATTTTCTATAGCGTTCCGGAGGCTACTTAGGTTTAGCATTTCGGGGAGGGTTGTGGTGACATTGACATTAGACCTCTAATATTGCATCGTCGTCGCCCGAGCATTCTTCATATTGTTTTTATAATGCATATACTACCCAGACTCTGGTAGGCGGTGTTGAGCCTAACTCTAAACATCGGGATGTCAAGGTCGGAGGAGGATAGCTCGGCGCATTCTGTGTATTCTTTCGGGTTGGACGGACGGACGGACGGACAGATTTATTCGGTATTATTCGACCATAGGGATATTCGGCAGAGTGTTGGTATTCTCATCGGGCGTATTGCAGCTAGGTATCTCTTTCTTTGAGTAGTATGTTTAGCACATTATGTCGCACGAGACATCAATATATCATTTAATACCGACACGTGCCGCTGCACTTTTCATGCCAATGCCGGAAATTATATGCATTGTATAAAATGTGTGCGACGTGAATAGGCACACTGAATGAATAAATGAAGGGGAAATGGCGGTGACAATATTCGAGAAATTGCTAATTCCTCAATTGTGTGTGTGTTCATGGCCCGTGCGTATGCTACGTAAGATATATGTCACAGCGTTACTTGTTACTCTAACCTACTTTATAAATTGATTCTGAACTTAGTAAAATTAAAAGGTTTTGGATGGGCAGGTACGAAGTACCCAATCATTACCTACATAAGGTAGATAAAATTTACTGGAACCATTTGACTGCATTTCTTCCTAATACAACACCTAACCTATTCATGGATCCCATCTTTTTCCAGCCACTTAAACAAAGCAACCGAAGTTAGAGTGATTATCATAAAGACCTGGCATTATGGGCGATATAGCTACAAACCTCATCATGGATCCCGACAAGTACTTTGCTATCTTGGCCCCTTGCGAATTCAAATGTCTTACGCGGTCCACCTGGGATCTTAGCGATTGGATGTTCTCCGGTAAGGCCAGCCTGCTTGTTGGTCTCCTCGCCGTACCTGTCCTGTCACACCAACGTCAACGTAATTTCACTTCCAAGCTAAAAAACGAATTACCCCGAGTCGCTACAGCGCATGGTACTTCTCGAATAACAATATGGAGTCTGCCTACTGAGATCCATTTGATGATTCTAGACCAGGTTGACGAATATGATTGCGCCTGCTTCGGGCTCACTCATATCTACTTCTGGCAACTAGCACTTCCCGTCCTGCACGACAAGTGGGCATCAAGCATGGCACCATGGGCAGGCAAGAAAATCGTTGCTAGTGGAATTGAATTAGAGCCAGGTGATTTCCCCAACGCCCTGTTTTCTATAGACGAGGCTGTTACATTAGTTCTCTCCAAGTTCCATTCCAACTTAGACAGGATTCAAACAATGTACGTCGATCCAATAGGACAATTATCTCTGCGTGAGCTCCTAACGTTATTCGATTTCTTCAACTTGAGTGACGAACAGCCGATTATTACCTGCGAATCAAAGCTAGAGTCATTGAAATCCGTAGTCCGAAAACGTGGCCACACGGTTCCCCATGAGGGGCTATCGACCTGTTTTCAGGCAAACGAGTTGACAGAATTCACAGAAGAGGATTTCTATCCTCGAAATGAACCGTGGATTCTAAGGAATCTCACAAAGAGGGAATTTGTTCGCTCAGAAGCAATTGCCTTGAAACCGGAGTACGTACGGGGCCCAGTTATCGAGCTCGTTGGCTTTGGCGAGGCTCTCTTGTCTCGAATATGTTGGTCGTCCAATCCCGATGTTGCAATCGACAGAGGTCCTTGGGCAGGACATCGATTTGATATCATAACCCTCTCCAGACACGCGGCAACAACCCGTAAAGAGGATTGGATCGATGGTATGTATAAAGCATGTGTTAATCATGACCCTAACTTTCGAAATTCATCCTGTCGCCTCTCGTCATCCCACCAACCTCCAATTTCATAACGTCATTTAGTCGTCTACCGAAAAGCATTTGGCGTTTGATATTGAATTACTCATGGATATATCTTTAGTCTCAGAAGAAGTTTCCGATAGCCTCCATACAATATGGAATGCCAACTGCACTCCAGAATGGCAAGATTTTGTGACGGATCGCAGCATTGAAATCCAGGAAGGGGCCGTATACAATTCTAGCAAGGTCCTGCCTCTTCAAGCAACTGCTGTACGTTTTTAGAGACCAATTCTCCCATCACAGGAATCCTCAATATTTTAGACGTAGCATTAAACACAATTTGAAAAATTGACCAGCTCTTTCGGCACTATATCTCACCTTCGATATTTAGGGTCCCATAATCAATTGCTGTCTTGGGGGAGCAAGTTGACAAGCTTTAAGTATTTCCTCTAGCGCAATCCCTTCAGAAACCTCGTGTCGGCGCCTATCTTCCTCCTCAGCTTCGTGGACTGCCTCCCAATCATCCTGCCAAGCCAGATCAGTTGGTGATACAGGCCTATTTTTTGTTGCTGGTGTTCCACTGTTGTTGAAACTAACATACTGAGACGACGGCGCCCAATTCTTTTGCAGCAGCAAGGACCGCCTCCAAAGTTCATGGCGATCTTTAATGAGCTGTCTAGCCATGGGTTCCGTACACACGTGTACAATTTCGATCTTTGGTATTTTCCAGGATCGCTTCAATGATTCTTTTTCGATTATCTCTCTTCTCAGGTTTGCGAGATATGTTTCTTTCAAGTGCGCCGCTTGTTCGAAGCAATCGCCGTCACCCCCCTTCAGTTTCTCCAGCGAACCAAGCATCCCCACATTTGAAATGTTGTAGGAATCATAAGGGAAGCCGCCCATCGGAGAGAATAGCATATCGACATCCTCGACCGGTACACACCGCCAAAGCTCTCGCGTGTAAACCGCCGAATCCCGGTCGATTTTTGTGTCTGGGGAATTGCCCGTCGGCGAGCTCGAAGAATGTGAGAAAAATTCACCAAAGTCACAATGATCCCATTCCACTAAATACAGCTTATTGAGGTTTGGTACGAGCCGAACTGTATCATGAAGTAAAGTTTGACTGACAACATCTACGTCGGCATAACGAGGGTGCGGAGAAGGTAAAGAGCCCAAAGCCAACTTTCGGACTCGGCGCAGGCTATCGACATCGAATTCCGAAATACCCCATGGTCCGTACTCCAAAAATACCGGCTCCCTATCGAATATCCGTTCGAGAAACAATACATCATGCTTGAAATTAAACCACGTTCGGGGTCCATGAGTCCGAGTCCCGAATGCGAGCTGGTATCCAGTTTGAATTAGGAAGGAGCGCGATTCCGAGCACGTGTGGAGGAGTGCGGGAATAGGTGCTTCACTGTAGAGATAACTCTTGCGAAGGAGCTCGTATGCTTTATCAGAGTGGTCTAGTAACCAATAAGCCGGGATTTCCGGGGTCTCGTCTGAAATTTGCCAGGGATGCCGTATCCGTTTTGTGTTTGTGAAGTTGTACGATTCTAGTCTTCTTTGGCCGTGAAGATCCGGATATGACGAGAGCCTTTCACGCCAGTTATGAGCAAAGTAGGTAAGAGACCGATGTAAATTCATCTGGCTTGGGCCAGCATCATAGAACCATTCTAAAAATTCATCTTCATCTTGCAGACGCTGTTGGACGTGCACAAATCGAGGCGGTGTAGCGAGGGTATATATAGCTTGTCTGACTTCTGTCGGAAGCAATTGAAATGAGGGAAATGTGTTGAAAGTCATGTTCTACAGGGTAAAATCATATAGGCCGACTTGTGTATTGAAAAACCAACTCACTTAACTCCTCTCTGATTTTCTAGGTGAGACATTGCGAAGAGGAAGGATGATTTGGAAGGCCCAATTAAATGGGCATTTACAATCCCTGGTTATGCATAGATTGATGCCTGACTCTTCAGTATAATTCAGCTTGCTCTACTCGATCCTATTTGATCGCTGCCGAGTATCCACCCAAACAACCAACCTCCATCACTCTCAGTTTTATAAATAATAAAATTCGAGAAGCCACATAGAGAATTGAAGACTTAATAACCCCGGCACTGGCTAATGTGCATAGCTGAAGGGCAGAGACAGATGTGAATAGGGAGAATATTATATTGCCATAGAGGCAAAAGTCGATGAGATCTCAGCATTTCAAGATGGCTGATATCATAGGATTACACAGAGTAAGATCAGCCACTCAAACTGGCGAATAGTTACATTATACTCCTTTGTAGCAATGCGATTATGTCAGTAGAGGCACGTGCGATCGAAAAACTTACCTCACTGAATACCTACATCAATTTATTCCTTTGTGAGGGGATACCTGAGGGGATGATGTTATTCCAATGTTGGTGGTTATGATTGGCAGTCATGGCCCCGTCATAGCTCCCTTTTTATGACACAACCTTGCAGCCTCTAGTCGCCAACGACGACGAGCTCTCAGTATAAAGCTTTGAAAAGCCTCGAAGTTAACCAATCTGCTCCCAGGCGAAGATAACACATACGTTTCAATAGCGAGAAACATCGAGGCTCTATCAAACAGCACTAGACGAAATAGATACTTAAGGAACTATCAAACTTACTATGGCTTCGTAAGTACGCCTCTTGTCGACCCCAGAATTTGGGTTCACCAAATTTCCGAAAATTTCGAGAAGACGGAATGTGACTAACGATCGCGGAACTACCAGAACCGCACAGATCTCCGGGGCCAAAATCGAGCCCCTTAAGTCGGACGTGAAGCACAACAGGCCGTATGACGGCGCAGACCGTGGGTCGGCAGGTTCAGATCAGACTATCGACCAATCGCGAATCAATCCTCTTGGAGGACGGGGTGAGTCACTACCCCATTCCCACCTTCTTCTACTCTTAAGTATAGTAACTAATACAATTCGATCGTCCTAGGTCAACACCAACACCCCGCACCACATGCCAATAGCCAAGGAGTCGTAGGCACGACCGAGAATCTTGGGAAGACGAAAATCCAGCCGTTGGAGGGAGGCGTGAATGAGTCACAGAACCCGAGGACGGGACTCGATGATGAGGCTGTCGATGCGGCGAGGATTAATCCACTTGGTGAGGTTAGGGAGTAGTAGTAATTAGTGACCGATGTGTCATTCTTGAGTTACTCAATAAGTAAAATGGAAAATAAGTAAAACATGGTATATTAGTCCTAGGATAAATATATCGGACTCATAGTTTGTTCGTTTGGTGACGTTTTATTCCGTGTTTCCGATTGACGATGTGGCCACTAAAAGTATTGATAGCATGCTTATAGTGTTAGAGAACATTAAGAAGCTTCCAAAGGTTAACAATCAGCACTCGCCAGTGCTTCCAAGATTCTTGAGGACAGTAAGAAAGTTATAATTCTGACGATGTGCTGAACGTTGGGAGGTGGGGTATCATGCATATAGAAAGTAATTAATAATGAACTGCTTTTAAGAATACCTAAATCGTTATATACAGCATACTGCCAAATCGCGATCTTTTCTTATCTCTTATCGTGACGTGACGCCAAAAGTCCCCAAGCTTCAACAGCTACCTAGGTACCTTCCTCATAATCATCAGATACAATCACCTACGCGAGTACTTCATTCTTACGAAGTTGTAATATTAATTCTAGCGAGCCTATCCAACCCCATAATCACACATGAAAGGCTAGATTTCAATCTATGAACTTCTAAACAACGACCCCCGAACCGAACACCATCCTCATAACCTCTCCCTTCAACATCCACCGTCACAATGCCATCCGACTTATCCAATTACCTCGCAACACGCTACCTGGTCGCAGACCCCAAGCCATCCAAAAAACGCAAGCGCAAGCAAAAAGACGACAACGCGGGCCTAATAATCGCGGATGACGATGAATCCGGCTGGGGCACACGAGGAAATAAAAACGGCGACGATGACGACGACGAAGCATCCGCCGTAGTCGCAGGAACCAGCGCCGAATTCCGCAAAGCGAAAAAATCCGCATGGAAAGTCGTCGGCGGCGCCTCGACCTCTACCCCCAATACCACCACACAAGACGACGAAGCATCCAAAGCAGCAGACCTAATCCTCGCCTCTGCAGCCGCTGAAACCGCCGCCCAAGGCGCCGATGACGAAGAATCCGCCCCCGCAATAATGATGTCCGACGGCACCCACGCCGGTCTCCAAACCGCAGCCGCCGTATCCGCGCAACTCGAAGCCCGGCGTCTAGCCGAGCTCGACGAATACGCGCGTTCGGGCCACTCCACGACGAAAGAAGCCGAGACTATATACCGCGACGCTACGGGTCGTCGTGTAGACGTAAGCATGAAGCGCGCCGAACTACGTCGTGAAGCACAAGCCGCTGCCGAACGAGAAGCCGCCAAAAAAGAAGCCCTTAAAGGTGAAGTCCAGGTTGAAAATGCTAGAAAACGGCGCGAGGAGTTGGAGGATGCGAAGGTTATGGCGGTGGCGCGACATGCGGATGATGAGGATATGAATCGCGAGATGCGGGAGCAGGTCCGGTGGGGTGATACTATGGCACGGTTTATAGAGCCAAGGGAAGGGGCTGATGGCGGAGGGGGAAAAGATAGTGGGGGAAGCAAAAAGAAAAATTTGAAGGGTAGACCGATATATCAAGGTGCGTGGACGCCAAATCGATATGGCATCCGACCAGGGTACCGGTGGGATGGTGTGGATAGGGGGAACGGATTTGAGGCGGAGAGGTTCAAGGCTATTAACAGGCGTGAGAGGAATAAGGGGTTGGAATACTCGTGGCAGATGGACGAGTAAGTGGAAATTCAGATGAAAAATCCACAATAATGCATAGCATGGTAGGGGCAGCATATCACAGTTAAGCATCAAAATTTTTCGGGGATACCGGTTTATTATAGCAATTAGCCTAGGAGCAAACTGCATACCTAACTATACATGCTGGCCTATAGTCCATTGTGAATGAGTTCGCCGACCATCGTCCAGAATATAGAAATCGTCGCAACTCCATAGCACATCAGTCAAGCACCGGCCAGGTTAGGTGATTCGGTTCCCGCATCTCATTCAGAGCAATCTCATCTTCAACTGTAGAAATAGGTTTTGTTCCGGCTTCTCATCAGTCAACCAATGGTAGGTATCTTGCCGGGTCTATTGCAACGCAGTAAAACTCAACGCAATTTTTTTGTTCTTTTATCCGAATTTCCAGCCTCCCAGAAATGCCTGTACGCCTTGGTGAAGTAGTATAATGGACTGCGAGTTATAAAGTCCATTCCGTTTCTGGGAAAACCGACGATTAATGCAGCGAAACAATATGTATTTCTACCAATGCGACCTGTCGAAACGAAGCAAGGCGAGAAGGGTCAAGATCCCTAATATTCTTGAAGGAGCGAACTGCTCTACCACCAAGAGATGACCTATTTGTCTCTAATGATTAATTTCTCAGCCTGGTTATACCTTGCATTAGCCTTTACTATCCTAAGCCACTCTTTTCTAGTCATATGGCCCGGTTTGTCCAATCGATTCTTGAAGGGCCTGATCAGGACACCAATAGTGACGCCAGTCCCTAATGGGGGTAACGCATCGAGAATCTCTTGAGGCGTGATGGGCTCAAGCTTGCCACTGTCGGGGGAACCTGCTCGTGGGCCAGCAGTGGGGCCTTTGTTGGGATTGCCTTGAGGCGGAGCAGGACTAGTAGCACGGGAGCCCGTAGGGGTTGGCCTTTTGCTGTCTTTACCACCCACCGCCAATAGACCAGATCGTTTCTTGCCTCCCGCGCCATCTGACATCTCGCCAGCTGTGCCCTCGCCATCGCTAGTAGAGCCAGCACCAACTTTACTACGGCGAGGTAGAGGAGTCCCGCTACGACTGTCGTTGCCGTGAGTAGTCTTCTTCTTCTTCCGGGTGGACTCGGTACCACTAGAATCCGAAACCATTGGGGACCCGGCTCGTTTAAGAGATTTGCCCTTCTTCGCTGCTTCGGCAGCTGCCTTCTTTCCCTGAGGGGTGCTGGATCCCTTGGATGGGGTTCCCGCGTCTTTATCCTTATCAGCTTTCTTCTCTTCGTCTTCTTTCTCATTATCGAGATCAGAATCAGACTCATCCTATACATCTATTAGTTCTAATCGATAGCCAAAGAGCCAAGATAATCTCACCTCCGAAGACGCAAAAGGGTCCCTGTTACTCTCTGAATCGCTTTCGTACTGAAACTGCTTGTCGACTTTCCTCAATGACTTCTTAAGACCCTTGCCGAGTCGCTTTCGCTCAAGCTTCTCTTTCTCTTCAACTGCAGCTTCCTTCTCAACCTTAGCCTCATCAGCATCGCCGAAAAGGTTGGCTCCAAGCTGATCACGACGAATTCGTTCATTTGCTGTCTTGGAATCCTCGTCCCTATCGGGTTCATATCCAGCAGTCTCGTCATCGTCCTGGAATTCATCCCCAGACATGTCAATATCATCATGGTCCATCTTCTCGCCACGTGAAGCTTTCATGAAGGTGCCACTCTCTTGCTTAATTGCCGGGCGACCGTTGACAAGAATTCGGGACTCAGCCATGGCCTTCTCAGCTTCTTGGCGTTGTGTGTCTCGTACTATCCAACGACCAGGAGCAACCTTCTTGTTCATAGCCTTCTCTGCTTCTTCGATAGACATACTCTTGAATGAACCACGCTTTGAAGTAAATCTGTACCATTTTTCCAGAGGTATCATACGAAAGCCGTTGTTGTGGATTTTAAAGGCGACTTTGCAATCGGACAAGGGCGCTTCGTACTGACCGACCCAGACGTTTTTTCCATCGGCGTCCTCCAAGTGCCACGGTAGAGCTTCCTCATATCGAATCTCATTCTGTTTCTTCTGCTCTTCAGTGCGTGGCGCATAATGGATCTGTAGACCGGGCTTTTTGGGCTCTTTATGCTGCTGCTTTGCCTTGGGAAGAGCATCTTTAGCGACAGGAGCCTTCTGAGCATTATCGGCCGCACGTTGAGCTTCTCTTTCTGCTTTCAGTAATGCAATTTTCTCAGCCTCGGCGGTCGCAGCAGGGTCCTCCTCGACGGGAACTTCTTCTTCCTTCACCTCACGGCCGGGGGGCGGTTGTTTGGGGTCGCGTCGGTGTAGAGTAACAGGTCGGGTAAATTCGTCCTGGTTAGTAGGGTCGATGCCGGGGTTGCCGTGTTGGTGGAATTTACCACCGTGCGGAGCAAATCGCATAACATGGAAGCGTAGGCCCTCCTTTAGAGACTTCTTTGTTACATAAAGAGGATAATCCTGGGCGCCAGGTGGCGTAGGGGTTGACCAACCACCATTCTGTGAGCGCAATGTGTCGAAGTTGAGTGGCCCTTGTCCTCCCAGGGCCGGTTGCTGGGGTCGGCTAGCAGGTCGAGGAGCGGCGCTAGGTGCAGCACCTCTACCGAGACCTGGGGGAGGCGGTCGACGAACGGGTTGCTTTTTTCGCGGAACAAGAGGATTCGCCGTATTACGCGGTCTACGCAGCGGAGGCGCACCGGGGGGGGGAGTCGGTCTCTGGCCGTTAGGGCCTCCGGCGGGCGAAGGGCTTGCGCTCATGATGACAATATCGAGGTTAGATATCGATTACTAGCGGTCATCGACGCGCAAAGTATCGACAGATATCCAAGTCAGCCCAAACCAACCTAAGGTGCTATATTTCATGGGTGGACATCGGTGAGTCGGTAGCAGTGGGTTAAGAAACCACGGGATATTGGAAGGATGATAACGCGAAGATGAGGGCGAAGGCAAAGTTGAAATATTTGCCTAAGAGACAAAGATCACGCCGGTCGCGGTCGCGTAGATCACCCAAGAAACGAACTTGGAAAAGAGAGAAAGAAAAAAAAAGTACAATCGTAGCAGATTGCCCAACTCCTCAATTACTCGGTACTGAAAAATCAAGCAGCTATTGAGGAGGGGCAAGAGGGCTGTTGCGACAGAGGGGAAATCTGTGTAAGATGAAAAGTTGATGAAAGAATGAACGGATGGAGATGATGGAAGTTGAAAGTGTCATAATCAGCCGTGGGTCGAATGCGGCGGAGCTTTGCTAAGATTCCCTGGAAACTGCCTGGTGCTTTGCGGGTCTCGCCCAATTAAGAATTTATGAGAGGTGCACGAGTAAAAGATACGCACTGTCCTGCGCATATACCTACCTAATTTTAAGTACCTTCTACATATGTTTTGCGCTGAATGACAAGCAATTTGGAAAGCACAAAGGGGAGCAAGCAGAGCCCTGGAGCCGCGTGCCAAGAAATCATAAAAGATGGGGCAATAGTGGAGAGAAAGTTGCGATACTCATAGCGTCACAGAAGATACTTATGATTATAGCTGTATTAAGTAGCTTTGTGGGGAGAAATGCCCTAGGAGGATGCCGGAAAGCAAATCTTGTACAATTGAAATAGGTCCACAGAAGTACTATTTCTCCGATCCAAGTTACGAATCTTACTAGCATTAAAGCTCTTGCAAGATCGAAATACTTCTAATTCTTAGTGAGGTGCAGCCAATCAATTCACTTATCGTCCTAGCAATACTATCACAATCCTCACCATTTCACCTATTTCACTCAAAAGACAATATTTTTTTTCTTCAGGTTATCATTGATACGCCATTGGCTCTAAACCTTTTGTTATCCTATTTTTGCTAGCAAAGCATTCATTTCCCTGAACAAATACTCCTGCATTGGCACCATCCGACGAAATATCCCCATCTGATCCCGCCTATGAAGATCGTATGATGCAGGACTAGTTAGTTGATATTTCCTTTGTGCTACGTACAACATCTTGGAGCACAAGCAGCTCATTCCTATCGCCGAGTCGCTATTGGAAGACGCTACAGCAAGGAAGTACACAAATTGTTGGTGGAGCACTACCCAAAGACAATATTGCATCTTTCGGACCAGTTCCGATATCAATTGTTCCCAACTATATCAACCCCATTCAACTTCTACCACAACAACAATAGGTGCTTGTTCTGAGAGAATGACGTCCTGGGTCCTATAAATAAAGCTTCAAGCAGCCTTCGATCATGAATGCGAATATAGATTCTTGATTTCCCATTAACAGCCCAGGCATTACTCGCGCATGCGTCTCATCCATTGCGACCATACTGCCTGGAAGAAACAGTCCGAGCTTATATCATAATCAGTCTCTACTAGTCACTATTCCTTCATATCCCATACTTCGGAACAATATACCATGCAGAGCTCCCAGGTCAACGGTGGTCAGCTTGAGGACCACCTACGGAGCCTCATTCTCAACAATACTGGTCAACCAACCCCGCATCCTTTCCAGGTCCCTGTCGCACCTACACCAATTGAAGGTAGATCTCTAGTGGACCAACCAATACCTAAGAGAGAGGAACAGCAGAATACTACACATCCCTCGGTCCCGGCGCAAACTACACCAAAGGGTAGTAGGAAACGACCAAACCAAGCTCAGCGTCGTCAGATGCAGGCGGATTTATCTATACCCATCGACACGAGAGGACCAGCACCACATGACAGCAGGAGATCTTACGCGGGACCGCATCAAAACCGGAACCAACGCGCTATATGGCCCAACGCCGGACAGGCCGCGTTTACCCCCAACGCCGACGCCCATAATGGAGGATTTCAAAATCGCCCTAATGCAACAAATAACCCTCCTATCACAATCCAACAACGTCAGCGAGGTGAATTTAGTCAGGGACCAAACCATCAGCATTCTTGGAGAAACCAGCAACCGCATGCACCCGACACTTTCTCCAAAGGCGTGAACGTCGTGTCTGCCGACGCATTCCCATCCCGCGGTCGTCGCCCCTCACAGGCCACCCTTTACAACCCCAGCGGACAACGCCAATTTACTTTCGGTTCGGAACAACTGATAAATCAGTCCAGACTTCTTGACGATCTTTGTCATTCCGTAGTATCGGGTGCCGAAATTGCGCCTGGCGAAATTGCTGAGAAGGAAAACTTTCGTAATCAAGTAGAGGCAATTTGCCGCGATATCATTAGTCACCACGAAATTGAAGTAAATGGAACACCTGGATTCCAACCTTTTACAATCCAACTCAAATGCTTTGGAAGTCTTTCTTCAGGGTTTGCAACAAAGGCTGCTGATATGGACCTAGGCCTCCTCTCTCCCATGTCACGGCTGCCTCCAGACTCGTCCGATTCGCCCATTCCCCGTCTAATTGAGAAAGCATTGCTCGAACGCGGCTTTGGAGCACGACTTCTCACGCGCACACGAGTGCCAATCATCAAGCTATGCGAAAAGCCTGGCGAGAAACTCCATTCGGATTTACTAGAGGCGCGAGCTAAATGGGATAAGGGATTGGCAGATGACGGTCACGGAGTGGTGAACGATGTCATAGACGATCAAGATATCCCGGAAGGTCCCGCCGCCACCACCAGCGAGGCGGACGGGACGTTATCAACCCACGAACGCAAAGATTCCCACCAACCAAATGATCTAGCGGGTATGACGTATGAGGAACAGCTTGCTTCACTGAAACAATCAGAGACCCAACATCTATTGGCTTATTACAACAACGCAAAACGACTACTGCGCCGATTGAATGGCCGTGATATCACCATCTCGAACGCCGCAGACTTCAGCATCGCGGATTTCAAGCTTCTCGATGATATCACAAACGCTTTCATCAACGGTTTATATGACGACAGCCTTAAAACCCGAGTACAATCATATCCATCATTTCGTTCCGCCAATCTGCCAGAATCCCCTAATCTCCGATCACTCTTAGGTGCCTTCATGATAGTAGAAGGCGAGACCCTTGTTGTTGCTTGGGAAACACAGGAGATACCACAAGGGAGTCCGAAATTGAGGCAAAACTCCGAGAGTATTATTGGCGCTTGGAAATCTCTTCTGAAACAGAGAGCGTTCGGCGGAGACCCTCTTATGTTCAATCGTGAAATTCATTTAACCCTTGAACGACTTCGCCAAATTCCATTGATACAGCTCACGCAACTAAAGCAAGATCAATACGAGTCAGCAACTCAATATTACACAAGGGTTTGCAGAGTCTCAGCCGAGTTAGGCCCGACTCATCCCTCAAACGCGACCCTTTTATCCCAGGTCATTCAGCACTATATCTCGGGTATTCGCGACAAGTATACTAGAGAAGAGGTCCAGAACTTTGCCTCATCGACTGGTGTTCATACTCTCAAAATAATCGCCAGGAAACACAGGACAATTCATCTTGCTATGGACTATGAGAGGGCAATCGAAAAGGGACTCTACTCGGAAGAAGATATTCCAGTTATTCAACAATACGTGAAGATCCTCCGTGAAGGTTTCACCCGGCGTGTATTACGGAGCAGCAAGCGCATAGATAACGCATTTGATTACATTGCCCTGGTCGATGAGGACAACACCGCAATCATTGAAAGGATCAGACAGCTCCCGGATCCCTCTCGACTGTCCCCGAATCTACCAAGGGATCGTTACCACGATAGCCTAGAGTTCCCCAAGAATGGAATTGGCGTCCAGTGCGATATTAACTTTTCGGCGCACTTAGCGCTTCAGAATACCCTACTTCTACGATGCTATTCTTACACAGATACCCGCGTTAGACCGACGGTCCTCTTCGTGAAGCACTGGGCTAAAGCGCGTGGTATCAATACGCCTTATCGTGGGACTTTGAGTAGCTACGGTTACGTTCTCATGGTCTTACACTATTTAGTCAATATAGTAGAGCCGTTTGTATGCCCTAATCTTCAGCACCTGGCTCCTCCAGACCCCGACCTTCCAGCTGAGGCTCTCGAAGGCGTTACTGTATGTAAAGGGCGCAACGTTCGTTTTTGGAGAGACGAGCAAGAGATTCAGAGATTAGCCAGTCAAGGCCACCTCAATCAGAACCGAGAGTCAATTGGGTCGCTCTTGAGGGGTTTCTTTGAATATTATGCGCAAAGCTATACGATGAGCACTAGTCACGCACGTGGCTTTGACTGGGGCCGAGATGTACTAAGTTTGCGATCGCCTGGAGGGTTGATCTTGAAGCAAGAGAAGGGATGGACGGGCGCGAAGACAGTCATGCAATTAGAGACAGGCGCCCCTCCTAATCCAGCAGAAGCCGGGGTCAATGGTGGAGTAAAGTCACCTACAGACGGTGTTATAGGGCAACCAGGCTCAGGCCAGACACAGTTAGCGCGAGCGAATGGAGCTCCCACGGCGTCGACGAGGCCGAAAGAACTCAAGGAGGTACGCCACCGCTATCTTTTCGCGATTGAGGATCCATTCGAACTCGAGCACAATGTTGCTCGAACTGTAACACATAACGGCATTGTGTCCATCCGAGACGAGTTCCGGCGAGCCTGGAGGATCATCAAGCAGGCTGGCAAGAATGGCCAGGTGACGGAGAACCTCTTGGAAGATGTTCAGGCGGAAAGCAAGAAAGCAGAGATTCAAGAATTCGCAGAATTGCTAGCTGACATACATGGACCATAGTATGCGTCGTCCTGGATTCACAGCTACCTGTAACTGTACCATTTAGTGTATTTGGACCTGGATTACTCTCAATCGCCAGGGCTTGTACGAGTAACGATGTCTAAGGGTGGATGCGTAATGAGGAAAGGCAGGGAAGGCGTGGTGGTTGTCACTTACTGGTTACCATCCGGCTTACTAGTAAGGAGACTAATTGGCTTCGTGGCTTTGATGTAGTACTAATACCTACCTACTTAATAATAATGGCGTTCAGCCAACTCTCGACTGTTTGCTGTGATCTTTATTTTTTTTCGCTCTGCAGCTTCTCTTCACTCTTCTTTTCACTCATCTTATTTTTTGACCGCAGGCATCCTGGCTAGATTTAGTATGGAACAGCCTCTCAAAAGAAACAAGGGAGTAGGTGTACAGCCGGGAACATTCGGCCCGTTCCGGTGTTGAAGTGCTGCCCGATGCCGGAAACCAGTGCGTACAATGACCTTCCGGGCCGGGTCGGTGGCCATCGGTATTGAACTGGAACTAACGGGATTTTCCCGCAGTCTATCTCTGCGCCTCCAGAGCCTCGACAACCCCCACCACATTAGAGGTACCCGAGCAGGAATTGGTGCTTTAGTTATAATGGCCTACGTGAATAATACCAGATGTTGCTGCCGTAGTGAGAATAGGCTCGCCTACGGGATTCACTAGCCGCCCTTAGAACATCTCCTTTTATATTTGCTTCGCCTGTGGATATTTAGATGCGCTATTTCCGCGACTTGGCGCATGTGCTCGATCCTCTCGATATTACATGCTAAAGCAGAACATCGTTCATTGATAATAACTACCTAGGTATAATGAAAATTGGCAATGACTTGATATCGACGTCTTAGAACATAGTCGATCGATATGAAATATTCACTACATTATGTAGTCTTGGAGGATGTCCGTGATGTTAAATAATGAACGGGGGTCTACTTATTCACAATCTCGTTAGGCCTTTTATTTCACAAGTACAATATTATAATATTAATGTTTACCATAATTAGCGGGGTGTAGAATAGGGTTTATCGGTAGTTCGCGCCGTTAGGACTAATGACGCCGTTGGCGCATTTTTAGGCGCCTCCTGTCCCCCAGGCAAGACCGGAGGCGGTTCGGGTGCTGAGCGCAGTTTCCTTCCGGTGTTCAGCCTCCGTTCCTGCCCCCGGGAACCCGAAGCGGGCCGGAGGTTTGAACAACAACGGACGGCATTCGCACCTACCCCTTCCGGAAACCCTCCGGGTGGCTGTTGCGGTTGTTACGGAATATTCGGGACAGACCGAATACTAGCTTCCGTAGGTAGTTGCCTAGCTCCTAGAATTCATTGGAAGCGGAAGGTACGTAGTAAGCCGGGGTCTAGCGGCCTATCGTGCACCTTGCCGTCGGCCCTAGGACCCACGTTTTTAGTGCCCCTATCGCCTCAGCACCCTGCACCTGCCCTTTGATTTGCCTATTCGTGAATGTGAATGTGACCGTCGTGCTCGTAGTATCCGCAAAAAAAAATTAAGCTCTAGGATTTCATCATAACAAAGTCCAACCACTCTTCTTCTCTCTCTCTTCTCCCACAACCAACCACCACCACCGTCTTCGCATCTTGCGCCTCCGCCGCCTCTAAAATATTTCTTTGGCACACTTTCTCGCGTTCGTCGTTTTCGTCGAGTTCTTTGATTTTTTCATCATAGGTAAGCGCACTCGCAGCTCTTCGGCCCCTCCGACCATCTCGTCGAAAAGACAAAAACTTAGATCATCCAAGCAAGATGCCGCGAACAACCTTGATGAAGTCAAAGCACGCGTACAGACCATTCTAAGCAATGCTGATGGTCAGAAACTGGATATTGAAACCCAGATGCATATGTCCGAGGTCTTGACCTCACCCCTCTGGCAACCTGCTGGTCCCCTAGCACCCCCCGCTATCTCCACCTCCACCTCTACCACCACCAAGGCCAAGGCCACTACCATTACCAATCCCGCGGCCGCCGTAGCAAGTCCTCCTCACGTACAAGCTCCAGGCATGGACATCGTCTCTACCGCGCACATCTTGAGTTACAAAGAGCGGAGCGAGATTATCAATGTAGCCCGAGCAGAGATGCTCTCCCTCCTCCAGATCATCCGCGACGCCACACCTACCGGTCTCCTCGATGTCGCCACCTTTGACTTCCTCATGGAGGTTTGGAAAGTCTTTGGTCCTGGAATTCTCCCCTCCGGATCCACCGTTCTCAACACGCAGATGGCTGCCGTTGATTTTGCCGACGACGGTTTTCTTGACCCCGAGGAGGAAGATGCCATGATCAACTGGGACGACTTCGAGTCCTCAAGCGACGAAGAATCAGCCAAGGAAGCCGAGCAGAAGGACAAGTCCCCCGAGGGCAACCCCGATGAAGACCTCTCAGACATCTATGATTAAAGAGACTTGAAGGAAAAGTGATGGAAAGAGAACTCGGCACGATGGATTACCCCCTTGCCCTTTACATGAAACTTACTACTCACATTGTCGGCTACGGCCGTTGTTTTATGGATTGTTCCCCGTTGGTTTGAGAAATAGGATTTACGGATGGCTACGGGCTATTCCAAGCAGACTAGGGTAGTCAAAAATATTGTTTTATTGCTCTGTACGAGGATTTCTCTTGCCAAACACCCACCATCCATAGAAGGATGTGATAATAAATACCAAAGTGACTGGCCTTCTAGCATCGTGATTATCCCAGAAGGGATAGGTTTGATCTACCAACGTTCCGTTCAGAACTCGTCCTAGAGGGACTGTTAAGCCCTGGCTATCCGAAGATAGCACCGTTGGGGAATGTGTAAGGAAAATATTGGTTTGAGACGCAAAACTTCAGAGCACATGAAAAATCTCCGGTTCAACGACATACCTGTTGTGACAATCTCAATGTGGTATCTGATTTAGTCCCGTAACGCTATCCGTGGTTTCGAAATGCCATAATAAAACCCTTATTCTGCCTCCTCCCAGACGCCGAGTACCGAATATCCGCAGGCTCACCTATCAAACTATTTTCATGAATTGTACAATACTGCGAGTGCTGGCAGGCAGTCTAATTCGTAATACTCATAAAATTCCAGACTGTCTAATCCGCCATATGCTGGAATAGAGGCGAGATGGACTCGCCATAATGGTTTCTTCGGATGGCTTCCGACAACAGATAGGAAAGGTCCAGAATGACCAACTTACTTGCGCTTTTAGCTCTCCTGTCAGGTATTGGGAAGCTGTTGGTTACGATGATCTGATCGATGCAGTCGCAAGCTTGCATCTGTTCGAGACAGTCCGCTCCGAATACCCCATGAGTGGCCATGCAATACACCTTCTTCGCCTTGCCTCTCTTAACGACAGTTTCGGCTGCGGCAATCCAAGAACCAGCCTTGTCAATCATATCATCCACGATCAGGACAGGTCGGTCCTTGACGTTGCCAACCAGTGTAATCATGTGTTCGATCCTAGGATCTCGGAGCTTTTCTTCCTCTTCATCGGACGACCCTCCGACATCGCCTGAACCACCAAGGGCATGCGGTTCTGGCGCAAAGAAGGAAGAAGCGTGGGACATTGTCATAGGGTCATCGTCACCCCCTTGGCAGGATTGGTTACCGCTTGTGCCGCCGTCGGATTGAGCTGGTGACTGAAAGTCGTCTGGTACAACGTGACCTTGTACAAGCCGTCCTTGTGTTACTTCTTGCGCACGTTCATCATTATACACTTGCGCTTCATCAAGGTTGTCCTCTTCGTCCCTTAATTCTTCGATGGGTGAAGTTTGAGATGGCGTATATGCACGCGTATACGGCGATCGAGTCAGACTGTTAGTCCGTATCGGCGGCGCCGTAGGTCGCTTAGGAGATCCTTGAGATTCACTCATTATTCGCGATGACCTTGCTGAGCCGTTGCCATCCGAGTCTCTATCCTCAGAAATGGCTCTTGAACGCTGAACGCCATTCACATATCCAGGAGGATTGTCCCACCCATCAAGGTGGTTCATGATCATACTCGCAGACATGTTGTGGGCACGCTTGCGGTCTGTAGTTACCAGTCCAAAGTTGAGCTTCAAGGCATCGGCCAGCGAAGTGACTCTCTTGGTCCCACCAGCATTCTTAGATACGACAACAGCTTCCTTCCAATTGGGAATGTTCAGTCGAATCCAACGTGCAATAAGAGGCTCAGCGTGGAGGTTGTCGACAGGGCACTTGAAAAAACCCTGCATCTGTGAGGCATGAAGGTCGACCGTGATGACATGCTTAACACCTGCTACGTTAAGCAGATTTGCTAGCATTCGAGCGGTGATGGCTCCTCGGTGAGATTTCTTCTTGGATTGTCGGCTATAAGGAAAATATGGAAGGACAGCTGGACGAGTTCCGTAGTTAGCAAGTAGACTGACCGCATCTAGCATGGTATATAGATTTCTAGCTGTAGGACTGAGAAAACTCACCAGTGATCTTGTTGGCAGAACCACCCTTGCAAGCAGAAATCATAATGAGGAGCTCCATGATCGTGTCATTGATGGTAGGGCTTCCTGATTGCACAACAAAGACATCCTTGTCTCGGACACTGGTCAGGATTCGCACACTGGTTTCGCCCTAGAAATTTGTGATCAAAAGGTCAGTGGGCAGCTCTGCCATTACGACGTATGCCCACGCCTGTTTTTCTCAGTCCATTGGGCGGGGGAGGCATTGGGGGAAGAGCAACACACATTTGAAAATTGAGACAAATCGGCCTCAGCCGGAGCCATGCCCAGGTTCTCACATATTTTGCCGGTGAGAGCTGGGCACGACGTGCCTGAGAATACCAATGTTCCTCGCATTCTGTGGGTGGTGAAAAGAGAAGAAAAGTTTTGGTGGAAGAGTGAAGGAAGATAGTTTTATGTGGGTCGAGAGCAGGGCCTGATAAGCCACAGCGCTGCATGGGTCATTGATCGGAGTGGGTTTCGTTAAGTTCCACAGCGATTTCCCTATGGATTGGACTGGATGTACCGTATTGTATTTCCTCCGGTGAGGGTAGGCACACCCTTCTTAAGGTACATAGGTATCCACTGTGTCCGCGGTACGGTGCCGTAATAGCTGTAATTGGCTCTGCACTTGCATATAGCATTTGGTCATTCGTTCTCTCCCCGGGAGGCGTCGCCGAAAAGGTCAGACACTAGGCTAAATTCTGTTCAGATGCAGCTGCTACCAACACATCTCCCCAATTGACTTTATGCTCCCTTCTGATTGGTTCAAATATTTTTCATTTTTCTTAGCTTGGGCTTTCATCTGATCCACCGGCGTCTACCGATGTACCTAACATATCATCCCGTCTCTTCCATCTCATCTCCATGCTTTTTACGTTATCTACTTTAGTTACACAAATCATTCTTCTCTCTCTTTCTTTTCAACTCTCCGGTCGACCGAGAAGGCTATGACGAGCGAATAACCCGTCTCGTACGGTTTCAATTATTACAGCAAGGTTGTATCTGCTACTCCGTTTTAGATGGGCTAATTCGACGTATATCGTATCGTGATGGGGATCCGTGGCTTTGGGCAGGCTGTCCAGAAGTATGGGGTCTTCTCATCATTAAGCGGCGATAGTGTCGTCATTGACGGTCCCGCCCTTGTTCATCGTATTTCTGACGCCTGTATGAAGCTACGACCATCTACATGTGGGTTTGTTTGTCATCCTCCATACTCAATCCTCAGCCAGATGGTAATAGGTTGGCTTGATGAGTTGAAACGGCATAACGTCAATGTGTGAGTTATACCATGGACCCGAGTAGAAGTCATATTAATACATGAATTAATAGGAGGAAAATATACTTTGATGGATATCTACCGCCAAGTAAATGGGATGTAAGGCGTGAACGGCTTCTGAAACAATCCCAGAATATGAAGGCGCTTATGTCCTCTGGGCCTTCCGGGTCGCCTAAAACGCCACAGGATGCGTTTGGAAATCTCGAAGCCAGCATTGCATTAACCCGAATAGACATCAAGTCCTCCCAGAAATTACCCAAGCCCCCTTTTATGATTCCCGCAGTTCTAGAAGCCCTGAGGAGAAGCGAAGCCTGGGGCCATTTAGTCCTAGTCGTCCCCGGTGAAGCCGATATGTTCTGTGCGCAAGATGTTCGAGAGAATGGTGGTACCTTATTAACAAGTGACTCCGACCTCCTCATCCAGGATCTTGGGAAAGGAAATGTCTCATTTTTTTGGGATGTTGTCCCTACAGACCACACTTCCAAGGAACTTGGTATAAGGGCATGCAAAATGTCACTTCATGATATAAATGAACGCTTGGGCCTAATAAACCTTGGCGGCCTCCCTCGAGTTGCTTTCGAAAAACAGAGAACCAGAATGGATTTCGATACTGCAGTACAGAAAGCTCGAGACAGTCGTGAAGATACACTTAATTCCAAAAACTACCGGCACTTCATAGAAGAGCTAGAACTGAAGGAATACATACCAAGGCATCACGCAGTACTAGGTATACTTTCCGACTTAGACCCTAGAATATCAGAAGTTATTATCCAGACCTTGCTTCTAGAAGAGGCAGAATTAAATACCTCGACTCTAGATACGAAGACACAACGAGGGCCAGAAACCCTCTCCATATTTTTACCAGTTATGATTGAAAATCGAGACAAGAAAAGTGCGTGGACTATGAGCACAGATGTCCGAGAAATCGCATACAGCATTCTTCAAAGTTTAATTAATCAAAAAGCTAGTAAAATCATTGAGTATCGTACTCTAGACCCAACAACAGCCCTAGCGGGCCGAGAAGTCACGATTCCCGAGCCCGAAGAAACAATCAACAGCTGTGTCCATTTAGTGGCCATTTTAGACCAGCTAGCGCAGGGATTACCGGCTCCAGATCTTTCATGGTTGGGATTTGCAGTGTACCTTGACGTCGAATCGTCTATATCAGAACAACGTCCGTCTCTCTCGGCAGCACTCGTCAGCAAAGCAGCGAGTCAGCTCGAAGATCTAGACGAAATGTATTCATGGGACCTGATACACTTTACAGCGCAGGTTCATGCTTGTCTTTATTCGCTCAGGATACAGAAGCAAATCCTAGACGTTGCCGTTTTCATGGGTCAAGATCTCCCAACACTAGTACAAGAATTGCATAACCGTCTTGCATCGCTTCCTCTTATCGCAGAATGGCCTACAGTCGAATCTATGTTCGACCTACTATCTAGATTTGGCAATGCGAAAGGACTCGAAAAAATAGCGGGTATGCTCGGGATCTCCAGCATCGTAGAGGCGGAGCTCTCTACAAACCACCCAGAGCCAAGAAAGAGGCAGAGGGGAGCTGGTGAAGCTGCCCTTCCCAAAGGAAGCCAACAAGATACCAAGCGACCACGTTCTATTAATCCATTTGCAATTCTTAGCCAAGCGGCTCAAGACGCGTAACATACAGTCCTTCGTTGGAAATGAATTACCGGTTGCGATTGTGGCTCGAACGGCCCGCCCACACGAAAATATATATTCATCAATCGGCTCCACGGCATAGACCGTTACAAAATAACTGAACAGACGGTTTCGGTCCCTAAGGGTATCCTCAAATACGCGATTCCTAAAGCTTAGTCGGCCCTCTCTTATCCTGGTCCTTAAGTCGAATCAATGCCTCTTGCGTACCCGACATGATAAGTCGGCCAGTCTTAAGATTCCACATCCGCTGATGGACGAGAACCCTCCCATCCGCGGCCCAAGACGTACTACGCTCGCAAGCCATCCAATTATCTGCCCTAGCGCTTGGGTCATGAAACGAGAGGTTATGGATCAGACTGGCGACCATGGTCACATTTTTTATTCCCTGCCCGACCTTTTCGGGATTCGAATATATTGCAGGTGCCAAGAGATGCTCATCAGATGAATAGGCGATGGCAGAAAGGTGTACCGAAGGGCTATCCATCGATATGGGAGAAGATGAGCGGAGGAACCCGCGCACAACGAACTTGTATGGCTCTTGTTCAACAGATCGGAAGCCTAGGGGTCTCCAGTCAAATGGGTCATCCGCTGCGCCGCCTCGGACTACTCGCACCGACTTATCAATATGGGTTGTCGTTAATTGCCGCGCGCTCTGCAATGGGATATCATCTGGGTGGACGTCCGTTTCAATTATGGGGGTAGAATAGTCTAGCGTGTTGCCGGGCGGTATGTTATTATTTTGAAATGAGACTGTAGAAACCAAGATGCATGCCGCATCGCTGCCTTGGGTGACGCGCACTGCTCGCGTGGCGTAAGCACGGCCATCATAGGTGCGATCAATATGGTATACCGCCGGTTCATGGGACTTAGCCGGACGCACAAAAGTCGTTTGAGACGAGTAAGCGATGAAGCCGTCGGGCACTGTGTTAGATGCTGCCGCTATGACTTGGCCAAGGAGTGAGCCCCCAAAAGCAGAGCGCAAGCCTTGGTGGGAGAACAATGGCCTGTTAGAACGCTGATGTAAGTATGGATAGGTAGTTAGCTCTAGGTAGCATGCCTTACTTCTCATTGACATATATGTCGAGGCCCAAATCTTTGTTCGGTACAACGGCGACACGCGATTCAACTACTGTCTTCTCAGACATGTTGTCAATTGAGGTGTTGAAGCTGAAGGATTCGAGTAGATGCCGAGGTAACTCAGAAACTTGGCCACTAAACGCAAAGGAGGAATCCTGGTTGATTGAAAAGAGCAATGCACCCTACCACCTTTCAGCCGTGAATAGGTACTTTGCGCGCACCTATTTAGAACATGATTTAAGAAATTGGGTAGGTTATCTGAACGCTTTCTACGACAAAATTCATTCGTCCAAATACATGTATGCCGTTGCTAAGTGACGATGACTTTCGATACCACACTCCATCTCGAAAAATATGTGAAGGGAATTATAGTAATTTACGTAGGGTGTTATATTAAGCAGTTCCGGATTCTCCTACTAATATTAGCAGTGGTTTCTGTCTTCATGCTATCGCATTTCCTTACATCCCTTAAATCGGTACTCAGGGCCTTTCTTGGCCAAGGTATCAGATTGCTGTGGCGGTTTCTATGCCTCCCTCGGTCGCTTGCCTTGAACTACATGGGAAGACCACATCAAATATAATATACGGTCAATCCATCCAGCCGTTATAGATACTCATACTTGAGTAGTCCTATGATAAGGCACGGTCTTAATAGATTAATATTTACTTCGGTTCTGGCTTTGTGGGTTAATTATATTCATGGGTTCCTCGTGTCGCTTTGACGCTTTGCACATGCTCAAAGTCGATACTGCTCTTTTCATTCTAAACTTTTTCAGTGGAGGAGAGATTCGTGGGTTTGATGAAAAAGATGATTGAATCCCGTCTCGCTAAAGATCGACATGCAAAACACAATTTATATTCCTTTGTGACACACGCTATGGCGCCTTTTGCCCAGAAAAAACGAGATATATTCCGAGGCCTTTTTTTCTTTTTTCCTGCAGGTTAGTACCTCAATCCGCCCTCTCCGTTGTGAGATCCATGCGATGCTCATCATTTGAATACTACGACAACAACTCTTAGCGCTTTGTTTTTCTACCTCTCGTAATACACAGAGTGCTACGAAAAGCTTGCCGCATAAATTCGTTCCGCCTTTCGAGCCGGTGCCGATATCCGTGGTGGACCACAGCTCTCAGGCTGCAGATATCTTCGTGCGTGTATTGACGAAGCCCTGCGGATAGCACCACCAGTGTCCGGAACACTGTGGCGGGAGCAGGCCGCAGATGACAAGGGTACACGGGCACCTATCATCATTGGTGGTCATGTAATGCCCCCGGGCACTTAATTTGGAGTGAATATCTTCGGAATGCCGACTATTTTCACGATCTTCCTACCTTCAACCCCGAGTGTTGGCTGTCACCGGACATCCCGGAGTCGCAAAGAAAGCTCACACGCGATACATTCGTACTTTTCTCAATCGACGTTCGCAACTGCGTGAGAAAGGCCATGGCATATCTGCAGACAAGTGTTGTGGTAGCTAAGACTTTCTGGCACTTCGACTTCGAAGCGGCACCGGTAAGAAGCGAGCATGGCAGACGCCAAGAGGGGGAGAAATGCTCCCAGCTCTATGACGTCTTCTTTTCTACTCACGACGGACCAAATCCCATATCCGCGTATATGCACCTCGTTGATTGGGAGGATATCTGCATAATGTGGCGTATCGACCCGTCTCGGACGGTCGTACAATCTCCGAGGAGGGGAAGACGAAGGATTATGGATCAGCACAGACCGCTTCGCTTCAGCCCCAGGCATCCATTCCTTTCACATCTTTATAGAACCATCCGATCGCTTGTGGGCCAAGCATGATTCAAGCCGAATGAGTCACCTGAGAGCGCGACTAGAACGCGGGGCTCATTCGCGATTATACTCCGCGATGCTACCTTGACATTACGAACACGATCCCTTGCGTCGCGTTGGATGCTGATGGTAGAGAACAGATTGGAGTCCAACATATAAGGTGTTTTGTTTGCCCGTTAAATCCCTCTTCACTTCTCCATCTCACGTCAGATAGTCTATCTTAAACCTCTATTTTATTATCACCACATTCAACATCTTCAGTGCGCAAATAGACCTCAAAACTTGACAAAATGGCGACCACAGCGTCTCTTCTGCCGATATTCCCTCGGATCTTCTTCGTCTATCTAGAACCAATTATGATGTATGTTCTTAGTGGGGCATCTAAATGATACTTGGAACTAACAGATATAGTACGTATGGCATGGTTATGAATTATGCCACACGTCTTCCTATCTACGAAGCTGCCTCTGCCTCGAATAACGCCGTTCCAATTCCATCCTTAGCTGCAGCATCGATGGGTAACAGCTACCTATTCAACATGATGCTCTATGGCCTTATCATCCTACTAGCCTCGCCGCCCAACAAGCGTCTCCTCCAATTACACATCTTAATCCTGATGATCGCCGACTTCACGCATTGGGCTGGTCTCTTCTCGACCATTGCAGAGACCGATCCCCGTGGATGGGCTGCTGCTCTCGACACCACCAACTGGACCCCCGAAGTATGGAACTTGGCGGTATATCCCCTTGGCACACTCTTCGTGAAGTTCGCAACATTGGCTGGCTGGTTTGGTAAAATCCAGGGCTAGAATTCGGGCTGCCTAATCTGGGTATGCCATGTGGAAAACTACGTACCTTGGAAATACACAGTATTTTTGCATGGAACGTTATGAGTTATGAAGTATTTATTAAGACGACAACGACGCTAACAAGATACTATATGCGAAATCCAACGTCTAGAAGCTTATGAGCAATCATCTTTCTCCATGTCCATCAGTCAACTTTTTCATAATATTCGTCCCTCCTTACTGAGCACCCCCTTTCAGTCTACTCGGGGTTACCACTCGAAGCAATAGCCGTCATATTCTTATTGCCTGGCTTAATAATCGTCTTCTCCTTAGGCAGATTATCCAAGACCTCGTCGGACAAATTTATCGTGTCCTTAACGATTTGCCGCGGTGTCAAAGCCAACCACTGAGCCGCACTAATATCCGTAAACTTCTTCGCCTGTAACACCTCGAGGAAGATAACATCCTCGGTGCCAGTATTCTCGATGTAGTGACCAGCAGACTTCTGGATATAACCCACGTCGCCGGCGGTGAAGTCGAAGGTGCGCGAGGAATCGGGTGCGGCGTAGATTGTGATACGCGCGGATCCTTGTAGGAAGTACGACCACTCGTCGCTGTCGGTGTGCCAGTGCACTTCGCGCATCGCGCCTGGCTCGAGCACAACGAGAGCTGCAGCGAAGTTTTCGGCGACCGGGAAGGTTAGTGGGTCAAGAATCTTAACTGAGCCGCCAGATGTGTTGCGGAATTCTTGCTGCGACCAGTGGTACGAATAACTCGCAGCTCCCCAGAGGGCGCCAGCTGACGAGGTGATGTTTTGTTCTGTGATGTTAGCCGGGGCGGGGGTGCCTTTGAAGATCTATGGTATTCTATTAATTCCTATATATGATTCTTAATTGATTTATAGTAGGGCACTTACGTATTTCTCTTCATCGGGAACGTCGTTAAACGAGCTAACGTCGGTCTGAAGATCCTTGGCCCACACGGAGACGGGCGTACGCATGATCATTTCGGTAGCCAAGAAGGTGTCATACTCGGAGAAGGTGCCGCTGTCGAAGATCAAGAGAAATTCCGAACCCTCATCTAGGGCTTGAATGCTGTGAGGGACACCCTGCGGGAAAAACCACACGTCGCCCTCGGTAACATCATCGATGAAGGTAGCTCCGTCGGAGTTCGTCGCCGCAATGCGGACTGAGCCTTTCAATACCAGCGCCCTAATTAAGAGGTTAGCTTTGTCGTTGAGAGTAACCAGGTAAATGCCTAGTTCGGTAAGCTATTTCTCACCATTCGCCGGCAGTATGCCAATGCAATTCTCGGTAGGCATGCGGCGCCAATCTCATGTCAACACCAGCCATATCAGTAGCTATGGGAAGCACATCTTGGTTCTGCTGTCTAGCCCAACCGGATTGCTCCTTTTTGCCGTACAAATTGTGACTCAATCCCAGCGGCCACATTGCTTGGGGAACAGTGCCCGAATCTGTCTCAGGTGGAGCAAAAGTGTCGGGATTCAACTTCTCATACTCGTGCGTACGTGGACCCGGATCGGTTCCTCCCAAATCACCACGAATTGGCTGCGGGCCGTTGGGAGAGTCGACGCTGTTGAAGTCCAGGTACAAACCTAGCTTGCCATCGGCTTCTTGGCCGTTCACTAGCTCCGGGTCCTCTACAATGGCCGAAGCACCTCCAGAGATAGGAGGACGTGAAGCTATACCACCTTGCAAGTTCGTTGATCCACGTAAATCTCCAACAGGAGGGCCACTGTAGATAGGAATTGGTGCGGCTACACCACCAACTGGTCCCGAATTTTCTTCGTACGTCATTCTTTGGTGCTTGTTAGCATCGCTTTTCTTGCTATGAGAGATTTTGAGACTCACTGTGGCTTCGGGAGGCCGAGGGCCAGAGGAAATAGCCCAAAGCTTGCGAGACTACTTGAGTACTTCATTTTTAACGACACCGATCGGTTGATAGGAAGGAGTAGTGAAATGATAGGAGATAGGAAGAAGGTTCAAGCACGTCAAGGATGCCCCCGTCGCTGTCGTTGTTCGAGTATAGCTCATAAGCCGTTCTAATGAGGAGAAGTCTCTTTGTCCCGAGTAAGGGAGAATCCTTTAACGCCAAGGAGGGGAAGCTTCTTCTACCTTTATATCCAAGCTCCCTTAACATAACTCAAACTCTCCTCGGTGGTGGAACACCTGATCATCCTCATCATCACGAACTTCTTTCAAGACACCTACCCCGGACGGCCTAGGTAACACCGAAGATTCTTTCGGAGATGTGGCTGCATAACCCCTGGATGCGCTATGCAGTATGCGTGTTTAGACTATGTTACTCAAAACACAGTTCCAAGGACATGAGCAATGACAATCCTAGCGGGATACTGCACTATTGGAGAGGAAACACGCGGTCAACGAATTCCTTCGGCCTGAAAGATCCGACAATCAAGGATACGAAGGTCAGCAGGTGAGAGAAAGTTCTTCCTTGCTTGACGCCAGGGATTCCGAGCGTGTCCCGCTGCAGAATAGCTCGCGAATCGTCAACGTATGAACTCTTACCGCAACAAAATTCCGAGCGATGCCGACATATAGGGTTACCACATTAGGAAAACTAGGTATAAATTGTATTACTCATCCATAAAACTAGAGCAGGATATAAATCACGGAAATACGGCACAAACAAACATCAAATATCACATTTGAATTACGCTTACACACATGAAGCGTTATTAGCCCCCCTGCACCTTGCATCATCGGCTCGGTATCTCGGAATTCGTCATTGAGAAAATGCTATTCGCGAGTGTGGTAGTACTTCTAAGCCTCATCTACGAATTCAGTAAGACACGGCACACTCCCACCACGGCCGACTAATGGGGTTGGGTTTACTTTTGGACATCATTACCTAAGGTATATTATCAGGTGAATTTAAATTGAACGAATGTGAAGCTCTCAATATTGAAATGAATGATCCACTTCACGGAAAAGCGGCTTCGGGAAAGATCCCAGGATTTCGTACCTGCGGTTGAGTCACAGCCCTATAGGAACATGTGCATTCGAGTTAGATATAGACGAGATTAACTACAAGCCACCTTATAATACCTACCTAGATAGGTAATTGGAGGAATAATTAAGTAGAAAGATGGAGTATAGCTGATGTCAGCGTGTCTTGCACTGTACGTTGAGGACTTCAACGTCCACAACAAATCAACATCGAGAAAAGCAATTATAACAAGACCCCCAAATTAATCCACAGTTGACGAAAGGGCGTACATGATTGAGTGCCACGGGGGCTAGCTGATCCAAATACATGAGACTTGCACGGGACTAACACGAGACCCCCAACTCAATTCCGAAGAGAGTTCCTTGAGGCTCAACAATCGTACCATTAAGATCCCGTCACAGGAATTCACTTCAACTCCTGCACAGCACACACACATCCTCACCCCTCACCCCTCAAAGAACTTAACAATCTGCTGCAAATCCAACACCCCCAATCCCCTTCGGGGATAACAAATATACACCTCCTCACCCAGCACACCAAACTTCTCCCGAAACTGCGCCTTTCCGCCGAGCTTCAAATTCCTCACAATAACATTAAACGTATTCGCCAAAAACTTAGCTCTCACTCCACCAAGCCTTGCCTCAGGCTTCAATCTCTCCGCAACGCCTGCCCCAAAAGTAACAGGCCCGGAGAGCACTGATAATGCGGTCTCGACTAAGACTTCGATAGTTCCGTTCGGGGCATCGGGAAAGTCAAGCGCCCATTTGACCTGCCATCCATGGCGCGGCGCAAGTTGGGCCAGGACTACGAGGGCGAGTACTTGACTGTCTTTTTCGGCGGCGAAGTACCTTCTATGCCGTCGGTCGACCCATGGTCGGACATCTGTGAGGTGGACTTGTGTCCCTTGCCCTTTACGCGCGGATTGCCAATTCTGAATTGCAGAGTCGGTGCGTTGGATGAAGTTATCATCCGGCTCGACGACTTCATGAATCATAATGCCCTCGCGCTGGGCGCGGCGTGCGTCCCGGGTTTGGCCGGGGTGTTGATGCTTATCAGCGTCGACGCGTTGTTCTTCGGCGCAACTAAGTGTTCTCCAACCTATTTTCTCGCCAAGGACTCGTTGGACTTCTTCTGAGACTAGCATCCAGACGGGCGTTAAACGTAGATCTTTACGCACGTAGTTCACGAAGGCGGGGATGACTTCGCGATACTGTCTCATGTCACAGAGTGGATCACCAGCAATCATAGCGAACTTCCCGTCTTGTCTGACGAAACCGACCGCAGCTCCGGTCCGGTGACGCCAGATTTCGAATCGGTCGTCGAGCCAAGATGTGTTCGTTGCGTCGCCGTAATTGGCGATCAAGTTTTCCAGGGAATGGTATTCATCTTTCGAGCTTCGCGGTGCCATTGTGTCCGCATCGGGATGAGGGATACCCGGTGGACGGGCTGGTAGGGACTTCGGGTCTCGTGGGAATAGAGATGCGTTTCTCACATCATCTAGTTCGAGGAGAAGCATGACGATGCGCTCCAAACCTAAGCCAGCCCCGCCGTGAGGCGGTGGTCCAAGGTCGAAGGCGGCGAGATATTCTTCCATCCCCTGCTCACTGATCTTTGCCTCGGCCATACTTGCACGGAGCTTTTTAGCATCATGGATACGCTGGCCGCCAGTACAAATTTCCTGCCCACGTAGAAAAATGTCGAATGAGTTCGTCCATTTAGGATCCTCGGCCTTGTGCGTATAGAACGGCCTGGCATTGGCCGGGAACTTATCCAAAATGTAATAATCGGTATGGTATTTTTCCTTGATAAGTTCACCAAGGCGCATTTCATCCCGTGTAGACAAATCCTCTTCCTCGACTTCTCTACCATCTTCTCGTAGTATTCGGATCCCCTTGGAGAAGGGAATTATCGGAGTTTCATCTAACCACACGAAATCTTTACTAGGCCACCGTTCCCGGACATTCTTGAGTTCAGGCATAGATTGAACCGCCGCAAAAATGGCCTTAAGAACTTCATCGATTGTCTCGATTAATTCCTTGTATGAATCTCTTAGTGACATCTCAATATCAAGCCCAGTATACTCAGTCAAGTGTCTATGAGTATTCGAATTCTCTGCCCGAAATACGGGGCCGATCTTGTAGGTCAGGATTAGCATTTGTCTGGGGTAAAGTAAGAAGGTCCATCGATACTCACTTCATAGACTTTCTTAAAGTCGCCCGATATAGCCATCTGTTTTGCTAATTGCGGACTCTGTGCTAAGAACGCCGTGCGGCCGAAATATTGTACTTTGAAAACCTCTGCACCACTTTCGGTCGCCGCAGGTTGTAACTTCGGTGTCTGGATCTCTAGAAAATCTTTGTCGTCTAAGGCCTCACGAAACTTCCGAACAACCATAGAGCGGACCCGAAATATGGCTTGGTTGCTTGGGTGACGGATATCTACAATCCTTCCGGACAGACGCTGACGAAGTGCTTCAGGTGGCTCATAGTTGTCGAATGGTAACTCATTTGCAGGGTTGACGAGATGTATAGAGTATACCAGGACCTCTATGTCTGAAATCGTTGCCGATACAACAGGATCCTTCGGCTTCTGCAAGGTTCCAATAACATGTACCAGAGATTCGGGGTGAAGCCGTTGAACCCATCGTATCATATACGGCGAGGCGCGGGTAAGTACCCCTTGGATAGAATCCGTCTGGTTGCGAAATAGCAAGAAATCTAGAGCATGGGATAAGCGCCTCTGAGTGTGTATTCTAGCACGGAAGTTGACCTCAGACCCGACAGGTAAGCCAACGATCTGTTCTAGAGAACATAATTCGTAAGGATGAACGTTTTCGCCATATCGTGCCTTGGTTTCCTCGTCCTCTTCCTGTTCTGCTTCTTCATCTTCTCGTTGACGACGTCCCTCAACTTCTTCCCGTTCCTGCTGACGACGCTCGGATTTTTCGAGCTTCTCTTGCTTCTTCGCTTCGGTACGTTGTGTTGACTTCCCTTTTTCCGGTGTACTTGAATCCTTCTCATGGGTACTTGATCGAAAAGGAGAAGTGATGATATGAGAAGCGTGAATAATGCTGTCATGCAATTGACCCGACATAGTGGAACCTCTAATTGGATAGCTGTGTACTAAATCGTTTCTATCACGATAGCTTGAGACTTGCGTCTGCAAGAAGTTAGAGGAAATTAATAGCGGCAACAATTGAGACAATATGGCTCGTTCAAATCAGGTGTCAAGACAATGACATCTTCCGTTTATTCTTTGCCTCATCATATATAAATATAATTGTGAGATCTATAGTTGTGTCGTCATTATTGTGTAGATTGTTGTCGATTTTGGTGGTAATGGTGTATTGACCTTGTCACTCAACTTCATTCCTACCAAGCGGACGGTCGCATTCGCAGATCGACCCAGATATCGAATTTCTCGTTATTGACGCTTATTCGCCCATTAATTTAATTCGACTATAATCGCCGCTGATAAGTTTCCGCAAATCTATCTTATGAGCAGGGAAAACCGATTCGCCTGCATATTCTATGCGCATAATGGCTAGTGATGCTGGTAACGGCACGCCATCTTATTCTGTTGGACAATTGGACGCCGAGAGGGATTATGTAAATTCGTCGGAACAAAGCCCGCGATGGCTTCTCTCCGCCCATGCTATCGCTCTCCGTGCTGCGGCTCGTTTGAGCTTTGGGCTAGTAAACCGTTCAGCCTCCGCTGCGACCGAGACTATTTGGCTGGATTCGACATTGGGAGAATGGCAGGGCAAACAAATGATAAGCGTCAATATATATGTGCCACCTCGAGAACGGGAGGGTTCGAACTCGAAAAAAGGACGGCCTGCTATTATTAATTTTCACGGCGGAGGGTTCGTACTTGGCCAAGGGACAGACGATGCTGTATGGGCTGACGCACTCATGACTGGACTCGATGCTGTGGTGTTTTCTGTCAATTACCGACTTGCTCCGGGCTACCCATACCCTACACCGCCAGAAGACTGTGTTGATGCGATTACTCAAATATCCAGTCTTGCTGACAAGTATGGCGTCGACACAAATCGGATTATTCTCTCTGGGTTCTCGGCTGGAGCCACATTGGCTTTGAGCAGTTGGGTCATATTACAGAAGCCTGAGACATGGGGATATCAGTTACCAAATTCTCTACCACAGATTGCTGGTATTGTCTTGTTCTATCCGTTACTGGATTGGACAGTCGACCGTCCGACGAAACGAAAAACATGCACACGACCTGATTTGACACTTCCGAGTAGCTTGACGGACATATTTGACGCGTCGTATATGTACCCGAGTATTCCGCGGAGTGAGAAAAGCGATCCACGGCTATCTCCGGGTCTTATGCCTGATTGTATGCTGGACCAGTTGGCGCCAATTCACCTATGTCTATGCGAATATGACATGCTACTAGCAGAAGGTCAGGAATTTACGCGAAAGATCATAGCTCGAGGCAAACAAGCCAATGTTCGAGTAGTAAACGGGGAGCCGCATGCATGGGACAAGCTCTCGACTATCACGCCGAAAGAGAGCGTCGGGATAGAGTACGATGCAGCAATAGAGGCAATGAAAGAGTGGGTTATTGTTGAACAATCCTCAATATGAAGCTGGATTGTGTAAGAATGATTAAACTACCGGAATATAGATTAGTAGTATACCTAACCTACTTATATCTATTTCTATGTCGAATTTCTAGAAACGACGAAGGACTCAGAAAAAAGGAATTGGTCGTTTATAGACTCGGTAGATCGATTAGCTGCCTTCGAATAGACTGAGAATACGTCATTTTTATGCTGACTATTTTTGACTGGCAATGGTGACTATGTGCGATGCCTTGAATCCTACATAAGGGAGATATCCTTTTCACAGGACCCGTAGATATGAGAGAAGATAAAGAGCTAATGAATCGAGGATTGTCAAAAGTTTGAGGAAGAAGGTGGACGGGATCCACTTCGAGTAAGACTAAAGGTGCGACCGGCATTACATAATACATAACATTGGCCTTATAAGCACGACTAAATCACCAATTTTCAACGGCCGCGTAGTGTAGTGGTTAGCACGCAGGATTTTGACATCAAATTTCCTGAGACCTGAGTTCAATCCTCGGCGGGGCCTATCATTAAGAGATCTTTCTCTTTTGCAATTTTTACAATTTTTTCTTTATTGTTAATCCCTTAGGGCGATACAAGAATGAGTTGGCAGTTTCCATTTATTTTACTCATTCTGTTTTTTTCCTCATCATGCACATGTAGTGTTGTACATATGTGGCTTCCAATAATTTTAATCAGAAAGGCAGTCACTCTTGGTTCTTTTCAAGAGTCATCGTTTGAGAAGGTAGCATCTTATTAGCACCTGTGCCTTTAAACTCATGTCTTTGTAGGCAGGTACGTGTAATAATTAGTGATCCGGAAAAGAGATAGCACGGCGAGAGCTGAACCGAAGGGTTCCGATACGGGGAGCTGGCGGCGGGGCAATTTATGATAGCTATTGGCGGGGTTGAGCACATCATTGCGACGGTTCGGCATTGGACAACTCTTCAATGACAAGGCAAATGAGCTGTATATTCGTCCAATATATCAGACCAACTAATTTTACTATTCTTACTATAAAAAGCCCGTATCTTTTCCTACTTCCCTTTTCGTACATAATAAATTAACTCACCTTATGCTCAACCTTCGGACTGGTGTCTCTGCACTCCGACTCTTATCACGCCCCAAAGCCACTATTAGTGCCACCGTGCTACTACACCTACAAAACCAGAGTCTTATCAGCGCCATCAAGAGGAGAGCAATGTCTTCGGCTGTAGCTAAGCGCCTTGAGGGCAAGACGATCGTAATCACGGGAGCCTCATCGGGTATTGGTCGGAGCACGGCATTCGAATTCGCACGAACCGCCCCAAAGAACTTGAAACTCATTCTGACAGCTCGTCGTGTCGACACCCTAAAACAAATTGCCGATGAAATCGCCAAGGAGGTTGGTGATGGCGTGAAAGTGCTACCGGTGAAGCTCGATGTGAGCAAACCCGAAGAAATCCGAGGATTTGTACCTGGCCTACCTGAAGAGTTCCGCGAGATCGCTGTGTTGGTTAATAATGCGTAAGTCTTAGTTGCTTATCCCTCGTGGTTCATGTTTGGGATATATTGGATATGACGGCCATATGTGTAGAGCCGGATGTGATTCGGCTTCACATTACAGCACATAAAGCACAACTTCCAGCTAACACAAACCTAGCGGCCTCGTAAAAGGCGTAGCCCGAGCGCCCGAGATCGCCGAGGAGGACATTAACATCATGTTAGCCACCAACGTCACCGGTCTAATCAATATGACCCAAGCCATTCTGCCTATCTTCCTTGCGCGGCCCGATGGTGGTCGCGGTGATATCATCAATATCGGCAGTATCGCTGGTCGTGATCCTTACCCTGGCGGTGGCATTTACTGTGCTACCAAAGCCGCAGTTCGAAGTTTCACTGAATCCCTCCGCAAGGAGCTTATTAGTTCCCGCGTTCGTATACTAGAGGTCGATCCTGGCCAAGTCGAGACCGTAAGTATCCAATTCCAATCATACGATATTGAAGCTTATAATCGTCAGGAATTTTCGGTCGTCCGATTTTATGGTGATAAGGCTAAGGCGGATGCTGTTTATGCGTGAGTCATCATTTCTGCTCCTAATAAACGTATATACTAACGACCATTCAAGTGGTTGCGAGCCCTTGACACCAGATGACATTGCTGAGATTGTAGTGTTCGTTGCTGGACGAAGGGAAAACGTAGTGGTGGCCGACACTCTTGTCTTCCCTAATCACCAAGCTGGCGCTGGTTTCTTGCACAAGAAATCATAAGAGGTTGCATTTGGGGAATTTGTACTGTATTGATGAAAAATAAATGCATTGATATCTACGAAAGCCAGCCCATATGATATGGAGACAATATACCATCATATCTAAACTGACACTACAATTTCCCTACCTTGTAGCCCAAGAAATGTGCTGTCTTATGAGATTTACGAAACCAGCGTAGTCTAGCCAGAATTGTATTGCTACAGCTTGTTAGCCAGGATCCAACGCAGGCTCCAGAGGGATATAGTATACATAAAAGTACTCAGATAAACCAATTTACTCATTCACGCAAGTCGGCTCCCTACCCCCAGGTCTCAAGACGAGACATGAAGATTGAAAACACTGAAGCCAACATGACACCTCCGACAAGCTCCAACAAATGCTGAGGCTGTCAGGAGATAACTCCACAACCGATCATCGCACCCAAAAAGGTAACTACGGTGCGGGAGGGTGGCTTGGCTCGCTATGATATAGTTGAATGGATAAACTGTTTTCATCATAATACGAAGAGTTTCGAAAAGAATATCATGACTTACAGAGTAAGAAATGTAGGTATTGTCGTTCAGTGGTTACTAGAATTACTCTATAGATGTTAGCTTTTGCGTACGAAAGAAGTACAATCAAGTAACGGAATTAAGGATTGGGTGGATGATCAGAATATGTTTTTGGTATATGGGTATCTTCACAGCGCTTCAGAAGCAGAACTGAATAAAGATGATTCATCATGGACAACGATAATATAGAAAAAGAAAAAAAAAAAGTCGTGTACATACCATAGCTGGAACTTCCTGGTTGCAATCGTTGTTTAAGCAAAGGCGAGGCACATAAAAGGGCATCTAAATAATATTAGCCAAGTAATCAAGCAAAACAATGACAATGGCAAAAGCTGGTTGATGCTTCAGATGGTAGTGCATGTTAGTTCTGCCGCTCAGGTGATCGCGAAGAACAGTGGAATTAGATTCATCAATAGCAATAATGTGGACAAGGAAATTGGGTATGCCAGGGATATGTTAAGGAACGAAAACCGCTTACCATATATATTCGTAAAGAAGTTTTCCAGCCAGCAACAAACCCATCTGGTATATCGAATATCAAAAAACCTCGTGCTGAATCTCTTATTCTAAGACTTGAAGATGTACGAGTATGTATGCATACTCCGCGCAGTCATTTGCGCTTGGTAATGTCGGATGGTTTGACTTCGTGTTGCAGCGTTTGATTTTTTAGAAAGGAAGAAAAGAAAATTTGGTCGTGAAGTTTTGATTGAGAAAATGATCGGAAGACGGACAATTCATACCCGCTAAGTTGGTCTGTGCGTTAGCTAAGCTACAGAGATCAGTGGGGTTTTCTTGATGGGGCATTCAATAAGGTATGTTGCTGGGAATTTAATTTTCAGTGCGATCAAACTTGTTCAACCAGCTCCAACCAGTTCGACAGTGTGACATCTCGGGTTCCCAAGCTTTTAAACCATTTAAGGCTGCTGAAACTCAAGAATCATGGCTGATAGAAGACGAATCAATGGCCCGGTTGGTCAGACGGCTCCTCCCGTGTACGACAGTCCTCAAGGCAAAAGAGTCGCGAAACGGTCCGACGACAATGTTGTTAGAAAGACTTGTAAGCCGTTGGTACGTCCGCGTGTGTTTATTAATAGCTAATTGGCTTTGTGTATAGTCTTAAGAACAGGAGTTACTCCTTCAGCTTCTGGATCTGCATATCTAGAAGTTGAAGACCCATTCACAGACCGACCTGCGGGTACGAGTCTGAAGCTTACTTGCACCGTCCATGGTCCTCGAGCTCTTCCACGATCCGCACCATTCTCTCCTCATATCATCCTCTCAACCCATGTCAAATATGCGCCCTTCGCGACGAGACAAAGACGAGGCTATCTGCGCGATTCGAGCGAAAGAGATCTAGGAGTACATTTGGAAACAGCACTGCGGGGCGCGATAATCGCAGATCGTTGGCCTAAGAGTGGTGTTGATATCGTTGTTACTATAATCGAAGGAGATCAAAATCGCGACTCTCCCGATTACGACCGAGACGAAGGCTGGGATATGATGAATGTTCTTAGTGGTTGTGTGACAGTCGCTTCAGCTGCTATCGCGGACGCTGGCATCGACTGTGTGGACACTGTTGCGGGGGGCGTGGCGGCCCTAGTGGCCAAAGAAAAAAAGAGCGAACCATGCATCGTTCTCGACCCCGATGTTGCCGCATACCACAAAATATTTGCAGCTTGCTGTGTTGCATACCTACCCACAAGAGACGAAGTCACCAATATTTGGTTCAAGGGTCAGCTACCTGGCGCAGATGCTATGCTCTACAATAAGTTAGTGGAGAGAAGCCTTGTGGCGTGCCGGAATTCGAACCGTGTTCTCGTTCAAGCTCTAAACGAAACGGTTCGCCAAGGACAGAGCCCATCCTGAGTTCGGCGACGAATCACGCAGTACGTCTTTTAAAAGAACATAAAATTCCGACTGGCTTATATAGGTTGCCCATCAGAAAAGCCCTATATTATATCTTGGTCGGGCGGCGACGAATGAAACTATGATGCGACTCTAGAGTGGGAGTTGGCCCTCATAGTACAGAAATACCAGGATAATGCTGGCCCTGACATTTCAAAGTCGATTATACTACCGATGCCGTACCAGGGAAACAACCTGGTTACCGACATATAGTAAAAGCTGAGGAAATTGGCGGTAATACTGCCAGTTGTGGCCGTGGTAAAAGCCGGCGGATTACGACTTTGGCCGTGATGCACTATTGAGACCCTGACTTTTACTAGTAAACATGTTTACCGCCTGGAGCATATGTATTGAACAGCAAGCAAATATTTGCAATATGGAACACAGTTATGAGGATGTGCTATGATTTAGGTATTCGCTAGCTGACATTAAGAGCTATGCGAACGGACAAGAGACACGTTCGGAAAGCATCGTGATCAAATTGGATTTAGTGACGTATGGACGCTAAGTCGGGCGAGATTCTGATGGTACGGCCTTCTAAAAACTTATCGGTATTTGTTAGTGGACACTTGGGGCCTGCGATATCTATGGATGTACCTACCCGGGGGGATTTACTTGAGGTGGACCCCTAGTTGCGTTAGTTGTGGGCCTGGTTAGAAGGCAGGTGCCTGAAGTAACAGCCCGTTGAACCTTAACGGAACTTAGAGTCAGTCTTAAGACAGAATATGGTCTTATAAATACTCGTTACCAAACTCTAAAGCACGTAATTCATAAAAAAATACAAACCACTTGACGATATCGCGATTCAAACCTTACAACATACCAAAAGAGTGTTCGTATGCGTTCGTACCGAATATGTATTGGTTAATTCCAGTGTTTCGGAGCTCCTAAATGACCTAACTATTGCCATATCTGATTGGAAGCGATCGATTGGAAGTGCTACTACACAGATCCCACTCCGGCCGGCTCGGAGCCATTGGCCGAACTTGGTTCCTCCAAGGCCATGGCATCGCCAGGCGCAACCGCCGTTCCAGCACCTACGGCGTTCGATAATTCAAGTGTCTGGCACAATATAACATCTTGGACCGTTCAACATCTTAGGTATTCCGTTAATAACGTCTCGAGATACGCGCCGTCGCTCGAAGATCTGATTCTAGCTGGACCTAGGATGCTGACCAAGCTGGGCATCCTGTCATTCCCCGATGCTGTTGATGGCTTTGGACAACGAGTAATAGCTGATCCGACTGCTTCTGATTATTTCCTCAGTACGACGACATCGACGATGGCATCCGAAATGCTTACCCAGGTTTCCGAGGCCGCCGCGAATGCCGCGAACGTATTGGAAAATGAAGACCAAGACCCCGCGGCGTTGGTCTCCAAATTCTCGACCGACGGAGCTAAGGGCTTAGGAAGTGTATTTAGCTACGCGACAAGTAAATGGGCGCTTTGTTGTATTGCTATGGTTTGTTCACCTACCCTTTCGCCATTGTATAGATACGTATTGGAAACGTCACGGGATCACTAACGCGTGGTATTGGCGCAGGCTATCATCCTCAACCGTACACACATATTCGCGGCCTCACGAAGAAGACTATACCTGACATGGCCCGTGCGATTATTTCTACGCTTCCTTCCGATCCTTTTGTTCGCGTTCCAAGCGCGACAACTCCTACAATCCATCCAATGCCAAACCTCGCCCGACTTCGCCGAATTGCGCTGGGGTAATGCTAGCAAAACATCCGATCTCATGTTCGCCCAACCATCCGGGTACCTGCATGGGCTAAGCACTGTGTTACTCATGGGCGCCACCGATTACGATAGCTGCCGCGCGATCGAAATGATACCACCAAGCAACCACGATTATTCAAACGAACTACGCGGTTCCTTATCACAACTATGGCCCCTTTTCGGGACATTATGTTTAAGCCATTTTCTGGAGACAATTTCATGCGCAGTACAAGGACGTCAAGTGGCGGTTGAAACTGGAATGACACTATTTGAGCATTCATTAGCGTTCGCTGAAGCCGACGCTGCCATTAGCAACCAGCTCGGCTGGGGCTTGTTTTCTAGTGGCAGTACCACTAACGTGACATATCAACATGCTTCAGGTAGCAATATCGCCGTCTCCAGATCCATGATTCTGAAGCGAGTGAATACTCCTCCCGAAGTATTACTGGTGGCCTTCCTTTCTGCTATGAGTCACATTACCAGCCATGTCCTGGGAGTATTCAACTTGCAGAGCAAATTTCGACTGATTAGTACGGGCTTCTGGGCTATGTGTTTTATGGGAAGCATTGTGATAGAAGCTCTTGACTTTTCACTCGAGAGTCCAACGAATGTCGGCCTATTTAGGTTTCCTACTGTCTGCATCATAGGTTTCATCCCTCACCTCTTGGTATTCGCCGGCACCCTTGTGTGTTTCGCGATATACGCTATTGCTTTAGTCTTGTCCGCATTGGAACCTCCGGATGGATGGAACGCTTCCGGCCGACAACTATCATTCCGAGAACGATTAGCATTGGCGCATGAAAACATGCAAGCCAACATCTCACTTTCCGATATCCGTATATCGCGAGAAATGGATTTTTATACGGCCTTGCTAAGGACCGGGTTCGGGGTGATTACAATGGCAAGTGAAGCCGTCTATTTGAATGAAGATCGGGGCATCAATGTGAAAAATCGCACATGGCTTGAAGAAGAGAGACTTAGGGAGCTTGAATCTCTACGAATGCAATGGGCTGGTTCTGGACTTGGTGTTTCCCGCTACGATTCCGGAGGAGCTATAGGGTTAATACCTATAAAGGACGGGCAGCTCGGGGCGTCGAGCGGGTACGCAAGAGAACGAGCAGCGCAGAAAATACCTAAGACGCGCATAGGGGAGAAGCGAGCTCGAGATGGCGTTGGAGCTACGGAGCGCAGCTCCCGTTGGCTTCTGGCCTTGGAGTTTATCATGAATATTAACAAGCTCCTACTGAGATGGGGTGCTGTGCTTGCTCTAAAGACACTTGCGCGTGTCGGGGTAAGAACCCAGCCTCGAGTTCTGCTTTGGCTCTCTCGCTGGCCCAAGCAGGACAAGAAAGACGAGAAGCAGTCTCCCACCGAAAGGCGATCCTTATTACCCGGCCGAGGTGGTAGGGGTACCAGACTCTATTACGAGGAAACCGCTGATGTGGAAGCTGAGGTGCGAAGACGCCTTAAGAGATCTCCTGATACCGCCAATCTACCAGATGAAGAAATAGATTCGAGGTTATACACCTCGTGGAAAAAAGGCGATCTATGGGGAAATGTTGACACGAGTGGAGATTGGGAGCCGCGTGAAGACGACGATAACTGGGATACGACCAGCATGATCCATAGTGTCATTGGAGATGGCGACGATGAGCAAAGCCAGTGGATTGATGAAGATGACTTTGACGACGGCCAGAGAACACCTACGCAAGCCTCGCGACAGGTTGCGATGTCACGGGAAGCGACTCCTTTCGATCAACCCTTGGCTATGGATGACCTAGCGAGGTTACTACACCCCACGAGTCCCGAAGAGCGCCGGGAAGCACATGCACTCGCTGCCCATCTCACGAGCGACCGCATTATCACACGGTCCCAGTATGCGCGAATGCAGCAAAACCAACGTGGGCGCCTCTTATTACCGGGCCAGCCCGGCAGAGGTAAGCTCTCGGATGAAGAAGAGGCCGATCTCCTTGAGGACCTGATCGTTACGCGGCGTACCGAAGCAGCCCGCGCGCAGAACCTTGCTGATGATAACGAAGATGACGGACGGGATGGACCGCAATGTGTCGTATGCCATTCGGCTCCTCGCAAAGTCATCGTATGGCCTTGTCGCTGTCTAAGTTTATGCGACGAGTGCCGTGTTACGCTAGCTATGAACAACTTCGACAAGTGCGTCTGCTGTCGCAGAGAAGTGGTTAGCTTCAGTCGCATCTATGTACCTTGATCGATGTTACCAACCGCATCACCCCCCATCCCCATCCCCCTTTTCACTGTACACACTTCAACTGTGTTTATTCTACACGTGGGGGACTACTCCTTTTTTGCTTTCACCGGCATCTGTCATCCGTTAGCACTGATGAGCATTCTTTGCGCATAAGATGAAACGAACGAGATGAGACGAGGAGAGTTGATACATTAGTACTGGCGTTGGAGGAGCATGTTTTTATTTGATGTTTTTGTTTTGCAATTGCGTGTTAGCGCTCAAATCACACATCCTGCGTGGCATTCGTCTCTGAAAGATGTAGATGTAGGGTTAAGATTAGGTATGCGGTAGCGATGAATATGGATAAATGAGAGGACTGCGGCTGCTGGGGAGGGCTGCTGGTGGTTCGGATTGTCTATCATTCACGATATCGGGTTTTCAAAGCGACTACACGTCCAACAGCTGAAGCAATTCCTAGCGGCTTATTTGACCTTCTAGTGATTAGAAAAAATTCAGCACATTGAAACACTTCATGCAAATATTCTTGGTGTTCGATGTGTTAATTCATAAGGTATCATGAGCAGTATTAGTGCTCATCCACATCTACATAGCTGCCCACTCAATGCAGAAAGCCCTTGCTCCAGGTGCATTCGGATTCTTATTGGCAACCGCCTCTTCTTCCTTAAGTCCGTCTCCATCACCACCATCCACCACAGCTCCTCCAACCAGATACCCCTTCTTAACATTCGTCCCTAATCGCCCACCAGCCACGAGATCCAACATGGTAATCTCCTCATCCCAGCCGTAGCTAGTTGCTTGGAAGTGGCTATGGAAGCGCAACGGGTCGCCAGGGTATACATTGTAATCGCAGCCAAAGCGTAGTCCGGGCATCATGTAATATCCGCGGTCTTGCAGGTGGGCGTACAATGGATAGGACGGCGGGACGTTGATAGGTGTGGTTTGTCCGTCTTCGTCGGCTGATACAGGGGGTGACGGTGGAAGGAGGCTGCTTGTTGTTGGAGTTATTGCGAACTCTGCTTGAGGTTCTTCTGCTGTTTTAGAGAGATTGTGGGGAGCGGGTGATGGGGTGGCACGAGGCGGCGATGGGGGACCGAAGAGACTCGTTTCGTCATCCACTTCGGGGCCTTTTTCTGGGGCATTTGCTTCGTTTGATACTTCACTATCTGTGGCTTTAGGCTTTTTCTTTGATTTAGTCGATACCTTCGGCCTCATGTTTTGTTTGCCCTCGGCCGCGGCCAACTGGGCTTTCCTACCCTCGCCTTTGATGGCCTGTAGATAGCGTCGTCGCGCATCTTCATCTAGGGCGCCAAGCTGCGCAGGATGGAACGCAGCGTCATTTACAATGTAGCCTACTTTCTTATCGATCAGGATTTGGGCTTCCTCAGGCATCAACTCCACAGGTAGGCCCATGAAGATATTTTGCTGTGGGTTTTGAGGGATTGTTCCCACGAATACGGAGCATATATTGTGATTTCTCCGGATGTACATTATGTCATCTATGTCGAAGAGTAAATATCTGCCCGCAACTTTGGAAATCCGCACCGGGGGGCGGCTTATGGTGGTAGAAGCCATCTCCTTGGGTAGTATAGAGCTCAGCAGTGCCTATTTATGCATCAGTCAAAATGCTGTGGAACATGTTAAATATAATGCAGGTAGTGTATGTAACGATCATATTTTTTCCAGATGAGAGTTTATCAACATTCTGTTTTTCAGTGGATTGACAGATTATTAATTGGTATAATCATTTCGAAGGGAAATGCGAAAGAAATATGAATATTGACTTACCTGTTGCTCTTGATGAATGTTGAAAAATTAGAAACTTTTCGCGGAAATTTTAAAAGTTCAGAGAATTTTGGGCAATGCTGTGGGGCTGTTATACAGTGTTATGCACGGTCCCCATGCTATTCACACCGTATAGTACCCAACATATGCGACCCGTATTGCCTAGATGCCCAGATAGATTTGGGAAGTATTTAGAATTCCATACTTCCTTTACCAGAATCCGGCTTCTTTTTCTCTTCTTCATCTTCTCCAACCGGTGGTAGATAGAATGGTTTTATCACCAAGCCCTTAGATCGGCTTAAGCTGAATGATAGATCGCCATGAGCAGCATAACCTTCCGAGGAGCCACCACCTTTCTCATGGAAAATTGGTAGGCTATGCACTTTTAGAAGACCCTGTGTCTGTTCTTCGGATTTGCTGCCAGATTTTGAAGATGGAGGTGGAGCATGAACAGCGCTGGATTGAAGAGGGATAAGTTCGAAAACACCATCGCACAACAATTCCATCCAACGTGTGAGTCCGGTACTCCGAGGGAAAAGAGAAAGCGGTAGGGTTATGATGGCCGTGAGCTTAGTGGGATACTGTCTTAACAATGCTCTTAATGCGTGCAGGAACTGCAAGACTTCTTCGGGGCGCGCAGACGAACCGGAGTAACCCGTCGGAGATAGAAGGCTGGGCACTATAATTCGATGTACCCACGTAGGCGGCGAGTTTTCCAGTTTTTGTGTAACATCTTTGATGAATATTTTAAAAGGAGAAGATGGGTCCTTTGGACGAGATAAAGTCGGTAAGCTCATCGATGGGTGAAATCCAATCTGCCCCTTAGCATCTGTGGGGTTCAATCTCTTCGTAAGATCGAAGGAGTGGCAAAAAATAGTAGCTCCTGTTGAGGAACTACTTTGCCGTTGAAGCGCATTCCTGTCTCTTGGAGCTCCTCCGGACGCCAAACTCTCATATCTCCAAGCTATCTTCATCTTATCATCTGAGGGCGTCTCTGACTTGCTTGGTGACTTCTTATCGTCCGTTGAGAGCCCGGGAAGCTCATGGCGCCAGCTCTCATGTAAACCAAGGACATGAATTTGGTGGCCCTGGACCATCCCCTCAGCAGCATAGTAACGAAGGAGTACCCCGGCAAAATCAGTGGTACCATGCTCTTCGATGAAAAGCGAAGTTCCTAGAGGCAATCCAGCATGGCCAGCAAGTAAAGTATCTAACGATGAAGTCCCAGTAGAAGTCGTTGGTCGTCCATCGAGGGGTGATGGTCGAATTCCCGGAATAGGCGCATTCTCAGTTCTTGAGGACGCTGACTGAGACGATGAGGAGCTGCTTATCACAGCGTTTCTCTTCCTGAAAGACATGACCTTAAATTTTAATTAAAATTTATTCTAGAACTTGAATTCTTCATGGATATTGAATAAGAGGGAAAGAGCGTAATTGATATAAGGTATCATGTTCGGGCGTGAATTATAATTTGTAGAAAACGGTAGGGCATCTGCAATTCTTATTTGGTGTAAATAATTCTTTAGACTGTGAACAACTTAAATGACGTAAAAGGACTAGTGCGTTACCGGACTACTTCTTGTCACGCACGGGTCACACTAGATCATCTCGCACCGACGCTAGAGCCGCAATAAAGCCCCTGTAAGTACTGTGCTTCACCGCTTTCAGCGAGGACCCCGCACCCACTATAGAATTTCCCGTTACCTAAGAAACTTTCTTCGTCTGCCGTCGCAAAAGAAAAATATCTAGCCAAAGCTTGCACCTAAACCAAACCTTCCTCCCAATCCTCTCCAACAAAAGTTCGGACACAAAAGAAATCCCACGAAATCTTCAACTCTCGAAGAATCAACACGTAAATAAGACAGCATACCCCAAACAACCCGTCAAAATGTCCAACCTCTCCGCGGGCGACGCCCAGCTCTTCGAAGACACCTTCACGGTGACGACGTACGATCAAAGCAAATACGATCGCGTAGCGCGCATCGGCGGCACATCCACCGACAACCTGACGACCCTATCGCTCGATATCAACATTGAGCTCTTCCCCATCCGCGTCGGTAGCAACCTAGAAGTCCTTCTCACTACCAGCTTGTCCCTCGACGGCTCCAAAGATGACGAAGAGGAGAAGGGATGGCGCCATGTACGGGGTGAATCTACTTTGGCGGATATGTACGACTACGTGTGCCATGGCAAGATTTACAAGTTTGAGGATGGTGCTGACGGACAGACAATGTACATCTTATCTCCTATCTCTAATCCCGCTTGATGGGTCTGGTCTTTGATTCGGTGGTGCTAATCTAGATTTTCTTAGCCGTGCATACATCTCATTCGGCGGCCTATTAATGCAATTGGAGGGCCCGTATAAGAAACTTACCCCGTTGCGTGTTGACAACACTTACCTCCTCGTCAAGAAATGATCCACCTACACATTATACTTCTTACATGCCCATTCACGAATTCATGATAAATTTCGAGTCCGTAGGAAAAATGGGATTTGGGAGGCGCAGAGGGGAAAAAGTAGTTACATTTTACAGCTACCTATGCATACGGTAGTAATGGATGCGAATCGCATATTATGCTGTTTACAGGTAACCAACAGCCGGCGTCGTCAAAATCGGATTGATATCCTTGAGCAGGCAAGATTTGCTTTAAGAGAGGCTGCTAGACTGAGGCAGTTGAAGGGGCGATTTGATGCGGACCCGGAAAGGGGAGCTTTCGATGCAGCCGTCGCACAATCTCGTCATAGTTGGATTCGTTTTCTGGCGTCATGATCTTATGACGGATGAAAAAGTCGGCTAGGATAAGAGCGCAGTTCGGCTTAAACCGACCTTCGGCCAGCTTCTGTTGCACTTCCTCCACCGTCCATAAGTAGAAGTTCGCTACCTCGCCATCGTTGGGCGTAGGGACGAAATCGGTCGGTAATTCGATATCGTAGACCCATTGGGTCTCGGGATAAATCTGACCAGCCTCACCACCAGCTCTCTCATCCGTGATATAGATGTAAGTGACCATGCCAGTAAATTTAGCCCGCTCACGCATAAGCTCCTCAGGAAGATTCGCTTCCTCATCTGCCTCGCGAATTATGCATTCGAAGGGATCTTCACCAGTCATTAGACCACCCGCCACAGAATTATCCAGCATGCCAGGGTATGTCGACTTGTTAGCAGCTCTCTGGGCGACCAAGATCTTCATGCCGTAGCTCGCCGTCTCATCCTTGACATAACCTGTCATATGCACTCCATATCGCATAATTCCTAATAATCCCGTGCCACTACGCTCAGCACTATAAATGACCTCATCGTCTTTCCCATAGATTGGCCATAACTCATTACGCCAGCCCCTCAGTATATCGAAAGTCTTATTCTCTCGCCAGTACTTCATCAAACCCGCCACACGAGCAGTCCTCTCCGCTTCCGTCGGCAACTCGAAAGCACGTACCGTGCGTTTCGCTTCATCAACAATGACGGGTCCACGAATCTCCTCAGGTGTATCGAGGAGGGTCTTGAGGACAGAATCGAGCATGTAGCCCAAGGGATGCCCGCCTTTCCAGATGAGCGTATACAATGTATCGCTAAGAGCCTTGTAAGCTTCTGGTTCCGAGTCTTCATAAGGAAAGCTGTACTCCCAGAAAGAAATGTTTAGTTCCAACTTCTTAATCTTTATTCATAATGAAGGGGCGGAGCTTACGCATCTGCCTCCTTCATGAGATCGAGGTTGCTCATCAGACCAGGCATTTTGGCTGTTGCGTTCCTTAATCGCCTAAGTGTTTCGTGTACGGTTGATACAGGTGAGGCGGAGCTATAAACTCTAGTAAAGGTATTTGTGGGTAAGAAAGAGGAGGTTGTAGACCGTGCCCAATATCCAGAAGTCCCGAGCTTGGAACTACTACTTATAACTTGCTCAGAAGGAGAGTAATGTGTTGGTCCCCTTCTTATGACGAAAGCTGATCGCGATATACTTCCAACTCTCTTTCCAATGGGTTCACCGGCAGCCTGTAGTTTGAAGCCACTATTAGACATCTCTCCTTAGAGCCCCAGCCTGCCTGAAGGATTAGAAACAAGACCAATGGAATTATAGCAAAAACACCTCAACAGAAATGAGCAAGTTGCTTATAAATACGGGACGTTATAGCATTACTCCGACGTGAGTAGCTACTGGTTATCTGTACGATGGATGTGTAACAGAAACTATAGGTGTTACGGCAGACACCAAGGTACCAAGGTATGCAGCTTTGATTGCAGCGTTGGGGTTACACGCCTTAGCGTATTTTACCTACCATATACGGTAAGACGGACCTCCAATTTTGCGTAAAATAATCTCGGCGCATCCCATCGCCGTACCACTCTATTCTGCCCCTCCAACGATGACGTCGAATCTGTAGGTTTCACTTTTCAGAGTTCTACGATCTTTCGTTTTATTTCTATGTCGATCCACTTCATGTCTCTCTAAGCTTACGACGCGGCCTCACGGTCCAAATCCACCTTTGACCGCTTCCGGAGGGCTCTAGAGAGAAGAGTCGTAACGTTGAAACGGAAGCCTGTCCCTCCAATTGGCGCTACCTATGACCAAACTACCTCGCAACCGCCTGGAAATAGCGAACGAACTCTTTAATTGGCTCGGTTCACATCCGATCTCTCCTCGAACATACTCGACGACAAACCTATCATGGCCGAACAAACACAACCACTCTTTGGCCTCGTGCCCGCCGGGCAACCCCTAATAACCCTCCCCTCCTCGCAACCAAGCGCAACATCCTTCCTCTACGCAATCCCGCACTCGATCCCGTCCCCCGCGAACCCCACCCCGAAACCATTCTCCCACCTAGCCGTCTTCCTCCTCCCAGGCATAACCCTCCCCGACGGGTACGCAGCCGCAATCTACGTAGCCCTAAACCCCGCAGCCCTAGCCTCCGGCAGCGAACCTCCAAATTTCAAATTCCTCGGCGGCGTCGGACCGGGGAAAGAAAGCGCCGTATTTAAACTCTCGCCTTCGTCGTCGCCTAGTACGGCCGAAGGGATAATAATCGGGATCGGGGTTGAGGAGGCCGGGAGTGTGGCGGAGAGGATGCAGCAGATACATTCGCAACCCTCGGAAGGTACTAGTACTGCGCTTGTTACCACTGGGAGTGGGGGAGGAGGACAACCGTCGACGCAAGTCCTCGCCCAGCGCATAATTCAAAATGCGTTTAACTTCCTCGCTGGGTTCAGTGGTAAGGTCGGCGCTGAGGGCGTGGAGGTGATTCCGCTGCGCGCTTTCCAGGAGTGGTGGAAGAAGTTCGAGACGAAAGTTCGGAATGATCCTACGTTTTTGGAGAGGGGGCAGGATTGATCGGTACTAATTCGACTGCGAGTGGGAGTGTTGTAATGCGTAGGGGGAATAAGAAGCCGGCGGCCGAGCACAGTGAACAGATTAGGGGAAAGGAAAGGTTAAGCGTACCTAGGATGTAATGAAAAGAGAATTGCTGTCATGGCTGACGATGTCATATCAGTTATAGCAGAGGCTACTTGTACGGTGCTGGATATGGATGGCGCAATGGCTGCGAAAAGGATATTAAGGTATGAGACAAGAGGCGCAAATAGAACATAATCTACGGAACGCATATCTTCAAAATTAAATGGTAATATAAATATCATGTTGGTTGATTGATTTCAACTATATCATATGTAGATCGCGTATAGCCAACGTAATTGCGTCTCAAGGACATCAATAGCTTAACTCCAATAATGCAGCAAAGCACGCCAAAGGCAGAGAATGAAGGTCTCTAGATGCGGAAGCTTTTTTTGCTCCAAACTGACCTAATTTATGGTCCATCCCAAAATAAACAAGAAGCCATGCCCTTATGCCGGACCGTACGCCTTACCCATGTAGTAGTATGGCCTCTCCAGTTAACTCCGAACCTGTAGTAATCCTATACAATATGCCGCCTGAACAACGCAATGTGATTGCCAAGTGGTGGTGGATGAGAATAGAATACACGAATTTGATTAGTCCTCCGTTACGGGACTCATTAATGGACTTTTCAGTCTTGTAGGACTGGCTGCTCGACTCCTGCGGCCGGCGTTGAGCATTTGCGGAAACAGTCTTTCGCGACTTTCGGTTCGGACTACTAATCCGCTTCGGTCGAGGGCATTTCCTGTTCCTGTTGGATGCGCATGCTTTTTAAGGTCGTCAAAGGATCCGACATTCAGCTTTGGTGTAGCTAGACCTGACGATCGGCCGACCCTCGATCTTCCTCCGCTGCTGTCGGAATTGTCACCCTCGTCCGACGACGCATCACCTAGCTCGAACTGATCTACGTCGCCTTCTTCTAATACTCTTTCATAATGATATGGACCGCGGCCGAATAATTTGTTTGTAATGGACGATATCCCGAAGCCACCTTTTCGTGGACTGCCTGGACGTCGACGTCGGCGTAATACCTTGTTAACCTTCCCATAGAGTCGCATCCGCCGATCTCTCTTCCGAAGCAGGAAAGCGATGAACATGAAGATCAGCAGGAAGAAAAAGAATCCAGATGTCGACTTCGATTTCGCATGGTCGATTAAATCCTCGGCCGTATCGCTCCAGTCATCCTCGTCGCCGCCAATGGACGAAGTAACATTGTAGCTAGACCCGGCGTGTTGAAAATCTGGAGGAACGCCGTTCGTATTACTTCCGAATCCAACGGGGAGACGGTAGTTGTCCTTAGGGGGAATCTGACCAGCGGCATAGAGAACCATCTTTCCAAGCGTCCAGCTAATCTCGACATCATTAACCTCATCAGCAGCTTGGAATGGGCTTAAGAATCCCTTTTCCTTGGCAGCTTCTCCAATTCCTTTCGTGACATTGAAACCTGGAATTGGGGTATTTTCTATGCCGTATCTCGGGACACCAATGCCTTCATGCAGTACGCTGATTAACCAAGATGCCTTGAAGCAAGCTTCTTGCGCTTCCTTTCCGTGGTCCTTTTTTCGCGCCTCAACATTCGACTCAATATCCTCCCAACGCTGACTGCAAAATTCCACTACTTTCTTCTGGTATGTGTTGAAGTCGTATGCCGCATCGTCATTCTTACTCGAAAACACACCGTGGGTTGTATGCCAATATTCGGAGACCCCGACAAAATGATTTACATCGAAATCGATAGGTGGAACATGTTGGCCGTTGAGCAAACAGGGTTTGTCATTGCACGGCATATTTTTGCCTAGCAATGGCTTCGTCCTCCTTAAACATTCATCAAATTCGCCTGTACCAACTAGTTCCAACTCTTTTGAAGTACCCTTCACGATCTCACCCTTTTCGTTGGTGCGCAACCCCCTTGGTAGACAGGGGTCAGGTACTTCATGTTCTCCGTTAATTAAAAATTCATCGACCAGGGCCTTGACGTAACGCCCACGAGCTTGGTTTACTCCAAAGCCAAGCCATGTCGATGTAAATACCTTGTATTCCCTGGGGGATCCATTTAGACTTCGCATTCGCAGTAATTTTAGGTCATTTCCATGTTCTTCGGCTACGGTGGAATTCGGTGCGAAAGCAATCTGCGCGGAGGCACCACCCATATCTAAAAATCCATAGGTATGGTGACCCTTGCCATGATCATGGCCCTCTGGGTTATCGAAGCCTCCTAGAAGATAGTTGGCCGCAATCCATCCATATAAACCTTCAGTTTCGCCGGGGATAACTTGGATATGTGTATCGCAATTGGGGAGGAAGAATCGAGTATTAGCGCGAAAATATGAGCAAGTCTCTGTGATAACAGCTCGTTGTTGTGTCGGCGGTAATAATCGCATGCCAGCAGTGGCCATTAGGTATATCGGGGTGTCGGCATGTTTGTCATCAGGGATAACATCGAGTGCTCGCTCGACTAGCTCCTGTAAATGTTCGGGACCGACATCTTCCGGGCGATCACCGAATGTCGAAATTCCTGGCCGTATCTTCTTTGTCCATTTGTCCTTGGTTACGATGTTCGGCAAGCTGTACACTTCTTCGTAGGATGCTTCCTTGAGTGCTTTTGCAGGGTCGAGCCAGCGGTAGATGTGTAGACGCGTCCCTGAGGAGCCCGCATCCAGAATGACACCCCATCGCCCTATTCGACGGTAAACTCGGTTAGGGATACTATGAAGAAGGGGGTCGGATGGCTAGAATGAGAATGCTTACATTTCTTCCCCATGGCGATGAAGCTTTAGCAAGCCACAAGGTTGGTTGAGGATGAAACGGGGAGAGATGCGCAATTGATGCGATGCTATATTCGTGGGAAGCTTTTAGCATTAATAACGCTGCATGTCCTTCGATATGCTTTTCTTTACTGCCTAGTTCATAGATTCTAGATTGACGAGGTCGGTAGAACTAATGATGCGAGGGTGATGCGTGGTTGCGTGGTATGATGACTTTGGTTGGTTTCAAGGTTTGTTTCGATTACGCGTTCGGGATTTCTGGGATTTCTGGATCAGAAAAGTATAAATAACTTTTTTGTTACTTAGGCTAAGGGGTTTCCGGTATAGTACGGGACGGAGACTAGCGAAAGTAAAGAATAAGAAGAAGAAAAGCGAACGAGAGTTATGTCAGACAGGTAACCGATAGTCTTGTCACCAATGTTGGTGATGTTGGTAAAAATGTAAACGAGAGTAAAGTGAGTGAGCAATAATTAGGAGGATGGATGACAGGATGACAAGAGGATCTACTCAAGACAGATTGTGCAATTGTCTCTCTGCGACGACCCACGGAATAAGAAGCCAAGGAGACCCAGAAACGGAGGCGAAGATTAAACTTGGTAGGGTAGAAACAAGTAGCGTGGGCTTAGAGCTGAAAGCTGGTTTGATTTTCTTTTTTTGGCTTGGAGCGATGGGGGTTTTGACAGGGGGTTGCGAAGGTTGACGGGGGGCTATCAAGGAACCAATCAAAGTCGCCCTTGATTGTTCGTAATCAACACTACCGGAAACTGTGGAGTAACTTTGAAGTATCCATGAAGTACTCAAAATAATCAAACCCAGATTTTAACCAACCAGAATCTCGACCAATCCAACCCGTCTAAAATTCCAACACGTGCTAAATAATGGAAATGAAGGAGAGAGTCGGGAAAACTTAATCTTATAAAATGCGGTACGATTCAACCTCCGACAGTACCCAGGGCTGCATAATACGCATAACATGTACATACAGTTCATGTACAAATGAGTTAGGCCTTGGCATAGTAACACATTTTAATGAATCTTAGTCGAGAACTCTTTCGCAAAGTATTCTCACATATAGCCGCTATTAATTACCAATGACAACATTTCTTTGCCACATTCGTATAGATAGTAGATCGATGCATCGAACGTTGACAATCTTTCCCTATAGAATCACAAAAAATACGAATTGGGTAGGTCTCGAAGTATGCCGAATTCCGGGGCACCGCAACCTGGGGATGTTTGCAGTTGAAAGAACCGGTCCGAATAAGTACTGACTCGCCAAGTACTTGAGCGATACTTGGCGAGTACGTGATTATCGATGCATATGTACCTAGCGCATGTCACTAATATTGACGGCACCATACCGCTAGCGAGGTACCTTGCTGTCTGCAATAAAAAGGCCGTTGCTACTGCTACAGCACCTTGGTCGCTAATAAGCTTGGTCTGGCTTGTGAAAGTTAGAAAGGGGGAAAGGGTGATGGGGGCGACCCGCCCTACGTAATCTTTAGTCCACTATTGCTTAATGTTGCTTAATGTTCATGCAGCGGACCAATCCCTTGTCTACCATTCTTTCTTTTTTTCTGAACCCATTCGTCGTCCCATTTTATTTCTTCAAAACGAGGGAAATTCTATCCCATAGTTTATCTGGGGATCAAGGGATACTTGAAACCCCACGAGGCCTTGCGGGAAAAAGTTAAGAAGAAAAAACAAAAAAAAAACAAGCACCTACAAATTGACGTAGTTAGTCCGTCACATCTATCAGTCGTCTCATCTTCTTCCCCCTCCTCTTCCTCCGGTGGCTGATTGCGAAACTGATCTGAACTCCGAACCCAGCTCCTGCTAGTCGCAGTAATGATCACCTATTCTGATAGGGTATCTAGATATGTAGGCGTATGCAGTTGTCACATAGGGATGCGGATAGCTACCTATCTTTTCCATCAATCCCGTCTCAGATAAAAGCCTACTTATTACTTATCCCTGGCACGCCATCGACAGGCACAAGTGTACATACATAATTCGCGGCTGATTCCATTCATTTCGCTGTAACGCATTTGCTATTATCTTTGCGGTCGATCATCGGGTCCCTGCAAATCCCGCAACCCCGGTCTAAAGACAAGCATAAAGATAAGGCCACGAAGAAGGTCGGAATACGAACGGCGACTTCTATACCAAGTTAGAGCCGGTGAATACGTGCGAGCCATGCAGCCGCAACACCGAGCAACAACATAGAAAAAGAGGAACTTTGCATATAGAAAATACTACCAAATGTTCAATCGACCCATTTCAGGCATTGGCTGATTGATGCCTACTTATCCCATGCAACGTAAGAGAAGCTTAGCCGTAGCTCTGAATACTATGTTACTTCGCGATACTCCATTTGGTATTGCAACCTCTCAACAAAATTCTAAAATCTAGCCCGATGAATAGTTAGATAGATAATGCTATTCAAACGACTTACAAAGAGAATCGAAGTGACGGTAGTATGCGACTCTAATGGCACAATTACACGTGCGTCGTGAGGTGGTAGAATGTAGTTCTAGGTCTGTTCGCTTATACGCTTCATTAATCACTATTGACCAAGCAAGTCTAGACAGCTCTACCTACAAATAGTAAAGTCTAGAATTTCGGTATTTTATAGATATCGATATCATGAAAATTCCATGGAGACTGGATCGGACTAAGTCGGATTGCGATACTAGATTCAATGGTAAAATGATTTGCTCAATTAACTCAGGTACACACCAAACATAGCTAAGGTGAAAATGGAAAGTAGGAGCCCTTGTATTATATGTATTAGAGCAAATAGTATCTATCTAAATGGGTGCTTTATGTACCAATAGAGCCCCCCACGAACTCAAGAAGCCAAAGCTCACAGCCACAAATCTACACGTAAAACAAACAAACCAACTCGAATTACAAAGGCATATATATATCCCTAAAAACCAATCAATCCCTTAATAGGGGATACCGTTGGTCATGAGTTGGAACTGGTCGTACACCATAGTACTATAGCTTCCCGCGCTTCTTCTAACCAAGTCTCTGACGAAGTCAGCGGCTTCGCGTTCGTTGCGCTCAAGCACGAAGCGCTCTTTAAAGAACCGAACACTCTCGGGTTTGAAGCATGGCAATCCACTTTCCATCATGAGCAGCACGATCTGACTTAGCTTTTCCGCGTGGGGGCGGCAAGCCAAGAACGCCTTGACGCACAGTTCCTCGAACCACTTAAAGGCCTGATGATCTGTGCTACCGCCCATTACTGCTAGCATTTCACCCGTGAGTTTGAATGGCGCACGTTCAAAACGAACTCCACCGGGCGCAATATCAAAACAAAATCCGAAGTCGATGTGTAAGATGTGACCAGCATCGTCAATCATGATGTTACCGTTGTGACGGTCCTTAAATTGCAAGAGGAAGGATATGATACTGTAAGCGGCCATACTCTTCACAAAGTTGTTGCGCGCATGCTGGAAGCGGAGGGAATCTTCGTTGCCGTACTTGCTGATAAAATAGTCGTACAATCCATTCACGGCCTCACGACCCAGCATATCTCGGGAGATAGAGTTAGGTAGCACATCGATGACACCACAGCCAGGAGCAGTAGCGGTGACACGATATGGGAATACGTAGACGTCGAGTCCGACGCTGTGGAAGATACCACGGAATGCGGCAATCATCTGTAGAGCTAACACATCCTGTCGGCAGTCATCACCGACCTTGAAGATAGCGCTTTGCCAAACCTCGATTGTGTTCTCGACGGGCGCTTCGCCGTTTTTACTCATATCTTGAGCTACCTCTTCTGTCTCTTCGATACCACCTTTTGCCTTTTTGATGCGGAACGTAGCCATATACGGTGCCTTTGCGTGCGATTGAAGTGGCTTGCCGGACTTACGATCAATGCCGATGACTACGCCATCGGGGTTACTAGGTAGGTAGACACCCACATCGACCTTGATTTTTCGGAGTTCTTCTTCAATCTTTTGCTTTTTCTCAGGCTTGTCTCGCTTGATTAGTGGTTTAAGCTTGCCGGAAATGCTGGTAACCTCGTCAAAGAATGCGAACTCTCTCTCGTAGAAATTTTTGTCCTCATCGGAAAAGCTACTAATCATCTTATCCATCACCTTGTCAAGAGCAGGCTTAATAGCATCGGGCTTTTAACACGTCAGTACATGATTATCAAGTATTCAAAACGGGAATGCTTACAATTGTAGCGTCATCATCCTTGTATGAATTTGCTTTCATGTTCCATATGATTTGATGGGCGAATAACTGGGAGAACTGCGCGGTTTCAATAATGTAACGCTCCACGTAACCAAGAGCATCAAATCGAAGACCTTGCACAATCTGTGGTACATAAAAGAAAGTCACATCAACCGAGTGGTACTCTAGTGCTCTCATAGCATATTGGATAAGGAACGGGTGGTTTCGATAGGCGGGCAAGAAATATGTGACGGCCGTGACAGGGTTAACAGGAGCCCAGAAAAGTAAGAACTAGATCTGTCAGTGATTGATTGGATTGAAAGGGAAAAGACATCGTGGTACCTTAAGCTGGAATCGAACGTCGGGCGGTAATTCACCGCCCAGCAATATTGGAAGAGCCTCGGGCTCTGAAATGGCCTTGGCCGGGAAATTCAACAATAGCCAACGTACTTCGTTATGTACGGCTGGAATTGAGAATCTGCCGACTAGTTCTATTGCTAGAGAGGGATCCTCAGTCCATGCCACTCGGACAAGCGGTTTCAAAGTAGCCTCAAGCGCCGTCTTATTATGATGCGTCGATAGGTATGGCCGTTGGTGACCTTCACCCAATGGATGAACCCATACATTCAGTCTAGCCTGCTCGCTTTCGAGTAGAATTTGAAGTAATGCTTCCTTTTGAGCTAGAACTTTGAAGTTACCAACAGCTTGGGTCGCCAAATATGAGACGGCCTTGAGGGCAGTCATGACATCGCCAATCAATCGAACCTCAGTCTTCAACTGGAGAAGGTTGCTGCCGAAGGACCACTTGGGCGCGAACTTGAACCAGCTTAACCCCGCGGATAGGATTTTATCCTTAAGACGCCATTGAGCCGCGGTGCGGACCGCAGGGCTCATTCTTAACACCCTGAGGCTAAAGAGTATGATTCTTAGGCGAAGTTCCCTAGCCATGGGATGGGAAACCGAGTTTTTAAGGGCATCAAGAGTTATGTCGAGCATGCGGAGGAAAACTCGGTGTGTATCTGGACTACCTAATCGAGTAGCATTGAAATGACTACTGAAGAACTGTATCAGACGAGTATGGGGAGCTAGTAGGTTATGAACCTGTTGTCGCCGCCTTATAAGACCCTCGTTATCACTGGGAGCAAATTCCTCTTTAAGGAAGAAAGGATCAGGGTGCCTATTAGAATTAGCAACGATATCGTGGCAACTCAAACATTATTTTCTTACATCAATGTGGGATTGAACAATCCAAGTTTCTTATGGATAACAACCTCCCATTGCTGAGCGATCTCAGCTAGTATTCGAGACTCCATCCGAGGGTTCTCGTTCATAACACCCAGCCAAAGACCAACTCCAAAATTAATGGACTCCTTGGTGAATATTCTAAACGGAATGCTGACGAGATAATGGGTGATAGCACTTTCATCTCTCCCGCTACGGCAGAGCAGTGCTGCAGCCCGCCGGAGGATGTCTCTCACGTCATATAAGGGGGTAATCTTCTTGCCAGTAAGGCGAGATTCTACGTGAGCCAATGCTGTAACAGCGTCTGCACGTTCCGACGGTGCAGATCTTATGAACGAGTCGCGGCGCATTGACGGCATGACATTAATAAGGTCTTTGCCGTGAGTTGGCAGCGCTTCACCATACCTGTATTCCTGGCGCGTCGTGTATTGGGCAATGAAATGGGATGCAGTATTGATAGCCGTCTCACCAACAGGATCCAGGGAAGACAATCTCTGGTCCGTAGCAGGAATTGATGAACCCATTTCTACAGCAAACGATCGACCAAGTGACATATGTCCATATGCTCCTTCATCTTCAAATTCGGATAAATACGTCTGGAGCAGGCCTTTGACATCAGAAGGTGCCAAGTTGATCGCCAGTGAGACCCACGACTTAGCCCTTGTGTATAGATTATTGAGAGTAGTCTTCCTGAAGGTATAGTCATCCGAAAGCTCGACTGTAACTTCTCCCAAGCGAGATGTGAACACTGATCGCGGATCGTACATTTCCGTCTCTGCCTCGAGGCAACTCGTCCACATGAGTGATAACAGTTCAAGAAGTGCAAACAGTGACGATTTTTGACAAAGGGATGAGGGAATCTCCCGGACGAAAATATCAGCACAATAGAATGCGGCTTGTTGGACACGCTGGATGCGATGACAACATCCGCAGAATATGGTTGCAAGTTGTGACGCTGCATAGTGAGCAGAGAAAGTCGGCAGCTTTGCTTCCAATGTTTTAGACAGGTATTTCTCCATCACAACGGTTGTTATGCCCTCCATAACGCCACGCACATCCTCTCTACGCATACTAGGTTCTAAGTAGTAGGATAAGGTCTTAGTGCAGTCGCCAGAATCGGCCCGCAGACTTTCGACCAAATATGCGGCCTGTAAAAACATTACTTTCCTGTAGCTTAAGCTTCTAATATCAGATGCTTTTGATGGTACGAGTTCTATGAGTTGCTTCTTTTGCTTTGATTCTCGGTCCGAAGTGTTGGCTCGGCGAAGGACGGTGTTGAGCTCGATGTCACTCTCGATTTGTTCCCCTCGCTGTTCGGCCACTAATGGTGGTGAGTGGATGGCCATAATGCGTAGCTCATTAATGTATTGTTTGCCCCTATCAGTCAAGGGCGTGAAACCATGAACGACGATATTGAACCAGGCATCTCGAATTAGTGAGTGTTTATCGTCATCTTGCCCGGGAAGCTCGGTGATAAAATCGTGCGTTGACATTAGTATTGAAAGCGGTTGAAGGAGTTGAGCAATCTCGCGGGCTGCAAGCTCAACATCGGACTCTTTCATATGTTGAGATTGATGCACATCTCCTTTGGAAATCAACTCGTCGAGTATGTGTTCCCAGTAGATGTCAAACAATTGAGAATCACGTTTCACATTTGCAGATATATGATTTCGCGCTTTCCTGACCTGTAAAAACTGTTAGATATCTATAAAAGGCACATTCGAAAATGAGTCTTACAGCATCGAGGATCGGGACGTTGTCATCGGCAGATGCATGGTGACAAAGTCTTGAGTACAGTCTGAGAAGAGACCTAAATTCTAATTGCCCTCCATTCAAGGATAATATACTTGCTCCGGTGATGATATGGTAATCGACTGCATGATTGACCTTAGTCAATTTTTGCAGCAACATTGCCTGCGCGAGTGCTGTAATTTTCTCATCGTTGCATGCATCCGCAATGCTGCATATTGCTTGGACAATGTTTGCATACACTACTGTGGTATCCTCTTCACCCCGAATCTGGAGCGATATGTCACTACCTGTGGATTGCCTTCCCTGGTAAACGTTTGACAAGCCACCGCTCTCCGCTATATCGCTACTAGATCCGTTCGGCGCGTTCTGTTCGGCGTCAGGACTTAGTACATTTCCAAGGGTGTATAATGTAGTAATGACTGCATCTTGGGAAAGCAGGTGCAAAGCAAATGCTAGGCATTTCGACGCAGTAGCAATGATATTGCTAGATGGCGTAGTTTGGACAACGAATCGAGGCAGAAGTCGAATCACAATCGGGGCAAAACTTGGCGAAAGCTTAGAAAGAATCGCCATTGATCGAAGCACTGTCGACGCTAATGTCTCATCCACCATTTCAATTGGATTTTCTAAGCACTCTTGTAGCCAACCCATAAGAAGTTCGGGCTCGGCAGCATCCTCATTAAGTACTGAACAGTTGAGAAAACTGATTATTGAGGCAGCCTTGACAGCATAAGCTAGTCTCTGCTGAGAGGATGAGCCAAGCTGAATGAAATCGGCACCAGCTTCGAGACGTTCCATCTCCTCCTGGGCAATGCTCGCATACAGTTCAATTGACTGGAAATCGGCATCCGGACTGCTTGGAGAATTCAGTCTGCTTAGGCTGTCTTTCGACATCAGCAAATTAAGTATGTGGGTACCTCTAAGCAGTTTGACATCCGCAATCAGCAGGGAGGTCGCCGAGGCCAATAACCACATGAAGCTTCTTTGTAATAACATAGGTCCTAGGGGCCGCCCCTGGTTTGCATAGTGCCGAAGACATCTCTTCCAATCCTTAGCATTGCGGTCCGCCGTATGGGCATTTCGGATAGTAGAAAACGCGCCGTCGACAGCGGTTAAGAAGGGTTCAGAGAGCAGATTGCGAATTCTTCGAATAAGAGCCTGTCGTCCTCCAGTCATCCAAAAATTAACTTGAGCAGAAGCAGCATCTAGAAATCCCAAGAGAGATATAGCTATAGTTGCGACACGAATAGCATCTTCTAAATTCGGCTTAGTATCCCCATCCACCTTATGAGGGATTATACTCTCTGTAGCCGTTCGCATTGCAGCTAACAGAGCCCAAATATTATCGGATACAGTCTCGTGCAAGTCATCGTAGTTGTTTCCCAAAACAAGTAAGGCGGCAGTAACATTAAACGTCAACGCTTCGATAGGGGACGGTTCGATCTTGTTGAAAGCGGGCGAGGGGAGGAAGGTTTGGGCATGAGCTTCGAGAACGTAGGGTATCAGTTGTTTCACGAGTTTCTGAGCACTTTGGCTGCTCTGGACCATCGGCGCGGCTTTGCAGAGGGAAATGAGGACTTCATATTCACGTATAGTCTTAAAACTCCAGTTAGCTATTTCGATGATGGTTTCTCTTCTTCTGTTCTAAGTAGGACTTTACCATGGGAATACGAGCTAAAGACGAAGGGTGCCCCTTAGCTGAGCCATTGGCAGCCTCTTTTCCCTTCCCACGGATATTAGTCGCTCTACATAGTCGGTCGAGGTCGGATCTATCAAAGGAGGTGGTAGCGCTGGTCGCTGAGAGTACGGCGATCTTCTGCAGCGCCTGCTGCCGGACATTGCGTGCCATTTTCAGGCGGATTATTGTTGTCTAGAAGAATCAACAGAAACAAGCATCCCAACTCTTCCTGAAATGATATAATCCTTCAATAGCGTAGACGGAAAGTCTAGCTAATAAACAAGAAAACGCCTCCGCTAAAAAATAAAATAAAAAAGGAGGTGGATTGATCGCAAGAACGGTTCAATTAAATTGACGATGATGCAGATGGCGGTTTCCCGTTTCCCTTAGCCAAAAATTAAGTGGAGAATTTCCTTAAGGATAGTAGCATTTTGGCTTAGTCATTCGAAGCTACCCCTGTCACGCCTGTCCAACAAGGCTGCAAGCTCGACGCGTGGTGAATGGGAAACCTCATTAAGCTTTCCAACTACAGCCATTAGCCTTCCCTTATCACAATCATCATCATCTATCGCAACCTGATTGTCTCCATTCAACTCAATAAATACGAAAGTCGATAAACACCCCATTTTCTCCGAATTGTACGACTACAAATCCAACCAAGATGGCCATGTTCAGCCAAAACCCCGTCCTAAATGGACCCAACTATTCCTTTGCCGAAGTACCCAAAGATGCCGTCGACGGTCTACGAGAACATCGTTTCAACCCGTAAGACGACCCAAATCTTAGCTATTTTAACTCCATTATCGGTTAAAAATATCTAACGCTCCGTGTTACAGGTACACCGACAACGGTGGATCGACCCTTGCCATTGCCGGCGCCGACTTCGCCATCATGGCCGGCGACACCCGTCTAACATCGGGCTACAGCATTAACACACGATTCGCGCCCAAGGTATTCAAGATCGGGGGTTCGAACTCGTCACAAGATGATGCCAACATCCTACTTTCCGTTGTCGGATTCGCGGCCGATGGCGAAGCTCTAAAAGAACGCCTCGATGCCATCTGCAAGATGTACCGCTACCGCCACGGCAAGCCCATGTCTGTCAACGCTTGTGCCAAGCGCCTTTCCACCATTATGTACCAGAAGCGCTTCTTCCCATACTATGTTTACGCTATTTTGGGTGGTCTTGATGAGGAGGGCAAGGGTGCTGTTTACAGCTACGATCCCGTGGGCAGCTACGAACGTGAGCAGTGCCGAGCAGGTGGTGCTGCGGGTAGTTTGATCATGCCATTCCTCGACAACCAGGTCAACTTCAAGAACCAATACATTCCCGGAAGCGGCACCGGACACGAGCTACAAGAGCGGGAGCGTGTACCCCTACCAAGAAACGAAGTGGAGGTATTGGTCAAGGATGCGTTTGACTCGGCAGTCGAGCGACATATCGAAGTTGGTGATGCGTTGCAGATGTTGACAATTACCAAGGACGGTATTGAGGAGAAGATTCTCCCATTGAAGAAAGATTAAGCGAATTCCAGAGCTCCGATTCCAGGCGGCTGTGTACTATACCTATCATAGGCAATGGAGTTTTCTGGGGTCTAAATACATCATGATTGATTGATCAAGTATTGATGCAAGTCGTCGTTGCTTAGAATCGACGTATAGGAGACGAAATTATCAAATTCCAATGACATAAAAGTGTTGTTAGCCATTATCTCAGGCAACTTAGCGTGATACCTCTACTCACTATAACTTCAAATAATTCCTTGCGTATTGAGATTCCTCCCATTTAAGGCTCACATGTTCCAATTTCAGCCATAACTTCTCTCTCGAGGGTCCTCCGGCTCATGAACTTCCACGGCCGTGGTCTACGGATGTATGTACTTCCCTGTTCCTCGTTCTGTCATGTTACACGTCCTCACCTTCCACAGCATTAGGAGATAATGACCAGTTTCTCTACATCACAACTCATATTTTATAAATCACAAATCCAAGCAATATTCATAAGATATAATTAAAAATTTGCATGTTTTTCGTATTATAAGAAACCATTCTTCCCTACCTTTTTCTTGTCTCAGTAACTCCTTCCGGCCGATTTAGCGAAACCCGTCTTCCCCGATCGGAGAAGGTGAGTTGCTCCGATATCGAAGCCGCGCCGTATTCCCCCAACACCTTCCCTCTCTAGGTAGATCTCTAGAGTCATTTACTCCAAAGATATCGTATTCACTTACTATTAATAGCGTTTAACTTACCAATTGATATTGATTTACCTGGATATTAAGACACATGGATCAACATTGATGTTTCGTTGGTTCGCAAAATACTACCAACACAGCACCATTCAATATCGGAAATCCCGCAATACGCACAACTACACCCATACCCTCAACCACGATAACGATTCCGAATACAATCAATAACACACCCAAAATGAAGCAATTACGAATCACCGTCCACGAGCAACGTTCGGATGATTATATCTCCTACTTTTTTCACTACAGCCGATACAATATGATACTCGAAATTGCACAAATGGGCTGACCGCGACCGGTGAAACAGGCAGCCGCATGATTCGCAAGGCCTAGAACCGTCGTCGCGGGTCCCGGTGCAACATCTCGGCCTGCATACACGATAGGTAGCCGGCGGATCCCGCAGCGTTCGAGATGATTGGCGGTCCGAGATGCCGCACTGTCAGCTGACCTAACCACCTCCGAGTACCCGGACAAAATCATGCCACTATCCGCCTCGAGACGACAACACGCGACCATGCGCGTGGGCCAACCGGCCCCGGACTCCTTCCGTTATAGCCAAAAAGTTCACGATCCTTTCAAATTATCAGTCTTCTTTTGTGTCGCTACGGACCGCTCCGACCTCAACATATCCCCCAACAGAACCAGGTCAACATAGGACATTGCGCTTTAGGCATACTCACCCGGGCATTCATGTCAGGGAGGGTGTTCGTTGATCCGACAGTATGGCACCAGCGGGTCAAGTGGCGAGGGTTCAAGAGGTATTGTGGGTTTGGACGCGCGCGCACACCATAACCCTTCTCCAAATCTTTTTTGCGGATCAATCCTCCCGATTGCTCGGGGTGCGAGTGCCGTCCTTTCGGCCCTACCTATAAAAATATCCGTCGTAACTTGCATAAGATCAAACTTATCCCAGTCTACTATGAGCCGGGTGTGGTGCATTCCTACTATATTCATACAGATTTCGGAATAGAGCCCGAACGGGCAATGAGGAGCATGATTAGGTGATTTCGGAGGCATCCTTAGCCGGAGCTATAGCAAACGACTCATCCATGCGAAACCATTGGCTAGCCTTAACGTAGTATGTATGTCGTTGGTGATTGCAATGGCCAAGAAGTAATAGAATGTTAGCTTCCGCGGATTAGATACAAGCCCGGCGCAAAAGTAATTGCTGCTTTGCCACAATGTGGTGGTTGTTGCGGCCGACTGTGCAGGTTTTTTGCCTTGTCGGGCTGTAAGTTTCGATCAGTGAAGGCCTAATTCCTCTTAGCTTGGGTGTTGCGAGGCGAATAAGTTGATACAAGGATGAGGCTGACGGTTAGTAACGTAAGTGGCTGGGATACTCCCAGTCTGACGGGAACGCCGTTGAAAGCAACTTCATGAAATGTCAATTCCACGTCAGGACTTAAGGCGTAGTTTGTCTAGCGTCTATCGCAAGTGCTTCGTCTGAGATTTCCCCACGACTTACATACCAATCACAGCTGGTTCCCACGTGTTCACTTGCCAATCTCCGCGGCTCGAGCTGCCTTCCGGAGTAAGTTAGAATCGGCCCAATCATCTGGAGACGGCTCTGGAATGTAGACTAGCTACACATGTGGAGAAGCGAAATAAAATAGCAGAGCTTCTATCTAAGGTTTCCAATATGGAGAAGACGACCTTCGAAGAAACCTCGGTTAGAATTAGAGCTTGAGCAAAAGGTCCACGTATCTTCTAAGAAACGCTAGGATAAATTATAGTCGGTGCCCATTTAACAGATGGGAATGATTAGGTAAAGAGGCTGATGCCCGCACCGACTAGGTATCTAGGTAGATACCGCTGTCCAATTCGTGTAAGAGTGATATACCTCAACCTACTATCATTAACCTACCAGGTACTTAGGTAATCACTAAAACGCTGTACTACCAAATCGAATGCTACCTATCGGAGTTTTTCATCTAGGGATGTAGGTATTGCGCTCGCTTTAGCTTGCCACAATGGCACAAGAGGTTTCAAAGGCGAAAAGGTGCCATATTGAGGATAATGTGGGAAATGGTTCGATAGATCCAAGGTGAGGTTGGCAGTCATCGCTAGCTTGCGGAGCGGCGAGACAAGCTATCTCGGCCTGAACTACGGTGAAAGAGGACGACACCGGGCATCCAGAGGCCTCCAGCCTTGACTGAGAAGCGGGCTTACGAATCTAGTTGAGTTAGGCAGAAAGTTGAGAACGACATTGAAGCTTTCTAAGATAAGTAACTGCGTATCAGGAGACTTTGTATGTTGTCGATCCCTTCCGAAAGCAGTTGTATTGAGCTCGTATTCCGCTGCATCGTCAAGCACGGGAAAGGTACCAAAATACGCGAGTCGACAGATCAAGGTTGGCTTGCTTGTTCGTAGGAAAAGAACGGCGGTGCGGTGCTAGATAGGAGTCTGGAACTGCATAATTTGGTGGCAAGGGGCGATCATTTTTTCGAAAGGTCCAGAGTTGACCATGATAATCATGAGGACAAGAGGGATTAGAGGGCAGATATACGAAAATGGAAAAGTGAGGCTGAGTTGTGTAACACGCAGGCTGGGCAGGGACTCGTCGGCATATTATTTCTGGTAACCACTATTGCAGATCCCACGGACTCTACGGGACGGATCACATGTGAGCTCACTCCGGCGCATCTGACTGGTAGAATTACAGTTACCTTCCTTGTTACATAGGGTACCTACTTCTGCGTGCCAGCCATACATTAATGTACAAACCTTATAGCGTGTAACCAGGTAACGTAATTCCCCAACTTAAATTCATTTGTACATATGTATGTACGACAACTCCTTTAAACTTTAACTTAAAAGCTCAAATACACACAAAGGAAAATATTACACTTTGCGCCCTAGGGCTTCTATAGCATAAACTCATTTCCCTTGTTCAATGTTCTGGAACTGTCGGTAATACAAACTTACAAAGATATTCTCCGCCCGGAGCAAAGACTCCGTCAATAGGCCACAACCGCGGCAGCCCTAAGGCACTTATGAACTCCAATATGCGGGAGTACAGCGTCGTGGGTTATGATTAAGTTAAGTTTTGCTTTTTCCATACAAGGAGGTATATACCTAGGTAGGTTAGAGGTATTATGCATATGTAGGTAGTTGAAACCTGAGAGCGGCTTGAAAGCAAAATTGCTGAGGTACCCAAATAAGTGTAGGACCCAACTGCTTGCTAGCTGGCTCGTTAGCTACCTAGGTGCCTAGCTGCCTAGGTAGATGGAAACAACGTAAATGCTCAATCATACGGCTGTGGCGCTGTTAGGAATGAATATTCAGAGACATACCCAACCCAAACCAATTTGTTACGTAGCAGACACGGCCTATTAGCATGTACCTAATTCCTTGTATATAGGCGCCAACTAATGCTTGTAATATAGCGCACACTGCAGGATGCGTAAGAGACTTATGCACCTACCTTCAATTGCTCGATTACGCTACTGAAGAATAAGCAAGCTAGCGGCGAGGACACTACAACTTCTTTTTTCTATAAGCAAAACACATCAGGTTATTCTGCATACAATTATGTACATACCTAAGGTAGCAATTGTGGCAATTGAGCATTCAAAAGAAATCGGAGTTTATTTAAAGAAGCTGGAGTTACGGGTCAAAACCCGGGTATCCTTACATGACATGACTACGTAATTTATATACTCTTAGGAATTTTCATACAACACATTACGCATTTACTACATAATAACTTGACATTGAAATGACTTAGCAAAATACAAACAAGGCGATATAAGAATGAAAGTTTTCAAGGATAAGCATTTCATGTTACACGTAAGCCACAGCTGCTGCTCATCATTTTCATTATACCCGTCGTGATTAGAGAAACATATCGGCTACTTATTCCAAAGACTAACCAAAAAGGTGTCGATCATCGTTCGGCTTTGTGGCCTGACACTTCTCCGCATTAAAGCGCTCTAATGCAACTCAAGACTAGTCCGTTTTCTGTTCGTTGTACCTTTTTTTTTTTGCGTACATCCCTTGCTCTATCGGTGTGTACCTTCATGGGTGTTTGTAGGTACGTACTCCGAAACAGTAAATACGTACTTACACGCCTGGAACTACTGCACGTACGGAGCATGTACCGGGTCATTCATTTTAGTGTGCGTGCAGTGTGCCTACCTCCAGTTAGGGAAAAGGATAGGCAATAAAGGTCGAACAGGTGGTGGGCACCCCGATGCAAGTGGTAGCTCTTTACTCTGTAGAGGTCGCTGACCTCATTGTCCGTCTCACATATCTAATGCGACGCCAGTGTTGCAGAGTTCATTGAAGGCCAAGCTAAAATATTTCATCATCGACATCATCGTCCACCAAGACCCATGGATCAACATCTCCACAAATTTACCAGGGCGAAGGGGGGTGGAGGGATGGGAAAACACCAATTTCCCCGATCCCAATTGCGACAATCCGACAGAAAGTCGATTGCGGCTCAGTCCGAGGTCTGGGCTCCCATTTCATCATTCTAGCAATCAGGCTTGCCGATCAGATTCATAGATCTTCATCCTCCACCAATTTGGCCAAACAAGGGCCACCATTCCAATATTACATACACCACACACACACACACACACGGGCCACGACGGCTCTATACGTTTGTGACAGAGAGTAATCACCACCACTACCCATTACTACCACAAGAATAATCACAACAATCATAATCATAACCAGAAACCGAAACCCACGAAAGCGGTAATAATAACAACTCAGCAAATCATCGCTTCCGTAATTAAGGACGCAATAAATCCTATTGTAGACCCATTAAGAGTCCACTCTAGCTCCAAAAAGCTTGTCCGCGGCTTCATTACTTTTTAATACCTTGGCAAGGGTGTCAGTGCCATCCAATTTAATCTACTTACGTCCACAGGAATGAGTGCGCTTTGCTTTACTGTACTGTTGTAGGCGGTACAGCGGGACTCGCTACCTATCTTTCCTCGTACAACCTACCTACAAGTACCTATCAGGACCTGCGGGACCCCCCCCCCCCCCCCCCCAAACGGTACGCCCTCCGTGGGGTACATCAGCGGGTTGGACGCGTAAAGGAAATCCATCTACGCCCCATTCGCATTAAAAAAAGAATACGCCCATTCATTCCAAGGAAACCCCAGTATACAAGGTGAATTTAGTCATCTCAAGTAGCGGCCGAGATTAAACATGTTTAGAGTGCCGTTCCGCTCCGCTTCGAGTAATAGATGCTCGATTATTTGCGGTTCCTGGATCGCCTCGGTTTGGTTGCGCACAAAGCAAGGATACATAGGTTTGGACCTAACGATGGCTGCAGCTGGCTTAGACAGCCGTATCTCTGTACATTCAGATCCCTCAAGCACGCCCAAAGCCGTAACAGGTACTAGCATATCTTTGTGATGGATCGGCGTCACGAATCTGACAATCTCAAAGAGGCTCACTTTTGTAACTTCTTCTCCTTGCTGAAGGCCCGGCCAGAACGTTTGTGGCTGAGTATGGAGCTTGGGAGCCCGGCATTTTGTCTTGTCAAACGGTACCAAAGAGGTCAAGTAACAGCTGGCCTGAGAGATTCATGGGACCCCATGGACCCCCAAAAATGATGACCCAAGGGTCTGGTGGCGAAAAAAATCGGCGCCAACGAAACACCACCAGCCTACTGCAAATTCCCATCCTCTCTCTGTTCCCCATTTTTCGTTTCCTGCTATCGACCCTTGTCCCAGCCCATTGGTCGCTTCTTCCCACTCCTTCTACTCCCACTTCTCCCAACGCTTCGTTCGGCTTCCGTCGTTTATCTGGGCTATCCGCTCTGTGAACCCATAACGACCCCGGGGGCCCTGAAGCCGGGATAGTCCTGCATTGCTTCCCATGTAATTCTCTGGTTCGTCGTCTGGTCTTCTTTCACCCCCTGGGCTCTGGGCGAGGCCCTACTAAGTACAACAAGTACTTTCGTATTACTTACATCCATACTTAGACTTCGCGGTCATGTCCAGGCAAGCTTGACAAGACTAGCTTTTTAGCCACCCGCATTGCCGCGAGTCGTCAACTTCCTTGTAATGTTTCTTGAAGTTGTCTCATGATGTTTTCCCTCATACCATACTGCATACATGCCGAAGGAAAAGGCAAAGATTGTCGTTACATAATGTCCGCTTCTGCTGCTTGATGCCCTAATGACCGGGATTGTCAGAAGTCACGTCGGGCCACATGGGCTTCCTAATTAGCCACATCGTCTAATATTCTTGTCGATATCCCCATTTACTTACCCTACGTGACATAACATATCATAAACATTATACCTCTAAACCTTCCTCGGCCGTGGCTGAGAGAATAACTACACTCGGGATCATTTTTGTAACACGGGGGCCATTAATTCTTCTCGGTATCCCCATACCGTCGAAGTTACCTACATATTCCAAGATCCCCGTTCTAGGCTTTAGAACAAGCACGGGAAACCGAATACCCGTAGTCGCTCCCACCAGTAGTCGAAATTTTTTATTCTAGGAGCCCAATTCCCTCCTCTCCGATACCCCATAGTTTCCCAGCTTACCGGCCTATGACTTTAGAGGTCATCCCTGTGTCGGATCTGTTCACATCTTTGGATTGGGCACATAGGAAGGCAGATCCATTCGTCTTCCCACAAGTACACACATTCAGTCGCTACTTTGCGGTGCCACTAGAAAGATACGCGAAGCTTCTGCTCCGTACCGATCTGCTACATTTGTCAAGAACCGTCCTAATCTTGGTCAAGCCCTGGTCCTTACCTGGGTAGCTGCTCAGCCTTCATCGATTTGCGCCACACTGCGAAAGACTACCTCTACCCATCGTTTCTTTTCCCTAGCCTCATCAAGCTCCCAGGAATTCCAGACAATTTAGACTTTTCTAGACGTCCCATTACACCTTGTCCTTCAAGGAAGTATTAGAGGAAACGGTCCGCTCCAGTCACTCATAGGTTCGAAGCGATTCTTACGAGGACTTGGCATCCGAGCTCTTCCTCTTTGATCGTCAAAAACACGTCTCAGCCACTGGTGAGACCCAATGGAAGATGTCCCACCGCCCTCGGCGGGAAACAGCGAGTTTGTAACCGGCGATGCTGCTGGCGGCGCCCATCAAGGGCGTGCTCATAATGACGGACAACCGCCGTTGCCGCCAGGTCATAATCCCGCAAACGATCCCACCTACCAAGCTCAGTACCAACAACTCTACGGTCCATCTCCAAATGCCTTCTCTAATCAACTCGATATGACTCACGCCCAAAACCCAGCACGTCAAGGTCCTTACAATATGACTGCGATGACTAACGCGCTCCCGCAGACCGGATATCGACCTGGCTACAATCCGGCACAACAACAGCAGCGATTTAATACTGGTCCATCGTCTACCATGATCCCATCCATCCCGCAAATGGCGCAGTTTGCAGGGCCGCCTAATATGGCCCAACTTGGAGGTCAACCTTACTATGTAGCTCAACACCCGCAGATGTCACCGTATTACAGCGCCCATTTACCGCCGTCGCAACAACAACATCAACAACCCCAGCAGCCAAGTCTATCTCCGCGGCACAGCTTAAGCTACTATTCTTCGAGTCCGATGATGATGAACCAGTCCCAGCATCCTCTTCCTACCGGCTATTACTATCCCCCATCGAACCAATACCCATCTCAACACTCGACTATTCAAGGCCAGATGGCTTCTGGGCAGTATTATTTGGCGGATGGAACATCAAACGACCACCGAGGAGCGTCACCATCACATGGTGTGGATCAAGCGAGTATAGCAGCTAATTCTGCTCGGGGTGATAGTATGGCCATCTAGTTCCGGGTAGAACACGCGTTAGAATCGCTAATGATGTGTTCTTTTAGTTTCTCCAGAAGCACGGTCTAACATCGTTCGAGGACCTCCACGAAAGCCTCGACAGAGTGGTAAGCCCGGCTTCCATTACTTAAGAGAGTTTGAGACGCTAAGATTTGCCAGGCCATGCTATTTGGATAGGGAATTTACCTCCACAAACCGACTTAATGAATTTGGTCCACCACGTGTGCAAGGAAGCGGCGGGACTAGAATCACTTTTCCTTATCTCGAAGAGTAATTGTGCTTTTGCCAACTTCAAGGACGAGCAGAGTTGCATTGCCGCCCAACAAAAGCTCCACGATTCGAAATTCCAGTCAGTACGACTAGTAAGTCGGCTACGAAAAAGTACAGTCGAAGGAGCTAGTGGGCAGACAGCTCCAACGGGTCCATCATCAGCCGGACAAAATCCGCCTGCCGAATCTACACACAGTCCTCGAGGAAAGCCGTTAGAGCCGGCAACGCCGTCCGAAATACGACCGGAATCTAAAAATGTCCCTAGCAGCGATGGAACAGCCCAAAAGGACAAATTCTTTATTCTCAAAAGCTTAACATTGGAAGATTTGGAACTTAGTGTTCGAACTGGGGTGTGGGCCACTCAGTCACATAATGAGGAAGTTTTGAATAATGCCTTCAAAGTAAGTCGAATCTTCTGATTATTTTGCTCTTAGGGATATAAATATCTAACAAATATTACAAAAAGGTGGTCGATAATGTTTATTTGGTATTTTCTGCGAACAAATCGGGCGAATACTTTGGCTATGCTAGAATGACTTCGCCTATCAACAACGATCCGGCAGCGGCGATCGAGTTTGCACCCAAGGCACAAGTCACGAGCGACTTGGATCTACCTAAAGCTATCCCGACCGAAGCTACGGACACTTGCCCAAGAGGACGGATTATCGATGACTCGGCGCGAGGGACTATTTTCTGGGAAGTGGAACGAGACGATGCTGACGCAACGGTTGACGGGGAGGAATCCGATGATTCTGCTAGTGCGAGGAGTGGACAGGATGGCGACGGGACACCTAGCAAGGCATGGGGCAAACCGTTCAAGCTCGAATGGCTTTCGACTACGAGACTACCGTTTTACCGAACACGCGGGCTACGGAATCCTTGGAACTCCAACAGGGAGGTGAAAATAGCAAGAGACGGGACAGAGCTGGAGCCATCGGTGGGTAGGAGGCTAATCGGGCTGTTCAACCGTATCCAGAGTCCTGCGCCGATGTCTATGGGCACACGACCTGGCATGCCAATCGTTGCGGGATATCCACCGCCGCCTATGCCTCCCTCGTACCGATGACGATATCGAGACGGCTCTACAACGGTGTGAAATGCAAAGGAGTGGCGAAAAAAAAGGGGGAGGTTAGGTCGAGCTAGGCTCGGCTGGCTGGGCTATGTTGAGCATAGCAAACAAAAGGGAAAAAAATGCTGACATGATACAGCATTTTGTTGTTGTATATACACTACATACACGTTTTGACGAAAAAGTGGCGCTTCATGATAATGTACTATAGATAGCGCCCCACAGCGACAGCGTTGTTAATCCAACGGTTGCAGTGTTCTATAGTATAGGTATAATGAAGAGGAAACACGATGGAAACGCCATTTACAAAGTTATCGTCATTATCGAACCATGGCTACGTGGTTAGGAGGATTGCCAAGCTACCGACTTCCTCGTTGAGCATAATTTGGTATTTCGCGTATTATGTGTATTGTGTGTTATTACTACGTTTGGGTAGCCAGCGGTGGTTTTCCCCAGACTATCACGACTATCATTGCCCCGATGGAGAACATGGGCAAAGAACCCCCCGGACAGCCCGAGACAACCCTGGTTCGGTTCGGTATTTGGTGGATGATGTGTCTATGCTAGAATAATCTACGCAGCATCTAAAAGAGTAGCCACCGGCGTCATTTCCCGGTGTGAGAGAACCGTGGTATTGCAAAAGAGGGACTGCAGAACAACGTCATCGCAAGTAAATACAAGCAACCCCAACCCTTCTCCAGTTACCCTGCAGGATACCCGGGTATGGGTACAAAGCACAAAGCATGGTAACAGGTAAGCGGAGCTACCTAAATCAGCCCCCATCTTCACGTGTGCACTCTAGTAATTACCATTTTCCTGTCATGCATATGTAGGTATCTGTGGGTGTATGTGTACGGATCCGAAAATGTATTACATGCGGGGCAAGACCAGGGTGGTTGGAACTGCGATCTGCCTCACCTACGTAATCTCATCCAGCAGGTTGTTGAGATGGGTAAATATTTTGCGACACAGATTTGATGGTGTGGGGGGGGGGGGGGTGGGAAGGGAATAAAGAAAAAAAAAAAAAAAAACTTCTCCAAAAAGACAAATAATTGGAATAGAAGCCGCCTGCAAGAATGAATTGGGTCGGACAATGACGTCACGATGCGCACACGGATGCCGGATGGCCAAGATGGGTCCCCTGCCAAGACTTTAAGTTTCTGTGATGATCAATTGAGGCACGAGCCACTTTGTGAGCCAAGACACCGAGTTAGGGCTGAATAATCCCAACCTCCTAGATTTAAACTTGCACCGCCACCACAAGCCGCAATGATGACAGAATGATGATCCGAGGAAATTCCGAGAAAGGGAAGGTTAATCGAGGATCATTAGCCACAGGAAAGCCACAGCAAACCATGGAACCTTGTCAAAAATAGCAATAGAAGATAACAAGTACATCTAAGTACCATCTCAATGTATCTACATATATGTAAGTACTTGGAGTACTTAGCGTATCATCATCACGCTGTATCTCATTAGAAAGCACCTGTTGATTGAACAATTCAACAATTCTAAATCAATTCAACCACTTAACTCAAAGAATGCATCAAACAATTTTCATGGGTCTCGATGCATCATTGGTCATTATTTTGTTTAACTTAAAATGAATAAAAGAATTGTTAAAATTTGCAGAATCGAGGGTGATGTTTGGCTTGACCAAAGTTGAATGTGTTGTGGTAATTGATAGAACGTTCCAGTCAATTCTCACCACTTCGCGCACTATCGCGAGACGCACTGTCGCTGCCTAGCAACCAAAAATCGCATCATATGGAATCTTGTGGTATGCGATTCGTAACCCACCGAAACATCCGTAAATTTCTAGATGTTTTTGGCCCCTTCCAATGATTATTCGATGTAGGTGCTTCGTGAACATTGTAGAACGTGTTCGTCCTACCACTTTCAATTATTTAAGGCGCGTCGGATATCGTGAGACCTATTCCCCTTCTCTACTCAGATCAGACAGAAACAAAACAACAATTATAAACACACGCACGCAAAACATTATATGCAATCTTGCACCCGCGCTCTTAAAACCTCAAGACTAATACCACGAAACATCCTCAACACAACCAGATATACCAAGCCAACCAACACTTCTTCTACCTTTTCATCTCTACCACAAAAGATAAACTTCCACACCACAACAGCCAAAATGTCGATGTTCGGTCCCCGATTCTACTCTCCTGCTGAGCCCAACTTCACGGGTCTCTTCCGTCTGATTGACGACTTCGACAAGTACAGCAACGCCGCCGGTACACCTCAACAGGGTGCCGGCGCCCGCCAAGCTCGTCACGTCCAGACCTTCACCCCGAAGTTTGACCTGAAGGAGACCGAGAACCACTATGAACTCCACGGCGAGCTTCCCGGTATTGAGAAGCAGAATGTCCACATTGAGTTCACCGACCCGCAGACCATTGTAGTCCGCGGCCGGATCGAGCGCACTTACACCTCCGGCACTCCTCCCGCTGATCTCCTCGAAAAGAGCGATGAGGTAAGCGGCGCCATCACCGAGGCTCCCAAGGAGCAGCAACCGCAACACGACAAGGCGCACCAGCCTACCGTTGAGGACGACACTGAAGGTGCCTCCGTCGCTACTCCCACCAGTACCACTGTGACTGAAACCGACAAGAACAAGGCCGCTGCGGAGCACCAACCCCAGCAGCCCAAGCAGCCACAACACCGCTTCTGGGTCTCGGAGCGCAGCGTCGGTGAATTCTCGCGTACCTTCCAATTCCCCACCCGCGTCGACACCGACAACGTCAACGCCTCGCTCAACAATGGTATCCTGAGCGTTGTTGTACCCAAGGCTAAGAAGCACGAGGGTCGCCGCATCTTCATCAACTAAGCGGATTAACTCCTTTTTCTTCTACACTTCACAATATTTGTATCACTACTCCTTCAATTTCCATTCACTCCTTTCGTCTGAGCCGGTTCATACAATATAACATACCACGCTCCTTACCAATCTTTCGTCACGATACGATTTGATGAGATTACATCTTACATCTTCAGCACGGAGTTCACGGAATTCACGGACAGAAACGAAATTGCATTTGCGATGGATGGAACAGCATAGGTCTGGCGTCTGACGATGCTTTTCCTGCAGGAAAGAAAAAAAATTGCTTTCTGGAGGGCTTTGTGATTTCTACGAAGTAGCTGATATTCGAGTTGATGATGAGTTCGGTGGAAGGAGAAGGGGGTGATGCATTGTGGCTTATATTATAGCTAAGGGTTAATTCGCTAATAAATTTTAATTTTAAATAAAACTTGCTCTTGGTATTGATGTGACTTGGTGATATGAATAAGCAGATGGATTTTGGATTTGATATATTGTTGCAAATTAGGAGCTGAAATCATACCAAGATTGATCGTAGTTGAGTCTGAATTCATACTCCGTCTCCTTTTAGGAATTGAAGTATTATATTCTCGTCACGACCTTGTACACGTAGTGGCTGTTAAATTACACATATTAACGGACAATATCAATAGATGAATCAACTATGTCCTCTAGAAATATTATGCGAGCGTGCAAAATGTGTGTTTATTACCGCCGGAACCCATAGATCCCACCAATTGCCCAGGTGTATTTCTTGAAGCGATAGTTTGTGGCAGAGGAACTAGAAATTAGAGACTATACGAGTCCCATAAGCAACTGTAATATATGTGCTTATTGTAACACCTTTTTAAGAGAGAAAAATCACGAAAGTAAATAGTATCATGCATTCTAAATTAACTTGAAGACTATAGTGCTCATGTTATGTGAGATATACGCAGAATATTTTGCGATGCTTTAATATATCTCGCCAAATCGTAACTATTGTCATCGGAGTCTGGTTCCGTTACCGACTTATGGTTGCCATAGAGCAGGTCCGGGCATAACGTAGGAGTTAGCCTTGGGGTTGTTCCACTTGTCGAAGTGAATACCGGGGTCATCAGCCTTGTAGAGACCGGGACTATAATAAGGGAAGTCAGCATTCGCGTTTTCTTTGGAACTTTATATAATGGGGATATTTATAGGCAACTTACATCTTGACCATGGGACCCGGGGTGCCGGTTCCGTCGCTCGCAATCTTGAGCTGAGCGCACTCCATGTAGAACTGGGCGCGGTCCTTGAACGCCTCGTGGAGGGCGATGTGCTCTACACGGACGAGGTACTCGCCAGCGGGGAGTTCCTTGGGGATGGTGAACTCAAGGCGGTCCTTCTGGTAGCTGCACCAGCTACCGTCATTGCCGGGGGAGCTTGGGTTGCACAGACCAGTCTCGTAGACCTTGAACCAATCTCCGGAGCCGTCGTACGTGGCGACGCCGGATTCGGGGGCCTTGGACAAGTAGACGAAACCCGGGCCAGGGTGCTCGATGAACTCGTTGTAAGCGAGCTTGAAGCCGATCTTGTCACCGGCCTTGACCTCGTAGGTCTGGACGCTGCCACCGGGCTTAGCGCCCTTGTTGCACCTTAGGTCGGGAGAGTCAATGACCTCGTTGGGGAACGAGGGCATGTAGGTGTTGCTGTTCTTGCGGATGTAGGTGTAGTCCTGGCCGACGTTCTTGCCGTTGACAACGAGCTGGCTGAAGATGTAGTGGCCTTCGGCCAAGGAGGCGGCCAGAAGGGCCGTCACCAGAGTGGACTTCATGGTTGAGGCTTATCAAGGAACACAAGGATGCTCGATCAGCTGAAGAGCCTGTCCTCCCATGTCTGCTGTGACACCTCGTAGTATTTATAGACGATTGAAGTAAGGCCTAGCGAGTGTAGTACCCCTTAAGCCGGCATGATCGCCCACACATTCGTTACCCGTCTCGGAACACGGTTGCATCTCGGCTATCGCGCGTGCTCTCGACTTTGGTTTAGTCTTCGCCCGATCAGGACGATTGTTGGATCTTACTGCTAAGCGACCTATCAAATAATCGGTTGTAGATGAAGGTGACCTTCTCCGTGTCGCCAAGATCTGGGGAGTTGTAAGATGTAAGGCATATTAACCGCCTTGGTATTTGTGTCTATACTTGTTCATCTACCACCAGGAATAACCGTCCAATGAGACGAGCAGTTACACTCCAAGCCGCTAATTCTATCATCTTTTTCAAATCGCATGACTGGTGCCTATTGGATGGTGGCTTCCTATGTATATACTTCTGTATATATTTAGCTTGGCGCAACTTGTTCATCGGTAATTATACAACCATCCTCAAAGAGAAGCCTCAATATGGCGACATTTTTCCTCCTATCATAAGCCGCATATAATAAGAATGTCATGTGCTTCTCCTTCAAGCGACTAATATCGAAAATACGCTCTTGGTAATTCGGCAATCTCTTCATAGAAAGATGGCGGCGACGAAATATGATAACGAACGTAGAAAAAAGGAGGCGACTGTATAGTTGCTAGGCTTAGAAAGAGTAAGTCTGATGTCTAAATTAGGTAGAAATTAATAGTCTATCCTGAATCAATGGTTGCTCTGCAACCCGTTAGTCCTTTTATGATCCATGTTGCCTTCGTGTTTCTCTACTGGGCGCCCCCTATCTCGACGGCTCTAAGTCCTTATAGATCCGAAGAGCTCGGATAATTCGTACATCATATGTTGATGAGAGTATTATGGTGACATCACTCGGAAGTAAACTTACGACCGCTGCTATTCAATATCCTGTGTCATCGTGGTCGTCGCCTACTAAGGTAGCATCTTCATCTCTTAAATTAGATTGAAGTAATCCTATATCAAATACTCCATCAGCATTTTAATTACTAGAGTAAATCGGGAAAAACAATCCTTATCGAGGAGATGTTGGGTCGAAGGTCTTGAGGCTGTAGACTTACCTTGCCTTATGGAATCCTGCAAGTCCTGGTCTTGATTATTTCCACCTATCCCAAAAAGTTCCGCCATCTCCTCGAGTGATCGACCCTTGGTTTCGACTGCCATTAATTAGAAGATGCTTTAAGGATATTAATCACTAGAGTTACTCACCAAGGGCGAAGCGCACGAATAAGAAGGCGATGACACAGATAATTGCAAATAGTACATAGAGGCCGTAACCAGTAGCACTCTCTATCGGAGGTGATACCTGAGCTACCACAAAATTTGATATCCAGAGCGAAGCGGTACAGAGGGCATTACCCTTGGCCTAAAACATGTTGGTCAGCAAAGTCCTCTAGCCAGATATATCATGACTTACACGTAAGGAAATAGGGAAAATCTCGGCGGCGTATGTCCACGAGCCAGAGCTCCAGCTCATATTAAAGAATGTGAAAAACATATACGGGAACAAGACAATGGCATTATTGGTTGGGCTATTCGGGTAATCCGCTGCGTGTTGCTGTAAAACACAGATTCCAATAAGGGCAGATATCATACCTATCAGGCCAAATTGGAACCAGGACTTACGTCCGAAACGATCAAAGTAGAAAATCGGTATCCAAGAGCTGAGAAATAACACTACACCGATACCGCCGGTAGCTAGATTAGCCATAGTAGGATCCGTAACCCCCCCTTTCTTGAAGAGTTCAGGGGCGTAATAGAAAATCCCATTCGTGCCTGTAATTTGTTGGAACATCTGGATGGTGATACCCAATAGAGTGACTTTCAAAACTGGCCCCCTGAACATATCGGACCAGGACGCCTGCGTAGTAACCTGCTCTTCAGATACAGTTTTTCGAATTTCGCTGATCTCGAGCTCGGCCGCCTCCGAACCATGAAGCCTTGAAAGGACTTCTAGCGCACACTCGTACCGTTCTTCGGCCACAAGCCAGCGAGGGCTGGGCGGCACCCATGTCCAACATCCGACAGCGAGGATGAGAGCGGGAATAACCTGGATAGCGAGTGGAATCCTCCACCAATCGTCGGAGTTCAGAAAATAAAAAGTGTAGACGACCCAAAATACGGCCATTTCTCCAAAGCAAAGGATCATTAATTCAATTCCGACGATTCTACCGCGGAGTTCAGCTGGAGAGATCTCCGAGATGTAGAGTGGTACTCCGGCGGAATACGCGCCAACGCCTAGTCCTAGAACCCAGCGCCCAAAGCTCTAGTAGGAATATTATTAGCCAATAGTTCAGAGTGGGCTTAAATATAATTAGGTATGGAAGCTTGGAACATACAATTTGCGGAATAGTATAAGAAGCAGCTTGAAGCAACGCTCCGATGATAAAGACACTGCTTGCCAAGGATATTGTCCTTTCACGACCATACGCATCCGCGAAAAGACCGGTGGTCATGGCGCCAATAACACAACCGATATTATAAATGCTTATGACGAAGCCCACGCTCCAATCATTCGCGGGTTGCATCAATTTCAACCATCGATCATCTGCAATTATCATAGCCATGACACCCTGGTCCCAGCCGAAGAGGAAGCCACCGAGAGATACGAAAGCAGTGAGAGTGTAAACATACCGAAGGTTAGCCTGCCGCTTCCGAGCCGGCGAAATATGACCAGGCGGCCGTATTGGCGTCGTCTGCTTGATAGGGTGAACCATTTTCAGTAGTTTCGCGTATAATTCCTCGCTCGTTTACCAGCCATGTGTGAAGCTGAGGAATAACCTGCAATCTAGACCTGAACTTGGTGTAGAATGTCATTGTCAGGAGAACTTGGCGAGTCTTGGACAAGGGATGGAATAGGAAGTGTGGGGATGAGACAAGGGGTCGGCTTTAGTCCCGCAGACTACTATGATCACATGAAGCCCCGTGTCAGTACCCCGAATAACTATCCGCCCAAGGTTAGACAAATTGCGTCCCCACTTGTCTCTAATAACTTGTAGTTCGCTTATGTTGAGTTGCCATTCGCTCGACGATATTATGTTATATTTATGAAGTAGTTCAAAGAGACCTCAGTTGACACTCTTGTAGTGTCTTTGTGTGGAAATTATTTCTCATCTACCATAGCATAACGAAGTTAGTAAATTGTTTTTGGAAGCCTGTCTCTTCTAAAGTGTTAGGTGGCGATACAATCATATTAAACGAACCCGTTCGATCTTTGTTTGTGGGAAGAGTGTGGCTTTGGTATGTCCCTCCATCAGTTTTTCGTCGGAGCGAATGTATAGCCTTTCAAGAGCAAAGGATACATATCCAACTACCTCGTATCCTCCTTGAGTTTCTTGTATTATTTTCCCTGTTGTAACTCTATGTCTGTCACCTCCAGTATAACTTCCAAGGTTCCTAGGACAAGCACCTTGAATCTTTTAGGAGGAGAATGGCAGAAGTCGTCTGCCGGGACGCCGCGAAGATGTTCAAACATGCGGGCGCGTGTATGTACTTGGATATGGCTATGGAGCTCACGTGGCCTCCAGACAACAAAATAACCGGCATGTACTGTTAGACGAGTAAATTTCCCTTTTTCGTACCTGAGCCAGGGCTTTTGGGGATGGTAGACTAAGCTGACTTCGAACACCTTTGATTCAATGTGAATGGCTGCGGGAAGACTGTAGTTCGTTCTCAAATCGTCCAAACTTTGCTCGCATAGTTCCTGCAGAGATACCAGCTCTTTCCTCGGAGTCTCAACCCATATTTCATTGTCAGAGCGCATGAGCATCAATTGACTCATTGTGCGGCCAGTATACAGCACCTGTCCAGCCAACCCACGACCAACTAGGAAAGCCTTCACCTCGGCGCCGATGGCAACTACCCACTCTCCAGGTCATTCCAATCATGAATCCACTTGCGTGATTTCTGCCAATGGGCCAAGAGGGGAGTGCCCTTGCGTCGTACGTCACTGGAGGGAGTACCGGCACGCCCTGAAGATGGAATGTGGCATATCTAGCCTTGGAAAGGTACTCAAGTATACCCATGAATTTATTGAGATAATCATCATCGTAAGTCAGTCGTCTTTTTGAGTAGGATGATATATATTGGAGAATATCAACCGGGAAAAGGCCCAGCTTCCCTCCTCCAGAGAAATTCTGTATACTTCCAAGATATACATCGCTATCATTAACGGCGTGAGATTCTTCGAACTGATATGTTTGGCATTCGAAGTTTGTTTGTTGATCTGTAAAGAACAAGCGACGCTTGGACAGAAGTGCCTCTTGGTAGGTCCAGGCTCTTGTCACCCAAACACTCTTCCTGATCACCTGGCAAGGTTCGTCAGGGAGACCGACCAGTGTCCAATTCAAAATAGTTCTCGAGGGTGGCCTCCTTTTCCTTGCCTTAGGTACACCAGGCAGACCATAATCAGGATTCGAGCCGGCTGCCGCTATGATTGTCAAGGTTACCCCATTATATATGCTACCCATTTGCCGGATCTGCGCGTGCTTTTCGAGTAGATTATTAGGGTCTATACAGTATCGATCCACCCAAAGATATCTAAAACCAAGTTTGACTGTGACAGAAATCGCGTCTCGGACATTGCTTGCCCCAGACGTAACTAAGCGCGATGTAAGCATACGATGGTTGGGTTGACACGATCTTCTGTGTTAAACAATCGATGACCCTGGCGGGTAGATATTGCCGATCGATCGAGGGTTGGCAATCCTTTGTATAATCAGCCGACTCACAAGTCGAGAACCAAGCCTTAACCCTCTCGTACGCGACAAATTTTGGGATCTCGAAAAATTGTGGTCGTGTAGCTTGCACGCTACCATGATTATTCGATGGATATTGGGTATTCGTGATCGCCGCAAACCTATAACGCATATCTATAGGGTTAAGGTCAATAGGGAATTTGCTAAGCGTAAGCAATTTGACCTTCTTTCTCCAGACACCGAAACGTGAGGTAAAGCCCAGGCTGCTGCTTAAAACCAATGCCAATCCTTTTCGATCTGTGGACGGAGAGAGCCCCGGGACCATCCATATGATTATATCGCAAAGAGGACAGGAGAACCCGTCGAGTTGATAGTGTTCACTACCCACAAATCGCACAAGTGTAGTCTCGTCAAGATTTGTGTCTAAATTCGAGAAGATTGAAGGTATATCTGATGAAGCGCATTCAGCACATAAACCATCGCAAACGAGCTGAACGCCAAGCTGGGTTCCCATAGGTGTGCTAGGTGTGCTAGGTGCGTCCAACGGGGTGCATTCTGCATATAGAATACTATTTAAATCGGTCTTAGGCTGAGGCACCTCAATCTCGAGTTGGGGCACCCCCACGGCTGAGGATAATACCATATGAACCAACTTGTTTTTAGTACAGGCCATGACTTACCGACGTGGCGACCTTTACATCTTGACCATGAGTCCTCAAAAGCGCCTTGATTGTTAATTTATAACAAACATTACGCTTAATAGATTAGTTGCTTGGTAGAGGGAGACGATAGGGGACTCTACTGAAGCAGGCTATGCCACCGTTACCCTATGCCACGCTTCCACACCATGTTCTCTCTGTAAAAACCACTTCAAGAAACGATAAGACGATAATATCTTACAAGCTGAAAAGTGCACTTCCCCCTCCCTACTTCGTAGCACGCCAGGGCAGCAAGGTAGGGGATATTATGCCTAACGATCATGTGGAATAAGCACGCGCACCAATGTCATTAAAATTGCTTGAACACCATGTTACTATGTTAAGCAGGTACATAATAAAATGTCTTAGGATGATGTATATGGCGGTTGATGCCGAGCCAGATTGATCAACCCCCAATTTTTCCAGATAAGCTCTTGAAAATTTTCACTTGTATGTATCATTACCTAGGTAGGTACTGAGACAAGCCGTGGTAACACTCACCAAATCACTACCCACGCCTCTTTATTTTGGCTTAGCAAGTCACGCCAAATTCAGGTACGGCACTATCAGGACAAACGATATGATTAACTATGTAGTATTTTCGTCGACCAAAGTCTACCAAAATACTGTACGTTGGTTCAAGAGGCCACAGCCGACATGCGAGTAGTAAGATCCCGCATCCCCGGTTGAAGGGATGGCGTCCCGCTGCAGCGGGCCTACCGCAACTCGATGAATTAGTAAAAGGGCTTAGGAGGGACTCATTTATTGGCCAGCCAGCTTCTGTAACAAGGAAATTATTACTAACGGCAGCGTTTTCGTTTTGCTGCCGGCCTGACCTGAAATTTCCTGCAGCCTGCTCAATAGCATTCACCCTAGTAGTTTCATAATACGGGAATGAGTTGTATCCTAGAAAGTCGAAGGACGAGACGACACCTGCCCTTTCGGGCACGATTAGTAGTTACGAAGCGGCGTAGAGCACAGCAAGAATTTGTATATGAAGTGAGGTTTTCATTCACGGATAAGAGCTCCCGGTGGGGGAGCTCTAGGAAAAGGGGCGACCAACCGGATGTCGACATGGTTGATCGGCTTGCCATCTACATGACCCCCACGAAGTCCCACGCCCAGCCAATCTATTCCCCTAATTCTACGCTTGTAGCACCAAAATCAGAATTGTCAGCTTAGCCCCCAGCGCTATTTCGGCAGAGGTCCCCGGATCCGACACTAATACCCAAAACACGGTCCGTGAAAGGAGCACCCAGCCGATGAGTCGCAATTTGCACATTTTCATAAACATTGCGGCTGCCAATATCCCATAAGCCGGCGAGATGTGTGGTCGTGTTAATTGCAGCTTGAAACGCCTAGATCGGGTCTCGACCGTGTCGCATTGAATCGACATATAGAGGCGCGCGGCAGTGAAATGTCCTTCCACCCCAAGGAAATCTCGAAAAAGCCATGAAAGCCGCCACTGCCAGCTGCGTCGTAGTTGAAACCTCTGTAGACCTGGGCGGTGGCTGTTACGGTGAGACCACCTGCGAGTAAGACAATGCCCTGTTTAAGTTCCGTTTAATTTGATTTATGTTGAAGTAATTTCGTTGAATCAATCGTACGATCAGTTTTCTAACTAAATATTTGAAGTAGGTCTTGATATGGCTAGAGCTTCGTCATTACACCCCGTTGTAGCAGCGCCACGCAATGACTTCAACTTATTATACAGGTTGTTCGTGACTAGAGAAGACCTGGCTATACCAATGCATTTTTCTATTATTCACAACATATCACGACATATGGATCGAAGCCAAGACGGTGTTGTCCTGAACTTTCTTATCCCAAGCCGTGAACCAAACCTACACGAAGGATGTGCTTGTAGGCGCAAGTGCCGCGACTTTAAACAGCAACTATCCAAGAAATCATCGTATGATACATCGAATACTCGAAATGAAATGGTGAAGTAATCCTCGAAATATCCACCAAAGTGAGTAAGGTATATCATACAATCATACCACAAATCCTTTACCACATATTTTACAGCGCAAGTGTACCCTTTATAGAAATATGAATTATACATTATGATTCCGCATTTGTTCGTGTATTCTTCAGCGGACTTACTCTTCCCGCCCCATTTCCACTCTCCCCACCATTACCCTCCGTCCGCCTCCAAGGGGGACACTATCTCATCTTTTGCACTAGGCACAGACACAAAGCTAAACCTCTGAACATCTTCAGGCTCCTCCTCTTCGCTCTCGATCGGCGATACCGGTTCCGGATCCGCAACCTTCATAGCCGACGCCGATGTCGACCCCGTTGCGAGAACGCTATCCGCACTGTATCTATCCATAGCCTTATTCACACGCCCACCAATCGACGAAAACGGCTGTCGCGGACCCCTAGTACTCGCAGATGTACTACTTAGACTCCTCGTCGGCATATTCCCCGATGTTAGCGAAGCTAGCTGTAAAGCAGGCAAACGCTGTCCTAAGCCAGCACCATCCGGCCCAGGCGGGTTCATAAGTCCAAATCGGCCGTCGCTTAGGCGTTTCTTCAAGGTCTCGTCGACCGGATGAGAAGCCAGGGGGCTGCTCGGAACGAGAGGCCAATTAAGTCCGTAGCTTTGTCGCGTCGTCCCCGTAGGAGATACGGGGGAGATGCCGTTAGATCTAGCACCTGGGATAGGACTAGGTTGCTCGCGGATCATGGAGAGTGGGCGGAGAAAAGATCGACGGGCTGATCGTCTGCTCTTCGTCTTTGCTGGCCCGGCTTCCGCTCCTGCACCTACCCCTGCGCCTTCTACTGTTGCCACGGCTCGTGCCCTTGCCTGGTCTTTCTCCACCGTCGGCGAGCTGTCCGGTGAACTATCTGTTGTCTTGATGGGAAGTGGGGGGCTAATCGAAGGGCGAACAGCCGGGGCCTGATGTTGTTTCTTCCGTTGGGATCGGCATATGAAGGCTACGACTATGGCGATGAGAATGATACCCAGGACGGCCCCGACTACGATACCTGCGATTGCGCCGCCGGATATAGAGGAATTTGAAGAATCGGTATCTGTAGGTGAGCTGGGGTTTGACGGCGAACCCGAGTCTGTCGATGATATATCCGGAGTCATCGTTAGCTCCGGTGGATAGGGGAATAATTCCCCGAATCCTTGGGATGGGTTGCATTCGACGAGCTTGAGTGTCGCGCCTGGTTCGTTGTCCGTCGTAAATGCGTATGTAAAGCAATGTGGGACTCGTTCTGGACTGCATAGCAGGTGATCATTAGCGTATCTCCTACATTGGCTTCTCCCAAGACCTACCAGCATAGCGTATGCCCTCCACAGTCCGCGGAGTCATATACGGCGGTGTAATCAATGCATGTGGTGTATATAGTCGAGGAACAGTCGTCTTCATCGGATAGGCAGCAACCACGAAAGTCCCCTACGTTCGTGCATTCGTATCCAAGCCCACATGTAACTGGAGACGTACGATGTTAGTACCACTCACAGATCCGGCGTACCAGATATTACTCACTCGCACTAGCCGTAGTGAATCCGCATGTATTTGAGCTTAATACGAAATCACTCGTTTGCGGGACATCCATGGATGTCATAGATGGCGACTCCTCGTCGGCGCGCACCACCGCATGAGTGCGGACGGTCGCGGTCGCGGTGCTAATAAGCGGCATGTCAGCTTACCGGGGCTGGTGGTTGTGCTGGTCATCGTTAGGCGTACCACGCATTTCTAACAACAGCGGGAAACCAAGTAGGTTTGAAACAAGACGGGACCAAAGGACTTCTTCATGGCATTCATAGAATTGGTGTGTTGGGTAATGACTAAAGATCGACACAGAGCCACTTCTTTCTCAGCACTTCTCATTGTCCTTGAGTGCAACAGCAAAAAATCGTGATGTTGGGACTTTTACAACTGTGCCCTACGACGGCCTCCCCTTTGTGCTGATCCTCGCTAAACTTTGCCATCTCGCAAAGGATGATACGTAGTATAAAGACTGGCCTCGGCTCGAGGACAATGGGTGTGGCAGTTCGTCTAGACCCCGCCCGTTTCCGTCCTTTGATAGTCAAGAAAAGCCTCCATATTGCTACCCTGATTCGCCATCTTCTCGTCTCCTGTCCCACCCTATTGGTAGATAGGCGGCATCTATATCGTCTTAAATACGTCCAAGCTGGATAGTTCTTTCCCAGGGTACTATTAACAAAGTGTTAGAGCCAGCTCTTCCATAATAGGAGTGATGTCGATCACAGTAAGGGACTCGATTTCCTTTGCTTCAAGGCCGGGTAGATAATACATACCGAGAACATGGTGTTAGATTCGCATGAAGATCCGAGCCCCTGGTTATCCATCCAAGCGGGCTCCCAGTAGAAGATACCGTTCCCATTCTTTACTCCGGCCACCACCTCGGCAACTTTTTGCATGAAGGTCGTTTGACCTTCCGCCGAGAATGGGATGCTCTTCACGTCGCTCGGGAATGAGTAGGAGGGTGACTTGCAGGAAGTAGGCCAGTTGATTTCGGCCACAACGATCTCCTTACCCCAGGTGCTTGCCATATTGGTAAGGCTCGTCTTTAGGTTCGCGAGTGTAGCGCCCGAGTTACTATTGAGTCAGTTAGTTGCTACCTATAGTGGTTGCTAGATTATATCCTAATAAAGGAATACCCACTAGAATGGATAATAGGAGACACCCATCATGTCAAATTCTGATGAGTTTAGAGGTCCAGCATTCAAAACCGAGTTATACCAATTCTTCTGGGTGTTCCAATCCCAGCCATTGTCGAGGTGGATCATGATCTTAGGCTGGGGAGATAGTTTGCTATCTTTGACACCCCATGAAGCTGAGTGTAGAAGCTGAGCAACATTATTGAAGTTCTTAGTGGACCCTGTAGGGAGCAAGAGGCCCGATCTGATCTCGTTTCCGATAGATATGATCGTAGGTGAGATACCTGCTGCCGCGAATTGGTTTGATACGTCCAGTGTGTAGTTGTACAATTTCCAAGCAAGATCGTCGATATTTGTGGGCCAGCCTGAGGGGATCGCTTGGTGTCCAGGGTCTGCCCATCTACATAGACGAGGGAGTCAATAATATGAACGCTTAAACTTATTTTATAACCATATTCATGGGTTTGAAGGTATATTGTACTGTTACTCACGTATCGCTATAATGGAAATCCACGTAGACGTCTAAACCGGCGGCCTTTGCTCGCTGTGCTAGCTTCAAGTTGTAGTCCACATTGTAATTGCCATCTCGTGGATTAACCCAAACCCGCTGTCTGACGGTGTTGACACCGCTTTCCGCCAATATCTTTTCGAGAGGTTCAGCAGTTCCGCTTGTCGTGGTATAAGATATTCCTGCCTTTTCCTCGACTATGACGGATGACCAATCGACGCCCTTGTACTTGAGAGCGGCTTGCACCACAGTCAGCGACGAAAGAGTCAGGAGAACTGAAACGAGCATCTTGACAAAACACAGTCGAACATATGCTTATTCTCGAATTTTGACACAATGTGGCCTAGTTCATGTGAAATCGAGAGCTGCCCCCAGCGGTGGTAATTGGGCGAATATATGGTCGAAGACCTATAAAGCGGCAACTTCCGGTGGGATTCAACCCAAATGAAAGCCATTTTGATATCATAAGATGGAGTAGTCTAGAGCCATTAATTCAAACTGGATTGTGTTAAATAGAGGTTTCGGCTAATCAACATTGCGACAGCTAAGCCAACAAGTTGCCCATGTGCTAACATAATCCCACCGGAAAGTTATAGCTTAACTTGAAGATGGCTCAATTGAGAATTTCCGCCTTCCTCCGAGTGGTTATGTAATTTTCCGTCTTGACGCTATTAAACTAGCTATAATAGGCACGGAGGTGAGATATGCATGTTAATCGAGACACATCCCCGCCTTGTTTAAATGGAATAATTGGCTATAATTGGTGTATTGTCCGATTAGTAGTAGTGGTGAGATATGGGATGAAAGTGTTGGACATAAGAATCTGGGGAAATGTTCTGGAATAGATCTTGCCAAGACATGATCTGTAGTATTTCAGCCAACTTGGGCGCAAGGATGATGTGCCAAGAAATCTAGCAGATGTCGAAGGTACATGAAAGAGAATATTATAGTCTCAATAACAAGCTGACCAAACCTAGGTACAGGTATAGTAGAGGGTAGCTATATCGGCTTATGGCAGAGTATGTTGTCTCTATGGTGGCTTGTTAATTCTGTAAGTACCTACTTAGATCTGCCATATATATCTAGTTTACCATGTGTATAGTCGGTCTTTGGATCTCATAAGAATAACTGCTTCTTCAAGACTGGACAACTCTTTCTAACCTAGAGAATAGATATCTATATCCTGGCGGAACCGAAAGGTTGCGTAGGCCTAATGAGGTCGGGCCGTATTATATGGTAATCTTCTACTGCTTCGTTAATATTGCCTCGGAACTAGCATAACATGAATTGTACCTTAATAAGAACCCAGTCATCTATCATTTATACTCAAGTGAGTTGACCTGCAGTTACGCAGATATAAACTAGACCCCGTCGCAAGAACTATGATGACGAGTGCCCAGCCATCTTTTTTCTAGACATTTTGTAAGGTTGGCGGGTGTATCCGTTCTCGCATTGGGATAAGGTGGAATACTAAACCCCACGTGGAGCCTTTTAAGAAAGTTGATCACCGATGATTGGCGCTGGGTTTTGTGCTCGCATATCGAAGGCACGGCGCTAAACTAGATCTGCACACCACTGATAAACTAATGAGGAACTAGTGAACCTTGATGAGCGTACTGCATACTTTAGCTCCACCGGCACGCCGAAGAAGCCGACAAACTTTCCTCTTCCCGTACAGTGGTACGAACCCGTCGACCAGGCAATATTTAATTTTTCGGACAATTCAGATTTGGGATATATTGTTCTCATGAATACTCTCAATAGAGGAAGCAGTACCGTAATTATTGCCAAGTACGCATGGTGTTTAATGATGAGGGAAAAGCCGGCGAAATGGTGTTTCATATCTGTGTCAAGAGGTGGTATTAAGAGCTAGGCTATTGGGCGCGCATGGTTGCGAATGGCTTCGAACACACCATTCCGGCAACGCTAGCGACAACGATTGTTTGCTATGTATTTTTTAAATCCTGTCGTAAGTAAGCCACCGCCGCTTTGTGATAATACATAAAGACGAAAGTAATTAAAAAGGAAATTAGAAAATTACCAAGGGTATCGAAGGGAGTGATGAGAAAAGAAGCTTGTCGAGGTGAATGGAAATTGTGTGCCGATTTCCGAAAATATGAGCCGGGGGTTAGATCAGTGACAACAACCTGATAAAGTTCCCGAACACGCGACAACTGACAAGTAATATTAAAATCAAGTTTCCAAATCTTAGAATCTTATCAACTTGACACAAATGACTTCTTTACCCGTCGAAGCGCATGCCAGGTCATTCTTCGATACACTATATATCATCATAGAAAATGAAAATCAATTTTTAAAATTGAAATTGTAGTTGTCCAGTTCAAGATACATGACAACATATTAACATATTATATGTTCTGGTATGTATACTTGTAGATTCGGAGTAACCTCCATTCCATCAAATCAAAGAGAAGGTTGGACCAAATATACGCAGCTAGAGATCCTGTCCTAGCCCGTCTTGCATAAACCCCGCATGCGATACCTCCAAGTGTGCAGCAATACGAAGGAGCAAACGCAGAAGGAGTCGCATTGCTGTCGTGGACACTTACCGCATGAGGGTAGTCTGGTACCTGCTTTCTCGTAATGAATTGAAATGGGCTGACTCAGCTGTATGATTTGTTCAACGAAGAGTTTATAAAATTCATATCAACAAAAGACGGTATGTTTATCCATTTTCTACACGTCGATTCTACTTGAAAAAGGTTTAGCTGGACAAGAAAAGGCATTAACCACATGTCTTCACGTGTACCAAGGTAGAAAGAAAACGAGAGAAGCATTGCCAAGACAAAATCGATACAGAAAAGTGGGCTAGCCCAATGAGGAAAGAGAAAGATGCGTGGCGAACGGTTGATTGGTGAAATTTTCTCCAACCTTCCCTGTCTGGGGGTAGGCTAGACCGCAAACTTGGCCCTTGTCGTTTCCAATATTCTGTTCTGATGTGCACTAGCAAAAAAGATACGCATGGGCCGACGGGCAAGTGGCAACTGCAGCAACGTCGCTTAGTTCCAAAGAAAGAGCCCTGGTCCGAATTGGAGAAAGATGATTGGGGCAATTGAGGCCCGTTATCGTGAGCTTCGTCGTCAGGATGCTCTTCTACCGTACCTTCTCAATTTTTTTTCCCCTTTACCCAGGCACCTCGTCAAACAAATATTAAACATACTACCTTTTACTACTACCCAGGTACGGACCTACACCTCCAGCTCCTACCCAATCCCTGCCACACCCGCAGACCCGTCAGGTACAACCCACACACGCATACGCACTATCTATACATTAGGAAGTATATGTACCTTATTACGTACCCCATCTCTTTTTTTTCCTCGTACTTCATCTTGAAGCTCCCAAACTCTTCTTCTCCGATCCCGTCTTTTCTCCATCGTCTGTATTGAATCATCTCTTTTCCCACCGATTTCCATAGTACAACTTCTCAAGCTTTACTACCAATAAAACAATTTACTTATCTACAGATTTTGGTTTGTCTCACAGTCAATTCGGCGATCATCAATCGTACAACGCCGATCCCACCACTCCTCCCACTCCTCCCGAACTTCGCCGCAAACATGATCACCATACACGCTGCCGCTGTCGCGCTCTGCGCCGTCACGTTAGTATCTGCTCAAGCAAATTCTAACTCGACTTTTAAGATCGACCCCGACTCAGTTGATATCTCCAAAAAAGGTATGTAGTAATCCGATTGATTTCTTTGGTATTAAGTTCTTTATGCTAACTATCTGCTGTAGTTACTTGGTGTCAAGGACAACAAGATAGCTGTGGTACACTTTGCGGCACGGCGATAACCAATGACTGTTCAGTTGTAAGTACTCCGCGTATGCTCACTATAGTGCATGACTAACGAGAGTATAGGATACTTTGGATTTCAAATGTGTATGCCAAGGCAACAATTCGCCCGATCTGAATCTCTATGAGAACACAATGCCTTGGGTAAGACCCAATTTCCCTATCAATTCTTTTGTGCATGAGCTAATTTCCTCCCCTCTAGTTCGTCTGCGAACAGAATCAGGACAACTGTATTCAACAAACCGAGAACAATGCCGCCGGGCAGAAGAACTGCACATCGACGTTTAGTGACCACTGTGGTAAAGAATCGGTAGCGGATCATGCGGGAGAGGGATCCGTCAGCACAACTACCAGCTCCAGCTCAGCGCCCAGTGGAAGCGCTACTGCCGCTTCTAGCTCTGCTGCGCCGAGTTCAACTTCATCGGCAGGAGCTGTTCCCACGCACGTGCAATACATCGGCAATGGCGCTGCAGCAGTTGCCGTAGGTTTATTCGCTTACATGCTGTAAGAGAAAATATAGCAGCAGGTTTACTTAGGAGGTCAGACGGTTATTCACATACAATAGAGTTGTTGTGAAGATTGCCGTTCTCTTTTTATACTCATTTAAATACCCAACAATCCCACATCAAACCACCCGAACGCGGGTATTGTCGTGTAGCACGTGGCATATCTAATTCACGAGGAGACGATTCGAGTACTAATGATTTGGCATACGTGGATGGAAGATTAATGTTTGAGCAAGTCATTGAAGGCATGGAGGAACTGGGATCAGGGGTATCACAGCTATGGCTAGTAAGAAAGCAACAAAAAACTGCGAGTAAGCAATTATAACATACCACAAAGCAGACCCAGAACAATAGAATTGATCACAACAAGGCCCCTTTCCTTTTGAGGGTGGGTACCATTGATAGGGCATCGTATGTTGATCCTATATATAAGTGCGTATACCACAAAGACATCGTTATTGTTCCAATCTCTGCTATTTATTTCTAGTTAGTCCTTCGCGGCAGCAATCTTCAGATCTTGCAATTCCTAATTTTCTTCAATTTACTTGATCAAGGCGATCCTTAGCATTGATGAAAAGAAAAAGGTAGGACTTCTTCGTACTGATAGAACAGATCGCAAGAAGTCTTACCATATTCGACTTCTCGGCCTCAGATGGCTAAGCCTAAAAAATTCACAGTGCCTACTGGCACTCATCAATCGATTGGTATCGAATTGGAATTCTTGGTTGCTTGGCTACCAAATGGAGAGAAAGATCCACATGAATCCGAAGCTCATAATCTTCCTCCTTTACTACGTATTGACGCTGACCCGACCCGATACCCCGCTACGGTCGATATCTTAATGCATATACGCGAGACTCTTGAGAGATATGGAATACCCGTGTCTAATAACCGGCGTCCTTCCGCAAAAGAGCTAGCAGCTACGAAACATATACCCCGGCGACTTCGAGATGTGGACAAATGGAGTGTTGGTCTCGACTCCAGCGTCGAGGAGTTGGTCAATAAAGACTACGTATGGCAGCCGATCGAAATTCGCAGCCCGGCGCTGTGGGCTACGCCAGAGTCGTACGAACAGATCCGATGTGTAATCAACCTCCTCAAATCGTGCTACCGTCTTCGCGTTAACCCGACCTGTGGCTTTCACGTTCATGTAGGTAATGGATGGAGATACTTCAAACCCGAAAAGGTCAAGAAGACTGCCGCCTTCCTGTGGGCTTCCGATCCTTTGTTATCGCGGCTCCATCCCCCATGGCGTAGGGCTAATGGTTATTCTGCGAGTATTCGTCTCGAAAGTAGGCTTGCTTATGAAGGTACAGCCGAAGAAATCCGAGAGGAGCTTGAGAGGATAGCGCCGGTATCTATGAGGTTGCCCATAACTGCGTTCTCCGATATTACTCAGGAGGTGGAGGTGTATGGCAGCGAAGAGGGTTGGGCTAAGTACGCGCACGCTCGGAAAGAGGTAGGTCCGTTCATGACGCTTAGTACTGATGTTAATCACACCGGAGATACCGAGAGCGAGGGAAGTAGCCGCAGCAGTAGCAGTAACAAGAACAACAGCAACAGCAACAGCTCCCATCGAAGCACTACTGGTAGTAGTACCAATAGCAGCGACAACGGCGGAGGCGACAAGAATAAATCCAATCGCAGCAGGGCCAGTAATAATAGTAATAGCAAAGATCACGACAGCGACAATGAATCCACCCGTTCCGAATCCCCCGAAATCCTAGAATTATTTTCGGATCGCATTCGGGAGTTATTAGAACAAGAGCAAAACGCAGGTCGCGTCCCACCAGACCTAGACACGTTAGATAGGAACATCGGACTCGTCCACTGGAATAAAGTCGAAGATCCCAGGATCATGCGGATAGTATTATACTTATGTGAAAGGCTATACGGGCATAGAAACCCTGCAAAGTTGAAGTACAAAGAGCAGCTCGATATCATGCTGCAGGCACAATGTCAATTCCTATACGGCCATATCAAGGTTAAGACTTTAGATTGGATGGAAATACTGGCTGTTCTTAACCGCTGTGGGCCGTACGTCGAAGCCGGTCGCTCTTCGTATGTATGGGATCCGGATATTAAGAATTGGGAACCTACTTGGTTTAACGCGGGACGCATCCTCGACCACCCGAAGGCTCTTAAGGACGAGAGGATCGACGGGCCGATGGTCGTTAATAAGTTCCACAACATCGCCAAGCTTCTCGATCTAAACGAGGAGGGCGACGATGACGATGGTATCGAGTACATCAACCGCGAGGAGTACGAAAAGGCGATGGCGACGAATGGAGGTATCGAAAAATTGGTTAAGGAACTTAGGGAGTACGCCGATAGTCCGAATCCAGACGACTTTAGTGTTATCGATTTAAACGAAGTGATCGTACTCTCAGACGAGGAGGACGAGGTGGATGAGGTGGATGAAATATATCCCGACGAAACGCCGGCTCCCGTGGATATCGATGAGGATGGTATTAATACCGTGGAACTTACTCCCGATGACTCAGTATCTCCGCCGGTGATGCCATCGAAATCCCGATCTGCTCCACCCACGCTTGGCGAACCAAAAGCTAGAAAAGACAGCAGCAGTAGCTCGAGTTCGAGCGAATTTTCGAACACCCCTCGAGATAGTACTGGTGGAAATGGAGGTGGGGGAGGCAGCAGCCCAACGCCACCACCCCCAACGCGCAACCCATCCCTGGAGCGCAAGAAACTCCAGCCCGACGAAATCGAAGACCTCCCGGAGTCCTACCAAGAATACGTTAAAAACCACCTACAGGTCTCAACCCTATCCTGGATACCCGCCGACCCCGCCACCGCCACCGCCACCGCCGCATCTGGCCTGCGCCAACTCACGCTCTGCGAATCCGCTGCCGAAGTCGCAGACTTAATCACCGGGCGTCCGAACTACAATTTCTTACAATACCAAACATCCTCCATGCACGGGGTTCCAGAAAGTCTACGCACGATTGAATTCCGCGAAGCCTCTGGAACTCTCGATGCGTCTTGGATCGTAACTTATGCCCGTATATGCGAGGGCATATTACGCTGGTGTCGAAACGCGAGGATGGCGGATTATATACGCGTGCTGGACCGCGTTATGTTGCAAAACGAACGAGACGAGCGTAGGCACGAGGCGCGGAAGAGTGCGGCGTTTACGTATGATATGAAAGAGGAAGATGAGAGGAATCGATATGATGTATGTGATTTGCTGGAGGATATTGGTTTATATGCTGAAGCCGAATTCGTTCGAAAGCGGGAGAAGGAGAATGGACCACCTCGGTGAGGTGAGATGAGCTAAATTTCTGTATTTATATATAGTAGACACCCACGGTAGATATTTTCGGGAGTATATTTTTTGTTTCAATTTTTAGTTAAGTAGGGAGGAGTTGGTAGGTTGTTGTCTTGTTTCTGCATTGTTGAAGCGTTGTTTGATTATAGATGGAATTTCATGGTGTATAGGTACCTAGGTAGGCATGGAATATATGAATATGAATCATCAATAGCTGTCTTAGTTCTAATGGTTGATGAGCTTGTGCTTCATAATGTTAACAATGATGGAGCTACGATGTGCCCTCTTGAATTATGTTCTACGAATTTGTTAGTACACCCTCACCTTGTAGTAGATATATTTTCACAAAATAATTACGAATGGAGAAAAACAGCGCATCATTGTATTAGCCATGATTTATGCTAATAAGATCGAATACGTGGGTATCTAACCGCCGAAACTCCTGAAAAAGAAAACCCTTGTGTCCTTAGATAAACGTCCCATAGCCGTGTACCTAGGTAGTTCCGCAACCTCCCGAAATTTTGCACTCCAACTATAGCCTGCTTCTCCCCCAGCCCGAATTAATCGTATTTTAACGAGAACTCCAGATCCTTTATTATCTTGCGCTGAGCCTTAAGGACCTTAGCGGAAAGTTGCCCATTGACACGATGCCGGTCATCGATTAATTCTATTTTTTTCGCCGCCTCTAGTGCCCTGCTGTTTGCAAACGCTGTTGCCGTCATCGAGTGGTTGCGGTGATTTCTGCGCTTTTTGATCAGCAGTTCCACACGCCTAGTCGCTGCCATACTAGCGGAGGTGGAGAGGACAGAGCAACGTTCATACGCAAAAGCTTCTCGACGAAGCAGGGTTTTCTGAACTTCCAATATTAGGTCCTCATCGTGGTCGGTGATGCTCGGGTTGATAAATTCATTCGGGAAGCTGAAAGCCGACGACAAGGCACTGAAGGTTTCTAATGCCGTTCCCCGCAGACAGACTTTCTTAATTACCGGTTGGACGAGGTCCCAATGAAAGTTGGACTCGAAATGTAAGCATTCCTTCGCAGCATCGACTATCCAGCTAATGTGGATATAGCCCAGGAACGGCCGTCCAGGATTCTCTTTCAAAATGGCAAGAGCCCTTTTTATGAGCGCGTTTGTGGTCCATCTCTGCCAGTCGCTCGAGTTACGTCGACTTGCGCGCTCGAAAGTCTCCTTATCCCCGAATATAAGAGAACGAATTTCCTGCGAGATACGGGGATTCGTAGCCAGTACCAGCCAGAGAAGCTCATATCGTACATCGTGCTTTGGCAATTTGGAAATCTCTTCCAGAAGCAGACGAAATATTTCTGTGAAAGCGGCTTGGTCCATTGGGAAGTTCCGGTCGCCAGCGGCTTGAAGCGCGTATGTAAGGCCAAACTGTTGGTATGTCGCCTTCGCTTCTCTTCCTCTGTCAAGCTCGGTGGAAACCTTCGACTCTTCTGTTCCAAAGCGAAACCCTCTGCTCAACAACAATCGCGCTAAATCCGCTCTATGGCGGGCACAAGCAGCCAGCATAGAATAGATGTATTTGTCGTATTGATTGCCGTCCGCATCGATTTCCAGGAAGGCTATAACGGCGTCGAATTCTGAACCGCTCTTGATCATCGACGCTAGCACTCTGTCCCGAAAGCTCCAATCATCTGTGCCGTATAGCTTATAGGACCATCCGGCGGCACAGAGACGCTTAACCATGAAGGTAGAGGTGGCGAAATGCATAGGGGTATTACGAGTCGAAACCTCAAAGTCTGGTTTTATCTTCGCCCCGCACTCTAGGAGGTTCACGGCGATATCTTCGCGCCCCTTTTCAAGAGCGAAGAGTAACGGGTACGTGTTTGTACCAAGGGTCACATTCGGGTTGGCCCCTAGCGCCAGAGCAAAGCGTACCGCGTCCCCAAGACTGTGGCGACAAGCCCACCGGAAGGACATCTTGGCCCCATATGGGAATATGCCATTCTTATACGGGTCCCGTCCTAAGTCCAGATTGTATAGCATCGGCCGGATGCATCTGGTGAACTGGCGGGAGGTGAGAGACCAATTGTTCACATCATGCTGCGATAACTTGTATACAATTTCGTATAGAATTTCATTGGGGAGACGGGAGATAAGGTCGCGACCTTGGTTCTGTGAAGGATCCATTGTTGTGAATATTTCGTGATAAATGGTCGTAGGTATTGGGTGTTAAGAAAAAAGTCGATCAAAGTCCTCTTGTCGATAACTGAATGTACAATCGAAGTGGTAGAATGATAGAATGATGAATTGATAGTTGATTGAAGAGTAATTGAATGATCAATTGAATATTTGGTTATTTGGTGAAAGGTTAATGGTAGATGGGAGCTGTGAATTAGAGTGAATGTCTGAATTGGAGGAGAAGGTGTTGAGAAACCCGAGAAGAACCTGGCAATTATATATAAAAGCACCCAAAATGCACCTGCCACTTCATGATTAGAGAACTTCTAAAGTTCAGATGAAAATTGCACGGTTCACATACCTCACAAGCACCTTGCATACTATAAGGAGGAAGGTGCTAGTACTAGGTTAGATAGTAAGTGTTGTTTTCTTCCGCTAATTCTTGAATCCCATGACGCTGTGACCAACTTCAGACAGTGAAGGAGCTCCCTACCAAATGAACTTCGACTGTTTGTACAATTCCAGTTGCTCCAACCATTGCGCCTTTCCTTTAACAGTACTGGTCTTGTGATGGACACAGCATGTTATGCCTTCGAACTGTTTCTTCCCTTCCTATGTAAGTCACGGGGACAAACAGGTTAAAACTCGTTAGAAAACAAATTGTACTATACTTCAGATGAAAAGAATAAAAGCCGAATTACAGTTAAAAACAATCAAGATTTGCTATCTAGAGCAGCCTGATATGGTATCGTAACCTTAAATCACCAGAATCTCATCTCTTTCCTATCGAACCCTGTAAAATGATAAAAATGATGAATGCCGCGCCAAACTATGCAAACTTTTATACAATCCGATTATTTCGCTATTTCCTTTCCCAAGTCAGAAAGAGGGAGGAAATATAAAAAAAGGGGTTGCCACCTTAGCTGCTCTGCTGTTCCATATGAGTAGGTAGATTATAGCTTGCGTAGTCCGCGTGGACGAAAGCCCTGTCCACAATAGGAACAGACTCCAATACATATCCCAAACTCTCACTCAAATCGTGGGAATCCCGTAACGTCGTAGATGCATCCAGAATGATATCAACTTCAACGTTCAATTTATCACCAGCGTGATAAGCTTGCAGCCCTTGGATTTGCTTAATTCCCTTAGCAAAGCGCATCGTAAGGTACAACACTATCAATCAATTAGCATGGCTACACCTTAAAAAAGATAATGTGATCATTAAAACTTACAGATGTTTCGTTGATCAGCAGTCGCGGAGAATCCCGATAGGTTCTTGATATGCTGCATGGAAGTTCGGGACCAATTGAAAATGACGACGAGCGATAGAACAAGACCACCAAGAGCATCTAGCCACCATATCTTGGCATAAAATCCAACTAGAAAACATATTAGATTTCATCGACATAGGATCGGATTGATAATACATACCGATAGGAAAGAGGATAGATCCCGTGTTGAAAATGACATCTGTCATAGCATCCTCGGCTCTAAAGCAGTATTAGTATTTGTCAAGCGATACCCGCATTGATCGGACTTACAAAGCTTGAACACTAGAGTTCTTGACTAGACGGCACCACAGCCAGCAAAGTCCTTTGATAAGGACCGTTCCAAGCATAATACTAAGGGCAGGTATTCCACTAAAAAAACGAAGATTAGTTCACCGAAGTTATTGAATAGGTGCCAGTTATAATTACTCACACTTCGACCAATTCGTGTTCGGGCGAGGCTAGTCGTTGGAGTGACTCGAGCCCAACCTGAACGAATGACGTAATCATAATGACGGAAAAGACTAGAACACCAAGAGGTTCTAATCGTCGCCTTCCAACCGGATACTTGTACTGGTCTTGTCTGGAAATTAACCAAGTCGTCGTCCATACTATGACCGTCGACAGGAAATCCAAGACGGCATCAACCAAACTAGCTAAGACCGACATAGAGGATACAGAGATAACGACAGCAATCTTGCCCATCAGCAAGATGAAGTTGGCCGCGAAATTGACATAGATAGCCGTCGTGACAATTTGATCACCGCTGTCCAGCTCGTCGTCCTCTTCCAGCCATGGGACCTCGGGTTTCGGACCATCCCATTGGTCCTCTTCCTCGTCGTGGGTGAACAAAGGAGTGGTTTCAGTAGCTCGGTAGATATCTTTCGGGGTACGCTTGACTTTCTTCACGGGAACGAGGCTTTGAGACACCGCGTCCGTTTTAGCACCGTCTTCCTCCGTGTTAAATCCCGCATTTTGAGGACTGGAAAAGCTCGTAAGAGGTGTTATCTGGTCACTTGAGCTCTCACTATCATGTCCACTTCCAGGATTGCTCTTGTTGATACTAACAGCACTGGAGTGCTCTTCGGAAATGGTGGTGGGGATATCGACGTCTTTATAGGAGTGGGGCAGATTGTTGTATTCATTGAGCAAATCGTGGGGCAAGCTGCTGTCAAGCAAGCGATCGATGTAGAGATATTGCTGGACGAGGTAGTTTGTGCGCTCGTAGTATTCGCGCAAAGGCTTCTTCATAGCATACAATTGTTCTTCTGTTTTGTAGTAGCGCGCCCATTTATACCGGGGGTTCGAGTTGCCAATCAGCCTCATAGAGCGCATATGCGAGCCATTGAGGATCTGGCTCAATCGACGCTCATCGACCTGAGGTCGGCGGTGGGATTCGTCATCGGATTCGGAAGGTGGTCGGGACATCATGGTAGGTAGCAACCCGGACTCCTCGTCCTCCAAAGCATTAGGTACTGCACCTCGCCAGGTGCTGCCATAATTGTGGAGGGATCCATAGGAACGGCTCTTGAGAAGGTGGGCAAGGGCGCCTTGGCCGCGGGGTGAAATCGGTGGAGGGTTGTCGTCTTGTAGAAGTAGAAAAGAGCCTTTGGTGAATCCAGCGAAGCCACGGCGCGGATCCGAACTGGATAGCCGAGAAGCCGAATTGTCGTAAGACATATTGACGGTGCTTAGGAATGAAAAGTAAATCTACACGAGTAAACGGGTAGAAGTGAGGGAGCGTGTAAAAGGAATATAGAAGTCAGAGTAAAAAAATGACGCCGGCAGGAGACCGTAAGTGGAATAAATTGTAATACTGTGGAACGTAAACGGCGCTGCCTTTTTTTACTTAGACTAGCTAAGTCGGGTTATAAGGATGTTCAATGAGGTAATGTACAGTACAAGAGATACAAGAGATGGGAGTGGATTTCGACGTGTTTGTCAGTCAGATCAACACTAGCGAAACAAAACACGAGGAAGGAGAGAAGAGAAAGAGAAAGAAAGAATTTGAAAGAGAAAACAAATACTTGAAGTATTTAAAAAGTTATTGACACAAATTCGTTTCCTATTGTTTTCTCATTGTAACTGGTTCTAGGGGGATGTTTGAGAGTTGCAGCCGAGAGGTAGCATCTCAAGGACCCTGCAGGCCGCCCCAGATCACGGATTACTACGTAGTGGGCCTAAGAGCTATGTACTGTTACCCTACACTGTACGAAGCCTCCGCAATGCTCCAATGTTCGTGGTTCTTATCGCCGATCCCCACCCTAATTGGATTAGTATGCCGAGCCGCGCTGTCTGGCATTTTGCATTATTCGCCTCAGCAGCTGCAAGTGCTGCGTAGGTCCCACGTACAGCGAGTTTGAGGTGACTGCACGCCGCAGTCCCCCCTAATCTGATAATTGCCGCGGATCGTCTTTCTCCATTCTTTTTTTCCTTCGTCCCTCCCAAGAACGTCCGTGGGGTCCAGGATGATGAATCCTAGTATCTCAAAAGTAAAAATATCCGATGCGAATAGGACTACTCGCAGTATATTGATAATTTTGCATTTCCTCCTAGCCTCACCTATTCGGAACAGCTAAGTAGACTGTCAGATTATTATCTTGACTTCTACTTCCAGCTCAAGCCTTAAGCTCAATGCAACGCTACGGTGTTGAATTAATGACAACGCCACAACTCCAAGCAACGGGAATCCTAGAGAGTCCACTGCTGTATCCCTGCGATAAGTATCTCCCCCGTCAATAAGCCAAAGCAACTCCTCTATAAGTAAACATATCGTTTGTGGTAAACGACATGCTCCAGAGCCTCTTAAACCCAGGGATCATAAATTGCTCAATACAAATTTCCGGGGCCGCCGATGCCAACCAAATCTCATGTCTCTGCCGCCTTTTCAGCAGATATCTTTTCTGCTATCAATGCTGTCGCTTTGACGATGAGTTCGTGCTCATATCCGTGGATTTTCTGCTCCAGATCTTCTAAGCTGTCCCCTTCGTCGATCTTGATTTTTTGAACCAAGATAGGTTCGCCGCGATCGACTTCAGCGATAACATAGTGGATCATAATTCCAGTAGTGTTGTCCTGGAGCTTCCCAGCTTTAAAATCCTCGTACGCCCTTTCGATAGCACCAGCACCATCATAAGCTCCTATAAGAGTAGGTGTTAGAGTCAATGCTGCATGATTGATACGGAGTCGGCAAAACATACCTGGTAAAGCAGGATGGAGATTAATGATCGGCACACCGGCATCACTAAGGGGGCGTAAGAAATTTGTCGTTAAGACATGCATCCAGCCAGCCAGAACGACAAGGTCTGGTTTATCGCGCAGTATCCTCTCCGCCAAGGCTGCATCGTATTTAAGTCGGGCCTCCTGCAGCTTGACCGGATCCTTCTCCCCAAGTACTTGAAATCCATCCTTGACCAAGTTGAAGTAGTCGGTCGGAATACCAGCTTTCTCAGCCCGTTTAATCGCGAATGCATTCTTTCTATTGACTGTCACCTTGATGATTTTGCCGCGGATGCTTCCGGGTACATCGGAGGCGCACGAGTCAATGAGAGCCTGCAGATTCGTCCCATTCCCACTGCAAAGTACTGAAATTCGTGCCTCGGCCATGATAAGGTGAAATGTTGTAGCTAGTGAAACACCCAATTAGAAAATGATTTGGTTGAAAATTCAACATCAAATTTCTCAAATAGAGCGAAAAAAAGATTGCGTCGCGGGGTACTAACTCGGTATGATAATAATTTGCTTAATTAATACGATGGGAGTATTCACGTACAAGGTATTAGTGACGGTTCTCGGGAAAAGTGGGTATAAGAAGCATCCACTGATGGATAAATTGGTGTGTGATAAAACAAAAAACAGAAAGCATAGAGTTGGAATAGGTGCAGAAAGCTCTCTGGGTATGAATCCTCAGTAGAATGTCATTTAAAAAGAAAAGAGGGGTATCTGAGAAAAGAGGACAGGCTCTAGTATGTAGGTGTACGTTCTTAAATACCTGTATACAGTGACCAAAGCACCATGGTATACTACCTAGGTATACCCACCAACTTTAATAATTAAGCATGCTCCCACACGTTTGCCCAAAAAGCGATTCTCGCTTTACTCGTACTATCTAGCCAATCAAGTTTCGATGAACCTTCCCAGCTTGGGTACGAGTTGCGGACATTTCCAAGGTTCTGACAAGGGTGTCCATTCTGATCTCCACCTATCGGTCGGCCGTCGAGGTCCGTTAATTGTGGGGTGTATCCGCTCCGCCCGGTGATTGCACTCCGGTACCACACCTTCCGAAACAACTAAGCTCATTGACAACCGAGTCATTACAAAGTATAGATGACACCTTACCAGTATTATATACTTTCTATATAAAGATACAAGTATTTTCTCAGCAATAACTTTATTAACATACCTAGATAGTGTACCCCTAACAGACGCAATTCGTCATGAGGCCAACAACAAAAGGAGCGATGGTGACCTCGTTGTCGTGTAAGGTGTGCGTAATGAAATACTATGGAGGGTTATGTATATACATATTATTAATCCTTATATCCTAGTGGCTCCTTTTTCCTCGTATCTTTGGTTAAGACCCTCACCTATAATGATAAGGGTTCCTAATAACCCTCATAATATAATTTCAGTTAGCACAACGGAGTGTACTCTTACGTCTATTAACAAGAACACTTAGTGATCAACAATTGACATGGGGGTCGCAGAAATAATAAACAATGTTCGGAATATTACTCATTTTCATAATATTATTCATATTGCCTTCATAGTCTGGGGCTTTACCCATCTGCCTCTTCAGTTGTACTAAGAAATCTATAGACAACCCCCCAAACGGAAGATTGCGAAGTATTGTGTCCATATTAGGGGACGAAAGATAGCCTTATGGCCAAGACCCCTCCCGATGAGTTCACAAATCCATACATATTTTACGTATAAAGAGGCCTATAAGTTCAAGACAAGAACAGTTTCCTTCTTGGCTTTATAATTACCCAGGAACCCGTATCCCGAATGCTTTCTGCCATTAGCATCCGCATGGCCATGAGCAATCATTCCCCGTTCAAAGGCACTAATCCTCGCAGTAAGTTAGATATACATCCATATGGATAATTATTAATTTGAGAATAGCGGGACTTCGAATTATAGAGACGTCATTCAAAGAGTGTTATGGGTTGTCGTAATAAGCTCCTATCCGCCCTTTGCGCCTCTCGCGCCGTCGCCGCCATCACCGCCATCACCGCCAGCTACTTGATTCACCCTCCTTCCCACTTTCCCTATGTTATTCTCTAGACTATGTAATTAGAGAGAGCGCATCGGCGATATGTGTAATTCCAGTACAAAAATAACTTCACAGTCATGTTCTGGTCCTTGTTGCAAGCACAAGGAATAAGGAGTTAGTTAAATAATATGTTATGTAGAACTTTCTATCTCTGTGCCTTCTCACACCTAGTGTCTTTCTAACAATAAAACAAGAATGCTCTTCTAGAGATACGATAAGTATGCGATGCACGCCGTGAGTGTCGACAGATATAATGCGAGTAATATTCTGATGAGACTGACAGCAGCCTGGTACAACAACACCTCCACTGTCCGTAGATCGTGAGAAGCCCTAAATGTAGTTGCACTCATAGTTATGGTAGTTGTGCTTTGGTCTTTCATCGAGTACCTAGGGTTAATCTAGATTTTGCAGGAACCGCCCTGTGCTCTCACCCCTCGTTCCTAGCTGGCGAGTACTCACGGCCAGTTTTACGCGTTTACGGGGGCTATATACCCGCTTTCGTTCACTTGACGCATATGCGAGTACTACCTGCTCATTCACCTAAAGTGCGTTCTAAATTTTCAGTGCACTTGTTTTAAAAACTTCTTTCAGGATCCTTTCTTCTCCCCTCCTCTTCTCTCTCTCTCACCACATAAATAACCAACGGCAACGATGGATTACGTAAGTATGACCCTATACCAACTGGTGATATTACATTGACTAATTTCGTGTGTTTAGCCATATGTCGTTCGCGTCTTCGGCACCCTTTACGCATTTCAACCTTTGTTCTGGGCGCAGGACCCTCCCGAGCTCCGAGGCCGTGTTCTTGCCGCTGCTGATGCCTTTCGCGCCGGCGCTCCCGGTTCTATTCCCGCTTTCCTGGGCGTTACCGCCCCTGGCAGCTCTTCCCTCCCGCCCCCGGCCCCAATCCCGCTCATCAGGGTTCTGGCGCTTTTACCGCCGTTCCTGCTCCTGGTGGTTTTCTTCCCGGCCCTATTGCTGCTCCGCCCTCGGCTTCGGTTCTAGCTCTAACCCCGGCTACCAACCTTCCTGCGGTAAGTAGCATAATACTCATATAAGACTTAGCGAAATGTTACTGACATAGCATCATGTAGCGTAATATTGGCCGCTCCCTGACCGAGTTGAGAGCAGAGTGGGACCGCCCGTACACCGGGGTATGTTATATCATAATCACTATTCCGATGTTTATGATGCAGAAACTAATCAAATCGATACGATAGGATTGGGCTTGTTCGATTTGTGGCCAGGCTGGGACCGAACGACTGCGACATCTCACGATACACGTCCGCGATTGTCCGTTCTGCCTTAGAACATTCCAGAGCAATGTCGACGTAGCCAACCACATCATCCGTGAGCACAAGGGTGACGACGCCTGCCCGTGGACTAGAAGCTTCGGCTGCTAGAAAACATTAAGCCGCGATGACACGGAGCGCCAGCATGTCTTGGCCCACGCTATCAAAGGTGATCCGACGGCATGAATGGTTAGGGAAGGAGCAGAATTTGGTTGACGTTGTGATTTGTTTTCGGGCTTTGAGATATCCTTTCGTGCGCAGTTAGTTAGACGTACTTAATCATACACCACGACTCTGGGTCATCTACTATGCTGCTGGGTAAAATACCTTTGCATTCATCAATTGGTTCCGTGTGATATGATATATTGCTTGGTGAATATGTTTATGTTGTCTTTATTGGAGTCTTGAAGTATTCTACGTACATATGTATCGCATTCTATGACCATGTGGCTGATGTCACTGGTATGTAGAACAGCGAGCTTTCAAGGCTTCGTTGCTCCAGCAGTATGCCTGCCAAAAAGGGTAGACATGATTTCGCTTGGCGCAGATCTGCCCGGAGATCAATTACCGCAGGCGAGAAGGATTGCAGAGCTCGATGACGAATACGTAGGTGGCAGGGAATGGGGCTTGCTCGGGATCGTCTGATTGATCAATCTTCTGGACGGGTCTAACACTTCCCGCGCGCCTCCTGAAGCCCTCTTAATGTACCTACCGGCCTACCAGCCTACCAGCCAACCTAAGTAGTTGTTGTCCCACCTGTTTAAACTCCGCTCCTAGGGCCGTCGTTCATAATTTATTCTCCTCGTCGACGGATCGATATTCGAAAATGGTTCGTTCTCTGACCTTAGGGCCGCCTAATAATTAACTAGCTTGATATTAGTATTTCGCTTGACCTCATACGGGAAAAATGCTCCGCTTAGAGCAGGCTTTTAGATAGGCATTTCAAAGCGAACGTGCACACATTATATGTGAACAATTTATAGGCCTGTGAAAATGTATTATATAGGGGGTGGTAGTATCTGGCATCCTAACTAAGATCTGATCAGTGATCTCCGGGCTGCCGGCTGCTCTGTGCCTTTTGAGCTTTTGAACCCCTGGAAGCATGACCCTAATTGACGCTACCTAAATAGAAGGTGGGAAGTTATTGGATGGAACTAGGGGCAGGAACAGGTGTAAGCTAGCTTAAAGAACCCCTGAATGGTGGTATAAAAAAAAAAAAAAAAAGTCCAAGAAGCCCTATCGTTTATTTCCAAGGCAGCGCTTGTTTTGATGAATCAAGATCGACACTGCATATCGTAGTTTATAAGTATGGAGAATTCCGAGTTGTCGGTCAATGCTTCTTATCAATTCGAGCAGGCATTCTCCGGAGACGGCAGGCTTTGTTAGTGTGGTCCCGGGCAAGACACGGCTTCGAGAGGTTGAATACGAGAATGGGATCGCGTTAAACAGCCCCGGGCTTGTGGAGGGGACTATTTATCTAGTGCAGCATGACTCCCCGGACCATCGGGTCATATACCTTGTCTAGAGACAGGATCACCACCATACGTAAGCTGGATGTATGCATTTGGCTTAGGTATTTGTTCTGTTCACATGCGGTCTTTGATACGTGGGGTTTCTTCAATTTCGACACATGGATAATCAAGACGACAACATGAGACAATGGAGAATCTTGGTGTTAATAGGTCTTATACTTATTCTACACTTCCTATTTAATGAATGTGTATGTCGTGCGTGGCTAAGCTTAATGCTAGCGAAACAAGATAGCTTACCGCATGATCGGACGGAATCGACCCTATATGGTGGCTATGACGTTCTTATGATAGGCTGATAGGCCATCATTGAGGGGCCGAAGAAAAGAGGAAAAAGAAAAAAAAAATCGAAGGGCACATTGGAAATGTCTCAATATTTAAGCGCCATTTGGCGGGACCGAGACGAGAAACTTCCATGCTGGCTAGGAATAGACAGCTAACCTAGGCTATAAACTACCATAAACTAATGCTTCGTACCTTGAGCGGCGTGAAACGATTAGATGGATAACCCTAGGAAGACGGTACAAAATGCATGAAGAATGATAAAATGCTAAGCAAAGTATTTCATAATATTTTATCAAGGAAACATAATCATACATCGGAGTTCATCTCACGAACTTTACTCTTAAAGCTCCGGTCCTCCGCATAGATTATTTATTCTCGAATAAAAGATAAAAGTGAATTAAATAAGTAATGGTATTATTATTTGAGGCTCCATTGATCTCAGCTCAGCTTAGCTAGTTCTATGGAGCCCCTTTTGTTGATCATTTCCGTTGATGCCGACCTCGTGTTGGCGGATTGGGCTTACGATTGGTTCATCCCTGACTCCTCCTCTGAATCCTCACATTAATGAACCAAACAGGTTTACCATGTTCAAATACGACCTTTTTGGTCGCTTCTTCGCCAACTTTTTCTGCAGTAAAAAATAAAACTAAAATAAAAAGAGAGGTTATCTTGATATTCCTTCCCCCTGAATGACACGATATCGCTGATCATATAACCCTTTTCTCTTCGATTACCTACCAGCCTACTAAGGTACTGTATGTATCTAGGTAACAAAGGTGAAAGGATGATCGGTGGCTCTCTACCGAAAGAAAATCGGAGAATTGTTGTCAAAGTACGACCTTGGGACAACCACATATGACCGATTGCATTCCTCGTGGCGCCAGCACTCGCAAACATCACATCGATCGGTACCTACCTAGGTAAGCCAGGTACTTTAAAAAAGGGGGTAGGCAGGTGAACTGCTGTCCCGTGCAACACATTACATGCCTCCTAATTTTTACCTAGGTACCATCCTCGATGATAGCCAAGGTAAACTAACTCATCTTTTTCGAAGTCCACACTGGCTTTATTGCCTTAGTGGATTACTCCGCCGATTCTAGTGTCTTTTTCTCGAACCGGCCCCAGTTCCTTGGGCTCAGCCTAGTATCTAGTACGTGTACTATGCTGGGACCATAAATCTGTATAGGATATGGGTGATGAAAGTGTTGGTGCGGAATACATCAGGGGTACGCGCCTATGTACACCTAAAAGGAGAAAGTTATCTGCATCAACTTGACACGGCTCATTCATCAAGATGAAGCACTTCCATCCCATGTAGATGTCACTGTTTCCTTGAAGCTGTGCTAAAAAATGATTGCCATTTCAATTCTTTACTTCGATGATACAACTTCAAAGGTAAAGTGTTAGGTGGCGATCAAATATATTTTTTTGGGTTCTGTCAAGAATTATGTATTCGTTCTAATGTGATTTTTTTTCTTCAATTGACGCCCGTGAGCCTAGAAGTAGAAGGCCAGAACATCATCGGCCAATTAACGGACTAACAAGTCCTCATCCGCCCCCTGTAGTATGTACCTAGGCAGCTGGGTAGGTGGTACCCAGGGAAGTTATACCTTAACGTAGACAGTTGATCGTGCAATGCATGATCAAATGCAGCTAGTGTGGTCCAGGTCGCTCCACCTGCCACCCACCGACTCTCCGGCTTCTTCTCCAAAAGACTTTTAAAGCCTTTCCGGATGGGGTACTTTTTGTACTTTATGTACCTGTGTATCTCGGTATCTTGGGATGGTAAAAGGCTAGTTGGGTTCAGGTAGCAATAGAACTGGAACTGGAACTCTCCAGCCAAGTTCTAGCATACCATCTCAATAAAAATAGAGTCTAACAAGGTACGGATTACACAATTTCATACCATATGACCACCATACAAAGCCATACAATACCTATGGTTACATACCTGTGTAGGTAAGCCAAGGCTTTTTCAGGTCCCTGTTTTTGCCCGTGAATGGAATAATCAGTCACATCAGTCAATGTACCTAAGCATTGGCATTGGCGAGAACGAAGGAAAAATAACGTCTCGCTACTGCCTTCGCCTGACACCACACCTCCTCGTCATTGAACACTTTACACCTATCTTTTTGGGAATTATCATTTTTTTTTTGTTCTTCCCCTTCTTGTTCCCTTCGTCGTTCTATCAACCTTCCATCGTTCGCTCGCTCGTTCCCAGCCATCGTCGAGTATCCGTATCCTTATTCCCTTACCTAAGACGTAGTGCTGAACAGCCAGTCTATGGTTAGGTTTTCGAATACCGCTTAATCGCAGGGTTCCTATCGTTGATTAATTTTGTCCTTCGACAACACGCGGCCCCTCGATCGTTTTCCCGCTCAGTCGCTTCAAATCCGTACCAAGTAGTGTTTCGGAAGACCAACTGCATCTCGGCCGTGTTCGATAATAACGTGCTTTTCTCACGTTATTACTCGCCTCTCGTCGTTCAACCCGTTTTCTATTTTATTAGTTCGAGGAGTCCTTCGATCCGCATTTCCTCTTACCGTCTTCGCATGTTCTTGCGGCTTTACGTATTATATTAATAAATAAGGTTCATACTACCTGTACCTTCGATCCGATTAGCGACCGTTATTACCAACCCGCACCTGTCTATCGTGCTTTAATTGTCTACTATCTGTAAGTGACGACTGCCTTTTTGTTGGTTTGAATCAGATTACGGAAGGGAGCACCAAGAAACACTACGTCAGAAGATCAAAAGGTGGAAGAGTTTACTTAGTGGTTCGATATTTTTGGTCCCACCTTCACTTTTGCGCAATACTCGGGGAAATTGGGAATAGGTCGAAGTAGTGCAATCTTTTGTCTCTTCACTTAAGCTTCGTCTTGTCATCCCATCATCCCTCTCTCCCCGCTAGGAGAAAAAGAGCAAAATTACGCGTTTCGGGCTTAAAGACTAGTGTTTCCCGACTGTCCCATCACAACAGGTCCCAGGAAGCTGGACGGTTACATTTCCACAGAACACCGCTGACTTGAATTTCTCCTCATCATGCAGTTTTCCGTTTGCTCGCGTCATATTTAGATATTTAGTAGAGCGTGAGCTCCAACGCAATCTTCGAGACGATATCGGCCTTCTTTGGTATTCCTCTTCGCCTTAGATATTAGCAAATCTTGAACAGGCTAGTCGGTATTCGCAACCACCGGTTCCTCGCTGGTTTATGGGTTTGTAGTTACCCAAGGAACTTGAAGCGAGACAATCTATATGCCTAGATTTCCGGTCACCTTTCGGCGGAAATCGACCGCGGCAGAAGATCCAAATGGACCGATAGCAGAACATTCATTTCGAGTCCTCGAGAGGACCGAAGTGAATAGCGGAAGATCTTTCGATGGCGGAGTGAGGTTAGCTAAGATGACGGCTACTGCGCCCAAATCTCACGTTCCGGATCTCGCAATGGAGGATAATCTTTTCGCGGGCTTGAAAAATAATCGGTACGTGCAAGCTAGGTACCTATATTCTTTCCAACATTTCGTTTTCATGCTATTTTTACACGGGTAATTTCGCCAAGAGTTGGTCCGGGCAGTTAGCCTAGTTCAATCTTACGACGCCCCAGTCCGCTCAGATTTTAGCACAGCATCTGTCTCAGACACCCGTGTTCTTATATAAAGCTGGTCCTAGCGTTGTGCAATTTTACTAATTTTTACCAGCGGTAGTGGTAGTTCCAACACTACAAAGACAGCCTCGGACAATTCATCCCGTCACAGCAACGCCTCCACCGCCCCTTCGTCAACCGACTTTCCTCCTCAAGACGATTGGCGTAATACCGGCCGAAAATCTGTTTCGATGGCGGACGGCCCTACTCCTCCGGCGCACAAGAATTCTGGTGGTTTCCTTAAGAATGCAGGGAGGACATTCTCCTTCGGCAATAGAAAGAATACATTACCGACGATTCCGGCCGAAGACTCAGTTCCCGCTGTTCCTACAGTCCCCGATGCATACAGTCCCGGTACGCCTCGTGGTCGTTCGCGAGCGGAGACTGCTTCGACAGTCAGCACAGCGACACCACCCAAGGTCGAAGACAGAGATTTCATGTTGGATCTAGGGGGTGATCTTAGTAGTATGCTTAAGTTTGACAAGCGTGCAAGCGTTGCTACACTAAAGGAACGAAGCCTGATGGCGAATCGAATCAGCCAACCAACTCCGCTCCATCTCGACAACATAGCTCCCGTTGAACCTCCGCAACATTCCTGGAACAGCCAGCATTCGACCGATGGGCTTTTAGGTTCTGGTCGAACATTGACTTCTCCGGTTACCGTCAACGAATTGCCGCCACCGCCAGTCCCAAGACATGGTGAGAGCCCGATAAGTCCTATGGAACGCCGACGGTCGGATGAAGACGATGAAGATACGACTTTACTACAAGATTCTATTGCTGCTACTCAATATCTATCTAATGGAGGAACAGGTCCTAGCGGCAGTTCCAGCCGATATAGGAGAGATGAAGACAGTACATTAAGTTTTAGGTCTGGTCTTACCGAGTCGTATTCTAAATCGTCCCGATATGATGCCAAGGCCGATGACGATAATCTATTCGATAAACCTGTCAGCCGCACTAAGTTTGCCCCGAGACTCGGCGCTCGTTCGAATAGCCAGCCGCAAAACAAGGTCATGACTCCTGCGGAATTTGAGAAATATCGACAAGATAAAGCCCGTGAAGAGATAATGGGATTAGCGGATGATAAGGAGTCGGATAAAGAAGACGAGGATAATTACGACGATGAAGAGGACGAACGAGAGAAAACAAAACAACTCGCCAAACAGAGACGAAAGCAGGAGGCCCACATGACGGTTTATCGACAACAGATGATGAAAGTGACGGGCGAGTCGTCTTCGAACACCCACGCCTCTCGCCCAAGTCTTTCAATGTCGATGAGTACGCCGAACTTGGTATTGAACGATGGAACCAACCAAGGTGTCTCCCCGGACCCTCCATCAGACGGATCTGAAGAGGATGAGGAAGTGCCTTTAGCAATCCTTGCAGCGCACGGATTTCCTAACAAGAACCGACCGCCGACACGCCTTACTAACATGTCATCAAATCCTAATCTACGAGCATCTGTCGCACAGCCTTCGTATGTTTCGGGTCCAGGATCGGTTGTGGGCGAAAGCAGCGGCCAGGGCGCGGGTAATGGTGGTCGTCTACCTCCATTTGCTCGAAAACTGCCGCAAGATCCTTACCTCGGTGCAGGTTTGATCAACCAACCCCCGAGAGAATCTTTCGCATTAGGTGGAGGAACCGCTGCACCAAACCGCCCGGTGCCTACTGGAGGCTTGGTCGGTGTAATTGCCAGTGAGGAGCGGTCGAGGGCATTGCGACGTGGTAGTCCAGCTGTTGATAATATGAGGAACGCTCTGCCTATGAACATGCACCAAAACGGTATGCCCATGAACGGAGGTTTCGATCCAATAAATGGTATCCCTCCCCAAATGATGTACCCTGGGGGCATGCCGCAGATGCCCAGCCAGATGTTAACTCCGGGTGACCAAGCACAAATCCAGATGACACAACAGATGCAGCAGTTCATGCAAATGCAGATGCAATTTATGCAAATGATGGCATCTCAAGGACAGTCACCAGGACAAGAACAGATGCAAGGTGGATATCGACCTCAAGGACATATGCCAGCTCAATCTATGGGGTCTTTAGGGGACATGCCGAGACACTCGTTTTTAGGCGACCCGATGGCGAACAATATGGGCGGTGGCATGCACCTAGACTTACCGCGACCTGATTCGCAGATGCGAACGATGAGCATGGTTCAACCGAGCTCAGCATCTTGGCTTCAACCTCCACAGGCTGGCTACGCGCCCTCGATACGCGCTCAGGGCGCAGGCTATGCCCCCTCAATTGCACCCTCCGAACGTAGCAACATAGGGTTACCTGGACGTTACCGACCTGTCTCTAGTGTTGCAATGCTAGATAACGGCCGAACTACGAGCATGTCCGGAGCCATACCGACTATGCACTCCAAGCTTCAATCCGAAACTAGGGTATCCGCAGTTAATAAGGAAGATGACGATGACGACGAACAAGGATGGGAAGCAATGAAAGCGAAGAGGGAGAAGAAGAAGAGCCTTTGGCGATCTAAGAAGAGTTTTGGCAATGATATAGGAGCACTTATCAGTTAAAGGGCGCATGTGCATACTTAAGGGGTTATTATAGCATCATCATTCTCGGCTACATAAAATGGAGCATGCGCAAGGAACACCAAACATCATCTTGATCATTTCCGATTCTACTCAGGAAGCAGTTCTTTACCTCGACATCTTTTCCGCCTAATTATTGGAAGGTTCCTTGGAACGTACGTAGTATTAGGGGTTGGATTGTGTATATTTTAAGACGACAAAGTTTTGAATAAGGCGATTCGAGACAAGGATTGGGCGCATCTGGACTCATAAGATAAGATACAGCTTTTGGACAAGATATAAGACCTACCATTTAGAAGAACAAAAAAAAGATAATGTGGGATGGAACTAGGGGAGGCGTGTCTGAATAACTCGTGGCGGGACGAACTCATGATAGACCAGCCTATATACCAGTAATCTAATATTTTATCCACCCGTCCACAAACACATCTTGAATATCTAGACACTGCTTAATTTTCAATTGAACGTAATGCAGTCGATTTTGGAGTCACGATCTAGAGTAATACGTAAATAACCGGTTTGTTTGCTAGCAGAAGGACATGAGGTATAAAACAGTCAAGACAACCGCAACATCTTAATTGTTATTTTCGGATTTCTTTTCTTTTCTTTGATTCTAGCCTAAGAGCGTAGTTACACTCAGATAATAGGCGAGGTAGTCAGCCTAGCCGTCAGCGCGACAATTGTCCAAGCTCATCTAGGGATAAACTTCGCCGACTATCGGTCGAGCGCCATTTTTTTATTTCTTTTTTTGTGATCCTCTTTCGGTATCATTCCCCTCTCTCCACGTTCTACTCCAGCTTCCCCTGACTCCAAGCACCTCGCTTAACACCCAGCTCCACGGCCGCGGAACCCCAGTCTTCACCATGGTTATGGGAACCCGGAGCCAACCCAGCGCGAGCGCGGGCCTGGTCATCGGAAAGTACGGTCAAGACACCGAAGATTACGGGTATACCGAGGTCGAGACCGACGCGCATTAGGCCTTGTGATACGGCGTCGGATATGTATTCAAAGTGCATGGTTTCACCCTTGATGAGGACGCCGATCGCGATGATGGCGTCGAAGGGCTGGGTCGCGGTGGTCGGGAGGGAGGATAGGTCTGTGGTTGACCCGCCTAGGAGGTCGCCGGCGGAGGCGGAACCGCTGCTTGATTGTTGGATTTGCGAGGCTGCGTACATGCTACAACCAAATGTGAGAAATTAATTCAAAACGCCATATTGCGCAAGGTAGGTAGGAAGTGGTTTACCGTTGAACGGCAATAGGCAACTCCCATGACCCGGGAACGGATTGAGTGACAATGTTAGACTCCTTGACCCCGAGGCTTAGGAGCTTGTCCTTGGTGCCCTTGAGGAGGGGCTCGATGATGGTGCTGTTCCAGCGCGCGTGTACGATGCCGATGCGCAGGCTGCTGCCGTCGTGCTCTTGCGGCGTGGGGCCTTTGAGGGAGTGTGCCATCTTGTCGAGGCTGTTAGGTATGTAGGTATGTAAAATAGCGCCGAGGCTATTTCAGAATGAAGCGAGTGAATGGATGTCAGGAGGGCATGTGCCGTCGCCAATTGGAGATTGGGGGAATGTAGGAATGTAGGAGGGTTAAGAATGCTGAGTGAGAGAGGTAAGACGGGAAGTTTGCTCTGTTCTCGTATTGTATTGTGAGTGTACGAGGTATGTAAGTGGGTGAGTGGGAGGTACACTACTAGGTGGGCTTAGCCAGAGAATGCAGAGGGGCATGACGCACTCCGGAACAGGGATCTCCCCAGGGCCCTCTAAGCCGTTTACGGTACCTAGGTGTGTACGCTATCTGTCACCTGATGTACAGTTGGTTTAACTTCCTCCGATCAACTTTAGTTTTGAGTGAGATGCTGCTGCAACTTCGTAGAGACAGGAAGGAGGTATACAGGTGAGTTCAAGATGCAGCTTCTCCTGATTCTCTATGGTTTAGAAGCTTTCAGAAGGAAAGCAGGATGGATAACTGAACATTTTGCTGTTCGCACGGCTCGGGTTTCCCCATCACAACCCCTCTTCATCATTATTCCAATCAAGATATCTACGAGGACGGCCATACGAACCTCTCGATGGCCTCGAATAGATACCACTAGAAGGTATCTAGTTGATACATCAATTCCGTTTTCATTCCCTGAGTTCGAGCCCCTAGCTCAACTCAATCCTCGTTCATCATGTCCACAATCGCTCGTTTGCCCGATACAACCACCCGACTTTTCGGTTATTCCTTAGTTATCACAACGCCAGTCACTTTAGTAAAAGAATTACTTGATAATTCAATTGATGCTAAAGCTACCTCAATTGATGTCATAATATCTGCAGACACCGTCAAGAAAATCGAAGTTCGCGATAATGGCGTGGGTATTCACCCAGATGACTACGATGCCCTAGGAAGACGAGGTCACACAAGCAAGCTCAGAAGCTTCGATGAACTCAAGTTTCATTCCAGGAGATCACTTGGGTTTCGCGGCGAGGCATTGGCTAGTGTGAATGCCTTGGCCCAGCTTACCATCACTACAAAAGTCGCCTCCGAACCAGTCGCTGCTATGCTCCATATTTCACCAGGTACAGGAGGTGTAGCCAAGCAACAGCGGGTATCAGCGCCTATCGGGACCACCGTAAGTATCGCCAATTTGTTCGACAAGCTCCCAGTTCGAGAACAATTCGCCGTAAAGGAATCGGTGAAATCAATAGAACAGATCCGGGAGCTGCTTCGTTCTTACGCCCTAGCGAGGCCCCAGCTCAAGCTTATGTTCAAAGTCCTGCAGTCGCCGAAGCAACATTGGTCCTACTCACCAAACCCAAATTCCAGTGTGAAGCAAGTAGCTATTCAGCTTTTCGGCGCAGATTTCGCGACTAATTGTTTTGAAAAGACTTACAAGATTGATGCTTCCACTAAAACAAGTGACACTTCCAACGAAAGCAAGGAACCTATGTTGAATGACCACTACGTATTCGAAGCCTTACTTCCGAAGCCACCTGCCGATCCTTCTAGGATTCCAAAGCAACGCTACTTCTCAGTCGACGGCCGTCCACTCACAGCTAAAAGAGGTACCATGAAGAAACTATTGGGGATTTATAATGAGCACACCAACGGTGCTCCGACCGCTAAGCACAAGTATTCTTTTATTCGATTGAATATCAATTGTCCTCCTGGAAGTTATGACGTAAATGTCGAACCCTCCAAGGACGACGTCTTGTTTTCCGATGAGAATCTGATACTTGACGGGTTTAGAGGTTTGTGTCAGGAAGTATACCCTCCCTCTTCGCTTGAAAATCGAAGGCTCCAAGTCCTAGCCGAGCGCAGCGGCATGACAGACAATGGGAGCAGCCTGAAGCTTCAAAAAACACCACCTGCGTACCCTACGGGAGAAGCTAGTTCCCAAGTCGCTGATGACCCGGACTGCCCGCTAGAAGTGCAATGTACCGATTCACGAACGATATCCATAATACCACCCCCAGAGAAAACCCTATCTACAACTAACCGACCCACGTCGGCTAGACATAAATATGTCCCCAACAACACCGAGTTTATTGCAGACACCATACATGTAGCTATACCTACAACTATGAAAAACATATATGCCAAAAATGCACCTTCAGCCAAAAGCCAAATTGGATTCAAGGTTAACATGTCCACAGATCTCAATGAATATGACGACAGCAGCCAACGTAGGACGAGCCCACGGTACGGTCAGAAACCGTCCAGTCAACTCCAAGAACAAGATCTTGCCAAATGTTCAGCACCTTCAGATATAAACCCATGGCTTATCGCTAAAATGAATCCAGCCCGCAGGAACACGAACAGGCAGTTTATAAACGAGCAGGTTGATGATAAGGCCTTATCTCCACTATCATTTGAGCCACCTATGACCCCAGATCCTCCTGTCCTTCAACACGCAGGAGCAGCGCCTGGGGACCTCGATGTTCCACCTAGTCAGAAGTACCTATACTCACGAGACGGCATCCGTAATCTACGCCCTAGAGTACCAGGCGGGTCATATCGAAACTCGATGTCGAGACCAAAGGAAGTAGCGCCGCAGAGAGGATCAGAAAGTTATGCAATGCCTACGACCTTAAAGCCGAGACGACGTTACCGCGGTAATCTACCATGGTCTCCACCTTCATCCGTAGAGCGCATTCCACCACCAAGCAATAGCCACTTGACTAATGGCGAAAGTACATTAGTATCTCATGATACGAAAGATAGTACGAAGCAGACAAAATTATCCTTCGGGGGCTCTAGGAAACGTCAGCTCCCAGAAGACGGCAGCGAGACAATCGACCAAGAGGCGCAAGGCGAAACCGGTTTACAACGCATGTTGAATTCGGCAAGGCGGAACCTCAACCACCAACTTTCACAGCAGGAAGAAGTCAATTATTCAAGCCTCAAAGAACCTATTAAGACATCCTTGCCTGTTGATGATCCTCGAGCGTATCTTTTGCGTCGACAGAAGTCGGCAGCTGCAGGAAAAGGCAGCACAAGACCTGGGAGAATCAAACGACTGAAAAGTTCACTCTTGCCCCTGGAGAACACCTCTCCCGAAGAACAAACACATCCGCTTGTTCTAATCAAGGTACTGGACAAGGAAGTTCTACATACCATTGCGACGCAAAGCGCTCTATATGATGTATACACGGAAAAGGGTACTGATTACGGCGGTCTTGATATGGATCTTGAAAAGGGCCGCGAAGTTGAACGGCGCTTGCAATCGTTACTGCGTGCGCAGAAAGATACGGTTGATAGCGAACAGAATGGGGTGGAAATCGACCTCTGCTCTTCATTGAAAGGCAAGAACACTCTATCTAAAGCTTGATTGGGTGAGTCAAGCCATGGTAATTTGATTGAGGAGTTACGCGTAAAAGACGGTGTGCTCGGTTAATTAGTTGATTTTACTTGGAGTTGCTAGGAGCTGATATTAAAAGGGCATATTATTACTAAATTTCTCAATTACATACAATGGGCTACGCTGCTAGGGACTTACACGATTGCTATACAAGATCGGGAGTCATATTTCTTAGAAAAAGATAGACGTAATGAGAACTCCTTGTCAAATAGTGCCTCGACGGCGGCATCATTGATAACGTAGCACTACCTTCATTGAGTATCACTAAAAATGGCAGTTTACTAAGTGAGAGCCCGTCCTCGGCAGAGCTTATTCGCCTGTGATTGAATGGGGGTTCCCTTATAAGACCGCTTATATGAATGATTCTTGGAAGTTATTGTATTCACCGCAAATAAGTGATCATGGTGAACCTAGGTAATTAAAGCTGAAACTCAAAGCTAACAGGTAGCCCCTAAGCCTCGTTGATGTTCAGACTTAGTTCATTAGACTATCTGTCTCAATATTTCGAAACTTTAATATCTACCTAGGTACCTAACCTAGTAATGACTACATGTGTGGTTCTTTCCACTCATTAAGCTATCGATCATGGCATAAAAGCAATTGAACGATTGTGCGATGGCATCATCAACAATATTTCCAATCCCACCCAAATAATTGGGAAGCCTCGGCAACGGGTGTGTCATTTAAACTATTTCCGTCCATAACATCTCCCAGACAGCTGACATAATCTTCGGGCAAAGCTATTGCTTCTCTTTCGGGCCGTTTCTGCAGAGATTTTAGGTCGTCCGTGGGGACCTCGAGACCGGATATCCGGCTAGGTTTCGTCTTTCGTCTTTCATAGGAGTTAGCTTTAGTTAGGATCGGGGACAGATGAGCTATTCACATGACATAATGAACTCACCAGTGTGTAGGGGAATTGAGTCCCTATGTTGGGCCGCCCACTTCACACAACGAGGAGGCCTATCCAGCATGAGATTGCGAACTCGGGTTCGCCGTTGAACGGATGGCCTAGGAGGGAGAGGATTGATCCCATTATGTTGGGATGTTTGTGTAATGGGCAGAGTAGAAAATAGGGGCTTAAGTGGATGCGTGAAGGCTCCCACTATTTGCTGGTACTACTTCCTCTGCGGTTCTGCAGATAAGTAATAGCTCTTGTGCAATCTCGAGAATACTCCCCACCCTACATCCCTAGCCAGTATCTTCTTCTGTGTGGGCAATATTGATAGCTCAGCCGTAATGTATCAAAGATAATGTGGTTGAAAGAATGTTGGCCTGCTAATCGGCGGGCTGAGTGTATGTAGTGAAGGAGACTCACGGCTAGGAGGTATCGATAAGGCTCCCTATGGTTTGGTGTAGACCAAGTGGTAATTGTTTTAAAAGTTGAGTTTGTTATGGAGGATTTGATAGGCGCTGGTAGTAATGGTGGAGAGCTAAATGTATGCAGAAGCTAGGGTTGGAATGCTTGTGTTTGTAGTGATAATAACAGTGGTGGAAGAGGAATATGAAGGGATGGCGAGAGAAAGAGGGAGAAGGGGGGTTTTTATAGGCACAGTAAGGGTGCTGGGGCTTTCCGTCTTGAAGGGAGGAGGGACGGGCCTGGAGTTTATTTTGATCAGGGGAAAGGAAGTTGTAGTTTATAGTTTGAGGTTTATTCTGTGCGGTGAGTTGATTGTGGTTTCAGTTGGTGGAATCGCTGTACGATAGAGAAAGTAGAAGCGAAGACTGAGATAAAGATAGTATAGGACGATGAACAAGATACATGTACATGTAAATTGGAACTTTATATTCATACGATTACAAGTAAGAAGCTATGGGTATTTGTGATTAAAGTTGGCCTCAACGTTACCTGGTGGTGCTTTCTAACACGTAAACTCCTTACGTTTTAGAGGACAATGAGGCCATGACTTCATTGGAAACCCTATGTGCCTAGGTAAGTTAAGGGGATCGGAGTTTGAGGTTATTTTCATTAGAAAGCGCCTCCATCTGAGAAGATATCGTCACAATCGTTTTGGATTGAGCTTATTCGGCAACTACGCTCAACCATCTAGGCAGCCAATAGAAGCTAAAGCACCCTTTCCTTAAGTCTCTTAAAGGACTCTCTAATGGTAGGAGGTAATTGAACAAATCTCCATCTCGACCCGATACGTCGAGTATTTCGTAGAATCAAGTTCTATACCATGAGCATCGAATATGTAATCAATAGTACTTTTTCCTTTGAAGGGGGAAACTCGCAGAAAAATTTCGAGACCTGACCGGTGCAACTTAGATTAAACTTAGCCAAACAACAGAGGGGACGAGCCCAATGGAATGGAAATCCACCGGAAATAAGGTTACCCTACTTTTCCTGCCACGTGGAATGTTAAAAGGCTATTGGTATCGGTCCTAACCTTATTGGCGCATTGTGAGATGTGTGGCTGGGCTGCCGGAGCAATTCGCGAGGATGTATGTAACCCTTTTGCTTGGTAGATGGTGGTGGTGACAAAACCGACCTCCGAAGCCCAATGCTCTCCACACCGAGCGATGAAATAACAGTCGGATCTCGTTATCCTAAGTAGGATGCTTTATTTGAAATCGAAGAGTACTCTTAATATGCCCATAATAATATACTGCTTGGGCGACACCGTCACAATGAACAGATTTTTTTTTATCTCAGAAGGTACAGTAAGATAGCAAACGATGAGTGGTTATAATGAAGGTGAGGTCGGGATTATACAGTGACGATAACTTGTTTTTTCCACGGCGCTAATGCTGTGCCACGTCTGGACCCCGGGCGTCGATCTCGATGGGCTCGAGCTTCAGTACAAGCTTCCGGCTCGTATTTGCATGAAGAACTGCATAGAATGACGCGTTTCGGATTATAAGAGCCGTGTGCGGTTCATAAGATCGGCGGTTCCGCGCTACAGAATACGGTTAAAACAACCGGAACGGTGAAAAGGAGACGAGGTGACGTTTCTACGAAGGATGAATAAATGAATAATGAATGAATTCGTATCTCTTACCTACATAGAAGTGTGAGGCCTCAGATGGTTCGTCTCTTTGTCTTTGTTCTCCATCCTACGGCATAAAAAAGCCAAGAAATCGAAATGGGTCATTGAGTAAGTTGCTGGTAGGGCGCGCTGTTCAGCTACTGGCCGAACGAACATGTGGTGGCCCCTCGTCAGACCCGTATTCTTTTTCGTCCAACGAGAGGCTTTACTTTTGAGCTTCTTCGGAATATTTCCTTAACGGCTGATGGCAGGGCAATCGAACTACCTACCTAGCTTAAAGACGGAGGCAGTTGACACGAGAGCGCCACATCTACTAAATTGGTTAGTGACTTTCTGCGGTAGATGGGGATCCCTGAACCTGACATGATTCGAATACGATATGGTGCTGGAAATAGACATACATATCTAAGTAAGCAGATCTTCGAGAGATTATAATTAATAATGAAGAGTAGGACATAGGGTATTGCGTAGTTAGTGGAGGAGGTTGGGGAGTAGGCCAGAACAAACTGTTGGTAGGACTGATGCAACCTCAGATTAAGTAGAAACGGCAGAGTTGTCTGAAACATTGTGACACGATCATTTTATCATCGGTAGAGTTTGTTACTCAATTCATTGTTGTCGCGTAGTACCCGACGCCATGCAGATGAGTTCAAATTGATTGAAAATGCTAATATTTCTAAAGCGAACGAGTTGTACAAGACGCCATCTTAATTCGAAAAGAGCTTGGAATTATGTACGACAAGCTATCTGCTTTAGGTTAGGTTGGCGTAATGTTATATGTACTGTGATTCCCGCATCAGTGTCACAATTCTAGATGTACATACCTTAATGTAGATTAATGTAGGTAAGATGCATAGTTTCTCACATGATGCATTCATAATCTTATAACCCCTTACTTAGGCAACAGCTATAGGGAAAGAAGGAGCGGAGAGGGAAAAAAAAAAGGTTTAACTAACTGATCAGGTCGTCCATGCTGTTGGGATTCCTATCGCGAATTATACCTGCCTTTAGCTATGGTAGTACCGCTTAAGCCATCATGACTTCATCGGTATCGTCATCGCTTTTAATTGGCTGAAGTCAAACCAAGATTATAAAAGTATAGCATACATACCTAGGTAATTCATCATCCAATCTTTTAAGCTATCAACAGCCACTAATACCTATGCTGACAATGGTTTAAAAGCCAGGTTTCACCATAATATTATCCCTCTGCTACCATTACGATTTAGGATATACTGGAGCCTAGTTGGTGAGATAGGGCGATGGGCTCAGCCTCTGCAGCGCACATAATGTATGGGAAGCCGGTACGATGTACGAGGTACGTATCTCTAGTCTTAGGCGCTAATGTAGCAAGATGCGTTGGCGTTTAAGACGGCTCCAAGGGTCCCCTGGAGATTCTCTCCGCCTTTGAACGAACTTATTTTTTTTTTTCTTTGTTCCGGTTTCCATCTCAATTCAAACTAATAAGCAACCTAACATAATATTATTATTTCTGTTGAGTATACAGCGCTGTTGCTGTTACTTTGGTCGCTCGCATTTTTCTTTCTCACCCACTCTCGCTTTAAAATATTCTTCTATACTTGACCTTCTATCGTTAGCTAACACCATCGAATCATAAGCTTAGAAAGATATAGTGAGCGAAGCAGGGATCATCTATTCCCTTGGGTTGTTAGAGAGAGAACATTGGGAACTTGGCTTGTAAGGCTACCTGGATTCGGTAACATCATAATCACCACAAACCGAACGACCGCACTGCCACAATCTACGCCCCAAGAAACCCGATATCCGATCTCCTTTCCAGAAAAATCCTCCCTCGTCTTTTTTTATTTTTCTTGAGTATCTATTATATTATCTTACACATATCTATCTATATAGTAATATCGATCCTCTAAAAGCGAACTATCCCGAGTAAACATCTACCTTGTCCCTCGTTGCGCGCGCGTCCCGTCTTTTCAATTGCAGCAGTTAGGTCAGACCAGCTAGTTCGGCAAGACAACTTTTGTTTCCTAGCATGATGCGGCCCTAGTGGTCCTAGATCTTTCTTCCGCGTTACGCCCTGGGCTGGACGAATCTGCCCTGGTACTACTCTCCCGACCGCGAACGATGCGAAGTCATACCTCGAGAGTTCCTAGTACACTCGCGACCCATTCGAGATACGTCGAGGTCAGATCTAGACCTATCGGGAATCAAGATGCGTATACGGCATATAATACTTCGCCCGACAAGATGACAGGCTCCTACAACCCCGGGCGAGATAGGCGCCCGCTATCTTCTGCTTTCACCCGAATTATACGACATGCTGCCAACTTGTCGTCTCTTCCCGGTGTCTTGTTGGGTTCATTAATAGCATCCAGTTGGATCCATCCGGTGTCCGCTATGATGGTTTCGTTCACCAACTGCCTCCCTGACAACTATATTTATTCCAACCAACCAGCAGAACAAGTCCAACTCCAATGGGTCCCCAAATTTGTCGAAGCCGTGTTCGATACAGAGAACCCGACTCATAATCTTATGGTTACAGTTTGGGGGAATGTCACAGGTCGCGTTGGTAGCGATCCATTACCAGCGCCAGACTCTCCGGATTGGAACGATCCGAAGAAAGCACTGAATGGAAAGATACAGAACGAACCCGAACCAAATGTGCCGGTCGAGCAATTGAAAGTGACTACGTTACACAGCAAAGTCGATGTCTTGACGTACGAACCTTTTACGGCGAACGTAAATTTCTGCGATAACATAGTAAATGGATCGTGTCCGCTTGCCCCCGTTTTCGCAAATTTAGCATGGTAGGTAACTCTGGTAGAAGCTGAAAAATACCCGTCAAAAAGAGGCGGATATTTGCGGTTAATCTATTATAGCATACTAACGATTGATTTCACGTAGGAACCAAACTGATGGGCTTCCTTCTTTCAATCTCACGAATGACTTTTCCTCGACATATTCTTTCACATCATTCGCTCCCACGTTTATTATCTGGTATGGCGATGCTGCGAAAACCTCGATTGGGTGTGTGTCCACAGTCGTCACCCCAGATCTTGGCGGAATAGCATGGTCTCTCAAGTTCGTTCCATTGTTTATTCTAATAGCGGTTGGGTTTGCGACGGCTTTTTCGGGAATTTTCAGTCCCTGGGGCACTAGCGACATCTTCCATTGGACCTCCAATTACGGCAGAGATCCCGATTTACTGCGTCTAGTAACCCCTGGATTTGGCGATTGTCTCCAGTATATCCAATTTGCTATTTTGACCGGTAGTCTTACCCTTGAATACCCCGGGTTCTACCAGCCAGTTGCGAGTCAGGTGTCGTGGTCCGTATTGATGTTCAACCAAAGCTTTGTTTCAAAAGCAGAGCCCTGGAAGAATTTAATCGACGGTTTATACTATACCAATAGTACTTATGGCCTAGAAAGAGTTGCGCAACTAGACGGAATAGGCCAAGTCGACGATATTTGGGCTGGTATGATGGTATGGGTGCTTGTCATCATTGCCGCCGTATCCGTCCTGACACAAGCTGGTTTCTTCTTCCGATGGCTCCTTCGACACGTTAACCACGTTCCTGAGGAAGATCTTCGTGCCAAGAATATACCTTTTGCCCTGGGCAATATCATCCGTCTTGTCTTTGGCTATTTTCTACTCCCTATTGTTGCAATTTCCACCTTCCAACTTGTTGTTGCAGTACAATCCCCAGGATATATAGTCGGCCTGGCGGTTGTGACCTTAGCCTTGATCATTGGATTTGCGGTATGGTTTATGTACCTCATCGCAACCAGAAGACCAAGGGCGCATCTTTTTGATGATTTATCAACCGTGCTACTTTATGGCCCTCTTTACAACACATATTCCGACGAAGCAGCTGCCTTTGCGGTCATTCCAATTATCTTAACGATCATGCGAGGCATCGCTATTGGCGCCGTCCAGAAATCTGGCACTGCGCAGGTTGTCATATTAGCCGTATGCGAAGTAATCCAAATATTAACACTTCATGCATTCCGACCTTTCCATTCACCCACTTCGATGAATGCTTACCATACGGGGTTTTCAATAGTCCGCTTTATAGCGGTCATTTTAATGGTGGCATTTACCCCAAGTTTAGGAGTGTCAGAAGGTCAAAAAGGATGGATTGGCTACGCAATTTTATTGATACATGCCTGTGTGCTGGTATTTGGCTTTTTCCTTAATGCTCTGCAAACAATAATCGAGGTTATCGCACGTTTGCTGGGCGCCGGAGGCGACGATATTGATGGACAGACTAGGGGTGGATTATCGAAAATATTTGGTGCTCGCCAATTGTCAAGGCGAGTGGATCGTGGTGGTCCATCCCGACAGAGCCAACTTAGCAGTACCGCTATGTTGAGCTCCGAGAATGCTACTAAGAGAGGTTATGGACGCGTTAGAAGTGAGTCCGCCGGTAGCATCGGAATTCTCATGGGACCACAGCAGAGGAGCTCCAGTGCTCTTGACGCACGAAGCTTAGATGCATCGTCAATCCCGTTAGGTAGTGGTGGTGCTTTTACCCCGACGACGACAACCCCTGGAGATGCTAGTACCTTCTCCTTTTTGCCGTCCCCGGGACAAGCCACCCGTCCTCAACCTACTGCAGACCCCTACTACCGACCGCCGCGTGCTCGCCGAGCGACTATTGACGAGATCGGTTCATCGTCTCCACATCGAAAGCACGGTTCCTTGGGTAGCATTGATTTGCCAACCCACCGGCATAGCCAATTCGAGAGACAACCCATAGACGGAGATGATTATACTCCTGGCCCAGCGAGACTAAATCCAGCTCCAGCTCCGATAACCTATATACCCGTCTTTGCCCCTAGAACCGACTATTCAACCCGAGAGGTAGATTTCTACTACGGCGTACGAGGACCAGCATTGAACTCGGAGGGACTGGGTCGCAAGTTGGGTACAGGGCCAGCAGATCCTACGAGCCCGGTAGCAACCGCTACCGGATGGCTTAAGCGTCTTTTTGGCGGCAAAACGAAAGAGAAGGGCAAGGGCTTTGAGGTAGTCAGAAGTGCTAGGATGCCGCCGGCAATGAAGGCGAGGGGTGGCGAGTTTAGCGACGATCCGCCGGAAGGTATTCCTGTTGCGATGGGTGTAATGCGAAATGGACCGATAGAGAGTGATGATGAGGACGATGCCCCGCGGTCAAAGAAGAGCAAGCATGTCCGTGAAGACAGTACTCAAGGCGAATTGCTGAATGAAGACGGCGAACCTCAATCGGATGACGAGACAGACTCGGAGATTCCAAAAGTGTCGAAGGACCCACCGCTTTTACCAGATCTAGATGCAGGTGAAAGCTTCAGAATCCCTAGTAGAATGCATTCCAAGGCCAGTCGGCACCCGTCGCAAAGGACAGCGAAGGCAGCATCAGTGATGGAAGAAGTTCCGGCGGTACCCGAGGTACCGAGGAAGAGCTCAAAACGAAACTCTAGTGCCGATCCATTAGGTACTAAACGACTTTCGCAAGTAGGATCTACTGGGGCATCATCGTCGCATTCACAGCCTAGTGGGTCACGACCTTCCGGAGGGCCTCCAGCAAGATTACCGTTCGATCGAAGCAATTCACAGAAACGACATTCAATGTCGTCTACAACGGCGACGGAAGACTCGGCTCATCTCCCTTCGGCTAATAGCGCTGATGAGAGGCCTACAAGCTACGGCTACGTAAATCAGCATAAAACAAGCAGAGTTGATCCCGAGCAGAGGGTGGATCTGTTGGGAAGCTCTGCAGAGGTGGTGGATGTTACGAGGAAACCAAGTCCAAATTCATCGGCATCAAGGCGATCTTAACCCTGAGCAACGTATCCACACACAAATATCGATTAATACATGTTTATGCGTAACGAATTTCTTTGAATAGTTGTATAGGATTGATGTATAGAGAGTTGGTCGCCCTTTTCGATAAGGGATATAATTGGGAACACAGCGAGGCGGTTTGAAATTTTGCAGTTGGGAACTAGCAAGGCGCATAGGATTCTTCTGATCAGTCACACACGCCACATATCTTACGGCAATGATGTTTCGACATATTATCTAACAATCCTGTTTATAACTCGTACAACGACTTAGTGTTGAGCGACGGCGTACAAAAAAAGCGGCGTGGTACAGTATTCAGGTGGAAGGGGGAAAAGAAGGGCGTGAAAATACGATACATGTCAGAACAAGGGCGTGGATATACAGCTATATGTGGGGAAAGGAGGAAGAGCCGCTGAGAATGAGAAGAGACTTAATAATAATTTACAATTGAAAGTCACTTGAAACTAATATATACCAGAAATCTATCCCTTCCTATTCGACGGTTTCAATGTTTGGTTAGCAATTACCTAGGTACCTTGGTACAGAATTCCGTACCCCCGAGTTAAGAGACTTAAGAGACGGCACAGGCTATACCGATAACGGAGCGCGAATCGGCTTCGATCCCTTCAGTCTCCATATACTACTCCATTATACTCCGTCCACGCCCAACGATGGCGTAACAATGGCGTATCGCGCCATATAAAATAAGTATATTCTAGATAAAACTACTTATCTACTAACAGTTACTAGTAAGTCAGCTTCAAATACAAAGCTACATGCCCTCCGAACTGCAAAAGTACTACATATCTTTACCCCGCTGCTGTACCGAAATCATAGACACTTACACGTAGCTAAGGTGGTATCAGTGGAGTATTGCGTGCGCCCTTGGTTGAGCTCGAGGGATAGCTATCATACTTATTTTCTAAATTAATACTACATATACTATATCTTTTCAGCGTCTTCATGCCTTGTTTATAGCGTTCAGTACCATATTTACGTACTTGAAGCCTGTACCGAAAGTCCATTCATATTAACCAACCAAATTTCCTTAGTGGGGATAAAGGAAATAAACGGATATATACCTAGAGACATAGGAAGAAAGCGTGGCCATGGCTGGAGAAGAGATAAGCAATGTCTCTGTACAGGAGCCTGCCAACCCGGGACTCGTTGAGGGCGTTGCCCACGAGAACCCTGTGGTGACGAGCGATGCGGCAGGCAATGAGCAGGAGGCAGCGGTTTTAGCAACCAAATTCCAACATCTGTCGTTATCGGCGCAGACTATCCACGCAGACGACTACCTCAATTCTCATCAATCTGTTGCCCCGCCTATGCATGTCTCGACTACTTTCCGATATAACGACGACCCAGATAAGTTAAACCCATGGGCTAATATCAACGTGAGTCTCCCCCCTCTCCCTCCCATTAGGATATACCACTACGAAAAAGACGGAAGATATATGCGGAATATGGCAGCTAATTGGAGCTCACCATCAGCCAAACAACCCCTACGACTCCCATGTCTACTCCCGAGACTCCGCCCCCAATACCAGCCGTCTCGAAGCCGTCCTTACCTCGATCCTCCACGGACCTTCGCTAACCTACAGCTCCGGACTCTCCTCCTTCCACGCGTTGCTAGTATACCTCAACCCCCGCCGCGTCGCCATCGCAGGCGGATACCACGGGTGTCACGGCGTCATCCAAGTCCTCACCAAACTCACCGGTCTACAAACCCTATCCCTCTTCGACAAAGATCTAGAATCGAAAATACAACCAGGGGATGTGGTGCACGTGGAAACACCCTTAAACCCTACGGGAGAAGCGCGGAGTTTGAAATACTTTGCGGATATCGCGCATAAGAGAGGCGCGTACTTAACGGTCGATGCTACGTTCGCGCCCCCGCCGTTACAGGATCCGTTTTTGTTCGGCGCGGATGTGATTATGCATTCCGGAACTAAGTATTTTGGTGGACATAGTGATATGTTATGCGGTGTGCTTGCTGTTAATCCTAAACACGCAACCGGAGAGAAAAACTGGATTAAAGGTTTACGCGAGGAACGACTGGTTCTGGGTAGCGTGATGGGTAGTTTTGAGGGGTGGCTTGGTGTGAGGAGCCTGCGAACGCTGGAGGTTAGGGTTAGGAAGCAGAGTGTGGATGCGGAGAAATTGGTTAGGTGGTTGGCGAGCCAGGCGGAGAAGGATGGGACGTTGGTAAATGAGGCGGTGGCTGAGATTAAACATGCTAGTTTGCAAAAGAAAGATTTGGAGGAGGGTTGGTTGAAGGAGCAGATGCCGAATGGCTTTGGACCCGTGTTTGCGGTATACTTGCGCGATGCAGATGAGGCGAGGCGATTGCCGAGTAAGCTCGCGCTGTTCCATCATGCGACGAGTTTAGGTGGTGTGGAAAGTTTGGTTGAGTGGCGTGCTATGACGGATGCTGGTGTTGATAAGAGACTACTTAGGTTCAGTATTGGGTTAGAGGGTTTTGAAGACTTGAGGGATGATTTGATCAAAGGATTTGAGGCTTTGAAGAAAGAGAGAAAGGCAAAAGAGAATGCTGGTGGTGGTGCGAATATTATTGGAGGAGCGTGATGTTGTAGACGATGAGAGCAGTCTCATATACAAGGGGAGTAGATGATTAGATTGCCTTAGAAAGTATCTGCATAATAGAGATGGGCATGTTTATGTGCTTCTTGGATCTCCGGGAGCTATGTAGACAAATTAATTTGCTGGCGTACAAAATCTGAAGAGGGGATTAAAGACAAAACATACCGTCGCGACGAGTAGGCTATTTGAGGTATTCTTGGCGGGTCGTCCTGTAATACGTTTGTAAGAGTGCAAAGGATCGAAAGGCCGTCGTCACATAGTATTATCATTAATTTCTATTGACTCGTAGCGAGTTCGTAGCTTTCTGGACTATCAAAAACATCATTAGATGTTCCTTCGTAGATGATCCAACCTAGCCTGTGCCAGGAAATCTCCCGAACCCATGAGGTCTATAACTCTACCTCCATAGGCCATCTGATATACTCAGATTGAAGCTATATGTTTGTCTAGTGTATTCGATCCGCAACCCGAGCTTCATGTTTATATACAACATCCCACACACTCGAGTATGTTCGCCCTTCTTATACGCGCACAATGTACAATCTCGCCTATATGCTGATCCAAGACCCAACGCCTTCCAATGCATGGAGGTTGAAGGTCTATATCCCCACCTTAATCGGTGGACGACATCAAGTGAAATTGTAATGGGCGTTTCCGTCCTTAGGGCGGGAAATTCTCCCACGGATGCCTATACAATAGATTCTCGATCCAAATGGACGCAGGTCTCTTTTCTTCCCTCGAATTTCATATTCTAGGCCGTAGAACCGGAAGAAACCTACCCCTGTATAGCGTTCACCGCCGCTGTGTCTCCTGAAGCATCTCCGTCAAGCTAACAACACGGTACCCTCGGTCACCAAGAGTCTTCAACACCTTGCGTAACATCGGAGCGGTCCAGCCGCGGCGATCGTGGCATACTATGATAGCTCCCGGCCGCACCATGCTCAGAATATGGCGAGCGTTTAACCAGGCCCAACTGATCTGCGGGTCGTGAGGATATACGCTTCCTAGCACGATTCTATACCCTAGCCGATCTACTAACGCTCGCATACGATCGCTGAAAAATCCTGACCCAGGCCGGAAGTACTGCGGCGGCATGTGAGGGTGCTCAACGCTATTAGCAGTTGCGTATGCATCTTTTATCCGCTCCCTCACAGTCTCGATCTGTTCCGTCAACTCATCATCTGGCAAAGCGCGCGACGGCTCATCATGCATCGCATGGTTGCCCAATTCACTTCCACTTCTTACAATATCCGCCAGCGTCTCCTCTCTTCCGGGTACCTGACCTCCTATCACGAAGAACGTAGCCGTAGCTTCATGTCCATTAAGTACTCCCAGAATCTCCTGTGTATGTTCAGAGGGCGCGTCGTCGATCGTCAATGCTACGATCTTTTTATCTGTCTTCACCTCCCATAATACATCGGGCCACCGTCGTGCGAAGTAGGCGATTAATGATTGTGGAGGTTTATAGACGATATAGAAAGGTACGGCGAGAAGGATAAATATTAGGAATAGCGAGAATAGGGTGGTCATCCTCCGGCGCCGCGCGCGCCGTCGCAGCTTTGAGGGCAACCGGAAGAGCGCGGGCAGACGCGGCATTTGCTGTTGCTCCTACTGCTGTGGTATATAGGAGGGGAAAGGAAGGCGTCGTTATTCAAGGAGGCAGCAACATTCGTCGATTTGTTACGTAATATGGTATTATATAATTCGATGTTTTATAATGGCGGTTATAGTATGGATTGTTGTCTTTGACCTCGGCAGTATGCACGCGTCTTGTCGAATGTGCGACGGAGTCGTGTATCGTTGTTCAATATCGGGATCATTTCTTGATGGGACGAAGTAAAACAGAAGAGCCAAGAAAAAATTAAAATCATAAAATAAAAAAACGGGTTAGGTTCAGGGAAGTCAACACATACGTCAGTTGTAAGTATTCATGTAGCTTTAGGGGGTTTCAGGGGTTTTTAGTGGCTCTACTCAATCGGAGCCTTCCCAGTTATTGATTTTAGTGGCCGCATATCGTTGCGCAATGCCGGATTTTTACTTTTTATAGAGCAAGCTTATCCCGGCTATAGCCCCTTAATTCTCTTAACTCTAATCAACTATCTCTAATTTTCAAATCAACATTTATTATTAGACTATTCTCTTATATGTACCTAGGCAACTTATATAAGTTTGTATTTAAGCCTCATCGTTAACCTTAGAAACTCTTAGAGCTTATGTAATTGCAGGGATTGAGTTCCAGCATAACCCATTGGAGTCTTTGACTTGGTTACCATTTGAAAAGTCCATAAAATACTCAAACGCGCCCACCGGTCCAATCAAGTATATTATGCGCCAGAGATTGAGATTGACCCCCAACGGACATTTCAACCAACCCGGAAGTCAATCGTCCCTACTCTAGGAAAGCCACAACTCCTGCTACTAGCTGGATAGCATGATAGCAGAATAAGGGGCCTTTCTCTTTCTTTTTCCTTTGCGGAAGTCATCCCATTGGCGAGTTACCTATTAACAGCCAGCCACATCCTTGAGACTTGCCTGAACTGGTTATCCGTACCGGAGTGGCTTGATGTCTGTCTCATGCACCACGGGACGGCGCCAATGATCTCCGATACCTCAACACCGCCGTGCGACTCCGACATGGTAGTAAATGATGAAGCGCTTGGTTTTGCCGGTCAAGTAGAATCGAATCTCATACTCCACCCTTGTATACCGGTCTAGCTAGTGCCATTCGCATTGAAGGAGACAGTGGGTTGTAACCGCGTTACAAGAGTAACTTGGAAGCCTAAATGGCTTTTCGGGGCAAAAGAAAAATTGCCTATGAATGCAGCCACCCGCTGTGCTACCAATATTACTACCAGGGCCACATTTTCCGGTCAAGTTGATTTCGGTCGACTTGTAGCTGTTTTGGCCGGTGAATGAATGAAGGGATTTTCAGTCCTTCCTTAATCCAATCCAGCTTACGTATAACCCTTCCTACAGCATCAGGAAGCATCAGAATTAGCCAAAAACAATATGTTAAGAGCCATTCAAGGAGCCGAGAGTGAAAGTTGAGGATGGGTTCCTTCACATTTATAGCATCTCAATAGTGGAGCTGGATCTACTTAGAGCTGGCCAAGAGCTTGAGCACAGACTAATGCTCCATTGGCCCCCGAGGAAATCCGGACACGGAGTAACTAATGGTAATTGGTTTAATCTTGGATTACAGCCGGTCAAATCGTTGAAAGCAGTTCAACATCTAACTTATGATTCTATATACTTATGACGACACTGCTGAACTGTCTACAATCTTGAAACGGCGCGGCCGGCAGAGGATTGAAATTAGCTTGCTGACAAGAGGCTATGGACGAAAATCGTGGTGCCGTGCCGCACGTCCATTCCGTCGAGCTAAATACGGCAGCTGAATGATCCTCATGGATACGCTTGAGATGATCCTACGTCAGCTTATAGCTACCATTTCCACGTGCCGTAGGAACCGTCAAAAAAAGAGCCGCACTCAATTGACTATCCATGATCTGATAATATCATGAATATTTGGTAAATACACACAGTATGAGATGTGTGAAGTAAAGTCTAGCTTACTCCATCAAGTCTCGAGTCAGGAGTTCAGAGTAAGAGTGGATCTAGAATCTCTCAACAGTTGACTGCCTAACTAAGTAACTGGACCACCTAGACTTAGGTCGGTAGATCTCTCGTTCGAGATTAAGTTCTGATGCCCACCATCACACCACCTATCTAGCGCTATGGAGAGGAAAACTGCGTCGCGGGAGATACCTACATTCGTAAGCCCGGCGTTAACTACGTTCACTATAGCCCGTCGGCATGTTTCAACCTGCCCTACCTACACAACCCCCCCGGTAGTTCCGGACTCTGACTCTGAGTTACCTAAGCACAGTATTATACCCACACGTGTACCTAAAAACGCACTCGGCGCTACCTAACTTGCGTCATTTTATACCATTTCTGTAAGTCCGAGCGGTGGGCCATTCCCCATCTCCGTCCTATTATAGAAAACCCGCCTTACTATTCCAGACCATACTCTAAACTCCATACACAACTGCCCAGAGTATAGCAGCAACCTACATCGCAGATCTTTGTTTCAGACCGAGTACCGTTGACAACCAAAGTCGGCGTCCTATAGTAGCGCCGGTCTGGACTCGGTGCCTCTACACTGCATAGGCATCATGCATTGATGCTATTCCTAAAATAGGAGCTGTCGTAGATGGCATCGTGCGGGGAAAATGGTGTAAGCGTTGCATTCGCACTGCATAATCCATACCTTTCAAAACTTATGTAACATGCCGTGCAGAAACATCTTGCCTGCGCTGCGATGGGGATATGCTTAGACATGAATGAGGGAATACCCGGCTAGTCTGATAGATCAGGCTGATTGCTAGCGGACTGCTCTGGAACGCGCGTTTCGACGTTGACAACTAAGTATAGAGTTTCCAATCGTGATGATGATAGTTGTAACTATTTCATTAGTCTAGGTAAATGAAGTACGGTTCGAATTGCACAATATTAATCAAAATGAGTTTCTCATGTCTCTATGCGCATCTAATATTCCACTAGTCGTGTGAGGCTACGTAAAACGATTCATACAGAGAATGGGTGTATAACCACATGGACCGTTGTGAATGTCCGTGCTCAGCTAGACTAGAGCCACATTGTAAACAACAGGTCCGAACTAAATCCATCAAAGCGTGAATAATAACAGAAGAAATGACCGCAAGAATTCGGGTGTCAAGGTGCCTGGGGTATTAAACCACAAATCGCAAATCTGCCTCGCAAACGCCTTAGTCCCCTTTCTTTCCACCTAGCCTTGAATGCAATAGCAACCATAACTCCCCTTCAACTAGATTCGTAAATCTGATCGCGAAGGCCCCTGTACCAGCCCATTTTCGGTTGGTGTGTTCGTGCGCTGACTTATAACGTCAACTGTCCAAATATGTACATTGAAATGCCGCAGATAGTAAATAGCCTACCAAACCCCGGCGGCGAGGTTTGGGTCGAATGTGATCTGGTTGCCGATTAAATCCATACTGGCGCCGACAATCCGGCAGGTTCATGCTTGAAAAATGTCGAGAAGAGCCCTTGTACCTCAGCCAAGTAATCCTCGGGCCGGAATCTGCAGAGTCCTCGGGAAATAAGTTCTTGCTCCTCCTCATCAATTATCTGCATCTTCTCTTTTACACCCAACTCCTCCGCGAGCTCTGATACTTGCGCCAACTCAGGACCGAACGGATGTTGCGTGTCAGAAAGATCGCGACGGAAAGTAGGACGAGCCGGAGGTGGTGATGTGACCATAGGAGGCATGGCGGGCACCGAAGCTGCAGTTATCGACGGCTTTCGCGAGAAAGAGACTCCTGAGACACTGGTGGCTGTTGTCGATGTTGACGACGAGCGGGAAAGAGAAAAGCTAGCCTTTGTAGAGACGGATTTGCTAGATTGGTTAGAAAGGCGCGAAAACTTATTCGCTATGTTGTCCATCGACGCCTTCTTTGTGTGCGACGGCGAGCGTTTAGGAATAACCGGTGCCTCGTTCGTGGCGGAAGGCGACTTTGCACCTGGAGCGACGAAGTAGCATGAAAGATGGTTAGGTTCCGGGGACCCAGATCGATCTGCTGAGGGTATATCGGGGCTTGTGGGCGGCGATGATGCGCTGGTACGAGGGCTGTCAAGGTCATCATCAGAAGATTTGCTGGATTCAGTTGGCGTAGGTTCTGGTCGAGGGAATAGATCCGGCGCATTGTATGCGAGCATATTGGTTGTATGTGTCAATTCCACCGGACCGGAAATCTTGGTGCGAATCGCTGCATTGTTGTTCTTGGCAGTAGTGTTGCTTCGTTGCGGTAATATGCTACCGAAGTCTTGTGAAGCTTGCTTTCGCCTTGTTGTAAAGGCGCGTGCAAGAGACATTTTGGCTGTTGTGTTTGAAGTTTGTCGACGTTACGGAATAGGAGACCAGTAGTCGTCTACCTTGAAAATCCTCCAGAGTATGAAGAGAAATAAATAACTGAGAAGTCTAGGCCCGGTTTGCTCGGATTTATGTTGGTGTCACCTGAATGTGGGATTGCGGCTGCGAAAATGCTCCGATATAAAAAGGGCCTGTAAGAAATTGGCGATCCTATAACTTTCTCCGAGCCGCGCGAATTTGCTTTCAAGCACCAAACTTTCCTGAGGCGAAGATGAGGAAGCAAGTTAGGAACCTAAAGTTCGCGACCAGAGTTGATGGTTAAACAAAGTCGGGTAATGTGATAGAAGCACACGGCGACTTATGTCTATCTACCGGGTACTTAGGTCTGTGCTGGGTGCCAGTTTTGGAAGCGCTCAACAGCAGCTGGTGCAGGGCACAATGTTACCCTGATTAGGCAGGTGGACACAGTGGGCGGTTTTGCCGAGACAACTGATTTGATCCTGTGAGATCGCGGGGCGCCGTCTCCAAGTCGCAGGTGTATCGTTACGTTGAACTGACCAACAAGCCTAAAAGAGGACCGAATCTAGTTGAGTTGCGAATGTAAGGTTGCCGTTAGTGACTCTTGACCGTTTAAGAGCTTGCAGCAATGCGCCGGTCAATTGTATAAGGGTCCGAATTGATCGGTTTCCCGGAGTTCCTATCAGAGGGTCCTTCGGAATTCCTAAATGGAAGCAGAGGTGAATAATAGGTCACCTAAAACAGTTGTAGACACCACTACAAAATGAAGTGTGTGCGACAATTGCAGTTGAGCCTGTCCAAGGTTTTTGGCGAGGTATGATATCAAACTCTCACGAGATTCCTTAAATTGATAGTTGGTGGAGCTCTTTGTCTTGGTGTGTGTAAGCACACAAAGTTATCATTAATAACAAATTCGAAAGGAGAGACGTTTTGTTATTCGAATGACGTCCAAATGTTGCTTTGGCGTTTTGGTTCAAAAAAAAGGGTGGTATTTGCTAGAACGAAACAGTGAAACGACCAGGTTCCTGATATGATCAAGGATAGAAATGGCGAAAATAGTCTCGTCGAATATTTTGATAGTTGAAAAAGGAAGGATAGTGGTTGGTAACCTCAAGCGACTTGTTAATTCGTGACCGGCGACAAGTCTCGGTGAAGATCCGGAAGAGAATGGGAATGAGTGAATCTGGGAAGAATTGGCCCAGCAGAATGGAAAGAAAGCGATGCGAAGGAGTGGAAAATCAAGTGAAGGGGGTAAGTGCACGCACTCTTGAGATGAAAAGGAACGCGATGAGAAGGAATAATAAAGCGCAACCAAGGGGGGTCCTGCTCAAGACTGCTCAAGAATTGCCTAAGTGGAGACACAAAAAAGAGAAAGACATGGGGAAAGAAGCCCTAGGAAGCCTAGGAAGAAACCCAATCCCATCCCAAGTACCCACAATGCAGGGATCAGGAGGGAACAAATGACATAAGGAAAGAGTATATGCAAGGATGGAGGTACTAAATCGACCAGGTGATCTAGATAATAAAATATAGGGAATCTCGACCCAGAATGGTGTACACGCTACGAAATGCTTTATCTTTTCACAAGTTCCTTCCTTACTAGGGTGATAACATTACTATGTACCTACCAACATGGGTTAAATGGGTTGACAAAGAGTTCACACTTGCATAGTACCTACAACGTTGTACAGGCCATCCAACGGCATGAATCGAGTTGATGATTCCATTCTAATCCCATCTATCACCACTTATCACCACTACATCCATCAATGATACATTTCAGGCACATACATACACGTATCTATTCCCTTTGTTTAAATGTCTTGACCTACGTATGCTATCTACGCTATCACTATTCTAACCAATTTCTCTCAACTCCTGGCTAAGGAAAGACAAACCGATCGATCGACAGGGCCACATACTGGATGGAGGAACCAACTGAAGACTTTTGTTAGTAAAAAGAGGGCGACCTAGAATCCCTGCGGAGTTCTCTGTTAATTTTTTGGGCGCTTCCTACTTGCAGATTAGCACAGACGGGAACCCAGCCAGGCGAATCTAATAACAGGGACAGCGGATTGGCCGACCGAACTGCTACCCCTGATCCGCGAAAGCTCGGCAGGCGAGGTACCGTCAAATCAGATGCCGTCTTTCAAAGAGGGCACACTTTAGCGGTTCCTTACTTGATTTTTATTAGCTGGCATCCCGGCGATATGCTCCCGACTTCCACCCTCCTACGCCACGTCGAGAAAAAAGATTGTCAGCCACCATATCAGCATATGCAGGTACCAGTCCAACACCAGCCAGTAAGACGAAGGCAAACGTCTAAAATACTCAAAGCTCTCGAATCATCCTGTGAGCCATCACCCTCCGTGTTCGGTGCTACACAATGACATACATGACATAGAATACACTCATCACTATAACAACTCACTCCGATCCTGCATTATTGAAATTGCACCGTTACGTGGCCACTCTTCTAACGACGCCCACGCCTTTGGGTCACATCCACCATTTCTGAATACCAACGGTAGTAGTTAATTGATATTCTCAAAATAGTTAAAAATATCATACAACAAAGAACCTCAATCAGTATCAGTTTTCAATGCGCCTGAACAAAGGCCTGAAAGCGCAATTTACCACGCCCATGTTCCAAGGACTTCGCCTCCAGCTGGCGACTAGGATCAGGTCAATCAATCAAGCCATATCCACTGGAGGAATCGGTGGAAGTGGAGTGGGCCTTGAGTGAGAATCATCCATCAATCCCATCATCCTATCCCCTGAACAACACTTCTTTTTTTCAGGAACCCCTGCCCTTGGACGACCCAAATTGATTGCCCCGGTTCTGACAAAGGAACTTTTCCTTTTTCGGGAAGCAGAACAAAAGAAGGAAACAAACGGACCAGGGAGTTTCTTGCAGTTGAAACCGACGAAACCATGCAAGGCGTTAATTGCGGAGAAAATCTCATTGGTCGCATGTTCCCAACCGCCATTGGCCATGGCTGGCTCGAGTGTTTCATCTTCAAGCCCTTCTCCTCCAAAGAGAGACTCCGTTGATTTTTATCGCCGAGAAGGCGGCGCCATATGTAGGTAAGAGGGGAAGACGTCGTCATCCATGCGCCCGGGCTCCTCAGTTTCGGCGTGCTCTGATCCTCTCGATTCCCCGCGCGCAAGTTAAGCTGAACACTGCTCAGCCTCGGTCTGGCCAAAGGCAGATGGAGCGGTCGTCACGATAGCCTCTTGACTCGTATCGCCGGTGCAAATTGTTTAAATATTTATCCCTACATTGTAAAAGTGTGAGGGAGCCCAGCGCTTGTTTCCCCTTCTTTGGGAGCCTTGGTTTGAGAATCGATAACAGCATTTGCCGTACCTTTCCAAAATGTGTACGTAGTTGGATTCGCCGTTTCGCCATGGCGGCCCATGATTCCCTCCAATTAAGTGGCAAGAGGGTCGTGTATTACGTGCCACATGGTGAGCCATCGTATGAGTAACTTCTGACAGCTTCGAATGTTGATGCTTAGCACACATCTTTTTCGCAGTGGAATTATTCATATTCTTCGTAATAGTTCAATCAAGCATACACACTCCCACGTTGGGTAACAATCCGAATGGGTCCTAGATTGACAAGATCTTACATAGCATTATAGCGATCAATTAAGCCCGGTCAATGCAACTGTAAGCGCAAATCTCTATTCCGATCTACGATCTTGCGCAACTGAAATTCATGGCCTTGATGATCCAGCTACGCAGACTCTGTATTGGACATCTATATCAGGATGCTGCGAAGAAAAATCTAGCTTACTATATGAAGCCAGTATCACAGATTCCTTCTAGTTTCAGCCGTGTCTTGATCCAGTCCTTTGTCGGCATTTACACAAGTATAAACAAACCGCTCCAGAAGAAGAGTTGGTTCATTTGAAAACCTGAAACTAGAAACATGTTCTAGTTCACGTCACGACGGTATCCACCTAACTACCGAAACTCACCGACCTAGATTGTTGAATTTGGATGCATCCGACCGTGAGACATCATCGTCTTTCGCCCGTAAGCTCTAATCCTCATCCATAGACTCGGGCTCTCCGTTCTCGTCTTCACCCTCACCTCCATCATCGTCCGAAGAGCTCTCAGCTTCTTCCACGCCAATTAATCTCTCCTCAGCGTTGTCGTCTAACTTGGTAGAGATCTTTTGCGCGAAGGCTTGGCGCACAGCGGCGTTCGTGCTGGTGTCCCACACATGCATGGTTCCTTTGCTTCCGGCGACAGCAAGACGGAAAGCGACCTCTGCATCGGGTGCGAAGTTTGTCGAGAAGATCTTTCCAACGTCTAAGTTGCGCGACACCACCATGGAAGGACCCGTGGGCTGAATATTCCACAGCTTGACGGTCTTGTCCGTTGAGCCGGTAGCCATATAACCCGGAATGTGCGCATTAATATCGAAAGACGACAATGACTCGTCGTGTGCCTGTAATGTCCACACTGGCTTGCTGGCAGAAGGGTTCGGAGGCGCGTTTCGGATATCGTGGTAATGTATGATGCCGTTTTCTGTCGACACGAAGAAAAAGTTAGGGTCATGCGGATCCCATCTGACGTTCTCAACATCGCTTTCCACGCCCCATCGCGGAGCCTTGGCTTCGGGAACCCGCATATCCGCCGCGACAATCGTCCGATCATAACTTCCGCTCAGCAACACCGTTGACTCCACAGAATGCCATGCTAATGAGCAAACCTTGTCTGTGTGGTGTGTGTATGACTTGGCGCACTTTGTCGTGTGTAAATCCCATAGCTTCACCGTCTTGTCGGCTGAAGCTGAGGCGAGTAGATTTCTGTGTTTTCTATTGGCGGCGAGAGATAAGACTGCGTCTACGTGGTAATTATCGTTGCTCTTCTTGGACTTCTTTTTCTTTTTCCCGCTCGCCTTCTCCGGGTTGCTTTCTTGACCTAAGATCGCATTTGGGTACATAGAGTCTATCGTATCTAAATCCCAAATTTCGATTTCGGGGTCCATTGTTCCTACTGCGATGAAGTTGGCTATCGAGTCCTTCTCCACGCTGCTCTTCGAGACGGGAATATCTAGCCATTCAACGCAAAGGGGTATCGCAGGAAGCATGATGTCGTGGTGGACGTAAAGGTTGTCGGCTTCGTCTTCATATACGTAGACTTCCAAATGCGCAAGCTCGTCTTCGACCTTGGCGGCTAAGAGAAGGTTGTCCGTCGCCAAGATCTGAAGTTCTTCCCTGTCGTCGTCTTCATCGTCTTCGCCGTCGGGTATCGTGATATAGGGATCGTCTTTGTTGGATTCATAGTACGCTAGGGACTTGATATTTCCAAACATATCCATTCGCTGGCCCTCGGCGTCTTCCTCATCGTCGTCATAGTGCTCTAAATCGTACTTTTTTAAGTCCTCGTCGTCTATGTCGATTCTTTTCATAGATTTAGCAGTTAGTCGCAAGAGAGAACAAAATAAAACTTACTCTTCCGCATCAACGTTCTGCGACGATGGTTGTTCTTCTGTGACATCGAGATCCTTTTCTTCATTTGTTCCGTTTTCCTCCTCTTCTTGCGCCTCTTGGAGATCTTCGTTGGCGTCGTCTAGCTGTAACTTGGCTAGCTCAGCTATTCTTTCAAATTCGGCCTCATCAAAGTTATATTTTGTCGGGAAAGGTGCTGCGAAGCCTCGCGGCACCCAGGTAGATGTGGTAATCATTGAAGACATATTGAATACCGGCGACTGAACTCGAGGTATTGAACTTTGCGCGGGCGAGAAATTGGGTCGAGAGCCCCGCCAACTTTTGATCTCACAAAAATTCCGGATGAAATTTTAGCGGGGCGGATTATCGATAAAATGATCTTACCAGGTACCCTGGTCCAATCAGACGATAAACACCGATAAGAACTGATAAGAAATTAGCTTCCTGTCTGTGCTAAGCCTACGACCGCTCTGCTTCGTCCTTTTGTTTTCTTTTCGTCGTCTAGTGAATTAAGTATCCGGGGAAGCACCATAATTGAACAACCCGCACCCCTTGAAGGACTATACACTTCGAGATGGATAGGGAAGACGGAAGTTTCAGCCCTAAAAGGCGAAAACTCGATTTCAATCCTCTCCGCTCCGACGATCGCTACTCATCCCTCCCAAATCGAAGCCATCCATCGTCTTCCCGCTCACACAATCGCTTCCAGCATAACTCCAACTCACGCGCTTCCACCCCTCGCGCCCAATCGAATTGGGCCTCAACCCCGAAGCAAAATGAATTCGATGGCCCGGAGCCGCTAGTCGATGCGGAGGAACAGAATGCCCTCGACCGCGACTGGTATACTGGCGACGAAACTGGCGGTCACACGTTCGGCGATGACTCGCATAATCCCTTTGGATCGTATGATACGTCGTGGGTTGAGCAGCAACAACGGGAGGCGGATATGATAGAGAAGAAGGCGGGGAAACATATGAATGCGCGACAACTGCAGAGGCAAAAAGATAATGATGCCTGGGAGACTAATCGTATGCTTACTTCCGGTGTTGCGCAACGGCGGGCTTTGGGCGATGATTTCGATGATGAGGATGAGGGGACGAGAGTTCATTTACTGGTTCATGATTTGAAACCGCCGTTTCTGGATGGGCGGACGGTGTTTACCAAGCAGTTGGAGCCTGTGCCGGCTGTTCGGGATTACCAGAGTGATATGGCGGTATTCAGTCGTAAAGGAAGTCGTGTTGTGAGGGATAGGAGACAACAGAGGGAACGACAGAGGCAAGCGAAAGAAGCTACTAATACGGCTGGTACTGCGCTCGGGAACCTTATGGGCGTGAAGGAAGACGAGGGCGATAGTGCTCTGCCGATCGCGACCGAAGAAGATGCCTCGAAATCCGGGAACAAGTTTAGCGAGCACATGAAGAAGAATGACGGCGCAAGTGCGTTCAGTCAGAGCAAGTCTTTAAGGGAACAGAGGGAATTTCTACCCGCATTCGCAGTGCGGGAAGATCTTCTGAGGGTAATCAGAGATAACCAAGTTGTCATCGTGGTTGGTGAAACAGGTTCAGGAAAAACTACGCAATTGACACAGTTCTTATACGAGGAAGGCTACGGAAGAAGAGGCATGATAGGCTGTACGCAACCCCGACGAGTGGCGGCCATGAGTGTTGCAAAGCGTGTGGCCGAAGAGATGGAAGTTAAGCTGGGCAGCACTGTTGGTTATGCCATCCGATTCGAAGACTGCACTAGTGCAGACACAGTCATCAAATACATGACTGACGGTGTCTTGCTTCGAGAGTCGCTAAATGAGAGGGATCTAGATCGCTATTCATGCGTGATCATGGATGAAGCTCACGAACGTGCTCTCAATACAGATGTGCTGATGGGACTGTTCAACAAAATATTGCAACGTCGGAGAGATCTCAAGCTTATTGTCACATCAGCTACTATGAACTCCAAGCGGTTCTCGGATTTCTTTGGTGGAGCACCCGAGTTTACTATTCCAGGTCGAACTTTCCCTGTCGATATTATGTTTCATCGATCCCCAGTTGAAGATTACGTCGATCAAGCCGTTCAACAAGTACTTGCGATCCATGTGTCAATGAGCCCCGGTGATATTCTAGTGTTCATGACGGGTCAGGAAGATATCGAGTGCACATGCGAATTGGTACGAGAAAGGCTAGATGCCTTGAATGATCCGCCAAAACTCAGCATTCTCCCAATTTACAGTCAAATGCCTGCAGACCTCCAAGCCAAGATTTTCGACCGAGCGCCACCCGGAGTGCGAAAATGCATCGTGGCTACAAATATCGCAGAAACTAGTTTGACGGTCGATGGTATCATGTACGTGGTGGATGCAGGATATTCGAAATTGAAAGTGTATAATCCTCGTATGGGTATGGATACACTGCAGATTACCCCAATTTCGCAAGCCAACGCCGGCCAGCGTGCTGGTCGTGCCGGTCGCACAGGACCTGGTAAAGCATTTCGTCTATATACCGACAAGGCTTTTAAGGACGAGCTCTATATTCAAACAATACCCGAAATCCAACGGACTAACCTGAGCAATACTGTGCTTCTACTGAAATCATTAGGCGTCCGGGATTTGCTTGATTTCGATTTCATGGATCCTCCGCCTCAAGACACCATCACCACCTCCCTTTTTGACCTCTGGGCCTTGGGTGCGCTAGACAATCTAGGAGAATTAACAGACTTAGGTTCCAAGATGAATGCTTTTCCTATGGACCCTTCCCTGGCTAAGCTACTCATTATGTCTGAAGAATATGGATGTAGTGAGGAGATGGTTACTATCGTTTCCATGTTGTCCGTTCCCAACGTCTTTTACCGCCCAAAGGAACGACAGGAGGAATCTGATGCTGCGCGAGAGAAATTCTTCGTTCCCGAATCCGACCATCTTACCTATCTCCATGTGTATTCACAATGGAAAACCAATGGTTACTCGGATGGTTGGTGCACGCGCCATTTCCTGCATCCAAAGTCCCTACGCAGAGCAAAGGAAATTAGAGATCAACTGCTTGACATTATGAAAATGCAAAAAATGCAGATGATTAGTTGTGGTACAGATTGGGATATTATTCGAAAGTGCATTTGCTCCGGCTACTACCACCAGGCCGCTAAAGTCAAGGGTATTGGAGAGTACATCAATTTGCGCACATCAGTCACTGTGCAACTCCATCCCACTAGTGCTCTTTATGGCCTTGGCTTTTTACCCGATTATGTTATCTACCACGAACTGATCTTGACATCGAAAGAGTACATGTCCACTGTGACATCCGTTGATCCTCATTGGCTGGCGGAGTTAGGTGGCGTTTTCTACTCCGTAAAGGAGAAAGGGTATTCGGCTCGGGAAAAGCGCATTACAGAAACCGAGTTCAATCGCAAGATGGAAATTGAAGCGAAAATGGCCGAGGATAAGAAACGATACGAAGAGCAGAAGGAACAGGAAGAAGAAAGGGCCGCCAAGAAGCCCGCTGCCAGTAAAGGAGAGAAGAAAATTATCACTTCGGGCGCGGTGAAGAAACCTGTGATCAAGAGGAAAGGTAGAGGTTTCTAAGGGTTATGATTGTTGAACATTGTTTAGGATACCATTGCATCTAGAAGATAACGATTCGATCAATTTTACGGTTTATGTGGGCGTTAGGTCTTCATTGCCTATCGTCGGACTTCGAACTGAGCTTCATCTTCTTGTACATCTCGAGTTTCTTGGTCCAACTTAACCACATGTGCATGTGTTGGGCCCTTGTCAAGTTCCTTCAAGAACATTTTGATCGAGTCTGCGTGTCCTTGTGCCTCTCCCTCAACCTGGATATTGTAAGTATCCTCTCAATGAAGTATAATGAAATCGATGCTCACTTTGCCGTTCTCGGTGTTTCGACACCATCCTGTGATGCTATGCTCGGCGGCTTTCTTCTGCGCAAAGTATCGATAGCTTACGCCTATCGTATTGTGACGTCAGTTTCTAGTCCCCCACTAACGCCATTGGTATTACAGTATAGCTCATACCTTGGACTCGGCCATGGGCGAGAAAGTAGACCTAATATCTCATAATCAGTCTTATTTATATTTGGGTTACAAGAAATAAATATTTACTTACTCGTTGTGACTGCGACATATTGATCTTCTAATTGTAGTGTAGCAGATCGCATGCAGATAAGGAGTTGCGTTTCTATGTATGTACAATGACGCCCAGGAAGAGCTTTATCGGAGCGGGATTGGCTAAGAAGAGATACGCGGCAGAATTGCGGGTAATCTAAATAGCCTCGATTCGGGTACATGTCTACCTGTACCAACCAAAACTCGGGAAGGTGATACCCACCTTTCTACACTGTACTTTACTTCTAGGCGGCGTTCGAACTTGTCATGCAACCTAAATAAAACAACAACATCCCAAGAAAAGGGAAAATCATCATTCATCGCCCGCGAAGTAGTTGATGTAAATAATTTGACCTGATTTATTGCGCTGCCAAATTCCCATCATGGACGGCGCAACACCGGAGGCGACGCCAGCGCCTCATGTAGTCTTCCGCGGGAAGAAAAGGAAGACATACAGACAACGAACCGAATCTACCGGCGACGACGACGAAATATCGAAGTCAGTACAGACGCCGCAATCCGAACAAGCAGCGACAACCTCAGACTCAACACCTAGACTCGATGTTGCCTCCCCGATACAAAGCGAAGATGCAACAGAGGAAGAGAAGGGCTTGTCAGTAGCCGAAGTCCTACGACTACGAAATGCGCGAAAGGCGCGATTAGGAGGTGTTAAGTTTGGCGCGGGTGCCAGCAATGCCCTGAGCGATGCGACGACGGCCGCTGCTGCTGCAGAGATAGGGGAAGGGCTTGACGACCTGAGTCTTATGATACGAGAGGAAGAGAACAAGGCGCTAGACGTCGCGGCCGGCGTAAAGAAGCGCTTCGCACCGCAGACGGGACTGGCGGCTGATGCGGTCAACAAGCATATGTGAGTTACTCGCCTTATTTCTCTATTATCCCTAGTTCTGTTATGATATTTTGTTTTATCATAATTGCTACTATCACACCAACTACGTCCCCACTACTTTCTGCGCAGCTGCTGATGGAGCAAGGGAGGAATACATAGAAGCCGAATTGGCCAAGCGACACAGCGCTATAGCGTCCTCTTCGTCAACAAGTCGTTCTGCCGCGCAAGGCCGATCATCTAACCAAAAGGAAGACGGACAGCAATTACAATCGCGATTCAATAGTTCCTTCGAATCAACGGCGACATCCTCTTCATCAACGGCGCCTAGACCCGAACCGCTGTATAACAGAGCCTTACAAGGTCAACTTATGGAGATTGATCTCGGTGACGAAGCGCGTAGCCGCAACGAGGCGCGGACGGAGCGCGCTACGCGCCGCATGCATGGCGAGGCCGTCGAGGACGATGATGAAGAACAACAGGGCAATCACAATAGGCCGCCGAAGAAAGTTCGGCTTGGACGTGATGGTAAGCCCTGGCGTCCGCGAAATAGGCGGAACAGCGACGATATCAGAAGGGATCAATTGGTGGAAGAAATACTCCGAGAAAACAGATGTAAGTTCTTCACCCTCTACGCTCTCACGCTTCTCGACAAAATGTGTTCAGATCACTAACGAGCGCAAAAGTGGACGTCTACGAACCTACTCCACCACCCAGAGCCTCTTCGGCTGCGGCCGACGGCGCCAACGGCGGCGCAGCAGATGCAGATGGCGCGGCGGATGAGCGTATTGCGGAGGAGTTCCGCCGCGAGTTCATGGACGCTATGGCGGAGCGCCAGCAAAAGCGTAAGAAGCCGACCAACGCGCCGTCCGGTGGACCCGGAGGTGCTGGTGCGAGTGGGAAGGGGGCTAAGGACGAGGATGTACTCAAAGGTCCGAAGTTAGGCGGTAGTAGGAATGCGCGCGCTGCGATGCGCAATTTGCTACTTGAAAAGGCGAAGGAAGCCAAGAAGCCTGGGAGGTGAAAGGAGGGCTAGGTATATACGGATAGGTATGGTGAGGATGGAGGCAAATACGACACGGGAATACGGTATGAGTGTAAATACGCATAGGCTCTTCAAGGCGCGATGGCGTTGGTGCGGATGATTTACTAGGTCCGTCTGCGTGGTTATAGCATCGCGTTAGTGAGTGGTTCGCGACAGGTCGAAATGCATCATATTCACGATTCGAAGTTATTGTACTCTTGAAAATCGAGAGAGGGGGGGTGATATGCTAAAACTACGTGCATTCTACCTATTGGGCGGCTGGCTGTTGTAGACTATTAAGCATCAACACGGCTTTCAATGTATTCTACGTGCAGGTACTTAGGGACGCGAGCAAGGTATCCTCCCAAACGTAGTTCGCCGTTAGACTTCATCCCTTGCGCCTGCTTGCGTAATATAACAAGTCTTGGTTATGACGTTCTGCCTTTGTTCAATGTCAAGGAGATGATATATGTAATCTTTTCTTTCAAGTACTCGCAGGTACAAGGTCCTATCTTGCAGTATCTAGGTTTCATACATCGGAAGTCCGAGTATGACCGATTGATAAGTAGATGTAAGGGAGTCATAGAGGTAGAGAATAGAGAACGATACGTCATTATATCTATGTTTATCCTACTTGCTTCGACTTTTCTATGGAATTTACCATAAGGGCTGAGCATTATGTATCAAGGCAATGCGACAGAATGATTCTAGAATTCATAAATTCAATTCTCGTCCATATACATCTAGCTAATCAAGCAGAAAAAAGATATAAATAACGTAGTGTTCGTGATCACATTGCTACATATATAAAAAGGACGTTTCATCTCTCAAACCGATAACGCCGCAACCTATCCGTCTCCCCTATAATTGGATTCCCTAAATATCATACGCGTGACCTCTTCCCCGATGAAAAAAGGGTAAAACGCAAGAAAGTAATGTTGGCCGGCCAGCTTGCGTTTTATAACAAAAGCGCGAGTCTTGCAGCTGTAGAAGAAAACGAAGCGACCCAGACTCGAGACATAAACGTATCATGCAGTAATAGTAGCGATGAATTCCCCTCCTATACCAATGGACAGCTTTTAAAGCGAATACATATGTAGTAAATCGCTCAAATCTCCTAATATCGCAACGTCGGCGGGGTCAAAGTTCTTCCTTGTGGCTAGCTCTAGAGAAAGTCCGGTAAATAATAAAGCAGCCAGCTGTGCGGATCGCCTCCTAAGGATGAGTATAGAAGTGAATGAGTCGTTCGTTCGGAATGATCGATGCTAAACATAAACGCTCTCTATGATGGTTCCTAAGTACGCCAGTCCTATATATCATAAGAGGTCGTCGTGATGGTTTACGAGAGTAACTCCCCTATGTCTGAATAGGGTCATATTGGGATTGGTATAAACCCGTATCGTGGTGGGGATTTTGGCTTTCAGCCTGGGATTATGCCCTGGTTCGCCAAGTTGTTGATCTAGCCTTTTTATCAAAAACCGCGGCCGGGCACTTAATGGGTTCTAGTGTGACTCGGCTAGAATGGCATGGTCTCTGCGGCGTGCCATTTATGTGCTTTCCAGTAAGGATGATAGCTATCCGTAACGGCATGGGCGATTCGAATAGCGTACAATCGCACCGTTAAGCTAGATCCGTGGAACCGGGCGTAGTAATGTGGATGAGCTTCATCGGATATCCAACTGGAATGGTTTAAATCTACCGCCAATGGTGGCGCAGCGTGGACATTTTCGGCGGGCTCCTTGCTCCTCCATTAGGACATTTACGCAGTCCCGACATAATCCACATATGCATTCCGTGCAGGCGTAGGATTCTCGGAGTTTCGACGTCCTCTGACATGCGGCACAATAGATGTGGACATCCTGAGATGAATAGCCTGGCGACGAGTCTGAAAGTCCAGAGGCACCAATGTGGAAGTGATCTCCGCTCTCACCACTCTCGACGGACGGGAAAGGATCTGGCATCTCTTGGGCAAAGGATGGTGGAGTAAGAGCTTGTTGGAGAGGTGAAGCTTGGTAGCCTTGAAAATGCTGATGGGGAAATGGGGGTAGGGAAGCTCGGTGAATTGATATGGGAGATTGGGGGACCTGGGAAGTTAGAGAAGGAAAATGAATGTGCCGGGCACGACTTACAGGCGTCCTATCCTCATCGATATCTTCAGTAGCCGAGGCTGCGGCGTCGATGAGGTCTTCCCACCTTTTGCCATAGTCGGCTGACGGCTCGACGGAATGAGCCTTACGGTCAATTGCTCCTGGTTTTAGACGCTCGTCATTTTGTATTCTTCGGAGCCAATCTGTCGCGGAACCCCGGGATTTCTGTTTCTTATGGCCGCGCTTGGTAATAGATTGCTTCCTAGGCCGATTGGGACCTAAAGGCCGCTGGAGGGGAGGAAGAGTTGAAGAACGACCTGGTGGCGAATTTGAAAGAATTGACGGAAGTAAATCTCTACGTGGTCCAGAATTTAAAGGAGGAAATGGTTCACTAGTCGGATCATTTCCAACATGTATTGGAGGCAATTCAATTGTACTCCTTGGTATTCTTCGGTGGCCTTCGTTGTCAGATTGCCAGCCCTGCGAAATTGGGATTAGTATCGCATAATAGGTAATGAATGGAATAGCCTTAAATGCGCACTTACAGATTCGGCGTCCCATTCTGTCTCAAATTTATGCTGGCCACCTAGCTGGGCTAGGGCGGCTGCGGCGCTTGCGGTTGGTAACAATGTGCCTCCATTATACTCGTCATTGATTCTAGGTGTGCCGGGAGCACTTGACCCATCTCGAGGATATCCATGGCGGTCGTGTGGGTAACCTTTGTTCGGGTCGAGGTTGGCTTGTGGTGGGCCGACAGAATTCTGAAGCTGAGATCGGTCGGACGGGGGTGTATTAATCATGAGTAAGAAGCTCTCTTCTGTCGCAGGGAGCTTTGAAATATAGTGTTCGGGATGCGCTCGTCGGATATGTTCCTGCATGGAACGATATCTCTTTTCCTATTCAATTTAAAATCGTTAATTAACATGTCGGTTCGCTTCGTATTTCGCAGTATAGCTCCTGAATCATGTACCGAATAGAGCTTCGTAATCTTGCAAATCCTTCGAGGGGCGAGGGGCGAGGAAAGGAGAAGCAAACTTGACTTACACCAATGCAGCGCTTGCGACAACTGGAGCCATCTTGATTTCGCAAAGGACAGACGACTTCATTGTTTGAGTCGGTAATAGAAAACGAAGACGTTAAGGAAGATCGAGGCGGCATCTTGACCTAGTCAACCCCGCCATTTACTGGTCGGGAATTGAAGGCGGGGGGGAGTTCGCGAGATTCGAATCGATACGGTGTTGGCGATAAGAGAAATACAATCGATAATGATCAATTGAAGATGGTCCAAGTTTGCGAAGCTCAAGCATTCGACAATCAAATCCAGTGTCGAATGATAATAGCTATACCGAGGTAGCTTCAAGCTCCTATTCAAGTGTTACATGAGGTGTTTCGAACAACTTTTCGTAGGTTGGTGGTGTTGGAGGAAGAGTGAAGAACTGGGAGGGTGACCTTATTGGGAGGGAGGGGGGAAAGGTAGCTGAAAGCAGCAGTAATGGGATTTCCAGCTTAGATAGGTCGGTAGCCAAGCAAGCAAGCAAGTAAGTAAGTACTGTAAGTAAAGTAGTGGGTGTATGTATGTAAGTAGCAAGTAGCAGGCAAGGTAGACAAAGTAGACAAGGCACAAAGGCAAGGCAAAGGTAAGGGTACCTACTAGCAAGGTACCGTACCGTAGAAAAGAAGGGTGGCCACAAGTCAGGGTGTAGGTAGGGTGTAGTGCCTAGGTAATAGGTAGGTACTCCACACCAAGCTGGTTTTCTTCAGATAGATACATCCATGGATGGATCAATATGAGGTAAGGTAAGGTAGCCTGTTAGTGTAGTGTGGGCAGGTAGTGTATGGTGCATGCAAGCATGTGTACGTATGGGTAAGTGTATGTGTATGTGTATGTAGGCATGTACGCGTATGTACAAGTATTATATGCTAGCAAGGCAGAGCAATAACACGGCAATGTTAAGTACCCAATCTGCTAACAAAGGGCATAAGGTGCCCCGGACAGGGTAAATTAAAGCTTGTCGTCCAAAGATAGATTATCCAACCACGAGCTGATCAAAGACAGTATCCCCATAGCTACGACAATTACAGGCTTGTGCGACGGGTCGAATCGAGGGAGACAAAGGGAAAGTGTGTCGTCTCATTGGCTGGTTTTTGTCCACTTTCTTACCTGTGAATTTTTAACGACTGACCAGCTTCCTTTCTGACTCGATCGAGGATCGGCTGGTTATTTGGAAGAAAAAAAATTGAGAGAGTGGGGTGTTCCCCTAATGATGTGCGCGGAGGTAAAGAGAAAACAATAACTGAGATAATAAAAGAAAAGAGCCGATGACACAAACACTTCCGGTAGTAATGATTTTGAAGCTTGTTCCTTTTGACTATCGGAGAGCTTTAGATCTGGTCAAGGGGAGGTAAGGTACTTGGAATCCGACAATGCAAGCTTCCCAGCTTGAACAAAACAAGCTAACTGCGGATGAGGATTCTGTACCGCTCCTCCTTCTAAGCACACAATATCTGCAGCAACGGCAGGCATTGCATCCTCGAATGATAAAGTCGAATTTCGATGTAACCTCAACTCCTCATAGGGAAGAGCAAGCAGAACTCGCTGCCGCCCACGAGACATGAATTCATACCAACCTAGCCTGCAGTACGGTACAAATACCAAATACTGGCATACTAACACACTAGCAGGAAAAGCTTTGAGGGGCGAGGGGTTCTGCAGGTGGGTAAGGTGGCGCACTGACCGAATCCACTATCAAACTGCACACATGAGAGCTCTCGCAATTGGCTGGGCAGAGCTTGCGGAGGTGATACGATAGGCGGAAGTCTGAGTGGAGGCCTTTTGGGAAAATGGCTGTCGGGTAGTAGAGCGGGTTCGTTTCATTTTATCAAAGCTCCCTTCCCTCTTGTCTCTCACATGCATGTCCTCCGCACCGCACACACACTACCCACCCAATTCCTTCATCCAGTTGACGATGAGGGTTGTTGTGTAATTGTACCCGTCGCAGCTTGTCGGCAGAAGGGCAAATGAAGGATCCGTGGCCAAGCTTCTCAGCTTGATGACATCAGATGTAGTGAGATTATCAGCTCCCGCCGCCGCAGTCATGGGTTCTTTCATTGCGGATGTGGCTTTTTTTGACACAATTTTCATTCCAGACGAAGCCGGATTCCCTCCCCCTGCTGCCCTAGTCGGGTTCGACCCATACGGAGGTAGAACATGGGTGTGATAGCTACCCAATCTCTTCTTTGTCAATGCGACTGGCAGCATTAAAAGCTCCCATCCTGGTCGATCGCATGGTCAGTTGGCCTGAAAAAAACTTGTGTGTGCGCTGCCATTATCAGGACCTCCCACTGGAAGGCTGGGCGCAACGGTGTTAACACATCCGTCTGGATAATACTTTTCCGTTGGACATGGGCGTTGGGGGATTTGTCGCTAAAGCTCAACTCCGGATTTTTTGTAGTTGATAATAAGGAAGTACATAGCCTTTCCGCATTTAAATCGCACCAATGGGACTTTTCATTAGGTACATTTTAAGGCAGGAGGTAGGTACCCAAGGTATAGTACATGGAAGGAACAGCTTTCTAGAACCCCTACCACCACTTCGGTGCTGCACTACTAAATTAGGAATACCCTTTGTACTTTTAAGTTGATTGTCTCTTTCCTGTGTTGTACATGGTTTACCCGACTTCATGTGGAGAGGACGCTACTGCATGTCGTTTTCTCTTCTACCCTTTTTAGTTGAAATGCTAGGAAGGTGTCTTCGTAGCTCCCTATCACAATGTTGGAAGTAACGACTTATCGTAGCTACCTATCTGAGTTGTGCGACCGCTGATCTCATGTACTGCTGAAGCTTAAGGGAACCGACGAATCCTCTCGAATCAAATTGTTGCTTCCGCTCGGCTTGTCGGTACATCATGTACAGCATACCCTTTACCCCTCACCAGGGTCTCAAACCGGAAAGAATGACGAAGGCGTACAGCTAGAGCTGTCTTATCGATATTACGTATCACATGATGCTTGCCGTGTCTCATTTAATGAAAGTCTTGTGATTAAAGGAGCTGCGGAGCTACGAAGCTATGTCATCTTTTTCTGAAATAATTTGACACTTTGAATAGGTACATGCATTTCTATCATTTCTCAATTACTACCGTACCTGCGCATGGGATGTGTACACATAGGTGCCGAAACTGATAACGGGTCTTAAGCGAACTGGCTCAAGATACGTCAATTTGAGCCCATGGAAATAAGTTGCGATGCCTACCTAGGTACCTAGATACCCAGGGACACTGAAGGGCTAATTAGTAGGCCATGAAGGCGTCCAATGAACATACACACAAATGAACTTTGAAGATAATGTCTCAAAAACCCAGGTATTTTCTTCCAGCGACATTATTAAATTGCGAGGTCGCTATATAAGCCAGAATCGCCAAAACGCAATCACCAATGCAAAGATGCCAAATATTAAAGCCCATCTTAGGAAGCCTCGTTTCACCTGCTCCTTCGCGAAAGCCTCCATGGCGGCTCGCTCGTTGACTCTTGGAAATTCGATACCCTTTGGTATATCACAACCTAACGCTTCACATAGGGGACCCCATCCGTCCTTAACATTGAAAAACACAAGCTTATCGGGAGGCACAACATCGCGCAAATGTTGAATATGTCGTTGCCAGACGCGCATGCCCACGTGTTTTTCCGGCTTCCCAGATGTATCATACAGTTCAAGCCATCTCCCAGCAGCAAGGGCATCAAGGTACCGTGGGAAGTACCTCATTGGCAATAAAGGGAAGAGCACAAATCGCAGGTACCACTGCAAACTAGCCGTGGCGATAGCATCGATGGACTTGTCCCACGCCTCGGCGTCACGAACCGTACATATGACTTTTGCGTCAGGGTATAATCGCATCAGCTCTGGTACGAAGCAGAACCCAGGTGCGCTCGTGATCGCCATATACCCATCCGTGAGCCCAGCGATACCATTCAACACGAACTCTTCGTCTTCGAATGAACGAATTGGCGTGTGTTCCAGGACCGATATCCAGCTCTTCAGATTGGAACTTGACCCTTTACAATTTTGCGTCCCTCCGTGGTAGACGGGTCCTTGCAGGAGTATTTCGAGAGCCTTACTAAACGATGCCGTGCCGGTTCGGGGCATACCCGCTCCGATAACCCGCAACCTAGCTCCGGGTTGCGGTTTTGACGCTTCTTGGCCCATCTTTAGCTTCGAATCAAGCTGATGCTTGCATAAATTACATTAGTATTTTCGCCTGTTAGGTGAGTAGATCATGAATACGATTTTACTTCCTATGCACACATATGGGACGGCCGTCGCCATCACTTTATACACCATACAGAACGATTATAAGGGCCGATTCGATCACGACATCATTATAGCCACGGATAAACTAGAACTACCACGTTTCTAGAACATAACTCTACATATGTATACCACCGTGTTTCGACAGGGTATATCCCATGTTCATTTTATTTCGTGTCAAAATGGTAAAACCCGGTAACGGTTGTGGTGTGGAAATACCTACTCATTTAGTAAGGCGAGAGTAGGTTGGCGTAGTAATTTAGGACATAGGGGCTTAGTAACCCCGTAACAGTGACGAATAAACTTAATATTATAGCCTACCTATTGGCTACAACACTTTGCTGAATCAGACAGGCGTTCAAGCACGTGGCTGTATTCGTGCTTTTGTTTTCACGATATAATTATAATATGTTTTGGTGATGTTGGTCACCGAGACTTACGAGATAGGCATCTACTTATGCCTTATCGGCTCGATGTCGGTATCTTAACAGGGGAGATGGAGAGGTACGTTACGTTGCGTGGGGGTTAGAAATATGACTTCAGAATCGTGAGAGAAGTAATAATATGGAAAAGAAAGTTTCCATGGTGATGGAAGTAATGGAAAGTGGTATGAAATATTCCATGGATTTCGAAGATCGATGTGTGTGATTGCAACGGATGATTAGAACTGGTCACTGTCTCCAAAATAAGAACAGCTACAACGTCCAAGCTTGTTGAGTTCCCTTAGGAGGATTGACATTGTGATATGAAGAGACGACATGAATGTAGTTAGATGGAGGTTAGCGAAACACCAAAGACATAACAAATACTTGTTGGGATTGATTCAATTAGTTGAATAGACAGGCGCCCGTAATCTCAAGGACAAGTTGTGTAGCGTTGATATGATTGGGGATAAAACTCCTTTCTTGAATCGTCATCGAGTTGTATTAAGCACGGTGTTTATTTGTTTTATCATCCAATGTGGTCATATCGTGAAGATTCGTCATTTCGAATGGAATGTGTTTCCCCCATATTGTTCCACTTAGTTAGGTCAATGAAGAAGCATAATAGATAAGAAGATCGCTGATCATTTTACCAAAGAAGAATATATTGAAACAATTGAGCGGATTAAAACGAGATATATCTTGGGGTAACTACCTAGACACTGTGAGACAAGATGGGTTTCTTGTGCCCCAATCGTATATAGCAGCTAAGTTGGGATGCATATAATTGGCCAAACAGGCACAACAATATCTGTAACTCGAGTCGAATTGTGCAGTTATAGAAGTCGTTAAACAAGCATCTATAGACTTAAGTTGCTTGGACCCTTCATACCTCTTCATGCACATATGCACAGAGAGGAATGTTCCGATGGGCTGAAAATTCGAATGACGTATCGGACGATATCATGATCAGATGATGTACGTACCTAGGTAGGTATGTGTACGCGGGAAGTCGTCATTCCAGTAGGACAATATTGTAGCTTATTTTTTTCAGAAGGTTGCTCATTTAAAAGTTGACATCCACTTGTGATACTGCAGATTCGACATACATATCAATGAAATTATTGATGAATATTTCGAGACGAGACTCGATGACCCTTCATATCCTCAATAGATATACCGATTTAAAGTTAGTAATGTAGATCTAAGCGAGCCAAGTAACGCTAGTGTTTAAAGGCCGAAGCCACTCCTCCGCCATATTGGTTTCCCCTAACAGATTTATGGGAACCAATAGAAACGCGTAAAATTTTTATTCTCTACCACTTCTGGTTAGTTTATTAACTTAGGTAAGGTACCTGAGCAGGTATTTCAGTACTAAGCACGGTTCAGCCGGCATTAAGACTAGCCGGCGTTGCACAAAAGCTCACAAAAGCTGTCGTACTATGTAACTTTAGTAACTTGGCAGCAAAACGCCGAAACATTTCACTGCCATCTGCAGATCTTCGCGGTTCAGAGCTTCTCATCCACCTTCCCCCAGCTTACCCAAGTGAAACATGGCGGACCGTCTATTGTCTAAAACAAGTCTTCGCGCACCACAAGGTGTTGATGCGTGATGACAGGCAAGGTATTGTATAGGTCTCTTCGGTCTCTTCTTTTAGTTATTCAATTTTGATTCTGATCAGAATTCAATATCACATGGGTGGATATTGAAGCCAATGATCCAATGTCTGACAAGGGACATTCGATCGCTTTCCCACATTGCAACTCGTTACGAAGATCTCTCTCTTAACCCTCTTAACAATTATCTTAACAATTATTTCCTCTTCCACGCGATCCTTCGTACGCCCTTCTTCTTGCTTCATCATCTTTTTAGTGTCTTAGCGAGACATTTTTTATCATTTTAGTCAGGGCTGAGGCCATTGCTCCCCCTCTTGGGTATCGTCATTCTCTCCCGTCCTATTATTGCTTTTCTCATCCCATTTAAAATCAGCGTCCTCACCTCAGCACTCCATTTAATATTGATCTATTTGTCTTGATCTTTCTAAACTACAGATGATTGCCAATCTTCCTCGTCAGTGAAGGAGTCTTAACGACTAACCTTCACAGTCACAATGGCTCTAACTGTGAAGCACCTCAACTCCGATGCCTCGTTTCTTCTATCCTTCGAGCCCATCATCCCCGAACTTGCTCAGGGTATTGTAACACCAAAACCATTCACGATACTTTTGGATCCTTGGATAACAGGATCCTCAAAGATCTTCCATCCTAAGATCTCCCTCGCGACTCACATACACCCAGCATGCATATCATCGCTATCGGAACTCCCGTCGACTCCGGACCTCGTCATCACCAGTCAGCACAAAAGCGACCATTGCAACGAAGCTACACTGCGGCAGTTACCCTCAAATGGGAAGACTATTATTCTTGCTGAACCTGCAGCAGCAAAGCTGATTAGGAGCTGGAAGTACTTCGCCCATGAAAAAGTCCGAACAATAGAACGATGGGAAGATCCTAGGGCAACCGGCAAACAATCCGCGCTACGAATTCCCGTTCCGCCTACAGTCCCGGGCGGCCAGGCAGGGGAAGTGACTGTCGCCTTCATACCACAGAAACGCGACCTGGCAGGCCTGCATGCCGCCATTGGTATTACGTACCGCCCTCCCCCAACGCCCATGCCGAAATTCAATCCCCCTATCATGTCGAAACCACCCACGCCACCTGTTACACCAAATACGCCTAACACGCAAGCCTCCACGAATACTATCTCAGTCTCTGATACGCTCCTTTTGCCGCCCACACCGCCTATATCGCCTCGCTCCTTGCGTTCCGTCCAATCCGCCTCGACTCTTCTCCCATCTCCATCACGCCCCGCCATGAGCGCCTACTTCCCGCGTTCCACCTCTCATAACTACGTACGCCCTACTACATCCAACTCTAACGGCTCCATCCGTCCTCTATCCGTCATATTCTCGCCTCATGGCATTTCGTATGCTCACCTTGCGCCTTATGTCACATCGCACCTTGTCACCGAGGCGGCACTGCCGCTAACAGCCCTGCTTCACTGCATGGATAGCATATCTAATCCATGGTGGCTTGGCGGCAACATCTGCGCAGGAGTACCGACCGGTGCCGAAATCGCAACAAGGCTAGGTGCACGAGTCTGGATTAGCGCACACGACGGAGAAAAAGACGTTCGGGGACTGGCTACGGGTATGCTTAAGACAAAGAGATGGACACGTGAGGAAGTCGAAGGCGCTTTGATCCCCTGCGAAGAAGTCGGGAAACCCGGTGTGGATAAACTAGCACATAGACGGAAGAGCAGCAACGGAAGCAATGGTGGTGTAAGCACAGAGATCATGCGCCTTGGTAGTGGCGATGAGGTCCTTGTTTCCGGTACTGGGATGTTATGGTGTTCTGATAACGGGGAGGATCGATGGGCTATTGACGATGAGAAGCCGAAGACACAGCCCGAATCGAAATCGATTGGGTGGCACAGCGAGAAGATATCTACTAGCCTAAGGATGATGAAATCGTCCAAAATAGGTCTTTCGTCGAGATTTAGAGCCGCTGCTACCGCCTAAATTATGGCGTATTCTTTTATGACTTTGGATTATTGGGAGGGTTCGCTTTCATTAAAAAGGATATTTCATCGGCGGATCAGTCTTTTGGGATATCTAAATTTGGCGCGTTTTGGATGATATGGATTTTATTGAGTGATACCAGGGTTGGCGGATTTTTTCTATTTGTTATATTTGGCTACCTACAGCATTTTATTTGTCTGGATTCATAACGAACGATACAAAAAAGTTACGGCCATATAGGCCTCACTTCTGGGTCACTTACCTACATTATTGGGAAGAGGAATGACCTTCATATTCTCATACTCATGGGCGGAAAAAATCAAACAAAATAGGATACGGGCGTTACTATTCGGACTACCTAACGGTTTCGGGGTATTGAGGAAGGGTACGGTATGGCACGGAAGAGGCTCATTTGTAGGGTAAACCTCTTATCACGAGGTCATATAAATCAAATCATAGGATCTGGAACTGCTCTTCAGCTAACTGAACGAATTCATTCATTCTCCCTTCATATAAAACCGTAATAGGTTTAATGGTATCTACTGAAAACAAAACGGGAAAATATAAAATGATGATGATCCACGGACCTGCCTCGCCTGCACACTTGCTTGCCTGCCCGTGTTAAATGCTCCCTTGAAAACCCCTCTGGTGCGAGCTGGCTCGAATGAGGTTCTTAGACATATCTGCCTCCCTCCCGAGAAAGTATGTAAGATCGGACTCGTTACGCCCAAACGTAATAACGATATATCCCCGTGAATTTATAATAGCCAGAGTGAAACCCGTGTTCGTACGGGTTCTGGACTATTTCATGTATGTAACCCCGTTTATAATATGCATTGGCCACTCGCTCCGCTCCTTCTATTGCGAAACCGCATCCCTTTCCACTTCGGGTTCTGCACTTCTTGATCGCTCCAGTCGGCATCGTCGCCCGCCTTACTTGAGCTGCTTCAAGATCTCAACAAGGAAATCCTCGAAGCTAAGCGTGATGTATCCATCGCGATCGTCGTCATACTTCTTGAAGACGTCCGTCATGCGCTTGAGGCTGATACATGCTTGGACGAAAAGATCGAAACTCATGACACCCTCATTGCGCTTATCGTAGGTGCGGAATAGCAAGTCAACGAAGCCAGGGCTAAGGCGGTAACGGAAAGCGACGAGCGCGTTGCTGAACTCATCGGGACTGATGTTACTGCTGCGATCGGCGTCGAAACGGTCGAATAACGCGCGCCATGATGCTAAGAACGACCACAACCCACAAAATTCGTCGAATCCAATCGTGCCGGATCGGTCGCTGTCGAACATACGAATCATCATACGAACCGTCTGTGGGTCGAACGCCGTCCAGTCACCGTTTACGAGCGCAGCTGAGAGCTCTTTCTCCGATAATTGGCCCGTGCCTATTTTTACAAATTGTTAGCCAAATTTTTCTTTTCCCTTGTTTCTCCTCTCTACTATTTCTTATTGCGGAGTTCGGCCTGCGGCAAGCCGCTGACGCAAGCGCTGGCGTAACCCCCGCTAATCGCCGGGTGGAGGGAAACAAAGGGATGGATAGATAAACATACCATCTTTATCAACAGCTCTAAATAACGGCAATAGAGTGGGATCGGCTGTGCTATCTTGAGGACTAGGAGACGGCGGTGGTCTGCTAACGGGAGGTGGGCGGTTGTGCGCCGTTGGTCGTGGACCCGAGGCAGAGGGAGGCGGCGACATGGTTGAGTGTGGGCTCGGTCTATAGTTGTAATCGTGGCTGTTGCTGTGACTTCCACTGCTATAGCTACCCGAATAACTACCCGAATGAGGCGCGCCACCAGGGCCGTAGCCAGTAGGAGTCAGACGGCCTGGGTCGGTGCGACGAGGACCGGAGTCGTGTCGAGCGCTGGGGACAGGCGGTGGTGGTTTAGACTCGTATCGAACAGATGGATGGCTTGCGCTTCCTTTCTACACCAGAAGGGCGGTTAGTTGTGGTTGGGAATAGGTACAATCAAATAGAAGAGGGGTTGTCGCAGGGATTAATGTAGGTGGTAAGAATGAATACGGTGGAGGCGCGTGCGCGTACCTGTTCGGGTTCTGCGAATCTATGGTTTCAAAGTTGGTTAGCTCTTACTGTCACGCATGAGGATAACTCGACCCATTGGTCGATCGAACAGGAGCTCGTGATGGTCTCATACGAAAAGACACCCTTTTGTTAAAACCATCACGGTTCTGCTTCAGAGCGATGACGATGGCGGGGTATAGTTGCATTAAGCGAGTACTTACCTTGGCAGTTCGTCCGGGTTGTAAGGTCTGTTGTAAGCCATTATGTCGATTATATTTAAGTCGCACTTGGACTTGATATATTTGAGTATTAAAAAATGAAAGACGGTAAGGACTGCAGGCCTGGCGATGACTGTCTATTATATGAAACTAGGAGAGCGCAGAGTTGTAAGTCGCAGCTTTTTTTTATTTTGTTTTTGTCTGCGATGCGTATGTAAGATAGGCAGTTGTATTGGGCAAATAAGCGGCGGTGCAACTGAGCCGTCGCGTACCAAACAAAGAAGGAAATCGATTCAGCCGCAAATAATGGGGTCAATAAGAATAGTCCAAGGATCAGGGTGGGTTGGACTATGGGACTTGGAAAATAAAAAGGAGTGTGCCGCGAGATACGCACTTCGAAGGATTCGGTTGGTGAATTACGTCTCCTTTCTCGAAGGAATTGGTCGGATAGATGCAGCCCTAAAACTTATGGTGTAGGGTATGCTAAAAATTGAAAAGAAGGGGGGAAGGGGAAAAAAAACAAGTGTTTGCTTTTTTCGTCTCGAAAACCCAGCTTTTCATGTAGGTACCTACTTAACTTAGCTGGGTCGTCTGTCATATGGGATGGATATTCGGCACCACTAGGGTCCGTATGACTGATGACTGATTTGATAGATCCGCAGGCACCAAACGGGCGATCAAAATCATTTCGGCTTTGAGCGACCGGGGCTGTGTCCGTCCCTTAGACGCTTCCGGGTCCCTAGATTCGCTACGTAATTTAGATAGGTAATAGGCCATTTAGTTCGTCGGATTTAATTCTCTCTGCTCGCTATCTTGACCGAAAGAGGCAGAGCTGTAGGAATCGAGTGAGGCGAAATTGAAATCAAGTCTTTCTCAAAGGCTGATTCAATTATATAGAATTCCCCAAGGTGAATCGGGCAAGTTCAGCTTCTTAGGTGAGGCTCCGAGATGACGACGCAGCATCATTCCCGTCCCGTCCCGTTCGTCTCCAGATTTTCAAGGCTTAACCCCAGGATCTGTCATTTTCTTTTCTTATCGAGCCAGAAATGTCTTGCTTGTTGCTTCCGGTAGGCTGAGTTCTTTTTTTATGACGCAGCGAAGATGGCGAAGTCAACAACCCAGCAACCCCATATTGGTGCAACCTATAGTATGAATGAGGCGCAATACTTTCGTGTGTGAATTATCGCGGGGTGCATGTTCCGCATTGTATGTACGTGTCGGGAAAAAAAAAGTTGAAAGAAGTTGCACGAAGTCGCGCACATTTCAGGGGGAATATCAATTATGATTTGTACATATACTTTGATTATGACAGGTTCATTATTGCTTGAGCGTGTCCATCGCAATCACCCAAAATATTTAGACCCGTTGTTCTTACCCTGGGCTTACCAAATGACGAAATTCAAAAGCTTACCAGAGGTCAGCAGCATCTCTTTTTGCAGGTATCACGGGCTTCTTGTCCCGTACCACAGAATAGAATACTAAGGAAAGAGCCCACCTTGCATTAGTAAGGTACCTGGACTTCGTGTAACTTGATCTTTCCGTTAGCCGGAGCCGTAACCCGTAACCCGGTAGGTCCGGCCGATTGGAGGCAGCTGCCCACAAGGCGAAAAGCTTGGCATTTATGGTACCATTCCGATTTCCCGACAACACCAATTAACACGGAGAAACTTAGACCGATATCTTTCATCTACAATTAATAATTAGAATTTCAAGAGACCTCAGTCGATTATAGACTACTATAAAACATATATGCCCGCCTATATATACGATTACGTGATAAAATATCAATCTGACTCTTAAAGAAAAAGCAAAAGAGGCTTGACTCGAGCGTTGATTATGGCAGACGAGCGGGCACCGCCCGAGACAGACGAATTTTGGATATTTGGCTATGGGTGCGTCACATACAAGAGTCATCTTAAGCCTCCAGCTTAGCCTTACTTATACATAGGTTAACAGGAGTTTGATATGGAAACCACCTCCGCATTATGGTGAGATTCTACACCGAAATCGCCGTTATAGACGCATCTATGTATAGGCCGGGGCTCACCAAGGTTTCGGTAGACCGACGTGTACCAGGCTGGGTTGTGGGCTATGTTAGGCGGTTTTGGCAGGTACCGAACCCTCGCTTCAACCTTTCAGTTATGATACAGCGCTTACATTTTTACTAGGCAAGGTAATTTGATCCGTATAATGAATTCATTCGGGTGTTTTGGGTATCGGCGAACTATATTCTAACCTCGATTGAATTTCCAGTCAAGACCATCGTGGTACGCCGGAAGCCCCGGGCCGTGTCGTTACTTTAATCGAACGGTCCTTCTGGGCTTCGCTAGTCGACGCGCACGACTCGGCGCCGGAGAAAGTATGGGGAACGGCGTATCGGATCCAAGCGGACAAGGTCGCCGAGGTGAAGGAGTATCTAGATATCCGAGAGATCAACGGGTACACGATCCACTATACTCCATTCCATCCAGCAGACGGATCACCCTTCATCCGTACTCTGGTTTACATCGGCACCCCCGACAATGACCAGTTCACAGGACCTCAGGATCCGCAAGCCCTTGCCGAGCATATCTACGTTAGCGAAGGCCCCAGCGGCCTTAATCGCGACTATTTGCTGGGCCTAGAGAAAGCCCTCAATGAATTAAGCCCTGAGAGCGGCGATGCCCACGTGACGGACCTGTCGGATCGTGTGCGCGAGTTCAAACGTAAGCGTCGTGAAGGCGAGCTCCAGGTCGAAGGCTTCGAGCACCCAGTCTCACACGAGTTTAGGAGAGTGAGTAGCGTGGGTGAGCAAGAAGAGACCGAAAAGACGTAAATAGCGACCTAGGAAGGAAGGAGAAGCGGCCCTGTCGCCCCCGAGCAGAAGATCACCCGAATAAATCAAAAATATTGAACCACGAAAAGAAGTCATATTGAGTGGTGGGTGCTAGCTCACCCGCCCATTTTGCTAGCATTTTGGTGATTTCTACCAGCCTTTCCTACTTCTGCCTCCTCTTAGTATGACATATTTTGTGGTTATACCTCTGAAGAAAGTTGAACTTCTCCAACACTGTGTGATCCTTTGCTTGGACCCCTCCTTCACCTTTTCATAAAGTCGTTAAATGATGGTATAGATCTTGACATCGACCATAAAAGCCGTAGGTGACCTTGAACATAAATACGGTAAACGAATGTACGTACAAATGGGAGATATCCCTTGTTTCAATCCACCATCTTGGAGGTCGGGTACTCGAAGAGGTGGAACGATTCAAAGGATTGGCGTTAGGATGGGGCACCGCGTTGGTGGCATCGTGCGTAAGGAATGTCGCGGTGTTATAGGAAAGCTAGATCTCCAAACATCAACTAAGTCGGTGAGGAGTGTGCTACTAGGGCTATTTTTTTGTTAGATATCATTTTTCACTTTTGTTGAGTCGTTAATTTGATGCCACGCCAGTCACGCGGGATCTTACTGTCCGTATGGCGGCTGCCCCTGAGGTGGCTGTTGCTGCGGCTGTTGGCCTTGCTGCTGTTGGTCTGGATATCCATACGGCGCATAACCTATGGGACATTGTCTTAGCTTCAAAGTTTTTTTTTTTTTTTTTTTTATAGACATGGAACAGGGATAGTGCAACTTTACCTTGAGGTGGGGGCGTCCCGTAGGCCGGCTGCGGTGGGTAGCCGCCTCGTCCGTAAGCCGGTGGGTACATCACCGGGTTCGGCATTCCGTACGCAATCGGTTGACCAGCAGCATACGGCATTTGTGGCTGTTGACCGTATCCGCCTCTTGGTGCGTATGCGCCACCCCGTCCGCCGCCGCCACCGCGGGGGCCGGTATCAGACGCCCTGTCGACACGAATAGCTCGTCCGTCAAATCTGTGTTGTTCCATTGTTAGAAGAGCGCTAAGCCACTGAGGAGATGTATCCTACTCGACGTTGTTCATGCCGGCAATTGCCTTCTGGGCATCCGCCTCGTTCACGTATCGGACGAAGCCGAAACCTCTACTACGGCCGGTATCACGATCTTTAACGACAACCTAAAGAATATCAGTCAGTTATCAGCCCAGCTTATGCATATTGAAGCTACAGGCTACAGGCTAGAATGAACGTTCGCCGTATTACATACCGCCTCCTCAACAGGGCCGTACTCCTCGAATTTCTGTCTGAGTGTAGCATCCTCGGTGTGCCATGCAAGGCCGCTAGACAAAGCGCAACCAAGTTAGTTAAGTATAGACGAGGGCTTTTAATGTGTCTTACCCAATAAATAACTTGGACATATCTGCTAAAGTATCGATTTCCGATAGGCTGAGTCTGCGCTGAGAAGTTTTAATACTCGATCCATTCTGACGATATCATCGAAGCGAATGTGACAGGGTTTCGGAACGTCTGAATAGAGGAAAAGCATAGTCTACCGGGTACCTAGGTACTAGGTAGGTATGACATATCTGCATGTATTACAGGATCTGGGCAGACAAGGCTCTGGCTTTAGGTAATCTGTTAAAAAGAAGCGTACAAACTTTTTGAAAGTAAATTTAGGCTGCGATAGTATATAGAGCTGCCTATTTTCGGGTATTCGATTGTTGAGTAACGCTGTATAGTCTTTCGTTCGGGTGGCTTGATACTGCTAGGGCCAAGTCGGTGCGCTTCTATAGCCGGCGTAAGGGTAACAAAGAGGAAAACAGGTTGGCCAAGTTAATACGGCGGGGTTGGTAGTGTATAATATCTGAGTGGCCAATGAGACAAGGGGTTTATACGTTAATAAGTATGTCGTGAGTGCTCTCGTGACGAATAAATCACTGCCTGTTGGCTAGAACAAGAAATGCAAGAGATCCATGTCCACGATCCCGCTTGATTTTATACAAACCGTTCTGCTCACCCTGGACAAGCCAAACCCTTCAAGATGCGGATCTGAATATGTGAGCATCCACCTCTATCGTCCCTACAATAGAGGGAGAGGCAGCCAAGCAGGGTTGCTTCAAAACAAGCATCAAACAGAGGAGGTGCAAATGACCTCGAACTGATCTAGGGAGATAGCATGAGACTCCACGCGGCACAAACTACGTGTGCCAGGAGAGTTGCTAAGTTGGCTCCAATCCACAATGGAATGCCAGCGATTGGCATCATGCTCACTCCGTGTGGTCCGAGTTGCGCTTAACATAATGCGGTGGGTGGTGGTGTAAGGACTTCCAGAACGATCTGCGAAGAGTCTACTGCGACCAGGCTATACTCCACATCCGCCTTCTCTTATCCGCCGTTGTGGTCGACCGTAGTTGTCAAGGTCTCACGCTCGATGCGCGAGATGGTATATGCTGATTACTCAGGTTTCGTGATCCTTGTTGGATACTAAAAAAAGGATGTTATAGTCTGTTCGCCGACCGTCCTCAGCCTGGATTTCCTCGAGCCCTACGCAACACCTCGTTAATAGTTTCCCAAGCATTTAAAATAGCTGTAACAAGCTCAGAGAATATGAGGGAGAGCGCCAGTCTAGTCGCGCAAGGGTGACCCATTTGGTCTCTCGGCAGCTGTGATCTACCAATCGCTGCGGGATGTCGACTCAAAACAGGAAGGCTGATTTGTTGCTTGGCTACCAAGGTAGGCAATGCGAGAGATCTGCTACCCCTCTATACTCCCCACGAGCGCCCCTAAACCCTGTACACATCGCTGGTGCCAAAAACCACCATACAAGAAAGCGGTCATGTCTTTTAGTGATAGAGATGTACTAGCCAGTGTCTATTGATGTGGTTGCAAGTCCGTGTAATGCGGTAGTGCCCCCGAAAAAAAGAAAACCAACGACATCAAACATCCTGGTTCGATGCGAGACGAACAAGGATACTAACGTGCTGCATTTAGTTGTGGTCGAAAGTGAAACGTCGAGATACAGTATCCCGGGACAAATGTCTTGAAGGATATAGGCTACACTGTTGCCCTCGTTTGGCCTGCTTAAGCGTCATTTGAGCAGCTAATTTGTATCTTGGCGTCTAGTTTGAGCTGATCAGTGATGCCAATTATTACCCAAGTCTTCACGAGTTAATATTGATATCTTGGTCAGGAATATCCGACTTAAACCCCACAATGGCGCATTTTGAAATCGTCATGTGATGATATTCGCTAAATGATACCTTTGATACTGTATTTTATTATGCTTGTTCAATGTCAATGTTAATGTTCGTGCTCATGCTCGGAGCTGACCGCAAAAGGACAAGTCGTAATAGACTGTACCCCCAAGATAGAGCAGCGCAAGGATGTATGCCAGAACGGGCAGAGGAAATGGATACCCAGCAATGGGTATAGCGAATAGAGACCCGACAGTGCAGTTTGGCTCAGATTCGATACAAGATGCGTTCCGCGAACCTAAAGGCTTGTTTGCATGGAATACTACGTCGTATGCAGCCGTGAAGGTCGCAGTCGATCATTGAGTAATTGGGGCCATTTGCCGAGTCTAGTCGGGAAAATCATGGTAACTAAGGTATGAAATGCTAGTAAAATGCTAGCGAAATAGCGTAGGGCTGCACGACTCGCAGATATGAGGGGGTCGTTATGGTCCACTGTCGGGCTCGTTGATGGGTCGGTTGGCGTCCCGAGTATCCACGAATCCTTGGTTCTGGACCATGAATTAAAAGACGCATACAAGGTAGTGAGACGCTTTAAGTCCAAGTTAGAAAGGGATTACCCGCGGTTACAGAGTCAACCAGATTTCGACATTCGATGACAAATATTGGGCTAACTGCTTGACCATGTGGCATACTGTATCATCTGAATTCCTGAGGTGTAAAAAAGATGTCTCGTGGAGAGTTTGGTAGGGTTGTCTTGCAGAGAAACTTGTCGAAGGAAAGAAAAAGCAAAAGAAGCTAGTCAATTACCTCGGCACCTAAAGTCTATTGTGTTACACAGCATGGCCTAAGATGGTCTAAGATAGGACCTGCCCCAACGAAGCAATACCCGCACGGACCATCTGATCCATCAAGGGGCCTTTAGGGGTCTTCTTGGCGTATTTTCTCTGACGTCTTGGGATTGAAGCTTTGGGTCTTTACAATGCATAACACGCCAACGATGGTACTTACATGCGGCTCTTGCAATCTTTTGATATGTACCATTCTTGTCATATGCGTTTGATGTCTAGGCGGGCTAATAAGTTCTCGCGTATTAACAACAATGAATTGCTAACCGAAAACACTCAAGAGGCTCTAATTATAGATATCCAAGTTTAGAATGCCCACGCCGCCAAGTCGAACAGAGCATCGGCTAGAAGTTCTAGAGAAACCAAACAAGTCCAGCATCGATGTTGATAATGGACGAGTGAGTGTACACGTTACAGTATGAAGTACATTTGAAGCTACGTGTATGTTGTACATCCCTGAAGAGCTAGGAATTACTTACATTAGGCAGGAGCGGAAGGTATCTACGCATGTGTGTAATAACCCTGGGGATCATTCGTATGAAGCCGTTCCTGCCAATATCAAATATGGGTGAACCCAATCTACCTTAGTATTCATATGCTGACTAAGTGGAACACTTCATCTAGGCACCTCACTTGTACATACTAAGCCTTACCACATTTCAACCTTACTGGGATATCATAACCGTGCCCTGACAATAACGACAACCCTGCCCCACGTTCCGTTCCAGTTGTCCTCGCTTAGACTTGCTATTCCTAATGCTCGAACCAAGATTTTGCCCGTGCTATATCTCGTCTTCCAATATGTAATCCGACTCTTTTGACGTAATACCTTTGCTCCGTCTCAGGAGCTTTTCGCCGTTTCAACTCCCACTTCGAGATGGGTTTCTGGGAGGCCTCTCAATCTCCTCCGCGTCATTCTACGCATCACCACCGTCGCCGTAACGAGCCTCGTGACGAGAACGACTCCCGCGATATATCTTATAATAGATCATGTCTGAAACGACCACGCAAACCCCACAACACCAATTCCACTCTAGTAGAGCTGACCAGCGCGTCGCAACCAGAGACCCGCCGAGGCATTGTCAAAAACTGGCTAGAGCAGACGACGAGGCATACTTCCCACCCCCGGCCTAGTACGTCACGAGCGCACCGAAAAGACGACGTAGGGAAAAGTTGCCCATCTGGGAAACTTGCCGCTACAGCCCCATACAATAAGCACCCTGGGCGTGTAGATCCACGATGGGATCTCCATCACAAGCATTCCAACGATGGCCTACGCCAATCGGGTTCTCCCGCTCAAGTCTTAGGCATAGGGGATTCAAGCAAGCGTAGGCGAAGGCGGGCCAACCCCAGCGATAGTTCGTTCATAAGTGGTTTTGAAAATTCTACGAAGCCTCCTGATTACGGCCCTGGACCCATTCGACAAGATTGTGATAGTACATCGCCGGCCAGACCTCTCAAAGATGCTGCTTTAGCGCCTCTAAATGTTTCGTCAAGCACGTCTTATATTGTGGAAGAGATATTCGACTTCGAGAAGAGACCAAGGCGTAAAACCAGGGAAGATAGATATGAAACAAAGAAAAAGAAGCGGAAACATGAACGAGAGGATGCTATAGGACATGACGAACATCGAGAAAAAAAACGTAGGAAGCAGGAGAAGAAAAGGAAGGTTGTGGCATCAGGTAAGAACGTCGTTGGTAATTTTACCTCCGAAGCCGTTCTGAATGACCGCATCACGGTAAGGGTTCCATTGCAAGTGGGTGGCCAAAGTCTGACCTGAACTTAGGTGCAGCCACACCTTAAACCTGGTCTATTCGACAATAAACGCACGTCGAAGAAACAGCCTAGTAGGTTGATTTCCAAAGGACAAGTTGCGCAGCGGGATACTAACAGCACTCAGTCACTGACTTGGCCTTCTCCGAAATGCAATTTCTTAAGGATCAGAAGAGAAATCTTCGGCCAAAACCTCTGTCCAAATCTCGTTTGAGGGAAAAACGACGGGAAGATCGAGAAATGGAAGAAGTCTCTTCCTTTTTCTTACCACACAAATCCATCGGAAACACTTACAAACCAAGGCGTTCTGGTCCAGATGCTAGTAATGATAGCATACCACGTCAAGAGCATCGAGGAAAGCATTTCACATCCATTTACAACACAGATCTTCCTAAGCCGCTCGCTTTAGATCACCGTTCATATCCTCAACATACTCGCGCACTCCAAGCCCTTCATAGCGAACCCACTGAGACTCGCAGCTTAGACTTACATGGGTCTATCCGCGACGAGGAGGTATCGAGTCGAAAAACAACATATTTTACGTGGCCTAGTAGCCGACACTCGCCTCAGACTAATAGGAGAGTAAATAGTGCGAATTCTAAACCTCCTGGGTCGACTGGGACAACCACACCTGAGTCGATCCGAAGGGATCTTATAGCAACAGGCATATATCGCGACACCGGAATTCCTTCATATGATGACCGTTTAACTGATAAAAGTAGAGAAGGGTGGGTAACCGAAACGAGGGCACGTAATGATCGTTGCAGTATGCATGAACAGTCCGATGAACCCCCAAAGGTGAGATACCGAGACCAAGCCATAATGACTAATCGTCCCTCGAATTATTTGGAGCTACGACAAAACACCCAAGAAATTGAAGAAGGCCAGAATATAAGGGCCCCGGAAGACCTAGAGCCGCAAACATATCATACTGCCCAAGATATAAACCGCCAGCGGATTGCAAGGGAAGTACGCCTTGGGCCTGCCGAAAGAGTTAGCTCAAGACAGGATATCCAGGCTTCGAACCTAGTAGACGCCGAAATGGTTACCGAAGTGGTTACCAGGCAACAATATCCTATGCTAAAAGAAACACAGTGGAATCCGTACCAAAACGGGCAGGCATTGGGGGCAGCCGACCAAGCCTCAATAGTTTCTAGAGATGTAATGCCGCCTCCTCCAATTCCACTGGGTAAAATCCAGCCCAGTACAACTGGTGCCGGTTTACAAGTCGAAATTCCTAGGCCAAATACTTCTTCAACCAGCGTGCCAATCGAACCATCGCAAGCTTTTCATACAGCGGGCTTTGACGTACAGCAGTCTTTAGGGCCATCCAATAATCCCAGTCAAAATGCCCTCACAGCCGGACCAGTCATCAACCACGGGAGACCACCCTCACCTTTCAGTGCAGTTTCGTGGTTACCACAGCGGACTCCATCAGTTCAGGTCACGGACAAGAGAAATAGCCCATCTCGATTAAGTATTAAGTCGCCAATTTATATGGACCAGCATAAAGAGACATTAAGTAGGACTCCAAACCAAAGATATTTGCCAAATGGACAGGTACCTGAGAGTATGGCCCAATTCATTGCTAGAATAGAAAGGGAGTCGCAATTGCGGTCCCCACTATATAACCATGACGTTCCAGGCTCGGAACCAGATTCACGGGCGATAACAGGGAGTACAATTTCCTTCGATACGGAGCCGATTTACGAACAGCCTTTAGTATACGATATGAGAGGAAGCGAGCCCTCAAACTTGGTACCTAATTTGTATATGCCTTATCCTTACTCAGGAAGCCCGATAATGGATCAACGGCGTCACGGAGAATTTTACGTCGAGACGGGATACCCTCAGTATGGAATCGGAGCCCCTCGGACTTTGACCAGTGTTACAGAACCGTTGGAGGATTTTGAAGACGAATGTTTTGAAATGTCGAATTTCTGGCGTCCAAATCAGTTCTCACGATTCTAGTACATATCCGTAATGTTGAAATAATGAATACTATGCACAATATGTAACTGATTTTTAAATCGTATTTACATCCAAGATCGATTGATCTCATCGCCCGTCATTCAGGCTCCTGGTCTTTCCATTTCTCTCGTAAATCGTCAACATCAAAACCACATTTTTGCGCTTTTTCAACTATCGCCTTCGCCTTACCAGCAACAGGCGCGTCAATCATAGCGCCATCCAGCGTCCACGCTCCTCGACCCACAGCAGCGGCTTTCTCATCCGCAATCGTAATCCGAACAGCCCACTCAACTTCCTTCTCCGAAGGCGCGAAGAGCCGCTGTACGGTATCGACTTGCGAGGGGTGAATGCATTGTTTCCCATTAAACCCTAACGCTTTGCCGCCCTCACACTCTTCTTCTAAGCGTGCGAGCCCTTCGCCGCCTTTATATGAGGTACAGACTAAATCGATCGTACTCGGTAGATTGGCTGCGCGTGCAGCAGTAACGATGGCGGATCGCGCGTATAGGAATTCATTTAAACTGGGTGTTCGCGTGAGCGAGAGGTCTAACGCGAAATCCTCGGCTGCGAAGATGAGACCGCTGAGGAAAGGAGAGGAGGCGCAGATTTCTCGTAGGTCGACGATTGCGCGCGCGGATTCGATTAATGCGATTATTTTTATTGGGTTTGGACTAGAGTCGCAGTGGCGCGAGGGGGCTAGGTGTCGCAGGGCGTCGGTTGCGAAGGTTAAGTCGCTTGCGGAGTTTACTTTGGGGATTACGATCGCGTCGAGGTTGGGGAGGGGTGCGAGGGTTGTTAGGTCGTCGAGGGCGTAGGGTGTGGATATTGCGTTTATGCGGATTGCGAGTTCGGAGATGGAAGGGGGGCGGGAGGAGAGGTTGGTTAGGTGTTCGCGTAGTGCGGTGCGGGCTGTGGGTTTTGCGGTGGGTGTGACGGAGTCTTCGAGGTCGTAGGTTATGTTGTCGCTGCTGAGGCCGAGGGACTTGGTTAACATGCGGGGGGATGAGGCCGGAACTGTGGGGTTAGTTAGAGACGGTACATATGTATAGATGAGAACGAGTTTTAGGTGGATTTAGTTTGGGCTTACCGTAGAGAAGGGCCCGGCGGGGGATAGAGCTCGACCTAGCCGCCATGATGAGCGGTTTCAAGAACTCATTCGGCCTACTCGAAACTTAAAGCGAAGTAGATATTTACAGCGGATTCGGCAATTGGCGGCGACGTCATTGTCACTAAATTGCTTATTCGGGTGGTAATTTATGGGGCTTTCGGAGTGGGTACACGGGCTGAACCGAGCGCTAAGAGCCCTGAGGAATCACCCCAGCCGCCCTGGCAGGTACCTGTAATATCTATATCTACCTAAGGTACTTTAACCTAGACCAACGAGTTCCGTTTGCCTTGTTTACCGACTATTATGAATTATCAACAATACTCATAACTTACCCGAAGACCTGGTTTTAACAAGTGTAAAGACCATACATCTATAGATTCCGAATCCCATATCCTATATCATTATCTCTTCCTATTTTCAGAGCCCTATTATAACTACAAAGCTCGTTAACGAACCGGTTCCCATACCGCGGACCAATATATACAATAACAATAAAAAGGGCGAGACAAGTAAAGATGACCACCCTGGATTGGGATATCATCCCATACGATGTGATGGTGATCATCTGCGAACTTCTTTATAACACTCACCTTTCGAGCCTGGCCAAGTTCGCAAGGTCTAATAAGGCCTGCTATGCCGCAGCGACCACATTCTTGTTCCGCACCATCAAGGTCTTCGTTCATGACCAGAGGCATCTACAACAAGACGTACAAGATTATCTCCGAAGGCTAGACCGTGACAATGCCTTCAGGCATGTCCGGCGTTTGTTAATATACGGGCCAGGCTTAACCCACATTAAACAAATCAGACGAATTGATCACTATGACTCTAACAAAGAGTATTCCATGTCACCCCAAATACGCGAGGATGACGATTCGGACAACCGATTTACCAACAATCTAGTGCATAAGGCCAAGACTCTTCCGTTTCCCGCCGCCCTGATACATAAGACTGATCAACGCTGGCATCCGATGGCCGACTTAATCCGACGACTACCTTCATTAGAAGACCTTGTATATCGCGGTCCAAATCAGTTTCCGCCCTGTCTCCTCCAAGTTCTGCATGAACACCGACCCACATGTCGCCTCCATATTGACCATTTCGGTATACGCAGCCTGCTTCAGCAACCACCTACTTTGGATCCCTATGAGTTAATGCTCGCTACGTCGCCATGCCTTTACAGCATTAACTTAGAAGTACAAGATCCGTCGGCATATCATGGTGAGGGTTTTATGCCGGTTGATCAAGTTGGCATAGTCTTACGCCTAGTGGCGGGACTGGCTCCTAACCTAAAGGAAGCACACCTTTTTTGTGGTTCGAACCGCGGATGGGACCCGAATCAGGAACACTCCTCCTTCCACCCACCATGGGAACATCTGTTGAAGGATAAAGCAGACCGACCGCAGGGAAAGGGTTCGCTATCATACCTGCAGCTATGGGGTTCAGGCGACGAAAGACTTGTAACGGCACGCATCCTACACGATTGGAGTACACATACTGACTTCACCTCGTTACGGACCCTCAGGATAAACAACATAATCAGCGAAGATGCAATGGAGGCCTTAGAACACACACACAAGTTCCCATTCATTAAAACATTGTCCCTAACTCTCCAAATGCCGAGTGCAGACCCTGATATGCGACGATATTGTCGACAAGCAAGCGTGTTTGTTGGCAACTTGCGGGGACTAGAAACCCTCGAGATTAGAGGATATGTACATGCTATACCTTTGGTTAGAATATTAGGCCATAAGTTACGGACACTCCGTTTATGGCCTTTTAGTGGCGAACACCTCGTGCCGCAAGACATTACCAACATTCGAGAGCAATGCCCCTTTCTCACAAATTTAACCTTGACCATGCACCGCTCCATGGGTGATGCGGATGAAATGGCTATGTACAGAGAGCTAGGTACTCTACCAAAGGTAGAGCATCTGTCCTTAGAGATGGATACTTTACGTCGGCATCCTATTGGTACAAGCTGGGGCGGGCGCCGCTTGCCGGCGGATCCCTCTTTTGACGATTTTGACAAGGCAAGGAGTCACATCTCTCCTTATTTACAGGGCCACATTCGAGAAGCTGTAATAAACAGTGCGATGGATGGAGCTCTTGCTCGTGCCATTTTCGAAACTATCTCTGGAGCGAAGGGCGATTCGACTCTGCAAAAATTAGAGATCCGTTTCGTGAATCCTGAAAGATATCCTGGCATGAGTGTCGTAAATATGGGGGAATATTCGATCGCGCTCGGCCGCCCGTGGCAGGTTAAGCGTAGCCTGCGAAACGATTCACAACACATTTTGATTACCCAAGAACTTGACGTATGGCACAGAGAACGAATAGAGCATAAGGCTAGCAAATCCTTCGTGCTCGATCGCGATACAACCAAGTTGAAGCCAATTTTCCGGCGCATATGGCCAGAGAAGTGGAAAGGTAGCCCCTGGCGCGAGGATTGGCACAGTTTCCCGCTTTCGACGTCTGGTTTGCAATAGGGGCAATCTATACTCACGGCAGTTGTACCACGCCTATAAGCAAGATATATACATGACCAAGCACTATCGCTAGGACACTCGCAGCTCCAACCTCTTAGTCAACCGAACCAACACAGCTACACGCCCAAACAAGTATATTTTTAACCCATTGTTACCTAGGAGATATATGGACAGCCAAGTTTAGTTCCGGTTATATCGGAAAGAAGGAAGATAGGAGAGATTAGGTAGTGGCATGGCCCTGTCCTACCTCAATTTACGAGAGGCTTGTCCACTTTGGTCCCACGCGGTTCACTTCATCCTTTATCCTGACAGGAGGCAGCGTCAGAATAATCGAACCCAGGCAAACATACTAATAAGCCAGTAGATCGCACTAGCTCTACGGGTGCAAACAATAACATATTATCGTCGTAACTTGCCGATTTCAAGATAGGGGACATGCAGAAGTCAGCAGAGGTATCACAGCGGATGAATACACCACCAACGCCAAGGGTTTAATTTGACATTTGTGACGTGATGACTGGGAACCAGAGGGATTTGGTGCATTACACTATGTAAGCAACCTATTGCAGTTCACGGTTCTATTCGCTAGGCCTCAAGTCGGCGTTTCTCACCGAGGCACCAGCGTATACGCCCATGGTAAGCTGTCATCCAATACGAAAGGTCCCCGGGACGCCTCCGAAGATAGCTTAATTTGACAAGCCCCCTTTTCCTAACCGGATAGCATGTGAGACGAACTTGAGATGTTGCTTAGTCGGCAGTCCTACATGGTTGGGAGATATGTGGGCATATCCAGTCGCCGAACTCAAGCTCGAGCCCATGGCGAATCTCACTCTAGACTCATTCACGCCACGAGGAAAGCAAGATGACGCGTTGGCAACGATGCTCTAGACTCAGGGGATATCGTTCGATAGGAGGCCGCTTGCTCCATTCCTGGGGGTTTCCGTGTCTTTTCATGGACCACGTACCCAGGCATCCCAGTCTCACCATGTCGCATGCGTTCGACGGCCGTTGAATGCGGCTCCCCGTGCACCAATATCATTCTATTTTAAGGATTGCGTCACTCGACAATCGCCGTCTCGCTCAAATTGGATTGATTTTTTCACAAGCTTATAGAAAAGCTTCTTCACGATGGCGGATCTAAAAGACGTTTAGATCCTTAGAAGCCACGATGTCACGCTGGATCTATTTCTGGCATATTGCCTTTTCCCGGAACAGGACGCTCGGGACGGGCTACCAGTTTTCAATCCCAATGCGGCGACGAACTCTTGATACCAATTGTCGAGCTAATGGCGTGACCTCGGTCGTAGGACCTAAGCAACCCCTAGAATGTTCTCTGTCGGACCAGTCTCGAACGGCCGGCCTCCCGATCTGTTTCTGGACACCGGCACGATTGCTTATTCAATCGCCGGTTCGAAGACCTGTCCAGAATGCAGTCATGCCAATTTTGCTAGCTCCCCTGCATTGGAACTAGCTGAACGTGTCATGACATCTCAACGATGTTCCCTTACATAGCAACGGCGATCTATAAACCCACATGCTATGTAACTGCAGAAATAGGATACGGTATCTTGGGTCGGAGCTATTGACCACGTATATTACCTGAAGGGCAATTCCGAATAAGCGAATAAGTCTAAATTTTGGTCTGGGACCTGTTTTAGAAATTCTGTTTCCAAAAATAGAGAATCTCGAGCCGTCGGTGGCTGTCATAATCTTTGGGACCGCTTGCTTCTTGCGTCACGGGTCTCCGTCGGGCGTCCGAATTCAGCCCACGGTCTCCTTACCAACAAGATATACCTACGCAAAAGCCGATATCAAATGGTCTCATTTTAAGCTCTTTTTTCATAATTTCCACCGTTCAGCCAGATAAACGGGTAACCGGCGAAGGCAGATTACGAAATCGCAAAAAAAGACAGGTCTCCCCATGCGTGGTTCGTCGGTGGTTCGTTAACTTGGTGGGAAAAGGACTCGACCCGGTTAAAATACCCCTTCACCCCGGGTATATTGCGTTATCTAGGGCCTAGCCGCGCCGTAGGGCCAATATATCGATATTAATAATAAATGAACTCGACCTTGTTTCTCGAGCCCGACTAGTCTCTTCTTATCTCGAGCGGAGGGGGTTGCCTATGACAGAATGCCTCGAAGACTTTGTATAAATGTGGGTGACGGTGAACGACGATCAGGGCCTGTTTTGAGAGAATCATCATCGAACACAACAGCAACATTGTAACGATATCGCATATAATTATCTAACATAAGAAAAAGCTATAACATCCTCTCTTAATACTTGCCAAGTCAAGTTTCAGCAACCATGCACCGAGCCGGCCTCACCGCCCTAGCCCTCGCGGCCCTGGCCTCCGCTGCCCCCTTGTCCGAGCCGACCAAGACCGTGCAGACGAGACAGTTCTCCATAACCGACCCGGGCACCTGGTTCCCGGGCACGGGTAAGACCCCGCCGCCGCCTACTTTCACCCTACTCCCGCCCATCACGGGAGGCCTTGAGCCATCCGATAAGAAGCGACAGGACGGTGGCAGCGTCGTCATTCTACCCCCCATCACCGGCGGCCTCAACCCCTCAGACAAGAAGAAGCGCCAGGACTCTATTGGCATTGGCGATGGTAGCTCCGACCCCGTCAAGGCTCACATCGCCGCGCTCGAGCTCGAATACGAGACCCTGATCCACGCCTTCGGTGCCCACCCGCCTAAGCCCATCGCTAAGCGTATTGCTGCTATCCAGGATGAGCTCCTGAGCAAGTACGGCATCAAGATCATCCAGTCCCCCGATGGAACCACTACTACTTTCGTCCCCGGTAAGAGGGACGTGACCGCCGATGACATCTACATCCCCGGCGGCCCGTTCATTCCGGCCCCAGCTTTCCCTGGTGGCCCCGTCACCCCCGACCCCGTGGTCCCGGGCGGTCCCATCGAGGTCAGCAACTAAGCTCAGACTGAAGCGGTTGCTTGCTAGCGAAAACTGGAGACAGGAGTTTACGGCGGAACGGGATGGGTGGCCTTGGGTATCTAGAGGGGTTTTTCCTTGTACGAAAGATTGACCGAAAAACAAAAAGAGGACAACTACGATTAGGGAAGGCTAGTGATATCCGGGTTACTTACTAGTTGTTTTTTTCTCTTTCCGTCGCGAGTTGATCGATGGGCCTAGATCACTATAGTTGTTTGCTAGTTTTTTATTTGTTTACCTAGTCTATTACATTTACTACGGCTATCATTATTATGGATACGTTGCTGTTTTCAATTAACGCTATCTTGGAGGCTATGCTCAGAGATAGTGTTGTAGAGTGACTTTGCTGCCTAAGTTTGTACCACTGGATTTCCGAGGGTATCGTGAGTCAGAGCTCCATTCTCTTAGTTCCATAGCTGCGCTAAGATTGTAAGGCTGCTAGGAGCTTCGTGTCCATGTTCCGAAACCCTACTTTTCACAGTTACTTGATTGTACTTCTAGGTCGAGAAGGGTCGAAATGGGTCCCTCAGCTCCGCCTCAGGAGATAGCTTCACGACTCCACTACACAAGATTATCGTAGGCTTTGACGGCGGTGAATTCATGGCAAGAACCTTAAAAGGTCAACTTCTGCGGAGCACGAAATAGCAGCGATATACCGATAAAGCTGCTACCAAAATGGGCCAACTTCGCCGATAGAGAAGCTTTCTATCCACTGTCTCCACGATGGTACGAGTCATTTCAGCGCCGTCGAGGACGGCGCAGGCCATATCTGAGATAAGGCGAGCGACTAGATTTTAAATAGGCTTCCAACCCTAAGCTTAAGCTGCCCACGACAGCAATTGCTATATTCAACAAGCTCACGGAACTCACACCAATGAACTCAAACAGGGAGGAAGCTCTCGGAGAATATCAGCAGTGTGACTATAGAGCTATCTAGCGGTAAAGACAGTTATAGCGAACCTATTAGCTAATAACTTTGCGCCAACAATGGTTCTAGGATAGCTACGTATTCTAGACCCTGCAGCGGTAGCGTAATGGTTACGATGAGTAAGAGAAAGATGTTGGAAAGAAACACGTATGTGGTTTCAAGAAACCATCGCAAATACGTAGTCTATCACTCATAGAGCCATCACACAGAGCCCACCTAAACCCGGGTCCACGGGGAAAACCTTGAGCTTCCTGCTGACACGTCAAGAAAAGTCTAACGGGCATGCTTATCACAACTCGGTGGTTTTCCACGCATACCTAAGTCATTGACCCAATATAATGTGCAATGATATCTACCAACACATGGCAAACTCGGCACAATAGAGAGAAACCGAGGAAAAATCTCACGATACTTTAGCAGGTGGGCAAAGTGGATAAGGGAACGAAGTGACGGAACCGAGTAGTCATACCTAGGGAGTTCCACTTTGAGGCTCATGAGATCCAACTCCCCGATCTTAGGCCGGGTCTAGGCGGAAGTTCAAGGGACCGGTTCCTAAGTAGTTATTTGCTTGTTTGCTTCTGGTCTAGTGATTTGTACGCAAATATGGTGAATATTTAGACAATATTTACCTAGGTACCCAGGTCTGCGGTTATACCGGCATCCCTCGGGTACAATTCCAGCCTCCCTCGTGTATCAAGCGCCATTGTGCAAGAACTTAAAATAGAACCCGCGATTCAAGGCGCTTGGTGAGACATAAACACTATCAAACCATGCGGACTATCAAGCCGTATTGTGTCTGCCTGCCTCGGTGTCGTAACCTCTATGTCAATATTCGGCGAGTGAGACACCACGACGCTGAGTTATCGACGGCATGTTTCGCACGTGGAGGATAGGCTTCATCCGGTGTCTGCCTAGCTAGAATACTATCGAAGATTCAGACATTTCCCAATGCCTATCTTTATTGGACCGGCCTGATCGAGAAGGTAATTGCTCGGGCGTTGCCCATCTTTTCCGATGTTAGACATGGATGAACCCTGAGTGTGCCACGTTGAAAATGCGTCTTTTTTGCTTCTTTCCAGTCATGAAGGGTGGAAAATAAAAATAAGCAAAGATAATGTAGCGCCTCACGTTGCTGGTATTGCTATTGTTTTGATGCGCCTGCTTAGCTTCTAGTCATCAGAGACATATTGGTCTCACTTATGGATGTGATATGGAAGCCTCAGTAGACGAGCGAACGAAAAAGCAAGCCCTAGAGGGCTGTGTGTATGCTCCCGGACGCCACGAGGATTATGATTAGAGGGAAAACATGATAAGGTGCGATTTTCACTGCTGACCCTTCAAGGGACTTCCGATTCAAACATACGTGGCTCAATACCAGCATCGGGTTCATTTGATCTCTGGGAACCAACCGGTTCAAGACATTGTTCCCCGTCAAGTCGGCCAACTATCTAGCTTACTGCTACCTACACTCAGCCTCAGCGCATACTACACACCATAACAAATGGAGTTTTTCGGAAAGCCTCACTGGAAGAAGGACACGCGTAACCACCAGGCTGAGGTAAATAGATAACATATTGAATGGCGATTTGTCTCACCACATCACGCCGCCTGTTGGTCCAGATGGATTGGCAAAGCCTGGAGCTTCGGGCCGGCGTATAATTGCGTACCTCGGTCTCACTTACGAACAATTTCCTCTCTTTTCCTTTTCTTTCGACCGCGTGACCTTTCCAACGCCCCTGGAAAACAAGGGTTCAAGCTCATATTTTCCTTCGTTTTCACATCCGGTTCGAAAAACGTTGCCTGACACGAAATCGGAAAGCTTGGTTCCAGCCAGATAGACCAAATAGGCAGGAAAGGATATGTAGGGACATGTAAGTAGCTAGGGTAAGCTCGTAATTTGAGGTACGCATTGGCTGGGAATATATACCGAAACAGCCCACACGGAGCCGCAATTGCCTTCGTGTTCCCAAACGGGTACGGCGATTGGCGCGTGGAAGGTTCTCGGGCATGACTATAAGATGAATGCTATAACATGGCCACGCTAATAATATCGAGACACGATGATCCTGTCCGTGTCATCGGCTCCGCAAGAAGACCTATCTTATCCCCACCGCGCCTCCGCATCGGCAAGGGAGGCGGAAACCTACTCGAAGGACCCTTATGTTCCGCTCGCTACCTTGCTGCTTTGTTGTACGATGGGGGGTTTTGTTTTGTTTACATAGTTAGGGAGCTATTAATTCGGGATCCGCCCTGCTGTGGTTCGCTGATTTCATTGCCGTAGGTTGGTCGAACGCATGAAAGTGCTGAGACAATATTACGACGGTAGAGTGACGCCGTGGAACGTGCCTGACGGACTTTGCTTACTATTTCCTTCGCAGATCTGCCTTGGACTTGGTAAGTGGGAGTCCAATAAAAAACAACCCAATATGTAGCAGGAATGACTTTCATGATTTCGCCTAGACACACGCGTGCACTGCATAGGGCAGGATCGGATTCCATCCGTAGATACAGCACAGTCGGTAGTTAAGAACACGCAATCATTGTCCGGACCCTCCTTGCCACGCTTACATAGCCTTTTGACTATTTGGGCTACCTACTTACACGATTCCGACCAAGATGGGACCCTCGGTGGAGAAGAACCTAGCTTTGTTAGTTGGGAAAACAGGTCTTTCTAAGACATCACGGAAGGTTCTTAGCACCTGATGAGGACGTCGATATCAAAGAACAGACCCAGCCTTTTTCGATGCCAAGAGATAATTCGTGCCATAAAGGGATTCGCTCTTTTGGAAATGATGAGCCCTAGACACGGATAACATTCCGCGGTCATCTCATAGTGCCCCTTTTAGCGTACCGTAGTTCCCAACGTGGAGGCATCGAGATGACACGCAGTTGAAGAGGATCAGGTGCCACGACTTTTCGCTACGTACTGGTAGAAAACTATGTGTAGTGTGCGGTACCAGCTCTACGTGGGGACTAAGGCCAATAATTCTGGCCTTTGAAAGATCATAGATCGAGCGATTGGCACCGCCCCAATCTTATTCTTCGAGTCAGCAAGGAGAAGAAGGATATTCCCCCTTTGTCGAACGGGACCACGTCACTACACGTACGCATGCCTCTTCCCCCACACAAGTGGGCACAAGACTTTTGTATGCTTTTCTTTCCAGCCTCCTAGCTGCTTGTATGTAGCTTTACCTAGATAGTTTAGATACTATTACGGTGCTGACAACGGTGCTTGTGGAGGCTGCGAGCCACCTTTTTGGGTTGGTGATAACTTCATCGAACCGCGAGACTATCGACTCGGGTAGAGATTAAGCAGCGACGTATTCGCTCCGATTTACTTGTTTAGCTATTCTGGATATCATCTCCCTTCTTGCTTCGTGCCCTCAAATAGTAGCTAGTCAGGCACACATACAACATTGTGGGCGTTATGGAGCTTCGTCTCACACGTAGCGATCGAACCGACATTTCCAATATGGATTCATGATGACGGGCTGACGAATTACGATAGTGTCCTGGCAATAAGGATGACAACTACGATGCAAGAAGGTCCTTTGGTGCCTGCGCTATGCGAACCGAAGAAGTCTATGCGCATGTACTCCATAATATCGAGTTTTTTTAAGTAGCATCCTGTGCTTCTGTACGAAATGAATATGCCTCTCCACTCGGAAGTAGGCGGCATTGTGATGGGTGACTGTAAGCAGGCTTTCTCAAGTTTCTGATCCAATCTTCGTCCATATCTCATCAAAGTTTTTAATTCTCCGTACTATAGAGTATCATTACATATGAGAATAATTAAGTGATGAGTGGGTCATCGCGACGAAGCCTTGAGTGTTCTCGAGGGGTCGAAAAATCTACAACTAGGTAGAAGCCAAGAGAGCACGCGGAAGACGGTGGGGAGAGCGCGAATACAGATTACAGAGAGACAGGACGAAGAACACAGGAAATCTTTCACCGCCATGTGCCAGTGAACCCAGCCACTCGCGCCAATCACTCACGCGCAAAGCAAGGGGTGACGACCCATCACCATGCCCAAACCATCGACTTGCATCTGCAGCTCGGACTAGCTACATGGATTCGTGTCGAAGCTGATTCGCCCGAAACAGGACTATACATACACATACTTTTTTCATAGGGGGGAGGTGTGGAAGGAAAAGGGAAAATGAAATAAAAAATCAAGAAAAATGAAAAATAAAATCAAACCAAATCGGAAAAAGGGTACCCTCCCTTTCCAACAACACCAATATGTCGGGATCGGGAGCGCGCTAGGCAGAGTCGGGTATGAATAATAATAAAATAAAATCATGCGCTGCAACATAAGATAAAAATCAGAGAGAGGACATGACCTCGAACATTGCTACCAAAACGGATTGGTCTTAATTTCTATTCGATAAGGGATAAAATAATAAGAGAAGAGAAGAAAAATAATATCGCCGGGCGCCTGGAACTACTGCATGTCCTGAACATTACGCACGCACTCTACACTTGCGTCCAACAAGGCTGGGGAGAGACAGAGAAGGGGGTCCTCTTTCGTTTCCTACCTACTATACTATTACTGCGACTACTACCCGTGCAGTAGTCGAAAATGATAGGCCTGTACGTATAATATAGGTAGTGCAAAGTAATGTAGGTATGTACTATGTAGTAGCGTGATGGGGAACGACCGCTGCGCGCCCCATATCGCGACAATTTCCTAGGTACCCAGGATCTGCACTTGGCTGTTTTTGCGCCCAAACGGGGGGAACCGTCCCATAGTAGTCTACTACAACCTAGAGACACTACCATAGCCCGTAAGCCGGTACCAGACTATGGCCCATACCCATTTCCCTACCCATCTGTACTATACTACCTACGTAGTAGTTAGACGGGGACAGGTACATGTCCAATCAAGCACCGAGCGCAGCTCTAGACAAGCTTACTGACTAGCTTTGAGGCCTTTTATTTTGCGCCAAGTTAGCAATTTCGCAAGATAGGCCGGATTGGTAGTCGTAGGGGTAGACGGCGGAATAGTGAGATAGATAGGTGGTAGAGGTTCATAGCGACGGATGTTCCGCTTAAAGGAAGATGCCGAAGCGAGATTCGCGGAGAGGGCTGCCTGCCGGGGAGTGAAAGGTTGAGGGGGTAGGGCAACGCAGGAAAAAGGAAGAAGGGAAAGGGAAGGGAGAAACGATTAGACTGACAAGACATTTTCCCTTGGCTCGACCTTAGGATGGCCATGGTAAAGCTAATGCAGGCTTGCGTTGCATCAACGGCAGAAAATATGATTATCAGAAGAGAGCAATATGCAGGTTGATGGCACACTCGCAAGCCCTGCCCTGGCAAAGTAAGGCGAGTGGCGTCGGCAGCTTCTGGCCAATCACAGGTTCGATTACTGAACCATCAGCCTTGATGCGAAGGTTTCCAACCTCATGATCATCAACATCGTGAATATCTCGAGATTCTCAAAGGCTGATATGAGAAGAGAATGGACGAACATCAGTGGGGGTTGGTTGGATATGGTGCCTAATGAAACTCGTAAGGCGGTAACTTCAAACTATTGGTAGATAATATCGAGAAACTTCTCAAAAGATACTTGGAGCAACATAGTTCACGGGAGCACTGTCACTTGTGCGTAGCTATTCAAGAATTATTGCAAGTTGTAAGCCATATTTTGGATGGTTATTGCGACTGTTCGCAAAAACATTGTATTGGGTTGTGTAGAGCCTATTGACGTTTTTTTCGTCTCTCCAACAGCTCCCATCTTGTGAGGATCACCGCGGCTGATCGCGGTGTCCGTAGGTAGAACGTATAATGTTGCGCCAACGATTGTCGTTGAACGCGCTGTAGGGTTATTGGCCCTGGGTTTTGGTCTATTCGAATCCCGTCTTCCACCCGTAAAATGGTCTCGATGAACTTTTTCCCTTTGTGGTTCTCGAGCCCGAGATCCGTAATCCTGTATCCAAAAACAAATAAAAAAAATAGTAACGTTGGTATCATCCAAGCGAAAGTATCAGACATCCTTCCCCTGTAAAATGCATCCCGTGCAAAACGACAGATTAGAAAATAACAAATGTCTGCAAGTATAGCCTCCCAGCTCAAACATCTCCAGTTGTATGTCCTGCGCCGTGTAACAATGCTGTCCGTATCAGTCCCGGATTGTAAAATAAGATAATGGCTCCCTTTGGTCCTTGGTCTTATGGATTTGATCCTCATCTCTCAAATCATCCCACTAACTCCACGCTGAATAAAACAAAGAAAACACATGATTTCGAAGTAAGTACAGGTTTGAAGATTATCCTGGAAGGCTCCAGGTTTTTTTGATCGCATCAACCATGCGATGTTTTAAGGCTCCATTTAGGTATAAGTATCCGGATATTTTCCTCAGGCTCCCATGGAATGTATTATAACGTAATATCAAGTTGAAACTGTTTTTTGTCGAAGTAAATCCTTGGTGGTCTGATCCAGATCCGGAATTTGAGTCATCCACGGCATAATACTCCCTATGGCCTATATCCAGGAATGTAGTATAGAAGCAACGTGACCTTGAGTGGAAGCGCCTTCAACGTTGAAGGACAGTTACACATAAATCAGTGTAGCTAATAGCAGCCCTGGAAGTTGGAGAAAAGGGGAACCTGTGGATGGAAAGGAATAGAGTGGTGATGATGTATGGGTTGTGGTTGTGTGTACCTATTAACCACCTCCCAGAAATATGGGAAGGCGAATTTGGTTGGTGCACAACTGGCCGGTACGGGAACCTGAACTGGGCAGGGTTGGCAAGGTTGACAAGGCTGGCAAGCCTCGACAGCTGGTCCTGGGTATTGTGGAACAAATTCCTGTGGGAACAAAACTTTAGGTTCCTGTGAATCATACATCTGAGGATCCTGAGCCGGTGGAATTTCGTCATCTGGGATGACATAATCGTCCTCATCAAGGTCGTCGATGGTCGAACAACTAGAGATAAGAGATCCATCGTCGGATGAACATGTGGACTCCGTGTCGGAGTCGGAAGCCGCGGGCGAAGGTGGCGAGTCGTAACCCAAATCCTCGACAATGGCGTCTTCACTATCAACGTATTCGATGGGCCCAGGCGAAGTGGGCGGTGTTGGCAATGCCTGGGGGGCAGTCGCCGTAGGTGTAATCGTAAATCTGGAACAGGCGAGGATACTGTTCCTAAGCTCTGGTAACGTAATTCTGTGGTCTGGGTTGCGGGTGAAGATTCGCCCTAGAATGTTGTTGAGGTCATCCGACAATGGCAAGATGGACCGTAAGAAATCCGGAGTCCTTGTAAAGGCACGATATGTGGAATCTTCAAAAGAGGCCTGCTTCCATGGGTTACGGCCGCAGGTCAAGTTCACCAGGATAACACCAAGGCTCCATACATCATTTGGAGCGCAATAGTAGAATGGCCTCCGGGATGAAGGGTCCAAGCATTCTGCAAAGGTGAAAAAGAATCTAGTTAGTATATCCCCACAGTGTGAAGGGTCCCAAGACGGAGTCCTACCTGGTGACATGTAAAACGTCGATCCGCATCCGTAGTCTTCGGACCTGTCTGATGAAGTTGCCAAGCCGAAGTCTGCCAACTTGACCGTGTCTCCCCGGTTCGAAACTAAAATGTTCTCCGGCTTGAGGTCGCGGTGGTAGATACCCAGGTTATGGCAATGCTCAACGGCGTCCAGGATTTGAAGGAATACACTCTTGGCCAAATCATCCTTACCCACATACTGTCCTCTTTCTGTGATATTGAGGAACAGATCACCTTCCGGGCAGTACTCCAGGACAACATAAATGCAATCCGGGTCGTCAACAATCTTGTGCATGGAAACCACGTTGGGGTGTGCTGAAGCTAGATAGTGTAAACGTAATTCCCGGTGTTGAAAGGCGATTTGTCGTCGATCCAATGGAGATCCATCTGCGTTGAATTTGCTGAGTGTCTTTACTGCGTACCGGACTCCAGTCTTGACATCGACGGCGAGGTAGACCACGCCATAGGCACCGGTTCCAATGATTCCTATTAACTGCAGGCTCTCACCAAGGAACTTTCCTAGCCTCTCCTCCGGAGTAACTGGGGTGAATCGTGGGGCGCAAACCGGAGGTACTGCTAGCGGTGGTTGTTGGAAGGCACACTTGGTGTTGTCGTAAGATGGTGATGCCGGAGGCGTGGGATATCCGTACGCTGCCACATTATGCATGTTATGCGACGAACTACAGGTCCTTTCCTGGAAAATCCGGGACTGGAACTAAACGGCAACAGAGATAAGGAAAGGAATTAAGAGAAAACGGCCTTCTCTACGGGGAGGTAAAATCCTCAAACCAAATGCAACGTCCTGGAAGTTAAAAATCCTCGGAATGTCCTTGGGCTGAATAATATGTTTCTCCCTGGGTCGTATTTTTGTAGAATGGCGTCGAGTCAACGGGCCATGGAATTAAGATAATGGTGTCGCCAAGTAGGTAGGCCGGATGTCGATGGCCAAGAGTAAGTTAGAATAAGGGAGCGTTGAATGGCGACGATAGCGGCGACAATGTCGAGGTTCCAAGAGGGAATTGTGGTGAGAAGGTTGGAAGGTCGAATAGCTTCTGCTAATGTATGGAGGTAAGTGAATGGAGTGAGGTCGAAGCAAGATGTAGTAGGGCCGGGAGGTTTGATGTAGATATTGAGATAGTGGGCTTTGGAAGAGCGCCAAGGGTCCGTCTCTTGTCTCTGAGTGTTTGGAGTGGCTCAATCTGAAAGCCCCGACCATATCCTGGCCTGGCTGCTTGACTCTACTACCTGGGGCCTGCGGTACGTATAGGTACCTCTACCTGGTCTAACTACGGCTAGTCCACAATGATCAATAGCCAGCTCACATCCATGTCTGACCTACTGGTGCCACTTCCCACACATGCGCTATTCTTGAATTCGACGCGCTAGCGTAGCTGTGAAGGCGGCCTGGCGAAAGTGGAGCAGGGGAGAAAGAAAAGGAGCAAGGGGAGGTGTCAAGGAATGGGACCAGTGCTTCTAGGGCGCTCCACAAGAGAACCAGAGCAGGACGAGTGGACCACAAGCAGCACAAGGAGGGATGGGGCACCTTGGATGGGATTAACCCAGCCTGACTTGAACAAGGACCAAGATCTTCGTGGCTCGTCGTAATATACGAGGACAGGGATTATCTGACACACGAAAATAAATGGTCCACTCAACGGTCGAGGAGTGGGTCGCGTTGTTACCCTCATAGAACCATGTCCAATATTTAATACCACGCCTAGAATCCTAGTCGAGTTAGCCGGTCTCTAAGAAGGGGGGCGTGCGTGTGATCTTGCGAATAGGGGCGATAGAAAGAATGGTACGGGGCTGCTGACGGTCCACCTCTTTCTCATCTCGTTAGTACACCCACCTTCTTTTCTTTCACTGGCCGGGCAAATCGTCATAAATCCACGACCCGTGACTCGCATGACTTTTTCCTTTGCTTCTTTTGCTCATTGGGGCGCCGGGCGGTTGGCAAGATCCTTGATTTGGCCACTAAAGGCAGTTCCCTCAGTTCCTCTTCATCAAACTTATAAGGGCAAAAAACAGCCATCATCTATTACCTAGTGATCAAGATTGCTTTGTCTTTTTTTAGATGAAGATTATTCCGTTCCAAACCCACACCGATGAACATGTAGTTCGTTGGGTATGAGTAGCTAGTACTGGGTAGCAAGAACAATTACGGAGTACATAGTAGAATACCTAGTAGAGAGCGCTTGCGACAAACCTTTTCTCCTTCTTTTTGCGCTGTTTGTGGATAGGTTAGGTACCTGGAGCCAAGACCAGCGTTGTAACTTTCGGAAACATTCTGAGGATAGCGGCCATCCGTGCTCCATTACGCTCTTTCTGACAACAGTTATGCTGAGGCGGAGACCTATTACGAAGGGGAAAAAAGAATGAATGCATAATTGTTAGGTCCCTTTAGCGGGTAAAGCAACACTGAGTTGGTACGGCACGTAGGAATTTGCCCAGCAAAAGCCCTTCTGTTGCAAAAGCCGCCTCGTGCTCCATTTCGATCAATGCTACATTGGCCAATGCTTGTTGTCGCGCAATGATCGTTGTCTCTGTTTTGTCGCACTCTCGACTATGCTGGCTCTGAGAAACATGCTAAAGGTCTGCCCATATGGACTAACACACAACTCTTGGTGGGCGTGTCTCGTACGTACGGATTCTCCGCTTCGCTAGGCAGATTATTCCTTTGTGTCTCTCGCAGAATCAGCCCGCAAAAATACCTACACATGTACGTATGTGTGTATGTGTGTATGTGTGGTTCCTGGCACGTACATACATTACAGCGCTGTTTGTTGTTGTAATTTGTCTTCACGTATGTTTTGAGCCAATTATGATGCATTCTCAGTGAAAAATTATGTGGATTGGTATGCTGAGTTAAGTGTCACGGTTCTGGAATAGTCGGTCCAATAGTTGCCAACTTACCTGCCCTTCTGGCCTACATAGCCCACGGAGCTGAGTGAGTATAGTATTAAACCGGTTTGCTCTAGATTTGCCGCCCGTAAAATAAGTGGTTTGCTAGAAATGAGCTGATGTCTAAGCCCATTTTGCTAGCAGGGCGGCAAAGAAAAGAAGCTTCCTTCGATCTTGGTATTAGATAGATCTGCTAAGGATTCGTTCGGGGCCGCTTGTACCCGTGCAGGCGATGTTGCGCAAGCACCAAATGAATATGTAAGTGAGCATGTTTTATTAAATTACATAGGTAGGAAGTGCCTTCGGTCGTTGGCGACGTATAGGCACTGGCGAAGAGTAGACGAGCAGACGGGGGCTTGCCATTCCGCCCCGGCGGTTTCATTGAATTGACGACTCACTGACCGACTGATTATCAGAGCTGCAGAAAAAAATAAATGACTAGTGGCGGTTATGCTACCGGATTCGTAGAAGGACAGCAGTAGTATTGCAGCAACTGCACGAAACTAGCCAATGACACGATGGGTGCTCGTTGCATCCCGACCGTCTACAAAAGAGAAGTCCTGGTCACCGAGAGGTCTGATTGGATGACAGAGAATTAGTGTGTGTGGTAATGAATCTGATGGAGCCCCAGCTTTTCGAGGCTGTAGCCTGAAGTGAGGGATTATCTCCGAACGGGTGGGTTGTATTGAACAATTTCTTTGGTGCGGTCTCCCATGCCCGCATGCAGTAGCCTCGTAATACGGGAAAGGGATGAAGGATTCATTCGATGAGATTGGTCGGCGGCTCTCATGTCTTGCCGAAGAGTGAGGCTGTCGTTCCAGGGCAGTATGTGGCCAACCCATGGATTGGACGCCGCTTGCTCCTTTGAATCTAAAATGAATATGCAGTATGTAGGTAGTATGTAGCATGTACCATACATTAATATACATACATATGTATGCAGTAGGTAGAGTACAGTTGTTGATATTGGTCTATGCAGTTATCACGGCCTTCTATTTGCTAGAGGTAAAGTAGGACATAAGCATATTCGTGACGAAAAACATATAATGTGTATGTGTAAATGAGATAAAAATAAACAAATCGAAGGGGAAAGAAGAGAAAAAAAGGAAAAGACTATTATTTCCCTTCGTTATTACCTTCCGCTTTCTGTCATTTCCCTTCTTATTTAGGTACCTCCTGCTATGTTAGGCATGTAAAACTTAAGGTATGTCCGTCCGCTAAGGAACCTTACCTGGATACTTCGTAGAAGTACGTGTGTATGTACATATGAACCTTATGAACCTTACGTAAACTAGGATCTGTCAAACCTAACCGGAATGAAATTAGATAAGATCGGAAGATCGGGATATTAGTAAGAAAGACCGCCTCACCTTTGATCCTTGATAGAAAGTTGTGCACAGACCCTTCCCGAATTTCATTTCTATTATATTATATATTATGTACCTAAGTACTCCTACTTGCGTTGTTTACGTGTATTTCATTAATTCTTCAAACCCACAAGACATGTCCTGGTTCTTTCATAAAAATCATAATATGTAAGGTATAAGCATCATGGATGTTGAGAGACTCAATTATTAACAAATCAAAAGACAAATACCAAGACTATTCAATCTATAATCATTGGTTGGTTGGTAGGCCTACGCAATCCTAACTCCATCCGCTTTGTTCTCATGTTTCTACCACATATCTCTTAACAAACAAGAAGGGGGGAAATTCAAGATGCATGATAGGATTGATATTATTTCGGCTCTTCGTAAAAGTCCCTGACTCAACTTAACTCGGAAATTTTAAGACATTCTCATTGCTGCTTCATCATCTATCTGCTTGTCCATCTGCTAACAGCAGCAGTAAGACGGATCCGGGTAGGATAAGAACGCGGGATGAGGAAGAAGATTATCACGGCTACTACACTAGATACCGGGTTGAAACTCACCGCTATGAGCCACAGGTTTCGATCATACGGCTGATCCCTCTCAACAATAGCCAATCTGGTCTTCCCTCTGCTACTTGCCTGATTTAGCCTATTCTCACCGCAACAAACGTCACCACAGCTTTGCATGAATTTTAATGACAATGGCTTGCCTAGAACGGTCATTTTGATAATGCCTCCTGTACGTGGTGGTACGCGGTAGTGAGCTAGTTCTGTATGGACGGCAAGCATCCTTCATGTTAATTTTTTTTTTTTCTTTTTGTCTTGTTTTCATTAATCTCTATACTGCAACCCACGGACGGACGAATCTCATCCCGGCTTTAGGACTTTGTAAAGTAAGCGAACATGGAAAGTCTCGAACTATTGCACTATCGCCTTAACATTCGATAATAAGACGTTTCGAACCCTGCTTCCACGAGAGATTCGATCCCGTCATCAGCACTCACATGGCCTTGGGGGCGACTAGGTTTAGTACGATCCCGAGACATGGAGTTGGACGATGGCGTCGTCGTGTCTGATTAAGTAATAATGTGTGCCCCTACCTAGCGGCCTAGGTGCCTATGCCCTACTTTGCCCTACCCTACACCTTGATACCCGCTTGGGCCACCTCATTCCTGGTCCCTGAAGTTTCACGAACTGCTATGTAAATACATCAGACCTACCCTATCCAGGACCCTTGGTCTCAAACCAAATGCCTGCGGGCAGTCATATTGACGACGGGGTCCACCAGCTGATACATCATCAAGGAATGAGAAACCATAGTACACCAACTCGATGGTACCTCGTAGGGCAAATTCTCGACCACGATCCATAATCAGTGTCAGTCTGTTTATCTCTCTTCTCAGTGAGATGAAGCGCAACTTTAGGAACTTGGGGTTTCGACTGGGTATCGGATCACAAATTGGGTTATTATCCCGCTTGTATGACGAAGATGAGCCAATCCTGACAGTTGGGGGCCTTGCTATGTGTAAAATGTATAGTGTATTTCGTGCGAGTCGGCAAGCCCTTCCTCCTGAAAGATCGCCGGCGATAGGAAGATCTCAATCAAGTGGGCACCGGAAAATGCTACCGTCCGCCTTGAACAGATTTGAATCTTGATAAAATTCCCTCCACCTTGAAATTACGTTACCGACGCTATCCCCTACGAGTGTTTAGCGAGCGAGCAAGGGCCATGCTACTATGTACACTTTTTTTTTTTTTTTCTTGTGCTATGTCGCACACTGGACTT